GAGGGAGAGAGAGGAGGAGGGGGAGAGGGGGGAAGCGAACGGGAAATGGCCTGAGCTGGGTGCGAACAGTTGACTGCGGGGAAGATGGTGCGCCTGCTGGGACCCGCTGGGGCGCAGGCTCCTCGACGTCAGTGAGGCGTCGGCGGATGTCTTGCGGAAGAGGAGTCATGATGCGCTCGCTTCGAGCTCTTCGACCGTACGATGTCGCCTTTGCCGTTGATGTATTGACGACTCCTCCCGTGTCTCTAATTTCCTTCCTCCGACGCTTCCCCCGCCCATAACAGGCTAACGCTCCAGATCGACACCGACCACGCCTCGCTCGTGCGCTCGCGCACTTCGACCCTCTCCCAGCCATTTTCGCCGTCGATGCACCACGCGCCCGATAGCCCGACGACCACTCTGATTGGGACGCTGCGCTCCCAGCTCGAGATGTACGCGCAGCAGACGGAGCAGCTCAACGCCAAGCTCGTCGCGTCCATTTCCAAGCACGCCGACCTGGAGGACACGATATTCGCTTTGCAGACGGACAAGGACCACCTGACACGCGACAACGGCGAGCTCGCGCGAGCAAAAGCCCAGTGGGAGGAGAGCATGAACACGGGCCTGCTGGTCGAGCGCTCTCAGATCCGTGACGAGATGCAGCGGTTGGCTGCGGGACTGGTCGAGGAGGAACGGAGGCGCGGCACGGCTGAAGAGAAGCGCCGGCAGGTCGAGGACGAGGTCGACGAGCTGTCGGCTACCTTGTTTGATCAGGTTAAGCCGATTCTCCGAGCCCGCTGACGACAGGCCAACACCATGGTCGCTACAGAACGCATGGCGCGCGCCCAGGCCGAACAACGCCTCAAGGACACAGAGGAAAGTCTGGCCGCCGCTGAGGCCGCAGTTCGCGACATGCAGGCGCACATGCAGAGCCTGACAACCATCGCCAGCTCTGGCCCCTCTGCGCCCCTTATCCCCAGGCGCTATCTTTGCAGCCACCCTCCGTACGCCGAGTTTAGAACCCTCCTCACACACCTGCGCGCTGCGCGGCCTTCGGCACTCTCGCGCAAGCGTCCAGACGTGCGCGAACTCTACCCCGCACCACTGGTCGCGTCGCTTGTGCAGCAGCCGTTCATCGCGCGTTGCATCGCCGAGGACTACGACCCGACTCTACGCCTCGAGCAGGCGGCCGACCTCGGATGGGTGTCGCGCCGCAGCGTCAGCTCCGCGATCCTCTCCGGTGACCTCCTGATCGAGCCCGTGGGCAGCGCGGCCCTGGGCCCTCCCGAGAGCTTGAGCTGCGCGCTGTGCGGCCGCGCCGTCTTCGGGGGTGGCGCCGCCAACAAGGGCCTGATGAAGTACTTCTCGACCACCAGCGGGCCTGGCGCAAGCACACACCTGTCGAGCAACATCTACGTGTTCCGCGTCGCGACGCAGGAGGACGCAAAGTCCTACCCGCTGTGTAAGAACGGATGGTGTCTTGAGCGTCTGCGCGCCGCCTGCGCCCTCTGGCACTTTGTGCGCACCGGCATCGTGCACCCCGTCTGGTTCGGCGAGGACGACTACGTGCCCGCAACCCCGCAGACCGCGAGCACAGCGGGCGACACGGACGACGGGACGCCGGTGCGGATAGACCTGAACCGGACGCCGCCCGATGCCGACAAGCTCACCATCTCGCCCGCGCCCGTGCCGGGCCAGCGGTCCGCGAGCGCACCCATCGCCGCGCCCATAGCCATAACCGTCGAGAACCTCGCGTCGGCCGAGTACCGCCGTCCGCCCCCACCGCCTCCGCAGAGAAAGTCGGGCTGGGGTCTTGGCTCCTTCGGTCTCGGTAGCGGCGGCAAGAGCTCGGGCGGGTGGACGAGCTGGGGCTCGCGGCCGAGCACCCCGGCCTCGCCTGCCGCGCCGACCATGCCTGAGCAGCGCTCAGTGAGCGCAGGTGTGCTTGGTGCGGCGATAAGCCTGGAGGGGGAAAAGGGCAGGCCAGAGGAGAAGAAGGATGCGCCGGTTGCGGAGAAGGCAGAAGTTGTGGAGAAGATCGAGGTCGCAACGGAGAAGCCGCCAGTCGTAGAGGCGACGGATGAGAAGCCGACAGTGATGGACGAAAAGACGGAAGAAGTCGACGAGAAGACACTTTCCGCTGCGGAGGAGAAGCTCGCGGTGCCAGAGTCCGTAGAGCCGGTGACATCCTCTCCCACCTCGCCCGTCAAGCGCTCTGACTCGCGGACATCGCATAGATCGCACGCCAGCACCGACCATTCGTTCGCCACGCCGACGGGCGACAACGCGTCTTTGCCTGACCTCAATGGCGAGAAGGCTGAGGTTCCGACAGCTAGCCCCTCTTCGCCACGCAAAGCCCCCGATCTCGAAATCAAGACCGAGGTGCCGAGCTCGCCGGTCAAGTCGGCTCCGGGCTCGCCGTCAAAATCCGCCCCCGGGTCGCCGTCCAAGTCGGCCTCCCCGTCGAAGCCTGGCACACCTGTCAACGGCGTCAACACCTCGCCCACTAGGCCCACACGCGCGGCTGGGCGCCAGCCTCCACCTCCGCCCCTGCCAAAACGCTCTGAACGCCGCGGCCTCGGCACGCCAACGCCGCCGATCACCCCGACTGCACCAACAGCGCCGACAGCTTCCACCAACGTAAAGACGCCCACTGCGGACGCGGAGGCCCCCCCGGCGGACGTTGAGCCTGTCGCTCCAGGTGAGAAGGAGGTGTCGGAGGCAGCGGCGCCCGCCACGGAGGCCCCCGCCGCGGATGATACCCCACTTGTGGACACAGCCGCTTCTGCCGCTGCTCTCGCCCAGGCTCCCAGCACACCCGCGGCCCATGCGGCCGAGGACGCCGCGACCCCTACCGCCTCGGCGTCGCCGTCCCGCGTCCCGCCGCCGCGCCACCCACTCGCAATCATGCGCTCGCCCGTGACATCCCCGCGCTCTTCGTTCGACAACAATTCGCGCCCTACCCCGCGCGCCTCGATTGACAACTCGCGCTCAGCGCGCGGCTCGATAGACACTATGACCACGCGCCCCATTCCGCCGCCGCGCAAGGCGACGACTGAGCGCTCAGTCTCAACCTCGAGCATCACTGGCAGTCATGCGAGCCACGCGAGCCCAAGCCAGACCGTCCACTCGCCCGAACATGAGGGGAGCGACGGGCGCTCGTTCCTCACGGGTGAGGGCTGGGAAGCGCGGACGTGGCGCCAGGTCGTCCGCCTCAAGGAGGATATGTGGCGTGCGCGAGTGGGCGTGGTGGATGACGACGAGTAGGGTGTGGGCTGGTGCGTGCTAAGAGCAGGAGGGCGAGGGCAATCATGGTCAGGAACTGCAAGTAGCGAGTGGCAAAGGAGGAGGGGCAGGGGAGGGTGACCACATGTGCATGGCATAGACATGAATACACAGGATCTGGAGATGCATTAATCGTTTGTCTAGCTGCGCTGTTCCTCTGACCCACCTTACCTCTTACTGGGGACCGCAAGATCTTGCAAGGCTCACAACTCTAGCTCCTCTACGTTTCACGCCGCAACACTACACCTTCCGCGCAAGACCATACATTACACAACCATCTAGAAACGCCTCTACTTCTTCAGCACGTCCTTGACGTACTTATCCCACCCCATGTTCTCGAGCACGTCGGCCTTGTCCAACACCTCCTGCTCGAGAGCGTGCGCGTACGCCTCCGTGTCGCGCTGCCATGCCGGCACCGACGTGCCGAGGATACGCACGGCGAGGAGCGCAGCGTTAGTGCTGTTGTTGATGCCGACCGTGGCGACGGGGATACCCCGCGGCATCTGGATGATCGAGTACAAGCTGTCGACGCCGTCGAGCACCGACGCCTTGACAGGCACGCCGATGACGGGCACGCTCGTTTCACTCGCCACCATGCCTGGGAGGTGGGCGGCGCCGCCCGCACCAGCAATGATGGCGCGCAAGCCGCGCGACGCGGCCGAGCGCGCATACGCGACCATGCGGTCCGGCGTGCGGTGCGCCGACGTGATCGTCAGTTCGTACGGCACGCCGAACTTGTCGAGGATCTTGGTCGCGGGGAGCATGGTGGGGAGGTCCGAGTCCGAGCCCATGATGATGCCGACGAGCGGGGCGCCGTGGCTGTGCCCCGGCTCCGAGGCGGGCGCGACGGCGTCGATGAACGCCTTGTCGAGGTCGGGCTGTTGCGAGAGAAGGGTGCGGACGCGCGAGCGCACCTCGGCGTCGCTCGAGCCCGTGACGGTGATATGGCCCATCTTGCGCGCCTTGCGGCTCTCGGCCTTGCCGTAGAGATGCACGGTCGCGCCGGGAACCGCGAGGGCGTCGTCAGCCATCTGCTCGACGGGGCCCATGTTCGCGTCCACGCCAAGCACGTTGACCATGGCCGCGGCCGGGACGCGCAGCCCCGTGTCGCCGAGCGGGAGGGCGAGGATCGCGCGCAGGTGGTTCTCGAACTGGCTGGTGTGGCACGCCTCGATGGTGTGGTGTCCCGAGTTGTGCGGGCGCGGCGCGATCTCGTTCAGGAGCAAGCTGCCATCGGGGAGGAGGAACATTTCGACGCCGAAGATGCCCGCGCCGTCGAGCGTGGCGACGGCGCGCTCGGCGAGCTGGCGCGCACGCTCGTTGACACCGCGCATCGCCGCGCCGTCAGCGCGCAGCGGGGCAGAGCACACGCGCAGGATGCTGTCGCGGTGCACCGTCTCGACGGCGTCGTACGAACGCACTTCGCCCGCGACGTTGCGCACCACCATAACCGCGACCTCCTTGACGAAGGGCGCCCAGCCTTCGGCGTACAGCGGCCTGTCGCCGAGGAACGCGAGGGCCTCGGCAATCGCCGCGTCGTCTGTGCTCTTCAGCGGCGCGTTGCCGCGCCCGTCGTACGCCAACGTCCGCGCCTTGATCATCATCGGCAGGCCGAGCTTGCTCGCGAGCGCCTTGACGTCCGCGGCGGACGGGTTGGGCAGCGCCTGGAACGGCGCGACGGGGATGCCGGCCGCAGCGAGATGCGCCTTCTGCAGGTACTTGTCCTGGATGAGGCGGATGGTGCCGGGGGAAGGCTGGACATCGCAGAGACCCTCAGCGACAACGGCGGCGAGCACGTCTGCGTTGACGTGCTCAATCTCGACGGTGAGGACGTCGCATGCCTTCGCAAGAGCACGGATGTGCTCCTCGCTCGTGAAGGCGCCGTCGGGGTGTGCCACGCCCTCTGGCGCAAGCAGCGTCTGCTTCGCCGGCGTGAACTCGCCCTTGTCAAGAATCAAAAGAGGGATGCCCATCAGCGCAGCCGGGTGCGTCAGCATGCGGCCGAGCTGGCCGCCGCCTGGAGTCAGTGGTGCGCATGGCTATGTGGTGGCCGGGCGAAGAGCATACATCGTGCACGTGGAGCGCCGTTTCCTCAACACAGACAAGTAGCACGCTCATCTTGTAACGCCCCGTCCCGGCTCTGCACACCACGGGCCGCTACTCACCCAGAATGCCGACCGTCTTCTTGGGAGCCATGGTTTGTGTTTGTGCAGAGTAGTCAGTCGCAATCTTCGACCATGCATGAACTCATACCTCCACAACTTTTCCGCACGTGGGAATTGCTCCCGTCCTCCATTCCTCCACTCCACCGCTCTTTCCGGATCTCAGAGTAGGCATACTGAGGTGCTGAGCAAGTATAGGAAGCCTGCTGGTGCACATACACTCATGTATGCTGCCCGCAGACGTCTCCCGCGGAACTACTACCCGCGACTGCCGCAGGAAGTCGGTATTGTAGTATGCCGATCGGGAATTGCGGGGCAACTCAAACAGGCTCAGCGTGAGCGTGTCGCACCATTTACTCACAGTTGCATCTGCTGCGCGCTCTCGGCCTCGCCTATCTTATCACTATCGATCTCAACGACCAGATGTTGTAAGTCAAGGGCGCATATCGCTCCAACGCTCCATGATACACCACTCTTCGACTGCGGTATTGCTAGATAACCACGTCCAGGCACAATCCAAGCTCACTCACACCTCGATTCCAGCCTTGCACCTCATTCTACAGCACTCAGCGACTTTCAACCCTCTCTCCACTGTACGGGTGAACCATTCCTACCCACGTCTACTCGCCACGAATCGATGTAGGTCCAGTAATCGGACTTCAGGTGACAGGGCCTTAAACTGTCTCTCGCGCGAATCACCACAGTCGCTGAGCGCCGCACCGTCCGCCAAGCATCCTCGCAGTCCTCAGTCCCACTCCGCGTACCTTCTGTGGTTGCCGGGTCACATGATAACAGCTTGTTGGAAATCGCGAGCTTGTAAACATCGCTCTTACCTCAACGAGGTTGGATTGCTGGGGCTCAATGTGGTCGGCATGCCAGGTCCCACGAAGCTCTCATCTCCAAGCTCTGACGCCTCTGCTGCTGTAGCACCAGCGAGAAGCAGGACTGTATGTGCCTCAAGCTATGGTCGCTGGGAAGAGGGCATGACACCGGCTAGCTGAGCGGACCTCTTCGGGCGGGCCCTGTCGGCGACGCATCGCGGAACGCTTCGGGTCCCATCGGCATCACCATAGACTTTGCCTTCGCTGCCACCCCGCCCACCATGCAAGTTCCCCGCGCGAGTAGATGCCGATGAGAACGCCGTATCAGCTGACCTAGAGCAGAAGAAATCGATATTAACAGACCCCGATCAGCGCCCCACACGTACCCCGCCATGATCCGTCTAATCTGTGGAAATTGTCCAATCTGTGGAAATTGAGGTGGAAATGCTGATGCTTGGCTTGATAGACGTGTGGGGGTGATAGCCGACATCCAGGCGAAGTGTCATCGCCCGAACTGACTGTACCCACTGACGATGCCTCTCCGTATCGGAGGCGCCTCGGGCGAAGCAACTACTCGGCCTCTCTGACCTAAGGAACTATACTAGCGCAGGTGCGGATAGGAGGCACTATGTGCCCACAACCGGCCCGACTCGGAGAACGCGCAGCTAGGTCGCAAGATGGCGGATAGGGCAGACCAGCCTCCAGGCCAGATAGTGCGTATCGGAGCAGCCTCAGTGCGACGAACCACTATATACTCATAAGGCGGCTCGAGTACATTCTAGCACTCCAGATACTATGGCCATCACTTACTACGACGACGAGAAGGCCTCCTCGAAGGAGGTACTGCCACACGACGGCGACATCCTCCAAGGCGACAAGGACAAGCACAACTACGTAGTCGAGGTCGCGCCGGTCGGCGAACATGTCACAGTTCACGACGCCGTCTTCGGCGAGGTCGGCGAAGAGGGGCCCAACTACCGCTCCGTGTCGTGGATGGGCGCTGCCGCACTCATGACCAAGGCGAACGTCGGCCTCGGCGTCCTCTCCATTCCAGAGGTGTTCAAGCAGGTCGGCCTGATCCCGGGCTTGATCCTCATCCTCGTGATCCAGGGCATCGCAACATGTGAGTGCCCTTGTTGGTGTTTGGACTGACGCCAGACGCTGACTACGTGATCTGCACGTTCAAGCTGAACCACCTCGAAGTGTTTGGCCTCGCCGACGCCGGCATGGTCATGTTTGGACGCGCAGGCAAGGAATTTCTTGCGATCACCTTCTGTCTGTACATGATCTTCGTGTCGGGCTCGGCCATGATTGCACTCTCGACAGCCCTCAACGCAATCAGCATGCACGGCGCGTGCACTGCAATCTTTGTCGCCGTTGCCGCAATCACCGGCTTTATTTTCTCCAGTATCCGCACCCTCGGCCAGATCATGTGGCTCGGCTGGGTCGGTTGTGTCTCGATCGTCGCTGCGCTCCTCATCCTCGTCATTGCCGTCGGAACGCAGGGTGCGCCCGTCGACCTGCCCCCCGGAGAGTCGGTGGTCATCAAGCTGTTTGGCACGCCCACTTTCGCCCGCGCGATGTCGTCCATCGCCTCGCTCGTGTTCGCGTGTGGTGGCGCGCCCACATTCTTCGGGATGATCAGCGAAATGCGCGACCCCCGCGAGTACCCCAAAGCCCTCTTCGCGTCACAAGGGTTTGTTACCGTCCTCTTCTGTGTCATCGGAGCCGTCACCTACGCTTTCTGCGGTGACTACGTTGCATCGCCGGCCCTGGGCTCCGCAGGTCCTCTCCTCAAGAAGGTGTGCTACGGCATTGCCATCCCCGCTCTTCTCCTTACCCTCATGATCTACTGCCACACCGCCGCCAAGTACATTATGGTCCGCCTGCTGCGTGGCACGCGCCACCTTACCGCTAACACGGCCACGCACTGGACCGTGTGGCTGTCCTCCGTCTTCGGTTGCATCTTCATCGCCTACATCCTGGCCGTGAGTGTCCCTGCCGTTTTCCACTGACAGTAGTCTTCGATCCCTGTCTTCGGCTCGCTCATCAGCTTTGTTGGTGCCCTCTTCTCGCCCATCATGGCGATGGGGCCATACTCCCTCATGTGGCTGTACGACAACTACCGCGACCCCATGGCCGACGGGCGCTTCTGGAAGGCGCGGGCAGGCCGCACCCTCCGCAACAAGCTGCTGACAGGCTACCACTTCCTGATCTGCCTCGTCACGATCTTCCTGACCGTTGGGGGCACGTATGGATCGATTGTGGACCTGATCGACGCCAGCAAGAGCGCACAGAACAAGCCGTGGACCTGTGCCGACAACTCAAACTCGGTCAAGCAGTAAGGAGGTGATAGGAACGGTCGGGGAGGCTCAGCTGTGGAGTGGGTTTAGCTTTGAATATTGTAGAGAGTTGTTTGGCAAGATGTATGATGCATCTCTTGATGGCACGCCGGCCGAATATACTGTAGATTGTGTCTAGATGTTGTGTAATAATGAAGGTTGCGAGGGAGTGACGAACTCATAGTCAGCCGTCTTATGCTGGCGGCAGGCTCGTCCGGTGGCCCAGCTGCAGCTCTGGGAGCGTAGGCGGTGCATCGAGTTTGTAGCCCTTTTGAGAATAAAGGCCGTCGGACTCGCGCCTCACGTCCTGCATCTCTATCCCGTCGGACACCGCTGTGTCCTTGCTCCCTTCTCGGGTGCGGAGGAGACCTGCGTTGCCCTCCTCCATCTCCTCGCGCTCGGCCTTCTCCGCGTCCATCTTAGCGAGCTCGTCGGGGTGCACGCCGCTGCGCGGCCCGGGCTTCTTGATCGCGCGCCAGAACAGCGGCCACTTGCCAGTAAACTGCAGCGAAGGGGGTATGATGAGGATGAACAGCGCAAAGCCGATCCAGCAGATGACGTCCCATCCGTTCTCAACGTTGTTGAGGATCTGGCCGCCAACAACGGCGCCGACAGCACTGCTCACGGCGAACGCAAGGTTCATGGCCGCAAATTCGTGGATCTCCGATATCCCCTCTCGGAACTTGGAGACGATGGCGACTTCGAGAGAGGCGACCGTGTTGAGTGCGGTCGCGACGGTATTCGCGCACGCAAAGTACACTACGAAGCCGGGTAGCGAGTTGGTGAGCGTCATGAGTGGGATCCAGGGCAAGCAGAACATGAGGATGGCGCCCACGACATACTCGGTGCCGATCTTGTCGCTGGCCCATCCCGCGAGCGGGCCGATAAAGAAGGACGGCACAGCGCCGGCCAGGTAGATCAAGCCAACAAAGTCGGCATCCTTGTTCCAAATGGTCTCGACACGAATTGCCATGGTGGCGTCGAACGCGCCAATCACAAATCCGAAGACGAAGAACTGGAAGAATGCCACAATTCCGCGCGGCAGCGATACGAGAGCCTTGAGCACGCCCCATGGGCTCAGCTCGACAACCTTCTTCTCTTCCTCTTCCTTTTCCTTAAGACCGGCGATCTGCTTCTCGGCCTCAGTTTTCGGCGCACCGCTCACGGTACGCTCGAGAGCCGCGACCTCCTCCGGGTGCCCCTCGGCAGCGAGAGCGCGGGCTGCGGCGGCTTGACGCGCACGCAGCTTCTTGATGTCCTTCACCTCGATAATGAATAGACGCGCTATCGTGTCGAGCGACAGGATGATGATTAGGAAGATGAACGGCGCGTGCCATCCCATGTGCTTGTACAGAGCACCACCGATGGGTGGGGCGATGGTGGCGCCAAGCGAGATGCCCGTGAACGCAAAGCCGAGGTGTGTACCCAAGTGTGCCGGGTCGATGTTTTCGCAAATGAGTGCAAAGCCGACTGAGCATTAGCAAACTGAATGTAATCGAGTCGGCTCCGAAGCCGGTACTTGACGACCAAGTTGACTCACCAGTCCACATGATACAACTTGAGAGACCCTGCACAAAGCGAGAGATGAACATGGCGGCAAAATGATCGGGGATCATGAAGGTAATACAGCTCGCGATCATGATGAGCACAGCGGCCACCAGCGGCCCTCGGCGTACAGGATACTTGTGGAAAAACCAGGCGGTGGGGAATGTGCCTACGAAGATGCCGGCCGAGTAGCCGAAGAGGAGCCAGGATGTGAGCGCGGCGATGTTGTCTAGCCCCATGTCCTGCAGCCGGTATGGCAGGATCGGCGCGACGATCGTGTAAGCGAGGATGTCGCTCATCACGCCGATCGTCACTACGGCCGTGAGGAAGTACGGGTGGCTCCGCCACTTGAGACCCCACGGGTCCTTGATGCCGTGTGCGACCTGGCAGGCCTGGTACGCGTTCGAGATCGTGCGCTTGATACTCGCACCAGCGCCGGTGCTGCCGCCTGTTGAGTGCGCCGGGCCAGAGATGACGGAGGGCGCCCGCTTGATCTCGGACCTAAAGTCGGGGGCAGCCGACAGGTGGCCAGGACTGTCGACGGACATCGCCGGTTTCTCAGAACGGGGGACAGATTGCTGCAGTGCGGTCGCTGGCGGATGCACGGGCGACCGTGGTGGGGAAGACATGGGTGGGCGCTCCTACGGGAGCGAGAATGATTAGAGTCGAGGTCACGGAGGGACGGTGGGGGAGAAGGAAAGTATCGGTCTGGCGGGCCGGGAAAAACAAAGTTGGTCTAGATGCCGACACGGCTGATGTGATGGCTGATGTGATGGGTGGAGAGTGATGAACAGAATGCTTGACTGACGGCGGAGCGTGTCTCGGCGGTAACACACACTTGCAGTCGCAACTGCAGGAGTGGGGAGAAGGGTAATGACAGCCCCAGATGCATGCTTGCAGTACTTACGAAAGTCAGACCGCAGTAGGAAGCAGGGAGCGTTGACGGAGACGGAGTTCCACGCCCGGGTGGGCGCGCTTGACGCCCAAGCCATGGACAAGCGCAATAAGGGGAATTAGAGTGTCGGATAACCAAATTCGCAGGGCGGGTCATAGTCGAGAGTCGCCAAGGCAAACGAGGCGGGGGGGGCTTTGTCATATTTTGCGGAGACGGGCTCACCATCTCCATTCTTCGGGGTCCAAAAGCCCAGGCACAGCCGAAATCACACTGAGGGCGCGGATGGGTTTCCACGACCGTGCACTCTGTGACGGCAGTGGCTGCCTGAGCGATCGCAGGCCTGTGTGTATCCTGTGTACAAAATGTACAGCAGCGTAGCATTGAGTTTTGTGGACCAATAAGAGCCGTGTTTCCTGTGCTCATGGTCGAAGCGCACTTAGCGCTGTGCAGAGCCTACTCCCACCGCCCCTCCGAAATCCGGCGGAATGTATACTGCAAGGAACTGGATATCGAAACGTCCTCTGGAAGTTCTAATGCTTCGCAGAATGGATCGCCAAACCTCAGCAATATTTCGTGAAGGGAAATCGGCTTACGGCAGGGCGCGAGGCACTGCACAGAAGATCGTAATGAGCGTACCTGGCCCCCTGTCAAGTTACGCTCAGAACCCGGCGACATCTCGACCACCTCGGAGGTCTCAAGGTTGCCTACATGCATGGGTGCGTTCCCCTTATAGCTGCAGCATTCCCATGAGCTCTAGCGGCCCTTCTCGTATGTGACATTCGGATCAGCTACCGACTGCCTGTGTCATGTCGATCGGCATTTGCAGATGTGTGATCCATGCGACCACCTTGGCTTCATTCATTCCGATGTAGTGCGTTGCCGATATGGACCCGAATGCCTCGCGATGCGTTCAGCTGGTTTGGACGCGCGCCCTTTAAGGACACGTTGGGTGTCTGCGGATGCTTCAAACGAGACGCTCGCCAGATGACCACGTGAGAGCGTCGTGGGAATGCTCGCCTGAAGTGTGCAGCAAGTGGGGACAGAATCGCTTGCGAAAGACAAGCCACGACAACAACAGATGCATTGTAGATAGAGGAGTTTGTGTCTGTGACAGCAACAGGATCATGACACCAGTCGCCTTCCGGCGCACGCGAGATCCGCTTTCACAACCGCCTGGGGACGGCGGTTGGAGCGGATGCGGGTCACGATGTATGGGTGGTGCCACTGCAACCTGCCTCCCAGTTGAGCGCTAACTTCCACGAGCTGCATGCATACAACGTACGTCCATAATTCACGGTTGAAGGGGTAGGCCACGGCCTGATCAAGCAGCATGGGGCAAGACTGCCGTCGCCCCCTCGCATCCTAGGGATCGGCACTGCGACACATAACAGCCGCCCCCATTCAGAAAGCTCGTTTCATGGCGGCGTGCGGTGCAGTCTACACAGCCATGCCTCGAAGCTTCATAGATACTTTCTCGATGTCTACGTCCGTGTCGTCGCCGAAGCTATGCGCTCCCAATGCATGGTGAAGTGAGCTGTCAAAAGAGCAGCCAGAGAACGATTCTACTTAGGTAAAACAGACAATAGACAGTCCATGGTATCACCTCAATCGTGGCAATGATGTTTCCTCGAACTGCCTCACACGGTTTTGCCAGGTGATTACTGGATAGCAAACCGTATGCACGTTTTCCTGAGTCGTTGATCCTACAGCCGCATATCTTTTTCTGTTGACATCAGCCGGCCCCCCTGCGCGCGAGCAGGCTTGCACGAGCGGAAGTGGAGAGCGAGGGTGGAGGTTGGGGTGGGGAAGGCACGTGAGAGACATCAGCGCACAGAGAGGAGGAGTGCTCACACGAAGTGAAACAAGAAGGGTGGGTTAGCGCAAGCGGAACAGAATATCTCAGACAACGTCGCTCGCCTCCGGCACATCGAGTTCCGCTTCGGCCGCTCATGGCCCCGTGCATGTCCTAACAGTCCGAAAAAGAAGCCAGAGCATTCCCGGATGGCTAAGGCCTTTGTGGGTGTAGCTGGTTGAAAGGCGTTGAACGCTTAGACTTTACCGAGTAAGTCGCGGGGTCTCTTCATGCATAGGCGGCTCCCTTCGTTATGACCGCAGAATGAGGCGAGGCTGTCGCAGATGCAACCCAAGCACCAAAGCAACATTCTGAACGGCCTGGGCGCCGGTGTTCCTGTCAGCAATCCGGCCTTATCGATCGCCTGATAGCACAATTCTGTCAAAGCATCAGCAGGTAGGAACGCAACGAAATCATATATCCTGGGTCACCACAAAACGCACTCCACGGCATCGATCAGAAAAGCCCTAGAAGCCTAAGATCCGCGCAGCAAGGCCAGTTTCCAGTGTCAAATAATACTCGACCGCCCCGACAACGTCGCGAACCTAGGCCACTTCATGCACGAGGTCACTTGCTTCGAGATCACCTCTACCTGCGCTGACAAGGCTGTGGAGAGCGTACCTGGGACCATCCGTACTGGGCAAGTGCATCCAGGCTGCCGCCTTCAGGCCAGATGAGGCGCGGCGCCTGCCCAGTTGAATCGCGCCCGGTCAATCTCAGGAGCCAGGCTTTCTCAGAAACAAACAGGAGAGTGGATCTGCACTTTGCCGGACATTCGCATGTTACAGGGTGGCTAGGATAGGCGGTGCCACTTATTACAAACAGCCGTGCTGCCTTTGCATTATTATCTTGGCCGGCGTGCAATGACATTTGAAGGCGACAGCAGGCATGGCATCAGCAGTCGCGAGATGTAACCGAGATTGTGGCCCGGATCCATGTACCCGCCTCAGCCCCCCAGAGTGGCAAATGCACCCGCTGAGCCTGGCATATCTGGCCCTGGGTGGCAAATGCTTGATATCACGCCGCCACCGAGCGCCCAGCGCGTTTATAGTCGAATCAACAGCGTTCATCACCAGGTGCGTGCATCCGCAACGCACTCTCACGCGCGTTATCGACGTGGTCAGAGCGCAGGACGCCGGAGAGGATGAGCAGAGCGCGATTTCACTAACGACTGAGGTGGAGACGGAATTCGAAAATGCAGTCACCTTGGCGTCACCGCCAAGTGCCTCCACCGTACAACCACCCCGGCTGGCTCCGCACGCCTCCAGCTGCAGGGTGAGACGGGACGCCGACCATCTCCGATACTCACCCGCTCGATCGCGTCCATCCTCGTCGTGCTCCATCCTCTCCACTCGGTCTTCATCATCATTTATCTGCTCGGTTGCTCGTCTGCTAGCCTCGTGTTTTAATTCCCTCACGTCAAGCACTGTATCATACGTCTACAGCATCATATCGCCACGCCTGCGCCATTATATCGTCCACACACCTTAGAGCCCGCCAAGACCTAGATACGCAACCACATCTGCTCCGCAAACCTTGTTACCAACTGCGCGCAATCCTTCGCTCAAGCACCCACCGCCATCTCCATCAACTGGGACTCACACATTCACCGCAAGCCAGACGTCGCGCTCAACCCCCTCGCGCTGTCCTGGCCCATGTCCCCCATCCTGAAGCGCGACGTGGCCGAAACCGTGCGTCAGGCGCGCCGCCTCGCAGCAGCAGCAGGGCTCAAGGAGTACGACGAGTACGAGTACGAGCTGAACGCGACGGGCGCATCGCGTCCGTCCAACACGGACGAGTGGGATTGGGAAGAAAGAAATAGCGCCGACAAGCACGAGCGCCGTGCTTCCGTGTCGAGCGTCTCGCACGGGATCACATCCCCCGTCCTCTCACTCACCACTACAAGGCCGGACACGTCAATAGCACCACAAGACGACGCCATGCGGGAAGAAAGGGGACGCCGGGCCAGCCTGTCGTCTGCGCACCCGTTCGCAAGACCCAGCGCGAGCTTCGAGGCCGAGCGCGATAGCATTGAGATGGCCGAGATTGCCGAGGAGGGCCGTTTGCTCGGCGGTGACGACTTGGGAATGGATGGAATAGGCAAGTGGGCCGATCTGCGTGGGTTGTTGTTCTCGGTGAGTGGTCGTGTGACTGTCGCAGCTTTCCTTCCTCTCTGAGACCCAGCTTACCCCAGTCAACGCCCTCGCTGCTCTTCTCTCTTGTTGGCTTGGTCTTCTGCGGCCAGCTGCTGGAACATTGCGCGCGTTGGCGCGTGTTCCGTCGTGTTGACGAGCTCTTCATCCTCGTCCCCATGATAGGCAACCTCAAGGGCAACCTTGAGATGTGTCTATCTGCGCGGTTGGGCACCTCTGCGACTCTTGGCGAGCTCGACACCCGCCGCGTTCGACGCTCCCTCATCACCGCCAACCTCACTTTGTTGGGCCTGCAGGCACTCCTTATTTCGTCACTCGCAGCCCTGCTCTCCTTCCTCCTGGGTCTTGTCACGACTCATCGTCTCGGTGATGTGCCAGCCAACGGCGCCCCGGTACCCGGCACCGTCGCCGACCCGAGCATCGATGACCCTTGGCGGGAGGGATACACGCGGCCCGGGCCAGCGCAGCTCGTCATGGTTCTCGCGACGGGCATGGCGGCTGCAGGCATCTCTGCACTCGTCCTAGGCTGCTTCATGTGCGCGCTGATCGTCCTATGCCGCTGGGTCAACGTGGACCCGGACAACATCACCCCACCCATCGCTGCCTGCCTCGGGGACCTCCTCACCCTCTTCATTCTCGCGCTGGCTGGCACGCTGCTCGTCGGCGCGATGGACACGCCCGTGCCCCTGATCAGCGTGATCATCATGGGCATCGCCGCGCTGTGGTTCACTCGCCGCGTCATGCGCGACACGTGGGTCAAGGACATAGCGCGCGGCTCCTGGATCCCGCTTATCAGCGCCATGCTTATCTCGAGCGGCACGGGCATGGTCCTCGAGTCCGGCGTGGGCAAGTACCGTGGCTTTGCTCTGCTCGCCATCTCCATGACGGGCCTAACGGGCGCAATCGGGGCGATCCACGCGAATCGCCTGAGCACGCAGCTGCACAGACGTCTGCACCCCGGCTCGGGGGGCGGGGGTGGGCACTCGCAGCGGAGCCACACGGGCGTCGTGGGTCGCCTGCAGGCGGCTTACGACGGGCTCACGCCCACGCAGAGTATCGCCGTGCTCTTCGTGCTCTCCTTCCCATGCCAGGGCGCGTTCCTGCTCTTCGTAAACGCAACAGGCTGGATCGATGTCCACCTCGGCTGGGTGGGGTGGGTCGCGTACGCGCTCGGCGTGGCCTTCTCCCTCATCTGCGCACAGCTGTTCACCCTGTTCTGCTGGCACCGCAACCTAGATCCGGATAGCTATACGCTGCCGATCCACAGCGCCATCGTCGACTTCGTCGCGCAGCTCCTGCTGATGGTCGCTTACGAGGTGTGCAGAAGCCTCGGCGGCGACGTCATGGCCCCGCTGGCGCGCTAAAATTACACTAGAGTCCGAGCATTGTATAGTAGTGTACACTATATGCATGGCAGTAGAGCCTAGGTGCCGGAGGCACCGAATGACATGGCCGCGCGCACCTCCTTTGTCTCCGCGCTGGATGCGGCCGCAACGAGCGCCAGCACGATGCCGGCGTCGAGGCCCGTGACGGTCCACGCGATGTCTGCCCGGAAGTGGCGGAAGAGCTTGTCGCCGACGACGCGCACCGCCTCGCCCGGCGCAACGTCGAGGTCGACCCGCACACGCCTCACGCTAAGGGGATATACGAGGGGGCGGGCGCGCTCGCCCGCCCAGTCCTGCCTTTCCACCCGCAGTTGAATCCGCAGATCCTCCACGCCGGGCGGGAGCAGCGTGCCGGTGCCAACCCAGGCGCGGTCGCAGCGCGTGTCCGCACGTATTTCCGCACATACTTCGACGCAGCGCGCCGTGAAGGGGTGCAGGGAGGGGTAGGCTCCAGTGGGGGCAGGGAGGAGACGGAGGCGTGGCACGGCGCGCGCGAACACGCTCGAGAGCGCGCCGAACGGCAGCGTCCGGTTGCCGTACCATATGTCCCCACGGATGCTGACTGTGTGCGTGTACGCGAGGGTGGATTCGAGCCAGGAGACGTCGCCCGGCGCCAGGCGGAACAGCATGCCGGAGAACGACCGTTGTAGGAGCAACGCGGGATCGACAATTTGCGCGGCGACGCGGCGGGCGTGCGAAGTCGGAAGGCGGAGTGGGGTGGAGGAGGGAGAGGAGACGTGCCACTCCAGCCACCGTCCGGCCTCAGGCTGCGACACGATCAGGTGGTTACATAGGCTGCGGTCGATGGTGCGTTTGAGAGCGCGATTCAGGTGGCGGAGGGGGAGAAGGGCGTGAGTGTCGGACAAAGCAATGATCCGCTCAACTATGTGTGGGTGAGCCGAGTAGTCTAGTGGAGAGAGCATGTCAGTGCGGGGGAAAGAGATGTCAAGCATCGCAGCATATATCATTCCGATGATCGCTATCAAAGATGCTGCGTCGGAACAAGCGACCGAACTGTCACCCGATTGCGCCGGCCGATTAGTAGCCGAACAGGAAATCTCGGCATCCTCTCACAATACACACCAGCGTGTATTCATAGAACTCTAATCACATCCGCGACTTTGTGTGCTCGAGGAAATCTTGGATGGAACGCATCGACTGCGCCAGCATCTCGTCCTTGCCCTGGAACCGGATGCCCAAGATCTTCTCAGCCTTGGCCGTGTCAAAGCGCGTCGCCTCCGTCTCGAGGCCGGCGCGATATGCGGGGCCGGGGTTGCCGGGCGTGAGGTCCTTGCCGAGGCCGGCGGCGGCGAGTGCATAGTCGTTGCCGTACACGGCCTCCGAGGTGACGAGGAAGCGCTCGCCGCCCGCCGCTTCGGTCGTGAGTGCGCGCACGACGGCGTCCGCCACTGTTGTTAGCCCGGCTGAGCTGAGAAGGGACGCACCGTCTGTAGCAGAGACGCCGGGGAGCGCCTGCGCGCGCAGCTCGTCGTCAGTGTGCTTCGCGGTCATCCACGGGATGAGGACGCCGTTGGAGCCCTCCAGCCGTCCTTGGCTTGCCGCGTAGCCGAGTGGCTCGCCGTAGACCTTGCGTGAGCGCTAGAAAAGAAGGGGGGACATACGAGGGCACAGTTGAGCGCGACGCCGTCAAAGTTGCGCTTCTCTTTGAAGCAGTCCCAGAACACACGCTCGGCGACCGCCTTGCTCGCGACGTACTTGAGGAAAGGGGGCGCGGCCGCGCCGAGCTTCTCGCACAGCGCAGGCGCCTCGTCGTTCCAGTCTGTATCAGCGCGGCCGAGGGGGGAGCTCACCTGCCTCACTGAGGACGCCGCCGCCCTTGATAAAGGAGGTGCTGACGGCCGCGATGGAAGAGATCTGCACGACGCGCTTCACGTCCTTCACGGAGGACATGAGCTCGGTGACGTTCTTGACGGCTGGCTCGATGACAAGGTTTGGGTGTCCAGTGTTCTGGGTGTCGAGCGGCGAGGCGGCGTGCACTACGCCGGCTACGCCGACGACGGCTGCGTCGTATGCGCCGGGCTGGGGTTAGATGGTGGTGACATGAGGAGGGGGAGGAGGGGTCCGTTGTGCTATGTTCCACCTACCGCTGCTCCGTCGGGCACGATGGCCACCTCGATCCCCTTGAATGCCGACGTAAGATACGCGGCCTTGGTGTCGTCGCGCGCGGTCGCGCGCACCCTAAACCCTGCGGCGAGGAGGGCGCGGACGATGTGCCTGCATCAGCTACATGGCGGAGGAGACGTACCCGCCCAAGAAGCCGGAGGCGCCGGTGACAAGGATGAGTGCTGGCGGCTGGACGGCTGGCATGTTGATGTTGGTCGGAGATGTGAAGGTGAGGATGACAGCACAGGCGGATTAAGTATGCATGTTGACAAGTGCAAGTGATAAGCGAGAAACGTCACCTCGGCCTCATCCGCCGGCCGAGGTCGCCGGCAGGCCCGGCACGCCAAGCCGTCGGGCGTACTTGTGATGGCGACCAACGTCGAGGAGCGAAGTGATGCGGGACGATGCGGCGAGGGCTGACAAATGCATGGACCGTCGGGCATCGCCATTATCACCCTCGTCAGCGTCGGTGCGGACAGTCGTCTGGCTCTTGCAATGTCGACGTCGAGAGCCTTTTGGTAGCCGGAAATCTCGGCATCCATTCTTCGACTACGGGATCTACCCAGTTCCATCGTTTACATCCCTACTTGGTCAGGAAAGGCTTGATGGCACGCATCGCGTCCGCCAGCACAACGTCCTTGTGCTTGTACGTGATGCCGAGCACGCGCTGAGCCTTGCCCGTGTCGCACGTGACGGCCTGCTCGCCCAGCCCGGTGCGGTACGCGTCGTCGGTGTGGCCGGGCGTGAGGTTGGGGTTGTCGAGTACCGCCGCGGCCTGCGTCAGCACGCTCGCGCAAAACGCACAATCGCATAGTCGTTGAAGTACACGGGCCCCGAGGAGACAAGGAAGCGCCCGCTCGCCTCGGGCACCGTGAGGGCGCGCACGACGGTGGCTGCGACCTCATCAGCGCCGACGCACGGCGCCGTCTGTGCGCGCAGCTCGGCCTCGGTGTGCGTGCTCGTCATGTAGGGCAGGAGGAGGGCTGTGTGAGCACTCCAAGAGGGGGACGTACCGTTCGAGCCCTCGAGGCGGCCCTTGCTCGCCGCATAGCCGAGCGGCTCGCCGAAAATCTGGTCAGCGTGTACGTGACAAAGCTCACAAGTGCGCAATCGAGGGCGATGCCGTCGAACGCACGCGGCTTCTCGAAAAACTGCCAGAACGCGCGCTCCGCCACAGCCTTGCTCGCGATATACTTGATGAACGGATGGGTGGCGGCGCCCTGCGCCGCGCAGATCGCCGGCGCCTCGTCGTTCCACGCTCCCGTCAGCCGTGCTGCGTCCCGACTCACCGTCCTCCGTGAGCGTAACGCGGCCCTCGGCCCAGTTCGAGTTGGTCACGGCCGCAAGGGAGCTGGTTTAGCACATCCGGAAGGGGCGTACCTAATCTGCACGACGCGCTGTACCGTCGACGTGGCGCAGGACGCAAGGAGGCTGATTGTGCCGTTCTTGGCGGGGAGGATGACGAGGTCCGGGTCGCCCGTGTTCGTGACGTCGAGGGGCGAGGCGGCGTGCACGACGCCAGCGACGCCCTTGACGGCCACATCGTATGCGCCCGGCTACAGTCAGTGGGTACGAAAAGGGGCTTACGGCCGCGCCGTCGGGCACGATGGCGACGTCGATGCCGAACGTGTTGGTCAGGTACGCGGCCTTGACTTCGTCACGGGCGGTGCCGCGCACAGTGAAGCCGGCCGCGAGAAGCGCCTTGATGATGTGTCTTTGTTAGCTCGCTCACGGGGCACGTACGGGCCCAGGAAGCCCGAAGCGCCGGTGACGAGGATGAGGGCGGGAGGTGTGAGGGCGGGCATGTTAGTGATTGGAGAGGACGAGAGTAGGGAGGTTTCAAGAGATTGGGAGTATATGTATGCATGCGAGCAAGACGGTGTGAACATCAGCCGCCGAAGAGTCAGTTTCATCGACGCCTCCCCGAGGCAGACGCCAGCCCGAGGCACACGGCGATTGTCTTGTCGAGGGTCGGGGTAGATCATGCGTCGGTGGGAACAGCCAAGCGTGCATCAGACTTGGAACGCAACGCAACGCCGCTTAGGCCGCGATGGACGGTATGGAAGCAGTGACATAACTCGCCGGAGCCATATTGTGTGTGGTATGAGCGCCAGCGGCATGCAGTGGCATGCATGTCATGTGGCGTCGTCGTCTGGTCGCCTTGGCGATGCGGCCGCAACGCAACTTGTAGAAGCAGGAGGCGAGTGATCATGCGCCCGCGCACCGCACGCCCCCCGCGCAGCCGCGAAGCACTGAGGTCTGCGCTCGCCGCTTTGGCTTCGCACACTCACCATGCCCGCGCTCGACCCCGGCGACCTCGTGCTGCTGACGGACGCCTCCGGCGTCACTGGCGCACACATTGTCTCTGCCCTCGCCTCGTACGGCTTCCGCGTGCGTGTTGCCAGCGCGTCTCCTGACATTCCCGACCTGCCTTCCAGCGTGGAAGTCGCCCCCGTCGGCGACTGGACGGTTGTGCGTCTCCCTTCATCCTAGCTAACCTAGGCGGGCGCGTATCGCGCGGCCACGACCGACGTGGACGGCATCGTCCTGCCGCTCGGCGCCACGGCCTTCGCCGAGAGCCAGGTACGCGCGCTCCTCTCGACGCTGCCTGCGCGACTGAAGCGTATCGTGGCAATTTCGTCGACAGGCGCCATCTCCACCGCGGCGGGCACACACTCGTCCGACGAGTGGAACACGGCGGCGCTTGAGGTGCACGAGTGGAACGAGGCGCTCAAGGGGGTAGACACGCAGATCGCGCAGCTCGGTGGGTGTCGCGAGGTCGGTGCTGACGTGCGCAGCGGCGGTGACGCGCGCCGAGCACGTGTTCTGGGACCACTTTCGTGAACGGCGCCGGTACGATCCCGTCTCGTTGGCGACAGGCGAGCCGCTCGGCCCCGGGCTGCCCGGCGAGCTCGAGCGGTGGATGCGCCCCTGTCCGGAGGATATCGAGACGCCTTACGGTAACGTGCTGGATGTCCGTGACCTCGCGGCGTATGTTGTGCGGGCGCTTGCAATCGAAGAGGCGGGCGGGGAGCGTGTGGTGCTCTCCGCCGGGCCGCTGTTTGGCAACGACATGGCTCTAGTGAGTTGTGAGACTGAATGGGTGCAGGCGCGACGTCAGTATGTGAGAGAAGCTGGCTGGGGTGAGGGGAGGAATGAGGGCGGGTCAGAACGGCGTGGACAGACAGTCATCGATTGACACCAGGCCGTTCACCGCTTTCTCAAGCATCCATCGCTGCAGCGCGGCAACCCCGACCCGGACTACCGCGCGGCGCTGGCTGAGCGTGCATGCGCTTTCGAGTGTCGCAACGTGCTCCGCCGCGATATGCGCTCGCTGGACGTGACCCTCGCGGACGCGGTACGCAGCATTATCCAGCGACAGCATCATGCGAAACGGCAGCAGCGCGCGATGACAGTGGGGTGGTAAGGGGGTGGGGCGGGGAGGAGGGGAGGAGGGGAGGAGAGTGGTGTTCCTAGTGAGCGGATATGAGCGATGAGCGATGAGCGATGGAGAAGTGCAGGTTGGCTCGGAGAGACTCCCCCAGACGTTGCGACGCGCCTGTTCTTGTCTTGTGGGGAGGAGGGGGAAAGAGAGGTTGTGGGGCTCACTCATTTTGTAATGGCATTTGAACGGCATTTGACGGAAGGCCTCGGACCTGATCGCCCGACCGCCCGAACCGAACCGCCGGCGGCTCGGTGAGCATTTTCTCCCGCCCAGGCCGTCGTCGCAACTTGCCACCCATCTGATCCATCTCGACATCATCTCCATATCATCTCCGTATCATCTTCATACATATCTTGCTCCCCTCCCTCCCCTCCTTACTCTACATCCCCTTCCGAGCATTATGAAGCCGACGTTCCTCGCCCGCGCCGGGCCATCCCTCACCCGCCCGCTCCGCCCAGCACTCCGTCCCCTCCTCCCCGCCATCTCTGCCGCCCCCGCATCCTCCGCTATCAGCCCCGTGATCCGACCACGGACACAGCCCGTGCAGCAGGCGCAGGCGCAGGCGCGCACCTTCTTCTCCCTCCCGGACATTACCAAGCTGGCCAACCTTGTGCCGGGGGCCGAGATCGAGACCTCGGGCGACGACCAGCGGTTCCATGCGCGCAAGATCCTCCCGTGAGTCAGCGTGCCGTGAGAGGGAGTGTGGCGGTTGGGAGGAGGATAGCATTGAGTGGCGATAGTAGTGTCAAGCATCGTATGCCCGAGGTAGGCATACGTTGCCATTGACTTGCCCGTGTCGATCACGCTCGCGATCGCCGCATTGCTCTCGCAGGCAAGCCTTTCCCTCTACCGCTCTACTCCTTCCTGTCGTCTCTCCCTTTTCGCAACAGCCACCCCCTTTACCCGCGTTCCGCACACGCTCCGTTCATCCGCTGACCCCAGTTACTCCCCGGCGCAGCTGTATGAGCTCGTTTCCGACGTGCCTGCCTACGTCGACTTCATCCCCTTCTGCACCGCGTCCACCGTCCTCGACGCCCAGGGATATCCGACATCATGGAAGCCCGGACCTGAGCCGTTTGTTGTCGACGCCGAGCTGGCCGTCGGGTTCGGCGGGCTCGAGGAGAGATATGTCTCGCGCGTGGTGGGGACACCATTTGAGAGTGTTTCGGTGAGTGTGCCTGAACCCGAGGAGAGCGAGAGCAGCGAGCGTCACAGCGCAGCGGCAGAGCGCACTGAGGACCGGTCGAGGCGATGAGCTGGAGACGGCAGAGAGGGTGGCCACGGCTACCCCACCAGTCGCAGTGACCGCGGCACTGTCAGCCGAGTGGGGTATGATCGTAATGTTGTGGGCATGCCTTTACCGACCTGCACATTCCCCTCGGCCTCCCGCTGACTGCAGGCAACGGCATCCAAGCGCACCCCGCTTTTCAAGAACCTCGTGACGACCTGGTCTTTCGCGCCAGCCGGCGCCGGCGGCCCCACCGCCTCTTCCACCCTCCTCACCATCGACCTGACCTTCTCCTTCGCCAACCCGCTGCACCGCATCGCGAGCCAGGCCGTCCTCCCCAAGGTGGCAGACAAGATGGTCGAGGCGTTCGAGACGCGCGCAGGCGAGGTGTACGGCACCAGGTGATAGTGTATTATTCAAAAAGGGCTTGCGGGTACGCATATGCATACGTTGTTACTACATGGCCAAGACGCTACAACTACTCGTCGACCTTGCCCTTCTTCCCAAAGCCCATCTTCCAGCCAGAGCTCGTCGTGCGCGACAGTTTGCCGAGACCGGTACGGTCGCTCAGCTTGCGGCCCAGAGACGTGCCGCCGCCGTACCCATTCGATGTCGACATGCCGCTCACGCGATCTGCGCGCGCTGACGACGCGTTGCGCCCCAGGTTGCTGTGGCTTGGCATGGCCGACGGGGGCGCGCTGGCGGGGCCGGGCGGAGAAGAGCGGCCTGTCCCGGACGACGGGGCAGCGCTCGTCGCTGACTGAGATGACATCATCGACGAGCTCAGGTCGTGGTTGTGATGCGCAGCATGCTCGACAGCATTGTCGTGGTGCATGCTGCTCGTGCTCGTGCTGTCCGTCCCGAGCGTGCCGAGCGTCGTGGCTGTGCCTTGCCGCTGCAGCGGCTGGCGGTGGGCCGGGTCGTCCTTGCGTTTGAGAATGGACCAGCGGTTCGCCTTGTCGCCCGCCGGGCGCGACATCGACGGCTCTCTGCGTCGCGCAGGCGAATTGTGCTCCATGAACGCCGAGGCAAGGAAGTTTGTCGAAGACGACGGCTCCCTCCGCATGCTCCCGTTCGGCGTGCCAGACGACGACGGGTTGGAGGGCGTCGACGGGTGCGACGAGGCAGGGGCAGCCGCGGCAACCTGCACGGTGGGCACAGCCACCGGCACAACAGGGGCCGCGGGCATCGCTGGGGTAGTGGGCGCCGCCGGCGAGGGCAGGTGAACTGAGGCAGCGTTCGCAGCCGGGCTCGCGGGCGCGGTAGCCACCGGCGTAGCTGAGACCTCAGCGACGGGGGCCAGCACCTTCTTCGCTTCTTCGACGAGTTGCATGGGCAACTGTGGGCGGACCTTTGGTTGAGGAAGCTTCTTGAGGCCCAGGGACAAGAGGTCGAGCTCAGCCGCTTGGTAGAAGAGCACGTAACCTGCTCCGGTGATGTTGTCACCGAAGTAGTTGGCGAGGTCGTCCACACTGATAGGCTCGATGTTTTCGTCGTCGCACATGACCCACCCGCCATCCTCGGACCGGACAACAGTCACGTAGTGGCCGTGAGTGGGGCCGCTAACCCGTCAGCGTTCATTCCTGGGGTCTGCACCACAGACGTACTTTCCAATGTGGACAACAACCGCGAAGAGCTCATACAGCCTCTCGGCCTTTTCCGTGTCCTCGGTTGTGCACGGCACTCGCAGGGACAGAGGGAAGGTGACTCGGTAGAAGAGCTTGTGCAACCGACCCATGTCGTCCTGGCGGAACCGCTTAAGGTGCAGGCCGAGGATGTTGGGCAAGCTCTTGATGCGCATGCGTCGCTCAGCCTCCACGAGACCGCAACAGGTCTCGCAGTAGAACTTGTTTGTGCTGCAGAGCATTTCCGAGTGCGAAAACTGGCGCAGACATGCTGTGAGCGACGAGTGCTGCTCAATGTCGATTGAGAGATCGAGGAACGATTCCTCGCGCGAACTGGTCGTCTCGCAATTGAGACACCGCGTCTCGTTGACGAGGACGCCGTGGAACAACGAGTGGATGAAAGTCATACCGCGCTCTTTGAAGTTGGTGACTTCTTGCCCACGCTCCTTGAGCTCCGAGTCAAGACGCTCCACCTCTTCGGCCAGCTGATTCAGCACGAAACCCAGGAACTCGTGGGCGTCCTGCTGCTGCTGCCCGCCGAACATGTTGTTATGCCGACGCGCGGTTCGCAACACATCCTCGGGTCGGACAACACCCCGGCCTAGAGTGCCCGCATGGTACGGTCCTCCACCGCGAGCACAAGAAGGAGGCGGCAATGATGCCAAGAGCGAGGGGCCCATGGGCTGACCATTCGGGCCGAGTTGTACTACAGTCGTCGCTGAGTTTGGTGAAGCGGCTCCGGCGGGTGAAGGCGATGCGCCGTTCGGCTGCGACGGGGGAGCAGTCTTCGGAACCGCTGGGTGATGCGGGAGGGATGTGCTCATGTGATGGAAGAGCGTCTGAATGGTCGCCAGAAGGGTCATTTCTGGGAAGGACGGGTCCGCCGGAAGGATGATGGGAGGTGGAAGCTGCTGCGGAGGCTGGGCAGGCGCCGGGACAGCTTTCGGTGGCTGCGCCTTGTCTTTAGACTTGCCAAGGCCGAGGAGACCTCCGCGCTTCTCCTTCGCAGAAGGGTTGGCAGTGGGCGACTCCATTGGGTTAGGCTTGGCTACGTCTGGGCTGGGGGAAGGGATGGGCTCGGTAGCTATTGCGCCGCCGAGAGCATTATACGGTTTAGCGACGTCGGGGTAGGATTCGATGAAGGCGCGGAATGGCTCTGACGCGTAGAGCGCCTGGAGGATCGAGTTGCAGTAACATGTGTTACCGAACTTGCGAGTCAGCGAGGTGGTGGGCGGGGGAAAAGGTGGACAAACTCACGTTCTCGAGGCCCCAGAGACTTTCGTCGAGAGCGCGCTCCTTGCCCTTAGGCTCGGGAGGAGGGGATTCTGGAGGGGCTGGCGCAGTGGTACCGTTGGCACCTGCGGCGTTGCCACCGCCGATGCCGAAGCGGCGCCACTTGTCCATGACTTGAGAGTGGTGATTGCCTAGAGATGGGTGGAGGAAAGTCGACAAGGATGTGGTATGTGTGGGTGCGATGGAGCCCTGGCGCGGGCCAAGTCGCGTGGATTGCGGGTAGAGTCAGGCGCTAGGCGGGGTCCAGGCGACAGTAGCGGAGGGTGGAAGAGAGAGCGACGGAGAGAGTCGTGGGTGTGGGGAGGGGCGTGGAAGTGGTGTGTGATGGGAGGATTGGGAGATGGAGGATGAGGAGGAAAGAGGATGAGTGATGATCAAGGAGAGATGAGCGATGGAGCGTGGTGGGGAAGAGGGAGGGAAGGGTGTGCAATGTGTGCGATGCGATGTGGGCGATGTGCGAGGGGGTACTACTATTAGGAACTATTAGGAACTATTAGGAACACGCAGGAACCTCAACAGGTACTGCGTGGGGGGTGCATGTATTTAGCGCCGCTGTCCAGGGTGGTACTAATCCTCCTGCCTCCTGCCGCTGCCGCCGCCGCCGCCGCCGCCGCCGCACGCGCCCTCAAGCGATGCCCTCTCTCCCTCATCGTCTGACATTCATGCACTCGCGCCACTCACTCGACGGCTCAACGGGCGCCGGAGGGCGGGGACCGGCCAAACTGCTGCCTCCGACGACAAGGGAGATATGCCTCTCCGCGAGCCAAGCGACGTTATGCACAGACCACAGGTCCCAAGTTCAAGCTTTCAAGCACGGTCCGAGATGATGGCAGGGAAGTGGAATTTGGGGGGAGAAGCAAAGGTGACACTGACGGCGTGGCGGCGTACGCGGCGTCTTCCATCTCTTCGTCAGCTCGTCAGCATTGTCAGCATCGTCTATCTGCGGCGCCTCATCGTACCTCAATCTATGGAGTGGGGAGGATGATATACAGATATGTGAGCCCGACTTGGAATCAGATGTCATGCATTGGCGCCGGCGTTGGAGCTGGGGTAATGTCTCACGACCACACGCGGGGAACGGGAGTGGGGGTGGGGTGGGCGTGGGGAGGGCCCACGGATGGCGATATGGCGAATGGCGGATGCCTGGCGGAGCGTCAACAGACGTCACCCGGCCAAACGGCCCGACAGCTGTCGCATCAGCCCGTGGCCCGCAGCACCTTTTGCCGCTTGTGCGGCCCATCTTTGCGCCGCCTACATAACTTGGGACCAAACTGCCAAGCGAACGCATACGCAGCTATATGCGGCAGTTTGATCAGCTTACGAAGCGTCGAGAACAGAAGCGAGCCCGCCGCCGCCGCCACCCACCGCAGCCACTGCCATCTGTCATCGGTGATCTGAGGTGGTGCGCTCCAACGCTATGCGATTCGCTCAAGGGCTCGAGGGCCACAAGTCTCGGCCGCCATATCCTGGGTGTAATTTGGCGATCTCGGAGATCGCCCGCACGTTCCAGCCTCGCCTACTATTTCATCGGAGATTGATATTAGCTACAGGCTGTCTCGCCCTATTCACACCATATGGATCTAATGGAGCTGGGTCATCCTCGGGTGCCTGCCTGCATGCACGAGGTTCCGAGCTGCAAACGGGCTCCTCGGGCACGCCGTTGCACATCCGCTCATGCCGCTCATCTCCACTAACGCCCCCTTCGCGCCCACCCGGCATCACACGGCTGCACGGCTGTACGGCTTATCTCTCCTTGCGTACTCCTCAATCTGCACATGCATCAACGTATGCCTCCCCCACTTGCATGCCTCCACGACGCGTGTACACCAGGCCCAGTCTCTTGGCCTCGTGGAGCGACCCCAAGAGTCCACTAGCTCGGGATAGTGTCACTAGCGCGCGAGATGCATATTCCTCCCCATCGCCATCGCTCTTGCCCACCATTCTCATTCCGCAAATAGCCGTCACACCCGCTCTTACGTCATGCCACGAGAGTGCGGAACCAAATCCGAGGCCGCAGATGACGTGTGTCGCCTGACAAGTTGTTGGCAGGAGATGTTTGGCTCGGCTTGGCGGACGGCCTTCTCTGTGTCTTCATCTTCAGTCCACAGCGTGATGGCAGCACTCCTCCGCTCGTGGATCGAATCCACAATCATCAATCACGACGCGCAGTACGGCGCCGACCTTGGCCCATTCCTAACCACCCCCGTCCTCTGCCAGCTCATCAAGGTGCGTCGAGCCATGCGAGCCACCGTTCCCCCTGACAGCAGTTCACGACCCTCCGCGGCTCGCAGGCCGATGGGCAGATTACGGCCGTCATCTCAGACCAGACGCATCGCGTTAACGTAGCATTCGACCAGCACGCCGCCGACTCGTACGAATTGTGAGCCATCGCGCGGCGCCGCTGATCCCCAGGTCTAAAGCTGGCGAGGAGCCAGAACGCTTAACGAGCTTACTCCGCTCCGTCCTTCGACTGAGACAATACTCGATCACCCTCCTTCCCCCATCGTATCGTAACAAGCACCAAATTCCCCGCGTCCTCATCGTCGTACACCGTTGGGAAGTCGTTACGGGCGACCGACAGGATCCAATATACTTCCCCGACGCGAAGCACCTCGGGCGAGGCCAAACCACACAAGACGAGGCCGTCAATCGCGTGCTGCAGAAGTGGTGGCTGGGAAAGTGAGCTCGCGTGGGCGGGACAGCAGCTGAATCCAGCTCGCAGAAGATACAGCCGTCCCCCATATCCGTTGAGAGAGACCCAGACGACCCAGGAGGGAAGGTCGTAGTTGAGCAGAGGATGACGGTCGCAAACGCATCCGCTGGGCCATCTCGGCCGCGCCAAGTAAGACTGCCTCTGGCCAAGCTTACATCAGAGCTCAGCCAAGCCCTCCGACTTGTTGGGGGGCATTGAGCGAGACACGCTCAAGCTCGCCAGTGACATGGTCGAGGAGCTTAAGGCGGCGGGCAAAGGCCTGCCCGTATGGTTCTTCACCCCACCCTCAGATGCCCAGCGCACAGAGCTCGACTCGATCCGGGTCCTGGGCGCCGATCCCTATGCGGATTTCAGTGATGCCCTCCTCGCGTCGCCAGACGTGCAGGCCGTCCAGCCGTCGCTCGCGTCGAATGCCCACTCCACGAGAGGGCCATCTAACGTGCACTCTGATGAGTTGCGTGTGATCGACGGCCACACGGAGGAGTCGCATCAGTCGAACGGCCACACCCAGTACCCGCCCACGGAGTCACCTCGGGCACAGCTACCTGAGCCAATAGAGCCTGAGCCATCGGCGTCCTTTGCTAGCTCGCCGTTTGAGTCTGGGCAGCGTTCATTACAGCCGACCCCCACTTCGATTCTTCCCCTAGTCGTTTTGCCCAAGAGCGCATCACCACCCCACCGAGCTCCCGCCAAGCGCTTCAAAACCCCGTCAGACGACAGCGAGGAGGATGACGCGGTTCCTGTTGTCTACAAGCACAAAGCACGACGATCCAAGCCTCTTTCTCGCGCCAAGCTTTTCGCTTCTTCGCCTCCTGTCCCGCATCCCTCGTCACAACCTACAGGCGAAACCGACGAGGAGGATCTCTCAGACTATGAGAGGGAGCGTCGGCGAGGGCAGAAGCAGCCGGCACCGCCGCAGTCAGCATCTCAGGCAGCCGAGTCGTTGGGCATCTCGGAAGAATCCGTCTCTAAATCGCAAGACTCGGGGAGCTTCAACCTTGCACGCTGTGCGCAATCGGCACCGCTCGCACCCTCGTCACCCCATGCCCTCGGCTCGGTGCCGCAGGTATCGTCTTCGGCGCCAATAGCCGCTACCCGTGTCTTAGTGCCGACGACCACGGACGAGAGCATGCCGACAGGCCAAGGGGATGAAGTCCTGTCCCCACCTGAGCCCGTGATCCAGCTTCCCACGCCAGACATGCCTCGCAAACGGCCGCGTGCTTCAGGCGCAACCACCGCAAGCGGCGAAGCCGACGACGAGGCCAGCCTTGGGCGGCCCTTGAAGCGGCCGGCCACTCAAGCGGATGCCGAGGAGAAGGCGGAGATGAAGACGCCTGTGAAGAGCTCATGGGAGCCGCCACCGGGTCAGCGTGTGCCAGCGACTATCACCAAGTCGACCCTTCCTGCACCTTTGTCTATCGCGGAGGCCGTGCAGCTGGTTCTCCCAGGATACAAGCCGGATCTGACTGCGCTGTCCGTGCCAGGTTTATCGAGGGAGCTCGTTGAGGTGGTGCATGCGAAGGCGATCGAGGAGAAGGCGGCACAGAGGGCGCGGCGTCGATCGAGTAAGCGGTAGCGGGTTGCATTGGTGTTGGCACCCGTCGCACTGCGGTCCATGTATAGATAGTCAATCCCGGAAAGGGTTTAAAGCATCCTCGCCACGCGCAACAACAGATGCATGACCCTTCGACTAATATACTGTAGCTAGTTAGAGCCGCCCGGCCAGCGGGCGACATGGTTAGTAAAGCCTACTGCTGGTCGGCGTTGACGACGCGCAGAGGCGAGAGGCGGTTAGGGTTCCGGTTGAACGAGCCGGCGCTGATGCTGCGCACGCCGTTAACGGAGGAGCGCCGGCCTCCCGCGAGGTGGCGGGACACGGAGGGGGGAGAGCCGCTGGAGCTCACCGAGCTCACGGACGAGACGCGCTGGTGGGGCAGGCGCGTGCCAGACGCGGGGAGGACGGGCGAGCCGCTGAACTCCATGGGCGGGAGGGACGGCGCACCCGCATGCTGGTGGCTGCCGAGGGTAGCGGTGGGCGAGAGGGGGCGGAATGCGGGGCGGCTCTCCATGCTGCGGGCGAGGGCGTTCCAGTCGTCGACGGATGCGGCGTCGGCCGCCGCGTCCGCCATGCCCGAGTCGGGGTCGCGGAACGGCGACTGCTCGTGGTTGGGCGACAGGAGGACCTGGCCGTCGCTGCGGGGCGATCCGAGGCGCGGCGACGTGTCGATGTCGACGAGCACCGCGTCGTCGTCGTACAGCGTCGACGCGACGGGCATGGGGAACGCGACGCCCTCGCCGGGGTGCTCGAACGACGAGCGGCGCGGCGACCCGCGCCGCGGCATGTCCGTGTACGTCGCTTCGCGGCGGGCCTCGTCGACGCGCCCGAGCCCAAAGTCGATCTCTTCCCAGTTCTTCTCGGGCTCGCGGGACGCGAGCGTGCCGTCGTCGCCGACGCCGGCGCTGCTGCCGCGCCGGAAGACGCGGTCGATCGCCGACCGCATGTTGCTGCTCCAGCTGTTGTCGGCGAAGGGCGAGCGCGCGGCCCGGCTGTAGTTCCGGAAGCCGCCGTTGTCCTCCTGCGTCGAGAAGGAGAAGTGGGACGCGAGCCGGCGCTTGCGCCGGTTCCGCTGGTGCCGCCGGAAGAGCCAGATCGCGAGCGGGAGGAGGACGGCGAGGATGACGATCGGGGCGGCAATTGCGGCGGTGCGGTTGCTCTTGGACGAGGCGGCGGCGGCGGCGGGCGCCTCCGTCTCGCCGGACAGAAGCGTGCTGGACCAGTTCTGCGTCCAGCTCCACTGCGAGGCGTCGGCCGCGCGCATGTCGAGATAGTGCACGTCCGACGTTGGCGCGCCGCCCGCACCCATCCCGAACGCCGTGATCATCACGCCCGAGGGCGTGACTACGCTCGTGTGGTACGCGAGCCCCGCGGACGGCTGCAGCGCCGCCGGCTGGCTCCACTCCCACGTCTTTGTGTCGAGCGTCGCGAGCATCACGGAGGGCGCGAAGGCTTTGGTGCTGGCGTCGTACTCGCTTCCGCCGTGCAGGATGAGCATGTCGCGCGAGGGGTGCGCGACCAGCGTTGCGCCGAGGCGGCCGGCAGGGATGGCGCCGCGCAGCTTCTGCGCCTGCCAGCCGCCCGAGGACGTCCACACGCCCACCGTGTCCAGCGGGACGAGGGAGCCGTCCGCCGCCTGTCCGCCCGCGAGGAAGACGGTGTCGGCGGACGCCGCGATCGCAAAGTCGGACACGGCGAGCTTGGTGCCTGTCAGAGTGGACGGGAGAGTCGCGGTCGTCACGCTCGCGTTCGAGAGCGGCACCCGCACCGTGTCTACGCCTGTGTATGCGGCCGCAGCGTTGTAGCACGTGCTCTTGTCCGCGATGCCGCCGACGACCATGATGCCGCCGGGGGCGGGCGCGGCGCCCGCGCCGTGCCGCCGCCGCAGGGAGGTGGGGGAGGCTGAAGTCCACTCGTCGCTGGCGATGTCGAGGGCGTGCGCGACGCCGTCCGAGGCGCATGACTGCGTCATGCCACCCACGACTACGAGGGTGTCATCCGCCATTGCGAGCGAGGCGAACGCGTGCGCCGGCAGGCCGGTGTTGGGCCCGTTGGCCCAGGATGCGGACGAGGCGTTCAGAGGGAGCACGAGGACCTCGTTCGTGATCTGCGTGCCAGCGCCAGAGACCGAGCCGCCGACGACGTACATCGCCTGCTTTGAGTCGACGTATGCCGCGCGGTGGCCCCAGCGCGCGGCGGGGGTGAGCGCCGACGCCGAGGGGAGGAAGAGGAGGTGGAGCATGATAGGGGGGAGGGGATTAAAGAAGTCGAAGAAGAATTAGTCGAACCAGTCGACGGCCTCGTCAAGAAGCCTTGGGTCTGTGTGCGATGTGCGATGAGCTGGCCAGCAGCTCGAGTGGTGAGAAGTGGGATGTGGGGAGTGGGAAGAGGGAGGTGACGGGGAGGAAAGACTGCTGCCATATGTACGGGCGCGGGCGGCGAGTGTTGCCCTCTGCTGTCATTTGCCGACGGTCCCCCGGGGTCGTGATTGGTCAGTCGGGGATTGTTCATGATGTGTTCAGGGTTTATAGCGCAATGAATGGCGCATGTCAGCCATGAGCACGGCGCGAGATCAGAGGTGGTCGGGGAGGAGGAAACAAAAGTCAGGCGCGTGGAGATGGCAGGTCAATGTGGCGCTCGCCAAGGGCCAAGCCGGCCGTGGGGTGGGTGGCTGACGAGAGCGGGGCCAAATTAGATCAAAATTCCGTGAATGGTGTGTCATTTGTTGACTCGCCTTCGTGTGGAAGCCACGTGCGGCAGTTGCCACCGTGTGACCGCAAAAGTTCAGCGTCAGGACAAGCAAGGCTGTGGTGAGTCGTGCTCGCTGGCGGGCTCATTCTCTACTCATTCTCTACTCGCTCTCATCCACCGCATCCTTTCATACTCGTCGACAAACACTACGTTCTCGTCGTCTTTGTTATATCTATCCACTTCCACATCTTCTTGCCACTCGTCAAACCCGCTCTCTCCCTCTTGTGAACATCAAATTTCGTCCCCTTCCCCTCTACACCTCCACCTCCACCCACCCACTTCCCACAATGTCCGCCGAGGCCGTTGTCAAGCCCGAGGCCGACGTCAAGGCCACCGTCGAGGTTGGCGCCGATATCCCCGCCGTTGAGGGCAAGACCCCTGAAGAGGTTCAGTCCGCCATGGAGAAGGCCGCTAAGCAGAGTACGTCTCCGCAAACGAACTGGCTGACCCAAAGTCTACTTCTACTTCTCGGACTCGAACCTCCCCGTGGACAAGTTCTTCTTCTCCCTTACCGCTTGCAACGAGCAGGGATGGGTCCCCATCAAGACCATCCTCACTTTCAAGCGTATGCGCGAGTTCCAGCCGTTTGGTGTTCCCGTTGTCGCCAAGGCCCTTCGCCAGGCCGCGGCCGCTGAGGGCAGCGACCCCCTTGTCGCTGTTTCCGAGGATGACGAGAACGTCCGCCGCGCCCGCCCCCTTGAGCCCGTCACCGACGCGTGGGAGCGCTCCGTCTACGTGGTAAGTCTACTTCGTGCCACACAGAGGGGGGATCCTTCTAACGCGTGCAGAAGGGCTTCGGTGAGGGTGACAACGAGAACAACACACAGGAGAAGATTGAGCAGTGGTTCGAGCAGTTCGGAAAGATCAACGCCGTTCGTCGCCGCCGTGAGGACCTCGAGGGCAAGGGCCCGGCTGGCAAGGGCAAGGGTGCTTTCAAGGTATGTCTCCCGCTCGGAGGAGCGCACAGACCAGTTTGGACGCGACTGACATTCCAAGGGCTCCGTCTTCGCTGAGTTTGCGTACGCGTCCGACATGGCAAAGTTCCTTGCGAACAAGGACAGCCACCCCAAGTTTATTGAAGGCGAGGAGTTGGTGATTGAGGCCAAGGACGACTACGTCAAGCGCAAGTGCAAGGAGAAGGGCATCCCCGAGAGCGAGGTCCACCGCAGCCGCCCGGACCGCAACGCGCCCCGCAAGTTTAACGCCTTCCGCGAGATGAAGTCGCTTCAGGAGGGCAGGGCCGGCAACCTCGCCAGCATTCCCAAGGACGTCGCCATTGTTGGCCAGGCCCCCAAGGTCCACCACGACGGTGGCAAGCGCAAGCGTGAGGACGGCGACAACGCGGGCCCTCGCGAGAAGAAGGAGCGCTCTCCTCTTTTCTTTGAGTACAAGGGTGTGCGCCTGGAGATCAACGAGGCTGGACAGATCAAGGAGCCTTCCGAGGTGCCCTTTGAGGAGGGTTGCGCTGTCAAGTTCACTGTCCAGGGCGAGGGTGACTGGAAGGACCTCAAGGCCAAGATCGTCGAGGTTATCCCCGACGTCTTCATGGCCCTTCCCGGTGGCTCGACTGTGGGCACGATTGCGCACCAGTCGTCTGCCAAGATCACCGACGAGGAGTTTGAGAAGCTTGCCAACGCCGGCTTCGAGTACGGCGGCAACCCAGTTAACTGGGAGCGCATGAGCGGTGAGTCATTTTTCCTGTGGGCTGCGCTAACAGGCAGAGGAGGAGCAGCGCGCGTTCTGGCTCAAGCGCGCCAACTACCAGGCGGGTGTCAAGCATCGTGAGGCGCGGGACTCGCGCCGCGACGAGTTCAAGGGCGGCCGTGGTCGTGGAGGTCGTGGTGGACGCGGTGGTCGTGGCCGTGGTGGCCACCGCGGCCGTGGGGGTCACCGTGGCGGCGATCGCAACCGCGAGCGGGCGGCTGCGGCGGCCGAGGGCCTCCCGCCAACTGTTGGTGCAGTCAAGTCCGAGTAACGTAGTTCTGGTCATGTCTGGGCGATAGGGCGAGGGATCGTCATCATTTGTTAGAGTGCATGGGACTGCTGTCTTATATCGGTGTAAGGTGTCTGGGGGAGGCAAGGACGAGAGTGAAGCGTGACTGACTTTTGTGGCGCAGGCCAGTTGGCCGTGCGCGAAGTGCGAGGTCAAGTGCCTGCAGGCCACAAGCGAGGAAGTCGAGGGCATGTCGAAGCGCACCGTTGCCGCCACCTCTGCTGGTCGCACAGTGCTGTGCCGGTGAGCGGGCACTCGACGGTGAGCACACGCACCTCATGAGTGACAGCGAAGAACTGCAGATTGCCATCAGAAGCATCTATGCTCGGGCCCACACCGCCCTGCGCACAGATCTGCCATTGTCCCTCCTCTTCTTCACGGCCCCGTCCCAAGCCATCGGCCTTCGTCGTCGTCTCAATCCTCATCTTTGACTCTTCGACATGTGCTTAGTGCGTGTTCGCCCTCTTTGAGTCAACTACGCCGTTCTCCGGCCCCCACGCTACTCATTAAGACCGTCGACCGGCCTCCGCCACCGCCACCGTCACCCCTTATCGACCGCAGCACCTTGCTTCCCCTCCCCTCATCCCCACCACCACCAGCGGCGCCACCGCCGCTGCCCGTCTCCTCCAAATCTCGCCCTCCTACCTCCCCCCCCCCCCCCCCCCCCCCGCTCTCCTCAACCGCCGTACAACATATCCTATCCCCCATGCCCAACATCTGCTCCTGGTCCGACATTGAGTTCATCAGCCCGCAGCCGGCGCCGACGCCCAATAACCCCTTGCTACTCAAACGCGCGCCCCTGTCACTGCCGCGCATCCACAACCCTCCCGCCACACTCGACGACACGAAGATGTATGAACCGACGCACCTCGCGCTCTTCCGCTCGAAGACCGGCGTAGACTACGCCGAGCCCGCCTACTCGACCGCCGTCGCCCCACCATTGAGCAGATATTTCCACTCCGCCCTGCACTCTTCCTCTACCTCTTCTCCCTCCCCACTCTGTGGCGCCTACCCACCTGCGTTCGCCACGGCCGGCATTCCCACCCAGCCTGGCGCACTCGGCGACCCCGGGCCACCCACCCCCGACCCAGCCATTATGGGCCTCAAGGTCGCGCCGCGCCCATCAAACTACTCGTCGCTGGACGTATGGGGGCGACGGCAGATTGACCTGGAGCGCGCGCGGATGAAGAGCCGCATCCGGGAGGCGCAGAAGGCCGAGGTGGAGCGCGCGCGCAAGGCCGCCGCGCTGGCTCGGATACGCGACAAGGAGCGCGAGCGCGAGCGGCGCGCAGCGGAGAAGGAGGAAGCGCGCAAGCGTAAAGTGGCAGAGAAAGCGTACGCCCAAGCCCTCAAAGACAGTCGGAGGTGCGTGCTGCGCAGCGATATACCGAGAAATGCGGAGAAATCGCTTACATCAGAGCCGTAAAGCAGTGCACCACAGTCGAGACCACAACACCGGGATTCTGGTGCCCGCCGCCGCCGCCGTGCGCGTACCGCCGCCCGCTGGAGAGCGGGGCGTGGCCGCTCATGAGCCGTACCATGACGCAGGTGAGTTGGGGGTGCGGAAGCTTGAAGCCGGCGGTAGCTCACGGCCTGCCGGGGGAAGGGCCTATTGCCGTCGAGGTCGCCGAGGTGGTCTCACCTCGTCCGTACAGCGCTCACATTAGGCCATCCACGAGTTTGCGTACGAAGACCGCCTGATCCGCACCGCCAATGGCCAGATCGTGGGCTTCCTGTAGTCTGCATGCATTCACATGTATATGTATCCGCTAAGTAGAATGCGAGGGGTAGCTCGGAGGATGCCGATCTCGCTTCACGGTGGGCGCCGGTTACATTTCGCGGGTTGCCGGCTGTGGGGAGCCGGTGTACGTTTCCGTTTAACTGCACTTCGTTGCTCCAGTCTCACTCTCGTTGCTCCAGTCTCACATCTCTGCGACGCCGCATCTCGGTCTTCGCTCCTCCCACTCTCTCTACTTCCCAGCCGCATCTCACCATCACCATGAGCGACGGCACTGTTGTCGGCGCCATCAGGGCGCCACTCGACCTCGACAAGCTCGTCCCCTACCTCGAGCAGAACGTGAAGGGCTTCAAGGGCCCCGTCGAGCCCAAGCAGTTTGGTGTGAGTCCCTCTCCATTCTTCTCGCGCTATCCGCTCTTTCTCCTCTACCCTCCCACTCCTCGCCCTCCTCGCCCTCTTCGCTCTCGGCCCACCCATGGCCCGCGCTGACCCCAGTTCGGCCAGTCCAACCCGACGTACCTCCTCGAAACGCCCAGCAAGAAGTACGTGCTGCGCCGCGCGCCGCTCGGCAAGCTCCTGTCAGCAACGGCACACCGTGTCGACCGCGAGTTCCTCATTCTCAAGGCTTTGAACGGGTACAACGACAGGCTGCCCGCAAGCGCGGCCGAGCGCCGCGTCCCCGTCCCGGAAGTGTACTGCCTGTGCATGGACCCCGCGGTCGCCGGCGCACCCTTCTACGTGATGGAGTTCATCAAGGGACGCATCTTCACCGACGTGCGCATGCAGAGCCTGCCGCGCGAGGAGCGCGATGCGTGGTAAGTCGCGCATTCCGCCACACCTGACCCGCAGCTGGCACTCGGCGATCGCGACGCTCGCAAAGCTCGCAACCGTCCCCATCGCCGACTTGCAGCTCGACAAGTCGTTCGCCGCCGACCCGCTCGCCAAGCCATACTTCCCCCGCCAGGTCAAGTCGCTCATGAAGGTGTCGGATGCGCAGGGCGCCACGCCCGTCAAGACCGAGGGCGGGAAGCCCCTCGGCGAGATCGAGCACGCCCAGGACCTCCGGCCGTACTTTGAGAAGGGGGCGCAGGTCGTTGCGCGTGCTGAGCTCGTCCACGGAGCATCCATTGTTCACGGAGACTACAAGATTGACAATGTTGTGAGTTTCGTCGGGTGTGTGTGTAGTGAGGGTGGACGGTGGGCTCCCGCGTTCGTGGCATGCGGACTGTGGTTCCCCTTTCATTCTGCTCAAGGGCGCTCCAAGTCCCCCGCTGACACAAGATCTTCCACCCCACTGAACCCCGCGTCATCGGCATTCTCGACTGGGAACTGTGCACGCTGGGCTCGCCGCTTGCGGACCTCGGCAACGTGCTGATGCCCTTCTCCTTCGCGCCTGTCACTGCGTCCGACATGTCGCGCCTCGGCCTGAAGCCCGACGGGCTCACGAACCTCATGATTGGGCTCAAGGGCCTGCCGTCGTCCGAGACAGGCATCCCGCAGGTGCAGCAGTTCGAGCAGTGGTGGGTGGAGGAGATGAACAAGGGCTATGCATGGCACGCGGCGCACAGCCCAAGCATGCGGGGCAAGAAGGCGCCGGCGCCGTGGACGCACCCCATCGCGGGCCTCGAGTGGGTGCGCGCGTGGATGATCTGGCGGCTCGCCATCATCGCGCAGGGCATCGCGGCGCGCGCAGCCCTCGGGCAGGCAAGCAGCGCCACGGCCAGCCCCAGCCGCGAGCGCTTCGACTTCTTCGGCCGCATGGCGTACAAGGCCATGGTCGACGGCGAGAAGACCGAGAGCATGAGCGCAAAGTTGTAGTGATGCATGCATGGCACGGTTGCGTTGCGGGCACTGCCGGCCAAGTATCGAGGCACTGCCTGTGCTATATTCGTCGGAGACGCGGGATGTTGCTGACGCGAACAACCTCACGATGCGAAACACGCTTGCGTTTCACTTTCGGGCCGCGGGATTTGTTCCTGTATGCTTAATCGGGCTTGGCCAGATCGACCCACACCGCCCAAGAACTGCGTCGTGCTGCTGCTCCGGTCATCTGGAGCCTTTTCGCAACAACGGGGGAAGCGAGCCGAGGAGGCGCGCGCACGGCCCGCTGTCTCACCGCTTCTATATAGACCGCAGGGCTGTCGTGAACGCTCACCATCCATAATGGGTACGTCCTGGCCCAGCCAGCACGCACTCGCTCACCACAGCTTACCCAGCGCCCCGCAAGTCCGACGACGTGTCGATCTGGTCGTTCGAAGAGCAGTCGAGCAGCTGGTGCTGTTTCGTGAGTGTGTAAGCAGCAGAGCTGAGAGCAGGCGTCGAGGCGCGCCCCGGAGTCGAGAGTACCGTCGTCGCCCGTGCCGGCTTATCGCCCCAACGCGATGCGCATCCCGTCTCCGTCGCCCGACATGCGTCCAGCGAATCCACCACCGCAAGCCTCCCGCCCCCGCCCCGAGCGCACCACGCCTCCCCATCTGCCGGCCAGGCGTTCTGATAACCTCATCCCCTCCCAACCCCGCATCTGTATGTATCATCTAGCCCTACACCCTATTGTCCTGGCCCCACTCGCGCTCGCCCGTGACGCCCTCGACGGCCTTGCGGAGCGCGGCGGCCTCCTCGCGATCCAGCGTGCTCTCATCGACGTTCTCCGCCACCGCAGCGCCGAGCGACAGCGCCTCCAACCCCACATTGCGCTCGATGAGCAGCTCGCGCTCCTCGAGCTCGAGCTCGTCGTCGCCCTCGTGCCACGCGCGCGCGCGGCTCACAGCCCGCTCCCACCCGCGCCGCATCTTGGCGCGCTTGCGCTCGCTGATCGCCGGCGTGAACAGCTGCGTGTCGGCCGTGTTCACCGCGCGCAGCGTCTCGGGGTTGTTCACGTCCCACCCGAACAGACCCAGCGCGTGGCCCGCCAGCAGCGCCGAGCCGAGCGCCGTCGACTCGCGCATCGACGGCCGCACGACCTTGAAGCCCCCGATGTCCGCTTGCAGCTGCATTGCCAGATCCGAGTTCGTTACGCCGCCGTCCACCTTCAGCGTGTCGAGCTTGACGCCGACCTCACGCTCAATCACGTCCAGCACGGCACGCGATTGGAAGCACACGGCCTCGAGCGTCGCGCGCGCAATGTGTGCCGAGGTCGAGTACGATGTCAGGCCGATGATGGTGCCCGTCTGAGGTCAGCGATGTGGGGTTCTGCACTCACGGCACTCCGGTCCCAGTAGGGCGCGAGGAGGCCTGCAAAGGCCGTGACGAAGTAGACGCCGCCTGTGTCCTCGACCGAGCCTGCGAGCATGTCCATCTCCCTCGACTCCTCGATCAGGTTAACCTGGTCTCGCAGCCTAGTGATGTCAGCGCTTCCTGCCATATCAACCAATCAACTCCGAGCGTCACCAACGTCTCCAAAACCCTAAAACCCTCCTCATGTGCAAAGATAAAAGCTTCCACAGCTCGCACTGCGCAGCCAAGGTCACGACGGGGGTCGAACCCGCGATCTCCTGATTGAGTTACGATGTGTCCGAAGACATAATCGTAGTCAGACGCGATGCCATTTCGCCACGCGACCCTTGGATGCACACTTACCACTTGATCGCCGAACCCGCGACGGCGATGGACCCCTCGAGTGCATACACAGGTTTGGCGCCCGGTCCGGGCTGGTAAGCGACGGTTGTGAGCAGCCCGTTGTCGGACTTGACGATCTCGTCGCCCGTGTTGAAGAGCATAAACGCGCCCGTGCCGTATGTGTTCTTGGCGTCGCCGCGCTGCAGGCACTTGTTGCCCACGAGCGCGGCCTGCTGGTCACCGACAATGCCGGCAATAGGCACGCCCGTGAGCGCCTCGACGCCCATGCTCGCCGCGACCTTGCCGTACACCTCTGCACTGGACACGATCTTCGGGAGTACCTTGTCGCTGATGCCGAAGAACGCGAGGAGGCCAGTGTGCCAGTTCAGAGTCTTGAGGCTGATAAGGAGAGTGCGCGACGCGTTTGTTGCATCTATGATGTGCAGGCCGCCGTCAGCCGCGCCAGTGAGGTTCTGCCGTCAGCCAAGCCGATGTCAAAGAGCTCACGTAGACGAGCCACGAGTCGACAGTGCCGAAGCACAGATCACCCGCGTCGTCGGCATCGCGCACCGCCTGGTGGTGGTCGAGCATCCAGCGGAGCTTGATGGCCGAGAAATAGGTCGAGAGCGGAAGACCTGTTAGGCTGACCAACGCGTCCTTGCCCTTGACAAACGCGCCGTCGAGCTCGAAGCCCTCGGCGTCGAGCTTGTCCTCGAACTGGCGGACGACAGCGACCGTGCGCGTGTCGTCCCACACAATAGCGTTGCACAGCGGCGCGCCCGTCTTGCGGCTCCAGCACAGCGTCGTCTCGCGCTGATTCGTGATTCCAATTCCCTTCACGCTGTCCCGGTGCCAGCCCAGAAACTCGAGCTTGTACATTGCGCGGTTCATGCATTCCCGCATAGCCTCGACTAGCGCCTCCGGGTCATGCTCGTGCCAGCCTGCATGCGGCAGGATCTGGTCAAACTCTGTCTGGTGCTCGGTGATGATCTTGGCATGCTCGTCGAAGACGATGAAGCGCGTCGAGCTGGGGTCAGCGTGTGGCTCGTGGGGCGGCTGTTGTGTCCAGGACATCTGAGACAGGGTGGGCAGCCTCTCCATTACATGCAACCGCGGCTAAGCGAAACTCACGTTGTACCGCAGTCGAGCGAGGCGATAAACTCGCCACGCTTCAGCTCCTTGCCTGCATTGGGGTCGATGGTACTAAAGCCCCCTAGACCACCCAGCTTGCCCAGGACGGGGTGAGGTAGACCGGCATCGCTCGCGAAAGAGCTCTTGCGGCTTGCGACCTTCTCGTTCGCGAGCGGTTGCGTGGGCGATCCCGCGCGCGAGAGCAGGGATGGTGTCGGCGGGCCAGAGTATTCGTTACGCGTAATGGGCCGAGGGCCACTCGCGTACGATGAGCGACGACTTAGTCCGCCGCTACCTCCCGACGTGTACGAAGGGCGGGGCATGGCGATGCTGGGCCGCCGCGATGAGGCGGGGGTCGAGCTGGGCGACTCGACGGCCGACTCGTTGTAGTGGGACATGGTGGTGTTTGCGGATGAGAGATGCGGATTCTGAGGGCCGGCGACACTAGGTGTGTGCGGATCAGGTTTGTCACTGGTAGCTGGCGGCTAGCGGCAGGTGACCAGGAACGATGACGCAGAAGCGGGGTGCCGGCGCACGTGACGTTTCGGGGTGCGGCGTCGGCGGTGACGAGGTACTGCGGGCGGAGAAATGAGCGGCGGTGAGTGATGTGGTGAGTAGCGTCGAGGGGGACAGAGAAAAAGGGCGATGATATATGGATAGGAAGTTGAGATGGAGATATGCAAACAGAGGTGGACGGAGGCGCGGGCCGGTGTGTGGAACGGGAATTCCAGGCAGCCACCGACGCGCCTCCCCCACTCGGCAACTCACCTCCTCATGTCACTTCATCCCCTCGATCTCCTCTCCAATCCCGTCCCCCATTCCAACCAGTCTCGTTGCGCGTTCCCCGATCGCCGCCGGCATGTGAGACACCTCCATGTGCGTAGATGAATGGGCGAATGAGAACGAGTCGCGGTGATCCTGGATTTCAACAAGGCCTCGGCATGCGGCCGGCAAGCGGGGCCGGCGACCCAGCTTGGACGCCGTGATGGAGATAATGATGATGTCCGCCCATCAACCACGCGATGCACGTGGGGAGCTACGTCAGGTACAAGTTACCGAGCTTGAGCCTGGCGTACCGAAGGGCGCAAGGCCCGGGGCCAGGCCAGACGATCCGAGCGATCGTCCCGCTTGACCGCTTATACCGGGTTCAGGTCCCTGATCCCGTACAGCCGCCACCAATTGCCACGTGACAGGATTGGCCTCACACGCTGCCGCGCTGCTGGGTTTACAGTTGCCTCGACTACCATTCAAGCTCACGCTCACCACCCAAAGCAACGCACTCGACGCGCGCCGCGTCCATCCACTTCTCCTCTTCTGTTCTTGTCATCTTCTGTCTCCTTCACCTGCCTCCGACGGCTCTCGCCCACGCCCTGTTCGAAACTCTACGCCCTGCACCCCATCTCCCCACCCCCACACCCTCACCCCATCCGTCCCGCACCCCTCACACCCTCACACATCTCTCGCTCCCCCCGCGCCGCCGTGCGAGTCCGCTGGCCACGGTGCTCCCCCCATGCCGCCAAAACGAGCTTTCTACATTGCTCAACACACCCCCGACGCCTCGCCTCGCCTCGGACCACAGCGCTCCCCACCTGCGCTCATGCTCGCCTTCAACCAGCGCGCCCTCCCCCAACCGGGGAGCATGAGCGTGCCCCGACCCATTCGCCGCCCCCGCAAAATACTCTACGTTGTCGTCGTCCTCGGCCTCCTCTACTGGTTTGGCATCCGGCACAACCTCGGGTCCGAAGTCCAAGAGCCGCTCCCGCTCGGCTTTGCGCCCGAGCACGGGCACCGGCGACGACCACGTACCATGACGTTCACGCGGAACGGCATGGCGACGCTAAACCCGTTACGGCGCGGTGCGCCGCAGCCGGACCATCCGTTCTACGAGCTGATGGAACGCGGGGAGGAGACGTGGCGTCTTGTGCGTGACCGGCAGAGCAAGACCGTCGAGCAGGCCGCGAGGGAGTACAAACGGCGGTATGGATTGGATCCGCCCGAGGGGTTTGACAAATGGTTCGAGTGGGCGCGGGAGCGCGGCGTCGAGCTCGTCGACGAGTACGACTTGATGATGCGCGACATTCTCGCACACCACGCCCTCGAGCCCGCAACGTTTATTGCGCGCTCGCAGGCTCTCGCAACGACGGAAAAGCACGCGTACCAGATCAACATTTCGCGCGAGAGCGTCAAGTTGAGCGGAGAGCGCGCGAACGCAGGTCGGCCGAAGAAGCTCGCCGCCATGATCGACTTGTTCCGCAGCGCCCTCCCAGCCAATCTCAACCTCGCATTGACGGGGAGTGATCACGATGTGTCCGGTGTGGTGCTGGGCAAGGATCAGCGGAAGCGCGCCAAAGAGCTCGTGAGCGCTGGCGAACACTTCACAAACGAGGAATTGCGGCATTACGAGAGCCCTCGGCGCACGACCGCTTGGGGCTGGTTCAAGGCGTGCCCGCTCGACTCGCCGGCCAACATGCGCGCCGGGGCCGAGTATGGCGAGAAGACAGAAAAGGCGTTCATCCACGACCACGTCGCGACGATGGACTTCTGCGAGTTCCCCAACCTCAAGCGCCTGCACGGCGCGCTGCAGGTGGACCGTGAAGACCGCTCACCGAGCATGCTCAAGCCGTGGCTCGTGCACTCCAAGCTGCCCGGCGATGCGAGCTTCCTGCTCCCCCCAATCGAAGGCTTTGTGAATTTGACAGACAAGGCGATCGCGGATATTGGCAAGTGGGAGGACAAGGTGGACCCACGCGTGCACTGGCGCGGGGGCACCACAGGTGGCCTCTCGACCCAGAGCGACTGGCGCGACCAGCACCGCTACCGCCTGCACCTGATGTTCAACGGGCGCAAAGGCAACGACAGCGCGTGGGAGGACGCCGTGACCAACGTCATGATGCCGGACGGGCGCGGCGGATACATTCGCACGGACCAGCACGGTGCCGCGCTTGCCAAGGCCTATGGCGACGTCAAGCTGAGCGGCAAGATCATCGGGTGTCCAACCGAAGCCCTGTGCGAGGAGATCAAGGGCGAGATCGAGACGTCGCCCATGCTGCCGGCGAAGAACACGTGGATGTTCAGGTACATGCTCGACGTTGACGGCAACGGGTGGAGCGAGCGCTTCCACCGCCTGCTCTCGAGCGCGTCGCCCGTTCTCAAAATGACAATCTTTGCCGACTGGCACATGGTGAGCTATCCCGACTGCGCGTACACTGACACCCAGGACCGCCTTATCCCGTGGTACCACTATATCCCCATCCAGCCCGACTACTCGGACCTGTATGATGTGCTGGCGTTCTTCATTGGCCCGGTTCGTGAAGACGGTACCGTTGACCATGGGCACGGGCACGACTATCTCGGCAAGAAGATCGGCCAGGCAGGCCAAGACTTTGCCCTCCAGCACTGGCGCTGGGTCGACATGCAGGCATATGTGAGTAGCGCAGATTTAGGCCACAACCAGCACAGCTGGTTGAACCCTCACCACGACTGACCCCAGATGTACCGTCTCCTCCTCGAGCTGCATCGCCTGCACCAGCTCGACCGGGCCAAGGCGAGCTATCGCCTCCCCTAGGCTCGTAGCCCGCAGGCTCAGGCTCGAGCCCTAGATTATAGACTGTCTGCCCACTGGCATGTCACACTGTACACTATGATGCATTGCGTGGTCTTGCTCACTCGACTCACACATTCACAGCGGACCACGCTTTCTCACTTCTTCCCATGTCGGTCCCAGCGCTCTACTCACCGGCGTCGCGCAGCCCACCGAACGCCCGCTCGACGCGCTCTGCCAGAGCGATATCTTTCCCCGTCACGCCAGGCGCTGGCTTGCCCTCCATCTGCACGCCCAGCGGCGGCATGGGCGTGTGCGTGTGCGTCGCGATGTGAAGCACATATCCTTCGCCCGTGGTGAGGGCGACGACGTCGGGCGGGAGGTCGGATGCCGGCGCGGCGAGGAGGAGTGGGTGGTGCTGCTGTCAGTCCTCTCTGCGACGCGTTCTTGAGGTGAAGCACGAAATGAGAACAGACATGGACAGAGTACTGAGGATGGGAGGGCAATGGAAGAGAGAACAGAGAAGAGAGGAGTACAGAGGAGCGCAGAAGCGCAATCTTCCTCGCAACTGGATCGGCGCTTGCTCGTCCTTCAGCTTGCGGCCCGTTACGTATCTTGTTCTCTCCATCTCTTCAACACTCAACACCCGACGTCCGCGACGTCTCTCACGACATCTTCCGTAGCGCCCCCGCTACACCGGCCGCCCTCATACCCTCCTCCCGACGTGTTCACGACCACGCACACCCCGCCCTTATCACCCTCGCCCGACGAGTCTATCTCAGCGCGACTCCCACCTTCCTCCTCATCTCGTAAGTTCACACCGCTAGCTGTCATCACGCCCACTCCGCGCCCCATGCCTCACTCACATCTAATTCCTCCACGGCCTCGCCGATACATCCCATCAAAGTCATCAGTGCGCGCCATCCATCTCGATCCCGCGGAAACGAGTACGCCCGCACCAGCCGACGCCCTTGCAGATCCGCGCCCGATATCATATCCTCCGCCGCACTGTGGGACGTCGCGCGCGCCCCGCTAGTGTCGCTGGCAGAGAGCACATCCAATCGCCACCCGGCAGCGTGCAACGGCGCAAATGACGCGAGGAAGGCTGGTAAAGTGGGTAGGCGGTAGGGTGAGGGGCGGCGGACACGCGGAGTGGAGGTCTCGGTGGAGGTTGACATGGTTCGAATTCGGGTCAGGACGGCTGGAACACGGACGGGCGCCGTGCGCTCTGCGCCCGAAACCCGTGTTCGTGCGCAGATGGGCAAGACGGGGCCCGGTCTCGGTCTCGGGGCAGACGTGGTCGCCGACGTCGACAGGTGTCGCAGGGCGTTAGAGGATGCGTGTGCGCGCCGCCCAATGAGCATCATTGTGTGCTCGCGACAGTTCCACTCAGCGATCGACGGACTTTGATGAGGAGCGATGAGAGTCGAGGTATTACACGACACCAAATGAATCGACACGTGAGGCTTCAAGAGGAGTCGCAAAATGACGCGGGGCACGGGCGCGGATATACACAAGCCCAGGCCGGGGTTGTCTTGGCAAGTGCGGCTCGCAAGACCGGGGGCGGGGCGAAAGGGGAGTGGGTGAGAGTGGGTAGAGGAAAAATCAGTCGTCGTGGTCGGGTGGGCAGTCGTGGTGAGTGAGCCAGAGTGCAAGTGCCAGGGCGTAAGATCACCCAGGGTCCGCAAATGAAGCCTCTCGGCACGCTGGCAACCACCACGCAAAGCAGCACTGAAGCAGAAACGTCAAGACAAAGGGTACAGATAAGGCACCCCTCGGAAAGGCGTTGCAAGGTTCTTGGACCTGACAAGTCCCTCCCTCCTCATGTCACTGACTCGACACGACAGTCGTTGAGCGCTGTCTGAGCGCAAGTGCACGTCGCCAAGTGGTCGCCGGCTCTAGGACGGGGATCGTTGCGGGCGGACTAGATGCGTGCCGGCTGGCTCCATGGCACAGCGACAAGGCTCGAGCTTAGGTGGGGCGCCGCAGCTTCCGAATCTGCACGGCTTGCGTTTGCGTGGAGCGTCACGCAGAGATCTACGACTGGAAGCGAGACGAGTCATGATCAAGATGCCATGATGCTAGCTCCAGGTCCAGCTGGCTGAAGCTGGGCGTGCGCTAATTAGGCGAGCAATAATGCCTCCATTCGGAGAGTGGGGCGGGGAGCGGTAGGGCTGGAAGATATGTCGCATGTCTAAGGCGATCAGCCCCGGGGCCGTACGAGGCTCGAGGCGTCTTGGCCTGGCGGCCTTGCCGGTCAGCAATTAGCCTGCAGGCCTGGTTATCCCGAATGAGGACGATTTTGGCCGAGGGTACTGGGTGCATGCTTGCTGGCCGCTGGCCGCTGGGCCTCTGCTCATGGCTGACCAAACCGGGAGCAAGGCTTTGCCCCGCACCGAGGCCACCTACCACCAGCTTCAACTTTGGACCCCAAACCACATCGCACCCCTGTAGCGCTTCCGTCCGCCCGGAGCCCGGAGACCCGCGCCCCAAGCCGTCAAAGCCGATGTTTTCGAGGACACACAACCGGTACCGCCCACCGAGTTCCAACGCATGCATTGCATCGCGTCGCCATGCAATCTGCCGGCGAGCGTGCCAATCTGCATCAGTGCATCGACAGGGCGCAGGTTATGATGAGTAGTGACGAGACTAGCGTCGAGTGGAGCCGGGTCATGTCGAGGAGTGGACGAGGGGGAGGGAGAGGGAGGGGCATAAGGGCTGATTTTGACGTTGTTTCGAGCGTGCCTCGGCTTGGCCGTGCTGTAAGAGAAGAGGACACAAAGAGTTGCTAACTGCCGACGTACCAACGCCCTTTGCATCTCGCGATCCTCTCATCTCGCCCTCTCCTCCCTCATCTCCGCCCCGCCGCGCCCTCTCCCACACCCTCCTCGTCCTGTTCCTCTACTACCCCGCGCTCCAGCTCTCTGGCTCTTCTGAGTACGTCTATCCCTGTCTCCTGTCTCCTGCCTCGCTCCGCTTCGCCTCCGCCAACATCCCATAGCCCTTCCCCGATTCCCCCCTTTACCCCCACGACCCAGGCTTACGGCCAACGTCCAACCTCCCGCCTCCAATCCATCTAACCCTTTAGCTTTGCTTTCTCTTCACCCATCTTCTGTCTCCATCGCATCCATCGGTCCATTCGACCACCCCACCACCTCCCCCTCCCCCTCCCCTCTCCCATCAGCATCCACGAGCTGCAGCGGACGCCGGCCGCAGCAGTCCAGCAGCTAGCTTTTGCCCGCCGTCGCCTTCGCCCACCTCCCCCACCCGACGGCCATCATGACCACGACGCAGCCCGCGGCGCCCTCCCCAGTTCCAGCGCCCGCCGCTGAGGTGCCCCCTGCCGACGTCGCGGACACCACCGAGGCAACTGCTGGCAATGAGGACGGCGTCGCTGCCCTCGAGGCCGGAGTCGCCGGCCTCGCCCTCGGAAATGCCCCGCAGCCTCAGTCTGAGCTGCACCGTGCTTGTGCCGAGGGGCGCATCGAGGACGTCCGCGCTATTCTTGGCCGCGGCCTTGACACTCTCGAATCGCTTGGTGAGTTTGCATCTACTTTTTTTTCCTCTTTTCGTGCCGTTGCGATGGGCGGTGGGCACGGGTCGATCCCTGCAATCCGGTGTCCCAACTTTTTTTTTTTTTCGGAACATCGATGAGAGACGCATGTCTCCGTCATCGGCGCGGGCCGTCGTTTCCATGAGCTAACACCCCACAGACATTGCGACTGGATGCACCCCTATAGTGCTCGCCGTGACGCACGGCCACGCCGATATCGTCCGCGAGCTTCTCACAGCGGGCGCGATTGTCCCACCCCCAGGTCTGACGATGGACCCCACCATGCTTTCCATCCTCTATCCCCACCCACAGGCAATGTACGGCGTGCCCCCGCCGTTTGCCATGCCCCAGTTCTTCCAGTCAGCGTACTACGGAGGGCCCGCACATTTCAACCCTCGCAAGGAAGGCGGCTCGGCCAACGGACACGCCAATGGGTCGGCCAACGGCAGCGCCAACAACAACCCCAACCTCCCTCCGGCCGAGGTCGCCAAGACGATCCCGTGCCGCAACTTCCCCAACTGCAAGTACGGCACGTCGTGCATGTTCTACCACCCCCACCCTCAGCTCGGTTTCTTCCCTCCTCAGGCCTACTATGAGGGCGGATTTGTCCCCTACCCCCACGGCGCTCCGTTCTTCCCTGGTGCGCAGGAGTTTGTCCCTCAGCAGCAGCATCAGCAGGCGAATGGCACCGCTGAGGCGGCGCCCGCTTCCGTCGACGGCGCTATCTCTGCGCCATCAGAGGAGAATGGAGAAGCTGCGCCCCAGGAGGCTGCGGCGCAGGCTCAGGCTCACGTCCCATCGGCGGGCGCCCCCGCATTCGTTCCCGGTGTCCCGATGCCGCAGGAGATGATGAACGGCTTTGTTGGCTCGCCTCCCGCCGCGTTCATGTCGCCTCCTCTTCTGCCCGCACAGGACGCCGCTGCGTTTTACGCCACCTCGCCTCCCCAGTTCCAGCCCTTCCTCCCCAGTGCATACGGAGGGCACGGCAGGAGGCAAAGCTTCGGGTTTAACAACGGCGGCATGCACGGCGGTCCCAAGCCGTACCACGGCAAGAAGCCTTCGTTCTCGGGCGGCCCTAAGCCTTGGGGACCCGGCGGGCGGCCTGGCGGCTCGTCTCACCTCGGTCAGTGGAAGGATGGCCACCCGCCTCCCTGCGCCTTCTTCCGCGAGGGCAAGTGCAGAAACGGCGAGTTCTGCAAATTCCCGCACCTCGACGCGGATGGCAATGACTGCCGCCACCCCGACGTCATCCGGGGCATCATTCCCCCTATGCCCACGCGGCCACCCCGTGTGCTCAACATGATGCACGGCCGCTCGTACCCGCAGCACCAGCAGATGCTTGCTGCGAAGCAGGCGCAGGCTGCGGCTAACGACGCGGCGGCCGAGGACGAGAGCGGCAGCGACAAGGGCTCGGCGACCTCGGCGGGTCTGCCGCCCAAGCCGGCGTCGGGCTCTCTCCCGACTTCGCGCGCCGGCTCGCAGCCGGGGCACGCGCGCATGGGCTCGCGCGCGCACTCGCCCAGCCGCCGCGGCGGCCCACGGTATGGTGCTGGCGCGGGCGGTGCGAATGGGCACGCGCATGGGCAGGCGTCGCGGTCGTCGTCTAACGGAGACAAGAAGGTCGCGCCGCAGCGCATCCCGCGCGCTGACGAGTTCCCTGCGCTGAGCATGGGCGGCTCGCCCACGCCTGGCAGTGAGCGTCGCGAGCCTTCGTGGAGCAAGACTGCGGCGCAGGTGCTCAGCGAGCCTGCGCCAATCAAACCTGAGGCAGTACAGGAGGGCGAGGAGGCCAAGGAGGAGAACAAGGAGGAGAACAAGGAGATGAAGGAGGTCAAGGAGGCCAACGAGGGCAAGACCGAGGTGAGTCTGCGGCAAGATGGCAGCGCTAAGCCGAGCTGATTCAAGTCGCACGTGACGATGGACTCGGACTCTGAGGCCGACGCTGTCATCGTGTCTGTGTCCACGACGCCGACACCTGAGGCTGCTGAGGCGGCCAAGGCCAAGCTTACCGCTGCGCCCGTGTCCTTTGCCGCTGTGATTGAGACCCCGCCCGTTGCGCTGAAGGCGTAGGCGGTCAAATATGGCCTTGATACGACTCATTCCCGACCTTGGCCTCGATACCTTGCCTCGACCTCTCGACCCCGCCCCTATCTGCCTTGATCGGCCTCGACACCCTGCCCCGACATCCACCTCGACACCCGACCCGACCCCACATCATTGTCCTAGCTAGCATCACTCGCATCCGGTCTATCGCAGCGCATCGGCTCCACCCGGCCGCTACTGCTTCTCGTTTTTTTCGCCTGTCCCCCCTCTTTCTTCCGGATCGTTCACCTTTGCCCGCTCTATCCTATATCCATGTAACATGCCCACGCGCGTCCATCTGTAGACAATGCACGTGTGGACTGTATGTGGAGTTGTGGGATAATGTCAGCTTGCCGCCCAAGTTCGGTGCGGAACCGGGAGACTGGTGGCGCCCTCCGAGAAGGAATCGGCGACGGCCGATATGCCGACGGTGTGAATCACCGCAGACCCGCAGACGGCAGGCACCGTGTTGTTTCCAGCGGAAAATGGTGGGAGCTAGGAGGTCGACTTTGGCTGTGGCGCCTTTGCTTGTATTCGCTTGAAGATTGCCTGCGATTCCTGCAACCTAGATCCAGTTGTACTTGTGTCTGGCGCCATGCAGGGAGATATCATGAGGCCCAGATCTCATCTTCCTGGCCTTCCTGGTACATATTGCGGTCAGCGGTCATAATCTAGCGCCAAGCCACGGCCACGGCTAAGGCGACAGCCACAGCCAAGCGCGCGACCATGCAAAGCATGCCACGCCCCGCCGCGCCCGCCGATAACCGTCAAATAGAACGTAGCATGTTTCGCAGCGCAGCATGTTTCGCAGGCATGAGGCACCGCGCATAGTCTACGGAGGGGCCAGACCGCGTCGGTCGGAAATGAACAGGCGGGCCGAGGCCATCAGCTGTCTTGTCGCGCGCGTCGGGAATGGGTCGAGACTTTGGCTAGAGGCTTGAGGCTTGAGGGTTCGAGTCTTGTTCATTCCGCGCATGCCGCCCAGAGCCGCGAGCCGAGCATGCAGCGGTCAGGCGATCAGGCCGCGATCAGGAGGGCGGCGGTTAGTCGTCACTGACACGGGGTACTGAGACGGAGGGACGCTTGAGACGGACAGGTTGCGGACATGCGGAGCACATGGGGCCAGTCTGTTTTAGTCTGTGGTCGTCCAGCCGTCAGGAACGTGGGCGAGTGTGGAGAGTCTGGACTGATCGACATGGAGAGAGCCGAGGGGTGCCGAGGGCCGAGTGCCGCACAGCGTCGCCATCTCATCCCATGCGATCCATCCATGCATCCTCGACGACAGCTGACGGTCGCCTCGACGCGTCGTCATGCACTCTTGTTCTCTGTCTCTTTCACCTCCTCCTCCTCCTCCTCTTCTTCTCTTCACCATCCATTCTACTCTCCATCTTATCCCACAACCCGCAACCCACATCCCTCCCCTTCACCACGCTTGCCGTGACACACCTCCTCCCTTCCTCCCCCTTGCTCATCACGCTCTCCGTGCACACCCCTCATCCCTCCCTCATCAACGCTTGGATCAAGCAACTACCCATCACACACTACCCATCTGCTCACGCGCACTGCACGGCCGCTGTCCACTTGTCCGCGGTAGTCGCCCCGCTCGCCCCCTTCGGCCCACTCACCCTCTTCCAACTCCCGACCCGAAACGGCCGACACCCATCTTCTTGCCGACTGCGACTGGCGGCTGACACTGACAGATCTCACTGCGCCCAGTCTCGTCTCTTGGCTCTTCGCTGCTGTCCTCCTCCTCCTCCTCCTCCTCCTCCTCCTCCTCCTCTCACATCCCTCGCCCTCGCCCCCGGCCAAGCTCGTCATTGCCCATTCCTCGACGGCCGTCAGCCCAAGCCCCACGCAGGCCGCAACCGTGGTCGCGACCAGACAGCCACTCCCCAGCCTAGGCCCAGGCATCTAGCTCCCGCCCTGTTTGCGCACAGGCCATTCGTCCCCCGCCACCCGGCAGCGGGGGACTCGCCACTTGTTCCAACTGCTCGTCTCCTTCTCCTTCTCCAACCGTGTTCCGCTTCAGCAGCCTTGCAACGTCGTTGCGTCGCGACACATCCCGGTCGGTGCTGACTCCGCCACCCGCCACACGCAAATACAGACGTGCCACACCCACTGCTACGCCTCATAACCACCACCCCGTCCTCGGCCAGGTCGTACCTCCGCTCGGACCATCGTTCCTCGCCCGCGCCACGAGCACAGCTCGGCTCAGGCACTCTGATCCTGTCAACGCACGCATGCCCGTCTGAGGCGCCAGTTCCAGCCCCTCCTCCACGGCCTCCACACTGTCCCGAGGCAGATTACAAACTGCCCACGCGCCTCTCTCTCTCTCTCTCTCTCTCTCTCTCATCGGCTTGGCCCTTGGCTCACAGCAACACCCACGCACACGCCCCGCACACAGCGCGCGCCGCCACACGCTCGACCCCACCTCGCACCGATCGCGCCTGATCGCCTCCCTTACCGCGCCGAGGCCATTGGCCATTCAGGACGATTAGGACAAGCACTGACAGCTGGAAAACGTGAGTGCAGGAGGAATGCGGGTGTGAGGGCGAATCAGCCAGTATTTGGCAAGCTCGGCACAGTGCAGCGGCCCATGCGCCAGGCCGTCAGTGCCGTGGCGTGCTCATGAGCTCGCGGCCGGCGTACGGCACCTGCGCACGCGCACGTATGTCGCCGCCTGTTGCCTGTAATCAGCCGCACCTCCCCTGGCACGCTGCACGCTGCATGTCGTCGCCCGCCCCTTCACTCCCGACATGTCCATGCCCATGCGCCCCGGCCTTGCCCCTGTTCCCCCCTTTGGCATCTGGCTGGCCCCTCTGGTCTGTCGCGCCTCCCTTGATCCCTTGACGACTGGCTGAGCTAGCACGAGCTGGAATGCGGGACGGTATAAATCCATGATTAAAGGTGTTGACTCTGTTTTTCCAGAACCGCCCGTCACAAGTTTTGTTGATCATCCTTGCCACTGCCCTGCCATTCGCCACAGTACCACAGTTCAGCTAGCCCTCGTCATCAACAACCCACCGGGGCCACCAACTCAACCCACCAGAGCGCCGCGCTTCACCGCGCGCCCGCGCAGCTTGTTGTTGACACTCGACCCCCACCCCCGCCTTTCCTCACCGACCACCCCGCGTTCCGCACCGCGCTCCGGCGTCCCGCCGCCACTTTCCGCCTCAACATCTCATCCCCTCCTTCCTCCCCCCTCCCCTTCCACCATGCTTCCATTGCTCGCCCGGCGCGCAACTCGTCAGCTCCTCGACTTCGGGTACGACTGGAGCTCGCCACGCGCGCGCGACCCACGCCCGTCCCAGCCCGTGTGCTGCGGCGAAGAGCACATATGCGGCTGCACGGCCCCCGGATGCAAATGCAAGGTCATGACCGTGCTGCCTGTATGCACACTGGTGAGTCGCGGCGTGGGCGCGTGCGTGTGTATGCGTGTGCGTGTGGGGGATGTTCCAACCGCCGCACACTCTCCCGGGCGCTGACCGCAGTGTTCCTCAGGCGACCACACGCGATTCTGAGCCCCACAACGCCACCATCATCGACATCCATCATTGCCGGCCCTCGGCATCCACGCACACTGCATATACTATAGTTTTTGGGATGTACATGTCATCCGCCCATCCGCCCCGCCCGCCCGCACTCGACATTACTAATTCCTCTCCGCCGCTTCGGATTCGAGAAGCAATTCGCTGCGGTCTCAGTTCACATCGCACGGACCACAAGCCCCGACATGCTCGGCTCGGCGCACGTGGTCGGGCCTTGTTCGGAACATTCTGCTCGCCTGCGTCCCGCGTCTGCGTCCGTCTGTTCGCGCGTCTGCTCGCCGCAACTGAACAGATTAAGCGGCGCCACGGCCAGGCCCAGATCGGCTGAGAGGGGCAGGCGGGCTTGGCGGCTGGCGTGCGGAGGTAGGCCAGCGGGGTGTGAGTTCGCCGCGGCCAAGTGTGGAGGGTGAGCTGTAAGAGGCCTCATGGATCCAAGGTGTGGAGGTGTCGGTGCGAGTTGGACGAAGGAGTGCCCAACCGGCCGCGTGCTGAGTCTGAAGCCAGTGTTGGCAGCATATGGCAGCGTGCGGTGCATCGGTGCCGGCCGCCATTGGGCGGATGCCGGTGATGTGCGGTGGCGAAGGTTGGTCCGCCTGCGTGTCGACTTTGCGTGTCGCCAGGTCAGATACGGCGCACTTTGCGTGTCGCCAGGTCAGCGCCATAACTGCGTCAGTTGCGGGGGAGTCGCCGCCGAGTAAGTGTCAGCTCATCCGCGTCAGTGTCAGTCCCGCCGCCGCTCCCACTCCGCTCGCCCGCACTCTCACCCCCACAACTCGCACATCACCCCACCCCACCCACCGCTCAGACACACATATCCCATCTCTATCCCACCGCGACGGCATTCGCGCCCGTCGGCTCCCACTTCTTCCGCCCGCGCGCCGCTGATCCTCCCGACGCCCCGCGCGCCGCCCACCCCGACACTTCGTCGCCGCGTGCGCGCTTCGCAGGCCGCTCGTCCTGTCGTCAGCGCACTCCCCAGCTCCCCAGCAACGCACCTTGCCCTTGACCTTGACCCGCCTCCCTCCGCGCATCTTGTACCCGGCCGGAGCCTCCTCCTCCTTCGGCTCGTCCCACGCGGCCCGTCCCTCACCGATCCCCGGCTCCGCCTCCTCCCCGCCAGCCTCCTTCTCACGCTCAGCACGCCGCTCCCGCTGCCCGCCGACGCGCTTGTTCCGCTCCGCGAGCTTGGCGCGGCGCGTCTCCCCCTTCCCGCCGCCTCCCGCCGTCAACTCCACGTTAATCCGCCGCCCGGCGAGCTGCGAGTGGTGCAGGCGCAGACAGGTCTGGAGCTCGGCGCTGCTCGCGAGCTCGAGGAACGCGATGCCGCGCGACTTAGGCGGTGCGCGGCCCGTCGCCTTCTCCGTGAGGAGGCGGACCGAGGGTGTCCGGCCTGGCGTCAGCCATGCAGTACCGAAACCCTACCGAGCTCCTTGGAGAAGTGCGCCGCGACGTCCTCGCGCGTTGTCTTGAAGCCCAAGTTGCCTGCAGTCAGCACTGTCGCCACCGCCGTCAATGACTCACCGATGAACAAGATGAAGCGCTGCTTCGACTCCTTGGTCTTTTTCGGCTTCTCCTTCTCCTCCTCAGCCTTCGTCTTCCCCTTGTCCTTGTCCTGGCCCTTCTCCTCGTCCTCCTCGTCGGCGTCCTCGGCGCGCTTCCGCTTCCGCTTGCCCTCAGGCTCCGGCGCAACGGGCGCCTCGTCGACCTCCTCGTCGTCGGCCTCGGGCACGTCGGGGATAGCGTCGGCCTTGGCCTTCTGGCGCGCACGGAACGCCGCCGCCTTCTGCTGCTTCTTGGATTGCGCTGCCATGGTAAGTGGGTGGAGGCAACTGGAGCCATGTCACAACATCCAAATATTCGGGCGGAAGCAAATGGCGATCATCTTCCCCGCCTCCACTTCCCCGCGTCCACCAATATCCATGCAAATGCCAAGAAACAGCTCGCGCAACTAATGTGCCTGCAGAATGCGGCCCGCCTCACAGCATCCGCTGCATCTCTCTTCGTTGCATTGCCCACTCCCTCAACCATGCTGATCCTCTTGCTCGCCGCAAGCGTTGTCGCCGCCTCCGCACCGCTTTATGTTCACTCAACCTCTCTAGAGGCAGTATCGCCCGTCATCCACTACTCTCCTCGCCCGGTCTGGGTCGACGCGCTTCGCATCGCTTATACCCAGGGTGCCAACTCTTCGGAGAACGATCGCGCCAACCCACCGATCATCAGCCCAGGCGTCAGGATACCGCTTCCCCCGCTCAGAGACGAGGCCCTGCAGCCGTATCGCCAAGCAGGATGGATGGGTGTGGATCGGTACAGAGATGGCTGGCGTGGCCTTCTCTATTGGCACGGTTTCGCCACTGAAGCCAAGGGAGATAGATTCACGCTCCATCTTCCGGCCGGCACCTACCGGATGGAGGTATCAGGCGAGACCGAAGGGGCACAGGTGGATGTCGACTACGACGGGATCCAGTTGAGTTCGCGCGACTTTGACCTCACGCCGACCGTGACCGGTCGGTGGTTGACAGTGAGGAGTCCTCTCAATGGCTCGGGGGTGCAAAAACTCTCGGTTACGCTTCGCGAGGGGCGAATGAATGTTACTTCGGTCGAGCTCGAGGGCACTCGCTTTGGCTACCCAGACGGATCGTACTGGAAGTGAGTACGTGACGACACCGCTGACTCAGATACACGAGAGCCTTATTGGAGGCGCGGGGGTCCGACAACGTCACCAGGACAGGTGTATGGACCAACTCCACGCGATATCAATTTGAATCCCACCTTAATCGCGAGACGAGCGAAGAGGGTGCTACAATGTCCCTCACTCTTCATCCGAACTCATCGTGGGTCAACCTCAGCGGATATTCGAACGGGACCTATACCGTCCGCTGCGATCCGCCTCCGCCCTACGACCTTGGCACCACGTACACGGGGTATCATGGACGCGCGGAAGGCACATTGTACCACGGCCCGCTCGACCCGGCGCAGCAGTACACTCTCCATGTGACAAACTGGGACGGTACGTTGGGCCTTATCCCATTCTACACGTTCCAGTACGGTTACCGCCCACAGGGCACCTCCCACCTTCGTCTCGCGCTGGGACTCGGCCTCGGGTTGGGTTTGCCCCTCCTAATCGCGGTTGCATTGTGTGTTTTCTTCTATGCCAGGTGCGTCGACGTGCCGTGCGCGCTGATATCAGGAAGAAGAGAAGGGGGCAGCGAGCGGAGAAGGCGCGCATGGAGAAGGCCGCGGTCGAGTTCGCCATCCGCCAGCCCGAGGTAAAAGACAACGACGACGTCAACGACGCCCAGCCGTCTCCCGATTGCGTGGTGTGTCTCAGCGAACCGCCAGAGTATGCCGCGGTCGAGTGCGGCCACTTCTGCATGTGCGCAGGTATGTCCGTCCCCGTCCGCCGTGCTGACGTGAGCGTGCTCCGCCCGCATTGTGGCTGGACAGAAAACGTGTCCCGTATGCAGCAAGCCCATCCTCTTGCCGCTAATGCGCATCTACTGTCCATAGTTGGGATTGGTCATCAGGTGTGTTCGCCCTGGCTGTGTTAATATCGGTTGTGTGGCAGCGAGAGAGGCACTCCCGCCCGTTCCTCAGGGCTCGACAGTAGTGCCTGATAACCTTGATTGTAAGCTTGAAATGCGTTGGAATGAATGGGATGCAGCCTTGAACCTCTCCGACTCGTCACTACTACTGCTCTTGTCCACAGAGAATCTCATAAAGGTCTTACGAAGATCCGTGTATATCCAGCCCGTCGCAGCCGAAAAGCCACCTGTCAGCGAATTGTGGCTCACTGGAGTCAATTGGCGCTCGAGGCGTGGGGTTACGTCCCATACACTGAGCGGCAGCCCATCATCGTGGTATCGATCGTGGGAGCAAGCTTGTCAGTGAGCCTAATGCCAAAGGCATTCAAGTTCAATAGCGGTTGCTGTCATCCACCTGGGCTGGTGGTGCGCAATAGCAGTGCCGGGCGGATCGGAGGAGGCGGGTGCAGCCGGCTTGACTCAAGGGTGTCCTGCCTAGGTGTGCCTTGACGCGATGGCCGCAGGGCCACCGCACATAAGCGGAGCGGCGATGTTCACACGTGTGGAACCGCCCACCACCTCTCGCCACCATGCTTTCCCTTCTGCTGCTGGCGGCAGGCGCACTCGCCGCAGATCCTTACTTTCTCTTGCTCGATCTGTCGGCCCTCAGCCCGCTGCTGCGCTACTCTCCACTTCCGGGGCAGAACACGACCGCCGACCAGTGGACCGCGATCGAGAACATAACGGATGGGACAGGCTCGTCGGACATGCCGATGCGGCTATTCGGCGGCGCATCCGTCTCCTTCTCCATGCCCGCTGGCGTCAGCGTGTGGGTGTACGGCGACCTCTCCGGCGAGGCGGCCGTCACGGTCGATGGCGAGCCGGCTGACGCGAGCATCGTCCAGACGCAGAATATATACGTGCGCTGGCTCACCCTAGAAGTCCCGGGGGGGGTGGGGCCGCACAATGTCTCGGTGACGGTGAAGGGGAACGCGAGCGTGTCCGCGATCTCCGGTCATCGACAAGGCAACGGCGAGATCTGCTTGAGCTCAACCGGGCCGCACGATCGCTGCTTCGAAGGCCACTTTGAGGGCTGGGGCTCCTACAAACCGATAACGGCGACGCTCACGGGATCCTGGCTGATCAGTACGACCGGCCCTCGCCAACGCTGACGACAGCGGACAGCAAAATCGCAGTGACGCGTGACCCCGGCGCGAGCGCGCTCATGCAGGTGCCGTCTAACGCGAGCTGGGTCGAGATTGAGGGGTGGAACTCTGGTTCCTACGAAGTGCGGTGCATGCCCACGCCGCCCAACTCGACAGCCGGCGCGATCACGTACAACGGATACGTGGATATGTCGGGCAGATGGAAACCGGACCTGTTGTATGCTGCCGAGCTCGACCCTCACATCAAGTACGCAGTCGAGATTACCCACCGCTCCAACACAACTGCCGTGAGGCAAATGCAAAGTTGGGTGTACGTCCCCAAGCCCAAGTCCAATTTGAGCCTCGGCATTGGAATTGGAGTGGGCGTCGGTATGGTGGGTTCCCTGAAGAGCGCGCTGATGGCAGGGTGTGCTGCTCGCAATGGCGCTGGTGTACTGGTGTAGGCAGAGGTACGTGTCGGCGTGTGGAAGTAAGGGCGGGATCATGATTAACGGCAGGCAGAGGCGGAAGCAGCGGGCAAACACGCATGTCGCAGCAGCTGCGGCCGGAGACACAGAATTTCCGAAGGCAGAAGAACAGACGGTCACAGAACTTTGCAAAGTGTGTAGAGATCGGCAGCCCGCGTTCGCCGTGGTTGAGTGTGGTCACCTGTGCATGTGCTCTCGATGCGCGCGGCGCATCATGGCGGAACGTGCCCGCTGTCCGGCATGCAACGTCGCAATCGTGCAGCAGCCCGTGCGCATCTATCGTCCTTAGCACTGTATCCTACATAATGATGTAATTTGCTTGGCATGGAGACACAGCAATTAAACTGCCGACGGGTTGGTGGAAGGACGCGTTTGAACGTGCTCTCAGACTAAAACGAAAGCGTGCTGGTAAGTCATCAAGGCTGCGTCAGTAGATCTGGACTGAATCAGTGGAGGGTTGAAGAGACGTGTCGGCCAACCAGTTGAGCATTTGTGTTGGGTTCACCGATGTTGGCAGGGGTCGGAGACCGGAGGGCGCATGGTCCGAGTAAGTGGTGATGAAAAGGGAAATAGCGGCGGGGAAGTTGATGCAAAGAGGCAGGAGACAGAGGGGTGTGGTGGGTGCGCGAGGCAGTGTTGAAGAATGCCCAAGCTCAAACAGGTGACATGCACACGAACTCACAAAACGGCATCGGTTTATCACATGTGCGCTCAGCTGATCGCGGCATGAGGGCTAACTGAGGTATGCATGTGACCCCGAGGTATATGGCTGGCCGGGGAACCAGCTCAGGCGAGCAGTCTACACGGCATACTTCTGTCAGCTTGGCCCCAGCGAACGTCAGCTCACCATCTTGGTGTACTCGGCAGCCTTCTTGTCGAAGGCGGGCCGGTTGGTGACGTACTGCTCCGCCTGGCATTAGACGTGACATAATACCGCGGACTCACAATGGAGGTAACAAGCGGGTCCTCCGGGTTTGGGTTCTCAAGGAGATCGTACAGTGAGAGCAGAACTACGTGAGCTGATGATGCTATGAGAGACGCACCAGACGCCATCTTTGTCGAAGGCTTCCATGTCTCGGCCTTGAGGACACCGATGCAGATGCTGCGTAAGCCATTGTAGCACACAAACACTCACTTGCCATCGCTATCGATGTTCGGGTGGTACATCTTTGTGACGAACTTGAGCTGCTGTCAGTCTGGCCCTGTCCACAACACGAACCGTCGGTGCCTTGAACGGGAACTCGTATCCAAACTTGACGCTCAGTCTGAACTTGCCACCAGAGTATGGCCCGGGCTGCATTAGAGTGACGTGACGTGGAGGAGACTCACTGGCCCAGCCATGGTCACGTTCCACAAGAGAAGGTTGTCGCCCTCGATCTCGATGTCAATATTCGTGAGGGGGTTGGCGCGGAGCTCGCTAAGTTCCTGACGTTAGGCAGGCGACCGGATAGAACGTACACGCTGGGCGCGCTTGACGGCTGCAGAGGACATGGTGTCGAGAATGGAGATGGAGTGAAAGGAAGAAGCGAGAATGACGGAGGTTGACGTTGACTTCATCGACACCGCTCGGTGGCACCGGTCGGGGCGGTCTGGGGCCTCCACACCGGAACCAAATCACAACCTCCACCGGCACACATGGGGTGGCGAGGGCAATCACTCGCCAGGCACGATCAATTCAGACGCGAATCCATCTCCCCTCAACTTTCCCCCCTTAGGACGCGCGCATGCAGCTGCTAGCTCCCTTCATTACTCTTCTCACTTTAGACGACCGACTCCTGTGACACGGCAAGCGCCATCATGCGATTGCATTTGGCACCACTTCTCCTCCTCCCTCTGGCGGCAGGCAAGTCCGAGTGCCTGCCCTCTGGCGACGAGCGGCCCATCAATGAGGCCTTGTCGCGAGGTAGGTCTCGAGATGTCGCCAGCTAACACCAGGCGGTGCCGGTGCAACAGTCACACTGTGCCCCGGCTCGGTGCACCACCTGTACGCGCCGATCCACTTTACCGCGCCGAGGCAGACGCTCACCACGTCCGGACAGGTGGTGGGGCACGACCGCGCGATGATTATTGTGCAGGGCGAGGAGCAGTCCGTTGCGATCTGGTAAGTCCGCCTTATGGACCTTCCTTCATCCAGGCCCGAAGCTGATGGCAGTGGCGATTGTCCCGGTTGCGACTATTTGACGGTTTCTGACGTTATCATTGACGGCAATCGCCCACAACTGCTGCGCATTCCAAAAGGCGAGGCGCTCATCGAGATGGGAAATGCCGATGGACATCGCGTCACAGGGTGTAGGCTGTACGAGCCACGAGGCTGGAGCGCACTTCACATCCGCGAAGGCGACCGGAAACAGTGCCGGCGTGCGCACATCGACAACAACGTCATCGTGAGTTGGTTAAGACAGAGGTGTGCTGACGACAGGGACCTTGTGGCGAGGAGTGGGACGAGGAGTACGACGGCTTCGTGGAGAAGGAGCCCGTGTGGGGCAACCCGCGCGCCGACGGGATCAGCCTCGCGTGCAAGGAGTCCGTGGTGGAGCACAATGTCGTGTTCGACACGACAGACGGTGCGATTGTCATCTTCGGGTCTGCGGGGAGTGAGGTCCACTCGAATCATGTGTACTCGCGAACACGTGTAGTGCTCGGAGGTGAGTTTACCGGGGAGCTGTGCTTACACTAGGCATCAATCTCGTTGATTATGAACCGTGGGACGGCGACTACTCGGGTACCAGAGTGCACGATAACAAGATTATGGCGCCTAGCGGTTTCCTCAAAGTCGGCATTGTTATCGGCCCGAGCTCTTGGTCCGATGACACCGACACGAGCGTGTTCGGCGGTACGGTCGTTGACAACACTTTCTCCGGCCAGCGCTTCGGGTACGCCATGGTAGTCAGCAGCGCGCGGGATTTTACTGTGTTGCGAAACGCGGTTTTGCCAGGCTCCGAGTTCATCGGCGTGCCCGGAGTGACGTGCCCCACCGCGCCAGAGAATGGTCCGCCCCAAGCCTTCCTTATCAACCGGGGAAGCGCGCACGGCACCTTCCAGCCCGAGTTTGCTAATGGCGAAGTGCAGCACAGTGAGTTCCCTCCCCTGCAGAGCTAACGCCAGTCATCTGCATCAACCCCCCGCCATATCGCGAGCGGACATACAAGCCATGGCGGCTGCGCGATGCGCCCGAGGCGATCGCGGCGCGCGCCGCTGCCGAGGTGGAAGCCAACCCGAACTCGAAGCTGAGCGAGCGCGTTGCCGACTCCCTCGTGGCGTACCAGTACGCGCTGCTGGACGCGCTCGAGCGCATCTCGAACGTGACGGCCGAAGAGCCGGCAGAGGGGACGGACGCGTCGCCGACCGACGAGCGCCTGTCAGCCCTCGAGCGCGGCGACAAAGAGCTGCGCAAAGAGCTCGCGAAGCTCAACCGTGCGGTGGCAAAGCTCACAGGCAACGTCGGCGAGGCGGCGGAGGCGCGCAGCCCCGTCCTCAAGAGCGTGTACGAAGCTGTGCGGCGGCGCCCAGATCCCGTGCCGGTGCGCGCGACGCCGGCGACCCACGCCGCCAGCGTGTCCGTCGGTGTCGTGCTGTCCGCCGGCGCGGTGCTGGCGCTCGCGCTGGCCTTGCTGCGGAGGTGGCGCCGCTCCGCCGCCAAGGGATTGAAGTCGCGATAATGGGTGCGTTCCTCTTTCCCGGCGTAGATATTCCGCAGGTGCAGGTATAACAGGAGTACTTTAGATCCAGTATAGATGTATGCTCGCGAGGTGTACGGTACCCCTGGCTCCCCTACCTGTCGCACGGCTTCACACGTCGCACTGTAACGTGCGTACGACACGGTTGTGGCTTGTCTCACTGGGTGTCCGTGGTCAGCTCGCGGCCCGCCGTGGCTCAAGATGGCACACGGCACACGCACGACTCCGGCTATCTGATACACGACGGCCGCCAGGTCCGTGTTCCCTGGACCCGGACTGGAGCCGATCGCCAGACGTACGACGCCGCTCGCGTGCCGCAGCGTTCCTGCTGGAGCATGAGTCATGCAAGATGGTAACAATAGGTGCAGATGTCGACGTGCAATGCCGATGTGCCTGAGCCGTAGCACAACGGGGGCCTGACGACGAGCATGCGAGTACGGAATATACCGAACGAGCTGACTGCGCTTTGTGCTGCCGAGTGCCTTGTGCACGGTCAACAAGGCCGTCTCGCTCGCCACCAGCTCGCGCGTCTTCGTCACAACACCTATGCCAGAGTCACATCCCGACGCCGCAGCCTCTCATCAGCAGCCGACGGAACCGATGCATGCCCTATAAGCCCATATGTTTACACGGGAGACTGAGAGTGGCGGCAACGCCGACCGCCTTCTACTTTTGACGGGTAAAATACACTGGGCGATTATGCTACTCTGAATGCGTGATACTGTGGTAGATGGCTTGGATATCAGGTCGAGCCTGCGATGACGGAGATAAGTGCGAGTGAGTAGTGGGGTTTGTAGATGGAGGCGGTCATAGCCCCGGTGGGTACAACAAGCCCGTGGGAACGATGATTTGGCCGTCATCGCGCGCCAAGAAGATGGCCCGGCGTTCGCCCGCGCTGAGCACTGGCTCAGACGCAGCCATGACCTCGTTGCTGGATGTCAGCTAATGTTGACGGCGTATGATTCAACTCACCAGCGCACTTCGTTGTGGGCCGCTGGCTGGTCGCCGTAATACACGTCGAACCGGGGAGTATTGTCTGGATGCTTCTCAAACTGCTTGCCATACCTTGATGTTAGCGGTATTCTGCTCGCCTTTGGACACAAGCGACAACTCACATGACAACGAGCGGAAGACTCGTCATAGAAGTATACTGGTGGTTATACTTGTTGGGGACCTTCTCGGCGCTCATATGCGGCGAAATGACACGGCTGACGACTGGGAAGGGCGTGTACGGGCCAATGGGCTCACTCGCGTACGGCGGGATGTAGAAGGTGTACTCGATCTGCTCGGTCGAGACAATACTCCAGATGCACACGTCCCCAACGTCGATTGTCCAGTAGTAGCGCTCGGCGGTCGCGTTGCTACCGATGTGGGCGTTGGCAAGGTGGTCGAAGGACTGAGAGGTGTGCAACGCCGAAATGTCGTGGGACGAGCGCTTGCGGTGCGCAGGTGGGCGCGAGAGCGGCCCGCGGCTGCTGGACGATCCGGTACGCTGGCGGCGCACTGGACCCGACTCGCCAGTCGAGGGAAGCTGAATCTCGTTCTGCAGCGGCGAGAACAGGGACGACGACGACGCTTTGCGGCTGTGAGCGCCAAAGTACTCGGCCGACCCCTGGGACGAGTTGGGGCTAGCATCGTTGGAGGGCAATCCGATGGTGGTGTTGTGAGGAGTCATCGGGAGCACAGCCTGGGTCCGGAATGGTGTGTTGGGCGCCGAGGAGCTCGGGGTCGCGCGTCCGTTGCGGCCCGTCACTGGAACCGCTTTCCACTGACGGTCCTTCGGCATCGTGACATGCTGCGAGCGCACAGTCTCCTGGTCACACGAGAGCCAGTTGCCCGCCCATCTGTGATCGCGATCGTACTCCTCAAATTGCTTGGGGTTGTACACCTCGAAAGCGACCTTTTGGAGCTGCGATACGGGGTGGCCGGCGAGCTCGCCGTACGGGCTCGCAACGTTGGCCTCATTCGATGTCCCGTCCATGCCAACCACGTCCGAGCCGTCGTCCCCTCTACGAATAACGAGGACGGGCGAGATGATTCCAGTCTGAAGCGACTGGAGCACAATAGTCGAGTTGTAGCGAACCGGAGGTGCCCCGTGGTGGACCGGGATTGCATTTGCTGGCAAGTTGGGCCATCCCGGGTTGGGAGACGCGATGTTGCTCAAGCCAGCATTCTTGGTGGGGTCGACAAGGTAGATAATGAACGACTCCCAGTTGCTAGCCGTGACAGTGAAGCCCTGGAATGTTGGGTCCGCGTTCGTCACGGACGGAGGCACCGTTCCCGTGGCGGGTTTGCCGTCAGAACCCTTGTACGTCGTCAGGTCCACGGGAACCGAGAGGTAGCGCGTAGACGAGGTCTGTGACTTGACGCGATTGAAGAGGGCTATGGTTGAGCCATGCGAGATAATGACTGTTTGATCAGTGACTGTCTCGTATTCGACCAAAACTCACGGTCAGCCGACTTGCTGTTCGACTTCTTCTTGCTCGGCTTGGATATGACCTTGATCTCCTTGCTGTGGAACACGTAGAGGGGAGCGTCATTGTCGGCAGATCTACTCGACCAGTTGTGGTGATGGTTGGGGTTGAGAGGCGGTTTGACAGTCACCACGGCCTTGACTTCACGACGCTTGCTGTCGAGGTCCGAGATGTGGAGGTTCTTGCCGGGCACGTTACCCAGGAAAGGACGATCCTCGGCCGTGATCATCTGGGTGTGGATCTTGTCATCAAGGGGCTTGTTGTCCATCGTGATCCACGCAACGTGACCATCCTTTGCGGGGGTCTCACCCTCGAGGCTGATGTTTACACGCGGGGCCATTAGTGGCGAAACCTGGCATCCGTCCTGCTTGGATGGCGTGAACCAGGTCTTGCCCACAAGAGTGGCCTGGGGGTGAGGACACAGGAAGCGCTTCTCGTTGCCGTAGCTCTTCTGTCCAACCTTGGGGGACATGATGATAATCTTGCACTCGCCAAAGTCAAGGCGATTCGGAGACTGTTGGTACATCTGCACAGCATGCCTGACAAGGTTCGGCGTGTTGGGGTCGCGGGGAGCGCGTTCAATGTTTGGCTTAATGTCCGGAGTGGCGCGCAAGTGATGACCAGGCAGATGATGTTGCTGTGCCTGATTGAGATGCTGCAGCTGTGGAGGGACCTGATGGTGGACTCCATTCTGCGCTTGAGACTGATTCTCGATGGCCAAGGCGCGTATGTTGACTTCCATGTCGTTGCCCCAGTCATGCTCGGTCGAGCTAGCCGAGACCGAGGATTGACGGCTGTAGAGGTCGCTGAAACTCTTCGTCGGCTTGAGGGCCTGATGGGGGAGCTGCGATGGTGAGATAGTGCCCGGGTACAGTGGAGGAGTAATGTTGGGTGGCGCCATGGAGCCAAGGTCGAATGATCCTGTGGGGAAGTACATGTTCTGCTGCTGCATAAAGTTCTCAAAGCCTCCCATCCCGGCCATCCCAGTCAATTCCAACCCCGACTGGGGTTGAGACAGTGCTGATGGGGGTTGGGAAAGGGCTGATGGAGGTTGCTGGAACTGTTGAGGCATCTGGAACACTTGCCCAGTCGTGTCGAGGTTGAGCGACGGGCGCTGGAACGGAGTGTGTTGCTGCAGGTGCTGTTGCTGATGGTGGTGGTGGTGGTGGTGGTGCTGCTGCTGCTGCAAGTGCTGCTGCTGCTGCTGCTGATGTTGGTGCTGCTGCTGCTGCTGCTGCTGTTGTTGTTGAAGGTGCTGGTGCTGAGAAAGCCCGAACTGCGCCTGGTTGGTGAAGCCGAATGCGGGGTTGGAAGCCTGGTTGGGCGCGAACCCCATGGATGCCGCGAGGTTGTTCAGTTCTAGAGCGCTTGGCATAGCGCCGAGATCGGCAGGGTTCCCTGGATCGAGACCGAGGCCATTGCCTTCCTCTGTGCGGGGCTGCATGCCCATCTGTGGCTGAGTGGCAAAGGAGACGGGCTGGACGTTGTAAAGAGTTGGACGACGAGGTGATGGAAAATTGGGATAGAGGGTTGTTGCACGACACGATCGTGGAGGGGCGGGCGAGGTGGACACGGGAGAGAGGGAGGGCGTCAGCAATGGGGACCGGGAGCAGGACGAGGACGAGGACGAGCCGTTCAAGTATCAGGCGCAACTCACTCCGTTCTGCTGTTGTGCGCTACTCCACATCCCTGGGACGAGGCCTGGAAGGAAGTGGTCAGAGGGGAAGGTGGTGGCGCTTGACGGCCCTTGGGCGGAATGCAGTTGCAGATGAAGGGGTTGGGGTCTCTGCGCCGGTGAAGGAGCCGTCGAAAACGCCGGGGTAGACGTGGATGAAAGAATGGAGAGAGGAAACGACGGTGGTGAGGGGTCAGATGATGATGGACCAGAGTCGTTGAGCGAGATTGGTTGTGGTACACTAGCTGTGCAGTGTCAGCGAAGATTGCAAGCAGATTGGAGAGAGGGAAGGGATCAGGCTAACAGTGCAGAATGTCGGCAAGTGGGGCGTCCATGCCGAGGGAGGGGGTGAGGGAGAGGGAGGAGGGGGGAGGGGAGAGGGGAGAGGGATGGGGTGGAAGGACGGGGCGTTGATGGATGGCGATGGGACGGATGACGACGGCTAGTCTCGTTTCTTTTTGGGTGCAAGTGCTGGATGAGGAGATGGGAGCGGGGCAGGGATTAATAGTCGTGGTAGAGAGAGGAGGCTGCGAGTGCAATGTCTAAGCGCGCCGTCCCTATAGCCTCATTACGGCTCGGGAGCGGGGTCGTGTGTGGTCGGGGGAAAGGGGCCTAGGGGGGCAATGGCAATGCCGAGCGCTTGACAGAGAGAGAGAGTGGGAGAGAGAGAGAGAGAGCGCGGATGGGGTGCGGAGGCAGCGCAGACAGGGCACCGCTTTAGAATAGCAAGTGTGTGGAGAGTTGTCTGTGTCCAAGAGTGGTGCGAGGGGCAATGGGATGGAGGTTGATGAATGAACGAACGTAAGGGCGCGATTCGAATTATGCGCGCGCGCGCGCAGCCAGTAGGGACGGGGATGGGGGGATTGGACTGGGAGGATGAGAGGATGCAAGGGAGCCGAGCAAGCAAAGGAGCAGTGTGCAGACAAGTGACGGACAAGAGAGGTGTAGTAGAGTAGAGGTGACGTTGAAAGAGGAGGAGTGCGATTGTTGTTGGATGAATGAATGAAAGAGAGAGAGAGAGAGAGAGAGAGAGGATGAAAGAGGATGAAAGAGAATGAGAGAATGAGAATGAGAGAGAGAAAGAGAGAGAGCGGGAGGAAGGTGGCTGGGTTGATGCGTGTCTCACAGAGCGAGCTGCTTGGCCGGCAGCCGGCAGGTAGCTAGCTCGGCCTGGAAGCGGCAAGGGCAAAGGACTAAATGGGTTTTGGGATGGAATGTATTGGGCAATTAGGCTAGACGCTTACTTGATTGATACGCGGAACGACGGCGTTGTCCTCTTGGTGTCTGTGCGCTGCTTAATCGCCGGCGGACGCTCGGGCGGAGAGGAGTGGAGCGGAGGGGCGTTTGGATGGATGATTGAGTGGATGGGCGGGTGGCTGCAGATGCACGGATGGGGCCGTTCAAGGTTAGGCCGCCAGTGGGGGGTTGGGGACGAGTCTTGTGATGGCGGATGGCCGTGTCCGGCGAGGAACAGGGCTATCAAGTGTAAATGCGGTTTGGGAGGAGGAGGAGGAGGAGGACGAGGAGGAGGAGGAAGAGGGGGTCAAGGCTTGTGTGTGGGTGTGTGGAGAGATGGAGGAGAGGAGGGGGGAGATGTGATGAGCGCCCGATGAGCGATGGGGAGGAGGGAGGAAGGAGCGATGAGCTATGAGCGATGAGCGGAGGAGCGGAGGAGCGGAGGATGTGCAATCAGCCGGTATTACCTGGCTGGCAGCTGGCAGCTGGCCTGGGCCGACGTGCGCCGCGTCCAAAGGCAGCAAAGGGGGGCTTGAGGAAAAGGGGTATGTGGCTAATGTGGGGGTGACACTGGGGTTCACCACGCAGAACACGGAGGATCCTTGCCGAGCAAAGGGCCCGGTCCGGGGTAAAACGCTAATAATCCACACTTGATCTAGACGATGCCTCTACGCTAACCGCCCCAGTCGATCAGCTCGTTCTTTGATCTTTACCCGTACAGTACAGTACGTGTGGCGTGGCGTTGGTGCTATAGCCGTCAGTGTCTTTCCAAGCAAGCAAATCACGCGAGGTTACTTGCTGGCAAGGGACAAGACCAACCAACCTTTGACCTTGACAATCGACAACGCAGCCGAAGTTCGGTCCGGGGGAGCGGCGGCAGGGCGGGCGAGCCAGCGGGCGGGCGGGCGGGCGGGTCGGACGGAGTATGCTTGGCCGAGGATGCTAGATCTTACTCGACAACGCAGGCTGGCAAGCTAGCAGATGGTCGACAACGAGGGGATTTTTTTTGGGGGGGGGGGGGATGATGTGACGCGGAGTTGTAGGAATTTGTATGCCGGACGACTTGAGCAGCTGTACAAGTACAAAAGAGAGCAGAGTGGCAAGTACAAGTACAAGTACATACAAGGCAAGGCAAAGCGAGGCTAGGCCAAGATAGGTATCGCTGGCGTCGCTCATGTGGTTGGCGGACGCTCATCGTCGGGGCGACTTGGCGGCCTGGCAGAGGTGCTTGAAGATAGAGACAGGCACTGGCTGTCTACAAGGGTTGTTGGCTTTGGGTCGGGAGCAAGAAGGGCCAGCCAGGGCATCGATATGCATCCGCAAGATGGCCGGGAGGGGAGGCATGGGGCGACGGCGTGGCACGGGGACAGGACGAGAGCGAGTGCCTGGAGTTGGCGCTGGCTGGCTGGCTGGCTGGCTGGCTCTGGAGCTCGAGCTCGACCTCGAGAGGAGGCCGAGGAGCTAATGCTGGAGCTGCAGGCAAGAGACGCATCAGACCGAGGTTTAGCAGCGACCCAAACGATCCAACGAACGTCGAGATGAACGGTGGAGTCAGGGGGTGCGGTATGTGGCATGCGGGCATGTGGAGAGAGGGCAGGGCTTACGTCGCTGGCTGCCTCTTTTCTCCCTGATCGAGCTGGAAGCCTGAAGTGGACGCATGGACGAGCGCTCGTCGAGCTGATTCATCTAGCCGTTGCGGCGTCGCGGCGCTTTCTCTTGTCGTCAACTTGTCAGGGACACAATGTCGGCGGATCACGAGCCAATGAAGACTCGAGCCGAGCGAGACAAGAGCAGTGGTGGGCGGAAACAGTCGGCCGCTTTCGTCCATGAGGCCATGAGGCCATGAGGCTATGAGGCACAGAGGACAGAGGCACCTCAGCGTGGCATGTCCCCTCTACGTAGACTTCTGGCTCTCTGACCCTCTCTCTCCTCTGCCCCCGCCCTGGAACATGAGCGAGCTCGTGGCGTGGTGGTGCGGAATTCTCACGTCACGCTTCAAACTCGTCCCGAGCCACCTACGAGCGCCCAGCGCCAGCTGACCAGCTTGCCCTTCCGATACGATCCGTAATCCGCAAGCATCCGCCCTTTGCCCACAAGTCTCAGTCATCAAACACCCTGGCATACTGGCACCCAATATCCCGGATGCGTCCACTCTGGCTCTCTGGCTGGCGCTCTGGCTGGCTCTCTGACGGCGTGGCGACTGGCTCTGGCTCTGGCTCTGGCTCTGGCTCTGGCTCTGGCTCTGGCGGCGGGGCACGAGGCGGGGGTGGCGGTAGAGGGCGGACGGTGAGGCGTGCCTGCTCTGTGCTGCCTCGTGATCACGACGCAAAGCCCAGGGCCAGTGGCCGTGCGCGCCCACGAGCCTGCACGAGTCTAGATCCGCAGGGTACCGCAGGGTTCTCGGGGATTTTACCCTGCCGAACGTGGGGAAGAACAAGGCCAGCTCGGCCCCACTTCGGCCCGCCCACCCGGCCCATTCCAGTGTTTCCCGGGTGCACCGGCTGCTCGGCTGTCGGCGTCGTCTGCTGGCTGTTGGGCTGTTGGCTTGGCTGCTGGCTGCTGGCTGCTGGCGGTCGTCCTGCCTTCCAGGCTCCTGGCTGACATGCTCTGGACAAGGGGAAACGGCCCTGTTTCGGTTGTTCCTGGTCGTCGTTTCAGCGAGTTCATGGACGACGCTCGCAGCCCTTCGGCGACCCGGCGACCCCCAAATCTCGCCTCTCGAGAACGAGCACCGGCCTACCGCCAACTCCCTGCACGTAAGGATGCTGGAACAAGAGCAGGCCTGCCGGGGAACCTGTGCCTCACAGATCACAGAGCTCGAAGGAATGCGTCAACTATCAGAGGGTAGATCCTCGGAGCTCTCTGTCATCCCGTGGACAGGAACGGTGGCCTGTGGCCTCGGTCTGCGGACTGAGGCATGTCAGATGTACATATGTACATCTGTGTCTAACGTCTGCATCTATCTCTTCTTCTCCTCATCAAACTCCGCCTCAAGATGCGCCTTCAGTGCAGGCATTGACGCCGCCGCCTTGCCGCATTTGAAGCATGTGAGCGGCGCCTTGAGCAGGGCTTCTTTGGCTGGCAGGGTCTGATTAGCGAGGGAGGATGGAATGGGCACGTACTTCTGCGCGCGCACGCGCTTCTCCCGCGTCGATCCAGCCGCGCACTTGGCGCAGGCTTACGAGAAACCCCAGGTCGGGCCGGAACGAGTTGTAGTGCTTCTTCGTTTTGAGGGAGGGGTGGCAGAGGTCGTCGGAGATGACGTGGAGGTGGAGGTGGCTGGGTGAGTGCCGGCGGAGGGGCGAGGGGGGCGGAGCGAGAGCGAGCCCCGGAATGGGCGTGGAAAGGGGAGGGAGGGGATTGGCGGGGTCGACGGACGGGGGAGGATCGGGAGGAGAGGAGGCAGGCAAGAGAAAAGACGCTAGGGCTGGACGTCTGCAGAACACTCAATTAGATCCACTACTCACTGCATCGATGGCACGGCATGAAAGCCCATATGCACGCCCCACGCCTTCCCCGTGGTCTTGACCATCTCGTCCTTGATCATCTCCTCGACCTCCGCCGCGGCCTCGGCCAGCGCATCAAGTACGGCGCGCGGCGCGCGGCTGCGCAGCAGAGACGCGAGGTCATGCAGGTCCCGCTCACTGCCTTCCAGCGGCGGCGGCAGCGGCAGGCGCGGCAGCACAAGCACATGATATGCGGCCTTGGGATACTTGTCAAAGATGGCGATGGCGGCCGGCGTTTCGAGGAGCAGCGTGGAGGGCGGGAGGGAGCTCGGACGCGGGAGGCGCGCCATGTCGCGCAGCGCGGAGAGCGAGAGCGCCATCGCGGCCGGGAGGTGGGGAGGGCGGGGGAGGAGGTGGACAACCTGAAACGAGTGACGGTGGATGATTGCGATAAGCGGTATCGGAGGAGGCCGTGGGAGAGTGGACTTGGGGCTGATACTAATGGACACTGTAATGTGTTTCAGAATAGCTAATGGTCCATCATTAACCCCCAATCCGCGTGGTCGTTAGGCTCACTAACCTCGCCCAAGGACCACCGTTCGCTTTCCAGTTCATCTCCCCCGCCATGTCATCGCGCAATCCCAACACGGCCCAACGGCCCGACCCACCATCTGCCGACACCTTTCCCGACTACTCTCCGTGCCGGGCAGCGTCTCATGTGACCGATCCAGGCATCCAAACCTTGTACCGCCGCCGCCACCGACCTGAAGCTCCTTCTAGCTCAGGGCGCCGAATCTTCAGGCTGCCCCTCAGGGCGCGTCACATGCCCGCCCCAACATGCCTTCGACACATCCGCACTGCTTCCGGATCGGCACCGCAGTCCGACCATGTGGCGCCGCCACCTTCCGGCGGAGCGGACAAACAAGATCTCGCCGGCCTCGTAGACGGCTGTCTGGAACGCAGATGCCATGCCACAATGGCTGCACGGCTCGTGCCGGCCACATGCCAGCGCTGCCGGCCACATGCATGGCTGCCGCCGACATGCCATGACAGGCGTAGGCCCCGGCCGAATGACGGCTATCTGTAACGTCAGCGGCGCGGCCGTGAGAGAATGCGACGGCAGCGAGCTCATCGAGTTCGGCGATCCCATGGCGTGCTCGAGAAGCGGAGTCGGGCGAGCGCGCCCAGCCCGGTGGCGCCGGAGCAGATCACCAGTCTCCGAACCCGTTAATCGAAGCGCCCCGACGGGCATGGGCCGTATCACATGGGTGCGCAGCCGCGGCTACAGGCCCAAGCCCGAGGTCAAGCCCGCAGGCCGCAGGCTCGGCGCTCAGCGGGTGGAGCCAGCCACCGGCGGATCGGCAGGGAGGAGGGTGGATCTTGCCGCGAGCGCGCGACGAGCGCTCTTCGGGCACCGATGCTCGGACACGCGCATTCCACGTATGATTGTCGCGTATGATTGTCGCGTTGAGCCGGCCCTGGTCCGAAAGTGGCAGGATCGCCACAAACAATGGGCACAGGGAAACACGCTCCACACTAAAGATTACTGCGGCCGCACAACTGGATCTGGGCAGGGCCTACACCTGAGCGCTCGAGTTGGAGCGATACAGCGATATTGCCGTGATAACGACGATGAAAGCGCTGGTATCGGCCCGATGGCGTACGCCTATCGCGCTCCCATCGGGATCGTCATTTCTTGGCCAGACGTCACCGCACAGCACACGGCTCCACGCACATGTGGGGCGATCTCAACTTTGTACACGCGGTCATCATGGTAGCGACGAGTGGTGGGCTCTCACGCAAGTGGCGACAGGTATTGGAGTCTAAGCGAGGCCAATGTCGCAAGAGACCAACAGCGGCGCTCGCCATCTTTTCCCCCTTCGCGTTCAGATCGCTCCTCCCACCGGGAGTCCCTTCCCCCGCGCATCGTAAGACTGCCGTCTGCGTTCTCAGAGAGAAACCTCTGTCCGAAGGTTCGTACGAAGATCGCGCATCCATGGCCCTGCCTCTCGCGGCCACGGAGCGTCGCACCGACTCGGTTGGGTGATGGGATAGGATACTCTAAGCAAACACAGCCTCGAACGTTCTTGCAAGGATCAAGGCAATCCTCCTGTAAAGACCCAGAGGCCGCTCAAGGATTCGAAAAGCAATGCTCTTCGCCTCCTTACTACTTCACCTGATTTATTCACCCCGTTATAAACCAGTACCCACTGCCACCTCTTATCCCTCCGCGCACCCAGCCGGACAATACACCCTCTCGCATCTACCCCGCTTTTTTGCTGTCGTTCTCAAGTGGCACCGCCGTCGCGAACTGCTTGGGATCATACCTCAGTCAGATGTGCGGCAGCCGACTTCAATAGCGGAGTCACATATTCCGAGATTTCGCCCAATTTAATGAATTTACCCAGCCATCTATGTCAACTGTCTTAAAGTTACCACTGAGCAAGAACGGTGCATTCTGGCGGCTGGACAGGGGCTGTTAATGCAGTTAGAGCTAGAACATGCTCTACCCCGCCGCTCTACGACAATGCACAAGCTGGACGCGGCATACGGCTGCCGTGGGCAGAGGTGATGCAGGAGTGATTTCCACTCACGTGAGCAGTGCCCCCTGAAGGCGGGGCGAGAGTGGGTGTTTGTGAAGCAGCGAGAATGTCTCTGGACATTTGTAATGAGGATGGATTCTACGATGCCTTGCTCGGCCAAAGTTTAGCTCCGAGACAAGCACGTGAGAACGCCGGCTCTTGGCTTATGCACTCTTTACATTGTCCGAGTGCTCCAGCGCTTAACCGGGTCCCAAGTGTCCCGGATGCGGATGGTGCCAACATGCCGCACACTGTCAGCCCTAACACCCCCCTTGACAGACCTTGCCCCTGTTGACGCAAGATCAAGATATCCGGGACAGAAAATTCTTCATAGCCCACAGTCTACCCTCTTCTTCACCAGGGTCTGTCTGCCCCGCGACTCGAGCATGCAAGAGCGGACGACAGCACCTCCATACTGATTCAGGTTCGCGACTTATTTTAACCGTAGCATGAAATCTTGAAGTTATCAAGTGACGTCACCCCATCCACCAACCTCCACCAAGGACGTCACCCCATGCCTGCGTCGACGATCACCACCCACACCTTTCCTCCTCGTCACAACTGCCTTTGAGCAGCCACTCTCCGCGACTCTAGCCCCCCCCTCCCCCACCCAATCACCCCGCAATGTCGGACGAGTTTGAGACGATCATTACGAAGATCCGGCACGAGGACGACTCGGAGGCGCACAAGATCCTGCGTTCCTTCCTCGGCAACCAGCACAAGCACGCCGGCGAGAAGAAGGATGTCACGTATGTCGATGACGGTCCCGACAAGCACTGACGGTAGGCCAGGCTTGCAGGCGCCGGGCGCGACAGGCGTCATCTACTGCTCGGACCGCGCGGCCGCCAACGGGTTCACCAACAACGAGGACCCCGAGTGGGCTAACCTCGGACAGGGCGCTCCGGAGGTCGGCGACCTTCCCGGCGGCCCGGAGCGACCCAAGGGAATCGACTTTACGCAGTTTGGCATTGATATCCACGAGTACGCGCCGACTACAGGCGTCAAGGAGCTCCGAGAGGCCGTCGCCGTGGGTCCCTTCCTCGACGCGCCTGATCGCAGAACCTGTATAACGTCGAGTACCGCCAGAATAGCGAGAGCAAGTACACGTTCGAGAACGTCTGTATTGTGCCTGGTGGACGTGCCGGGCTGTCGCGCGTGGCGGCCGTGATCGGGGATGTGTACACTGGTAGGCGTCGTCAACGTGGTGCAGCTGATAATCAGGCTACCAGATCCCCGAGTACACGTCGTACAGCGAAGTGCTCGGTGTGTTCAAGCGCCTTATTCCCGTGCCCTCGGCACTCAAGGCCGAGGACAACTACCGGCTCAACATCGATCAGCTGCGGAACGACATTAGACTCATGTCGTTGCATGTCATTGTCGCGTCAAACCCCCGAAACCCGACAGGCCAGGTGATTGACGGCGAGGAGCTCAAGGAACTCGTGCGCCTCGGCGACGGGCAGACGACCATCGTCCTCGACGAGTTCTACTCGTGGTATCAATACAACGGGGAAGAGGGCAAGAGTGTCAGCGGGGCGCAGTACGTCGATGACGTGAACAAGGTACGCCAAGCTGTGGGCGGGCTGACGCCAGGACTCGGTGGTGATCATCGACGGGCTCACGAAGGGCTTCCGCCTGCCGGGCTGGCGCGTGTGCTGGGTCGTCGGCCCGAAGCCGCTCATCAGCGCCATCTCCCAGTCCGGTTCTTTCCTGGATGGCGGCGCGAACCACCCTCTCCAGATGGCCGCCATCCCGCTGCTCGACCCCGAGCGCGTCAAGCAGGACCGCCTAGCGCTGCAGCGCGCGTTCAAGAAGAAGCGCGACCACGTGCTCGCGCGACTCGCCGCCATGGGTCTCGAAGTCAAGGTGCCCCCGCAGGCGACGTTCTACATTTGGCTCGACCTCGAGGCCCTCGGGGCGCCGCTGCACGACGGCCTTACCTTCTTCGAGGAGTTGCTCAAGGAGAAGTGTATCGTCGTGCCGGGCATCTTCTTCGACATTAACCCATCGCACCGCCGCAACCTCCTTGACTCGCCGTGCCGCCATTTCGTGCGCCTCTCGTTCGGGCCACGCATGGAAGTGCTGGACCGCGGGCTGGACGCGATCGAGCGCGTGCTCAAGAATCACCGCCAGAGCGGAACTGCAGGCACCGGGTGAGCAACAGTCGATTTGGTGGTATGGAGGTCAGCGGAGCGTTGAGATCTGGCATGGGCGTATATCGAGTGCGAGGCATACCGCGCATCTTGCGAGCGCCCTCTATCGAGCGCGCAGCGGGGAATGTCGCTATATCGAGCCAGGAGGACAGGCGAGGCTCGGCGTTTGACTCGGAGCCCACAGGCCCGGAGACCGAAGCTGACACCAGATACCGCCCGAGCCAGGATCACGGCGAGCACCCTGGCACGAAGGGCCACACAATTTGAGGGGGATTTGTAGATATCGAGTGGTCTGTATATCGAGCACGGATGCGGCGACTACAAATAGCTCGCCGCACTCCGAACTACGTTGCTACGAATGGCGGGCGATACCGGCGGCAATGTCGTATGATGCATTGTACTCAGTGACATCAGGGCGATTAGGCGGCGATTAGATTGGTGGTGATTTGAGTGGCGATTTCGTAGTTCGGAATGACTATGACGCATGTGACGTCGCCTGTGGTGGACGCGGCGTCTGCTCCAACGTTCGTAAGTACTTTGACAACGTTCGTAGTGGAACCGTGTAGTCTCGGCGTGCAGGGTGTGGTTTGGCGTTATCGGGCGCGTACGGTATCAGTGGTCTACGGAGCAGCGGTCGCCGAGACTCACGCAGGGTATAAAGAGCTCAAGGATGGGCGAGCTCAACCCCACACTCTCGCCACACCACCTAGCCACCAGCGCCAAGCAACTGTATCATCAGCTCAACCACTCGTAACATCACACGCATCCTACCATGTTCCGTGCCGCTCGCATCCCCCTCCAGCCCGCCATGGCTCGCTTGCCGCATGTGCAAGCCCGCGCAATGTCGTCCGTCACACCACACCAGCCGCAGAAGGGCAAGCTCCGCGCGCTCTGGGCCCAGGTGCCTGTCGATGTGTAAGTCCCAATGTGGCGGATGGAGCATAGGCTCGGTGCCACATGCCACACCGCCAATCCATTCCACCTCGCTGATCCCAGCTATCCCCTCCTCTTCGCCGTATCGGGGGCCTGCGTCCTCGGCGTCTTCACATTGGGACATCACTTGATGACCGACCACACCCTCCGCCTGCTCCCAGACCGCGCAAAGGCGCAGAACTAAGCATCTGAACCCAGCATCAGCCAGCATGTACACATACATTTTGCCGCACGGACATTTGCCCCTGCGCACTGACCCCGCCCGATCGCGCTGAGGCAAAGCGATCTGCCCGCCTGAATGGCCTCAACGACCAGTACCCTGCTAATACGAATACATACACAGCTAAGTGAACAACGCCGGTCTAGCCTGTCAGACTCTAGTCTCTAGCGTCTACTGGCGCATGCTGGTGGGGAGGAGACGGAGCTCGCCACGTGCCGAGTCCTCGGTGAGGTGCTTGTAGATCACTGGTCGTCAGGACTGGTCGATGACGCTCGGTGGAAGAGACTCACTGTAGAAGGACCCGCTGCAGGCGACGGTGACGATGCCGGCGAGGGGGTAGACGTCAACGGGCATGCCGACGACCCAGGTCTTCCACTGGCGGTTAGCGTGGCTCTAGGCTACGAGAGGAGAGGGGAAACTCACGAAACCAGCCTCCGGGTTGGGCTTGGCGGCGGAGGCCATGGTGCGGCGCTGGAGGACGGCGCGGGTGGCGGGGAGGGCACGGGTAGCGGCGCGGAACATTGTTGTTGATGTGGGGTGTTGGGGGGGGGGGGGGGGGGGGGGTTCGAGAACCAGAGAGAGTGGGCACAGAAAGAAGCAGTAGTGTAGTTGGTGTTGGTGATGGGTCTGAGCAGTGTCGATGCGCTCTTCTTATAGCAGCGGTGCGCTGGAGATCGTGCACACCATGGCGTGGCTGCATGGATCCGCCGCATTGTCTGACCACCACGCCCAGCCCATGCTTGCTGCCCAGCCATTGTCTCCGGCCAGCATTGTCTGCTGAGGGTCGCCTCGTCATGCAGCGAACAAAAGCGGGGCAGGGATACCCCGCACAAGCGTGGGCGGCAGATCTCGCTGCCGCCGGGACGTGCCGGATGAATTAGCTTGGGCGAATTACAGGACGTATATTGCGATCTATATACGCCGGAACGGGCCGGGCCGGGGTGCCTCTCTTTGTTCCCCACACAGGCACGGGAACAATGGCGCGCCCTCGTGGCTGCTGAGTGCTGCCAATTCTGTATGAGTGAGATGGACGCTGCGAGTGACGTCGGTACAGAGGCGCGCTATTGTTTGTCGTCCTTGAGGGTCCGGAAAGCGCAAGCGCAGTGGTTGGCCTCGGCGCGGCGAAATCTCGGGTCACAGTGGGCTGGACGAGTGACCGCTCACCTTTGTTTTTGTTTCATGGAGTCGTCAACAATAACGTGCGTGCACTCTCGTGGATCTCAACCTCATGTGTGGGTCCGCGGATCCCGCGGGTCGATCGCTATGGTCGCCCCGATCTGATCGGCCAGGTATCGCGAGCTACGAGGCAGCAACATCTGCGACACCCGCGACATCCTCATCTCGCCGAGGTCGGGGCATGTTACGAGCCGGTAGTCGCCGGGGTACGCTCGGGTGTGTCACAGTCAGTGAGGCTTGTGTGGCGGCGGGTGAGTGTGTGTGGGACCTAAGGTGTGGCGGGGGCTGGGCTGGGCGGTGGTGGCAGTGTCGTGTGGTGGTGGCTCTGAGCGACCCAACAACATTGCCAGCCACCGCCGTCCAGACGGCATGCGTTACTAGGAGTAGATTGAGTTTACCTCGGATCACTTGATGAGGATATGGCGCTGCTGGCGTTGGGAACGCCAGTCGCAATGGCGGTGTTGGCCGCACATAGTATTGCTGTGTCAACATGACATGCCGATCACTTTGCGGAATTGCCAAACAGCCTCAACTGAGTCGCTTGCAGCGTGCAAACGGATACCTGATAGCTGGTAGCCACGATGCTCGATATTTGACAAGGCCACAAGATGCGAGTGCATGAACGGCGCTGTGGCAGAGCCATTGAAAACAGCCCTTTGCAGCGCCGTTCACGCAGGTTCAGATCAGGATCGTCACGAGAACATTGCTCGGCGTTCCTTTCCGCGGGTATGGTGATCTGTGCATGCGGCAATCGTCGGCGAGTTCGGCTGACCTGAGGCGATCTCGAGCCCCGAGCAACCTGGCTTACGCGGACTCAGATTGGCTGCTTTGATTGGCATCACTGGAGCAGATGGAAGGCACAAGGCGTGCTAAACACATACAGCATCGGCGACTCCATGCAGCTGAGGTAACTCTCCATTGCAAGACGCGACGCTGATTCAACACTCAGCTCACTGACTATCGAGACGCCAATCTACCAGCCTGAACGACTCAGGCAGCGGTGCAGTGCCCACCTCGGCGAAGATACGATGCGCCGCCCATCTTCCCTTCCGACCCCGAGACGGAGTAGGCCGATCGGCAATCTCGCGGCATTCTACGGCGTTCCCACCGCTTGATATGGGCAGTCACCACGACCCCATCGTCACTCTTCCACTTCTCGCCTCATCTCTCGCAGCCACGCACGATGCCGATCGCAGCCCCCGTAAACCTCGGCGCTGAAGCGACGGCGCAGAACAAGATCTGGAGCACGGACCCACACGTGCGCTTCAACGACCAGGAGCTCACGATCATGCGCCTCGAAGGCCAGTTCTACTGGCACGTGCACAACGACAGCGACGAGATGTTCCTCATCATCGACGGCGAGGTGTTCGTCGAGACGCGCGAGGGGAGCACGAACATCGACGAAGAGGCCGACGCGCCCACTACCTCGCGCTGGCTCCGGAAGGGCGACGTGTTCGTCGTGCCGCGCGGCACGGCGCATCGGAGCGCGGCGCCGAAGGGCGCAAGCGTCATGTTTGGGCTTAAGAGCAACGCGCTGCTGTTCATGAAGGACGACGAGAAGGAGGCCGAGGGCTCGCAGGGGTCGGTGTCTGACTGTAAGTGAGGAGTTGGGCGAGGCTAATACCAGAAATCGGAGCTGTTGAGGCGTGGTCGTCGAGGCGAAAGAGTAGAGGCAAAGGCGTTGTAGACGTTTGTCTGTAGTGGTATGCTAGCATGGTTGTTCGAGTGAGCCAAGTGTCTATGAGAAGTGCATGTGCGAGATGTTTTATGCCTACACGATGATGCTACAATGTTTGACTCCGTCTATCTACTGAGGTTGATCGGCTGGTGTGTACGTCGGCTTGGACGCAATGCCAAACGACGCAGGCTCGTCCTCTTCGCCGCCGGTCCCCGGCCGGCGCTCCATTTCCTGCATCCGCTGGTAGTCCTTCGAGTTGATATCCCGCCACTCGACCTGGCCCCACTGCTCACGCTTGCGGTTGCGGCTCGCAAGCTCCGCCGCCACCCACTCGATCTCAGGTTTGACAAGCCCGTGCTTGTCGACGTACTTGCGGCGGTAAAGCGCATGCTCCCTGTCCATTTCTCCAGTGCGCTCCTCACGCTTCTTCTGGCGCACGCCCGGCATACGCTCGAGGCAAATCTCCAGTGCCTTCTCCGTCCGCTCCTTGTACTTGGCGGCAAGGTCTCGGTCGGGGAAGGCGAGCTCGAAGCGGAACGAGAGCCAGATGTACAGCACGAGCGCCTTGTGCAGGCTCTCGAGGAGAGGAATGGCGGCAACCGTGATGGGAGGCACGAGGTAGGGGCGGTAGATGCCGAGATGCGGGGGAAGGGGTGGCAGCGCCGCAAGGGTCTCCTCAACAGTCTTGAGTGTCTTGATGAGCGTCGTTGGCGCCAGCGTCGGCTCGAGGCGCACGTTCATCTCCTCCGAGTACGACTTGAGAATGCTCTCAAAAATGGCCGCGACCTTGGCATCGCGCCAGTTGACGGGCGCCACTCCGAACTGGACGCACTCGCTGAGGGTGAGAACATCACGGTACTTGCCGACGATCTCGGCGAGAGGCGCGCGATGCGAGAGACTCGCGAGCACCGTCAAAGGCGGAAGCTTAGCCAGAGCCTCGAAGTGTCCCATTAGCTCGTTGAAGGACGTTTGAGCTGGGAGGAGTGGCGCAAGCCCCGCCAGTGCCCCCGAAGGAGGTTCAATCACTGCTCTCGAAACAGAGGGCAATGATAGCGGCATCATCGCACGCAGCAAAGGGAGGTCGGCCTCATGCAGGGTTGTGACGACACCGCCGGGGTGAGCAACCTCGTCTGGCGACGACTCGTCCTCGCCCTCGCCCTTGCGTTGCTGTCCAAAGCGGCCGGCGCGGCCAGCAATCTGCTTGACCTGCGAGAGTGACAATGGCACCTCCTGTTTCCCGTCAAACTTGGTGAGGGACTCGAAAACGATGCGCCCAATTTTACTGCTGTCAGCTGTGCATGACAAACCAACTCACAGATTGAGGCCCATGCCGACGGCGTCACTCGCTACCATGATCTCAGCACGACCTGCCTCCTCGTTGAAATCGCGTGCCTGCTCCGCACGTGTTTCTGGAGGAAGCGCACCGTAGACAACGGCACACTTCTTGCCTACTGTGCCCTCGATAGCCTTCTTCGCAGCGAAAACGTTGTTGCGGGAGAATGTGACAACACAGTCGCCGGGTTGGATGTTATTCCAATCGCCGTTGAGAGACTCGTCGGCGACACTCAATGGCGTCAGGCGCTCGTAACGGTGGACTGTAAGAGTGTCGCCCTTGAAGGTGCCAATAATCGACTTGAGGAGGTCGGCTGTTGTCTCATCGCCGCAGAGGTGAATCTCCTTCGCGTTGGCACCCATCACGGCCGCTGTCCAAGCGCCGCCGCGCTGCGCGTCACCGAGCATTTGGATTTCGTCGATGACGACCACATCCCAGGGGTTACCAGAGGAATGTCCGAAGAGCGGCAACATCTCGACAGTGCAGGAGATCATGTCCTGACCGTCCTGAACAATGCGACGCTCCTCGCCAGTAATGAGCGAGCAAGGACGCGGCCGGCCGTCTAGACCACCGACAGAGCCAAGGTTGAGCCGCTCCCACACCTCGTGGGCGAGGAGTCGCAAAGGGCCGGCGTACACACCCGTGGGAGATTTTGCTAGCGCCTTGAGCGCGTTGTACGTCTTGCCCGAGTTCGTGGGTCCCATGTGCAGGTGGAACTGGCGGTTGACTGTACGGGCGTTGAGGTGCCTCGCGGCGTAATTGGAGATGTCGGTAGCCTGAAGCAGAGCGTTGATGTGCAGACGCATGTGCTCGGAGCCCTTTGCGGCGGCGTAGGTGAGGAAGTGACGGAGGAAGGCGGCCTCGAACACCGAGCTCCACTCTCCAGACTCATACGCGAGGGTGAGGGTTTGCGCGTCCCAGCCCATCGCGCTCATGCGATCCAAGAAGCCGTCGTCGTCCTTGTCCATGGCAGCCAGGTCCTCCTGGACCGTTTCTCGCCAGTTGTGCAGTAGACCAGTAGCATCGGCCGCGCCGAAACCGAAAGCCTCGAGACGCGTCTTGACGCGCTGCGAGTCCACCCATTCGTCCAGCCGGCCGGAGATGACGCCTGGCAAGCTGCCCGGCCGCAACTTTACGGGCACGGGCTGAGGAGATGAGGCAGGCCGCTGCGAGCGGAAACCAGACGGCCTGCCGCCTTGCTTGTCTTCCAGCTTGCCGAAGGGCTGCTGCTGTCTCCTACCGCCAGCCCTGCCACCCGCCCGGTCGCCACTGGATCTGGGCTTAGCATGCTGCGTGGCGGTAACAGCGAAGGAGCGAGCGGGACGGGCCGCAGCCTTGCTAATCTGGACGTTTTGTAACCGCCTGAGGGCGGCCTGGCGCACAGTGAGCATGGACAGAGAAGAGTGTCGGTGTAGAGGTGCTCGGGATGATGATGGGCGAAGTTGACGTCTCAAGTGGTGGCAAAAGTCCAACTTTGTTAGTTGGGAGGCTGGATTAAGCGGAGCACGTGGTTCAATGTGCCTGGCCCCGCAAGGTGGATCCACCAACTGCAGAACCCCCCCATTCCTCCCCTCCTGCCACTCTCCTGACCCCCCTAACACTCGTCGCAACACTCATCCTCTCATTCATCTCCTCCTCGTCATTGCTCTTTCTCACATTATCTGTCTCCCGCTCCCCGTCCATCTCCTCCTCTCTCTCTTCCACCATCTCTCCGAAGCTTCCATCTCGCTGATCCCTCCCGGCTTGATCGGGGGTGAGGATCATGGCTCTTCGTAAGTCGATTGTCCGACCCCAACCCCTCGTCCGGCTACTGACGCGCGCGCAACAGAAGGGGCGTCTATGGCGCAACACCATCCTATAATGCCTCACGCAGCTCCGCCTCCAACCCGCGCAGAGGTCCAGCGTCGCCTCTCGACCCGCTCAAAGTCACAGGTAAGCCAAAGCGAGAGCCCGAGCCAGAGCACAGCGCGATGCCCATGCGTTGGAACCAACCCACATGCTTCATACCACCCCCCACTCCCTCGGCAGCCCCAACCCCCTTGCACTCGTTCGTGACACTGTCTGACTCTCCAAGGCCCCACCGCCCGCAGCGCCCGTCACAAGCGGTAACGAATCCGATTCTTCGGTTGCATCCTCCTCAATGCCCACGACGACGCCTCTGTCCGCTTCCCATTTCGCCACCTCGCCGTTGACGTCGCCAGGCATTGGACCTCATCCTCACCCGCCAGGCCTCTCTGCCATTGACGAAACCCAAGGATCGAGCATGGGCGAAGACAAAGATGGCGATCTGGAGGACGTCGATGACTCGGACGATGACGTCGCGCTCAGCAAAGCAGATGTTGAGGGACAGCGCGTTCACAAGTCGGGGTGGCTTATCAAGAAGCAGGAGCGTCGCAAGATGGGTGCCGTGAGTTGGGTTTTGTAGTGGCTCCTGATATCAGGCCTGGAAGAAGAAGTGGTTCGTCCTCCGAACGACGTCGCTTGCGTACTACAAGGACAATAAGGTGGGTAGAGGCACGCAAACTGGAGCCGTGCTAACCTTGCAGGAGTACTCTCTTTCTCGCTCCATTGAGCTCACGGCCGTTCACTCGGTTGTGCCCGTGACGCAGGAGAAGGCCAAGCATCCGTTCTCCTTCGCCGTCGTCACTGCAGACCGCACCTTTTTCCTTGAGGCTTCCTCGGCAGAAGAGCGCGAAGACTGGGTCAGCACGATCAACAGCGTTCGCAAGCAGGGGTCCGAGAGGGAAGAGGAGAAGAGCCGTCGCGCGAAGTCGGTGGCAGTTCCTGTCCCCGGACGTTCACAGCAGCCAGAGCCCGAGGTCGAAACACACCAGGGGACATGGACGAGCACATTCTCAGCTACGACGACAGCATCTGTGTCTCCAACAGCTGGGTCGTACTTCCACCGCAACGCCCCATCTCAGTCGACTTTCGCTCAGCCACCACCAATTGGCCACCAGCCAAGGGCGCACAGCCCCAGCTCGAACCCGAATACGCTGTCCTCCCAAATGGCCAGTATGTCAGTGACGCGCTCGCCTTCACAAAAGGCGCCCCCACCCAGCGCAATGCCACCCAGCGTGGCATCCATCAACCGCCGCCTGTCCAACCCCATCATCCACCCGCCACCGAATCTCCAGTCGATCCAGACGCCTGTCAGGCCGCAGCGAAGAGACTTCACGGCTGTGGAATCTGCAGCGCCCGGCGCGCTCGGTCCGCCACAGTCGACACCGCAATTCGTCAGCTCGGATGAGGAGGATGCGTACTTTTCAGATCCCACGCAGTGGTCTGATTCGCAACAGCCCCCGATGGCTGTGTCGGACCCTAACAAGATCATCATCGCGACCTACCTGATGAAGAAGAGCAGAAAGACGGCGCGCGAAGTGTGGCGCAAGCGGTGGTTCTACTTGACAAGTGCAGGAATGACCTATTCCAAAAGCCACATGGTTAGTCGTCGGTTGTCGCGAGGCTGACATGCAGGACGTTCGCCCGCTCAATTTCGTCCCGATCAACACCATTTTGGACGTCTTTTCTGTGGAGGACACGGACGATGACGATTTGGAAGACTCGTCCGACGACAGCCGGCCCGCGCAGCCGACGCGCGGCGCATCGCTGCGCAAGCAGCGCGAAGCGACTGTACAGGCGTCCCACTCGGGCCAACCCGTCATCCGGATTGTGACCAACAAGCGCCGCTTTGACCTCTGCGCGCCGTCCGAAGAGGAGGAGATCAAGTGGATCGCGGCGATCCGCGCGCTCGTCAACCGCGACCGGGAGAAGCGGCAGCCTGGGACCATCACGGCGTCGATGCCCAGCCGGCCGGAGGGGGCACCGGCTCTCGGCGCGCCGGCGCCGCTCACCATCCCCACCATCGCCCAGCAGCCGCCAACACCTGGCAGCAACCCCTCCGTGTCCCCCTCCAATGTCACGCCTCCAAAGGGGTTTAACGAGCACGGGCAGCGCACATTTTCGCCCACGCATGGCCGGAGTAGAAGCGCGACGCAGACGGCCAAGAACGCCGTCGCGGATGTCGTGCGGCGCTTCCACGAGGGCGGCCAGTAGAGTTTATATATGGCAGGTTGTAGCAGAGCGCGGGCAACCCCTATTGTGCAGCAGAGCTGTTTGTCACGAGATTATTTATAGGGGAAATGACATGTACATGCTCTACAATTATGCCGGGGGTATACCAATGCAGCCGATAGATGACGGGGAGGGGTGGAGATGTGGGTGGGGTGGTGAGGGTGGGGATAGGGTGGGAGATGTAAAGTTCAATAGAACTAGATCTTGAGTTCGCTCACCATGACGGGAACGAAGACGACGCAGGCAGTCCAGAAGACCTGGAAGCAGTACAAGATGAGGCCGGGCGTCTCAAGCCATGTCGGTGGTGTCCGTTTGCCGGCGTCGTTGGGCATGCCCTGCGACACGAGTATGTACATGCTGTAGAAGGCGACGCAGAAGAAGTGGTAGAAGAGGACGAATGGGCGCGGGGTGAGGGCGGAGAGGAGGCCGACGGGGCCGGAAATACACTCGCCCCCGCGCTCAAAGTACTTGAAGCAGCCTTCGCGCAGGACGGCGAGGTCCTGGTTGGCGCCGCCGAAGAGGTCGTACAGCGCAATGGACAGGACGTTGACTGTGCCGGAGAGGTTCTTGCGGCGCCAGAACCAGTCCTTGAGACGGTCCGAGATGACGTCCCAGCGCTCGAGACCCTCGCGGCCGGCGGGCAGCGCGTCGCATGGCGCGAGGTACTGCGTGAGGAGGACGGCGTCGTTGAACGCGACGGTCATGCCGCCGCCCGTGAGGGGGTGGCGCATGTTCCACGCGTCGCCGACGAGGATCGCGCCCGCCATCTGCTTGCTCCGCCCTTGCATCGACGGCGGGAGGAACGAGTTGGGCATGGTGCGCAGGCGCTGCGTGTCGAGCGCTTTGCGCACACTCTCCTGGATGCTGGGCGGGAGGAAGGGGACGTACTCGCGCAGAATGTGGGCTTTGAGGCTCCCGTCGCCGACAGACGGCAGCTTGCCCTTCACATCGACGAGCATGCGCGTCTCCCGCGCGGCGTGCCCGATCTGGTACAGCAGCACGGGGCCCGAGGGCGTGAGGCATACCGTGCCGTGGTTCTGCAGCGGCAGGTCGCAGTCCTTGAGGACAACGCCGACGAAGTGCGAGCGCAGAACGGGTGCAGGCGTGCGTGTGCCCGGCGCATTGCGGAATTTGGAGAAACACCCGTCCGCGATGATGGTCAGCGGCGCGTAGATGTTGCGGACGCCGTCGCCGCCCTTGGGCGCAACAGTCACGCCGATCACGTGCGACGTGTGTGGGCAGTAGACGAGGTCGCGCGCCGTCGCCTCAAGCACGGACGCGTTCGGCGCGTCCTTGAGCACCTTGGCGCGCAGCGCCTGGATGAAGCGCCCGTGGTGGAACGACCGGCCTTCCTTGCGCCCGCTCGCCGTCTCGATCGACCATGGCACGACGAGTCTGCCCTCGGCATCTGTGTGCCCGTTGGTCTTGGCGTGTCCGTTGGCATGTCCGTTCCCGTTGGCGTGCCCGTTGGCGTGACCATTCGCGTGTCCGTTGGCGTGTCCGTTGGCGTGTCCGTTGGCGTGTCCGTTGGCGTGTCCGTTGGCGTGGCCGTTGAGGGCTTCGGCGGGGATGACAGACTCGAGGTCGGGATAGGGGATCTCAACTTCGCGCGTACCCGATATCACGCAATAACCCTCGACGGGAGTCGCGTCGATGCCGTCAAGAGTGGAGGAGAGGCCGAGCTCGTGCAGCGCAGCAACACCGCCGGGCTGGAGGAGCTCGCCGACGATACGGTCGGGCTCGCTGAGGTCACGCTCGATCATAAGGACCTTGCGGCCGGCATGGGAGAGCGAGTACGCGAGGGCACAGCCTGCGACGCCACCGCCGATGACGATGACTTCAGGCTGCAGATCGTGCAGCTGGGGTCAGCGTCAGTTTCGCCGCCACCACTCACGGGAGACGGGAGGGTCGTAGCTGGTGGGTGCATAGCTGTGGTCATGGGAGGAGGGAGGAGGGAAGGGCGAGAAGAGGAGAGGTGCGGGGGTCGAAGCGCCGGGTTGAGCCGCGTTCGACAATAAGTAGCTTGGCTCGACGAGAGTGGGTCGATGTCGATGTCGAGAGAGAGAGAGAGTGAGTGAGTGAGTGAGAGGGAGGTCGGAGGAGGAGTAGATGATGAGGAGGACGAGTGGACCGAGATTTGTACACAGACCGGAGAGACGCGTGGCGCGGACGGGGTTTATTGTCCTCGCAGCGAGTGTCGTGCCATCGCCTTGCCTGGCCACCTTCCCTGCCCCCCACCAGTATTGTTCACCCAGCGCCTGCAGGGCATGTAGGGCACCCTTCAAAATTGAGGGCCTCTTCAGGTGCCTCTTCCGGCACTTCGGGAGAGGCCACCCCGGGACGCGACCATGTTCTGGGTCAGTGCCTGGCACGTGGGGCTTCGTCCACACTTCCGCTCCAGCGCTCCATCGTATGCTGTCGTGCATGGTGCATGCATGGTCCCACCAACGCACAAACATGCGCATGTCTTGCCGCGCTATTGTGCTATTGTGCGCACCGACCGATCCATGATAGTGGATCTGGCCGACGTGGACGGGCGGATGGGCGAGAGACAGTTAGTTGGCTATTAGCCAGGGAGCTGCGGAGGCGCAGTGGTGCCATGGAATTGCGTGTGCGCGGTTGGACGATGCGGCGAGCAGCATGGGTCGGCCCATGATGCCATGATGAGATGCCATCTGCATGTCACCGAGACATCGAGGGATCGCGTCGCGAGGGCGAGGAGAGCGGCAAGGGCGACATGGCCGTGGAGGAGCGGTGAGTCATAGTTTTCCACTGATTGCGGTCGCAGCCGCAGTTGCACAGCCGTCGCCGTGTTCAGCCGCGAGTGCCATCATGATCCCGCCCACGCCACGCCACGCCTCGCCACTCCACCCCTCCCCTCCATCTGTTCCTTTTATCAGCATACCGTAGCTCGTTAGTGAGCCTCGTACAGTATATTCCGACTTGCAGTTCAGGCGTAGCGGGCGTAGCAAGCGTACCGAGACGATGACAATAAAATTCAATCTCGGCGACCCGGCAGTACACTTCCGATTTCCGGTGTCAGTCTGCTGTCTCCGGCGCACATGGCCGACAATTTCTATACGGTCGGAAGCGGAGTGGGGTAGACCGAGGAGAGCAAGCCGCACTTGCTGGGCAACACCGAGGATGGGCTGAGAGCGGGGAGAGCGGCGGATGTGACTGGCCAGCCATAGAAAAGAGTGGAATGCCCACCATACCACCCAGGAGATCGAGCGGGAGTCGCACCTTGCTCGGTCAAGCTATGAGCCACGGGATCAAATCCGCCAGGCTGGGTGCGCGGCGCACGGCTTGGACGTTAGCCGGCGACCCGAACACCCACCCCCCTCCATCTCGTCTCCTCCTTGCTTCTCCATCTTTCATCGTCTCCAGTCCATCGCTTCTTGTCTCTCTCACCGCTCCACCTCTTCTCCTCTCCATCAAGCATGGCAAGGAAAGCAGCGGTCAAGTACCGCTCTCTGCGGTCCAACCTCGTCCACCTCCCACTCTCCCTCTACGCCTCTCTCGCCCAGTCCCAGACGGCAAGTCCCATCGGCTATACCCTCCGGAACTAACGTGCAGCGTCCCCAGTCACTCATCCTCCACCTCGCGCCCCTCGTCCCCGCCTCGAGCTCGCGACGTGCTCCCCAGCCAGCGTACCTCGGCTGGTCTGGACTCGCAGCTGCCTCCTCACTCTCCGGCATCGGAGGGAGCCAGCTCGAGACTATCGAGGTCGACCCCGAAGTCGCACTCAACTACGGCTGGGCCGAGGGCACCATTGTATGTCTCGTTCCGCGAACATTCTCTCACGCCCAGCTCGAGATCAGCATCATCCACAACCCCACCAAGGCGCGCTCCGTCAGCGTCACTCCCCTCTCCACTGACGACTGGGAGATTCTTGTGAGTGGGGGGAAAGTGTCATGTGCTCACAACGCCAGGAACAAAATGCCAATTATCTCGAGAACAACTTGCTGGGCCAACTGCGCGCCGCACAAAAGGGCCAAGAGATCGATGTTTGGGTTATGGGCCGCACCAAGATTCGCATACGAGTCGGTGCGTTCCTTCCCAAGATGCACATTGACACCAGACGCGACGAATCCGCCCACTTCAGCTTCTTCGGCAGTGCTCGTCAACTTTGAAACGGAAATCTATGTGGCCCCACGGCCCCGCGGCCAGGACGCTCCCAAGGAGGCTCCCAAGGTCGTGGCTCCGCCACCTGTTGCGCGCGCCAACTCGGGCACGGGCAAAGGCAGTGCGGCGGCCACCAAGGGCGCTACTCTCCGCATCGTTCCTCCGAAGGTTGCGGCCCAGTGGGGCCCGGCCGAGCTGTCTGCTGAAGACGCCCACACTGTCGGCGCAGACAAGGTGGCCTTTGTAGCACCCGCGACTCTGAACAAGGTCCGCGCCCGGCTAGGCGAGCACCAGGACGGCACCCCGCTTCTTGTCAACCTGCGGGTGAAGCGGGACGAGGAGAAGAAGAAGGAGGAGGAGGCCGCGGTCGCCGAGCCAGCGGCGGAGGGCCAGGAGCAGCCTGAGGAGGAGCCACCGCTCGAGGCATGGCTGGCAGCCTGGGATGAGATGCCAGCGGGGTGTATGGCGCTCTCTGGCGAGCTGGAACCCGAGTGGAAGAGCTGGGGTGTGGCCAAGTGAGTTGACCCGAGGAACGCTCTAACGCTAGGCTTGGATTGGCAACGCAGAAGTCGTCAAAGTCCAAGGCGAACGGTCACCGCTCAGCACCAGTGCTCGAAGTAGATGCGGAGAAGAAACCGATCCTCGCGGGCGTCGGCGAAACCATCGAGAAGGCGCTCAGCTACTTCCGCCGTGGCGCATTCGTTGGCCACGCCCGCCCTCTCCTTCTTACTGGCGCCAAGGGCTCTGGCAAGACCGCGATCGCCAAGGCCGTGGCTGAAACTCTGCAGGCGGACCGCAGCGTGCTCGCCGAGCTCATCTACGACGACGTCGGTCGTCTCGACTCGGACGCTCGTGTCAACTCGCTCAAGGAAACGATGGGCAAGTGGATCGAGGACGCTCGCCGCCAAAGCCCTTGCATTCTCATGCTGGATAACCTTGACCTTATCCTGGGGCCAGAGAGCGAGCTAGGCGGCGCCTCATCAAACGCCGCAATCCTCGCCGAGCACTTCACCAAGCTCTTCGCAGCGTCCGCCCTGCCAAAAGGAATGCTCGTTCTCGCTACCGCGACCGGCTCGGCCGGCCTTCACCCGCTCCTCACGTCAAAGCACATCTTTGGGGAAAGCATGAAGGTGCCGCCGCCGAAGCAGGAGACACGGCGAGAGATTCTCGAGGCGATCGTCAAGTCGCAGCAGGAGGACTCCGTGCACGCCCACTCAGAAGACGAGGAGGCACTCGACTACGTAACACTGGCGCAGCTCACCGAGGGATATTCGGCGTCGGACCTGAACGACCTCGTGACCGGTGCTCTGCAGCAGTCGATGATTCGCGGCGCAAAGGAAGGCAACGTCGATGTGAGTACTGCTGACATAGGAGTAAATTCTGGCTGACATCAGGCTCCTCTCCACATGGACGATTTCATCGCTGCACAGGAAGCGTTTACGCCTATCAGCCTGCGCGGTATTTCCTTGCAAAAGTCTGACGTGCGATGGGCGGACATTGGTGGCCTCCACGACGCGCGCCAGATCCTGCGCGAGACACTCGAGTGGCCCACAAAGTACGCGCGCATCTTCGCCAAGTGCCCGCTCCGTCTGCGTTCCGGTCTCTTGCTATACGGATACCCTGGTTGTGGCAAGACACTCCTGGCGTCGGCCGTCGCGAAGGAAACCGGCCTCAACTTCATCAGTGTCAAGGGTCCCGAAATTCTCAACAAGTACATTGGTGCCTCTGAGCAGTCGGTGCGCGACCTCTTTGAACGCGCGTCGGCCGCCAAGCCATGCGTCCTGTTCTTCGACGAGTTCGACTCGATCGCACCGAAGCGCGGTCACGACAGCACGGGCGTCACGGACCGTGTGGTCAACCAGATGCTCACGGAGATGGACGGTGCGCAGGGTCTGGACGGCGTCTACGTGCTTGCCGCGACGTCGCGCCCTGACCTGATCGACCCCGCCCTCCTGCGTCCCGGTCGTCTGGACAAGTCGATTCTGTGTGATATGCCGTCTGTCCAGGACCGTCTTGAGGTGATCTTTGCCCGCGCGCACGACTAACGCCAGATCCTCCAGTCGTTCACCAAAAAGCTCGAATGCTCACCGTCAATCGACTTTGAGCAGCTCGCTGTGGACACGGAGGGCTTCTCGGGCGCCGACTTGCAGGCATTGGTGTACAACGCTCACCTCGACGTCGTGCACACCGTGCTCAACAAGCCCGAGGACGAGCCCAAGGGCAAGGGCAAGGCGACGGACAATGGCAAGAGCAAGGGCAAGGCGGTTGACAAGGGCAAGGGCAAGGGCAAGGCTGTCGACGTCGAGGACAGCGGCAAGGGCAAGGGCAAGGAGGCGAACGGCTCGGCCGAGCCATCCAAGCCTAAGCCCTACCACCAGCTGCAACCGGAGGAGACGCCCATCACATCCGCACAGCGCGCGGCGTTCACTGAGCGGGTACGTTGTTCATCGTGACTAGGCTGACAGCAGATTGAGACCATCGTGTCGTCTACAAACCAGGCACAGGGCGACGGGGAAGAGGTCGTGGAGAAGAAAAAGATGGAGACGCCCGCGATCGAGGAGCGCCATCTGCGCATGGCGCTCATGAACATGCGCCCGTCCGTGAGTGCCCAGGAGCGCGCCCGCTTCGGGCGCATCTACCACTCGTTTGTCGCGGACCGCGACGGCAACTTGCCAAACGGCGAGGGCACGCGGGACACGGGGACACGCACGTCGCTTCAGTAGTTTGGGTTTGGGATCGCGCAGCAATATATGCATACAATGGGTTTGCGTTGAAGCTGGGGTATGCGGGATGAGCTGTTCGTTTTGGTCGTGATAAGAAGCCGAGTCATTAATCGCACTTCTTGTGCGACACATTGCCGGTGAACGCCTTAGTGACGGCGATGCCCGTGCTCATGAGCAAGACTATTGTGCCAAAGGCGACGCAGATGACGGCGGGGAGCTTTTGTCTCGAGTTCCACGGCCCGCGGGTGAGGACGAAGAACGCCCCTGCAGGGAACTGGAGTGAGCGCTACTCCATTTGCGACCTACGATGAACGCGAGTGCTGTGGCACTCAACCCGCCCGCGATCTCGAGCACGACGCCAAGATCGCACGTCAACAAACTGATGAACATGGCGCTGAACACGATCGCGCACGTGCTCAGCACATGGCGGGTGCGGTTGTACGGCTGCCCACGCCAGAAGCAGTCCTCGAGGACCTCGCGGCACACGTAGTTCTCGAGGGGAATCGTCGTGCTCATGTTGGCGCCGAAGCAGAAGCGGGCGATGTTGATTACCCAGTCGTCTGCGGAGAAGTTGTTCAGGATGTTGCCCTCCGTCTTGTCTGTGAATGTCAGGTAGCCGGTCACGCTCATCAGAAGGCAGCAGACGAGCGACAGCGACGTCGACGTGTGCGTGACCGCGTTGAACCTATCCAGTGTCGGCACGGAGATCGATTTGTAGATGAACATTGTGTTGTGGTGGCAGACAAACTAGCGTTAGAGGGTGATGAAAGGGGCGGGGAATCGAGAGAGGTGACTCACAGCAAACGAGATCACGCCGATGGCCTCGAAGACGCCCGGCTTCATCAAGCTGATGGCGCCAGCCGTCGAGCCCTTCAGGTCCGGGTCCACGCCGACGCTGCGGAACACGACTGCGCACACAATCACGCCCATGCTAACGAGCGCAAACGCCGAGCTCTTGCTCAGCTTGACGATGTCTCTGTGCAGGCTGAGCGGGAACGACACCGTAATCGTGCACAGTACGATGATGAAGCGGCGGTCGACGAGCAGCCGCAGTCCCGCATGTTCTTTCAGGAAAGGGAAGACGAACGCAAGCACGTGCGGGATGCTGTCCCCGATGATCACATTGAACGCGCACATCCCGCCGAATGCGAACGCGAACTGGAAAAAGCTCACAGCGCCCGCGCCCGCGCGGCCGAACGTGTGCGCCATCACGTCGATGTACGAGTCGCGGCCGGACAACTTGGCGTTCAACACCACCAGCCGGATCGTCCAGTCCGTCACGGCCGCCAGGACGATGAGCAAGACAATGCCGGTCACGAAGCCAGCCTGCTTTATCGCGTAGGGGAGGCCGATGATACCAGCGCCGAGGATGGAGTTGGCCATCTGACGTGAGCGGGAGAAGGAAGAAAGAGGGCCGAGAAAGGAGAGGGCGGAGGCGAGCTAGAGTGGCGCGGTCGGAGCCGCAGAGCCATCTTGTGGCCGCCACGGAGCGTAAGCATACTCACATTCGCTATTCCATCCAACAACGTGCCAGTTGCGCGCGCCGCTGGCCCGTCGCCTAGCGCATCCGCAAATGTGTCGATCTCGTCTTCCAGTGAGGGGCGACCGACCGTCCGGTCCTCGCGCGAGAGAAGAGGTGCCTGGTCGTGGTCTTCTTCCTCGTCCGAGTGATGGATGTGATCGTCTGGGGCTTTGAACACTGCCATAAGCATGTGCGGTAAGTGGACGGAAGAACATGTTGCGAACGAAGTCAACCACGCCGTTCTGTGGTCTTGGTTACTCACACACATCGCCACTCCTTCGCATGTCCGGGTCGCTCGGGCCGGCCTCAAGATCAAGAGACCGCGACGCGTCGCGAAATCCGCCACGCGATGTCGGTCGCGAGAGGCGCGATGAAGGCCGTGATGTCGGTCGTGATGATGGCCTGGATGAGGGGCGCGAGGCTGCGCGCGAGCCGGCCGCGCTGGAGAGTAAGGGGTATGCGTCTGCCTCTGGCATGGATGATGGAGTTGTAGTGAATTGCAGTGCACGGCGTGGAGACGTAGAGGGGGAGCCAGCAAGTCTGGAGACCCCATATTTGTCGCGTGGCCGGGAGTGGTGAATGAGGGACGGAGGACGCGGGACGATCAACGCGATTCAAGGCGCACTCTTGTCCTCGTCGTCTCCCGCTCTTCATTACTCTTCGCTCTTCTCATCTCTTCACATCCCATCCCATCCCTCCCATCCCCATCTTACCACCCTACACTAGTGGACGGCGCGCCACCCTTCGCCCCATCCCCACCCATCACTCATGTCCGCACCACCACCAACGCTGCCTGTGCCTGAGGGCGCCGCGTCCGATGATTTCGAGGCCGACGCCGGTGTCGAGGACGGCCCGCCCAAAGAGGAGGCGGTCCACTTCTGTCTGCTTGCCGAGTTCGACATTGACGCCGGCGCGACACTAGCCCATCAATACCCTTACCCGACTGGCACTGAGGAGCAGTAAGCTTGTCTTGTGTTTCAAGCTGATATAAGCCGCCTTGCCGAGCTCATGCTGCCCGACGGCGCGCACCTGCGCGGCGAGGACTGGACCGTGTTTTATCTCGGCCAGACGGAAAGCATGTCCGTGTCCCCAATGCTGAGCCACGAGGATAAGGCTAGAATGAGCAAGCGGATGAGCATGCTGCCGCCCAGCGAGCGGCCGCGGCGCGGCACTCCTGGGGGCGGCCTGCTGTACGTTCTCAACTGTGTGCGAATGAAGGAGGACAAGAGCGTGCGCCGCGGCGCCATGGTCAAGGCTATGGCTATCGCTACGCCTCACCCTCACATCGGCATATACAAGCCGCTCCTCCTGCTCGCCCTCGACGAGTATTTCAACAACCCAAGCCCGGAGGTGCTCGCCAAGCTCTACGACTCAGCCAACAACATCTCGGTTGTCGGCATGCCAAAGCTTAACCGCCACGAGCAGATTCTGCTGCGCCAGAGTGACCGCAAGGACATGTTCGAGGCCCGGTTCGGGCAGCACGCTCCTCAGACGGCGGCTGACGACGACACCGCCGATGTCTCGTCCATCGCCGAGGCGAGCACGCGCGCGCCGAGCATCTCCTCGAGCCGGCCACCCGTCACGCGCAAGGACAGCTCGTCCAGTTCGCAGGTGTACATGTCGTACAACGACATGCCAAAGCGACACGGCGTGCCTCGCGACACGCACTTTTTCGAGACCGAGGCCAAGTTCAAGAAGATAACGGTGCCTATCCGCATCCCGATGACTGTCTTTGACGAGGACGTGGGCGACTACTCGATCATTGAGCTTGTGCAGACATTCTCGCAGAACGTGCAGCCGTTCCCGCCGCCATTCCACCCAGCACTACACACCAACGGCGCATACACACACCCAGTCTTCCTCATCTTCAACGCGATGCTTGCGCACAAGCGCATCATTTTCCTCGGACACGGGCGTCCCGCAAACCAGGTCGCGCGCATGGTGCTTGCGGCATGCGCGATGGTGTCAGGTTGTGGGCAAGTGCTGCGCGGCTTCACCGAAACGGCGTTCCCGTACGCCAACCTGGCCTCGCTCGACGTTCTGGAAGAGTTCGACGGCTACGTGGCTGGTGTGTGCAACCCGCGCTTCGAGGAGCTCCCCTCGACCTGGGACGTGCTGTGTAACCTCGAGACAGGGCGCGTGACCGTCAGCAAGGAGCTGCAGATGCCCGGCACAGTCCAGGGCACCAAGAGCGACCTGACAAGCGACCGCAGCGTGAACACGGGCGGCAAGGACGAGGACTCTGCCATGGCCGGCGGCAAGGCACACAGCGTGTCCAAGACCGACTGCTTGGACAACCAGTTCGTCGAGGAGATACTCACCGCGTCGAGCGCGCACTACGGCGAGGGCCACATCCGCGTGCGCTGGACCGACTACATCTCCCGCTTTGTGCGTCTGGTTGCGTACCAGGAGCAGCTGCATCTCGGCTCTACCCGCTTGGGGTGGCAGTACCAGCCGTTCCGTGATGGTCACCTCGGCAGCGGCATTGTTTTCATCGATGACGACCTGCGCCAGCGCGAGATGCGCGGCAACGCGCACCGCATCGACGCCTGGCGCAAGACTAAGAGCTACCGCTTGGCGCAGAAGGTGTGTCCGGCGAAGCGGAGAGGCCGAGCTAACAACAGGATTGGGTACGCGAGCAGGAGAACGCGGCCATCCGCGGCTTCGACGCGCTGCACAACGTCAAGCGCTTGCGCATGACGCGCAGCATGTCCAACAAGGAAGCCGAGCTGATCTACTCGACCATGGTGCGGCAAGTGCGCACATACGACCAAGTCGTCGAGCTCCTCACCTACCTCCCGATGCACTTCGGCGGGCTGATCCCCGTCGCGAACGGGCTCATCCACCCGCTCGCAAGCGTCCGCAATGACTGTCTCGACTTGCTGTGCACCATCAATCAGTACACTGTGGGGCGGCATGCGTTGCTTACGCTAAACTACTTCTTGCGCAAGACGTTCGTCGAGCTACTCGAGCGGCGCGAGGCGACACGCGCGCTCCAGCGCCGCTTTGATGAGCCGGAGAAGACGCCGGCAACGGCCAGAGCTGGCGAGCTCGCCGCGCAGCAGGCCCAGCCCGCCGCGCTCAAGGCTTAATGCCCCATATCTCCTCCTTTTTTGGTCGGACGGAACTTTACGCTATCATACACAATAATCTAGACATGTATCAGTGGTTCTTGGGACCTAAGATGTGCGGGTGTGCAGGCCGGTGCAGCACCAGCGCAGAGTCTACGAAGGGCGCCTCCACAACAATCCAAATCTTCACTCAAAGATGCACAACTCGGGCAGAAGCAACAGCAGCACAATGCCTTATACACACATGCATTCACTACATAGGTCAGTAGTTAGTGCGTGATGCATCACCACGGTTCAGTACTAAGTATCACTATCACTCGCTACCACTAGAGGGCAGAGCCCGCGCTAGGTCCAGCCGAAGCCAGATGATGAAGGTTCATCCCTGCGCATGATACAAGTGCATCGGATGCACACCCTAAATCCGGAGAGACGCTTAGGCGACGAGGGTCGAAGCGGTGGCGGCCTCGTACTTGAAGGTAGGAGGGAGAGCCTGCTTCTTGATGTAGTAGCGGGCAAGACGGTGGATGCGCGACTCGATGAGAATCATGCGGAACTTGGCGTCCTTGTCGGCACGGTTGCGCTCGAGGTGCTTGCGGACCGAGACGGCCTTCTTGACGAGGTGGTAAAGGTCCTCGGGGATCGAGGGGGCGAGGCCGTTGGTCTTCAGGATGCGGAGCACCTTGTTGCCGGTGACCGACTTGACCTGGGGGATGCCGTGCGAGTCACGGAGGACAACGCCGATCTGCGAGGGCGAAAGGCCGCGACGCGCGAGCTTGAAGATCTGGTCCTGGACCTCCTCGGGGGTGGCCTTCGACCAGGACGGCTGCGAGCGGCGGTAGGGGAGCTGGGGTCAGTAGGAATTCTCGACGCGTCCAAGCTCATTTCGAGCTCCGGGGACGAGAGGTTGTACGCACAGCCGAAGCGGAGATACCCTTGCTACGCTGTCAGCGGTGTCCTTGTCGTTGCGCGCGCGTAGACTCACCCCTTGGAGTGAAGACGGCCCATTTTTGTTGTGTGGTTGATGGATGCAGAAGACGGCCTCGGCAAGCATCAAGGTGACGAGCAGCGGCAGCCACAGCCAGGCAGCCAAGGCACGTGTCAAATTCTTAACGCCGACCACGATTTTTGGCGGAGGCAAAATGCATCAAAATTCAGGGTCCAAATCCGGCCCTCCGGTGGGAGGTGAATGGTGTTGGCTGCCTCGTCGTCGCCCTCATCCTTCAACCAAAAGTCTAGCTTCTGCTCGCCACTAGCAGCGCTCGACACCTCAACCGACCATGAAGGCGAGTATCGCGGCCGCGCGCGACGCCGACGACACGAATTGGCGGGGGAACGGAGGCATGTGCGGGGCGGGGCGGCGTAGTGTTCAAATTCTACGCCGCCTCGGCGTTGTTGTGCGCATGACAGCGCATGGCAGCGCACGGCCCCGCTAGCCCATCCCCTATCGTCGGTTGCGTTGCGCGCGGAGATGGAGAATGTGGGAGCACCGCTGACCGGCAGCTCAACATCGCCAACCCCGCTACTGGGGCCCAGAAGCTCGTCGACATCGAGGACGAGCGCAAGGTCCGCATCTTCTACGACAAGCAGATGTCGCAGGAGGTAGCTGTTGGTGCGTTGCGCGCGGTGCGCGGGAGGGAGCCGTAGCTCTTGTCCCCGTTGAAGATGGACTTTCGCTGACTTTGCAGACTCGCTCGGTGACGAGTGGAAGGGCTACGTTTTCCGCATCACTGGTGCGTTTTCGACTCGCGTGAGATGGCCAAAGACGCGCGCAACGAGAAACGGAGAGGCGTTCTTGGGGAGATACACACCTGATCGGGCAACCAGAGTGTTGGGTAGACGGGGAGAAATATTGAAGGAGGGCGGCCTCGGGGAGAGAGAGGGTTGATTGCGCGCGTCTTTGGCCATTCCTCTTGCCCATCAATCTCGCCATGAAATTCGCTAACCGCAGGCGGCAACGACAAGCAGGGTTTCCCCATGAAGCAGGGTGTCCTCCTTAACCACCGTACCCGCCTCCTCCTCTCGGCCGGCCACTCGTGCTACCGCCCCCGCCGCACCGGCGAGCGCAAGCGCAAGTCCGTCCGTGGCTGCATTGTCGGCTCGGACATCCAGGTCCTCTCGGTCGTCATTGTCAAGCAGGGCGAGCAGGAGATCCCCGGCCTCACCGACGTCGTTCTCCCCAAGCGCCTTGCCCCCAAGCGCGCGACCAAGATCCGCCGCTTCTTCAACCTCTCCAAGGAGGACGACGTGCGCCAGTACGTTGTTCGCCGTGAGGTGACCACCAAGTCGGGCAAGACCTACACCAAGGCGCCCAAGATCCAGCGCCTCGTCACCCCCCAGCGCCTCCAGCGCAAGCGTCACCTCCGTTCGCTCAAGAAGCGCCGCTCGGAGGCCCAGAAGGAGCAGAAGGCCGAGTACGAGGTCGCTGTTGCCAAGTACGTCGCCGAGAAGAAGGCGCACCAACAGGCCGTCAAGGCCGCCCACAAGGCCGCCACCAAGACTGCCTAAACGGACCACGCAGTGTGCGGGTATCTGTAGGTTTAGTGCATTCTGGTTGGTCTCTTCATGCGATGTATAGCATGGCTCGATCCGACGTGAGGCGTGTGTGTGCAACGAGTGGGCGTGTGTGTACAGCGAATGGGCGGATGTGTGCAGAAGAGGTGGGACGAGGTGTGCAGGTGTCTCTGCGACGCGGCTCAGTGCAGATCTTGAGTATCTGTTAGTTTTCTGTCGGTCGCGAGTACCATATTGAGCCGTACGAGCTGCGATGGATCGGCCGTCGCCCGTCGCACACAAAATCAGGAGAGGCTGGGGTAGTTTGGGATATATCACTCGTCCTCGGCGATCGACAATGCGCTTCGTCGACATGCAGAAGTTGCAGCGTGCTTCGTGAACTCGTCAAGCTGACATATGCTGCTTGGCCCTCTGGATCCGTACTTGGACAAAGCGCAGGGAACATGTGCCACTACCGGGCGGGACCAAATTGGTGCCGGTTGCCACGCGACGCCCCTTACTGTGGGTGGCGTTTGCTGACTTGATTGGATGTAAACAACTCGAGCGCCACCTCCACTTCGACCACTTCACCCTGCCCCATCACCATCCATCCACTCGTCCAGTGCGCCTATAGCCCCTCCGTCGCCCTCACGCCTTTCTCTCATCCCACTGTCTCTTCTCGGCTCTCGGATTGCTCCGGATCTCCATCTCTCCTCCGCTCTGGTCGTTTCAGTTTCAGCGCTACTCTCCCAGCCATGGACGCTATCCTCGAACTTATCCCCCCCAAGGTCGCTGCCTACATTCCGGGCCTTGACACGTCGGCATACGTCTATGCCGCCGGCGCCGACCTCATCAACCTCAACAAGCGCAGCCTCTGGATTTCCGCCGCCTCTATCGTCTTCAACCCCCTCTACTGGAACATTCTCGCGCGTAATGGTGAGGCTGCTCACTGGCTCTTATCATTGCCTCAGCTGCTGATCGTCAGAATACCGCAAAGGAACGCTGCAGAAGATCTTTGGCGGCTCGCTCGGCGCCACCTACTTCTTCTTCGTGACCATCTTCTCCCTCGGCATCCTCCGCGACTACCTGTGAGTCCTGCGTCGTGGCCGCGAGAACGTTCCGCTGACAGTAGTTACGAGCGCGCACTCTCCGAGCAGCCCCACTGGGCGCCCCTAGCTCATCCGGGGTTCAAGGCGCTCGCTGTTGCCCTCTTTGGTGCCGGTCAGCTCTTCGTCGTCACGTCGATCTACGCCCTCGGTCTCACCGGCACCTACCTCGGCGACTACTGCGGCATCCTCATGTCGCACCGCGTCACCAGCTTCCCCTTCAACGTCCTCGAGGACCCAATGTACGTCGGGTCCACCCTCGCCTTCCTCGGCACTGCCATTTGGTGCGAGAGCGCTGCGGGTCTGGCTCTGACCGCGCTCGTGTGGGTCGTCTACTCGATCGCCCTGAAGTACGAGGGCCCCTTCACCGGCATGATCTACGAGAAGGCTGCCGAGGCTAAGGCCAAGCGCGCCGCTGAGGCCGGCGTTCCCGTCCCAGCCCCGGCGCCGTCCACCCCGCCCCGCAAGTCGGAGCGCCTCGCCGAGGCCGCCGCCACCACCACTTCGGCTACCGCTGCCCCCACCGCGACCGGAAACGGTGCGGCGACGCCCCGCCGCCGCGCGGCCGGCCGCAAGTCAGCCATCGCCAATGAAACCCTCTCCGCCAGCCCCATGCGCGTCACCCGCAGCCGGTCCAAGGCCCGCTCTGACGCCGAGGGGAGCGAGTAAGCCTCTCGCGAAGAGCAAAACGTCCAAGCTGGAGAGCCATGCCTCAACGGCACTCAAAAACACGCGCTAGTCACTAGATCGCTGGCTATCCGATACCCACGACTTTGGACCATACCCAACGTCGTAATTACTACCCTTGTCCTCATACCGCGGCGCCGCCGCTGCCTGTGCGATGGGCGCATTCATCTGTGCTGTAGCATCTCTATGTATCTGCGTACGGGCGAGCGCGTGTCACTGACACGCGCGACACGAGCGGTCATGAGGCCGAAAAGGAAGACGTGGCAAGGGAAGTTGACATCATCCAATTTGGAGTGGAGGTTCGCCACTCGAACTGTGCTTTACCCACTTCCGCACAATCATGAGCAGCCAACCATGAACAACGGCGCGCGTATCAAGCGCCTAAGCAGGCCAGCAGCAACACGTCTGCGGTCGTCTCTCGTCATCCCCTCGCTTCCGCAGATCCTAACAGAGCTCGCGCATAACGCTCTCGACGCCGGCGCGACCAGCATTGAATGCTGGGTCAGACTTGTCCCCGGCGACGAGAGCGTGCGCCTGGAGGACGACGGGCATGGAATTACGCTTGAGAACCTCGGTTTTATCGGAGAGCAATACAGTCAGTCGAGCCATCTCTCCGCTTCGCCGATCTTGCTCTCACCTTCCTCCGGCTGACTCCAGTAACTAGCAAGGAGGCGGAGGGGTGGTCTGGCAACGGCACGTACGGGTACCGCGGAGAGGCTTTGGCATCTATCTCAGCGCTGTCGTTGATGGAGATCACATCGCGTGCGCCGGGGGCCGAGACGCACTCGAAGATCATCCGCGTGGGTCTACCCTTCGGAGGCGTAGCTCATGGCAGAACGGCGAGACGATATACCTCGGCAAGGCGCGGCATGAGCTGGGCCGCGCGAGAGGCACCACAGTCTCCGTCCGCGACCTCTTTAACGCGATTCCCGTGCGGCGCGCATCCCTAGCCTCAACCCCCTCGATCAGCGCGTGCAAGCAGGCGATGGAGGCACTCGTCCTCGTCGCGCCCAAGATCCGCTGGGTGCTGTGGGAGGACAGGCTCGGCGGCATGCGCAAAATCCTGCACTGGGCTGGTGTAAGCACTTCCAGGCGGCGGAGCTGACGGAAGGGTAAGAACAGCCTCGAGGCGTTCCGCGGGCTATATGGGCATGCAGGGGTCGAGCGCGTGCAGAAGATCCGTGTATCGTCGGGGGACCGGCGCATGGACGGCTTCATCAGCCTCGAAGGCGCATTCACCAAGTCGCACCAGCATCTCTGTGAGTGTCCATATTTCGCGAGATCTGACATAGACATCAATGGCTACGCGATCCCCGGTTCGGAACTGCACAAGCTTATCGAGCGGCGCTTTGCCTCCAGCAGCTTCTCGGCGTTGGTGGGTCTTCCGGCAATGGCATTTCTAACTGGCAGTCGAGCAACTTGACGGAAGAGAGCGTTGCGCCGACGCAGAAACGATCATCACCACGACGTCTCGAACGGTTTCCCATTTACGTGTTGAACATCACATTACCTTCCGCAGATGTCGACGCTGCTTACGACGCGCGTAAGTTGACGATCGGGTGCAAGGTAAGCCCTGCCTGTCTTCAACTGGCTGATGGCAGGAGCCGGGGAAGACGCGCGCATTTGTCATAGCTGTCATCGATGATTTTCTGCGTAAGAGCGGGTTTGGTGCGCCGAGGAGCGGGACCGACTCCCCTACGAGACAGAACTTGCCGATGCCAAGCCCCAGCAAGCCGTTTTCTCCACGCCCTTCCGGCCTCAGCTCGACCATCGTGCCCGACGAGGCAGAGCCGGAGACTGTTCCCAACCCTGCCAGACAGCTGTTCTTCAACAGCTATCGCCTCGGCAGTGAGGCGCCGAGTACATTAGCCGCCCCGTCTCCAGCCACCCCGTCTCCCATCGCCAGTGGGAACGGGGACAACGTGCCCCCTGCTGGCATCAGCGCGCCATCGCCGCCAGAACTAGAGCCATCCACCGTTGAGGAGTTGATCAAGGTACGCAATATCCCTCGTCTTCATCTGACATTTCAGCAAGCTTCGGATCAGGTCATCTCTCGCGTGCGCAAGTTTGACGAACGACAGGACGACGAACGGACCACATATGCACCCTCGTGGCTGCCGCCGGTGCGCTCAGACATGAAATTTACACATGCGTCGATCGCCTCCGCCATTGTCTTGCCCCAAGTGGACCGAAGGTTCATCCCCTGTGTCATGATGGCCGAGGACACGTCTGAGGAGAAGTCTGAAGCGCTGGTCGTGATCGACCAGCATGCGGCTGATGAGCGCGTCGCTGTAGAGCAAATCCTGGACGCTCTGAACGAAGGCTTTGCGCGTAACAACATGGCCATCACAGAGCTTGAGGATGGTGTCGTCCGGGTAGTCCTCTCTCGGCAGGAGGTGGCGACGCTGGAGCTACCTGGCGTCCGTGAGGTGCTCCGACGCTGGGGCATCGGCCTAGGCGACACAGCAGCGCAAGGAGAGTATACTCAAGTGAACGCTCTCTGTGTTCCCCAGCTTCTCGACCGCCTAGGACACAAGAATGCGACAGAACTCACGCGCCTACTGCGCCTGTACCTTCCCGAGCTCGCCGACAGCCTCCCGGAGATTCAAGTGCTCACCACGCTTCTGGACTGTGGCTCTCGCGACGGCTCACACGGCTGGGCGAGCGTCCAGCGCCGGATGCCGCTCGAGATGGCCGAGCTTGCCAACTCCAAAGCGTGCCGCGGTGCCATCATGTTCGGAGACCGCCTCCAAGGGGACCAGTGCGAGCGCCTTGTCGCGCAACTCGCCGTGACCCGCAACCCATGGATCTGTGCGCACGGCCGGCCTACCCTCGCTCCACTCGGCCTCATTCCTCAATATCGACCGCCTGCTCGCCGCGCAATCGACTGGGCAGCATGGAAGCACAAGCACACGGAGCCGCCACTCTCGGCCCTGCGCCCCAGTTGACCTCAGCTGTAGCCAATACATTTATCGATGTTGTAAATATGTACATGTACAACAGATACAAGTTGATACAAGACACTCTCCATGCTCATCTACCGTCTGCGCTTACTCTTCGCCTTCTTAGCGGTGGCCGGCGCAGTCGCCTTCGCCTTGCTCGCGGCTTTCTTAGGTGCCGCCTTCTTCTTGCTTCTAGCCTTAGACTTGGCCGGTCTCCGCGCCTTGCCTTTCCCCTTCCCGACGACCTCTTCCTCCTCCTCGACTTCCTCCTCGACCTCCTCCTCCCCCTCAACCTCCTCTTCGCCTTCACCCTCGGCCTCCTCGGTCTCCTCCACCTCAACCTCTATCGCCTCGCGCTCAACCCGCTTCCCCGCAACCCATCCACGCACACACGCCTCGCGCCACCCCGGGATGTCCTCCACGCCCTCAGCAGCGACGTCTCCCTCTCCGCCGCCCCACCACCCGCCCTCGGTCCACACGTAGCGGTTGTCCAGTATCGCCTGGAGGACCTGATAGCTCTCCGCGCTCGCGTACGGCACCATGCTCTCTGGGTGGCGGTAGCGCGCCGGCTGGCCCGTGAGAGGGTCGGTCGGCGGTTTGCGGTCTGACGTGAGCTCGCATCGTATCGCATGGCCGCCTCCTACGTCGACCGAGCGCGAGACCACGGATCCACTCACTGATAGGCCGATTTCGGGCCGGAATGACTCTGACGTCGGACCAGTCGACGTGGTCGCCCAGGATGAGGCGGAGCTCAGCGGGAAGGCCGCCGGGCACCTGCGAGAGGATGAGATAGTTCCGCTCGTAGGGCCCCGTGGGGGCGGCGTCGGCATCGGCGTCGGCGTCGCCGCCGGTGTTTGGAGCCGGGGCGAGAGATGTGGATGGCGTCATGGACTTGGTCAGCGGCACGGGGGGAACGACGGTTGGGATGGTCGCGGCTGGGGGCTGTGGCGCGGAGGGACGAGCGTCTGATGCCAAGCCGGTGGTGTGGGCAGGCTGTGTTGGCATCCCGGAGGGCGGCGCTGGAGGTTGCGATGGCCCTGCCGGTGCGGGCGCCTCCTCAGCGGCAGCTGATGCGGCTCCTTCGAGCGGAGGTGGCGGAGCAACCGACGACGGCGTATCTTCGGCGTTCGGAGCTGGTGCAGGTGCCCCAGAGGTATGAGATGTGGCGTCGCTCGGCTCGTCCACAGCCAGGTCAACGTCCATTTCCTTTTCTCCACTTGCTTCCTTTACGACGTCCTTCTCGCCAGCTGCCTCACCAGCTGCTGGTGTCACTGCCGGTGTTTCGGCAGGTGTTTCGTTTGCCGCTGGGGTCTCTGCTGGCGTCTCCCCCGGCGTATTTGCTGCTGTGTCCTCAACGACCTCGACGAGCTTGCCCACAGTGCGGGAAACGAACGTCCACCTTGGGCCGCGAACACGCTTTCGCCCCACACGTCGAAGTTCTCGCCTCTCCTCCTCGCGCCTGAGCCATTGCGTGAGCGCCTCCTTATTTCGCTCCTCTTCCTCGAGCGCAGCGGCAATGAGCTCAGCTTGACTCATAGGTCGTGCGCCGCGCACCTCGCCTGTCTCATGCTGCGCTTTGCGACCTTTCCTACTCGCAGCAAGGGCAACCCTCTCGGCCTTTTCCCTCTCGATGACCTCCTCCTCTGTGCGCAGGGTGGACGCGCGCAAGTTGGAGCGTCGCGCCTCGGAACGGTGCAGACGCTTCGCTTCTCGCCTCTGCTTGCGCAATTCCAGCACGAGCGTCGAGGGCGCCATCTTGCTCACGTCGATGCTTGGGTCTAGGGAGGCTAGCTCGGCGGCTGTAGGTTGAGGGCCGGAAGGCCCAGGCCCGTGGATCTTGACGAACGGGTTGAACACACCCTTGCCCTTCTTAGCTCTGCGCTCCTCGCGTCGCAATCGTGACTCCTCATCTTCATCGGAGGCAGATACCTCGTCATCCGTGTCCGCAAACTCGTCCAGAAACACGTCGCGAATGGGAGCTGGTTCCTGGAACTCGCCATCGTCCGCCTCCTCAGCGAACAGTTCGTCCTTCTCTTGGTCTTCCTGTTTGGCCTTCTCCAGGAGCTCGCGCATGCTACTATTAGCTGGGATGGGCAAGCAGCTCACCGATTACCCGCATTGCTTCGGCGCGATCGGCCCTGCGTGACCGTCGTGTACTCCTTCATGGTGTTTGATGTGATGTTGATTTGGTGGGTGCGAGTTGCAAGCGCGAAGTCATCGGCGTGGTCCGCTTCGGTGGAGTTACATCTAATCTCCGCGGGCCGACGGTGGAGGTTGATGTCAGGTGGGAACAAGAGGTCGACGCTCATTCGATTCCGCGAGGTGCCACAGCAAAAAACCCCGTTTTTTTCCATGTGCACGAATTTGCGCTCTATGCCAGCGGAGCTCAGCCACCGTACAGGCCCTGTCTCCCGGCCCCCACCCCTCCCCCCGCCGCTGCGTCTCGTTCTCGATCTGCTTATCCATCTCCCTCCAAACCTCGCACTTGGTAACAGCCTTTGCGTACCAAGTTTCCTTCTCTTGTCTACGGACTCCCCTCGTCTCTCTTTCCGCTTAACAAAACAAAAAACTCAAGATGGTGAGTTCCGGAGAGTGGCGCGAAAAATCTGCTCGTGGACGGCGCTGACAGCCCAGGTCAAGTAAGTCTTTGCCACCCTTGGAGGGTTTGAGTTGGATGGCAGCGAGCAAGCTCAAGATGGAGAGGGAAAGGGTTGATGCGGTGCCGGGAAGGGACATTGGGATGCGAGCGCGGCGTCATCGAGAACAGAAGTTGCGGTGGTGCGATTGCCGAGCAACCCTGCGATAGGTGACAAAGCGTCTCGGAGGCGCACAGGCGGCATCCTCTGCAACTCCAACAGTGCTCTGCAACATCTCCGAGTGCAAACGCCACTGCATACGCAGCGAGAGCGGCTCGGAGGGTTGCACAGCGAGTTGATGTGCTCGGATCCGGCGGTTTGCGCCACTCGGACCTCGCTGCCGAGACCCCCCGCCCAGGCTCCCGCTCGGCCCCATCTCCTCCATCTCACGTCGGCCCGGGAGCGTCGAACAAATGGAGCCATGCTCCGTTGGGGCGAGTGAACTTGCCCGTGGTTGGGCTTGAGATGTGAACCAGTCGAGGGCAGCGTGTCCGACATCCTCATATCCCAAACTCCCGAGATGCTCGAGTCCTACCTCCTTCTCTTCCTCCTTCTCCGCCATGGACACGTCAGCTAACGACAGCTTCACCATCGACGAGATCCGGTATGTTTGAACACTTTGCGCCTGTTCGCCTTGATGGCAATGGCGTACAGTGGGCCAGTCTTACTAACCATCTAGTGCCCTCATGGACAAGCCGACCAACATCCGTAACATGTCGGTCATTGCCCACGTCGACCACGGCAAGTCCACCCTTACCGACTCGCTCGTTTCCAAGGCCGGTATCATTGCCTCGTCCAAGGCCGGTGAGGTCCGTTTCACGGACACTCGGTGAGTTACATGGAGATCGAATTGCACCTAACGTATCAGTCAGGACGAGATCGACCGTGGTATCACCATCAAGTCGACTGCTATCTCGATGTACTTCCCCCTCCCCAAGGACGACCTCGAGGATGTTAAGCAGAAGACCGACGGTGAGTAAGCGTTCAGTTTGCCCCAAGGGGGTCCTCGGGCTACTCCGAACCGGAAATTTTAATTATCCCCCACACCACGTGTGCCACACTCATTATCATTCTTTGGCCTCGCGCCCCTTGCGCCCCTCTGCGCCCCACTCCCTTTCATTGCGGCTTGCTGACATGATAGGCGGCGAGTTCCTGGTCAACCTGATCGACTCGCCCGGTCACGTTGACTTCTCGTCTGAGGTTACTGCCGCTCTCCGTGTCACCGACGGTGCCCTTGTCGTTGTTGACTGCGTCGAGGGTGTCTGTGTCCAGACCGAGACTGTCCTTCGTCAGTCGCTCACCGAGCGTGTCAAGCCCGTCCTTGTCATCAACAAGGTCGACCGTGCGCTCCTTGAGCTCCAGGTTTCCAAGGAGGACCTTTACCAGTCCTTCTCGCGTACCGTCGAGTCGGTTAACGTCATCATCTCGACTTACGCCGACCCCGTCCTCGGCGACGTCCAGGTCTACCCCGACCAGGGCACCGTCGCCTTCGGCTCCGGTCTCCACGGCTGGGCCTTCTCGCTCCGCTCGTTCGCCGGCCGTTATGCCAAGAAGTTCGGTGTCGACAAGGCTAAGCTCATGCCCAAGCTCTGGGGCGACAACTACTTCAACCCCAAGACCAAGAAGTGGTCCAAGTCGGCCGACGCTGGCCTCGAGCGTGCTTTCAACATGTTCGTTCTTGACCCCATCTTCCGCATCTTCGACTCGATCATGAACTTCAAGAAGGACGAGATCCCCAAGCTCCTTGAGAAGCTCGAGATCAAGCTCTCGTCGGACGAGAAGGACCTCGAGGGCAAGCAGCTCCTCAAGGTCGTCATGAAGAAGTTCCTTCCCGCCGGCGACACCCTCCTTGAGATGATTGTCATCAACCTCCCCTCGCCCGTCACCGCCCAGCGCTACCGTGTCGAGACCCTCTACGAGGGCCCCATGGACGACGAGTCGGCCATTGCCATCCGTGACTGCGACCCCAAGGGCCCCCTCATGGTCTACATCTCCAAGATGGTTCCCACCTCGGACAAGGGCCGCTTCTACGCCTTCGGCCGTGTCTTCTCGGGCACTGTCTCTTCGGGCCCCAAGGTCCGCATCCAGGGCCCCAACTTCGTTCCCGGCAAGAAGGACGACTCGGTTATCAAGTCGATCCAGCGTACCGTCCTCATGATGGGCCGCTCCACCGAGTCGATCGAGGACTGCCCCGCCGGCAACATTATCGGTCTCGTCGGTATCGACCAGTTCCTCCTCAAGTCGGGTACCATCACCACTTCGGAGACTGCCCACAACATGCGTGTCATGAAGTTCTCCGTTTCCCCCGTCGTCCAGGTCGCCGTCGAGTGCAAGAACGCCGCCGACCTCCCCAAGCTTGTCGAGGGTCTTAAGCGTCTCTCCAAGTCTGACCCCTGTGTCAAGACCTGGATGGGTGAGACCGGTGAGATCATCGTCGCTGGTGCCGGTGAGCTCCACCTCGAGATCTGCCTCAACGACCTCGAGAACGACCACGCCGGTGTTCCCCTCCGCAAGTCGGACCCCGTCGTCGGCTACCGTGAGACCATCCAGGCCGAGTCGTCCATGACCGCCCTCTCCAAGTCGCAGAACAAGCACAACCGTCTTTGGGTCAAGGCCGAGCCTCTCGGTGAGGAGCTTACCAAGGACATTGAGGACGGCAAGGTTGCCCCCCGTGACGACCCCAAGATCCGTGCTCGTTACCTTGCCGACACCTACGGCTGGGACGTCACCGACGCCCGTAAGATCTGGGCCTTCGGCCCCGACACCACCGGCCCCAACATCTTCCTTGACGCCTCCAAGGGTGTTCAGTACATGAACGAGATCAAGGACTCGGTTGTCGCCGCGTTCCAGTGGGCCACCAAGGAGGGTGCCATCGCCGAGGAGCCCATGCGTGGATGCAAGTTCGCCATCATCGACTGCACGCTCCACACCGACGCTATCCACCGTGGTGGCGGTCAGATCATCCCCACCGCCCGCCGCGTCACCTACGCCGCTCAGCTCCTCTCGACCCCCGGTCTCCAGGAGCCCATGTTCCTCGTCGAGATCGCGTGCCCGGAGTCGGCTCAGGGTGGTGTCTACTCGGTTCTCAACGTTCGTCGTGGCCAGGTCTTCTCGGCCGAGCAGCGCCCCGGTACCCCCATGTACACCATGAAGGCGTACCTCCCCGTCGCCGAGTCCTTCGGCTTCAACGCCGACCTCCGTGCCGCTACCGGTGGCCAGGCCTTCCCCCAGGCTGGTGAGTTTTCCCTACGACACTTGCGGGCCGTTTAGTTCTCGTGCCATGCTTTCCAATCTACCATACCGTTTAGAACTTTGCTGACCCCAGTCTTCGACCACTGTTCGTTTATCTCGCTCGAGTTTGTGCTAATATCCAGGGTCCCTGCTCGGCGGCGACGCCTCGGAGAAGGGCTCGAAGGTCAACGAGGTGAGTTGTTCACAGCGAAAACGACTGCCCTGTACATGCTCCAGGGCTATAAGAAACTTTCTAACCGTAGCTTGCCGTCAAGATCCGTACCCGCAAGGGCCTCAAGCCGGACGTGCCCCTGCTCGAGACGTGAGTCGCTTATCGGCTGCAAGAGTACAAGCCCTCCACCCGGACGGTGTTGCACTGCGGCGGCTTTTCCCCCCCTCAATTGTACATGCTGACAGACAGTTACTACGACAAGCTCTAAGACGGACGTCCGTTGTGCGCGGCCGATGCGATTGGGATTGGTCTGTACGCGGTGTAGAAGCGTCCGGGACGCTCTCGGGAGGGTCTCGCAGATATTTAGATATCGCCATGATATCGTGGTTTCCAGTTCTTTTGTTGCTCTTGTGCTGTTTGCTTTGCCCCGCGCGTCGATTGCTTGCTGGCCTGGGCGTGTCGTGCTACGGCGTTTCGTGTTGAGTATTGCAGGTAGACGTGGTGCATTGAAATGACGGCCCTGCTCACTTCTCCCAAGGCGTGCGTCTGGCGCCGCCATACATGTCCTTGTATTCTAATGAGCTCCTTTCGTATGGGAGCCAATACCACTGCTCCTTGTTCCCTATGGCATCGGCTACATCTAGCGTCTACTCACACCTCGGCTCGCGTGGCATTCAACATGCGATCTTTGCAAGTTAGGTGACGAGCCACGCTGCGGCTCACCTCAGACAGACAGTCCGCGCGTCAAACCGCTAAGAATGTTCTTCACATAATGCGGAATACTGAACGTCTCCCGATGATTGCCTCCTCTGACTTACGTCCACTTCTGACTTATGACAAGGTGACGCAAGAGTGAAAGTGAACGCAGGTGCCTACCCTACGAGTACAAACGTCCCCCGTGCCTGCAACTTCATCCGCGAGTGCCTTCATGTCGCATACCTGTGCCTGTTACGCATTTGCGACAATGGACTTTCAGAGGACCAGAGCACCGAGACGTCATGCGTCGAACGCAGGCCTCCTCGCTCCGGCCTGCGATATAATCAGGCGATCAAGCGAGCCGAGTGTGCAAGATCGGCCCATGGCCGCCTCCTCTGGACGCTCGACGACGCCTAGTCTCCTGGCCCCGATCCTTCGCACCGCTGAGGCACGTCGATCTGATGAACTCGACGTCCGGCGCTAATTCGTCGTTGATCTCCGGGAAGCTTCTCCCGACATTGTGAGCGGGCACTGCGCGCTGGTATATCTGATCAGCTGCCAGGTTCCACATCTGATGTTCTCTCCCCACCAGCCATGCTAATCACCCTCCTCCTCGGCCTCCTCACCGGAGCCGCGGCACAGACGGCGACCTCGTCCGCCTTCAATGCGGAGGCCACCCGCCCCTCCTCAGTCCTCGGCAACACGAGCGCGACTATTGACACCGTTTTCCACCCGCCTGGCGCCGGCCCCGTCAAGGTGACGGGCATGCTGCAGAACGGCCTCGGTATTTTCCTGGGCATCCCATTCGCGCAGCCCCGTGAGTAGCACGCCGGCATGCTGACGCCAGCCGTTGGCGACCTGCGGTTCAAGCGCCCTGTGCCCGCGACCTATGGCGAGCATATCTCCGCGATTGAGCGCCCTCCGGCGTGCCTCCAGCCGCTCGGGACCGTCGCAGCCAATGTGAGCGGCATCAGCGAAGACTGCCTCTTCGTGAATGTCATCACGCCGGCAGCTGCTGTCGGCGAGGGATGCGAGCTCAAGGACCTGCCGGTGCTCGTGTGGATGTAAGTGGACAGCGCTTGTTGGCTGAGAGGGAGCTGCAGGGGCGAGGCGGAGCAGCGAGGGGGGGCGGGCGAGGCGGGGCAAGGGCCGGGGGGGTGGGGGGGGCTGTGGCTGTGGGAGAGATCTGCAGCGCGGCTGTAGTGGGATGGCGAGGGCGTGGGGCGAGCCACGCACCGGCAGAGCTAACTGCAGCTATGGCGGAGGATACTATGGCGGCTCGGCCATTCTCTACACCAGCCCGTCGCTCTCGTCCCGTGCCCTCGAGAAGGTAAGTGCCGGCCGCGACCCGCTGACGGCAGGGCAAGCCCATCGTGCTCGTAACCTTTGGTTACCGCGTAGGCATCTTCGGCTTTGGGTAAGACGGTTCGCGGCGGCGCGTAGACAGACACGGGCGGGAGATGCGGGCCAACGACGCGCTCAACCTCGGCATGCGTGATCAGCTTTTAGCTCTGCAATGGGTGAAAGACAACATCGCGGGCTTTGGCGGCGACCCATCCAAGGTCACGATCTTTGGCGAGTCCGCCGGCGCCATGTCCGTCAGCACGCTCATGCTGAATGAGACCCAGGATCTGTTCCGCGCCGCGGTGCGTTCCAGCTCAGGTACAGGGCTGACGGGAGATCATGCAGTCCGGCACGGTCACGTCGCTGGGCGGGTTCGGCAATGAGACCATTTACCAAGAGCCGTACGACCGGCTGGTTGAGTTCGCTGGGTGCAACGGCACCGAGAGCTCGTTTGCGTGCCTCAAGGCTCTGTCCGGAGAAGACTTGCTCGCCGCGCAAGTCGAGATGACCGGCTCCGAGTTTGAGTACTCGTGGGGATACCCTTTCGGGCCGGCGATCGACGGCGACCTTATCCCCACCTCGCCGTACCACATGATCAAGAACGGCTCGTTCTCCAGGGTGCCCTTCATCACCGGGTGCAATAGCGACGAGTGAGGCTGGCCGGATCTGGCTAACCGCAGGGGCACAACGTTCATCTATGCCAGCCTGAGCCAGAACCTCACCGAGTGGCCGCTCTCGACCGCCATCGAGGTCATGTACCCGTATCCCCTCCCGCAGGAGTTCTACGACCGCATTGAGGAGTTCTACCCGCGTGACAGGACGGGATGGTGAGTTGGTGGGCGTGTGCAGGCTGACGCTAGCCCTTTCAGTTCCGGGACCAACTTGTTCAACAACTCTGTCTCGCCTGCGTGAGCCACAGGGCGTTGATGCTTGTTGGCACTGATGCCCAGGTGGAAGCAGGTCACGGCGGTATATACCGATCTGCTGATGCAGTCGCGCCGCCGCTGGCTGCCGCGCACGACCAATGAGCACAGCTTCGACAAGACCTGGTCGTACGAGTTCAAGGGGTACAGCCCGCCCGACCCGCCGTTCTGGGGAAGTGAGTAGCACGGCCTTACAGCTGCTTACGCAGGCTCGCACGAGGCTGAGAAGCCTTACGTCTTCGGCCGCGCGGTCGCCGAGCTCGGCTACAGTCCCGACCAAGTTGCGCTCGGCGAAGCAATGATGGATTATTGGTGCGTCAGGCCTCAGCAGGGCTGATGGCAGGATCAACTTTGTGTACTTCATGGACCCTAATGGCGACGAGGGGTCTGAGCTGGCGCATTGGCCGAAGCACGACTTCCCGGCAAACAAGAACTCACTTGAGATGAGTATCGGCAGCCTCGAGGTCATTCAGGACGATTTCCGCGAGGAAAGCATCGCCTTCATCAACGAGCCGCAGAATGCGTTCTTCATCCGCAAGCGCGGCCAGTGACAGAGAAACGGCGAGGCCAGCGACTCAGAGCTCCTCAGTAGACGTCTGTGCTACCTGATATGCGCTAGCGATGCTGCTGCCGAGCGATTCTGTTGTGAGCCGACGCAGAGACATGGACCGAGAACAAAGGATTACATCCTCTCGGGTGTGTGTTGTTTGCAGGGCCAGACTGAAGTCGGACGAGCAGCTTGCATACTGTGTGTGTGATCATGCCATGTAGGCGCTCTCGTTCAGAGCCCAGGCTCAGTGTTGCGGCAGTACGAGCAGGTGGTGGTGGTGTGCGAGATAACGGAGAGTCAAGCGCCAAAAGACAAGAGATGTGATGAAAAGATCAAGGCACGCTCATTCCGCGGGAACATAAAATTGCCAGCAAACAAAACTTTTATCGCCCCGCTGGCCAAGTGGTAAGGCGTTCGTTTCCTATCCCTCCGGGGCCCCATGGGCTTCGACAGCGAGCGAGAGATCGCGGGTTCGACCCCCGCGCGGGGTTCTTCTTTATGTTTGTGCAATGCACTTACACTTTTGAAATTGAGCAGCGCTTCCAGAACGACTTGCTTTAGGTGTGACGAAGCGGGAAGGGGGTTGCGTGAGGAGGGGATTGGCCTCGTCCACGGTGGAGGTGTGTGTGTGTTAGGGCGAGGGGAAGGTGCAACTGTGGGAGGCGGGAGCGTCGAGAGCCACAGCAGAGCGGGCGGCGGATGTGGTGCTTGCTGAGGTAAGGTGTGGCGACGGAAAACATGGAGGAGGTGAAAGCAGTGAGTGGGAGAGGTTGACGAAGAGACCAGAGCGAGGGCGGTGGAATGTGAGGTTTAGCTGGATGGACGGCCGTAATGGCGTGGTAGTGGAGGTAATGGCAACGGTGGCTACGATGGTGATGATGGTTGTGGGACTCACAACCAAGCTCAAAGACACGGCGCTTGCGTTGAGAACAGCTAGTCAGTGTGTAGCGAGCAATACAGAAGTCGATGATTGACATGAGTGATGAGGAGAAAGAGGAAGGGGTGGTGGCAACACCATCAGCTTGTGCAATAGTGTGACAGCTGGCTGATCAAGGCTTAGGCACGTACACCTCAACTTTGACATTGACACACCGAACAGAATCACAACATCAACACCACCACCAATAGCAGGGAGCTCGATGCATCAAGTGCTCAACCTGTCTATAAAAAGCAGAAGAAGGCAAAACGAAGTATAACGAGAGCTCAGCAGGCCTAGAGCCAACTGTGCACGAAGAACAGAGCCAGTCACATGAGACGCTTAAGAGCGCTCACCACGGAGGCGACGTGCGAGCTGGAGGTCCTTGGGCTGGATGGTGACACGCTTGGCGTGGATAGCGGCAAGGTTGGTGTCCTCGAACAGCGAGACGAGGTAGGCCTCCGAGGCCTCCTGAAGAGCGAGGACGGCGGACGACTGGAAGCGGAGGTCGGTCTTGAAGTCCTGCGCGATCTCACGGACAAGGCGCTGGAAGGGAAGCTTGCGAATAAGGAGCTCAGTCGACCTGGCGCGTTAGCGTAGTTCTCACCGGGGAGGGTCTCGGCGCGTGGCTCAAGGTGTGGCACTCACTTCTGGTAGCGACGAATCTCACGAAGGGCGACGGTACCGGGGCGGTAGCGGTGGGGCTTCTTGACGCCGCCGGTGGAGGGGGCCGACTTGCGGGCAGCCTTGGTGGCGAGCTGCTTACGGGGAGCCTTGCCACCGGTGGACTTGCGGGCGGTCTGCTTGGTACGGGCCATTGTGAATGTAGGTGGTTGGTGGTGTGATGGGCGTGAGGGGGAGGAGCGCTGAGTGGTAGCAGGTGACCGTTGGTGGGAGAGTGAGAAAGTAGTGTTGTGGGATGAGGAGCAATTGAGAGATGGAGATGGCGACCTTTATATGTCAGCGAGCTGCACCCATTTCGCTCGTCGCTGGGAAGAGTCGTTGCGGGGTTCCCACTTTGATTCCGCTCGTTGTTGTTGTTCTTGATCTTGATCACCGAGAGACGTGTCACGTGATTTGATCTCGCCATGATCTAAATGATCCAGCCGAAGGTAGATCTGCATCCGCTGTTCTCGATCAGTTAAACAGGCCGATCAGCCTCACAGCTGCTACAAGTCACGAGCTCGACGCAGCCGTGCGGTCAAACGACTACATTGCCGACTCGCCACGTGTAGGCCCACAGTCTCCCACTTCATCTGTGTCCTCATGGTATAGTCCCAAGCATCACCGGCCACCGGCATCACTGTAGTCTCTCCACTACGCACCGCGATCACGGATCATTGACTGAGACACATGGGTCCTTCGTTCAACATTTCCAGGCGCGAACACTCTGTGTGCGCTTCATCTTGTCGGTGCTCACAGATACAAAGTGCTCTCTCTCATCCCATTCCGCGATCATCGTTGCACCAGATAAAGACGCTAACACTCGCTCTCTCTTCGCTCGCGCTCGCTACCATGCCAAGAGCAAGCAGCGGCGCACTTCATATACCCCGCCATCACCAGCTGAACTCCCCACTCACACATACTCACCATGCTCCCCTCCTCGAGCAACCCCGTTCCGTGGCGACCCGTGTGCGGCCTCCTCGGCCTCTTCTTCACCCTGGGCCTCAAGGGCGTATTCCAGCCCCTCAAAGGCGCGCTCGTTTCCCACGTCCTCGCCACCCCCTGACGCCAGGCGCCCAGATCTTTGGTCTCACGCAAGCCACCGACGCCCAAGCGGCGTTCTATCCCGTCGTCTCGGCGCGCAACGTCTCCCTCGGCCTCTGCATACTCGCATTCACGCTCACGGGGCAGCGGCGCGCGCTCGGCACCCTCCTCCTCTGCTTCACGGCCATGTGTGGTGTCGACCTCGCGTTCGTCCTCCGCATCCACAATGTCCAGCGCGGGAAGATCGCGATGCACGCGGTCAAGCTGGTTCTGTTCCCAGTCATGGCTGCTAAGATGCTCGAGTGGATTTGACCGTGCTGCTCTGCCCACCTCGCGCTGGCTCCGGCAACCCGAGTCACGGAACGCTTGACCCGGGCTCATCATTGCCCCGTGCTCTCTCGCTACTGTTGTTGGCTTTTCGCCTCCGTTGCTCCCTCCAGCGTGTGTGTATCATCGTGTAAACAGTGTGTGAATGTACCTCTCGTCTATGAATTGGCGGCTGTGCAAGCACCGCGTATGACATCCGAGCAAGCTTCTTCTGGCATCCGCGCTGTGTTCGGCAGCACGCCAAGCCCGTGCCTCCATCACCTGACTGTCACAACAATGCAGACCCTTCTCGGACATGCATGCATCGCATATTCATCCGTGATCGGCAGCTATACTCTAATCATCTTCCAGACACCTTGTACCTGCACGCTGCTCACAAACTACCACTATGTCCCTCCCCGCTATGCCCTGGCGGCCCGCGTGCATCGCCGTCGGCCTCTTCTACTCGATGGGCGTCATCGGCATCGTGCAGCCGCACACAGGCGCGCCTCCCGCCCGCCTCTACTAACACCAGCCACCCACATCTTCGGAGACCTGCGGGCGACGAAGGAGGAGTCGACGTTCTACACCGTCGTCGGCGCGCGCAACCTCTCGCTCGCCGCCACCGTGCTCGCGTTCGTGTATACCGGCCAGCAGCGCGCGCTCGGCACCATGATGATGTGTTACACGCTCATGGGCGTCGTAGATATCGGGTTCCTGCTAACGCGGCCCGGGTATTCGCCCTCCAAAATGGCCATTCATGTCGTTAAGGGTGCCGTGTTCCCCATCCTCGGGGGCAAGCTGCTCGAGTGGTACTGAAGTGTGGGTGAAGGACCACGGCAGATGTCCAGAAAAATGCATGCTCTACCTTCTATATCATTGTTGATGCTTCAGACAGTAAACCGCATAGATGCGTAGTGGCGGATATCCTCCAATGTGATACCACTCTTGGTACACATGGACGTGAATGCGCCGCCGGCCAGGAACAGGTTTTCGGGCGTGTCGAACTCCTCGACCGCGCCGTCGGACATGACAAGGATACGGTCGTACGACAGAATAGTGCGCAGGCGGTGCGCGATACACAGCAGTGTCTTGTGCCCAAACTCGCGTCGGATCGTGTCCTGGATCTTCGAGTCCGTCTCGACGTCGACACTCGCCGTCGCCTCGTCCAGCACCAGCACCTTCGGGTCGCGGACAAGCGCACGCGCGAGAGAGACAAGACTGCGCTCGCCGACCGACAGGTTGTTGCCCTCCTCCTCGACGATGTAGTCGAGGTTGAAGCGCGAGACGGGGGACGCCTCGCCGCTCTTGGACGCGTCGTACGTCGTGGAGGGAATGAGGTGGGCACGCTTGAGCGCATCGTACAGCTCGGCGTCCGAGTGCCGGCTGAACGGGTCGATGTTGGAGCGGAGCGTACCGGAGAACAGAAGCGGGTCCTGAGGGATGATGCTAATGCGGGAGCGCAGGTCGTCGAGGCCGATGGTGGCGATGTTGACGCCGTCGATCGTGATCGAGCCAGACGAAAGCTCAGTCATGCGGAACAGCGCCGCCATGATTGAACTCTTGCCCGCACCCGTGCGGCCCACGATACCGATCTTCTCAGCCGGCTTGACGTGAATCGTGAGGCCCTTGAGCACATCCGGCAGCTCCGGGCGGTACTTCATCACAACTTGGTCAAACGTGATCTCCCCCTGCGCTGGCCACGTTGCGGCGGGCTTGCGGTCGGGAATCTCGTGCGGCGGCTCCTGCTCCAGGTTGTTGGCGTAGTACATAATGCGCTCAGCACCGACCATGTCGTTCTCGACCTCGGCGAGTTGGCGCACAAGCCACGAGAAGACCTGTTGAATCGTGAGCATCGTTGATAGGCCCAGGCCCGAATGCGCTGCCGAGACCTTGTTGTTGAGGACCACGATAAGCGCGACAGCAAAGGTGAGTAGCGACCCGAGCATGTCGAGGCGAATACCGAGCCAGCGTTGATCTGCATGTCAGCACAGTCCGGATAAATCGGGGTTTCGTCCTTGTTTTGCCACGTTTCGCCTCTGCTTCCTTCCGAACTCCAATACTCACTGATGATAGTCATGTAATAAGCACTGAAATCAGCACTGAGTTTGCGGGGTAGCTTACCGGTTCTCCACGTCCATGCGCTTGACGTTCTCCTTGTTGAATCTATCGCTTTCACCGTACGCCCGAATAGTGGAAATGCCTGACAATGACTCGGAAAAGTGCGAGTACAGCGAGGACCGGAGGATCGAGTCGACGCGCTTGAACTCGCGCGACGAGGCGCGGTAGTACTGGGCGCAGTGCAGGTAGAGGAGGAGCACGACAGCCACGGCGATCAGGAACCACGGCGAGATGACTGCGAGCAGGACGACCGAGCCGATGACGTTGGCGATCATGTTCAGCGACATGCGGGCCGCGTCGGAAAGCGTGTTGTCAATCGTGCTGAGGTTAGTTTCACAAAGGCCCGACCAGCCAGAATACGTACTCAACATCCTGGGGTTAGTACAGTCACTGCACGAAACGCACCTTGCTGAACCGGTTCATAATACGCCCGAGCGGCGTCGTGTCGAAGAAGCTCTGCGGCGCATACATGACACTCTTAATTGCGTCGCGGTGGATGTTGACCGAGGCGAAGAAGTTGATGAGCGACATGAACGAGCCAATGACGAAGACGCCGAGGGCCTGACCGACACCGAGGGCGGCGTAGGCACCCATAAATGCGTTGTTGCTCAATCCCCACTGGCCTTGCTGCCACCACACCATCCAGTACTGAGACATGACGGTGAAGCCTTGACCGATGACGGTGGCGATGATTAGCAGCGGGAGCATGATGTAGCCCTTGCCTGCGCGGAGGTACCCGGAGAAGGTGCCCTTCTGCAGGCCGCCCTGGTTGCGCTCCTCGAGCTGCATGAGCATGCCGTGGCCGAGGCCGCGAGTAGTCATCTTGGAGCGGTCGATCGGCTTGTGCGGAGCGTTGTCCTCCTCGATTGCCTCCTCCTCGTCGCCAGCCTCCTTCTCTTCCACATCCTCAGAGCCGAACTCGCGAACGAGCTTGGAGAAGGGACCTTCCGCATCCTTGAGCTCCTGGTACGTTCCGGTCTCCGAGACGCGGCCGTTTTCAAGCACGATAATGTGGTCGACGTGCGGGAGGAAGTGCAGCGCGTGCGTGACAAGGATACGTGTCTTGCCGGAAAGCGCACCGAGGATCGCGTTGAAAAAGACCTGCTTGCCGACGCCGGCGTCGAGTGCCGAAAGGGGATCGTCCAAAGCGATAATGTCTGATGATCAGGGCTGGAAACGGAGTGCAAGACTTACCGGCATCGTAGTACAGCGCACGCGCAATATTCACGCGCTGCTTTTGTCCACCCGAAAGGGTGATACCCTTCTCACCGATCTCAGTGCCGTCACCATCCTCGAGAAGCACGAGATCCGGCTCAAGCGATGCGTCCCGCACGGCTGCCCAGTACTTCTCCTCGTTCCATGGCTGCCCGAACAGAATGTTCTCGCGCACAGTTGCGTTCTGAATCCAGGGCGACTGGGCGCACAAAGCGGTCGTGCCCTGGAACTTGATGCTACCAGATGTGCGGCGCATCTCGCCCATGAGGCCCTGGAGGAGCGACGACTTGCCCGAGCCGATGGGGCCGACGATCGCAGTCAGCGAACCGGACGGGATGGTGAGGCTGATGTTCTTGATCTGGAAGACGTCGTCCTGCGAGTTGCCTTGTGGCCCAGCCGCTGGCGTCTGACCACCAAACTTCTTCTCCTTGGGCTCCTTAGACTTCTTAGGCGACTTGCCCGCTGGCTTGACGCCCTTCTGGGCTGCGGCGAGCTTGGCCTCCAGCTTGGTAACCTCGTCCTCAGCCGGTGGGGCCGCGTCCCATGTGAACGACGCGTCCTTGATCACCACAGCGTCCTTGAGGTCAGGGTCGATCATGCGCTCTTCGGTTGTAACCTCAGCATCAAACACAGCCTGGAGACGACCAAGTGCGTTGATGGCGTCGGCAGTGGCGCTGAGAGTCATGGGCCACATCATGAGCGGCATACGCATCAAGTTGAAAAGCGTGACGGAGGTGAAAATGGTTGCGGCCTCGAGCTTGTGAGATGTGAGGGAGTAGGTAACGAAGGCGAGAATCGTAGCTAGAACTGGCAGCGACATGGCAAAGGCCATCATGCCGGAACGCACAATGAGGAGCGTGCGGACGTAGCCGAGCTCCATGCGGCGCACCGCGTTGATGCGCTCAAGGAACGACGCCTCCCAAGCGAAGAACTTCACGAGTCTCATGCCGCCAAGGATCTCCTGGAGGAGCTTCGCACGCTTGTCGGTCCAAACCATCGACTTCTTGCGAACGAGGAAGAGCTTCTTCATGATGATCGCCTGTCCGGGCGTCATAACGAGGAGGAAGATAATGCCTGGAAGGGAGGAGTATCCGAGCTAAAGTCAGCATTTGGTGATATAGCCGTCGATATGACAGGCTTTAGGCATTTATGGATCTCCCAACATAGATGCACTCACTTCGATGATAAGAATGACCGCGATCACAATGAACTGGATCGGTGCCGTCCACAGGATATGCACGAAGCCTGCAGCGAAATCAATGCGAGCCGTGTCTGTGGAGATGTGGTTCACAACTGTTGGTCGGAAGTGCCACACGCCACAATGAGGTGGAGGAAGATCGTCATGGTGAGTGGCGCAATGTGGAGAGGGATGCAAGGTGGAGGCGGGGTCAGCGATCTGAACTTATCAACTCTCCGAGGACGTACTCTTTCCATTTGGTAGCTCGCCGCGTGCCTTCTGCGTGAGGCGGAGGGAACGCTCATAGATTGCCGAGATAAGGGCCGAGCGCGCAAGCACACCCGTTCCCATTGTGCGGTAGAAATAGTGGTGCAGGGCGACAGACGAGACGCAAAGCATGGCAAGCAGGCCGAAAGCCATTCCGATGCCTTGGCCTACCTTGGGGGCCTGGGTAATGAGGCCCTTGCGTGCGTATTCGTTCAGGGTAGCCCAGCGGATGAGCGCGCGGATGAGGAGCGGGGAACAGGCAAGACAGCAGTCGGCGATGAGCTTCAGGAAGCCTGCAATCCAGAACCACCACCCGAAGACGTCGAGGAGGGCCATTGCGAGCTGGGGCTTCTTTTGACCGCCCTTGGCGCGGAAATCGGCCTCGCGCTTCTCGCGGTTGGGCATGAGCGGGTACGTCCAACGCTGGCGCCGAGGGAGCGGCGTTCTCGGGTCCGCGAGCTTGGCGTTGTATTCTTCGGCGCGAGCCTTGCGCTCCTCGTACTTTTGTGAGAGGATGCGGGCCAAGCGCCCTGCGCTCCGCTTGTCGTCCAACCGCCACAGGTCCGTAGCCTCCAACGGGCGTGCGTCGCCAAGCGCCATCATGGGCGACACCCAGTTGAAGTAGAGGAACGAGAACCAGTTCGCGCTGACCTCAGGTGTGAGCTTCGCATCATCGAGCGACAGAGGCGGCGGAGGCGGGGGGTACTTTGGCCGCATGAAGGGGAGCGAGTGCAGCCTGGCGTCAGCGAGGTCCTTGCCATGGCTCACCATCTTGGTTGAGAGTATGGTCCGCCCTCGGCATCCTTGAACTGTTCTTTACCGGTTTTGTCTTCGACAACGACCTTGACCTTGCGCTTCATACCATCATGGTCGACTTCAATGACACCGCGCTCCTCGTACTCTTTTGAGGATGTCGATGACGCCGACGACGAATCCTTCTCCCTCATAGCCGCCTTTTCGTCGATGGCCATGCTGGCCTGCATTGAGTGATCACCAGCAGCTGGGCGTGGCCGATGGTTGACGGCGGGGATGCTCGGCTGCGTCGGCTGCGCCGCGTCGGTTATAAGTGTCGACGATGGGGAAGGATCTCGTGTGTTGCTCGTCATGGCCGAGACCGTTGCTGTCGGCTGGCAACGAGTGGGCGCTGGTGTCGTGGGGAAGGCGCCGGGGAAGTGCGGGGCCGACTTGAGATTACAACCTTCAGAGTTACCGTGAGTCGGGGCCTTAAGCGGGAAAACCGATGTTAGGTGGCGAGGGTGGAGCTGCGTCGAATTTCTTGTCAAGCGCTGGGTATTGACTCGACAACTTGGCTGCACGGCGGTCGACTGTATCGAGGAGTTGTGAGAACGGGAACAAGAGCGCTGAGAGCGCTGGCCTTTGAATAAGAGCAATGGTGGGAGCAGGATACGATTGCTCAGCAGTTTGAGCTGCGGGTCGGTGGTCATGCAAGGCCGGCGGCCGCCGGGCTGGCTTTAGGTAGCGGGAGTCGGCCAAAGCCGACGACGCTGCGCTCGTTTGGCTCGGCCTGGTGTGGTGCATACAGGGAATGGCGCCAAAACTGGTCATGACTGCATCACAGAGGCGAATGCATGTCTAGCCCCAGCTCGGTGCCTGCAGAGTGATGCTCAAAGGTGGGGACCTGCATGTGTGTAAACACATTGGGTTAGCAAGTTTCTGCAAAGGGGAGGACCAGTTTGGAAGTCAAATCCATGCCCTTTCCGCTGTCTGCGGTAGAAGCCGATGCAAGGCCTCGTCCGACAACAAGGCAGGTGATCAATGGAGGATCGGGGTGGCAATGTTGATGACCGGTGGAGTAGGTGGGGGTGGATGTAGCGGTTGGCGTCCAAGTCAGAGATGGAGATAGCGTCATGCAATTTCCCGATCCTCTGCATGCCGCTCGGAAGCAGCACGGTGCCTCACCTCTGCGTGCTCGTTGCGATCGTTTGTTCGTGATCGCGGCTCGTGCTGTCGCGTCGACGTCGTGCACATGGATGCATGGGCGTCATGTGAGAAGTGGGCGGGGGCCCACATGTCACGAGGCCAAGACGGAAAAATCCCGCCAGCGAAGCGTCAGCCGACCAACGGCCAACGACCATCGACCATCGAGCAACGCCCAACATCCATTGACAAACACCCACCTCCTCGACCATCAACTACCGCACCCGCGCCCGCCATGTCCGTCATCCGCCCGTTCGAGGCGACAGACGTACTCCGCTTCACGAGCGTGCAGGCAGACCCGTGGACGGCCACATACCACAACGGATACTACGCGAGCTATGTCGCGCAGTGGCCCGACTTTTGCGTGTCTGCGAGCGGCGCATTTGATGACAACGTCGGCGCTTACAGTGAGTACACCTTTCTGTATGCTCGCGTTGCCGGCACGGGACGCTGAGAGGTGTTGGCGGTGTTTGTTGAGCTCACTCACGCGTAGTGATCGCCAAGCACGAGCCCCCACCACCCGACACGCAACATCACGGGCACTTGACAGCCATGTCGATCTGCCCGCGCATGCGTGGAACGGGTCTCCCGCGCGTATTCATGGCCATTCTCGAGCGCCTGTCGTCGGACGGCTCGGAAGGTTGGCCCAGCCCGGAAAAGGACCCGACAGACTGCGTGGATGCCTGGTTCGTGGACCTCTTTGTGCGGTGCAACAACCACCGCGCGATCGACATGTACGAGAAGTTCGGGTACAGCGTGTACCGGCGAGTAGTAGAGTAAGTCGATCCGAGAGCGTGAGGTAGTGTTGCGGAGAGAATGGAGGGAGGAAGGAAGGACTGGCGGAACGGTGGGGACGTGGCCGTCGTCGGTGGAGGAAGCAACTGGGAGTGCCGATCCTGCCCACACAGTGATGCGCGCGAGTGTGGCGGATACGGAGGTGGCAACGAAGGCATCCATGCATCTGGCCGCTTTGCGAGCTCAATGCTTGCGGGCACGCCATGCAAAATGCGCTCGGCAACCTTCGCTTCTCTTCGCACCGCCCACTTCCCTCACTCCGTCGTCGGACCACTTCTATTGCGACATACCACTCGCTACCTCGCGTAAAGGCTGACCATCAGCTATTATCACCGGATGGAGGGTGCGGGGGCGTCGCGCGACGAGTTAGACGGCTTCGATATGCGCAAGTCGATGCCGCGAGACACGGGAGGGAGGTACGTCCGAGCAAACGGGCGCGATACGCTCGTAACCCCAGATCAGGTGTGGGCATAGTTTATCTGCATAGCATTGTATCGTAGTTGCGAAGCATAGAGTAAAGTTGTGTGGTAAGCTCGGTTTAAAGATGGAAGTCAACGGGAAACGAGCAGGTAATTATTCGCTGGAGGACCGACCATGAGATCGAGCATACCTTGTAGTCCGTTCTGTTCAGTCGACTGTTAGTTTAACCGCGGGGACTTCGGAACAGCAAACGTATGGCGCAGGTGTTTGGATATGTAAAGCGAAACCAGAGATTGCTTGACGTCGAGAGACGCGGACTGAGGCTGATCCGACATCTCGCATGCTCAGTATCACAACAAACGGGGTCGGGGATCGGGGAGATAAGAAATGTGTTGCCTGCGGCCTTCGGCCACACTTCGCCTCGCTACCACGTTGGGTGTGAACCATAAACTCATACTGCGACTCAAGCTGCTGACCAAGTAGTCATCCGAAAATAGATGACGAGCACTTCCTCGCTTGCATTCAGCGATCGTGGGAGCCACAAGGTGGAGGGAGACCAGCGCTTGGCGATGCCCCCACAACGCCGTGCTACGCCGTCGGTTCAAGATGGCTGGACTGAGTGATCTGGTGAACATGGAGTGGCGTTGCCCCTCTATCAGAATGCACCAGCCGATTCAGTTCGGTTCTGCTTTGCTTCATGAGCATAACACTGTTCCTGATGAAGAGGTGCTTTCCGCTCCAACTTGTCAGTCCGCACCCACACAAGTGGCAGCTTTTGCAGATGACATTATGGCTAGCTTTGGTATCGTGCGCCCCGGGATCTTGCCCAGCTCATGGAGCACACGGAGAGTTGCTGTGTAGTCCATGACGCTTGGCATGTTATATTGGTGCCCTCACGATCGCCATGTCTCACACTTTGCGCCTATGGCCAGGCTCGAGATCTTGGGTGTGGGGATGGAAGGCATGACGCCGATATCTGATGACGCGCTAACTCTGCCATGTCTCACCACTGTGGAAGGGCACATGCCGAGACTCCGGGACAGACTCTGCACCCTCTGATCAGCTTGCTTCTCATTCCCTTGATCCCGGCGCTGGGCCAGGACCTCGGGGATGCCGTGCGGCCGGGACAGGGGTGAGTGGGGGGTGGGCTTTCATCCTGGGTGCAAGGACAAAAACGTGCAAGGGCTCGCGCAATGGGGGGCATCGAGATCAGAGATCAGACAGGACAGGGACGGAGCGTTGAAATGAAACTGGAAAATGAAAGGGTCGCTTAACGTCATCCGTGTGCCACACCCCGTTTTCCTCCCCTCTCATGCCTGTTAGATTGCCTGCCTGCAGAAAACGCTTTGCGGTCAGCGCTGAGGCGGCGGGTGCCTGTTTCCCAATGAGGCAGGCGGTCAGGCGGCAGGGGGCATGCGGCAGGAGGCAGTAGGCACTCCGCCTTTCTTTAATTCCAAGCCAATTAGCCAAGGCATTCTCCGCATCTGAAGACTGGTGGTGCTGCATGACGGCGGCCTTGGCCTGGTGGTCCAGCTAGAGTTTGCTCCCTCTTGGGCAAGCTCCAGCAGATGTCGCCAGGCGACCACGGGACGCCCCTGGCCCCCAGAGCATACCATGCCCTCCTGACCTTTCCATCAGGGTGGAGGCCTTGGAGGCGTGCGACTCACTACTCTACTCTAGCGAGGATAGGCAGATGCTGCCTGACGGCTTGGCTTGGTGGGACAACCCTAGCTACAGAATCTCGTACCGCCTTACGCCGTCGATGTTGTCTATGATCTGGTTGTACATTCACTCTGACTGACTGTTATCACTGGTTTCGACACTCTCACTCGGCGGAAAAGACAGAGAGACATCGCGAGCATGCTGTCTCCGCAACCCCGGTCCGCGCCCACATCGCCCCTCGCCCGCGACGGCTCCTTCGCCTTCACACCCTTCCCAACAAACGACAGGCGGCCGGGGCAGTCCTATTCCCACCACCGGAGGACACGGACCGTGCAGGTCTCAGCATGGGGAGAACTTAGCTGGTGGGTATCAAGTGGCGAGCGGAGCACATTGCAGCGACGCAGGTGCAGTGGAGGTCTCGGAGCAATCGAGCAGTGGCGGTGCCTCCGAATACGCCGGATCCGACGCCGAGAGCTGTGCTGACGAGCAGGACGCAGGAGACAACCGACCCACGCTCGAGGCCGCCACGCCCTCCGCCCGCCGGTGCGCACTATCCTGCATCGTGAGTTGAGTGCGACTTTCCGTTCCCACGGAGCAGCACTGATGACAAAGTGTAACTCTCGCTCCGATCTCCGAGGAACACAAGGAGCAAAGAGGCAGACTGCCTTCACGACCGCAGGCTCCACCTCACCTTCACGCACCATACACGCCCTCTAGCCTCGGCCCGCGGCGCCTCCCACCAGTCGAGGCGCTTGATGGCTCTCTAGACTACAGCCTCGGTCGGCGACGGGAGCGATTGACTCACACGTCGGCTGCGATCCCCCCGCCGATTTCCACGCCCCGATACCCCGAAGGCCGATGCTCTGAGACTCCCAGCCCTCGTACACCCTCACCGCCAGTCACGCCCGAGACGCCCGATATCGAAACACGCCGCGTTCGCGCCAACATGGACGATTTGAACCAGAAGTTCGCCAAGAAACTGTATATGTGACTGCAACGGGGGTCTTGCTACGCTATGCATTCCCCATTGTTGATACAAAATAATGCCTTTTGTCTAGTGGTGGTGGGCGGCGTCCCCGAACATCTTGGGCTGAGCGTCAGCACTGCCGGGAAATGGTTACTCACGGGGATGTTGCGCTCCCACTTCGTGCCGTCGGGGAAGAGCGGTGCTGAATGTCAGCGGGATCCAGGAAGCACACATGAGCTAGTGACTCACGCCGGTAGGGGTCGGGGTGGGCCTCCTTCGCAAGACGGGCCTCGGCCTGCTCAAGGACAATGGCGAGTGCACGAGGGTCCGTGATGTTGCTGTTGGTCAGAAGTGAAATCGAGGACAAGATGTGGAGGTGGACTTGGGAGGGTGAAGGAAGCAGTGGAGTGATGTCGCACAGTTTGCAGGAGTCGCAGACAGACTGTGACGATTGACTGGCAGCCAACGGCTCGCGCAGCCGGGTTCAGGTTGCGCAGAACAGCAGGTGTTAAGTCCTCCGTTGCTCCAGCTAACCCAGCATCTCACACCGCAGGTCAAGTCCGGGGCATACAGCATGGGTCCAGCCGTTCGTCATGCAAACGGCAGCTAGCCAGCGGAGTCAATCACGCAAACCCTGCCGCAGCCGCGGCATCACGAGTGACGAAGACGGAGCTGTGCGCTCCAACTCGCTACGGCGTCGCACGACTCCCCTCATCAACCTCCCCCAGTTCCGCGTACGCCCACTTCCAACACGCACCGGTTACGCTCAAACTCGGCGCGGATCTCGATGGCCTTCTGGCGCCAGAGGTCTCGCCGGATGTACCAGTTGAGCGCGTTTGTAAGGTAGCGCCGGTACAGCGACTTGACGTAGAGCCTGCGAGACGAAGCAGATCACAGAGAGGAAGGTGTGCGCGCATTTCAGTATGCGATCGATCAGCAATAGCGGTCGGTCGGAGCATTGAGTTAGGCGCAGAGGATAGACGACGAGGAGTAGACGTAGATGCGGGGTCGGCGTGACAGGGAGACGGAGACAGGAGGCGCGGGGCCGACAGAGTGGAGAACAGCATCGGAAAGCGAATCGGAAGGTGGTCGCGGCGTTGCGCGGCATGAGCAGAGGGAGGTCAGCATCGCATTCCGTTCGTAGCGCATGATGCGTACCGGTGAGCAGCGGTGTAGGCCTGGGGTCCGGACATGGCGAGCAGTAGAGGTATCGAACGAGGTCGCGGAGCCGTTGAGGTGCCGGTCGGTGGTCGCGAGCGGGTGAGCCTGCAGCCAGCCAGCGTCGGGGTGATCCTCAGCCAGACCTACGGTGAGTCGGCGCGAGCGGAGAATTGGCTTGTGGCACCGTGCCTGTCTCTGAGAACGATCGAGCTGCGGTTGACGTCGCTTCAGCAACTCCTTCTCCGTTTGCAACATACTCAACAGAGACTCAGTGAGCCGGCGAGTTCGGGAACACGGTGCTGGGCATCGTTATGCGGTGTAGACGGCCAGGGTTCGGTTGCGCGTGCTGAAGAGCGACAAGAACATTGCCGCGCTCAGCTACAGAGATCGATAGTGAGCTTCTGCAGCCATCAATGAATGCTGTACCGACCACTACCTGCCAGTGTCGTGATGTTCGCGTTCCGTGCTTGATGCCCATTTCGACGCTGCTCGCCATCTTATACGTCTTCGGCGCCACATGCACTGCTGGCCTCAGCCGCCGATTTGCTTCCGCTTCGGCGCGTCTCTCTCCCGCGCGTCATAGATCCAGGAACAAGCCACGTCAGAAAGTCAATGTTGTGACCTGCAAGTGAATTCCACCAGCTCAGCCCACCATGAAGCTTCAGAAGCTGCTGCTTGGCGCGGCCGCGTTCTTCCTCCCCTTCGCTGCGGCGCAGGAGGGCGCCGATGTTGACGAACATGAGACGTTCAACTACCGGGTGCGTAGCACGTCGGGACTCTGCTGACGACAGAGTGACATCGCGCGCTTGCGATCCCTCGTAATCCACTCCCTGTACTCGCACAAGGACGTGTTCTTGCGCGAGCTGCTGTCGAATGCGAACGATGCGCTTGAGAAGCTCCGCCTCGAGTCGCTTACCAATCGCGACGTGCTGAGCGCCGGCGAGCCGAACATCACCATCTCGGTCGAGACTGAGGACGGCAAGACCGGCCGGTTGATCGTGCGCGACACCGGCATCGGCATGAACAGGTCCGAGCTCGCAAAGAACCTCGGTACAATTGCGAGGTCGGGCACCAACGAGTTCCTTGCCAATGCCGAGCGCACCGGCAAGGCTGATACCAACTTCATCGGCCAGTTTGGTAAGCCAAATCGTGAAGATCATGCTGACAGTAGGCCTCGGCTTCTACTCGTCCTTCCTTGTCTCGCCCACCGTCCAGGTCTCGTCCATTCCGCCTGTGTCGGAGAAAGACCCAGAGCCCGTGCAGTACACCTTTGTATCGTCAGCCAAGGGTGACAAGTTCGAGGTGTTCCGCGACCCGCGCGGCAACACACTTGGCCGTGGTTCAGAGATCGTCTTGGACATTGGCGAAGAGGACAGCGAGTTCCTTTCGCCAACCACTCTCAAGGCCTTGATCGAGAAGCACTCGACGTTCTCGACAACTTTCCCGATCTACGTTCGTGAGGCAACGGCCAAGACGAAGAGCGAAGATGGGGACAGCGAGGATGCTGAGGACGCCGATGAGTGGGACTACACATGGACTCACGTCAACAGCCAGCCGCCCATCTGGATGCGGTGAGTGACAAGCATTCCACCGGAGCTAACAGCAGTGAGCCTAGTCAGGTACCCAAGGAAGACTACATCGAGTTTTACCGCGCTATCTCGAAGGACGCGAAGGCCGAGCCTCTCGGCTGGTCGCACTTCAAGGGTGACACTGCGTCGGGCGTCGCCTACCGCGCCATCATGTACATCCCGGAGACGCTACCCAAGGACTTCTGGACCAACATGAAGTCGGGCATCAACAACGTTCGCCTTTACGTGAAGCGTGTGTTCATCACCGATGAGCTTGGCAAAGACTATATGCCGCGTTGGCTTAGCTTCCTCAAGGTTACTGTGGACGCCGACGACCTCCCGTGAGTTCACGCGTCATTGCAAGCTGACGGTCAGGCTCAATGTCAACCGCGAGACGCTGCAGAACCACCGCTTCCTCAAGCAGTTGCAGCGCATCCTAATCCGCAAGGCGCTTGATCTGTTCACGCGCATCGCCGAGACTGAGCCCGAGCGCCACAAGAGCATGTCCAAGATGTTCGGGAACGCGCTCCGCATTGGTATGCTAGAATCGCACAAGGACAAGGTCAAGATCGCCAAGCTCCTTCGCTTCGAGTCGACGACGACGAACTACACCTCGCTTGAGGAGTACGTCGAGCGCCGCAAGGAGGGCCAGAAACAGATCTTCTACCTTTGTGGGACCGGCGAGACCACATCAGACCTTGCGCGCTCGCCTTTCGTCGAGAAGCTCAAGGCGCGCGGGTACGAGGTGCTCCTGCTCAACCTGCCATCGGACGAGCCGATGATGGGCGCGCTCGACACGTTTATGGGCATGCGCACGCAGGACGTGGCCAAGAAGGGTCTTATCTACGGCGACGAGGACGAGGACGAGGCCGAGCGCCGCGAACTCGCTCAGGCGGAGAAGACGTACCGTCCCCTCCTCGACTGGTTCAAGAAGGAGTTCTCGCCGCGGGTCGCCGACGTCGTCCTCACCAACCGCCTAGTTACCTCGCCGTGCACGATCGTCGTCGACAACGCAGGCTGGAGCGCTAACATGGCGCGTATCATGGCGGCGCAGGCCGACGCCGCCGACGAGCCCATGTACAACATCCTCAAGAACCTGCCGCGCGTCCTCGAGATCAACCCCAAGAGCCCGCTTATGGAGGGCCTGCTTGCGCGCGTCAACGAGCTGCCTGAGGCCGACGATGATAGCGAGACCGCCGAGGGAGCCGAGCTCCGCGAATTGGCGCAAGTGCTTTTCGACACCACGCTCGTGCGCTCGGGCTTCAACGTGGCTGACCCCGTGTCCTACTTTGAGCGGGTGGAGGCGCTTCTGCGCCGGGAGATTGGCGTCTCGCTCTCGGCTAAGGCGGACGAGACTGTGCGCCCCGCGCCCCCCACGGCCGACGCGCCACTTGAGGAAGCCCAGCTCGAGAAGGACGAGGCCGAGGCCGAGGAGGACATCTTTGCGCAGTTCTACACGGACGAGGACAAGGCGTCGTGGGCCGGTGACAAGGACTCGTGGGTCGATTTTAAGGACTGGAAGAAGACGCGTGACGAGCTGTAATAGATACAGTACATACAATACAGACATGCATGGTCTAGCAGTTCTACTCGTGACGACGGACCTTGACGACGCGCCCGCCCTGGATTTCCTCGACAAAGTCGTCGCCAAGCTCGGCCGACTCGTCCTCAACCGCCTCCCCCTGCTCCACGTCGTCGGGCTTGATCGCCACCTGGCCGTCTTCGGGCCCGTCCTCGGCCTTGCGCTTTGGCGGCCGGGCCTTCGCCTCAGCTGCGGCGGCTTCAGCCTCCTGCGCAGCCTTGATGCCCTCCATCCGCCTAACGCGATTCTCCGCGCGAGCCTGCCCCGTCGACCGCTCCTTCTCGCCCTTCTGAATCGCAGCGGCGACGCGCGAGACGCTCGTCCCGACCCTGCTCGCGGCGACGCGAGAGTCGGCGGCACCTGAGACGTTGGTCGCGGCGGCAACGCGCGAGTCGCCTGCACCGGCAGCCTTGGCTGCCTCGCGCGCAACTGCTGCGGGGTTGAACTTCTTGTACTTCTCAAAGTTCTCCACAACCGAGATGCCCAGCACCGTCTGTTGTCAGCACGGAATTGGCATGTGACCTACCTTGAACAGCTCAATCATGATCGTCCGGTCGGGGTTCTTGAGGTCGACCGTGTGCTCGGGACTGAGCTTGGTCACCTCCTCTGCAACAGCCTTGATCATCTGTAGCCGCTCGAGAGCGTTCGAGTTGCGCGTCGCTACCTGGATCCCGAACTGGAGTCAGCGGGGCTCAGCCTACCCGCTCACCTTCTTAGGACCGCCGGAGAAAGGGCCCGGCAGCACCTGGGCTGCGATCCGTCGCAAGGACTCAATGTCCGCGTGCGCTGTCGCCGAGACGGGTGTCAGGCGCTGAATGAATCGGAAGGAGCAGCGCCCAGTCCGTTCGCAGCGCTCGATGATATGCCGCACCAGGGCGATGGGGTCGAGTGGTGGCAAGACGTTGATGTAGAGCACTGTTGTCAGCTTAGCTTCGGACGCTAAACTCACTGCATACAGTGTCGCGCTTACACACCCGGAACCGTTGAGACTGTCGCGTACTTTGCGCTGACAATTCATCCAGCTCCCGCCTGACCATGTCCTCGATATCGCCTTTCTCCTCTCCGTCGTCCATGCCACCCTCGGTGTCAGGGTAGAGGTCGTCGGCCGCTTCCTCGAGGGCATCAATAATCTCCCGCTCCGCAATCATCTCCTTGTTCTGCACCGCCGTAACCACGATGCCAGGCGAGCAGAGCATCTCCGGCTGTTGTGAGCTTTAGCTCCTCGTTGACTCACCAGTGGCTGCGTGCGGTACTGCGTCATGGCACCGCCCTTGAAGTCGCCTTGCCCGTCGCCGCCCTTGGGAGGCCCCGAGGGCTTTTTGTGCCGATAGAACTTGGCCTTGCCGCCGCGCTTGCCACCTGAAGACATGTTGGTGTATAGGTTTGAGATGTTGACGTTGTGGGAGGTCGTCACCACTGAAATTCCGGGTCCACTGGAGCGGAAGCAAAACCATATGGGCCCCACCTCCACTTCGAGTGGCACATCCAGATACCTTTGCTTCGTTCTCGATCTGCCTGCCGCCACGACATGCCATAGATACTGGTAGAGTGAACCAGAATTTTAGAATCTATTCAAGATTTATTGAATCCAAAATAGTACTTGTGCATCCCCTAAAGGCCTCAGATGGTTCCGGGCACGTAGGTGTCGGCAGGAGCGGGCCCAGTCGAACCTGCGGCGACCGTGATACATCCAAAGGTCCTAGCATACGGCCACCAATGCAGGAGATTATTTGTATACCAACCCCAGGCTCAGCTGCTCGCTGTACTCCGGGGAGCGACCGCCTGCACTGTCGCAGATGATATTTCCGAGATACACGGCTCATATACGTGCTATTGTGATTAGCATTTCAATGAAGACAATTCTTGCAGGCACCACACTTATGGATATCGACTCTCCGATCCGGGCGGAGGCCCACCGTGCCTCCACTTTCGGAACCCCACAACCCCCTTGCACCACCCATGCTTCCCACATCTCGCACTCTCCATTGCTCCATCGCACATCGTTCATCACATCCACAACAATGGCTCTCAACCCCCGACGCACAGCACTCCTTGTCTGCGACATGCAGGACCGCTTCCGTGAGCTGACTTGGTAATGGGAACTAACGTAAGGCAACGCCATCTTCGGCTTTGACAACATTGCCAAGACGGTTGCGCGGATGGTCAGGATGGCTGCGGTGAGTTGTTGATTGAGGAGCTGGACGGCTCAATGTTTTGCTTGTCAAATGTCCGCTCCTTCTGTAGAGCTCAACCTGAATGACAACAAGACTGACGCCAGATCCTTGAGATGAAGGTCATCACGACGGAACAGAACCCCAAGGCGCTTGGCGCAACGGTTCCCGAGCTTGGGATCGACAAGCTCCCAGCACACCTCAACCTCGGGACACACTCGAAGACTCTGGTAAGCTTGCAGCCTCTTGCGTACTCTTGGCGCTAGGAGATAGTTCCTGAAGTGTTACCACCGACAAGAGGGCCAATTCTAAGCGACGCTTCCCCGTCGATGTCCAGCTAACTCCAGTTCTCTATGTTCACGCCAGAGGTCTGCAAGGCCCTTGGCGGCCGCTACGCGAACTGGCACGACGCGAGCGCTGTCATCGACCCTGAAGGGATTGACCGCGTGATCATCGTCGGCATCGAGTCGCACGTCTGCGTCTTCCAAACAGCGATGGATGCGGCGGGGCGGAACAACGGCAACGGACCTCGCCCTATTGTGCTGGCTGATGCCGTCTCGAGCATCAACCCACAAGAAATTGCCGTCAGCCTAGACCGTATGCGCCACTCGGGCGTCGATGTTGCCACCTCTGAGAGCGTGCTGTTCCAGCTCATGGGTGACGCCAGCCACCCCCGCTTCCGTGAGTTCTCCAAGCTCGTCAAGGAGGAGAAGGACAACACTTCTGGGACCCTGCAGAAGATGATCGGCGCTGTCCCAATCTAGAGCAAAATGCATTGTTGTACACGTGAAGAGAGAGACATATGACAGTCAGGGGTAACTACGGCCGGGTGGCGAACGCTGTCTGCACTTCCCCACACGCCACACAGCTGTATTATCGCCTCCGCTTACACCTCCGCACAGGGGGAGCGGGAGTTGCTTTGCGAAAGAACGTATTCAGTGTAAGCTTTAACCGTGTGCTCCTCCTTCTCACACTCTCGAGGACGCTTTTCACAGACTCCACTCAAGGCAGGCTAGCCTTGCTTCACGCGCTGAAGCCCGATGATTACCGAGGCCCCAGAACAGTATAGTCGTCATCTATAATGCAATGTGTTATCGGACGGCTGCACTGCACCAGTTTGCATGCACACGAATAGTGACAAGCGCTGAACCAAGCAATAAGCATATCTGTCGCTGATGGAAGGCGCAGGTATATTGCTGCAGTGATCTGCCACGGACTGACGCTAATCAGCCGATCCGTCGTTATCGCGGACATTGCCGAACCCGTGTCGGCCCACCTCTCCACAGAACGGAGTCGTCACTTGAAAGCGCCACATGTCCATACGCACCTCAAGGCTATCTCGTCCACTGCTCGCCCTCTCGCGTCCCCTGCTGTTATCCACATTATCTACCTCAACCACACGCCCCGTCCGCCCGACTGTGCCCCTCCCCGCCCTCCGCCCCGTGATCCCCTCACACGCCATGACGATGTCAACCCGCACACCCGACGCAGCCAAGGGCCCCAAAGTCCACGTCGCGCTCGTCCAGCTCCCCGCCGCCATGCCGGGCGGAAAGGCGGCGCAGGTGGCGCGGATGCGCGAGATGGTGCGCGACGCGGTATCGCAGGGCCGGGACGCCGGCGAGGCTGTCGACCTCGTCGTCTTGGGCGTGCGTCTGTTGTCTACTGCGCTAACGACAGGAAATGTGGAATGGCCAGCCTGTGCGCCCTCGCACATCGCGTACTGACGCCAGAGCCACGATGAGCTCGTCAAGAACGCCGAGCCGATTCCCGCCGTCGGGGCGCCGGAGGCGTCGTGGCCTGCCGAGGCCACAACGTGCCGCGAGATGGCGGATGCGGCGCGCGAGAGCGGTGTATGGCTGCTCGGCGGAAGCATACCCGAGGCCGCGGATGGGCGGCTGTACAACTGCGCGACGGTGTGGAGTCCCGAGGGTGCGTCTCTTTCAGAGGGGCTGTGGACTAGCTAACGGCAGGCACGCTTGTGCAGACGTACCGGAAGACGCACCTCTTCGACCTCGCACTCGAGAAGATGACGTACAAGGAGAGCGACACGTTCGGCGCCGGCGACAGACTAGCATCGTTTGACACTCGTGAGTGCCTCCCCTCTTCTGCGTCTCCGTCCGCTCCTCGTCCGCTCCTGACACTAGCTTTCGGCCGCTTCGGCATCGCCATGTGAGTTTGCACCAAGACAGACTGACATCAGCTGCTACGACATCCGCTTTCCCGAGATCGCGACGATCGCGGCCCGGCAGGGGTGCACGGCCATGTTCTACCCCGCGGCCTTCAACACGCACACCGGCCCCATGCACTGGGAACTGCTGCAGCGTGCACGGTATGTAGAGTCGCTTGCTCCGCTGACGACAGTGCGCTTGATAACCAGATCTACGTTGCGACGTGTAGCCAGGCGCGTGACCCCGGCGCCAAATACGAGATCTACGGGCACTCGATGGCAGTATCGCCCATGGGCGAGGTGATCGGCACTGCACAGGAGAAAGAGGCGATCGTGCGCGTCACCTTCGGTTAGTACCTCGCCAGATGGAGCTCATATCAGACCCCGAGGTTATTGCGAATACGCGCGCAGGCATCCCCCTCCTCACCCAGCGTCGCTTCGATTTGTACGCCGACGTGTCCGTTACGCCGCCCACAGCGAACGGCAAATGAGCACAGAAGGACAGTTGTCAGAAGTAAATGTAAAGGTTGTCTTGTCCCATGCTAGCTGATACATGCTTCTAATGGTCTAGAAGTCGTCGTCCGCGATGTCAATCGCATCCGGGTTAGCCGCGCTCTCTGCGGCAGGCATCTCCTCGTGCTGTGTCTGGGGCTTGAGCGTCGACGCGACGAACGCAGGCGCGCCACCGCCACCCATCTCGCGCTCCACGGCCGCCATAGGGTCTGCGGCCTCGCGCGCAGCCTCGTCGGCCGCATCCGTAGGCTTCTCGGTACCGCTGACGGCTGCGGCCTTCTGCGCCGCGAGGAAGCTCTCGTTCGTGTTGTAGCTGGCCTGGACGGCGCGCTTGATGCGGAGCATCTCGCGGAACGTCTCCTCTGAGCCCGTGTCGATCTCGAACTCGCTCCACTCGGTCCAGAACGCTTTGTCGACGCGCGGGTCGCAGAACTGGGACGCGTGAGCGTAGATTGCGCGTGCACGATCGATCTCGCCCAGCTTGCGCTCCATCTGCGCGAAGCGGCGGCACATGATAGCCGTCTCGCGGTCGGGCAGCGCGCCGATCGCGCGCTCGTAGATCGGCCGTGTGGCTGGCAAGCCGAAGTTGGCCGTCGCCTTGGCGATGTAGATCGTGTACATCTGGAACTTGTCCGAGTCCTGGACTGTCGAGGCGGCGCGGTCGTAGATGCCCATGGCGCGCTTGGCGAGGCCGTGCTCCTCCTCGAGCTTGGCGTACATGAGGTACAACGGCTTGCAGAACTTGGGCGGACAGTTCTCGAGTGCCTGCTCGAACAGATCGCGTGTACGCTCGAGCTTGCTGCCGCCAAATCGCTTTACGAACTTGGACAGGTAGATGTTCCAGATCTCGAACGCGATTGGGAAGTTGAACACCTCGATGCCACGCTCGTAAACCTTGAAACTCTCCTCGAAGTACTTGTTCTCCTCGAGGAAAGTCGCGTAGTTGACAATGGTCTGCGCATTCGCAATCTTGAGCTCCATGATCTTGTCGTACACCGCCTTGGTCGACTCGACTGACCCAATCGACTCCTCGAGATCCGAGTAGAAGGACCATAGCTTGAGAGACTTGAATAAGCGCGTTTGCGGCAGGAGGTTGTCGTTATAGTAATCGACCTTGGTGTTCTTCGGCACCGTAGTCGCGCGCTGCATCAGCCGGATGGCCTCTTCGTAGTTCCTGCCGTCAGCTGGATGCCCAGGCCTTCTGACGTACTCATTCCGCAATTCCATCTCAGCCCATTCGCACCAAACCTCAGCCAACTCGTCCACGCTCTTGAACGACACGCGCGTTGCCTTCTCGAAGATCTTGCGCGCCTCGTCAAGGTTTGGCTCGCTGCCTGGCTCGCCAGTGCTGGGATCCACAGATCCGCCCTCCTCGTAGAACTTGGCAAAGTTAACGTAAAGGGGATACAGCGGGCTGGTGGTTTTGCGAGGGTTAATCGTGTCAATGGCCTTGAGGTATGTAGACACGATGGCCTCGTCGTCGCCAGCATGCAACGCGACGCGCTTCTCCCACTCGACAACGTCGTTAGGGTTACGGCGCAGCAGCACGTCATTGACGAGGAATGGACGGCGGTCCATGAGCTCCTCAAATGCCTTCATGCGCGCGTCGAGTTCAGCCTCGGTCTCCTCGACATCGAAGTCCTCGTCCTCGAGGTTCTCCTCGTCGGCCAGCGCGTCCATGAGCGACGACACGATAGTCTCCGAAAACTCAGAGTAGGCGTCGAAGATCTGCGTGAAGTCTCGGATTGTGACTACCTCGGCCAGGCCTCGCTCAAACGTCGCCGTTGCGCGGTCCAGCTCGCCGCGCTTGATCCAATACGTCGCCAAACCGGTCCACAGTCGCCCCGCCTGGTCATTGTACACGTTCAGACCGTCGCGGAGCACGATGCCCTCCACGTCCAGTAACCTTGGGTTGGACGGATCAGTGTCCTCGTCTTCGAGAACCGTGGTGTCGGTCTTTTTGCTCTCACCGCCGATGTTTGGTGGTGGCTTGTGCAGCATAGCTTTCGACGAAGTCGGTGCTGCGGGCCCAGCAATCCGGTCCAGGCGATCCCCAAACTTTGATTGGGCGGGTGCGTCCTCCTCCCCCTCCCCGTCCACCGCATCTTCCACTGCTCTCCTCGTTTCTTGCACCTCGAGCGTTTGGTCCTCGTCCATGCCCACCTCATCGGCGTACTTCTCGACAAGCTCGAGGAAGTCGACAAACAGTTGGTAAGGTGATTTTCCCTCGAGTGACGAGTAGAGGTTCTGCGCAGCGCGGCGCGCCAGTAGGAGCAGGTACTTGGCCGCAGCCAAGGGCCTAGGTGGCTCCGACTCGAGCAGATACGTGATATGGCGCTCTGTGAGGGAGGAGTCGATCTGCCGTCAGCAGTATCCAACAGTACCGGCTCACCTTCAAGAAGCGGCGCCACACACGCTCGCCTGCCTCGCCGCCTACGATCTCTGCCCAGCGGAGGTACAAGCCCCAGATACGCCCATGCAAACTGGGCGGGAGAGTACGAAGGGCGCGGTCAAACGTGCGGCGCGCGTAAGTCCGCTGGAACATGGGCGGGCACTTGGGGTGCAGAACCATCGACAAGTGGAGCAGCCAAGGGACCGGGAGGTGGCTAAGCCATTGGAGCATACGCTCGCCTGTCGCAAAGAGGGCGCGCCACTCCTCGAAGCCGACGATACCGTCAAGGCCGCCCTCCCACGAGTTTGTGTCCTCGGCGTCATCCAGCAACTCCTTCACGTTCGTCTTGTACGCGGCGCCGCGCTTCGCTTGGTGCGCGCGGGCCTTGACAGCTTCCGCAGTGAGTGAGCCCATCACGTACTCCTGGCGAGTGAGGAAGTATGATTTCCACAGCTTGTAGTTCGTGGGGAAGACTGCGAGGGCACGCTCGTACACCATGACGAGCTCGCGCAGCCCATCACGCGCAACGGGATACGCGAGGATGCCAAGCATCTTCTCTTCAGGCGACGGATCATGGTTCTTCGGGGGCATAGCCTTGCCAATCCGGTCCTTGATAGACGCGATGTGGTTGAGCCACAGCCTCATGTTGTCCGGGTTGTGCAGGAGATCCTCCTCCACAGCCAGGTCCGAGGTGCGGATGAGCTCGGGGTTGGTCAAGGGAGTCGGTATGGGCACCGTCAGCGGGAACCGCGACGCGAGCTCCGCGAGGAGCGAGCTCTGCGCGTCGACCATGGTTGCGGATGCTGGGGTGGTATGTTATTGTGTTGAAACGCGGTGTGTTGGTGGAAACAGGTGGCCAACGTACTTTCAGGCGCCACATGGCAATTGCCGGAAGCTCCGTTGATCGGCCTCCACTTCGAGTGTCCACCTCCACATGAGTCGGTGATCGCTGACTCGAAGTTGCTGTTCGCATCTCACATCCGCATCCCGCACTCCTGAATATCTTGGCTGTTGCAGTAGTTTCGGCACCGACGACGACTCGATACCCCCAGAACGTATAGAACGCGATAAAGCGATAGACAAAGCTGTGGTTGCGCTATAATAACGCCACGGCATCACCAGTACCTCAAGACTCATTTACCCCGACTGATTCGCCATTGTGTTGTGCACTATTCCACGGCTACTTCCTAGACGCGCAGCAGCAACAATGCAGTTTACGGGTAAGCTGGTGCTCGGAGACAGCGCGTCTCATATGCTGACTGCATGAGACATTGCGGTAAACCTGGGCGATGCCATGTTCCAGGGCAAGTACCACGGCAAGCAACGTCACCGCGGTGACATAGATGATATGATCGCACGCGCGCGGAATGCCGGCGTGACCCGCCAGATTTTGACTGGGACGTCGCTGAAGACCTCGCAACAAATGCGCGCTTACGCCGAGCAGTATGGTGAGTCGACGATGGTCTCTGATGTTGACCACAGACCTGCACTCGACTGCTGGATGTCATCCGACTTCCACTGCTGAGATCGACAAGTACCGCGGTGGCGAGGAAGCGTATTTTAGCGCGCTCAAGGAGCTCATCGCGTCCGACCTGCAAACCAAGCGTATCGTCTCGATCGGCGAAGTCGGGTTGGACTACGATCGCCTGCGTTTTGCACCGAAAGAGACGCAGCTCAAGCACCTTCCTCGGCTGCTGCTCCTGTCCAAGGAGTACAACCTCCCACTTTTCCTGCACGACCGTCATCCCGAGGCGCATAGAGACCTTGTGCGCATCATGAAGGAGGTCGGATTCGGGCCGGACTGGGCGGGCGGCGTCGTGCACTCGTTCACAGGCACGGTGGAGGAGATGAAGGAGCTCGTGAGTTGAACTGGCTGTGGCAGTGGGTTGATGCGACGTATTGACTACAGTTGGACATGGGGCTGTACATCGGCGTCAACGGGTGCTCGCTCAAGACGCAGGAGAACATCGACGTGGTCAAGGCCATCCCGCTTGACCGGCTCATGCTCGAGACGGACGCGCCCTGGTGCAGCGTGACCACCGGCCACGTGTCGTTCAAGTATCTTCCCAAGGACCTTGTCGTTGTCGAGAGGGTCAAGCCTGAGAAGTTTGTTGAGGGCAAGGGAGTGAAGGGCCGGAACGAGCCGGCTGACGTAAGTTCCGAGTTCTTAAAAGCTGACGGCCAGGTCGTGCTTATCGCGCACATCGTCGCCAACATCCGTGGCGAACCTGTGGAGAAGGTAGCGCGTGCGGCGTTCGACAACACGACGCGACTTTTCTATCCGGACCAGGTTCAGGACGGCAAGGACGTCCTGTAGTTTGAAGTTCAAGCGAGTCCAGAATAAAGCCATTGGAGCGCCCCTCGCTGTCGTGCTGGCCTCAGTATCTCCGCTTCACGCGATCGAGCCCCACCCTAGCTCGAGGGGCGGAGAAGGGGTTCCCGGGCGCCCAGGCGACGCCCACGTACATGGCTGGTGGACTGTTCCTTACAACTCTTAGACGTGGGGCGGTTCGTTCCGTTCGCGGAATGCAGACAGTCCGTGCAGCATACACTACTGAAGCGATATGCACGTAACGCTGGTGAGGGAATGCTTGAATGTGGGTGGTTGAATCAGTAGTGAGCACACAGGTGCATGGTGCATTGGCGAGCCCCCGGCTTTCGACACTGCCCAGCTCGGCACTCAGGTGAAGCATAAATGGTGCATCGAACTACGCTACTGCGGATGACTCTCGGCTTCCTGCCGGTTTACGTACTTCGCGGCCCAGCGCCTCCATCCATGCACGAGAGATCTCTAGAGTCTGACGCTCCTCAAATTTCTCCGGAGCATCCTCTTCTGACCGGGGGTGGGCAAGCCACTCCCATTCGGCCTCCATCTTGTCAGCCAGAGGCTCGAGATACTGCCTGTAGCGTCGCAGGAACTCGCGCCACCACCCCCAGCGCGCGCGCATCGGCCACCCTCCTTCGAAGCCTTCGTCTGCAGATCCTTCCTCCACGAAGGCGAGGACGGCATAGATGCCTTCTTGGCTGCGGTGCGAGGGGGAGAAGATGCGGATGAAGCCGTCCACAACGCTCTCGAAGACGTCCCCGAGACGCGCGGTCACTGCATCCAGGTTAGCCTGGACTTCGGCGGCCTCGCGCGAGCGCGGCGCGTCGTCCTCCTCGTCATCCATGCCCACGCCTTCGCCGCGTTCCAGGCGCTCGGCGGCGCGCCGGGCGCGCGCTACCTCGTCCGCCTTGTCGACGGCCCGGAGACGGCGCCGCTCACGCACCACCCGTCCCACGACCTTGTCCAGCGTCATGCGCAGAACCTCCCAATGGGTACCCTCCGTCCATCCGTCCGCCATGCTGTCGCGCCACTGGTCCCACGAGAAAACCCACTCGACGACGTCGACTGGCTCGAGAATACCGTACTGCAGGTATTTGTCAATAGTGATGAGGCGCATTTGGGAAGAGCGCTTCCAAAAGTCTCCGATGGCGCCAAGGATGACGGCGCGCAGTCTCGCTTCGCTCCCAATGAAGCGCAGTACTTCGAGGTAGCGCTCAGTCGCGTTGAGGAAGTGGGAGAAGGAACGGTCACCTAGCTTGAGGATTGTCGAGGCGACCATGGCCACGACATCTGTCCTGAGGCTGGGTTTAGCGTCGCGTGTGAATGCATCAGGGAGAGCCGTGATGTAGTTCTTGATCTCGTGCGAGGGCGCCTTGTTCTTCATGAGCTTGAGAAGACTATCGGCCTCGGCGAGACGTTCGTGCGAGGGCGCGTTGTTCGTCATGCTCTTGGAAAGAGATTCAGCCTCGGCGAGACGTTCGAGCGACTCGTAAGGCCAAACCGGGTCTGGCGCCTCCGGGCGCACGACCTCGGCCTCCTTGGCGAGCATGGGCTCGGGAAGGGTCTGCAGAATCCGGTCGTGGTACGCGAGACGGATCTCTTGCTCGACGACGCGACGCATGAATGCGCGCCGTGGGTGGGTAACAGGGAGCTCGAGGTCGGGAATCCACTCCTTCCACATCCACTGGAAGCCGAAGTTGGACAAATGGATCGCAAACCAGTCTGCGATGCGGCGAGCGATTTCCACGTCAAGGCCGTCGTCACCGAGCTGAGTGAAGAGACGACGCACCGCGCGGCCGACTGGCGGCGCGACGGTCGACGGGCTCAGCTTGCAAAGCTCGGTGATGACCGAGCCATAGTAGAGCGGGCAGTGCGGCGTGTGGGGCAGCGTGCATAGCGCCGAAAGAATGGTGCTGACGACAGAAGACTCAAGCGAGTATGTCGACTCAGAGGTCTCAGACTTGAAAGTGCCCGGCGTAAGGTAGCGGGGGATGTTGAGGAGGAAACGAGCACACTCCTTTCTGTTGACCTCGAAGATGTTGAGCGTGTCGAGGAGAAGGGAGCGAACCGTCCAGCCGAGCACGGTGTTGGTCGGCGGTACAACGCCCTCGCTGAAAAGCTCCAGGTTGCCGGTACGCCCCTCGCAGTCCTGCGGGTTCTCCTCGTCGATGTCGTACATCTCAGGCGGCATGTAGACGGGCGAGATGGCGTAGGGATCGGGCATAGTGGCACCCTCGGGGATGACGGCTTCCTCAGATGGGCGGGGGAGGACTGCTGGCGCCTGCCACTCACTGGCGCGCAGTTCACGGAGCGCGCTCAGGAGGTCATCGAGAGGCTGGCGTCAGCTTGAGAGACATATGTGACCCTACGTCCGCGTAAGGCTTCGGCTCCACGCCCCTGGGGAGGAATTGCGCGTGGGGCTTGAAGAACGAGCGCTTGTCATCGCGGCCCAGAACAAACTTCTCGATGCTGTCGACAATGCCCTCGATGTCCTCGGTGAAGGTGCCCACGAGTGCGTGTGCGGACTTGGGGTTAGAGCGCCTCCACAGTCGGGACTTACGCGGATGAGGCCCTCTCCGACCGCGCGTACGGCACGCTCTGCGCGCTCGCCGCCGCCGCCAACCTCGTTCAACACACTCAAAAGGCCCTTGTAAGCGTCTACGAGCGAGCGCGCATCCACGAGGCCGGCAGGTACGAGGAGGGAGAGGAACTGGAGCTGGGGTCAGCGCTGGCGCTGTACAACTGACCAAGAGACGGGCATTGAGCCACTCGCGCGCCTCGACGCTGGCGCGAAACGAGCGCGCAAGCTCCTCGAGGATCTCGCGCCCGCATTCGGCCTCCTCCTCCTCGCCCTCAACGCGATACGTGAGGTGCAAGAGGAGCGTGGCGTAATGGGCCTGCTTGAAGGGCATCTCCGTGACGCTGGGGTCAGCATTAGCGCGAATGCTAACGCAAGCCTCCAATGGGGCTGGCTCTCACCCGTAGCGAAACCCGTCCATGATGCCGGGCCCGCCCTCGCGCCACCCCCGGCGCAGGACCTTGGCCAGGCGCGGCGCATCCTCGACGGCATCGAAGTCTTCGTCGTCGGCATGCTTGATGATCATCTTGCGCATGCGCACCGCCGTCGTCTCGGGGGCAGTACGCCCGCCGCCGCCGCCACGCGGGCCGCGTCCGCGGTCATCTGCTGTCAGCCGTGTTGTCGGCACAAACTCACTTCGACGACCACGACCACCGCCGTAGCCACCTCCGCCGTATCCGCCGCCATATCCGCCGCCACCGTATCCGCCACCCCCGTATCCGCCTCCGTAGCCACCGCCGCCGCCACCGCCGCCGCCGTATCCGCCGCCGCTAAAGTCGTTGAAGTTCATCCTAGGTGCGGATGGTGAGGAGGATGAGCGCAGCCTCACATTCCAGTCGTGACGAGCAAAAGCAGCGGAAGCAAATTTCGCGGGGCGAGATTGTTTTCAACCTCCACTTCGGTGACCACCAGATGTCGGGAGCACGGTGCATCGATCAGCTCAGTGTCTCACCTCGTATCTCATCTCGTCGACTCCAACTTCTGCTGGGACCGCCGCCAGGATGGGACCCAAAATCTTGCCTTGCGCACTCTGCGCCCAGCCGTCGAAGTATCGCTGCCCATCTTGCCCCGTGCGATAGTGAGCGCCGCGCCGTGCCCTCTGACGCCAGCTGCTCCGTGGCCTGCTACAAGACACACAAAGGTATGCGGGCCTCGTGCACGTCTAACGCCAGAATCATGCATCTCGACGCCAGCGCACACGGGCCCCGCGCCCTCCCTCGAACCGCCCGCCCCGCCCGCCGACCCAGAACCCCAATCTCCGTCCCAATCTCAGTCCCAATCCCAGCCCCAGTCCCGGTCCCAGCCCCCTCCTTCCCCGCCCCACCCCCTTCGGCCCCTCACGTCCCTCAAATGGCCGCCAGAGCCAGACCCAATGGTCTTCACAGACCCGCTACGGCGCGACGACCCGAAGCCGCTGCGCCCGGCCGAGCTTGAACGCATCGGTGCGTCTCCCCTTGCTCTCGCTGACGCCAGCCACGTCGCAGCCCCTCCGCGACCTCCTCGCGGAAGACAAGCTTACGCGCATCCTCGCCGTGCTGGACGGCATGCCTGCGCGGGCGCGGCACGACGCGCTCGCCCGCCTCCTCGGTGTGGACGGGGAGAGCCTCGCGCGCCCCGCGGCGGCCGCGACGCTCGAGCGCGGCAGCCCGCCGCCGCTCGGGGAGATTTTGGCGCGCGCGGCCGCGCCCCGGCGCGAAGGGTGGGCGGTGGATGGCTGGTGGCTTGGTCAGGACCAGGGGCAGGAGCGCGTATGGATCGGCGACGAGGAGCGGCAGCTCGTCAGGCTCTGGGCGGGGGTTGTTGTGCGTGAGATCGACGGCGAAGGCGTTGGGGGCGAGGGCGCGTGGGGGCGCGGAGAGCTTGCATGGGAGATCGGAGAGTGAGCCGCGTCAAGGTCATTCATGTCATGTACCATCTATGTCGTGCTATTAGCGGGAGGGGGAGAAGAACCAGGACTGGCGTTTTGCGCTTGCCGGGCTTTCGTCGTGCTGCACCCGTGTGATGGGGTTGGCGAAGGGGTTGGATGGGACGGCGGGGACGCCGCCACCGCCTCGGAGCGGCTTGGCGATGCGCGCGTGGTTGAAGCTCGCCTGCTCGCGCGCCTGCATCTCCGCGAGGCGTGCGCGGAAGCCCTCGATCTGCTGCTCGTACCGCTGGTTCTTTTGGGCGAGGCGCGCGTCCGCGTCGTTCAACAGCTGCTCGAGGTTCTGGATGCGCTCGTTGCGCGTGATGAGCTTGCGCTCCGCCACGCCAACCTCCTTCTTGAGCTGCGTGTTCTGGTCCACCAGCTGCTTCTGCACCTGGTTGAGCGCGTCGAGGTTGTGCTCCAAGAACTCGAGCTTCTTCTGCTGGTTGCGCGAAGACGCCGAGCGCGCGATCACCTTGTACTGCTCGCGCACCTCGTCCAACTGCATCTCGAGCTCCACGACCTGTCGTCAGCTCCAGCCGGCGTCCGACGTACCTTCTCACACCGGTTCTGGAGATCCTTCATCAAGCTCTTGCGCACAATCTCAAACTCGGCGTACTGGATGTCATACTGCTTGCGCTGGCGCTCGAGCTCGCGCGCTGCCGTGGCAAACTTCTCACCGTCCTCGTGCCCAGACGAAGCCGCCTCGAGTGCGCGGTTCAGCTCCTCGTTGCCGAGCTTGTACGTCTCAATCGTGCTCTGCAGGCGGCGGATCTCGCTCGCCGACTTGTCCGCGTGCTCGGTGAGCGCCTTGATCTCGCCCTTGAGCATCTCCTCCTGAGCAGCCCACTTGGCCTCAAGGCGTTCCTTGACTTCTGCGACCGCCAAAGGGTCGTTAGACCCGGTGGACCGCGCAAGCAAGTCCTCGTACTCGCGATTGCGCTGGTCGAGAAGCTTCTCGACCTCAGCCTTGCGCTTGGACTGCAGCTCGGCATTGTCCTGCGCCAGCCGCAAGCGCTCCTGGTAGTCGCGCATGATCTGCTGGTTCTCGGCAAAGTGGTTGCGCACGAGGTCGCGCAGCTCGGTCGAGATCTTCTCCTGGCCACTGCTCGACTCCTCCACCTTCTTGATGTGTAGGCGGAGTTTTTCCCCGGCCGCGTCGAGGTTGACGCCGCCCATGTCGATCTTGGCCATCATCTCGTTGAGCATCTCCTGCTTGCGCTTCTCCTTCTCCTCCTCCTTCTCGCGCGACTGGACCTTCTTGCGCTCCTCGATCTCGGCCTTCTGCTCGTCGATCTCGCGCTTGAGCTCGGCAACCTGGTCCTTGAACGTGTCCAGCGAGATGGTCTGGTCCTTGATCTCGGTCTCGAGGCGGGCGTTGAGAATACGCAGCTCGGAGGCATCGGCCGTCGAGGCCTTGTTCTCCTTCATCAGCGCAGCCTCCTGCTCCTTGAGGAACGCGACTTCCTCCTTGAGCTCATTGAGTGCCTTCTCGCGAGCCGCAAGCGCACTCTCACGCTCGGCAAGTTGATCGCTGAGCTCATTCTCGCGGCGCAGGAACTCCTCCTTCTCGTCCTTGTCAAGGACACCGAACGCGGTAGGTGTGTCTGGCCGTGAGAGAGATGTTGGTGTTGGGCTGGTGGATGTCGCCTTGCGGACACTGGCACTCAAGCTGCTGTTGTTGACCATCGACGGCGTCCACTTGTCCTGCTCGACCTTGCCGCCATTCCGCCACACCTTGACCTCCTCCTCGAGCATGGCGGCGTACTCGCGCGACATGCCAAGCTCCGCAGTAAGCTTCTTGAGCATTGCACGGAGCTCGGCAGGCGAGAGCTCGACGTTGACTCGGGCCTTGTTCTTGATAGACTTGGCACGCATGCCAAAGCGGAGGGTAGAGAGGGTTTCTGGCTCATTAAACGACGCCGGCGAACAGTTGATGATTAGGGTTGTGCGCGAGTTACCACCAAGCGACTCTTGCAGAATACGCGTAAGTTTAGAGTCTCGGTACGGAATGTGCGTCGACTGCTGTCAGCTTTAACGGCGCATAAGCTCACCTTTCCGTCCGTCAGGGCGTTGATGACCATGCCGAGCGCCGACAGACTCTTGTTGATCTTCTTGGCTTCCTCCAGCGTCTGGCCCGACGCGCCGGTCTTGCCAACCTTCTCGGAACCTGCCAAATCAACGAGGTAGAGGTTGCCCGACTTCTGGCTGCCGGTCTCGGTGTTGCGCTGGTGCACGCCAATCACAAAAATCGAGTGGGAGCGGGACGACTCGGCGTTCATGTTTGTCGACGAAACGGCGCGGCTGGCGCCGCCGGCACGCATGACGTCGAACACCTCGGCCTCGGACGAGACGTACACGTCCGTCAAACCCTTGACGTACACGCCGCGGGCCTTGTCCTCGTGGATCGAGAGGTTGTCGTTGTGCGGCGCGAGCAGGTCCTTGATCTTCTCCATGTAGATTTCCATGTAGCTGACCTTGACGGTGTACTCGATATTGCTCTCTGCTGCGACGATCGAGGCGAAGATCTGCTCCGTGATGCGTGGAATGAGACCCTTGAGCTCTGGGTTCTCGATATCCGCGCCCATCATCGCTACGTGTCAGCTTGGGCGTCAGTGAAACGTACTGAAGGTCTTGCCTGAACCTGTCTGGCCGTAGCAGAACAGCGTGCCGTTGAAGCCCGTCATAACGTCCTCGACGATGGTCTTAACGCCAAAGTCGAAAATGTCCTGTTGCCGCGATTGTTCGTCGAAGACACGGTCGAACGTGAAGCCTGTGTATCAGCGGGGCGTCTGTGAGTCTCTGTGGGCCGAGCGCACCATCCTTCTCCGGGCCAGCTGTGCGTTAGCCACTGTCGCACAAGCACGCACCGAGCGACCCCGACGTCTTCATCGCCACGGTGAGCGAGTCATCTGTGATCGCCACGACTCGTTCAGACTTGGCCTCGACTTCCATCCGATTCATCGGACGGAATCTGGGGTTAGTTGGGTGGCGGGGCCGGGGGCGCGGGGAGGGTGAGGAGTGGTTAGCCGGTAGGTGGGCTGGAGATGGGCTCCAACGGCGAGGGGTGGGAGGTGGGCCAGCGACGAGCGCGCCAGAAGCTTAGACGCACCGACACACAACCTGCTGTCAGCGGCGCCATCACAACGTCCTACCTTGATGTTATTGCCGGACGCCATGGTGGTTGTAGCCGTGGCGGCGGGTGGTGGGTGGTGGGGCGGGAGTGGAGCCGGGGTGGTGTTGAGGAGAGCGCCGCGCGCCGGATAGCGAACGATCGGGGTGTGAGCAGATGCAAGTGCGACTGGCACTGAAGCTGGAGGCTGGAGGTAACGGCGGCGGGTGGATGGGCGGGAGATGGCAGCGCGCATGGACGTGTTGGGCGTGTCGTGCCTCGTGGCTGTGGCCAGCGCGTCGACTACGCCACGTGACTTGGCTTTGTCTCAATTACCTATAGTCTAATCTAATCCCCATCTTATTCTCGGACCTAATCTCAACCGACCTCGGCGCTCGGCCTCCGACTTTTCCCTGCTGACCCCGGTCCGGCGCCAACTTCATCTTCACTCTCGATCTCGGCTCAAACCTCTACACGATACAATGTCCCGCGCGTCAAAGGTTTTCTTCACGACCGCCGTCGGGTTTATGGGCGCCACGATTTGGGGCGTGCACTGGCTGCAGCAGCGCGAGTCTGATGTGAGTAAAGCTCGGGGGGGGGGGGGGGGGGGGGGGGGGGGGGGGGGGGGGGGGGGGGGGGGGGGGGGGGGGGGGGGGGGGGGGCAAAGAGAGGAGGCGAGGGAGGGCATGAAGGAGGACAAGAGGAGGGAGGGGAGTTGAAGAACACCGCGCTAACCCAAGGCAATGTATCTCGGCGTGATCCGGGACGAGGAGCGAGTACGGGAGAAGGCGTTGAAGAAGGTCCAGCAGCCCGCGGTGGTGCTCGACGACGAGTGCGCGACGTGCGTCATCTCGCCCCCGCCGCAGTTGCTCGAGGCGCAGAGCGCGGAGCAGCGCGCACGCGAGAGGCAGGCGCGGCTCGACGAGTACGAGGCGCAGAAGGGGCTCGCGAGGAGACTTGTCAAGGAGCAGGGCGGGCCTGCGGTGCCCGGCGTGGCTGGCGCCGCTGGCGAGCGGCTCGTTTGATCGCCGTCCACTCCGATGTCTGGCATGTCTCGTCCTCTCCAGCTCGTAGCCCGCGATCGAGCAGACAGGCATCACTACATTGGCTCTCGCGCTCTCGCGCTCTCAACCGCACCGCAACTCGACACCTCCACGAACCCGCAATACCCTGCACAAAGCATAGCCACGCCAATCCCATCACCACTCTTTCCCATATCCCATAGACGCGTCCCCGCGCGCACCCAAAGATCCACAGACGCACTTCCGCCGGTTTAGTAGTCAATGCATTCATCCAATTCGTACAGGGGAACCCACTCTCTCACCAACCTACGCCTTCCTCTCACTCAACCCACCTCCGTGTCGGCCATCCTCTCCCCAGGAGAGGACAGTTGCTGGGCCCCGGTGAAAAGGGGGAAACAGCCCGGAACGGAGCGGCGGATGTACAAATGTTTGAAAGGAGGATGGAGAAGGGGATAGGCATTACGGAGAACAGGCGACAATTGCCGCGCGGTAGGTCGTAACAGAGGAAAGGCGAGTAGTTCGAGAGAGGGAACATGACAGGAGGGGCCAGGGGATGCTGAGTCGGAGGGAGGGTATCAGAGCTCAACGAAGAGCAGCTACAGCGATACTATCAGTCGAGGCTGATGCGCAGCTGCTCCAACGGAATGGGCACAAAGTTGTCGACGTCGATGTTACGGGAACGCAGCTCGGCCTCGGCGTGTTTGGGGACCAGCCGGTGGATGAGGTCGGGCCGCGTCGACAGCTCCTCCCGCGTAAAGTTGAAGAGGGCAGGCATCTCCTTGCCATTCGGGAGACGAGAGCCCTCCGTTCGCAGCTCGTCGAAGAACTGGTGCACGAGGGCCTCGAGGGCGCTGTAATTGTCAGTTGCAGTGCAAGATTAACAGCAAGACAAGCATGACTTACGTGAGACGGGCAGTGGGCGTGTACTCGAGGAGGTGGGAGATGAGGTCAATGGCATCGGGTGAGGTGCGAGGACGGAACACTTTGTGGAAGGGGTGAGCCTTGATCTGGGGGAACTTGTGCTCCATGTACTGCGGGGGTTAGCGGTGGTTTATACACGTGGTGGCGCCATGCTGGCTGTGTTGTGTGGTGACGTTGCGTGGAGGAAGGAAGGAAGGCAATGCCACCCAGCTGTTGCAACCATCTCTACTCACGTTCGGGTTCATCGTCTTGATCTGCTCGCGGGTCGGCGTTCCGAGGACCTTGATGATCTCAACGAGCTGGTCAATCCCAGACTCTCCGGGGAAAAGTGGCTGGCCCAGCATGAGTTCGGCCATGACGCATCCAGTCGACCAGATGTCGATGTTGGTCGTGTAGTTGGTTGCACCAAAGATGAGCTCGGGGGCGCGGTAGTAGCGCGAGCAGATGTAGCTAACGTTTGGCTCGCCACCAACGAGGATCTTGGCCGAGCCAAAGTCGCACAGCTTCAAGATGCCAGTGTTGGGGTTGAGAAGCAAGTTCTGAGGCTTAATGTCGCGGTGGCAGATGCCGACCGAGTGGATGTAGGCCAACGACCGCAGGAGCTGGTACATGTAGAGCTTGACCTGGAGCATCGGCACAATCTGCTTGAGCTTGGTGTAGTAGCGCAGCGACCGGTACACGGTCTCGGGGACAAACTCGAGAACGAGGTTCAAGTAGACTTCGTCCTTCTTCTTGGTCGTCAGCTCTACAGTTCGCATCGCGCGCTGGGGGAAAGCCCGGAAGTTGTGCACGACAAACGCACCTTGTCACCGTTCGAGTAGAAGAAGGCCTTGAGGTCGACAACGTTGGGGTGGGAGACGAGGCGCATGATCTGGAGCTCACGGTTTTTGAACCGCTTGTCCTGCAAGACCTTCTTGATTGCAATCTCCTGTTCTGGGACATCGGTTCCGTCGGCCAACTTTGTAGCTGTTCGAGTCAGCCACTGCGTTTATGTTGATACGCACGCAACATCTTAGCGGCGAACACGACACCAAAGCTTCCGTTACCGACAACCTTGTAGTTGGTGTAGGTAATAGTCATCTCCTGGCCCGTCTTTCCCTCGTGGGCGGTAACGGTAACCACACGGTTCGGGTCATCGGCTGTGAATGGTCAGCACGCGAGTCGAGTCAGTGGTCCCGTGTGGGCGGGGATTAGAACATGGAATTCTCACCCGACACCTTTACCCCGTTGACGAGGCCGCTCATATTGGGAAGAGTTGGAGTCTGCGGGAGCGCAATGTAAGGATGAGTGCGTGGACGAGGACGGAGGGGCGGGAAGGGACGGCCGGGCGGAGGCATACGCGGATGCAAGCGGGATGAGAGGAAGAGGCGAGAGGTTGCGAGGTGTGAGAGCGCGTGAGGAAGGGAGCGATGACGCAGAGGGGAGCAGTTGTGAGGGGCGTTTATAATGGCGAGGTGAAGAGGAATGGAGCAAAAGACAAAATGCAACCGAGTGATGGGAGCGTGTTGAATTAGAGGTTGCGAGGAAGGTGGGAAGTGAGTGTAATAGAGGGGTGTGGAATGGGAGGCGGAAGGTCAATGTCAGGTGGCCGGCCGAGCGACGTTGATGGACGAAGGTGAGGGCGGGGGCGGGGGCGGGGCGGGGCGGGGCGGGGGTCGAGGTAAGTAAGGGAGGTGTGGTGGAATGATGGAGAGCGGGTGAGGACGGCAGGACCAGAGGCAATGTCAGCAACGGATCAACGCGTGATGTGTATGCAGGTGGGATGGAGGGGAGGGGGAAGAGTGAAGGGACAGATGCGATCGTGGAGAGTGAGGAGAGGAGGGTGGGAGTAGATCGCAATGCGGTGGGCGGCGATGCGGAGCGGCGCAGACGGGTTTGGCCAGGACGCTGACGCAGGTCTGGGATGGCCAAGTGTGTGTTCCGCTGTTCCGCTGCCGGATCAAGGAGCCAACGTAGCGGAGGCCGGACGCCCCGGGCGTGAGGTGCTGCGGAGCGGGGGAGGGGGGGGGGGGGGGGGGGGGGGGGGGGGGCGTTGGGGAACGGCGCGGCGTTGAGCCGTGGATGGTTGACTGGGTAGTTGCGGAAGGGAGGGAGGGGGGAAGGGTGTGACGTTGTGGATGATGGTAGTGATGGAGCAGGATGGAGAGGAGCAGGAGGATGAACGTACCTGTGCAGGGGATGACTAGGTCAGTGGAGAGGAGGGGGGATGCTACGCGTCGGGAGAATGGGAAACGCTGGCTGGATGCGAGCGTGGAGAGGATTCAGTCGGCGTAGGAGATGGTCGCGTGTTGTGCGTTGGGACCGTGTGGTGCTAGGCGCGGCGACGGTGGGGAGAGGGCAGGGGCAGGGGAGCGGGAGGGGAGAGAGCTGGTCGCGGCTGGAGACGACGGGGAGGAGGGACAATAGGTGAAGTAGACCGAGTGTCGGGGGTGGACGAGGAGATGGGCTGCGGAGTTGACGGAGTGTGAGGAGAGCAAGTGGGATGGGTGACGGTGAAAGAGGGGGATGGTGTGGTAGAGTGGTTTGGTGGAATGGAGGAGGAGATGGATGGTGGGGGGGGGATGGGGGGGGGGGGGGGGGGGGGGCCTGAGGGGAGTGACGCCTGGGTGGGTGTTGGTGTACGGTGAAGGTCGCGAATGGGTGAGAGAGTGCTAGAGTGAGGCGAATCAGCGCCGCGGCTGGTTGGCTGAGGGGGGAGGAGGGGGGGAGCAAGGTGGAGGGGGAGGGGGGGGGCATGTTCTGTTGGGTCGCGGGGACATCGTCAGGCGGCGCGCCAGAGGTCAGCGGATGGAGATTGGCCTGTCTCAGGGAAGATTGTGGATGTATCCTGACCACCTGACTCTGTGCAGCGAGGTACAATCCTCCTCCTCATCCTCCCCTCTGATCCCTCTGACTCCCTCTTCCTCGGTCTCAGGGATACATGCCACCGGCAATTTCCACTGTGGCACTTGATCCTCGCACTCGCACTCACACTCGCACTCTTCTCTTTTCTCTTGTGAGCCTGCCATACCTGCTGGAGCCTGCCCCAGAAGCCCGAGACAGCAATACCCCGCAGAGGGGCACCGCTGTCAACAATACATGCGTCGAGCGGCGCTAGAGGGCCCGCTGCTCATATGCTCATGCTGCTCATAAGGCCGCGTTTTGGGGTTGTCCTAGAACCTGCCTAGCGAGCCTGGATTCGGATAATAGTCTGTGCGCCATACACCAAAAGTCCCACCTCCGGCCTCCATGCCTCCAACGCGTCCAACGCCGCGCAGTTTGAGATTCGAGGGCCAGCGATCAAGCGATCATGCGCGCCAGGCGATCAGGCCCGCCTCCGTCACTGTCGTTTTGTTGCTCCCCCATGGCCCACGCTCGAGTCGAGCCCGAGATCAAACCGATCTAACCAAACGCGCTCTAGTCATATCCCTCAAGCCAATCCAACACAAGGTCACATGACAATACATGTCTTCCCTTGCCTCCCGCACCATTGCACCATTGCCGCTGCTTCCTATATCCAAAAGTCTCACGTGATGTGTACCTACCTCTATCCACGTCTTGCATCTTGCTTGCACGTTGATGGTACTGGCAGGCGGTGGCTTGCGCCATTAATTATTACTACCTGCACCCACCCAGCCGCCGCCAAAACACACACACAAACAACTTTCCGCATGTCACTAATTCCTATTATTAAAGGAGAGGGTCCATGGATCTACACGTCTACTGTAGTCTGGTCGGCAAGCTGGCCTCCGCTTCGCTTATTATCGTCAAAGTTCTAGCTCATTATGATGGCCATGGCGATGGCATGGCCATGGCTCGCTGTGCGGTGCACACTCTTACGGCCGACTATGCATGACCAAAGCCCGCCGCCGATCATAATCATATAGACTGAACTGGACACTACAAATTGTGGGTGCGGAAAGTTGTCACAGGCAATACGACTCACCATCACACCCCCCCACCATGATACTACCCCCAACCCCCACCATACACCCCACCATACACACCTCACACATACAACGATACATACACATGCCTAAACTCTGCACTAACCCCCCACTACTTGTACTTGTCCCCCTGCTCCTGCCGCCCCTGCGGGTCTAGACTATTCCTCAATCCCCACAGCGTCTTGCTCACTGCCTCACTCGCCCCAATCATAGGCTTGAGCACGGCAATCGGCACCGCCCTCACTACCGTCTGTAGTGGTCCGTCGTCGCCAGCACGCTCGTACACCTCCATCGGAACAGCCAAGATTGTCTGCGCCGCCGAGTTGATGTTCGACGACAGACTGGCGTACGCAGCCTTGACGCCCTCCTGCACGTTGGACGGTTGATTGCGGTATCGGCTGTGCTGGCCTTCCTCGTCCGACTCGTCCGTAGCCTCCACTACCACGCTGTCCCCGAGCTTGGGTCCCAGCACGCCCTCGGCCCGCTCCAGCACTACTTGTGTGCCAGTTGCTAGACGGGCTCCGAGCTTCATCATTTCCATTGCCGTGGACCTCACAAAGCTGTTCGTCCCTCGTTGTACGCCGCGCGCGATCCGACCATCCTTCCGATACTGCTCAATCGGGAGCAAGATAAGGTCTGCGACTCCGGAACCCACATTCACGACCGAGCGGATAGGGGAGACCCCAGAAATCACGTCCGCCAGCTGATTCGACTTGACGTCCGGCGTCCAAATGTCCTGCAGCATGTCCCCGAGTCGCGTTCCGCCCGTGACGCCGGATAGCGTGACGTGGCGGAGTGTCATCTCGGCGCCCTCGAAGTGGAAAAAGTTCATGAGCTCGATCGTGCGTCCTTGTCTCAGGGCCGAGTAATCGACGCGCTTAGGCTTGTAATCGAGCTTGAGCTCTACTGGGAAGATTTCGACGTGTTGGAAGAACGGTTCCGTCTTGGGCATGTCGTTAACAGGCTCTTCGCCGGGCGCCTTGAAGCTGAAGAAATGCTTAAGGAAATCAAGCGCGTCCTGGTCCACATGAAGGCGAAGCGGGAGAATCTTGGCACGGACACGAATCTCCTCCTCCGTCGAAGGGAGGTTCGGGCGCACATTCGTAATTTCGACCCGCACCATGTCCGCATCCGTCTCGCGCACATTACCGCGCGAGTCAGCCTTCATCTCCGTCAGGAACTTCTTCCACGTCGACGTCTTGATGTGATCCAGAATCTCAAAGCTCTGCACTGTCGCGTGAATGCGCGAGGCGGTGGCGTCGTCCGCGCCGAACACATCGATGTCGGCGCGCAGGCCGTTGACGCTGAACTCAATCTGACCCTTCTTGGAGCGCGACAAGCGTTTGCCACGCAGCCGCACGTTCGATTTGCGCGATGCAGGCGCATGCTGTGCTCCAGCGCCCGGATCCGGGAACGTCTGCCAGCTGCTCGCGTCCGACTCAGCTGGCTCTAGGTCAAGCAGCTCCTCGTCGATCGCGGCCATGAGCTGCGTCGTGTCCATGTCCTCGCGCCCTTCAAAACCGATGTATACCGAGTTAAAGAGAACGGAGCTCGTCATGTCGACCGACGCATCCGCTTTCTGCCCAGACGCAAGCAGTTGACGGATCTTCTCGAGACGCCGTCGCATCGCCTTGATCTCGTCCTCGATCGCCTTGCGCGTCTTCTGCCAGTCATAACCATCATGCAGGTATACCGATAGCGAGCAGTCCTGAATCTGCACGCGCATCTTGCCCATGCGAGTTCTATCGTCAGAGACTTCAGTGTGCCAAAACTCACTCAATGCCATTGCTCAGGACTGGCAGGTTGTTCCAGTAGTCAGGATCCTCCTCAAACGGTTCCGAGGAGAAGATCTTGATCGTGCCACCACCGAGGTCGTTTTGAATCTGTGGAGCCTCGTCAGGCGTCTCCCACGACCTGAGCGTCTCGCCGGTGTGACGGTCAACCGCCGGAGCCTTGGCACCCGCAGCGTGGTCGAGATAGTCGAGGTTGGTTGGAAGGTCATCATCTATCATGTCCGCGCCCGAGATGACATCGGGCGCCTGGCCGAAGGCATCGAGGTCCACGGACGCGAACACATCAATTGACTTATCCAGCGCCATAGTGCGCTTGCGTGGCGCAGGCGGTGCCCCCGAAGCGGGGGCGAGTTTAGAGAGGTCACCTGCAAGCGCACCTAACGTTGCGAACGAGTCTGCGCATGCGGTCACGCGCATCTGGCTATGCTGGATATCGAGCAAGGTGGAATGAGGCATGCTCGAGGTGACGATCTGGCCGTCGAGGACAACAAGCTCAACGAGCTGGGCGTACCCTGACCGTTTCCAGGCTTCTAGTGACATGGCGTGATGCTGTAGCGGCGTGGCCGAGTCGCGGTCGTCAATCGCTAGCAAGTACAGGCCAGAGAGACCGATATCGATGGTATTGTCGTCGGACTCGCTCTCCATGGCCGTGCGCACCTCTATCGCTGTCATGACAGCGAGCAGGGCTCCGGGCATCGTCGGAGCCGCAACGTGCACCGAGCAGTCGTATACACTCAGTGTAACCTTCGTCACCTCGCTTGGCACGACGTCCTCGAACACTCCCTCCGGCGTCTTGGCATATAGGGCTAGATCGTGCACCCACTCCAGATCCTTTGTCACGTAAATCGTGCACGCGTTGGCTGAAAGTCGAATCCCGGTCTCTTTGGAGCGGTCCTCGCGCGTGAGGGACGAAAAGCGCAAATGGACTAGTGGCTGGGTGTGCGTGCTGTAGTTCAGCGGTGTCGTGCGGCCGAAGAGCCGGTGCGGCTTGGATCCGGGCTCAGCCATGTGGAACAAGTCCGCGTCCATCGCTGTAAGTGTCACAGACGTTTCTTGCTTGTTTGTACTGTTCGACTCCAACTTGACATCCATATCCGAGGCGCGGAGGGAGACGATGCGCTCGCTGGTGGTAGAGCTCTCGAGCGCGCCCTTCACTTTTGGTACCAGTAAAGCGACCTCGACCTCACTGACAGCGAGGCGGAACAAAGTGGCAGACCCAAAGTCGTCCTCATCGTCGTAGTCACCTGTACTTGAGGCTGAAGACGATGACTTGGACCCAAAGAATCGGCTGCCAATCATTTTGAGATCATCGCGAGGTTTGGGAGCTGATCCGTCGCCAAACGCTCCGTCAAGCCAATGGGTCATGTCGTCTGCGAAGAATTGTAGACCTTCCACCGTCGACTGCCGTATCTTGGCTTGGATGCAGGGAATCTTGCAGGTCACCGACTGCGTCTTGACACCAGTTAAAGGTGACAGTTCTGAGCGCACATTCACCGTTGGAAGAAGCACACCCTCGTCACCTTCGTCCGGCGCGAGTGGCCCTATCACCAGGAATGCGGATGAGCGTTGCTCTGGTTGTCAGCGCTTCGGTCCGGAGGACGCTAAGCGGTGATGCTTACCTGGAACGCGACTGAAAAGCAGCACGACTTTCTGAAACTCAACATTGATGCCGCCAGAAACATCGGGGCTGAGATGACGACGCGCATCAAGCTTGTCCTCCGCGACGCGTATGTTAAGGTCATGGATGTCGAGTGTTACTATTCCGGAGCGTAGATGAGCGCCGTCACCCCACGACCCGCGGCGGCTGAGTGGTGCAGGGCAACGGATGTCTAGACGTATCATCGGACAGCGGACAGTCAACAACACGCGAGGAGGTGCTGCCATGGAGCCTCTTCGCCCGAAGTGTGGTGGGTCCTCGGCAGGTCGGAGCGAGGTAAGCGGTCGTGATGCTGCGTGGGGTGCGGTCGGAGTATGGTGCTCGCTTGACGACTGCACAGCTGGCGCGAGGGAGCGAAGGAGGGGGAGCAACCGCTCGACCAACGAGAGGTCGAGAAAGACGTGCACAGGGAGCAGTTCCACCGTCGCCGCTGGGGTCAAATGCCTGCAGAAAGACATAAACTCACGCTCGTTGTCATCCATGTCCTTGTGGATAACGACAGCTGCAACGACAGGCTCCGGACTTGCCCCGAACCCTCCGCGTAGTATTCCCTTACTCCGGGGACGTACTCGCCACGCTTTCTCGGCGCCAGGCTTCTGCGGGCCCGCATTCCGCCAGTCGATGCTGTCAAACTGTGGAAAGGAGGTGAGGTTCGCGGGCGCTCGCGAATTAGATGATAGTAAGCTCGACGGTGCGCCAGGCGGCACGTCATACTGCTTGGGAAGGTTAGCATCAAAGATGAGCACAGGGAAGGTGCCGCCCGGCGGCTCGTCGCCCCCACTTTCTGCCGATGCGAGATACTCGAATACCGCAATCGTTGAGACAGTGATACTAACAACCGTGCCCTTGGTTCCAGCCGTGGAGCGGCGGCGTGTCAGCTTGCGCGTGACCTTATTGATCGCGGCCGGAACACTGTAAGCCGCCCCCATGTCTTCGAGCTTGAGACGCAGATGCCCGATCGGGAGATATACCGATGCAGGGCGCGAGAAATAACTTTCCACCATGGACTTGTACTCGTCAGAAGGCTTGTTGAGGTCGTACACTAGCGAGACGTAAACGCCCTTGATGCGAAGTTCCGCGTCAAACTTCGGCTGGGAGAGGGGTGGGTCGACGCTAACCTCCTGCGGGACGGGTGCGGTTGAGCCAGAGTGAGCTAGCGCCGCTTGCGCCAAGCTGAGCAGGAAACCCGCGTGTGAGGGAAGGAGGGCCACAGCAATCATGCCCACGGACATATCGATGCGTATTGACGGAATGGGTGCCACAGGCGTGTCCACAACTCGAGGCATGGCCATTGGGGAACCCGGATCCCGCGCCCAGTCACGGGAGCTTGGGGGCATCGTGGTCGCAGTCGTCATGCGCAAGATGATATCTTCCGTTCCAAAAGACATGAGAAGTGTCTCCTCCGGCTCGTAGGACGCCACCGGTGTGGCGGAGCGGCTTGTGCGTTGCGAGCCCGCAGTTGGCGGCTCATCTGCTGGAGCTGACTCAATTGAGCGCCCCTTGCGAGCCTCTGGGGATGCTTGAGGCGAGCCAAACGGGTCAGCCGGTAGCTCTTGACGCGAGGCGGAGATCGGCTCGGCTGCTGGGTCTTCCACGAAGCTCTGATACACGCTTCGCCCCGATGCGCTCGTCATGGTGCTCTTGAACATGCCCGAACCGCGAGCACTGTGAAACACGGACCCGTGGGCGCTCTGAAATACGTCCGAGCCCGCAGCGCTCTGATACATTGATCCCGGTGTGCTGCGGAAGGACGCTGCTGGCGGCTGCGGTGCAGGAGCAGAGCTCACTCTGAGGTCGGCGACAGCTTGCGACATGATCATGTCTTGATAGTCGTCATCATCGGACAGCGACGACTCGTACGACGAGGCACTCGTCATGCGACTCAGCGGAACCTGGTGTGGTTCGTCTTCCTTCGGGATAGGAAGGAGATACACGCCGACGTTGGAGATTATAACGGCGCGCACGGTCTTCGTGGCGCCCGTGACGGTCTCGGGTGTCTCGTCCGCGTAACGCACCTCGCCGATACGCAGCTCGAGGACGCCTAATATGTCTTCATGCTCGTAGCGCACGCGTAGACGAATTTTGCAAATGCGGCACTGCAGTCGCGCGAGGACACGCTCGACAAGAGACGCGAGTACTGTCGTGCTCTCGACCGCTGCGGGAGATCCGCCACCATTGTCGGACGTGAAAGGGGGAAAGGCGCCCGGAACGTCACCTGGCGGGTTCAGAATCAGTGATTCTCGGATTGTGCGGTCAAGTTCCGCGCCCTCGAAAGCATCGAGCTCATCGTGGAGGAAGTCGCCGGCTGCACTAGTAACGGAACTCGCCAGATCGATGTGAGGCACCGATGGCCCCAGTGGCCCGCGCCTTCCCTTGGCCGCGGCCAGGGATACATCGAGGGTCACTGAATCGACGGTGAGAGCCAGCGGGTCGCTCCAAAGATTAGGGAACGGAACGCGCGCCGAAACTTTGGCGACCTCGCCACCGATGACAGTGAACGGTAGGCCCTCAGGAATGAGAGCATTGATTTCCTGACGTTAGTTTGAAAGAGAGAGAGCGTACCTCGACGTTGACTTCAAGTTTGTCCAGGTCGACACGGCCCTCGCTGAGCTGCGCCTGGATGCGCTCGACGTCGAAGCCAGAGGGGAGAAAGAAGCGGCCAAGAGCTCGTTTCAAGACATAGGAAAGAAAGCGGCGTTGTATGTTGGCTGGGAGGGAGATGGACGGGAAGGAGACGGGAAAGGTGAGGAAGGAGGGGAACCACATCGCGGTGGTGGCGAGCGATGCACCTATGAGCTCATGCCCGTAGCGGTCTCCCGACGTGCGCGAGAAGGGTATGCTTCTAGCTCCAAGAAAGCGCGGGCTACCAGATATCTGGTGGGCGACAAGGATCAAGAGATGGTGATGGACAAGTGTTTGGTGGCAAGCTGAAGGGTTAAGAGGTGCGCGATCGCGTTGGGCGGACGCAACTGGGCTCCTCTGAGATCGAGGAACCGATGGAGAGTTGCCACCCGATCGTCCAACCGGAGATCACCCACTCTCCGCCCCACTCTGTGTCTGTATGACGTGCACGAACGTCGATTCAAGTCGATCCTACACCGATACCTCTCCCATCCAGCCCCCCACTATGACTCTTCCTATCGCCCCCACGGCGACGTGAGCTCACTGTGTTATACTGCAAGCTGATACCTAGGTGGGACACGATCCAGGATGTCTTCTACCGCAAGGAGGAGGTGTACCAGATGGCTTGGAAGGTCCCCGATCTATCTGACTACCTCGTTGCCGTGGGCAAGAATGGCGGGCCAATTGGTTTGTCTCATCGCCTCCGAGCTAATGCAAGCACTGATGCGGGACGAGCGCAAGGTTGTGCTGCTGGGGAAGCACACGTCGGGCAAGCCCAAGATCCAGGTGTTCACAGCCTCTGGCCGGCTCATTGCGTCTCTGAATGTATGTCACCAAGTTCCCGAGCTGGGAAGCTGACGACAGTGGGAGCTCTCCCCGCCAATCCTCTTGCATTTCACCCCGAGTCATCTCGTTGTTCTCTCCGACGAAGGCACATACCGGCTGTACGACCTCTCCTCACCTGGCGACTACAATCAGTACACCCTCGGCTCAGAAGTCGCCGACCTGGGCATCGTGAGTGCGCACGCGCACGACGACGGCCTCGTGGTCCTTACGGGCGGTCTACAGTTCGTGGAAGCGCGGGGTTGGAAAGGGGCGAGGGTCAGCCAGATGGCCGACAGTGGGCTCACCGAGGCGCCTCGCACATGGACCATTGTCCCACCAGAACAGTCGACAAGCGGGCACGTTGAGGTGTGCGTGTCGACAGGCGCAACCATTGTCACTCTTGACGCGCTCGAGCGTGTCGACCAGCACCTTTCCAAGGGTCCCTTCACGCACGTCGCCCTCTCGCCCAACGGCCGCTTCTACGGCCTTGTGACTGCAACAGGGCTGCTCTGGGTAGTCTCCGCGGACTTTGCCCGCAACCTCTCTGAGGTCGAGATTTCGTCGATCGCGCCCGAAGGGGCCAGCTTGCCTGATCGTGTCGAGTGGTGCGGCGATAACGCCGTTGTCCTCACATTTGGGGGCAAGGTCGTGATTGTTGGGCCAGGAGGAGACTCGCTCCAGTACGACTACCCGCCGTCTGTCGTTATTAAAGGCGAGGTGGACGCGCTGCGCATCATCTCCTCCAACGTATGCGAGATGCTTCAGAAGGTACCGGGTGAGTACATGACGCGTTCCACGCTCTAACCTTTCAGACGCCTCCCTCGCTGTCTTCCGGCCGGGTTCAGATCACCCCGCATCAGTATTGTACGACGCGTTGGATCACTTTGAGCGCAAGTCGCCAAAAGCTGACGAGGCGATTCGGAGTATCCGACCCGATCTCGCCCGCGCAGTCGACACTTGCATCGAGGCAGCCGGACAAGAGTGGGAGGTCACATGGCAACGTCGCTTGCTCAAGGTAAGTTTCACCTGTGTGATTCCGGAGAGCTGACAGCGAGGCTGCCCAGTTCGGCCGCGCGTTCCTGGACCTCTACAATCCCAACGACTTTGTCACAATGGCGCACACGCTGAAGGTGCTCAACGCAGTGCGGTATTACGAGGTTGGCATCCCCATCACCTATGACCAATACACGACAGCTGGGCCTCCGGCGCTGATTACACGTCTCTTGACGCGGAACCAACATCTCCTTGCTCTCAGGATATCGCAATATCTCGGCCTGCGGCCCGACCCCGTGCTAAAACACTGGGCCGCGGCGCGGATTATGCGTTCCAAGGCGGACCCACGAGATGTGGAGAGCGACGCGGCGTTGTGCGACGCCATTGTGGACAAGTTTGAGAACGAGGGCGAGAAGGGCGTGAGCTATGCCGAAATCGCTAAGAAGGCGTGGGAGGCCGGCCGCGTCCGATTGGCGACGATGGTGAGTTCCTCCTCTGACGTTCGCTGACAGCAGCTGCTGGACCACGAGCCGCGCGCGGCGGAGCAGGTGCCGCTCCTCCTCCAGATGAAGCAGGACAAGATTGCGCTGGAGAAGGCCGTCGACTCGGGCGACTCGGACCTCGTCTACCATGTTCTGCTACGACTCCACGCTTCCTTGTCTCCTGGAGACTTCTTCGCGCTCCTAGACGACGGCGCGTCGCCCCAGCTCGCCCCCGCAGTGCGGCTCCTGCAGATATACGCGCGCGAGAACGACCGACAACTCCTTCGCGACTTTTACTACCAAGACGACCGGCGAACCGAGACGGCTGTGCTCGACATGGAGGAAGCGGGCCAGGCGACGGTGAGTTGTGCCACTTACTCGGCTGACGGCAGACGGTAGGGGAGCGCGTCGAGCTGCTGCGCGCGGCGTCCAAAAGCTTCGGAGAGCACAAGGACCGCGCTTTCGAGGCTAAGCAAGCGGACGACGCTGCCAAGCTCCTCGCGCTGCAGGCGCAGTACGAGAAGGAGCTTGAGTTCAAGTTCGCCTTCTTGGGCCTCTCGGTCTCAGAAACGATTTCGCGTCTACTCGTTGAAGGGCTGGGCAAGCGCGCCGAGCACGTGCGCAGTACCTTCAAGGTGCCAGACAAACGCTTCTGGTGGATCAAGCTCAAGGCGCTTGCGGCGACGCACAACTGGGAGGGCTTGGAAGCATTTGCGAAGAGCAAGAAGAGCCCGATTGGATACGAGCCGTTTGTCGTACGTCGCTGACTGCTTGCTACGCACAGAGCTTACTCCAGACCCACCTCCTCTCGCTTGAGCCGCCGCAGATGCTGCACGCCGCGTCCTTCGTCCCGCGGTGCGACGTCAAGCTGCGTCCTGACCTTTACGCGCTGTGCGGGCAGTGGAGCAAGGCGGCGGAGGCGGCCAAGGAGCGGAATGACAAGGCAAAGCTGGAGGAATTGAAGCGCCGTGCTCCACCAGGTTTGCCGTTGCGGGAGGTTGAAGCCGTCCTTGCGCGAGGCTGAGATGATAGCAGTGATAATGCACGTTCTACATGCTACACAGGATGCGCCGCCCGCCACATACGCCAAAACTCATCTCTTGCTGGACGGCCCCACGCCAACCATGACGGCGCAAACACCTCGCGCTTGATGTGCGCCGCGAGCGCGTCCGCAACATGCACATCCACCATGTTGCCCAACATGCGGTCTTTCTGACATCAACATTTGCACCTCCTTTTCTGGGGCTCACCTCCTTTACAGGCCCACGCAGGATGTAGCTATCAGGTAGGCCCTGAATGCGCCGGCGCTCGGCGACGCTCAACACGCGGTGTGACATCCAGTGGATCGTGAGAGTGCTGTTCCGCCCAGGGAAAGGGTTGCTCTGGATCGTGGGCACCGCGCGGTGCGGGTTGCAGCGCAGAATGTTACCGGGACCAATGTACGGCTCGTTTGCCTTGGGTGCGGAGAAGACACTGGTCAGCTCACGGAAGTTAAAAAGGCATACAGATCGAGGCAGGACCCCGCCGGAATCTGTGTTACATGGTCTTTGACTCCCGTTTCCTCGCCGCGCTCGCCGCCCCGTGCAGCACGCTGGTAACTCGTTTTAGGCCGGCAGCGGTAGGGTGTGCCGTCCGACAGGCCAACGCGATCACCGAAGTCGAAGCCACGGGCGGCAGTGTTGGGCGCGCGATCGTCGAGAACGGAGTAGTCCCATTCAGGAAAGTCGCCGATAGCGTCGCGCGCGGTCACCGCCGGGCGGAGCGCGCGTGTGGTGTCTGCGCCGCTGTTCCCGCCTAGGACGATAGGCTCTCCACCGAGCGAGAGGTTGAGTTTGCGGCGACCGTGGGCATGCGTCGGTGCTGGCCAAGCGGGAAGCGGAAGTCCGGAGCGTACGGCGAGAATAAAGATGCGATGGCGGTTTTGGGGAGAGCCATAGTTACGGCTGTTGAGCTGGCCGAGACGCACTTGATAGCCTAAGGAGAGGAGCCTTTGCACGACCTGCTCCAAAACGTTAGTGCCACAGGGGAAAGGCGTAGCAATGCCTGGCACGTTTTCAATGAGACACACATCGGGCTTGACATGCTCCACCTCTTTGAGCACCGTAAACACCTCGGTATTCAGTGGGTGACCAAGCGCGCGGGAAGTGTTGCCGAGGGTGTAGCCTTGGCTAGTGTCAGCACAATGTCGGCTGAACGTTCACCAAGGCGGGCCCGCGACGAGGAGTGCGACGCTGCCAGGTGCGGAATAGCGACGACGGCGTCGCGTGTAGTCATCAACTTTGCAGCGGTGAACTGTGAGATGAGGAAAGTTGTCCCGCAGCGTCTGACAGGCGGCTGGATTGATTTCAACAGCGTGCTGCACGTTAAAGTGTTTGTTGACACCGAAGAGAAGGCCGCCACCTCCAGCGTACAGATCCACAGCAGGAGGTCGGAGACGGTGGAGGGCTGCACGGGCAATGTTCCGCTCGCTGGGATGGGTCCGGGCGTCGTCATTCGGGTCACCATCGCGCTTCCGTTGCGCCCCTAAACACGAGTCGCAGGACGTGGGGGAGAACGGGTCCGCCCTCCCCCTTGCAGAGTGCGCGGCTGCTAGTAAAGGATCTCGCCACACGCCACCCGGCTCAGCGACTAATGACACCGTGTGACGCAGCACGGTGCCGACGATGAAGTTTGTGCTGATGTTGTCACATAATGATGAATCGAGGAAGGTGGCAATTGTACGCTTGACGTACTGCACATGCGCTTGGCCCCGGTCATGCGGGCGGTCCCAGTCGCGGGTGAACAGGCGGCGAACAAGGGCGACGCGGCGACCCGCTGCCGTGTCAACCCGCACGATGGTGCCACGCTTGACGACCGAACCGTCTCGCGCCGTTACACAGGACAGCTCGCTGAATTTGCGCTGTTGACGATGAGGAGGCATGGTGATAGTGAGTGATGAGTGATGTGGTGAACGAGAGGTCCGTTTTAGTAGTGATGATGGCAAGATGGCCAAAGAAAGAGGGCGTGGGAAGTTTAGATGTACGCCCCGTCCCGTGACTCTCAGCGCACACGAGCCGTGCATTACAATACACACCATCTAGTCCTCCTCGGGATCGGGCAAGCGGCGGAAACACGAGACCCACTTGTCCCCTCCGTTGCGCTCGACCTTGCGCCCCTCCTCGGTTGCAGTGCGCGCGGCCTCGAGGATGGGGTCACCTGCCATCTCCTCGGTTGGGATGTACTCGAACAAGGGGTGTTTGCGGAGGTGCGAGTCCATCCACTCGTGCAGGTCTGGCGTGAGCTCATGGCCGCAAGAGTATGGGCACCGGGAGGAGTCGAGCAAAACTCACCCTTCACGTCCGTCACGGTGTAGCAGATACCCCCTGGCCGGAGGACGTAGGCGTACTCTGCCAGGAGGGCGGTGGTGACGATGCGCGCCTTCTGCTTGCGCGTCTTGAAGTGGGGGTCGGGGAAGAGGAAGAAGACCTTGGACAGCTGGCCTTTGGCGAAAAAGTTTGGCATGTGCTTCATGCTGTTTGCGCGGATCACGCTCACGTTCTGCATGCCACCAGGTCTTGCGTCTGGCGCATCGGGGGGAAGGGTGGCCTCGACCTGCCGCGCATGCGCAATGCGGTCGCTCACATACTGCGTCACCGAGACGCGGATCTCCATGCCTAGGGTGAGCGACCAGCCAGCGAGTCAATGTTGGGGGTGAGCTAGAGAGACGCTCAGACAGCAAGGAGAACAAGCCTTTCCGCACCACCATCCCTGCTCAGCGACTCACCAAGCATGAGCGTGTCCGGGAACTGCGGCGCCAGCGCCATGAGCAGTCCGCCGAACCCACACCCCACATCAGCCCACTCGACGAGCTTGTCGCCTTTGCTCGCCCCCGGCTCAAAGTATTTGGGGTAGTGCACGCTCCAGTCCATCTGGTCTGGCGATTGTGGGCTGGAGTCAGTTACCTCGTTGCGCCCACGAACCCACTAGTCCAGAACATGGTCATTGAAGACGTTCGCGTGCGCGCGCTGCCGGTAGAACCGTTTCTGTCGTCAGTTCGTCCTAGCGCCAACGCACTTGAGGCTCCTTGAGGAGCACCTCAGTCGTGGCCATCTGCTCGTGTGTGCGCTTGGACATGGTGTGGATTGTTGTGGACGGCGCCATGACACAAGGAAGGCGGTAGGGTGCGGAGTGAACTTTCGGGCATCACGTGACACTTCACGTGGCATTTTGTCTGTCGAAACCTCCGTCTCCGAAGCTCGACTTCTTTGTCGCGATATCGCGGATCGACTTTGCCGGAATTCGACTTCTGAGCACCTACATCGCCTTGTCGCCCCTCATGTTCCGGCGGCTTTACAGCTCGATCCCGGAGCGCATCGCCGAGGCCAAGCCGCGCGCGCCGACGCGCGGCCGCGCCCCGCGCCCCGTACGCCTTTCGAAGCGCATCGTTGCGCCTTCACCGCGCGCCGAGCCCGCCACCCACGGCCGCCGCCTGCGGCGCGGCCAGCTCGCACGCACCGACCTCGTTTCGTCCCAGGGTCCCCGATTCGAGCCCATCACTCTCTACCCGCTGCAGGCGGGGCTGCACCTCGGGCTGACGCCCGCGCACATGCCCCTCCCCCTCCCCCTCGGCATCAAGGGGTACACGAGCCCATCGTCGCGCTCACCCGAGGCGCTTTTCGAGAAGCCCGCACCCCCTAGCGCGCTCTCGGCGCTTGAGGCGATGGAGGCGCCGACCTCCTCGACCGTCGGAGAACACCTGCGCGTGTCGCGCGCCTTCGCGCACCCTTCCCTCCGGCACCATCTCGCGGCGCCCGGAGGGCCGAGCCTATCGGCCCTTGGACTTGACGAGCACGTCACCTCCTCTCTCGACGCTGCGGCCACGAAGCACGCGCGTGCTGCCGAGGACGTGTGGCAGGCCGCGCTCGCGCGGCTGGGCGAGCGCCCGCCAGCGCCAGTGGAGGCCGCGGCCGACCCTAAGCTCGCGGACGCACTTGCCGGGCTCAACGGTCTTCTTGCCCGTCTTGAGAGCGCCGAGGACATCGTCGTCGAGATGGACAGCGTGAAGCGCAAGCGCAAAAAGAAGATGAACAAGCACAAGTACAAGAAGCGCAGAAAGGCGACACGCGCCATCCGCAAGCGTCTCGGCAAGTAGGCGCACTTTACACTAGCACCGATCATATGCATGTTTGCGACAGCAGGCGGGCGGCGTCATCAACAGAGCCGTGGAGGAGGTAAGTGCGCGGCGCGAGAGAGCGGGAAGTGGAGGCGTAGCAGGACTGTCGAGTTGCTGAGGACGGCGCCTGTAGGATTGCAGCCTTGTGGCGCGCACAAGAGGAGACACGCAGATGACGCGGAAAACAACACACCACCCATCACTACATCGCATCTACTTGTCTATTCGTCAAGTCTACTTCGGCACCGGCACCGGCAAGTCGGTCTTCATGGCCCACCAGCGGGTGTGGATGCCTCGTATCTCGTCCTCGAGATACGCATGCGACATGAACCCGAGATGGCGATAAAGTGCTTCCTGTTGTAAGCGCGGTCGTGCGAGCGACGATCGCAGGCGCAAGGCGTGCTCAACGCCTCCTCTAGCGGGTCCTATACACTGAGCGCTGCTCATCCTCCTTCTGTCGCTGCCTCCCGCCCTCCGTTCCTCGCCCCCCTCCCCTTTCCAATCCCCACGGCCTCGGCTGTACTGGCGCCCCCGCGCCCCAACTCACATTCTTCTCCGTCATAGTCAACAGACAAACCGGCACGCCCTCGGCCCTTGCCTTGTCCACGATATGGCGTATCAGCGCGCTCCCCACGCCCCGGCCGCGTGCGCACGTCTCCACGCCCAGGTGCGAGACATAGTACATGTCCGTGACGCGGCGTGGGCCGAACGCGCGTTCTTCAATGTCGTAGAAGATGGCGAAGAGCTTGTGTCAGCGTCGCGGGCGTCGCGAGAGTCGCGAGAGTCGCGAGAGTCGCGAGCGGGGCGAGCGGGCGAGCGGGCGAGCGCCCAGAGCGTGAGGGAGGGAGAGGCTCACCTTCTTCGCAGCGTCCCGCAGCGCGTCGTCCTTGATCATGGCGTCCACGGCCTCGGTGTGCGCGCCCTTGGCGTTCGGACTGGCGTCAGCGAGCTGTCCATCTCGGTCCTGTCTCATTCCACTTCTCTCGCCCTCCATTCCCTGTGTGCTGCATACCGCCCCCACTTTACTCACGAAACGCCGTGCGCAATCCCAGGCGGCTTGACGAGCATGACGCCGTGCACGTCCCCCTCCTCGCCCGCAACATAGCACTCGAGGTCCAGCACCGCCGTCGTGATGCTCGCGCGCAGGCGGGCGGCTTCGAGCACACTGTCGCCTGCGTTGATGGCTGCGGAGATATGGTCCCCCCCGAACGAGCGGGGGAGGGAGGCGCACGCCGCCGCAAAGTCGGGCGACGAGAGGGACGTCACGCGCCGGATGAACATGATGGGCGATGCATGAGCTGTGTGCGCTGAGACGGCTTTAGTTTGTTGACGCCCACCGAGGTCGTGAGGCCGGACATGGCCGCCTCGCTTCGCCCGCCAATGCGTTAACATGGAGATGGCTTGGCGCTAATGTCGTTTCGGGTCGGTCTTCTTCGTTGATCATCGCTAATAACGGCCTCGACTTGCTTCTGAAGCCCCTCGCCTTTACTGCCCCGCCGCAGTTGCGCGCCACACGCATTAATCTATAGTTACATCTATCTACCTACACTCTAGCTCGACTAGACTTGGTCCACGCCTAGCCTCTAATCGTCCTTTTTGCGAGCCGTACTCCGCCTCCGGCCTGTAGGCCCGAGCGCGGGGCTTTTCTGCACGCTCTTCTTCTTCGTGTCAATGTCCATCTCCTCGTCCTCGTCGCCGAGGTCGTCTTCTTCGCCGTCGAGCATGTCCATTTCCAACAGGTCCTCGTCCTCGTCGCCCCGCACCTCTTCCGTCTCGCCAAGACGCAGGCGCGTTACCTCGGCCCGCAGCTTGTCGATGTATTCGTCGCGCTTGTTGACCTTGTCGTGCAGGCGGACAATGTACTCGTTTGAGAACTTGAGGAGCGCGACCTTGCTCACGCCGCGGTTGGGGTTGTCGTCTGGCACGAGAGATGACTTGGGAAGCAGCCGCGGCGCAGATGATCCGGGAATTGGCTCTCCCGACTCCGGATCCAACGCCTCCGTGTTGATAGGCGGAAGGAGGAGACGTAATTCGTCAAAGCCCGCCTTGAGCGAGTCTCGGCGCTTCTGCTCTGCGGCCTTGTGTGATGTTCGCCGCGTCTCAGGCTCAATTGCCCCGGCTGCGGCGGCTGCGCCCTTTGTTGCCGCGCGCACACCGACGCCCGGCGGGCGGATCGCGAGGGAACGCTTGGCCGCGGCCGTCCCGCTGGCTGGCACCAGTCGGCTACCGCGCCGGGGAGGCTGGGGCGCAAGGGCACTTGTGGCTTTCTTGGCTGCTGCTCTTGGCGGTGGTGGCGCCGAAGTTGAAGAAGTCGAAGCAACGGGCTCCTCGGGTGACTCAGCCGCCTCCTTGCTCAAGTTCATTAAGCTTGCTGGCGTCATGGGTATCTTTGGTCTACCTTGCGAAGGGACGGGCGGCGGCGGCATGATCTGCGCAAGGTCGACTGGAGAGGGCGTAGAAGCCTGGGACGATGCGCCCCCAAGCATCTGAGGCTGGACGCCACGGTTGTCGATAGCAGCAGGCGGTAGGAAACCGCTGCCGCCGCTTCCGCTCGACATCTTGAACGCCATCGGTGAAGTTGGCACTGACGTAGACGCGCCGCGGACGTGCGAGCGGTGGTTTGTCGGCTTCATCATGGGAGAAGGGCGCGACTTGGCAGGCATGGATCGATGAGGACCTGCACCACTCGATCCGACGGCGGGCGACGAGTTCGTGTTGCTTGGCACAATGACCGGCGAGCTGTGATACCCGCCGCTGGCGTTGGTGCTCACGTTGGCACTCACATCCGCGCTCGAGCCCGCAGAGCCGTCCAAAATTCCCTGCAGAGCATCGAGGTAATCGGGATCGTTCATGTCGGGATTTTGCGGGCCGAGGGCAGGCGAAAGAGTCTGGTTCGCGCCACCCGACGAACCCACAGGGTTCAGAGCAGGCGACGACAGCGCAGAGAGCGGGTGCGGGGCTCGGTGCTGCTGGCTGTGCAGATGCGGCGAGAGGTGCTGGGCAGCAGCGCGCAAAGCGGCGGACCGACTGACAGCGGGCTCGAGCGCCGGAGAAGTCAGCGGTGAGAAGTAACTGCCGGGGGAAGGTGTGGAGACAGTCCCCGTGGAATGGTTGCCATTGACGCCACCTGGCGTGAGACCCGACCTTCCCTGCGACTGGGAGTGAGACGGGGCCTGGGAGTGCGGGTGCTGATGCGACTGCTGCGGCGCAAGGTATGGCGACCCCGATGCAGCAGCAACAGCAGCGGCCGTAGCCTGAAGCTGTCTCTGCTGCTCCTGAAGGAGAGCGAGCTGCTCCTGGAACTGGCGCTGCTGAAGCTGAAGCTGCTCGAGTGCGGCGCGGTTGATATGAGCATTATGAGCAGCGTCACGGCCGCCCGCGCCAAACGCGACTTGGGCGACCGGCGACGCATAGTTTGACGGATTATGGTGGGAGAGAGCAGGCGAAAGCAGGGGCACAGCGTTAAACTATTGTTAGCCCAGTCGCGGGTCGTGCACGTACGTTTTCCTTGCCCTCGATCATGACGCCGAGCTGCATTGGGCTCATCAAGTCCATGCGCATCTCTGCTGGGATGTCGCCGCTGGGGCCTGGGCGTTAGCTTTTCGGTTTGTTCTTGTTCGTGAGACGCACCGGGCGTGAGAACGCCGTAAGGGCCGTTCGACACGCTATATGTGCGCGGGTGGATCGGGCGCCGCTCGTCGGGCAACTGACCCTGTGACGAGCCGCTGTCCTGCGCCGAGGACTGGGCAGGAGGTGACGTGAGGAACATTTGGGCCATGGCATTATACGGCGAGGTGGGGTTGGTGGCGGCGACAAAAGGCGACTGCATGTGAATGGACTCGAGCTATAAGGAAGGTCAGTTGGGTCGGTCAAACGTCATGATGCTAGGAGCTGCGCACCTGATGCTGAAGTATTCCGGCCTGAACGGCGTCGTATGCGGCGCTGCTCATGTCCATGTTCATAAAGTCATGGGCGTCAAGGGGCGCTTCGCGTCCGTCGGCATGGCTGTGGCTACGGCTGTGGTGTTGGTGCTGATGTTGTTGTTGTTGGTGGTGGTGGTGACTGTGGGTAGTCTGCTGCTCGCCGCTTCCGCTTCCGTGAACATTTGGCGAGTGATCAACGTCCATGGCCGAGTCTCGGCTTTGGGTGGCGAGACGGTAGCCTTGCCTGCTCGAGGGGCGCGAGGGAGCGGCTTCGAGGGCAATGGGCGAGGGGTCGTCGAGGGGTACGTACTCTGGCGACGCCTTTTGGGAGGGCGCGCGCGAGTCGTACTCGTGCGACTGTGAGCCTTGGTGGTGATGAGAGTGAGGGGCTGAAGTGTGTGCGTGCGGCGAGTCGTGGTGGCTGTGGTGGTGGTGGTGATCTAACGATGTCCCGTCGAGACCGGCGAGTGCGAAAAAGTCGAGCGAGGAGAGGTAGGCCTGGCTGCTCGACGTGGGCGAGAGCGCGGCGGCGTTTGTCTCCATCGGAAGGCGCTCCGGTGTGAGTGAGTGGGTGATTGTCCGGAGCGTGTTGGAGGGGCTCGGGGGAGGGAGGAAGAGGAGGAGGAGGAGGAGGAGGAGTGAGTGAGTGATTGAGTGAAGGAAGGAAGGAGGGTGGCCGCGAGTGGCAGTGGTCGCGGCTGCTTGAAGACAAGTGACGGAGGGCAGGGATGGGGACGCCGGGGGATGAGGTTTCCGAGTGCGAGAAGCAACGAGGGTGGTGTTGTTGGTGTCGTGTGAGTCGCGGGGGATGGATGGAAGAGGGGAGAGAGAGGAGAGAGAGATGAGAACAAGATATGGAGACGCGGATGGATGAGGAGGAGGATGCAAGCGACGGAGAGCGGAGGGCGATGGATGGCGCGCTTGCTGGGAGCTGGGAGCATCCAGGGTGCCTCGACGACATTGGGGTGCCACCCTGCGCGCTACAAGCGGGGGCAAACCCATCAGGGGGCGGGGCAACCAAGACCACAGCCTTATCCAGGGCTCTCAAAGGGTGTCCATCGAGCGAACCCGGCCAACTCACCCACCTTACTATGCATCGCCGACGCCGACCCCGTCCATCCAGTACTTCCGCGTACTTCCGCACGCCATCAGTTGCATCACGCATCGGGGCAAGCGGCGAGCACAAGGCGGGTCTCGCCGCAGAGCATGTGAGCGATGCGCGTGCATGTGGTAGGCACGGCATGCCGGCGGCAAACTGCACAGCGAGCGCGTGAACGCACGCGCTCGTATGAGCGCGTTCAACCAGAATTTTCTGACACACAACGTACAGATGCCGAGACGGCCGAGACGAGGTCGTGCTTGGCTTTACAGCTTTCCAAGACATGCCTAGACATGTGATGGAATTTGTTCCATATTCCATGGAGGTGGGGCTACTTACAGTATTAGTTCGGGTTACTTGGGCTGCTTGGGCGGATCCCCGGCATCTCTGAAAGAAAGCCTGAGGCACAGATGACACCGGTCCGTCCACTACAAACTCGCGCGCGATCGCGCACTCGCGTAATCGCTCAAGCTCGCAGGCTCCCAATATGCCCGCCGGAGAACCGGAGGAACTCGGTCAAGCGCGGCTAATTTCTGCTCTCTGATAGCACGACTCGACCAGCTACGACCACTAGTCTTACACAGATGTGATGGAATTATCGAGTTGCGCAACTGGAAAATGGAAAATACTCAATTCATCGGCCCTACGCCCTACCACGCCACATTTCTTGGATCTCGGAGGTGGCGTCGGCTTCGCACTAGGGACGCCATTCAGCGGGCGGACATACATGGACAGTTTGGGCCTTGGGCATGCGGAATCCTACTGCGCGCCACTCCGCACCTCCCCTCCCAGGCCACAAGGCCACCAGCAGCAATCGAGAAACCAAAATTCTGGGTCACGGTGCGGCATGTTTGGTCGTCCGACACGCCCGACCGGATGCTTGGCCGCTCCTCCCGTCAGTAGACTGGCTTACCGAGCGCGTGACCAGTGCTTGCTCGGGTGACCGGTCGAGCGGGTGAGCGGGTGCGCTACAGCGTTGTCGCCTGAGCAAGGAAGTCTTTGGACTTTCGGCCTACTGCCCCGGCCCTTGCCTCTTGGCTCAATGATGATTGCCCAGCAGACCCAGTATTGCCCCCCCTTCATGCACTCGACAAGACTAGACCATCTAGGACAACTAGACAACGTTCTAAACCGGAAGTCTTCGTCTCTCTCCATCTCTCTGCCTCCCTCGCTACGTTGCTCGTCTCTCTGACTGGCTTTACTTTCGTGTCTCTCTCTCTCCCATTATCCTCCCTTCGGTACGTGACTCGCCGCCAAACTTTAGCTGCCCCGCTCGCAAATTAGAACAACTCGACACTGGCGTTAGCCCACCCCAACCACATCTTGCAGCTCACAAGTTGGAGGGGAAGTCGGTGCGGCCCGGCATGCGGCGCGACTCGTCCAGCAGCTCGCCGGACCACCACCCGTCCTCGGGCGTGCTCGTGACAGCGATAATGTCGTCCGCTTGGAAGTCAAACTCGACGGGGCTCTGTGCCTGGTACCCATACACCGCGCGCACATCTGGAGTCAGCAAGGTCGGCGAATCGGCAAATCACGCACAGAACAAGATTGGCCGCCCGTCCGTCGCCCACTGCCCCGTTGGCGCGGGGTTCGAAGGCGGCTGAGCTGGAATCGGGCTCGGCGTACCCCGAGCCTGCTGGGGCTGCTGAATCTGCTGGGGCTGCTGGGACTGCTGGGACTGCTGATGGTACGCCGGCTGCGGCGACGGCGTACGGTACATCTGCTGCTGCGGCTGTTGCTGGAGTTGCGCTTGTGGCTGCGGCGAAGGAGCCCGGTACTGCTGAGGCTGCGGAGACGGCGCGCGGTACTGCTGTGGCTGGGGCTGAGGCGACGGGACGCGGTATCCCCCGTCATAGCCATTTTGTTGCTGGGAAGCCTGCCGAGGCTGCTGTTGCTGCTGCTGCCGACCACCGTAGGAGCCCATATACGACGCATTTGACCCCGAGTACGAGTGCTGTGGGTAGGGCGACTGCTGTTGGGCCGTCTGCTGCTGCTGAACTGGCTGCTGGCCGTACTGGTTGTATTGCGGCTGCTGTTGCATGGTCTGCGGAGCTGGCTGGGTCGGCGGTTGCTGGGCGTACTGGTCATACTGAGACTGCGACTGCCGCTGACCGTAAAGCTGCTCCGCTCGCAATGGCGGGGCTGTACCCAAGGGTTGCAGCTCATACTGAGGTTCTGGTGACTGCTGCGGCTGCGGCTGCTGCTGCTGGGGGAGGCCGGCGTACGCCTGCTGCGAGATAGAGCCAGTGCTCTGCGACGGTGCGACGTGACCGAACGAGCCCGACATGCGAGGCGGGTAAGACTTGTCGGGCGGTGGCGACTGCGTCTGAGGCGCGCCAAAGCTCGGCACTTGTCCCCACTGCTGCTGCTCCAGAGATGTCTGGCGTTGCTGCTGCTGCTGCTGCGGTTGCTGCTGAGGCTGTTGCGACAACCGCTGCGACTGCTGGTACCTCTGACGGTACTGCTCAGCCATCGAATCTTGGGCGACGCTACCGCTCGCGTCGAGCGCAATACCGAGGTTGGGAGGACCCAACGCGCTGTGAGGATTCGCGCCGGGGCCGGGCGACGGTGAACGGAAGCTGTGCGGGCGCGGAGAAGGGCTGCGCGCAGCGTTCCCGGCGCCGATGCCCGCGAATGCTTCACGTGGCACAGCGTCCTCCTGTTGGCCCGGCGGCGGAACGCCCACAACAGAGTTTGCACGCGAGTGGGAAGAGTACACCGATGCTGGGCGGGAGCGCGAACGCTCGCCAGGGAATGCTTGGCCGTAGCGTGGGAGGACGTCGTCGGCGATGTGGGTCGCGGGCTGGGTCGGAGGTTGCATGAACGCCGGAGAGGGGGCGCGATTAGGCGCGGGCGATGTCGGGCGCGATGTCGGGTGCGCCCCCACCACATCGTCCGCGTAGTTGTTATAATTGACGCTCTGGCGGTTGATGGATCGGTTCTCAAACTCCGCCATCGACTTGGCGAGCTGGGCTGCAGTGTGGCCCTCCCGAGGTGGGATCAGGCCGCTGCTACCCATGCCACCCTGTGCGCTGCCGGCAGGAGCTTGATACGACTGCTGACGACCGTGGTTACTTGGTGCAGGGGAGGGGGCGCGATGCTGCGACACGCTGCTGCCTGCAACGCCACTCCCGGGGCGACCGGTGACTGAGTAGGTTGATTCGGCACGCCGCTGCGACGGCGCACGGCGCACGTTATTCGGCCCGGGTGGGTTGTGGCGCAGCTCAGCCAACGCTCGCGCCATCGGGTCCTCCTGATCCTGCACATCTCGGGCACTTGGGCTGGGCGGGCCTCCCGACTTGGCTGAATCGACGGAGAACGGTGCGGGAGAGACTGTATCGTTGCTTCTACTAAACGCCGCAGCCCCAGTTACAGCACCGATGCCAGCCGCGGCCCCCCCGACTGCGGCCATGCCGGGAAGAGGCATGCCGAAGGGCGGCCTATACCCAGTGTCCTTGGCGGGCGCCGAGGAGGGCGTGGGGTTATCAGTCAGCTGGTAGCTGCGCACGGTTGGGGGCGTGAACTTGTCTTCTTTGGTCGGAGGAACCGGTGGAAGCTCCGGAGAGTATTGGCCCTGGTTTCCGGAGCGGGGTGCGTTGAGCTCTTCGGGCATCGGCGCGGTAGCTGGAGCCGGCGCAGGTGACTTGACAGCAGTCTCGATGGCGGAAGAAGGTGCAGCTGAGGTTGGCGCCCCGCTCACAGCCGACTGCGGCTCTGACTCGGGAACCTGCCTCGGCACGGGCTGAAGCGGCGGCCTGTCGGACTGGCGGCGAAACTGGGCATGGTGGAAGCCTGGCGGCGCGGGAGCATCGCCGAGGCCATAGTTGATGAAGCGCGGAGGATCCGGGATCCGGCCGCCTGTCCCCCAACCCTTGACGAAAAAGACCATGTCGTTGGGGGGCTCAAACTGCTCGAGCTTCTCACGAACACGCTCGCACGACTGCTGTCAGTCTTCTCGCCACTTGTGACTATACTTACGCTGTCGTCCTCGACGCAAACCTGTGACACGGCGTTGGCGTACGCCCACACGACGTCTTTGGTCATGCTGAGGCGGTCCTCCTCGAGGTCTTGCACAACATCGCAAAAGCCGCGCCACTCGGTCTCCCACTTTGCGCTTGTTTCCTCTAGAACTCTGACAAAATTGCGGAAGTCCTGCTCCTCGCTCTGAATGCTTCGACGAACCTTGTCCATCTTGCTCTCGAGCTCGTCGCGCTCGCGGCCCTGTACGAGCTGCATGTTTGCCGTGTACGAGTTTAGTTTGAGGCAGTCCTTCTCGTACCGGTCGCGTGCCTGATAGTGTGAGCTCACTCCATGTTCTGGGCCCACCTTTGCGACATGAGCCTCCTGGAGGCCCTTGCTGCGCCACGACTTCTCGATGGAGGCTTGCGGCCCCTTCTTGAGAGTCGCAAGGCGGTTACCAAACTCGGCGGTGGGCTGCTCGACGGCTGTGTGAATCTCGGAGCTCATCTGAAGGTGATACGAAGCCTGCGCTGCCGTCTCCATCTGAACGGTCTGCAGGGCGTGATGCAGGTCGCCGATCTCATTGTTACCCAGCGGCATCTTGGCAAGCTTGCTAAGGCGCTTTGCGTAGTCTTCCTCGATGGATGCGCTGGCTGTCAGGACCTGTTTGCAGATAGAAAGAGCGATTTGTAGACGTACCGCTCCTTCCAGAATGCCTTGAGGTCGTCGACTGTCTTTGCGGCGCTGCGGAGACGGGTCATAATAACCTCATAGCCTCGGTCGCCTGGCCCCCAGAAGGCATTGCAGAAGTCGAGCGAGGGGTCGGTGAGGTCGTCCTCGTGAGCCTCGCCGTTCTGCCCATGGTAGAAGCGAGAAAGGGAGGCGGCGGATTGTGAACGCTCGTGTCCCGGTGGAGTAGGACTCTCGGCCATGGCGCCGGGAATGTGCATATATTGTGGATCTGCGAGTGAAGCGGTTTGGGTGTGTCCAAGCGCCTGCCGCTGCTGCAGAATAAGAGAAAGAGTCGGGATGTGGGAGTCTCAAGATGGACGGGATAGAGATGGGATGGAGGAGAATGAATGATGACGGCGTGGACCGAGGAGTGATTCAGAGTGGAAGAGATGCATGTTGTGGGCTTGCGGGTGGCTGTGGGCGTGTAGGGCGGCGGGTCCTTCCCCCGACCCTGGGTGCCATGTTGTGGTAGGATCCGTGCCTAGCCTCCCTCCACACGTCGTCATTTTGATACCATTTCCTTGTTCAAAACAACCCCACTTGACCACTGACACGTCATTTTTACTGGGAGAATATGCATTCCGCATCTCGGCCCACCCCAGATTCCCAGCGAGGTCCCACCGCTCAACTTGCGCCGGCAAGGACGACCAACAACTCATACATGGTGCATGCTATGTATACACACCGAGGGAATCCCCTAGCGCGCCCAGTGCCGCCGCTTCTGTTTCCACTCATGTCATCAGGCTCATCTAACCAGGAGGGGAGGAGAGAGCCGGGTACAAACCAAAGCGGAATGGCCGGTGGTAGACGCGGACTTCCCTGCAGCCTGACGCGTAGGCGCGAATACGCGGCTATGAGGAGCGCGAGAAGGGCGAGTCAACGCCGGAACGCCGGAAACCCCCCAACATCCCCAGACATCGTTCTCTCTCGATCTCTCGATCAGCGCTCCTTCCCTCATCCCTCACCTGCATCTGCTAAACTCAACAGGAGGGTCATGGTCAAGCCATAGACAGGTAGGCTCCCTCTGACATCTCTCATCTCCCTTCTCCCATCGCCCACTTCACCATGCCTCTCCTCTTCCCAAAACTGCCGGTGCATCAAGTCTTCGGCGCTAACACGGATGTGCGTTACCCTCCGCCCCCTCCCTCCCGACCTCACTGATGACAACAGGTCGGCAAGACGCTGCTGACCACTGCCCTCATCCGTTCCGCTGCCAGCCGCATGCAGGGCGATGGAAAGATCTTCTACCTCAAACCCGTGTCCACTGGCCCCGAGTCGGATTCGGACGAGGCGTGTGTGTGATCAATCGGCCTCCAACTGACTCTAGCTTCGTGCGGAGGCACACCTCGCCATATTCCCATATCGTCAACACGCGATGCTTGTACCAGTACCGCGAGCCAATGAGTCCGCACCTAGCCGCCCAGCTTGCACCCGACCTTCCCTTTCCAAAGAGCAACGACGTGCTCGCTCGCGGCGTGCAGGACTACATCCGCGCCGCGTCTCTCTCTGGCCCAGGCCACGTCTTCGTGGAGACGGCGGGCGGAGTCCACTCCCCCGCCCTGCATCCTCCACACACGCAAGCTTCATCACTGCGCGCGCTGCGCCTCCCAGCCATCCTCATCGCCTCCCCGCACCTCGGCGGCATCTCCACCACTCTCTCCTCGTACGAGTCGCTTCTCTTGCGCGGGTACGATGTCGCCGCAGTCCTCTGCCTGCATGATGCGTATTATCGTAACGACGACTTTCTGCGACCGTATTTCACCGAGCGCGGCATCGGGTTTTGGGACGTCGCGCGGCCGCCAGAGAAGCGCGGGACTGTCGATGAGGACGCCGCGCGTCTGGGCGAATGGTATGCTTCCGTGGAAGCCGAGGTGGACGGGGAGGAAGGTGGTGGAGTGGGCGGCGCTGTAAAGCACCTTGAGGAATCGCATGACGCGAGGGTCAAGAGAATCGAGGGGATGCCGCGGCGTACCCTCGACACTGTGTGGTGGCCGTTTACGCAACACGGACTCGTGAACCGCGAGGACCAAGTGATGGTGATTGACTCTGCGCATGGCGATCACTTCGATGCGTACTATGCCCAGGCCTCAATGGCACCAGATTCCTCTGCGGAAACGGAGGGTGGGGAGCAGGAGAGTCTCCTCGAGCCCTACTTCGACGGCGCCGCCTCCTGGTTTACCCAGTCGCACGGGCACGCTTCTGAGCCTTTGACGCTCGCTGCGGCGGCGGCGGCGGGGCGATACGGGCACGTACTCTTCCCGTCGGGCACGCACGCGCCCGCTCTGGAGCTGGCGGAGAAGCTCCGATCGACGGTCGGGAAGGGGTGGGCCGATCGTGTGTTTTACAGTGACAACGGAAGTACGGGAATTGAAGTTGCACTGAAAATGGCTCTCCGAGCCTCGGGGCGGCGATATGGCTGGGAAGGGGAAATTGGGGGCGATGTTGGTGTCCTGGGGCTCCGGGGTGGCTACCATGGGGACACGATCGGAGCCATGGACGCAACACCGGCGAGCACGTTCAACACCGCTGTGGATTGGTGAGTCTCAGGGAGCGAGAGAAGACTGACGAAAGGTACAAAGGTCGAGGTCACTGGTTCTCACCCCCTGCGGTGTTGGTTCAGAACGGCGTTGCGACTGTATCTACGACCGCGCCAGACAGCTGGGCGCCGCTCCCATCCTCCACGCCTACAAAGGACGGTTGGGAGTTTAGCTTCGGATCCCTCGGCGCGGTGTACGACCTTACTGCGCGCCGCGCGTCTCCCATGGCGACGTATTACTGCCAACACATCCGCAGCACGCTTGAGCGCCTAGTCTCTGAGGGACATCAGTTTGGTGCCCTCGTCCTTGAGCCGACATGCCTCGGCGCAGGCGGCATGGTGTTCGTGGACCCCCTGTTCCAGGCTTGTCTCGTAGATGTGGTCCGGGCGAGCGCGGATCTATTCTCAGGCGAGCCCGATGGCAAGGCGTACGATGCAGCGCTGGCAGATCTCGGGGAGCGGGACTCGGCCGCGTGGCAGGGCGTGCCAGTGATCTACGACGAGGGTGAGCTCTCTCTCCCGGACGCCGCTGACGCTTACAGTTTTCTCGGGCCTCCACCGCTTTGGCTACCATTCCGCGGCCTCCGTCCTCGGCACGACCCCAGACATATCTGTGTACGCCAAGATCCTCACTGGTGGCCTCCTCCCTCTGTCCGCGACGCTCGCGAGCAGATCGATTTTCGATGCCTTCCTTTCTGAGCGCAAGGTCGACGCACTGCTGCATGGCCACAGTTACACTGCGAATCCTATCGGGTGCGCTGTCGCGCTCAAAGCGCTTGAAATGATTGCGGACGCTGAGGACGCAAACACATGGGCCGCGCCCAAAGCGGACTGGGCGACGGAGCGGTGGAGCTTCTGGAGGAAGGCGTTTCTCGACGATGTGTCGCGTGCCAACGGCGTGCGCGGCGCCATGGCCATGGGTACCGTACTCGCTATCGAGCTGCAGGACGCGGAGGCTGACTATGCGTCGCATGTCGCGCAGGCGTTCCTGGATCGCCTGCGCGCGCAGCGTGTCGATGGCTTCCGCATCCACTCGCGCCCGCTCGGCAATGTCGTGTACATCATGACGTCGCTGTTTACTCCCGAGGGGACGGTGCGTGCCATGGAGGCTGCAATCTTGCGGGAGCTCAAGTAGGTGCCAGAGCGATGCAAGGGTGACAGGTGTGGCAGCCGCATATGGGGCCGACGATGGGCTGACAGACTCGAGGGATGGAGTAGCCGCGGGCGGGTGGAGCCGAGCCGGTGGGAGGGATCCAGCGGATGGGACTTGCCCATGTGCCAGAAAATGATGACTGGGCTCATTGCATCATTACCGAATTTGGGCTGCATGCTGCATGCTGTATATGCAGTGTGTCCTACGCCGGCGATGTCGGGCAGGATGGCTATGTGGAAACATCGTATCACCCCTCATGCCTTCGTTCCCCGCTCAAAACCATCGCGTTTCCCAATGTACCCGTCCTTATGCCCACTTTCAATGGTCGCAGTGGAAAATACTCTGATTCTCCTCGCCATGTGTCGGTCCTGCATCATATCCAGATGTACCATCTAATGTATGAGACATCTACGTCAGAGACTTACTGTAACGATTGTTTCATCGGTATACGTTTCCTACCAATAGCATGACTCAGAGCTTGCCCCACCGGACTCGAGCGCGACAGTAGCCATCACTCAGTAAGGACAGGCGTAAATATACTGTGAGCTAATCGGAATATATTCATCACACTGAGTACTGACAAGAGTCACTCGACGGTCTTGTTCTTTATCCTTGTAATTACCTGCAGTGACTACAATTCAGTCTTGTGGTCAGTGTCATTGGCGCCGTTCGTGGCACCACTACAGTCTAGGTGATGCGTAATCTGGCCGCAGAAACACTTAGACGGTGGAATCGCCTCCAAACCCGACTTTGAGGTGAATGTAATGAAGTGGGCGTTGCGGGATATATCAAGGTCTTGGAAGGGATCCAATGTCACGGGTCGAAGATGTCGCTAAAGACGGCAAATGTCACCTCGTTGGGTAGGCGCGGGCCAAGCATGAGAAAAGCAAGGAGCAAAGGCAAAGGTGACTGAAGAAAGATGGGAGTAGGAGCGTTCGACACTGAAGGGAGGCAAAGGAAGTCGACGGCTCCATGAATCAAGGATGGGTGTGCATGGATAGTTGTTGGCGAGTGCCACAAGCGGTGTAGGGTGCTAGATGACGTAAGCTCTCGACTTGAACCGTGTGACATGTTTGGTTCCAAGAACACCTCAGCACACGTAACCTTTCAGCCGAGGCTCTTGTCCACGAAAAGAATCGTGCATCCACCATCCACTCGTTCTCACTTCTTCAACAACATTAGTGCTCGCCCACGCTTCATCATTTCGACCATATGTCCAACAAACGCCCCGGTTCACCCGTTGCGAAACTCCCACTTAAGCCGCCGTCGCTGAGCATACAACCGTCCCCTGTTCCTCAGTCTACGAACAACAGCTCGCCTTCCACCAACAATTCAGAGTGCGCAGAAGGACTAATTGTCCGAACGTACGACTATGGGCACCCAGAACCTGGCACCGAGAGGTGGAACTTCTCTTGGCCTCCTCCGGCTCAATTCCCGCGTCGCAACTGGCGCACAGCAGTATGGTCGCCACCCAACATGACCGCAAACTACGTCACGCCGGAAGTCTTCCAGCTTGCTGGCAAGTTCGCAAGTGTGGCGGTACAGAGCGCACTTGACGGAGAGACTCCATGGTCTGAAGTCGGGACGAATGGCATCTACCTGGCCCTCGTTGATCTCATGCTGCAGTGGTGCGCTTTCTCTCCTTCCCCACGCAACCCAAGCTGATTTCAGCCGTGACCATCTTCGAACTGAGACGTGTTATGCGTCAATTCGAAGCGCCACCGATCCATCAGAGCCTGGGTTCCTGACGTACCCCCAGTGGCGGCGCAAGTGTAAAGCTGAAATGGAGCGCATCTTCAGCCTGGTGAGGATCCATTCTGCAGTCCTGACGTCAGGCTCAAGCTGTCGTTCCTGAAGGTGTCATGCAGGAGATAACGCTTTCCAAGTGCAAGCACTACTGCACCGCCGCCATCCTCTGGACCTTCGGTGGCGACATGGACGCCGGCAGATGGCTGTTTGACGACTCGTTTTTACCCCCGCTCCGACATCTCAAGAGGATCCCGGTGTCCTTTTTGGGGCAGTACGACGCGACGCCTGAGCAACTCGAACGGTACGGCATGCGTCGTGTGACGGGGCGGATTTCGCTCAATACGTGCGAGGGTGACATCCTGCGTCGCGCCGCAGCGAACCGGAAGCGGTATGGGGAGGCTCAACCCCTGCCGGCCGGCTTGTCTGGCTTACCCCTTGCCACACCTGTGCGAGCGCAGACAGGCCGCATCCCCGGAACGAATTTGGTCGTCGTCCCTCTGCAGCGACGTCGGCCTGCGTGAGCTCAGCCCGCCACCCAACTGTTGCACATCTGGGCGCCCCTCTCCTGCCGCGCTCGCCGTACTGATCAGCGCTTGTGTGTGTATGTATGTATGTATGTAGTGTATGCGTGTCAAGATCCAGGCAAGGTTCGGAGATCGTTAGGCCATGCACATCCTTGTCTCCATGGGCCAAGCGTCTATGGCTCCAAGGCCAATCAGACCCCGCGGGCCGATATAGTCGTACTGGAGGCTCGGTAGAGCGTGCATTTATTCAAGGCCTGCCCGTAAGCGCAGCGCACAATACTAACAACATGGACTTTCCTTCCTGGAGCCTCGTCACTGAAACGGAAGTTGCTGGTCCTTCGTTGTTTGTTTCACTGGTTACTCGTTGATTTCGGACGCCTCGGCTCCTACTGCTGTCGAAGCGAGCTGCCATGTGCACATATCGCTAACATCTGGACAGAGTCTGCAGTACATGGGGATGCTGTTGAGAAGCTAGGAATCGCATCCCCGACCCACAATGACGGGTTGCTGCGCTCCAAAACTCCGCAGGTCCGTTCACTCCAACCCCTCGACACATCCGTCTAGGCCCGCGTGATCATACGAGGGAAGCAGCAGCCTGAATGCATTGCATATGACGATTAGGCAGTGGCGCTGGCATCCGTGGCAGGTGAGGGTGTGTCTTCCGCATCGGCGGGGGTGATGGCTGGTGCTGGTACGTCTTTTGCAGGGGTGGAGGGGGCGTCCTTTGCGGTTTCGGGAGTATCGGACCGTGCCTCTGATACCTCCTCTGTCGGCGTCTCTGTCGCCTGCGAGTCTTTGGCGGGCGTTGCGGGCGGTGCGTCTTTCTCTGGCGGGAGCGGGGGCGAGGGAGGGGGCGGGGACGTCTTCCTTTCGACTTCAGGCTCAGGCTTGACGGGCGAAGCTGGCCGCGAGGCCGGCTTAGAGGGGAGTGGCGGGGGGTCATCGGATACACCCGCCTCCTCTGCCTCCGTCTCTTCACTCTTGCCTTCGCTCTTGCCTTCGTCTACAGGCGACTTGCTCGTCAATGGCGGGCTGGGGCTGGCAGGCGTCCCCTCATCATCGCCCACCTCCCGCCACCCTCGCGACGGCGAACTATTTGCCGCCTTATCCTCAGCTCCGTCCCCACTCGCCTCCTTACCCTCCTCACTCTTGCCCTCCTTGCTCTCCGAGCTGCTCCGCTTCTCCACAATCAGGCCTTCCTCATCGCCGTTGCTGAGCGGCGTCGCAGCTGGCTCCGGCCCGTCAGGCCCATTACTCGACTTGCGCAGCAGCCCGCGCATGGCGGCACCGACGTCGCGACGCGGCAGCGACTTTTCACGCACGAGCGCCTCCAGTGAGGCCGCCGAGCTCCCGCTCTCCGCCAATGGCGCGAGACGCGCCGCAATGATCGCTGCATCCTGCTGCATCCTGCCGTCAGTGTGCGTCGCAGCAGTAACTCACCGCTTCTTGGCATCCTCAGACTTGAGCTCGACCTTGGTGTACTCGTCGCCCAAGCGCGAGACGTACGCCGCTATCACCTGCGACATGACCGCCTCGACCGTCGCATGCGCAAGGTACTTGCTGAGCACTTTGTGCAGTGTCGCCGTCTCCTTCACGAGCATCAAGGCGTACGAATGAGGAGCATCGCGCGGCGATGGCTGCTCCCAGTCGATCTCGCGCAGCTCGCCACAGTGCACTGCCAGACGATCAGACATGATCGCCACGAGCTTCGCGTGGATCTCCTCTTGGTGGTCCTGGTAGTCGCGCTTGAGCTTGTCAAACTCTACTAGCATGACAGCTTGCCGTGGATTAACATGGCGACGGATGAACTCGCGCACATAAGGAATCAGTGCGATGATGACAGACAACGATTGTGATGCCAGCGCGAGGTGCTTGGCTGTGATGTTCTTCAAGCCTGCCGAGCGCATCGCGCCCGCGCCCAGCACAAGCTGGCAGATGCGCGAGTTGAAAGATCGCAAAAATTCGATGATGCGCGTCATGACGTCGGTCGCGACCAGCTCCAGGTTGATCACGATCGCGAGATACTCGCTCAGCAGCTGCAGGCTTTCAGACGTTGCCTTGACAACACAGAACGTCTTGTCCTCAATCGAGATGAGCTTTGTTGTGCCTGAGGACTCGCCGTTGCTCGACCCATTGGCGTCGCGGGGAGGCACGAAGCACTCGCCCGGATCAGATACAGCGGCCTCAACGAGCAGGTCTGCCGCGTGTTGAGTTGCCGATGGCACGTCGACTTGAACCCATGTCTCCTCTTCGACCAAGCGTGCCGAGCGCGTCAACCGCTGCTGGTGGTATGCTTGGAGGAACGCGCGCGCTTGCGCCTGTATCGCTCCTCGTAATGTTCCCAGTACCCGTTTCGCTAACGCCTCGCTCGCCGAGACGAACTCCATCGTCTCGTTGAAGATCTCCAAGAAATCACTGAGCGACAGCATCGCGTGTTGTTCTGAACGGGCAGAGACAATGATCGAGGCACGCGTGTTTGCCAGCTCGCAAGCAGAGGTAAGAACATCCCCGGGCTCAAACTTGATGCCCTCTGGTGTTCTGGGTGCAAGTTGGGGTCCGTCGGATGTAGGCGTCAAGGACAGAGCCGTGAGGGTCCTGTGCCGTCAGCGATGCGCACAAATTGAGCCCACCTGTTGTCCGCAAGCATCGACGACATCTCTTCGCCCATCTTCTCAATGAGTTTGATGCGCGACAACATAGAGGAGTACATCTTCTTGCACAGCTCGGTAAATTCGGAGTGGGACATGGCTCGCAGCTTTTGCGCTAAACCTTGTCCGCTCGATTCAGTTCCCCGATTCCCGACGTCGTCCTCCTCTCCCTGCGGAACAGGAAGATGCTGCTTGTCAGCGGAGTCTTAGGGGGCCGCCTGTCACTCGTCCTTACCCTTCGTAGCCCATCTCGGATGGATGTTGTGACTGCTTCTCGCCAGACGCCGGCCAGCGTGTCTGTCTTGCCGCACCGAATGAGGCCGCCGAGCATGGGACCGACAGTGGTTCGCAACTCGTCCGAGTCAAACTCGGTGTGCTCAGCCTCGGAGAGAATCGACTGCAGGACGGCTTGGAGGGCAGTCTCGAGCTGGCCCGCGATGTTGGCAGTAAGGACCGCGATGGATGTTGGGAGGTACGATAATGCAGGCAAAGTGGTGAGAGGAAGATGGCGATCTTCCCCCTCCCCTTCCAAAGCCTGCGTACCGTTTCTCTCCCACCATCTCATTACGTCCTCGACGCAGCCCAGTGCCCCAGCCCAGTCTCCGGCGTCGGCGAGATTCTTAGCTAGGCGGATCATCTCGTCAAGCTCAGCCACCCGCTTGACGCCGCTCTCAGTAACGCGTAGTGAGTTAAGGCGAGCCTGAGCGTCGATAATCTCGAGGCCCTTGCGTGCCTGCTTGCCCCCGATGTCTCCGAGTGCTGTTTTTAGATTTGTGATGCGAGAAAGACAAGAGCTCGACTCCGAGTTGAGATCCTGCAGGTTGCCGAGGGCCGAGAAGAACGACGATGAGCGCAGCGTGATCTCATGCACAAGGTGGCGCTCGAGATTGTCGAGATGTGTAGATAGCGTTTCTTGCACAGCGGCATCGTGCGTCTTGCCCTTGAAGGGCTCCGCGCTGTCCATGATCTCGGCCCATGTGGACGGATTGGCGATGTCAAAAGCCGAGTCGAAGAAAACGTTGGGGATCGCGTTCAGTGATGGCAAGTCCTCCTTCGGTGTCTGGACTTTGATGTCCAGTTCCGGCGCGCCATTAGCGCTGTTGCCCGAGCTCGACGCGGCTGCAGCTTGCGACTGCACAAACTGCTCGTATAGCGGCGCGATAGATTTCAAGTATCCATCGTAGAAGCTTGGCGGTTGCGGCTTGGGTAGCAATGGGGGTGCGCCAAGGGGTGGCAGCGGCTTGCGTGAGCCGCGCAAGGGATTGGCGCGCTTGGTAGGGTGATTCAGCACCGTCGAGATTGCTGCACGTCAGCGCCGAACTCGCCAAGCTCACCGTTGAATCCACGCTTCCCGACCCCATCGTCAACATGCGCGTCAACGCCAAGCTTCCAGGATACAATGTTGAGCGAGCTCGCATCAGCTGGTGCTTCCCATGCAGCCGCGTCGCCGTATGACGTGTCCATAACACTGGCGGTGCCATCGAACTCGGAGAAGAACGATTCGGACGCGGGCGGCGACGAGGGGACCGGCGTTGAACCGGACGTGGCCGCGGCCGCTGTCGATGAGCCAACGGCGGGGGCGCTGAGGCCTTGGGGAGCCGGCTTGGACATGGTTGTGGGTGGGATAGGGCCCCGTAGGCGGGACCTCACGTGCAAGCCAGTGGGAGAGGAGGTATAGAATGGAGCCGGGGAGGAAGTTGCTGGGGTGGCTGCAAGCTTGATTAAGATAAGAGGTTGGTGTGTGAGGCGACGATTGTGATCTGAAGATGAGTATAGTGGATACCGACGACGCGCTGGACCCCTCCGGTTACACCTGTACACCGCTAGCTCCGCCTCATCATCGCGTGGCATCACGTGACAGAGCACCACGTGTAGGACACATGGCGGTGTGGAACGTAAATAACGCGTGGCAAATGTCGTGTGATTTTGCTGGGAGAGGGTGCCCACTCAATTTTGCAGTGTCAAAGCGCTGGGTGATGGATTTGGGTGATGGGTGGCGGATTGGCGGAGACGGCCGAGTTTTGAGCATCAGGATATCAGGATTTGGTTTCTATTGCAGGATGCCAGGGATTACAATTCGTACCAAATGCGGGGGGCCGGGGGTGGCCACTCACTGAGCTCCCATCAGCGCACGAGGCGGCGGCCAGGATAGGACTGCAGGACCTCGGCCACGGATTTTTGGAAGAGCGCTTGGCTCATCCAGTTCTTAGAACTTGTCATGTATCCTCGAGCATTCAAGCTCTCTTAATCTCTCACCCCACCCTCTCCTCTCCCCTCCCGCTCCCCTCCTCGTCAGACGAGAACGGACTCTCCCTCCTCACCAGACAGTGAGCCGCTCCGCTCCTCCAAGCTGCTCCTCGCTGTATGACTAACCGAAGTGTGTGGAATTCTTGGTCTTCTCCTTCACGACCCCCTCGCGACTCAGACCGTCCAGGCGGGCACGGAAATGTAAGCTGCGCACGTCGCCGCTCGCACCACTACCATGACTAATCCCAGCGCTGACGGTCTCTCGCTCCTTCAGCATCGGTGAGTAACTGCGCGCCTTCCTTCCTACAGACCCCGGTCTGACCTTGCAGTGGCCAGGATGCGGCGGGTATCGTGACCTGTGGCTCGGGAGGTCGCTTCTACCAGGTCAAGGCGAACGGCATGGTCCGCGACGTCTTTGACGCCCAGGGCATCGCCGGCCTCAAGGGCTGGATGGGTGTCGGCCACGGTGAGTAATACGTGCTTTGGGTTCATCTAAGCATTTCGTAATCTAATACCAGTGCGCTACCCGACTGCGGGTTCATCCGCACACGCCGAGGCCCAGCCCTTCTATGTCAACTCGCCGTACGGTATCACCTTCGCGCATGTGAGTTCTGAAGTAAACGCAGAAGTGTCCACAACAATTGTGGAGGCGCTCGGACGATCATCCGGGATCCCGGCGCACGCGCCCTATGTCGCGCGGGTGGCGGAGTTCTGTGTTCCAGAGATTACAGATGCACATCGCTGACGCCCGTGCAGAACGGCAACTTGATCAACACGGTTGAGCTGCGCCAGTTCCTGGACGCCGACGCTCACCGTCACGTCAACACGGACTCGGACTCGGAGATGATGCTTAACATCCTCGCCAACAACCTCCAGAAGACCGGCAAGTTCCGTATCAACGAGGAGGATATCTTCACTGCCATCCGCGACCTCATGAAGCAGTGCAAGGGCGCGTACGCTTGCGTCGGTATGCTCGCCGGTTTCGGCTTGATCGCCTTCCGCGACCCCAACGGTATCCGCCCCGCTGGTTTCGCGACCCGCAAGGGTGCCAGAGTCGGCACCGACTACGTTGTCGCGTCCGAGAGCGTCGCCGCCCAGGCTCTCTCCTTTGAGAACTGGGAGGACATCAAGCCCGGAGAGGCCATCATCATAACCCGTGACAAGGGTCTGACTCGCCGTGTTGTTGCAGACCCCGTTCCCTTCGCTCCGGACATTTTCGAGCACGTTTACTTTGCCCGCCCCGACTCGACGATCGACGGCATCTCGGTCTACCGCGCACGTATGGCCATGGGCGAGTATCTGGCCGAGGAGACCAAGCGTGTTCTTGAGAAGCACAATGTCAAGGTCGACGTTGTCATCCCCGTCCCCGACACATCGCGTGTCTCGGCTCTGCAGCTGTCGCAGCGTCTCGGCATCCCTTACCGTGAGGGCTTTGTCAAGAACCGCTACGTCGGCCGCACCTTTATTATGCCCGGCCAGACTCAACGCCGCAAGAACGTCCGTCGCAAGCTCAATGCTATGCCCATGGAGTTTGCGGACAAGACCGTTCTGCTTGTCGACGACTCGATTGTGCGTGGCACAACTTCGAAGGAGATTGTGCAGATGGCCAAGGACGTTGGCGCGAAGAAGGTCATCTTTGCCTCGGCTGCGCCGCCCATCCGCTTCTCGAACGTGTACGGTATCGACATGCCGTCGCCCCAAGAGCTCGTTGCGTTCGGCCGCACGACCGAGGAGGTCGCGCAGACGATCGGCGCTGACCTTGTTATTTACCAGAACTTGGAGGACCTGGTCGAGGCGTGCCGCCAGTTCAACCCTGAGATCAAGCAGTTTGACTGCTCCGTGTTCACCGGCGAGTATGTCACCGGCGGCGTCGACGAGCGCTACCTTGAGCACATCGAGAAACTGCGTAGCGACAAGGCCAAGGCGAAGAAGGCGGGCCTCCAGGTCGAAATGGCGGAGCTCGAGTTCGAGGGCGGCTGCTCTGGTCCGATGAACGGCGCCGATTCGCTTATCGGCCTCCCCAACCACTCGCCCAAGCTCGGCCCCCACTCGATGCCCTCCCCGCAGGACATTGTTGGCCTGCACAACTCGTGGCACAGCGGTGCATAAACACCTGACACCGCACTGGCAACGAGCATTATCCTCACGCTTGTGCATAGAAGTCATCCTATACTCTTTTGTTGTTATCATAAATACCCTCGATGCATCCAGTTTGGGACATTGGACAGACTGGACATTGAGGAGGTGGGGAAGATTGCGGATTCAACGGGTACGTGCACACAACTGAGTTCCGCAAGACAGTGGACTATGACCCACGACCGCGAAGTAACATCAGCTCCCAATTCTTACATGCGAGGCATCGTCACTGTCGCTGATCAGAAGTCAATAGTAGGTTTGTCTGACAAAGATGAAGGTGTACTGGGCGGGGCAAGAGCCGGCCTCGTCATCGTCTACACCCTGTACTCCTGTACATGTGCATATCGTCTTAATCTATTGGAACTCGGGGATGCAGTGGTCGCCGGGGCCGTAAGGCTTCGAGGTCAATGTGGTGAGGCCGGCGGAGTTCTCGGCGCCGAGACGAGAGGATTGAGGCCCGACTTTGGGCTTCTCGCCGCGCGCAAGCTGCTCGAGGACCTTGACCGTGGTCTCGGGCGTCAGGTCCTCGAAGTAGTCGTCGTTAATCTGCATCACTGGGAGTGTTAGCACCTAGCCTTCTGCACTGCCCACCGGCCGCAGCCAACGGTGTGACTCACTCGGGGCGTTGGAGCAAGCGCCGAGGCACTCAACCTCAATGAACGTGAACTGCTTGTCCTTGGTCGACTGGCCAGCCTTAATGCCGAGGTGCTTCTCAATCGCCTCGAGGATCTTGTCCGAACCACAGCCACCAAGGACACACGGTGTCGTCGTGCACAGCTGCACGAAGTACTTGCCGACTGGCTCGCGGTTGTACATGGTGTAGAAGGAGGCGACCTCGTACACGCGCATGGGGGGCATGTCGAGAGTGCGCGCGACCTCGTTCATGGCCGCCAGCGACACCCAGCCGCCGTTCTGGCGCTGCGCAATGTCCAGCACCGGCATCACCGCCGCCTTCTTGTACTGCGGTGGGTACTTTGCGACCGTCTTCTCGATTTCCTTCTTGCTCTCTTCGGTCCACGCAAAGGGGAGCGACGCGTTGTTGTGCGCCGAGTCGCGGTGCTGCAGTTAGCATGGCAGGTCATGGGGGCGAGCGCGCGCGCGCGCGAGCGAGCAGGAAGGTGACGAGTCAAATGTCGGATGGGTGGGCGAGACGCACCATCATGAGGTTGTCTGAGCGGCGGGCGGCCGAGGTGGTGAATGCCCTGCGGCCGGCGGCGCGCGAAGCCGTGGCGATAACCGAGCGGAGGGACATGGTGGTGGGTGCCGAGGAGGGGTGGACGGAGACGACGGACGACGGACGCTGAGGCGCGAGCGATGCAGCGGCTCCTGTCGACATGCATGGCATTGCACTCATCCCGGTTGGCGGAGACTTGGTCATTATTTTGACCGCATTTCTTCACGGCTTTTGTCCCAGAGCCACGTGCAATCCGATATGCATCCGCCAATCAATGTGGGGCCCTTTGTCGTCGCGTGGTCCTGCGCGCGAGGCACAGATCAGAGGACGTCATGAGGCAGACAGTCGGCATCACCTGCTCGAGCTGCTCAGCTGCTCAGTCTGGTCACTGGCCACCACTCTCCCTCAACAACCCCCTTCTTGCCACCAGCCCCCCGCATCCAACGCCGCCTACCATGTCCGCGACGTACCGGTCGCTCGGACGTGCGGCACCCTTTGTCGGTGGTCTCGCTGTCGCAGTCTACGCAAGCAAGCTCAACGTCCGCAATGACGACTCGGCCCCTCCTCCCCTTCCGAAGGCAGTAGCGGCGGCACGCCCCAGCACGCTCTTCGGCGCCGCCGCCCCCTTCACACCGATTGCTTGGGGCACGAACGAGTACCTCACGCTCTCGCCCGACCCCTCCGTCAAGGTCATCAAGCGGCCGACGCCGATGGCCACGCTCGGCGCCACGCCCCTCCACGACCTTGTAATTCACGAGAAGTATGGCGCGGCCATCGACGCCAGGGGGGATGTGTGGATGTGGGGCAAGGGCTACGACCCTACGGGCGAGATTGGCCGCTCGCTGCGCGGAAAGGTAAGCTCGCGTGATCGGCGGACACTGATGCCAGAAACTGCGAACTCTCGCCGCCGGGCCAGGTAAGCTGTTCGGGCTGAGCAAGGACGGGCGGCTGTACGTCGTCAGCGTGGACCGCGCTTTCCAAGAGGGCCAGGCCAAGCCGCGCGGCTACTGGAAGAAGCTCACGACGCGCGACCCCATCGTCGACTTTGTGGAATTGCAGGCGTCAGAGAAGTTCCATTGGGGTGAGAAGTGGGAGAGCGTGTCTGTGGGCCGCCACCACCTGTTGGCGGTGACGAACAGGGGGCGCACGTTCTCGCTGCCGCTCTCGCCGAGCGCCAACACCCACCGCCAGCTCGGCACCAAGCAGACGTTGCCCGCGGCTGTCGCGGCGTCGCCGGAGAAGGCGCTGGCGGACTCGCCGTCGCTGCCGCCCGAGAGCGATCCCCGCTTCGCCACGACCCTCACGCAGATCCCGGCGTTGGCAGGCATCAAGATCGACCAGGTGGCCGCGAGCGAGCGCTCATCCTTCGTGCGGACGGACGAGGGGCGCGTCCTTGGCTTCGGCGCCAACGACTACGGCCAGATCGGCCTTGGAGCGAACACGACGGTCGCGACCGTGCCGACGCCCGTCGAAATCGTCCTCGCCAAGGCTTACCCCGCCGGCACGACGCTGCGGTGCACGAACATCGCGGCCGGCGCGTACACCACCATGTTCACGGTCGAGCGCGCAGCGATCGGCGGGCCCAAGCTTTTTGACCTCCTTTCATGCGGCAACGGGCAGAGCGGCTCGCTCGGCACGAGCTCGACGAGCTCGGCGTGCTACGTGCCCACGCGGATCAGAGCGTGAGTGTTCCGTTGGAAGTGCTAACGCCAAGGCTGAGTGGCATCCAAGAATGTGAGACCGCGACGAGACGAGACGAGACTTGCTGACCCAGACTCGGAGAAGCTGCAGGCTGCAATCGGGCTCAACATCCACAAGGTGTCCATTTCGCCGTCGCCCAACACGCACGTCTTCGCTGTGCTCGACACTGTGTCCGAGGCCGACGCCAAGGGCCTCAAGGACGGTCTCTATGGGCGCGACGTCATGGTGTGGGGCGGCAACTGTGAGCCCGGCTCGTACTCAGCTAATGGCAGTCGACTACCAGCTCGGGAACGGCAAGAAGTCGGGCGTCGCGGTCCCGCAGCACCTGCCCTCGCTGATTCCGCATGCTATCGACGCGATCGTCGCGCAGACGCCCGAGGCAGAGTCGTCGCCCTTGCCCCTCACCCGTCTGCAGCTGCACGCGGCTGTGGCGGACACGTACGACATGCTCGGCAAGCTTATCAAGCGCGGCGTCAAGACCGAGGAGACTGTCGTCGCGGGATACAACTGCTCAGTTTTGTACAACAAGATCATCAGCTAGTAAATCTGCACGGTATAGTCAGGGAGCTTGGCCCTTCCTTTGTCAGTCTTCTCCGGCCACACTCCCCTTCGCTTTACACGTTTGCAGAAGTTCGCAGATCTAGCTCACCAAACCGTCCGGATATCCAGAACGTGTAAACGTGTAGAGATTGGCATACCTGCGCGCCTCGACATGCTGCTAGATATGTGCCATGAATGCGCCATGGACGCACTGTGATTGTGCCATGAATGCAGGGTATCACCGCACCTCCTCCCACGATGGCACGGGTGGGGGCTCCTCGATCTCTTTGTCCTCCCACTCGGAGGCACCATAGTCCCCCGCGTCCGCCATGACCCCCTCACGGTCGCGCGACCGCCACTCTAGCCCGCGATTCCACACCTCCATCTCGCGTCGCTCGTCCGCCGCTCCCCACAACCACTGTGGCGGAACGCTCGCGCCCATCTCACGGATCCACCCGGCAACCTCCTCCTCCGGCTGCGCTTTAAGCGCGGGCACGCTCTCAACCGGCGGCAGATCGGTGAAGACGCGCCGCGCATTCGCCACGAGATCCATGAAATCGGGCTCGACGCGCTCCGCAAGCTCCGGGTTGTGCTTGAGTATATCCTCGATGCTCCCCCACCTGCCGTTAGCCACTCAGTAAAGAGCATTTGAGACACACCTCTCGATGAGCTTGTACGCGCGCGTGGGACCGACGAGTGGAATGCGAGGGCTCGCGTCCGTCCCCAGGAGAATGCAGAAGTCGCGCCAAGCCGCGGGCGTTAGCGGCACCGCGTCCTGTAGCTGCGCGCCGTCGACGAGCGTGAGCGGTTCCTTCGTGGCGGTAAGGCCGCGCAACAGTGGGCCGCCGTATACAACGACATCCGAGTCCTCGGTCCCCGCAAAGTCCACCATGCCGGAGAGCGCCATGGCGGCACAAAGCCCCTCGGCCTCATATGGCACACGCGCGAAGATCGTTGGCACGCCCATGCGGCGCAGAAGTTCACGGCATGCAGCGTGGTTCTCCTCGCGCGGGATGGCCAGTGCGCGCTCGTAAATGTCCGCGACGCGTGGCATGCGATCTTCTATTTCGGTCAAACCACGAAGCGCCAAAGCCACATCCGAGAAGGCTCGGCCGAACACCTCTCCCTCACGTTCCGTCAGGTCCCGCTGCTTTGGCGTCTCAGTGTATTCAACTGCTGGGAGGCAACGGAGTCGTGCATCAAGCACAGCTGCACCTTCCTCGTCCTCGAGAAGGCTGGCGGCCGCCACCGCCGCCTTGGCATGTGGCAACTCGTCGCCAGCTATACGCAGGATCTCTTCCTCCTCTTCTTCAATCGCGTCTGCCGCGGGATGATTGCTGAATGGCAGGGAGAGCACGGGCTGTGAGTCCACAACGTAGTCCTCGTACAGCGTCGCGAGCTCGGCGGTACGCGCCGCTATGCTCCCGACAGCCAGCGCCGCGGCAACGAGTGTGTCGCTCAGTTCCACGACCGGCGTGGAGGAGGAGGGTAATGGGTAAGTAGAGAGAAGGCCTTCCTCCCAGGCAGCAGCCAAGACGGTGCGCTCGCGCTCCCCCATCTCTGCTTGCGCCACAAGCGCCTCACGCAGCTGCGAGACCCGCGATACACGCCGCTCCTCGTGCAGTTGTCGTGCAAGATTGCGTGCGCGTGTTTCCAGCCGTCGCCGCGCCTGTTTGAGCTCAGGTATTTGGTGGACGTACCTCTGGTGCCTTCCATGGCCGCTCACCGCGCTCGTCCCACACTGCTATCGGGCTAACGCCGTTTGCCTGCATCTCCCGTATCATCCTGCATGTCAGAGATTGGCCGTCGTGCCCTTGAGGTTGATGGAGAGAATCAGGTGACGTACGTGTACCATCCCAAGAGGCCGCGGGCGGCGCGCGCATGCACATTCTTCTCTCCAAAGTGGAAGCGGTTTGTAAGAAGGGTTGCATCGCTGCGGTCAGCTGCGTCAAGCAAGGAAGGTGGAAGCAGCTCACATGGCCACCCGCTTGCCACGGAGCTCGGGGGCGGCCCAGCGTCGGGGATACTCTGTCACGACCTCGGGACTAGTGTGAGCTGATAGTCGCTTGATCAAGTGCGTGCTCACTAGGTCTTCTTGACCCATTTCATGAGGTCTTTGATGCCCATGGCTGGGGAATGCGTCGTTGTTGGAGGTGCGTCACTGACATGACATTTCGCGCTGACTGGATCGACCTCCACCTTGAAGTTGAGGTCACGTGGTGTGGGCCCCACCTTGCACTGATTGCGGAAGGGCGGAAGCAAATGGAGTAAATTGATGAGCGTGATCAGGCACGGAGGGTTTGATGGTGTGATCACCCAACATGCGTGATTTCGCCCTCACTGTGGCAAATCCGCCCCTATCGTCGTATGAGGTTTACGCGCCCCCCTCCTTGGCTTGGCTCCCTTCCCCCCGATCTCCCCGAGTGAGCGCACAGACGAGCACCGGTGACCGCCCGAGAGATACTGCTTGCCTTGTCAATCGTCGTCCTTCCATTCTCTTTGACCTCCTCTTCTTGTTGTCTATCAGCTTCGCGCTCAGCGCTCCACCGCCATCCCCTCGACCTAAAGTCGAGGCACCACGCCCCAAATGGAGACCGACGAGCTACTCGCAAAGATGCCCTCAGAGTTTCGGCCACGCGGGGGTCTCTTCCCCTCGACGCGTCGCTATCTCGTCGGCGTCGGTCTGCTGCTCTGCGTCGTCCTCGTGCGTACCTTCGTTGCTGTACCATGCTAATGCCAGCTGTGGACCGCGTCCAACTTCATCACAAACGACCTCGAGACCGGGGACCACGGGTGGAACAAACCATTCCTGTGCGTTTTTGACATTGCGGTGCCATCGGAGCATCTCTAACCCGCAGCATCACATACCTCAACACCTCGTCGTTTGCTTTCTACCTCATCCCCGTGGCGTGGCGGTACTGGCGCAAGCGCGGGAAACAGGACCGGTACGCAACGGTCGCGTGACCAGCTGACGTTCAGCGGATACAGCCCACTGCCGCAGGAGGAGAATGGCAACGTCAGCCCGCGGAGCACGCTGAGCTATGGCTCGCCGTCGACGACCGTGCAGAACCTCGAGGACGGGACAACGGTCGCCGACCCACCACTTGAGAAGCTCAGTATCCGCGAGACGGCCGAGATCGCAGCGTGGTGGAGTGCTGTGTGGTTCCTGGCCAATTGGAGCTTGAATGCTGCGCTCGCCATGGCTTCCGTGGCTAGTGTCACCATCCTCAGCAGCACGACGAGTAAGTCGGCGTCGAGCGGTGGGGGCTGTGTCGGGCATGCCGGGAGCTAACGCCAGGCTTCTTCACCCTGACACTCGGGCGAATGTTCGGCGTCGAGGACGTCACTCGCGCAAAGGTGTTTTCAGCTGTGGCTAGGTGAGTATTGACGACGCGAACAAGCTCCGAGCAGCGGCTTACCCCAGCTTTATCGGCGTCATCCTCGTTACACGCTCGGACTCAACTTCGGAGTCGGCAGGGATCGATGCGACGGGCACAAACCTGCCCACACACCCGATCCTGGGCGATGTCCTCTCCCTGTTGTCCGCGGCATGGTACTCGATCTACGTCATCCTCCTCAAGGTTCGCATCGGCGACGAGTCGCGCGTGGACACACAGTTGCTGCTTGGGTGAGTGCAGAGCTTACCACTGCGAGAGTCTCGGCTGACGGCAGTTTCGCTGGTCTTTACAATATCGTTTTCTTGATCCCGGCGTTCCCCTTGCTGCACTACTCGGGTATCGAGACGTTTGAGTTCCCGCCTACAAGCGCTGCGTGGACCATCATCGGCATCAACATGCTCATTACGCTATCGAGCGACTACCTCTACGTGCTTGCAATGCTGAAGACCACGCCATTGCGTGAGTAGAAGTCGTGTAACTCTCGCTGACAATCAGTCGTGACCATCGGGCTGTCGTTGACGATCCCCTTCGCGCTGATAGGCTCGCTTGTCGTGCCCTCGGCGCACGCGGACAGCATCACGTCGCTCACGCTCCTCGGAGCAGGCCTCGTCGTGGGGTCATTCCTTGTGCTGGGATGGCAGGGGTGGGAGAGCAGCAATGCGCTCGGGCTAGAGGAGAGCGAACGGGACAATTAATTCAACTTTAGACCCTGTAGATTACTAGAACATGTACGAATAGCAATGGCGTATGCGGTATGTCTTATGTGTGGCGTAGCTGAACTGAATGTCGTTTATTGCGTCGCATGATGTTTCACTTCAGTATCGTGTGATGGGATCGCTCGTGTGACATGTTTGACGAAGCCGGCCCATCCTCTCGCTAATCGTGTCGAAATGGTTATCGGGAGCTCAGGCGCCTAAAGTTGTAGTAATACTGTATTTATGTGTTCACAGATCAACGTCCGAGGATTATCGAAAACCGCAACCAGGATGCTGCCCCACTCCTTGCCCTGCCCCACTACGAATGGCACCACCTCCTGGCTTTGCCTGCGTAGCCAATACGAGGTCAAACCATCCGCAAACCGCATGGCCACATGGATTACATGGACTGCAAGGTGGCCGCGGATCGGGTATTGTCTGTGCTACCCGTGCCTCTCCCTGCTGGCTGCTGCTGGTGATGCGTCAACAGCGCCACGTCATGGCAACTACAGGGGCAGCGCACCGGGGCGTCCGCGTCCTGTCGCCCCAGTGCTCCCCCAAGCCGGTAGACAGACGATCCGCCAATACGCTCGTCGTGCCCAGCGGTCAATCCACCGAAATGTCCAGGGGAGGTGTTACGCCTACGCTGGGCACGCCCCAGCGTCACGCGCCAGAGCTTAACCATCGTCTCCTCATCTGCCGTCTCTTTGCTTGTACATGCTCGTGGGAATCGTCGTGGGAACGAGATAAACAACGCCTTGGCACGTCGACGTCTCGCGCCTCGTTCTATTTAGCGATCTGGGCACTGGATCACGGCCGAGAAGGGTGAAGAAACCCAGATCCCGACAGGTACCACGGTGCCGGGACGCGACTGACTGTCTTTGGGTCTGGGAGCCTTGTGCTCGGAACCGAGGAATGCAAACGCGACGCGTCGACACCACACGGCACGTTCCTCAAACTATGGCTCTCTCATCCGGACCATTCACACACCATCCATGCCTTCCAACCCGCGCTCTCGACTTACCTCTTGACGCTAAGCTTGACTCTGTCAATCGAGGTGATCGCTCATCGCTCCTGCCGTCCTGTCGTGAAGAGGCTGTAAGCGCTGGACGCGCCGTCACATCCGCGCCCCAATTCTGCCTATGGCGCGCAACTGTGAACCACATGTCTGGATGTCGCAGTGCGCTTACACACTATCTCACCCTGATCTAGGCCTCTAGGTCGCAAAATAACATGTGAGCAGCATGGGCAGCCCGCGAGATGTAACAGGCACTTCGATCAGTTACTGCGCACTCGGCGCACTCACCATACAGTGGTGTACTCACCACAAGCACGTCGCAGTCCTCCTTGTCCCTCGGCTCTTGGGCGTTGAGATATGACCCATACCAGCTCGGAGCTAGCGCTTCGTCGTAGCTCTCCCGCCAACCCCGCCGCCGATCTCGGAGGGAGTGCCTGGGCTGGAGTGCCAGTTTCATCGTCCGCCAGGCCAGTGTTGTGCCCCACTATCTCGGACCTGTCGGTCTGTCGGCTCGCCCTCCCATCGCGCAGCTTCCGGAGGCAAGAGGTGCAAGGGGAGGCAAGGAAGGCATAGCAAACAGGTTTAGGTGTATGACACTGAACACGGTTGACTCCCTCTGTCTCTCGTGACCTTCCCCCCCCCACAGAGATTTCTATAATAGCAGCGCGACTGACCAGAACTGTCCTTTCCTTCCTCATCATCACTGTTCTTCTGTACATTTACACCTACACTCATTATGACTCCCTTCACTCTGGCGCTCGCCTTGCTCGTCGGCGCGGCCGCCATGCCCACTATGAACCGCGACGTGCCGAGACCTGAGGAGGTCGAGGCTGCCGACACTTCCTCTCCCTTCCCCGAAAGTAACACAACCTCTGACGCAGCCGATTCCCCCAGCGTAATGTCCAAAATTGCCATGAACTGGCCGTATGGTCAGCAGAAGGTCCGCGGCGTCAACCTCGGTGGCGTAAGTCTCATCACGCTCCTTCCCTCTCGGTTGGCCCCTTCCCTCCCTCGATCCACTGAGCTAACACCCAGTGGCTGGTGCTCGAGCCGTGGATTACGCCTTCCCTTTTCGAGCGAACTGGCAACAACGCCATTATCGATGAGTGGACCTTCGGCCAGCTTCAGAGCCGTGCGACTGCTGCTGCCGCACTCAAGCGCCATTGGGACTCTTGGATCACCGAAGACGACTTCCGTCAGATCGCGGGTGAGTCACCTTCCTCGTATCTCTTCTGATGATTAGCCGCTGGTCTCAACCACGTTCGCCTTCCTGTCGGCTACTGGGCCTACGATGTCTCCGCTGGCGAGCCGTATCACCAGGGCCAGGCTCCGTACGTTGAGCGGGCTGTCGGCTGGGCTCGCAACCACGGCCTCAAGGTTCTTCTCGAGATTCACGGTGCGCCTGGCTCGCAGAATGGCTTCGACAACTCCGGCCAGTTCGGTGCGCCCCACTTCCACGAGAACCCGCAGAATGCTCTGCGGCTCAAGAAAGTTCTCAATCGCCTCGCCAAGCAGTACGCCAGTACGTACCTCGTTTACTCTTCGACTGACCTCAGACGACCCAACTGTCACTGCCCTTGGTCTTCTGAACGAACCCGCCACCTTCTACGGCCAGGGAATTCTTGACTACACTACCCAGTTCTGGCGCGACGGCTACGGCGCCACCCGCTGGCCGTGGGCAGAGGAGGGCAATGGAGCGCAGTCTAACCTTCTCATCGTCATCAGCGATGGCTTCCAGCCCCTCTCGCACTGGAACAACTTCATGAGCGAGCCCCAGTACACCTCCGTCGCCATCGACACGCACTACTACCAGGTATTCAGCAACGAGGAGATTGCGTGGAGCTGGCCTCAGCGCCTCCAGCAGGTGTGCAGCAAGCGTGGCCCCTACAGTGCCTCGCCCAACTGGCTCATCGTGGGCGAGTGGTCCCTCGCGTCAACGGACTGCGCCAAGTATCTCAACGCCCGTCACCGTGGCCATCGCTATGACGGTACCATGGAGGGGTCGACCCGCCGCGGTAGCTGCAGTGACAAGACTGGAAACGGCTCAAACTTCTCCAAGTGCGCCGCTCATTCCCTTCAGTCAGCTGACATCAGCGAATACAAGGAGTTCATGCGCCAGTTCTTCGACACGCAGGTCCAGGTCTACGAGAACCACGGCCAGGGGTGGTTCTACTGGTGCTGGAAGAACGAGGAGGCGGCCGACTGGTCGTACAAGCGCGGCCTCGAGCTTGGCTACATTCCCCGCAACCCCACTAGCTACAAGTACCCTCTCGCCAATACGTGCCGCTGAGCACCTCTTGTCCTCTCGTCCTCTCGATCCTCTCGTGCCTCTCGCCTCTTGATCCTAGAACAGTTCCCCCAGTCGCCCGAGCCATACCTCCTCCCTTAGCTCCCTTGTTTCCTGGAGTAATCGCGTGTAGTCAATAAACTATGCATACAGCGCACTATACAGTTGGCGGGCAGCCCCGCGCGTCTAGTTGATGTCGGCGTCGGCCTCCTCGAGCGTGGCAGCAAAGGTGTCGTGCCCCTCGTCGGTTTGATCCTCGACCCAAGCTGAATCGCTGACAGAGCGCGCCATCTTTTCGCGCTCCTCAATCTCTGTGGCGGCCGGCTCACGGAATCCAAAGCGGACCTTGTCCCAAGGCGTATCGGATCGCACCTTCTGGACGGTTTTGCGCAACTGCGACCGCATTGAAATAGGCTTGTAGTAAGCGCCCTTGCGCTTCTTGCGCTTTGGCTCTTCCTCGCCAAACATGTCCTCCTCCTCGTCCTCCTTCGCGACAGCCTCCTCCGAGATGGTGAGCAGGAACTCGCGGTCTGGCACCATTTGCGACACGACCTCGTACGTCCGTATCCTTTCGTAGGTGACGTTGGGGAACAGCTCGTCGATCTTGTCGTCGTTGCCCTCGGCCGACATGTTGACAGCCTCCGCGGCCGTCTCGCTGTCGATCGGGTGCTCCTCGAGCGAAGAAAGCCGGGACAGGTCGTCTTCTTTGGGCAGGAAAAAGTCGATGGACGCCTGGTCTTCCTCCACGACCGGTCGGAGAAGCGCCCGATCCAGACGCCCTCGCGAAGCCTTCGCAGATGGGTTGAGCGCGGTCGCGGCTGACGGCCGCTCGGGGAACTTGAGCAAGATATACGAAGAGCTCCACGTGTCCTCGTCTGGCAGCACATCGTAAGACTGGTGTAAGCGCGCGGCCACATGGTGATAAACTCACCTCCACAACACGCAGGTGCTTCCTCTTCGGGTGGGGGTGACGAATCTCCGAAACCTGCTGGTTGCGCAGGTCCTCGAAGCTCTTCTCAATCGCCACGATCTGCGCGGCCTCACTCGCATCCACCTCTTCCTCCTGCACGGCCTCTGCGGCCGCGCGCCGCCGCGTCGTCTCCCGACGCTGGATATACGACGAGTTACGCATCCAGGACACCTCGGGCTTGATGGCGCTCGGCGCGGGTGCACCATTAGGCTTGGCGAGGATGCGGAGGGGCGCGAGGAGCGCCGCGTCCGCAGGCTCCAGCTTGACGTTCTCGAGCGCAGGGTTGAGCGAGGCGTCATTGCCGTCCCACACGCCGTCGAAGGTGTTTAGGTCGATTGGCATACCCATCTCCGCATCCAGGAGCATGGGGGCGGGCGCGGAGCCCGCTAGCTGGTCCAGATATGCGGGGTCGCCAAGCCGCGAGATGTCCGTCTTGACTTTGAGGAGCTTGGGCGGGAAGGGGGGGTCGGGGAGCGGGTTTTCAAAGCGCACCCTCACGAGAAGGTCGAGCTTTCTGTCGTCAGCCAAATAGCATACGGGACACGCACGAGGGCTTCTTCGACATGGCGGATGGATTGGTTGTTGTCTTTGTGGTATTGAGGCTCGACTGACTTCGAGATGCTCAGTCGAGGACGCGGGATCAATCCCACGTGGACGTGGAGACCCCACAACGCGTCGCGGGTTAGTGGACCAGAGATATCGAGATGGCCATTTTGTTGTGATTTCCGCTTCTCGTCATCCATCAGTTCCCTCCCCCCTCACACCGCTCATGCCCCTCCCATTACCATGACCCAGCCACCTCGTGAGAACGAGGCCCCTACAGCTGTTCAGGATGATCTTCTGGACCAGGTGCTGCGCGAGGGACTCTCGTCATGCGGCGGCGATGACGCCGCCGAGATCCAGCGCTCCCGCAAGCTCCTAACTGTCCTGTTCAACCAATGCGTCCTCCGACCACCAGAGCAGGTCGACCAGACAGCCCTCGAACGAACGCATCTTACACTTTCTATCCTCGCGCGCCAGAGCAGTCAGAACCCCGAACTGCTCGTGGCCGAGGAGCCATTCTACGCCTTCCTTCTGACGCGCCTCGTGATCGCCGCAACGCAGACTGAGGCCGCTGAGACACCAAGGCACGAGCTAGTGACAGCGTTTGTTGCGGCCGCCGTAGGTGTTTTGAGTACTATGATCAACGATGTCTCGGACCATGGAGAGACTTACATGCGTGGTCCACCCCGCGTGGCCAACGCCCTCCGCGAAATGGTTCGCTTCGTTCAAGGTGTGTATCCTACCCTGGCGAACCTAACGTCAGACTCGTACGAGATGAAGGACCACTCGATGCTTGGGCATGACATTCACACCGGTGATGGTGCTCACCTGATTGTGCTCAACATCGTCCTCCAAACCCCGGCGCCGTTTGCGAGCGACGTCCAGATCGCTGCAGCTCGCATGCTCTCCGAGCTCGGTCGGAGATACACCCTTCTGTCACCCGACAGACAAGCGCGCTACGCTTCTGTTGTTGCTTCCGCTATCCCTCTTGCACCCGTACGACACGTTCTCTCCCGAGCTATCTCGACAGTCGCACTGTGGCCGGAGATTGAGCACGATGGATGGCAAAAGGCCGTTGAGCGGCTCGTGAAGATGGTAGAGGGCGACGGCGACGCGTCACTTCACCGGGACGTATGGTTGGCTCTCCTCCCTTCACTCACGTTGCCAGAGGGCAGCGCAGTCAAGCTTACTTCGCGCGTGGGTCGAGCCAAGGTCATGCTCCTCCTCAAAGAGGCTACCCCGCACACTTCTGTCGAGTTCATTCGCAACATGCTCCCCAGGCCTGTCCTTCAGCAATGGGCGCTAGATGTCACTTCGGCATATCCCGAGCTGCGCGATCGCCTTGGGTGGTACACTGAGCTTCCACCTCCGACATCACGGAAGCGCAAGCAGGTATTCAATCCCGTCGAAGACCGTGTGTTTGCCTACCTCCGCTCAAAGGTCCCAGAGCTCAGTTTCGAGTCCGTCGACAGTGTGCGACACTCGCTCGTCCACCTCTCCGCCCCAACGGCATTTAATCTCCTCATCTCGAGGCCGATGATCGCGTGTGCGCTCTGCAAGTGTGGCAATCGGCATGGCACACTGCCATCCGGGTTTGTCCGCAGGTTGATCAGCGAATGGCGGCATCTGGAGGAGGACGAGAAAGCCTTGATGCGCGCTCTTGGCACGCTGTTCGCCCATTGTTCACCGAGCGATGTGACGCCGACTGTGTGGGAAGAGTCTCTCAACTCTGCGTGGAGGGCTTTTGCCTCTCACAACCGATCCACACGCATTGCAGCTGGGTAAGTTTTGAACCATACTACAACTAATTTTCAGCAACTTGTTATCCGCCGTATATCTTGTCATGCTTGGAGAGAAGCACGCTGACCTCGCGAAGCATCAGCTGCTGACGCGGATTTCGTCCCTCCTCGGCCAATCACCCGCCACTCATGAGACTGCAGTCCTTCTCCTCGGTGATCTGGGCCGCAACGTGCACGACAGCCACTTGTACGATGTTCTTGAACTCCTGCTGCGGCAGTTTGGATCACCGAGCCAGCCTATTCGCGCGATAGTGTACACGCAGCTTGTCGACATTGCCACCCACCGCGGCAAGCAGCCGTACACTCTTCTGGCACCGTATCTTGACCGTGTTGGCGTCTTACTCGCTGAGTGCTTGGTTCCTCATCCAACCGTGGTGGCGGAGACCATGCAGCTTATCGGGTACAATCGCCAACCTTTCTTCAGCCACCACCTGGTCCGCAAAGCCGTTGTACCCGCGCTCGTTCTGAATCAAAATCGAGCAGCGCTCGACATACTCGCCACTATCCTAGGCAAGGCGCTGGGCCTCATCCTCATCGATGACGCTGCCGACGTCCTCGCCAAGGTCTTCCTCACACCCAGCAAGACTAATGCCTCCATTTCCTTCCTAGCTAAGGTCCTCCGTGAAAGCACGCACGATCCAGACGATTCGACAACGATCGGGCGATACATTCAAGCCTATCGCGTCAACCTAATCGCTGCGCTAGTGACCGAACTTGGCGATGAGGATGCGGCACGATGCGAAACTGCCAAGGATGCTCTCAAGGTTGTCCAGCGGAGGGATATCCTCAGCCCGAGCGACCCGGGCGACCTCGGCTTCTACCTAAAGCCACACATGGTCGGGGCGCTCGCTGAAATGACAGAGCAGCTAGTACTTCTCCGCTCCCGTGCTGATATACGGCGCAAGATCATTCGCAGTTTGGGAGAACTGATTTCCCTTGTTGGCGACTCGATGGCTTCCTTCTCTCCGCAGGTGAGCTGGGTGGCTCGATATGCAGCTGATCAAAGATTATTGCTAGTCTCCAGAGCACGTTGTGTCAACCTGAACTACGACTGCAGGCGCTGCACACGTGGTATCGATTCGTCGACTTGATGAAGTACGCGGACGTAGGGCCGTACATCGGAGCCACTGTCGCTGCCTTCGTGGCCGAGTGGTCGAAATTTACCGCCGAGGAGCGTGAGCTGGCGACCTCCATCGTCCGCGTCATTGATGGCAACCACAGGCATTTGCAAGCTTTCAAGGACGACATCGTGGACTTCGCGCATATCGAGGAGCTCAAGCCGTTTCACAAGAATCTTCTCTCATACCGACAAAAGTGGTCGACGAAGAAGTATCTCGGCAAGCTTTTGGAGCGTACCAGTAGCAAAAACATCGCTATCGCTACCGCGTCAGTGCGAGAGCTGCGGTGGTTGCTCCTGACCAAGGGCAGCGAGGTATTGGAGCTGGCTCGCGGTGACACTTTCGATCCAATTATTGGTCAGCTCGTGCAGTCGCTGCTCAGCACCTCCTCCACCGACGGTGACGGTCAGGAGCTGCGCGACCTTAGTTACGAATGTTTTGGTATTCTGGGTGCGCTTGACCCGGACCGGTTTGTCACGCGTTCGGACGAGTCCTCCATGACTATCATGTCCAACTTCACAGACCGCGATGAGTCGATCCAGTTCGCTATCCACCTCATCCGAGATCTCCTCACCGCGGCTTTCCGCGCCACGAACGATACTAAGCACCAGAAGACGCTCTCGTTCGCCCTCCAGGAGCTGCTGAAGTTCTGCGAGTTCAACGTTGGGCTGGTCAACCGAGGGGCCCGGGTGTCCCGCAATGTGCGAGAGCGCTGGGAGGCGCTGCCAAAGGACGTTCTGGAGACGGTCACTCCATTCCTCGACACGCAATTCGTGCTGAACAAGGACAAGAAGAGCTCGTTCAAATATCCAATCTACCAAACCACTAAAACGTACCGCGAGTGGATACAAGCATGGACGGTCGACCTCATCGGCCGCGTCATGGACTTCCGAACGGGCGACCGCAACGACGCCCAAACCATTTTTGCAGCCTTCAACACTGAGGCGCACTCGCAAGATGTCGCCGTCGCAAACCATATTCTCCCCCATTTGGTGTTGCATGTCCTTCTGTCTGGGGATGACTCGATTCGCAGCAATATTCGACACGAGATTGACACAGTTCTGACGGACATTGTTAGCTCGCACAAGGAGACCTTGGGCGACAAGCGTACCAATAGCGCTCACGTCGTATTTCACCTCATGGACCACTTGAGTAAGTGGCTGCGACTTGCTCGTGGCGACAAGCATCGTACAAGTCATGTCCTGCCGGTCGAGAAGCTTCTCGCTGGAATAGACACCGAGCTGGCCGCCAACGCGGCCCTGAAGTCTCGCGCGTACGCTCGTTCTCTTCGCAACTTCGAAGAACGGGTCATTTATCTCCGTCAGCGCAACAAACAGAGCGATTCCGACCTGCAGCCGTACTTTGAGAGTTTGCACGAAATCTACGCCGAACTGGATGAGCCGGACGGGATGGAGGGCGTGTCCACGGCAGTAGTGTCACCTACCCTCGAACTGCAGATCCGCGAACACGAGAGCACTGGGCGGTGGACATCGGCTCAGAGCTGCTGGGAAGTGCGCCTCCAGCAGTCGCCGCATGACCTCCGTCTGCACGTTGGCCTGCTGAAGTGCCTAAAGAACCTTGGTCACTACGGTGAGTCCGAGACCAATTACAGCAGCTGACTAGAGACACATTGCGAACGCACATCCGGGGAGTGCTCAGCCGCAACCCAGAGTGGAGCGCGGAGCTCGCTCCCTTCCAGGCTGAGGCGGCGTGGACTATCGGTGACTGGGAGACGGTCAGGTCGATTCGTAATCCGCCTCCAATTGCCAAAGTCTTCACAGCCATCCAGGCTGGCGGGGACGTGCCCGAGTCGCTCAAGATTGCGCGTCGTGATATTGGCTCTTCCATTGCCGCCGGCGACTACTCGCGCTCGTATGAGTCCATCCTCCAGCTACACCTCTTGCGCGAGGTCGAGATGATTCACTCCACTCATGTGGAGCTGTCGAAGCCGGGCCAGTTCACCAACACCCACGCCATTCATCTGCGTCGCGTGGACGGTCTGATCGCGTCACTCGCTGAACGCTTCGAGACAACGCTGCCTTCATTCCACGCGAGGGAGGAGATCCTTAGTCGCCGGCGGGCAGCCTTCAGTGTTGTCAACACTGCGTATCTGAACTCTGAGCTCGGCCAGTCTTGGATCCAAAGCGCGAAGATTGCGCGTAAGGCCGGTTATGACCAGACTGCGTACAGCGCGGCTTTGCAGGCGCGCGAAGCCGAGGCACCATTCGCATTCATCCAGCAAGCTAAGCTCACGCGTGCTCACGGTGGTATCCTCAAAGCGCTGCGGGAGTTGGAGCAACCCATCGCCAAACTTATCCGTGAGGCAGACAAGGCTGACGTGATCGACCTCACGGGACACAAACAGCATGGGCCGCGGACCGACGAGGATTTACGCCGCGACCGCAGCTTAGCCAAGGCAACGCTGCTTGAGGCGCGCTGGTCGCAGGAGGGCGGCCGATTCGATAAGAACGATATTCTGCGACGCTTCAGGAAAGCGACTGAGCTCGGATCGACCCTGGAGTCGCCATTCTTCCACCTAGGCCGGTATTATGACATGCTTGCGACAGGCGAGAAAGACTTGGCTCACAGGTCGCAGTTCAACCATTTCACGTGTCTCAACTACTATGAGGCCCTTCAGCGTGGTGTCAAGTACATCTACCAGACGATGCCGCGTCTACTGACTGTGTGGCTCGACCTTGCTGAAAACAAGGAGGGGAAGAAGAAGTGAGACCTGACCTGATACGGTTTGCTAACTCACAGCTCCACGGTCCAGAGGAACGTCGAGGTCATCACCCACCTTATGATTCAGTCCAAGGACAAAATAATGCCATTCCAGTTCCTCACGGCGTTCCCACAGATGATCTCTCGCATCACGCATCCAAGCTCGAAGGTGCGAGACACTATGGTAAAGATCTTGTCGCGCGTTGTACGAGCGCACTCGCAGCAGGCACTGTGGCCAATCGTCGGCTCGCTGCTGTCCAAACGCAAGGATCGCATTGAGCTTACCGAGGCCATTCTCCGGAGGGCAGAGGTGAGCAGCGGTGCTTCATCAACATGCTGACTCCAGGGCTCTCATGACCAATACGACATCTCGCGTCGTATCAAGGACGCCCAGCGCATAGGCGATCTACTTCTGAGATTTTCAGAGGACAAGCCTGAGTCGACTAGGGTGGCGCAGACATCCGTGTCCGTCAACTATCCTTACTTGAGCGCAGCCTTCCCATCCACGATGATCCTCCCGCTGCAAGATGCTCTCACAGTTGTGCTTCCCTCCGCGAGATCCTCCTCGCTTAAGACCCACAATGCGTTCCCAGACGAGCCCGTGACGATCCAAGGTTAGCATGTTTGAAAGGAGAAGCTGACAGGCAGGCGTTGAGGACAAGGTCGACATCATGCCTTCCTTGCAGCAGCCCAAGAAGCTTGTGTTCAAGGGCAGCGACGGGAGGCGATACCCATTCTTGTGCAAGCCGCACGACGATCTCCGCAAGGACGCGCGCCTGATGGACATGAACTCGATGCTCAACAAGTTCCTCAAGTCGACTTCCGAGTCGCGTCGCCGCCATTTGTACATCCGAACGTATGCGGTCATGCCGCTGAACGAGGAGTGCGGTCTGATCGAATGGGTATCGAATACCCAGGCGCTCAAGCCCACCCTTGAGAAGCTGTACGATCGGCACAAGAAGAAGGTGTACTCAAGGGAACTATACAACAAGTTGGACGCGGCGCGTAAGAGCGATAACAGCTCACAAGCCTTGCAGAAGGCTTTCGTACAGATTCTCAAGCAATACCAGCCAACTGTGTTCCACGAATGGTTCATGCTCAATTGGCCCGAGCCGTCGGCATGGCTCACCGCGCGCACAAATTACGCGCGAACACTGGCAGTTATGTCCATGATCGGCTTTGTGCTGGGCTTGGGCGACCGGCACGGCGAGAACATCTTGTTCGACGGTCTGACGGGCGACACTGTCCACGTCGATTTGAACTGTCTTTTCGACCGCGCCAAGTCTTTCGAAGTGCCGGAGCGCGTGCCCTTCCGTCTCACGCAGAACATGGAAGACGCGCTGGGCGTCACGGGTGTTGAGGGCGTCTTCCGCAAAGCCGCTGAGATCACAATGGGCATCCTCCGCGCCAACGCCGACTCCATGATGAGCGTGCTTGAGGCGTTCATCCACGACCCACTCATCGAGTGGACGCGGTCGCGGCACAAGTCGGGCACTGTCGATGTGCGCACCACCGCCGACAAGAACTTGGCGCCGATTCAGCGCAAGCTCCGCGGTGTTGTTGGCGAAACAGAGCAAACAGTGCCGAACCAGGTCGACGCGCTGATCAAGGAAGCGACGAGCGTACACAACCTTGCGCTCATGTATGTCGGGTGGGCGGCGTGGTTGTAAGTTACAGGACAGTAGATTAACCCAACTGTATACAATATTGTAGCATATACAATGAGTCATGGTGAAGCGAGGTGAGTAGGCGCGTCAAGAGTGACCCTGCACCGGGTGAGGCCGTCAGCATCTGGAGAACGTTGCAGCAGGACGTATTAGGCTGTGATGATTGCACATGACAGACTTCTACACCACGGGTGGCGACGGCTGACGAACGATACCAGCTCCTGTCGGCCGTACCGTTCGCGCTGTGCGCACTCTGCGCTCTGCGCAACACTTGATCCAGAAACGGGCCAGAAACGGGCAGTGCTGGACGTGGACTTCGCCATGCTACCGCTCGCCGGCGCACACCATTCCATCGCCTGCAATCGCCCGTCCTCCCCTGCCGCGCCTGTAAACACAAGATCCCCGCTCACGCCATGCGTGAAGGTAGTACATGCATGCATTACCATGCCCAGCGCCCGACCCCAGCTCTAACAAATGCACTTAGAACTTGAGCTCGTGGAAGCGGTCGCCCTTGGAGAGGCCCCACGACGCCTTGAGGTACTTGGCGAGGTTGTCGACCTTCTTGACGGCCTCGAGGACGGGGGCGTCGACGCTCTTCTGCTCGGACTTCTTGTCCTCGGGGAAGGCCTTCTTCTCGCCCTTCTCGCCGAAGAACTCGCCCTCCTTGGTCGACTTGGCCGACTTGGCCTTGGCGAAGTAGGCGTCGTTGACCGACTCAGGGACCTTGAGGCCCGCGATGTCGACCTTGGTCGAGGTGGCGATAACGTACGCCTGCGAGACGCGGCGGAGGGGAACACCGTTGAGCCTGGGGTTAGTGAAATTCCATCAGAACTGGATGGCAGAGGACGAATTCGGTGGAGGCATCCGGAGACTGTCTCCGTCGCACTTCTCCGCTTCCATCTCCCTCCATGTCGCTAGCCGGCACTCGCTACTGCGCGGCGCACAGGGCCACAGGACCACTCACTTGAAGGGGCCGGTCACGAGGAGGAGACCCGAGTCGAGCTGCTTAAGGAAGACGACACGGCGGCCCGAGAAGCGGCCGGCAAGGAGGATGAGGACAGTGCCGGGGGTGATCGAGGCGCGGAGGCCGGCCTTGGCGGCGAGCTTGCGAGCCTGCTTGGGCTTGCGGACGTCCTCGGCGGGGTAGTACTTCGACGCCTTGGCGGTGGGGATCGAGCGCTTCTGGCCGTTGGCCTTGCCGCCAACGGTCTTCTCGGTGGTAGCGGGGGTCTCGACCTTCTTGGCGGGGGCGGCGGTCTTCTTGCCTGCATGTCAGCGCTATCCTTGTCATAAATCATCGCCATAGTTGAGGGGTGCGACATGGGTGGACGGATTGGTGCACGCGATGCGTCGTCGCAAAGCGCGCGCGGGACACGAGAGGCCCCCAGCCTGCGCGCGGACGGAGGGCAGCCTGGGCATGTCGAAGAGCCAGTCTGCGTGCGGCCTGCGTTCCAAGGCCGAGTCATCTCGGATCTCCGCGCAGGCAGGTGCAACACTCGGAAGTGCACGCAGAACTCGACGCCGCCGCCTTTCCTGTCCCATCTGCGCGCGCGCCCGCGCACACCTCGCGACCCCATATCCCGCCTTCCGGCCCCCCTTCCTCGCCATCGAAACGCCACCCTATCGTGCTCTCCGCTCCTCAACTCCGGGTCGACGCACCCTTGTAGAGACCGCGCTTGGCGGCGACCTGCGAGCGCGACAGACGGCCGACGTGGCGCGAGATCGGGGTAGAGCGGGCCATCTGTCGTCAGCGAGTTCGGCGGCGCGGCGCACTTTTGTGTTGTTGAGGGTTACAGCTCACAGAGGCTCCAGAGCTGTTCGACATGCACGCAGCCACGAAACTGGCGGCAAGGGCTGCGGCGTTTCGCAATTCTCCGGACCCGTGGCACCAACCCAAATCCACCGCGACCAGCTCACGTGGCTAAAGTCCGATCCCCGACACGGGTTTGGTGCCTGTTGAGCGTCTGTTCCTGAGCAGACCTCCTCCGCTTCGGCGCGACGTCATCCGTGTCGTTCAACACGCGCCGCACCATGATCCATCCCTCCACTCCAACGCGCGACCCCAACTTCCCGGCATGGCTCGATATCCGGCCACTGCACCTCGCGAATACAGCGGCAGCTGAGGGCGCGGATGCGCACGCTCAGGCCGCTGCGATCGGGCGCTACGGCATCGCCGGCCGGGTGTGGGAGGCAAGTGGGCCGTTGATGGCGTACCTCACTCCGCCGACACCCCCTGGCGCCGGTGAGAAGAGCGGAGCGGCGTTCGATCCACCATGTTCCCTGTTTGGCCCCGGGCCGCACCGTGTTCTCGAGCTCGGGTCTGGGCAGGCCCTTGCCTCGCTCCATCTCGCGGCGCGACTCGGTCCCACCGACACTGTCGTTCTTACCGACCTCCCGAACGTCATCCCGCTCTGCCAGGCGAGCATCGACACATGGGCCGCGTCGGGTGAGGGGTCAGCTCTGGCCGGGCGAGAGGGTGGGCCCGCACACGTAGTAGCCCGCCCCCTTGCTTGGGGTGAGCATGCCGAGCTCGACGAGTTTAGGCCATTCACCCACATACTCATGTGCGATCTAGTGAGTCGTCACTACACTCAAGATGCTGACGACAGGTGTACTTCCCTCACCTGTATCCACCTCTGCTCAGGACGCTGCTGGAAGTCACAGAGCCACAAGGGGAGGTGAGCACGGACGTCTTCGGGCCAGAGGTCATCTTTGCATGTAAGTGTCACCTCGCTTCGCCAGGCTGCCCCGAGGAGCTTGCCACTCCTCAACGACCGGACCTTCGCCGCGTGAATCTTCCCTCACTCATATGCCATGTGCATGCATTGACCGCAGGGAAATCTCGTTCGCTTGGCCTTGAAGAATCCTTCTTCGACTCGTTCGCACGCTACTTCCGCATGGAGCCCATCACAGGCCCTCCGATGGGCGACGTCAAGCTATTCCTGTGCCGTCGGTGGCGGGTGACGGACGAGTGGACACTCCCTGATATTGGGCGGGTTATGAATGGCGCGCCGGGCGTCGTGGTGGGGCGAAGCTTTGGGCTCGCTGAGAGCCTCTTTGCCGAAATGGAGTGGGACTAGACTCCCTCGCTGTCGTTGTAAGCCGACTAGATCCTGCACTCTACTCGCCGACTCCTCGTCCCGCTCCTCGCCTATTTACAATGAGTACATTAAGCCTATAAGCCTACAATGCTGGGTAATATCATGGTTGGTCGTGGCATCTATAAGAAGTACTCTATTGGCTGTTGTATTAGCGCTGCCCCTACGTTGACCCACTTTTGCCTGCTGCTGTTGCTGCGCTGGCCCGTCGCGCTCGTTCTCGGGCGCCGCATCGAACACGTTGAAGAACCGTTGCCCTCCAGGCGACACCTCCAGGATGCTCGCCATGTTCCCGCATCTGGTGTAAGTCGTCTAAACAAGATGCTTCCCGCTCACCGGTAGCAGTAGTTTGGCGCGCTCCACACAGTACTCAGCTGGTTGTCAAACTGCACACTGTAACCCTCCATGCAGAGCTGGTGCGCGCGAAGCACGTGGTTCATCCCGTTGAGCGTGAGGAACTTCTTGACAATGGAACTGCCGAACGTATACCCTGCTCCTCTGGTGGGTTAATGACTGAGCAGTCTGTCCAACTCACCTCGGCGAGATGGCAAAGTCTTCCTTGCCGGGGTCAGGATCCGACCACACCAAGTCCGCCATTGGCCCTTCATGTGGAATCTCGCGGAAGCGGTCGATGACCTTGATCTGGTCGATGTGGTGGATACTCGGACTTAGCCCGCCATGTACGCAGAAGATTGCGTCGTCAATCACGACGCTGAGCGTGAGGAAGTCGAACATGTCTGTGAAGTACTGCCACACCTTTGCCGAGCCGTACTTGCGCGTGCACTCGAGATAGAACCCATACGTCTGGGATTAGCTGCGTTCCGACAGCTAGACAGGTGGTGCTCAGTAATCCGTTCTTGAGCTGTGTTCCTGACTGAACAGTGTACGCCAGCCCCCATCATGTCTCAGAATCCTCGGAAATTCTCATCGTCGCGCCTTGCTCTGCTATCTTGCACGTACCTGCGTGACGGCACGCGACTCGTGGTTGCCACGAATGAGCTGGATGCGTTCGGGATAGCGCAACTTGAGGCAGGTGAGCAACGAGATTGTTTCAACACTGTGTAGCCCGCGGTCGACATAATCGCCTGGAGTCAGAAATCAGTGGCAAAGGCGAGGCCTGTGGGACCTCCCCTGGGGCCGCAGCTCGACCAGGGGAGTGTGAGGGGCAGAGGGAGGCGGCGCGCTCGCAAGCGAGCAGGGGCGCTGCACGGAGTGAGCTTACCGAGAAATAGGTAGTTGGTGTTGGGTGCTGGACCACCAATGCGGAAGATCTCGATGAGGTCGTGGAACTGGCCATGAATGTCGCCGACGACAGTCACTGGAGAGGAGACGTGAACGACATTGCTCTCGCGCATGAGCACCTCCTTAGTCTTTTCGCAGATCTCGCGCAGCAGTGCTTCTCCGAGAAGCTGCTTGTCCCGCAAGCGGTCGATGCACGCATCGAGGTCGAAGGGCGCCATGCATGAAGCGGCGAGGGGGTTTACGGGGGATGAGGAGCGGCCAGCGATCGGGCGAGGTGGGGCAGGCAAAAGTGGGTGGATTTGAGGACGATAGCTCTAGGAGGCGAAGCAATCTAGAAGCGGGAGTCGGGTGTCGCGCACCTGGGTATAGATGAGACGTTAGAGAGAGAAAGCGGGCGAGAGGATAAGTTGATGAATAAAGATGAGGACGCGCGGCACACGGTGATGCAACTGTGGCCGATGGTGCCTTACTCGAGTAGTGATCGCGTGGCGGGTGCGGGGTTGTGGCGGATTCCCATCTGGAGCGCATAGCTCGAGCCGCGCACAGTTCGCACTTCCAGCGGACTTGCACCGTCTTGCCAATTCAATGCATCGTCGGCGTCCTTCTGTGCGCCTTAGCAAACCAGATGCATGCTCGCCAGGACGGTGATACAAGCGAAGAGGAGGAATCGTTGGCTATGGTCGCTTCACACGCGTCGGCCGACATTGGGTGGCGAGTGTCCAGTGACAAATGCATGCAACGACGCGCGTTTTGACCCCCGAAGCTGTCACGGCAGAGTCTGCTGCGGCGCCGACGCACGACGCAACGGCATGCACGCCAGTACAACATACCGCAAATGCTAATAACGCGGCGGAGGTGGACGACACTCGAACGAGTCCGCTTAAGGCGAGGGCCGAATAACATGTCGGCCGATTCAAGGCACGACCGCATGACACTTGGTCTCCAACCAACGCCGGCTTAACCATCGCCACCTCTATCTCACCATGGTGCTCGCCGACCTCGGGGCGCGTCTGCACGGCGCGCTCAACCAGTTTTCACGGTCTTCAAGTATCGATGAGGCGGTAGGTTGGCTTGGCGCCTGTGGGCTGACATTAGGCCATCGACGCGCTCCTCAAGGAGCTGTGCGCCGCGCTCCTCGAATCCGATGTCAATGTCAAGCTCGTTGCGAGCTTGCGGAGTAAAGTCAAGGCGAAGGTCAAGCGGAGTCTTGAAGAGGCGGAGAAGGCGGGCGGTCGTGAAGTGAACAAGAAGAATGTCGTGCAGAAGGTGAGCTTCATCAATATGGGTGTGCTTCATGCCTTCCCTCTCCTCGCCTTCCGCTCTTTGATGCCCCCCTCCCCCGCGCTGAAAGACTAACCCCAGGCTGTTTACGATGAGCTCGTTGCGCTTGTTGACCCCGGGATCGAGCCTTACAAGCCCGTCAAGGGCAAGGTGAACGTGATCATGGCTGTCGGTATCCAGGGCGCCGGTAAGACGACGACCTGTACCAAGCTGGCGGTGCACTACCAGCGGCGCGGATTCCGGACGTGTTTGGTGTGCGCGGATACGTTCCGTGCTGGTGCGTTTGACCAGCTCAAGCAGAACGCAACCAAGGCCAAGATCCCCTTCTACGGCAGCTACACCGAGACGGATCCAGTGGCCATCGCGAGCCTGGGTGTGGAGAAGTTCCGGAAGGAGCGGTTCGACGTGATCATCGTGGACACGTCCGGGCGACACAAGCAGGAGAGCGAGCTGTTCGAGGAGATGGTTGCGATCTCCGCTGCCGTCAAGCCCTCCATGACGGTGATGGTGCTCGACGCCAGTATCGGTCAGGCCGCCGAGGGTCAGAGCCGCGCGTTTAAGGAGAGTGCCGACTTCGGTGCGATCATCGTGACCAAGCTCGACGGTCACGCCAAGGGCGGTGGTGCCATTTCCGCTGTCGCGGCAACCAAGACGCCCATCATCTTCCTTGGTACCGGCGAGCACCTCAACGACCTTGAGCGCTTCGCGCCGCAGCCGTTCGTCTCCAAGCTCCTCGGCATGGGTGACCTGCAGGGCCTGATGGAGCACATGCAGGACATGGCGCGCGCCAATCCCGACCGGCAGAAGGACCTGGCAAAGAAGCTCGAGCAGGGCAAGTTCAGCATCCGCGACTGGCGCGAGCAGTTGTCCACGATTATGGGGATGGGGTCTCTCTCCAAAATCGCGAGCATGATCCCTGGTATGCCTCAGGGCATGATGGAGGGAAACGAGGACGAGGCAGCGGCCAAGCTCAAGCGCATGATCTTTATCACAGATGCTATGCGGACGGACGAGCTGGATTCGGATGGGCTGATTTTCGTACGTCCTCCCCAGGCCTGCGAAATGGAGCAAAGCTGACCCTAGTTCACATTCGACAAGGCGGGAAATCCGACCGGGCTGAACAAGCGGGCGCGCCGCGTCGCCCGCGGCTCGGGCACCTCTGTGCGCGAGGTGGAGGAGCTGCTGGCGCAGGCGCGCATGATGGCCGGTATGGCGCGGCAAGCGGGCGGCAAGAACGGGTGGATGAGCGCGATGCAGAAGATGCAGGGCGCGATGGGGGGCAAGCCGCTGGGTCCCAACGGCCAGCCATCGCCGGCGCAGATCGAGGCCATGCGCAAGGCCATGCCGCCTGAGCTTATGCGCAAGCTGCGCGCCGCGGGGCCGCAGGGTGCGCAGAAGATGCTGCAGGATATGATGGGCGGCGCCGGGGGCATGGGCGGCGCGGGAGGCATGGACATGGGCGCTATGATGCGCAACATGATGGGCGGAGGGGGAGGGGGCATGCCGAGCATGGCTGAGATGCAGGGTGAGTTCGCGCGGGGAGATATGACAGAAGCGCTGACGCCACAGAGGCGATGAAGTCCATGGGCGGGCTGCCCGGCATGGGCGGCGGCGGCATGCCTGACATGTCGCAGATGATGAAGATGATGGGCGGCATGGGCGGCGGGCGCTAAGCAGCTGTCTCTTGCTGAGTCGGCGTTGGTGCAGATGGCATGGTGCCACACATCGACCAAACCTCCAAGCTTCATCTCACTCCACCCAAGCGCTGCCTGCCTGCCTGCCTGCCTTGCATAGCCAGTAATAGCATCGACCATTCTAACATCCCTCGCGTCGGTCAGCAGCGTATGAGCACGTCGTCTGCACGGACCATCTATCCCGTACTCGCGGCAGAATGCATCACATCAGCTATAATGTGAAGTGGAATGTGCGATGTCTGGTCGCGTGATGCGACATAGCCCAGCCTGCCAAGTGATAAACAGTCGCGCTAACAGTTCGCATCGCTCTTCAGTGGTATAGACGGAGCAGCGCCGGAAGAAAAGTTGGCCGCCACACGCAAGTAGTTACGGGGTAAATAAAATAGCAGGCTGTCCGGCGCTGTGGGGGCATGAGGGACATGAGAGAGGGCATTATGGACATTCCTAGACGGACTTGTTTCGGTGTGCGTTTGCAGCGTCCGCCTACTCGTAGCCGGAAGCGTTCTGCTGCGCAAGGCGAGCCTCGAGGACCTTGAGGCTGTCCTCCTTGGCAAGCAGCTCCTGGCGCTTGATCTGGATCTCGCGCTGGACCTTGAGCTCGATCTCGCGGAGCTTCTCCTCCTCGCGGCGGAGCTGCTCCTCCTTGAGGCGGACCGACTGGTTGGCCATATCCTCGGGAAGGAGGGCGGTGTCCGCAGCGCTGCTGTCAGTCAGATTCAACGGGAGAAGGCTGGTACTTACGCGTCGCCACCAACCGAGCGAGAAAGCTTCTCGGTACGGTAGTTCTCGTAGAGGAAGTCGTGAGTGATTTCCTTGAGGTCGGTGAGGTGCGAGCCAAGGAGGGCCGAGCGAAGGCGGCCGAAGTCCGAGTGGTCCGGGTTGTCGACCTCGACAATACCCCACGGGTAACGGCGGCCACGAACAGCCTCGCCGCCGATCATAATCTCCTCCTCGGCGCCGACAATGGCGAATGGAAGAAGACCACGGAGCTCGCGGTTGTCTGCAATGGTCTCCTCGTCATCCTCCTCCGGGTCGTAGGGGAAGTTGTACACGGGGATGTTGTAGTACTCGATGTCCTCCATAATCTGTCGTCAGTCTCCGCCATCTGCAGCAAGTGCGCTGAGAGTGCAACTCACGCGCTTCTTGAACGACTTGAGCTCCGAAGGAGTGAGAGAGTCGGCCTTGCCGATGACCGGGATGACGTTGACACGCGGCGAGAGGCGGCGCATGAGCTCAATGTCCATCTCACGGAGCGCGTGGCCAGTGGGCTGGATAAAGTAAAGAAGCGCGTGAACACGGTTGTCACGGAAGCGGGGGTTACGCTTGATGCGCGACTCCTCGGCCAGAATGTCGTCGTACTGGCGCTCGAGGTAAGAGCAAATCTCCTGGAAGCTGGAGGGGGGTATCAGCAAGAGTCGCGCACTGACACTCACTTGTTCTCGTTGTCAATGCCCTCGCCAAAGCCGGGCGTGTCGACAACAGTCAAGGCGATACGGACACCGTCTTCCTCGAGCTCATAGTTGACAGGCTTGATCTGAATCTGGCGCTCGACGTGAGCCTCGGCAGCGACCTGGTCGGCGACCACGGGGTCGATCTCCGAGCGGGGGTTCTCGGGGTCACGCAGGAGCTCCTGGTATCGGTGCTTGAGGAGCGGCTCCTCAACGAGAGTGTTAACAAAAGTTGTGCGGCCGGTGCCGGAGGCGCCTGGTGTCAGCCGTTGTTGGAGGGAAGGTCGTTGAGACGATACCGGCCACCATCGACACGATGGAAGGACCGTGCACCGCGCAGTGCCGTTCAATTGCGCGCACGTCACGGCAACAGATGCGGCGCGCAGCCAGCAAGGAGCACTCACCAACCACCATGATGGTGAGCTGGACACCCTTCTTGGCCTGCTTCCTTCCTCGCGACGCGCGGTAGGCCATGGTTGATGAGAGGACGCGTGGAGGTGATGGACGGGGAGAGGGGCACTGTCCGGCGGGTGAGCGTCGGTGTGAGGATGGGGAGGGTAGAAGTGGAGGGAGGGGGGAGGGGAGGGGGAGGTTGGCAGCGGAGATGAACAGTCGCGAGTGAGCGCTGGTGGAGAGTTGGGTAGTGTTGGAGGGTCGAGTGATGAGGAGGAGGGAGGTTGCGAAGGAGGGGAGGAGGAGTGGGGCTGGGAGTTGGAGGCAGGAGTGGGAGGGAGGAGGGGTGAGACGTGGTGCAAGTGGATGGCCCGGATGGACGGGCGCGCGGGCGCGCGGGCGTTTCTGGCGTTTCCGGCGTGTGGATGTCTGGGGAGCAGTGGGGTGAGACGATTAGGCACCACGGTGGGATGGCAGAGGTGAGTAGAGTGAGAGCGGGAAGGGAGGGGAGGGCCAGGGTGGTCAGAGCCAAAGGTAACAAGGGGGGAGGACATGTCCATGCACTCCAGGGACCAAACCAGCCGACACACCTCGTTTCCCCTGGCCTCCACGTCCCGTTTGACCTTCAGCGCGTTTTTATTCAACCCCTCTCCACAAAGGGTTCTCCATGCCACGCCCACGTCGCGTGGCCTCCACATCGCGAGGAACGCTCCGCTGTCATCTCGATGCTGCTCGTTGCTCGCGATTGACTCGACTCTACTTGCATCATCTCCGGACAATCCAGGACGTTTCTAGCCCGCATCACCAATATCAAGGCGTAGTTTGCTCCTTCATCCCCTTGATTGAGTCGGAAGTCGCTATCGCTAGTCGCCCCCTATCACTATGTCCCGCCCCACAACTCCGGGCGGGTTCAACCTCCGCCGCACTCCCCTGCCTCAAAGCGGCACCGCTTCTCGCTCGGGTACGCCTCTCGCAGCCAAGCCAATAATCAGTCTCGAGGACTGGGAGTCGCGCGCACCACTTTCCGATGAAGAGGTACAGAGCATTGGTCTCGTGAGGGAGCGCTTCGGCGAGCGTTCATTGCCAGAGAAGGTGCGCGCTTCAGCGAACTGCGCCAGGCTTACGCCAGTTCACACACGGGGAGGGATCGCGCCCGGGAACCCCTCGTAATCGGCAGGTCGAGAGGATAGCGCACTCGCGTACCGGGTCATCGACGGCGCCGCCGACATCGCCGGGCTCCCCTGCGCCGTCAGGCCTGTCGCAGGACACTCTGCACCCGCTGGCTATCGTCACTCCACAACAATTTCACGACCACTTCGCTGCACTTGCCCTGAGCGCTGAGCACGAGCAGGACTCTCTCTATCGCGAGCACCTTGGCGAGATCTCGGGGCTGCGAGAGAAGTGCGACGAGCTGATAGAATTGCTTCGCGAAGGCGAGGGCGAGGTTGGTGACATGCTCAAGGCGCTCGAGTATGTGGAGGAGCGCAGCGAGAGCCTGCGCGGGGCCTGCGAGGACCTACTAGAGGAGCAGGTGAGCTGATGGGACTGCGGCGCGACTTAACACCAGACCCACCTTCTGACACACACGTCGGAGCTTGCTCACCGGTTGGGATACTTCACCTTCCTTGACACAGCGCAGCGGATGCTCAACAACCCAGGCAACGACCTTGTCCTGCACCCCGACTTCCTGCCCATGGTGCGACGGCTTGACGAATGCATCAGCTACTTGGGAGAAAACGTAGGTCAGAGCAGCAGGGCGCAAGCTGACATCAGCGCGACTTTAAGGCCGCCGAGCTCTACCTCATCCGCTACCAGCAGTGCATGACTCGGAGCATGACGCTCATTCGCCTCCACTTTGTTGCGGCGATCAAGGCCCTCGGGATGGAGATCCAGAAACGTGTGACAGACAAGTCGCTGTCCGAGACGGTCATGCGCGGCCTCCTGTATAACCGTTTCTCATCATTGTCAGCGTCGTTGCGGCCTCTAATTGCCGAACTCGAGCAACGCATCAGCACAAGCAAGGACGAGCTTCCGCAGATCTTAGCCGACTGTCACGCAGCCTACGTGTCGGTACGACAGGCTCTTATGGGTGCTCGTGTTGCAGAGGAGATCGCAAGACTTGACCCCATGCACAGCGAGCTCGTCGACCTCACCCGTGCCGGGTGCAGCTACCTGAAGCAGACTTGCCAGGATGAATTTGACCTGTTCAAGCAGTTCTTCCTCTCGGGCGAGGCGCAACTCTACGGCTTCCTGGAAGGTCTCTGCGATCACCTGTACGACCACATCCGCCCGCGTATCCTCCACGAGCCGTCGCTCACAGTCCTTCAAGAGGTTTGCACTGTGCTCCAAGCGCTTATGGTGCAAGATGTTGGTGACGACGAGGATCCCGACGAGGTCCTGATATTCTCGCCGTCGTCTGCCGAGTTCTCGGCATCGCCGATGATGGAACGCGACGACTACTTCGGAACCTACACGCGCAACAGCCCGAGACTGAGCTTGCATCGCCAGAGCTCTATTCTCTCAGACACACGAGGGAGCTCCCAGACGCAGACGCCCGTGCCACGCAAGCGTAGGAAACCACTTGTGCGGCTGCACACCGAAATCCTGCTTAAAATGGTTCTGCAGGACGCGCAGACGCGCCTCGTCTTCCGCGCCCAGGCCCTCGTACAATCCGACGTTCAATATTACGCCGCCAAGCCATCCGATCTCGACTATCCCGAGAAGCTTCAGTCGGAGCGTGAGTGCCTGGTGACGTCCACGCTGATAGCCCAGCCGCTGGCCCGCTTGTGCGGAGACATGTTGATCTGTCACTTGATGACGAGGACGACGAACCTGCCTTTTTGTCATTGCCTCCTCCGGAGGCGCAAGAGACGTGGTACCCCACACTACGCACGACGCTTGCTGTGTTGTCGTGTCTCTACACGTACATTGACGTGAGTTTGTTTTTGTGGTGTTGACTGACACGTGCAGGAGGCTGTCTTTGTGGACCTAGCACAGGAGGCAGTGTTGACATGTCGCCGCTCATTGTCGGCAGCCGCCGACATCATTGGCGCCAAGAAGGACAAGGCAGTGGACGGGCGCTTATTCCTCGTACGCCACCTCCTCATTCTGAAGGAGATGACGGCGGGGTTGGATCTCGGGCGGGCAAGCCGGCACCGCGACTGGCATGGCATGACGGATTTCTTGCGCGCGTTGATGGAGAACGTCTCCTCTTTGGTCGGATATGGCCGCTCCACGCGTGGAGACTTCGCGCCAGATGCAAAGACGGTGAGTTGCTTGCTGACGCCGAATCTGGGGCTGACGGGTAGGATCTCGACAGGGAACTGAAGCGGGCGTGCGAGGACCTCATTGAGCGATGCACGCAGGCGGCCACTGCGCCTCTGCGCGCCTTCCTCGATCGGTGCACTGCGCACCTCTCGGGCAGGGGGGGTGTGCTCTCCGAGCAGGAATGGGCTAAGCCGGCTTCCGTGGCGGCCGTGCACGATGAGTTCCGCAAGACTGCCGAAGAGGAGCTGTTGCGATGGCGTCGCGACCTCATGCTGTATCTTCAAGATGAGGAGACTGTGCGGGTGCTCATCCCGCCTGCACAGATCAGCATCGTCGACACGTACCGGCAATTCCACGATCTCGTGAGGTCCGAGTACGACTTTTCGACTGCGGCGGCGCTCAGCACGCCGTCTGCCGTGTCTGCGCAGCTCGAGGGGCCACTGCGTGGCTAGCAAGGAACGGGAGGAGAGTCTCAGCAGCAACTGTCTTACTACTTGATGTGAAGAGGCTGAAGAGGTCACCTCTCCACACCAGGTTGTGGTTTGTCTAGAGTTGTGGCGGTCACTTGTGGGCATGGCATGTGTGCCTGAATAGAGAAGACTATTATCCAGATTTGGCGCCACAAGCCGTGAACACACAGACCACGAGCTAGCACGGGGCCGCTTGAGGCGATCTTGTGATCTTGTACGAATGGACCGGAGCGAGATCTGAGAGATCACACGACGCGTCGCGCGTCTGATCCGTTGCAGGATCATGGGCGGCCAAGTGCGGCGCGCGAGTGAGATAAACACGACGTATCCGCACACGCGTGGTGCCACGGGCGCGCCCAACGCGGCGACGGTTGAGCGCGCACGCACGCGGTGAGCATGAGGGTGGACGTGTGGAGAGTGCGTAAGCTTGTTTGTAGATGTAATTGTGTAATCCACAATCCGTCAAGTGGCAGCACAGAATAACTGTGTAAGGTACCTCAGTGCAGGGTCATGCAGGGGCTGGATTCGAAAGAGACAGATTCGAAATACGCCTGACATAATGATTGGCCCTCTGTTCAGGGGTGGTGAGGTTACAATCCCGGGGCCACGCCTCACGAGGGCCAAACGCTGCGGCAACCGCATAGCCGAGCGCTGTGATTGGGTGAGAGGGAGGGGTGTCAGGGTGGTGAGGCGGCAAGTCGAGTGGGGCACGAGGGGAGAGGAGGAGAGGAGCAGGTGATTGATTGTCTCGTGCCCTGCATCTCCTGATGATCCGGTGACGTGCCATCACTCGACTGTTCCTTCAGCCCTAATCAGCCGCGAATAGGATTTGATTAGACCGCCGTTATTGACCAGGCTCACCATGCTGTCCACGTTATCCAGAGGCTCCAACCTTCCTCTTCCTCAGCCCCCTTCCTTGGGCGATTACTTATAACCCCCCACCCCAGATCACATGCCCTTCCCCATCTCCCCCCTCCCCTCTCACAATCGCACACTCGCCCCCATCGCCCGTCGCCCGTCGCCCATCGCCCATAGCCCATATTAACCAACGTCACCGCTTCAGACAGCTCGTCAGCACTCCTCGCCACTCCGCCATTTTTATCGGCACGCGCGGCCCACACACGCCCACCATACCGTCCCCCACGCAGCCTTCGGCCTCCGCCACCGCTCCCGCCACCAAGATGCCGTCTCAGCCCATCCCCATCGGCCAGGAGGCCCCGCGCAACACGGCGTCCGCCGGGCTCTCCCAGTCGGCTGGTGGTCTCTTTGGCAAGTGGAACGCGTTTAGCATGAACAGCACCCAGTCGCCGCCAAAGGATACTCACGAGCACGTCATCGACGAGTTCGGCGACATCGGCGACCTGCGCACCAAGGGCTGGGCGGCCGCCCAGCAGCGTGGCGCACGCCGAGCCATGAGCATGAGCGTTAGTCCGAGCGCGCTTACTGGGTTCACGGCTATGAGCCCGCCGCAGGCTACCGCGTTGCGTGACAACCTTGCGCGTGGCGAGGGTGCCCTCCGTCGCCTCTCCCTCGGCGGCTTCGGTAGAGTAAGTCCAGCTGGGTCGCACCGCATACCTTCTCCCACATCTTCCCCATCGCGAGGATCCACACGGCCGTGCGCCGAACAGGGGTCCCGGCCGGGGAAGAAGAGACAGCACGCGGCCCCACTCCCACCCACCGCTCATCCACCAATCCCGCTGACACTAGCCCACTCCGATGCCGACGCAGCAGAACCAGCCGGTTGTCCCGAACCCGACCCCCATCAGCACCCACGCGCCGCCCGAGCCGATGCTTGCCCCTCCGCCGCCGCCGGCCGAGCACCGCCGCGTTTCGCAGGGCCGCCGCCGTTTCTCCGAGTCGGGTGCCCGCCGCCGCGGCGTAAGCCCCGTGAGTGTCACTTTGGTTGTGCTGCCGAGGATTCCCGTTGACAGCAGATGGGCGAGCGCATCTTGCGTGACCACCTCTGAGCGCGCTCATCTGAACACCTCGCGCCTCAGAGGCTCCACATCTCCTAGTTGTATGCGGGGACGCTATCGCTCCATCGCACCCTTTCCTCCCGTCTTGTCCTCCAACATCTCTTGTCCACACGGATCCCCTTCCCCGGATCCCACGCATCCATCCACTGTCCATTGCCCACCATCAACCCAGTCCAACCAACCCAACACAACACAATCGACGTCAGCCGAGCCGAGTCTCAGTCAGAAGAATAAACAGGAAGAGAAGCAGCACGAGTATGAAGCATGAAGTATAGCCCTCAAGGATCGAGCCGGAAATCAGAAACACAGCAAAGCGTGAGGCTCGCCGGCGTTGTACCGCCCCGCTAGGTCGGAGCATGTAGGCTGCAGAGCGCGTGTATGCATATGTTGAGAGCACGGGGGGACTGGGCGGGGGAGGTTGGTGTACCAACCTGAGACAGGTGGCAACAATCGAGCATCGCATGCTTGTCTGGCACACGCGGCCATACGGCGTGGTCTCGGCGATCGGCGATCGGCGACGTGCACTAAGATGAGTGGCAGCCGCGGTTCTCCAGAGTACTGCTGTAGCAGCTGTACAAGACCATGCACCCGGCCCTGTCAGCAGCATCCGTCGCTCGAGGTTCATTAGATCCTACCGCCTGCCCACCTCCTGCTCTCTTCATGGGCCGTTGACCTGCCGACACCCTCACGCATCGCGCCGATGCCCACACCACACGTCCAGACACTCGAGGAGCCTTGGTCGCATGTGCGACGGGCAAAAACAATCGACAACTGCATGATTCGAACATGCGCTCCCGAAGGAAATTGATAGCTGCCAGCTGAGCTCGGCTTCTAGTCAATCGCGTTAACCACTCCGCCAAGTTGCCGCTGGGTTTTAACCGGTGCGGTTAATATTACCCGGCCAGCGGAGGACGGTCGAGGCCGTGGATCGCCGGAAGGTGCACGGCACCGTACACAACATCTTCGGCCTGTTGTACAGTGTCACATAGATTATACTATAGAAGAAGCTTGGAGTGAAAGGGTGTGGTCTTCAATACCACTTTGTCGCGGACAATGTGAAACCACAGTGGGGGGACCATGGCGCGCCGTCCAGGAGCTGCTGGGAGCAGGAAGCGCTCGACATAGACAACCCAGAAGGCTATGACCCCGCCCCGGCGTTCTTAGCGTCCGCCTTGACATCCCTTCCTTGGAATGTCCCGACTTGGCCCTCTTCCCCGCTCACCGCCGTAGAAGTCGGCGACGGCGTGCTTTCTTTAATGCTAGGCGCCCTGCTCGCGTTCCCACTAGCCACACCACTCGCCATGCCGCTCGCTACACCACTATTTGCGCCGCTTGTCGCGGCGCTCCGCGCCTCCTTCCGTGCCTGCTTGGCCTCGCGCCACCGCTTGCCGCGGTACGACACGAGGACGATCATGGCGCACGAGAGCGCGAGAATCCCCGTGAAGAGGGTATAGAGGCCGCCGTCGCCGATGGCGTTTTGGATGGGGATGGCGACCTGGGACATGACGCAGGCGACAATGCCGCGCACCGAGCTGTTGCACGCGACGGCGGGGGCGGAGCGCCCGGGATTCGAGTCGACGAGGTATGCGAGCGTGGAGGAGTAGACAAAGAGGAGGGCGAAGCCGGCGAGGAAGAGGCCGACGACGGGGCCCGCGATGGAGGTTTTGTACTCGGCCGTCCAGCCGTAGATTAGGTACGCGACGAGGAGGACGGGCATGGCGGGCAGCGTGCATTGGAGGCGCATTTCCGGCTCCGTGGTGCCCCCATTACGCGATGTCAGGCGGCGCATCGCATAGTCGCTCCAGCGACCGCCGACGACGCTGCCAACCACATTCCCCATGCCGAAGGCAACGAGGACGACGCCGATGATCAGCGGGTTGTAGTTGTACGGCGCACGCGCAAAGGTCACGGCCGCAGTGTATGTTGTCGTGTATTGCACGGCGAAGAGGAGGCCCGAGGCGACCAGAACGGCCGCGTTCGTTGGTGCGCGGAACACGCTGATTGTCGAGGGAAGCGGGTTGAGGTCGACGAACGAGGGGTGTAGCTCGTCACTCTGCTTTATTCCGAGGCGGGCACGGAGGCGGGCGACGAGCGAGGGCGGTCCGTTGATACGAGCGGTCTCTGGATCGTACTCGCCTTCGAGGGGAGTCAGGGCGCCTGGCGTAGGAGGGCGGGTGGCCGCAGGCGTCGTGGCGGTGCTCGCAAGACCGCGGATGCGCTTGCGCTCCAGCTTAGCTTCGCGCTTCTCAGCAACAGCCTGCGCTTTGAGCTGGCGCCGGAGCGCAGCAGCCATCGCCTTCTGATAGCTGCGTGAGCGCTCGCGACGCCACGTATCTGGGAAGAAGCAGAATGCGACCGTCATGAGGAAGGCAAACACGGCGAGGAAGTAGAGCGTCGAGCGCCAACCGTAGGCGTTGCCTAGTGCGCCACCGATGAGCGGGCCCAGCGTCGGACCAAGCATCGGCATGCCGTAGAACCAGCCGAGGCGGCGGCCGCGCTCCTCGATCTCGTACATATCCGCGAGGGAGCCGGCGCCGGAGGACACGACGGCGCTCGAGCCCACGGCCTGCAGAATGCGCATTCCGATGAGGATGGGCATGTTGGGGGCACGCGAGCCCGCGGCACTGCCCGCCGTGTACAGCACGAAAGAGGTGATGTATACGGGCTAAGATCAGACTTGTGGCGGGGTTACTCACCTTGCGCCCGACGATCTCGGCAATCGTCGTCCACACGAGTGGGATACACCCCTGGAAGCTGATGTCAGCCACGTCAGAATCGTCCGCGTACAGAATGTAAAGGGAGAGGGAGAGACCGATCTGGGTTTGGGACGCAGACAAGTCGACCTCAACGTCGTCCAGAACGGGGTTGTAGATACTCGGCGAGATCATGGGTCCAACAACGGCGATCGTCATGAGGGTCAAGACGAAGTTCTTCTTGCGGTTGCTCCATGCGCGTGGATCGTCGTCGACGGGTGCGTGCTCGATATCCACAACTGGTCGGCGTTCGGCATCGGCCTCAGGCTCAAAGTGGCAGTGCAGAGAGTGTCTGGACATGTGCGTGAAGTGCGATGGGATGGGCTCGAGCGGAATCGGCTCGATATCCTTGTACAGCGGTTCGGGCGAGCGGCGCTCGCGCAACGGTGCTCGGACGAGCGGGCCGTCGCTCGGCGCAACTTTGTTGTCGGAAGGGCTGGACATTGTGGTGCGGCGTCCATCCCCGTAGAAGCGCGGGGTGTATAGTTCTGTAGGGCCCCTATCGAGCGCCTTCCTAGCGTCGGTCGTCTTGTTAGTCAAGAGAGAATCAGCGAGTCACATCTCCGTCCGCAGTCGATGCTCTGATGGCGAGCAGCCGTCGGCGGAGGCCGAAATCCGGTTCATCGACTCGGCGGTTCGTCGGTCGTAGCGCGGGCTGAGGGGAGGGAAAAGTTGATTCGGCCTGTCGGCTTGTCGGCCAATTCCAGCGTTTGAGGCCAAGGGTGATGGTGTTGTTGCCGAGATCGCGCCGAGAATGGCCGTACGCCAGGTGTCTCGAGTGTTGCGGTGCATGTTCGACGCTGCGAGTGAACTCGCAGCGAAGCTGCATCGCAGAGCTATCGCTCCGCTCCTCTGATCCCAGAACCGCCTGGGGAAGAGATGCTTCTTCGTATCGCTTCTCACATACATAACTCACGCGAGCTCCCAACAGCGAATGCGGCCCTCTCCAGCCTAATAGTCCTCTCTATCCTAGCACATGCTCCACGTGAAGCTGATAGTTGTTGTCGATGTCTTCAAAGCGGCGAATCCGAGCTTGGCGCTGCTGGAGGGAGTCCTGGGATCAGTTGAGCCCCAATAAATTCGCCCACAGGTGACAGCTCGCGCGATTCACCAGCCGGTGAACCTTTGGTCCTCTTCCGTTTGCGCTTCGCCTTCCTCCGCGTCTCCTCATGGGTCTCGTCGATGTCGGAATCGTCGTCGTCCAGTAGACGAGGAGCGGGCCATCGCCGCTCAGCCCCAATCCACGCCTTGTAGAGCTCTCCGCCGCGCCACGCGTTCCGCTTTGGGAGAGATGGCTGCGGCGTGTCACTCTTAGAGTCACTGTGCCCGGAGAAGGGCGATGCCTTCGAGCTTGCTGACGGCCGTGGGGATGGAGTTGGAGACCACTCGATGGGGCTTGCGTGTTGCAGCCGCCGACGCTGAAGCCTGACGCTCTCGGACGAAGGGTTGCTGCTGTAGTGATATGGCTCGTAGCCTGTGCTTAGTTCTATTTGGCGGAAACTCACCACTTGTCATGCCTCGAATCATAGCAAAGCCCCATCGATCGTAGAGTGACTCGCCATTTTGATGAAGGACTTGATCCCGCGCGAGGTCCCATGTGGCAAGCTCTGGTGACCCTTCGCTGATGTTGTCTGGGAAGAGAATGGGAGGCGGTGGGCTGCAGTGCGATGGAGAAGGGGGCTGAGAACTCCCAGACTCTCGGCTCTCCAAGCCGTTCATCAGAAGACCTTGAAAAGCGAGAGGCGGAGGCACAACACAGGCGCCTGGTGACCATTTGGGAGAAGAACCCGAGCGCGCAACCTCGATCTCGTCATCAGGCAACGTGTCGTCGTCGAAGGCATCGAGTGCAGGCCGGGGATGGACGGTAGAGCTGGAGCGCGGGTGTGGCGTCGGCGGACGCATGCGCGACATCGGGCGCGGGATGTCGTTGAGGGGCATCTCGACGTCCTCGTGTGCGTCAGCGTACGAAGAGGTGAGCCAGGGCGAGGACCGTGGGAGGAGGTTAGGGATCGGCGAGGAAGGTGGGAGGTTGAGTGTGTTTCGGCGGACTGGTCGCTGGGATTAGCGCGTTGGGGAGCGGCGATACCTTGGGGATGCAGCGCACGAGGGGATGCCCGATGTCTGCAGCGTGGAGCCATGTTGGTCGGCTCGGGCTCCGACTCAACCCGGAGCGAAGGCGGCCAGGCGGCGAGTCGAGGAGACAGTGCGTGGGTCCTGTGACGGGCGTTGGGGACTCGGAGCCGAGCAGCATCTCGATGACGGAGCAGTGGGAGCAATGAGGTCGGCGTGTCAGCGGCCAATGATCCAGCGACTAGCTAGCCAGCATATGAGTTGTGAGTAGTCAGTGAGTGGAAGAAGAGGTGAGGTGTTAAAAGGAGTAAGGGAGATCGTTGAGATGGAGGAGAACCAATGACCACCTTCCTTGGCAGCACAGTCAACCATGCCGCATGACCGACGCCACAGCAAGAGAATACATGTCCAAACCAGGTCATGGACTGAAGCTGAACTGGTTGTATCGCACATACCCGTACCACACCGCGAGGGCGAGCAGCGCGCGCCCCAGAGGAAGCATGACGATTGCCGCGATCCAGATGGTGCCGCACGCCGGGCCCTGGCATCAGCTGGCTCCGCATCCCACGCACCTGCTGCATGACTTTGAGGTAGGACTCCTTGTTGATGAGCCAGATGACGCGCGTCGACGCGCCGATGCACGCGGCTGTCGCGAAGAACTGACACAGCTTGGAGCTGGCGATGTGGCGGTTGGCTGTTGTGAGCTCCCTTCCCCTCGCCACGCACTGTAGAACACGAGGACGCCAAGCGCTGTCGTCAGCTCCGCAGCGCATGCACGTACTCAGCAGCGCATACGCGTAGTTTTTGAAGTAGTAGCTTGGCCGCCGCTCCACCGCATACGTCTGGTTACTCAGGCTGCCGTCAGCGTCTGCCTTCCTCGCCAGCGCACATGTCGAGGAGGAGGAAGAGGAACGAGAAGGGGATGGTGTATATCATCGAGTCGAAGAACTCGTCCCACCACGCCTCGATCGCGCGCTCCTCGGGCGTGCGGTCGTCTTCCTCGTCTACCTCCACATCCCCATCCTCGCCAAGCGCCGAATCCAGCGCGGACTGCGGGACCGGCAGCTCCGCATCCTCGGTGAAGGTCACGCCGGCTGCGCGCAGGTCATCCAGATTCAGGTCGACCAGCGGCTTGCCGCCGCCCGTGATTTCCGACGGGCGGATGTAGGGCTCCAAATCGTCGCGCTTCTTGCCCTTTCCTTTGCCTTTGCGTTGGCGCGGCTCATTTATGGCGTCTAGGCGGGCCATGGTGGTCGTGTGGGAGATGAGAGGTGTTGAGATTTCGGAAGAGGTGTGGTGGAGGGATGACGCGTCAGGAAATCCGATACGCGGAATCGGCGGGGCTGCTCTGATCCGCAAATCAGCACCTATATCGCCCCCCATCTTTCTTGCTCACCAGCGCGATTCAACGGAAGGGACGAACGTGTAGAAATCCGACATGCTAACGACCGGTAGAAACCGAAGAGCGAAGAGGATAGCTGACGATCTGCAACCGAAGCTCACTTCTGCCTGGGCACCCTCTTTGCGTAGAGTAGGTGCCCTACAAAGCTTTACGCGTGCCTTCCCAGTCCCCAGACAACTACAATGGCCTCGCGTCTCTGATACTTTCAGCTAACGCGCTACCAACGAACCAGAAGACAGGATAGCGTAGCCTTACACGCCTGGGAGCACTTCCTTGTAGAAATGCCAACCGACGCGAACAGCCCGCAAGCCAGCACCGGCTGATGGTTGATCAGCATATACAGCCCAACCATGCCCCTGTGCTTCATCCAGCGCACGCCCCTCATACATACGTGATGCATCAGGTCACACATTAAGCCGTTGCGGCTGATATAGGGCATAGTCTGCCTGGCGGCGCGCCCATGGCGCCGCGTCCCGGAATCTGTAAGGGGCTGTGGGTGCCCAGCGCGCCGCGCGTCCCACTACCCACTCTCTAAGTCTAGACCCAGCTAGAGCGAAGTTGTGTCGAGAGAAAGCTGGGGGCGCACCTTGCCACTGGTTGCCTTGGTCGGGGAGGGCTTGGACGACGAGGGCGCTGGCGACATCCTCCCAAACTCGTTCAATTGGGTATGGGAGTTCTGCGCAGATTGCGTGAACGGCGTTGCCGTGTTGCTCGTGTACGAGCCTGCTCGAGAGAGAGGCGGCACAGCGACAAAGGGCCGGGGCGTGTCAGACCCGCTGGCGCGCCGAGAGCCTGGGCGCGAGCCCAGACCGGCAAGGAGGTTGATAACGCTCGATGTGCGCGACGGGGCGCGCGGCTCGCCAATAATGGGAGCGTTTGTCGGGATCGGCGAGCCAGGGGCGACAGCCATGGCCGTGCGCGTAGGCGGGGCGTCAGGCATTGAAGGCGAGTTGTACAGGAACGTTGCGGCAAGCACGATGAAAGCGCCGGCAACGAAGGAGAACGTGATAGGGTAGTTGAACAGAGCCACCGAGGCGAGGAACGAGATGATAATGGACAATGACGTTGCAAAGCCCTTCCTGGACGATCAGCAAAAACGGATTAACGGTCAAGGCAGACTACCCGCGCTACCCGCGCGTCCACTCACATAATGTTGTCGCTGTAACGGATGACGATGGCCGTAATCAAACCACCAAAGGTCTGGGTCAGGACGGTGCCAATAGCCCAGCCATTGAAGTTGGCGAACTTTGAGGTGACGTTGCTGAACCAGCTCATGTCAGGCGAGTGTCCGGCGAAGAGGATCGGAGCGAGTGCCGGCACGAGCGAGAAGAGAGACAGCTGCGTGTTGCGAACCCAGAGGTCCGGCGCACCAGAGCTTGATCCCGACTTGAGTAGAAGCTCGAAGTAAACACCCGCGAGACCAGAGGTCAAGCACGCCATGGTGACGGCCACGAAGCCACGGAAGGGACGCATAGTGGCAGGCAGTGTAGCAGTGGCGGCATCGACGGCGCGCTTGACGAGCTTCTCGGCCTCCTCCGGGAGCTCGTCCCGCAGCGAGTGCTTGCTATGCGACGAAGGGCGTGCTGCATGGCCAGGGGCAGTCGTAGATTGAAGCTGAACGATGCCGACGCCAAGGGCCAGCATAACCAGAGCACACCACTTAGCGCGGCTCAGACGCTTACCCAGCATAAGAACGGAGAAAAAGGCGGTCGTGAGAATCTTCATCTGGTACGTGACTTGGAACGTGGCGACGTCGAGGTTCGAAGCGGCGACATATTGAAGGTTGTTCTGGATGACGTAGAGGATAGCAGGGACCGCGAGCTTGTAGCAATCGGGCGATAGAACCGCGCGGCGCAGCGCACTCAGGCGGCTAGGCTTGAACATGGTGAAGCCTGCCTGCACAGGGCGGGTCCTTGACTCCTTCTGCATCCCTTGCGCGGACATGTCGTTGTCGATGCGCTTGAGCGCAACCAGGGTCGAAATTGCGCCTTTCAGCAGCTCGTTGAGCAAGACAGCTGCGGCTGCAGAATACGTCTTGTTCGGAGCGGTCGCTATCCGCGAGTAGTGCATGATGATCGTGAGGAATGCGTTCTGAAGCGCGAGGGTGATAAGGCTAAACTGATTAGCATACCGCAAAACTTGCCGGGATGGGCGGACGTTTCAGACCACTTGACAGCACGACTTACGAGATCCACTTGAGCTCAATGCCGAACAGCTTGGGCGGACCTTGGTCGCGTGACGCCGGGGTGCTCGCCGGCATATATGTGGGACCCTTCTCGTCAATTCGCACAGTGGGCGCTAGCCGTGCCAACGCTGGGATGTGGGGTCCGGCGTTGTTGCTGTTAGATTGCTGTGCGATCGAATCGAGAGAGGGAGCGCCGTAGGCCGCAGCACCTCCGGGCGAGGCGGGTGGAGATGAAGTCGCGCTGAGCGCCCTATATTCGGAATGTGATGAAGACATGTTGGGTTGAAGAGGAGAAGTGGGTAATGAAGGAAGGCTATGTCAGTGAGCGCCGCACACAGTCAAGGTCGCTGTTGAGAAGTGTCGTGCGGGCTGAGAGGCTGAGAAGAGGATCACGATCAGGTGAGAGAGTGAGATTATGAGGGCTAATCACGCGTAGAGCGCAAGGGTTTCAAGAGAGAAAACGAGAGAGGGGCAAGAGGCTCGAGCGCGTCGTGTTACGGGTAAAGAGTGGGGGGGGGGGAAGGGAGGCGGGAGGAAAGGGATGAGAGGAGAGGGTGAAAGGCATGAGGGGCCGGAGGGGAAGAGAGTCCGGAGCGCAGATTCATGTGCAGGTTGGTTGCGCAGCAGCGCATGGCCCGCATGGATGCATGTTGGGCGTCGGTCTCGGGGCTTTGTGTGGCACTCTCACCGCGCGAGGCGCATTTCAAGGAGTCCGTGCAGAGGGAATCAAAGGTGCACAGACCCCTCTTCCACAACCGACCACCTCCAAGGCCTCCACTCCCTCTTCCACCCTGTTGCCATCAAGACACGAGACGCGTTCGTTTCGGGATAGGTTCAAAACCACAACAACATGACCCACTCATCGTCCCTGTCAAGAGACATGTCACCAAGTGGTGATACCAGACGGTAATGAAGAGAGGGAGGAGGTGCCCACCGGCAGAGTAGGTGAGGGAGAGAGAATGGATGGAAGAGAATTGGGATGCGCAGTCAAGGTTTGATAACGTGTGCTCTGCAATCGATGCGGCCATGACGCCTGCTGGTCAAGGTCTGTCTTGGCTGTTTGAATCCAAGAGAGACTACACGGCTTGGGTAATTGGGTAGCTGGGTACGGCTCCTAGATGCCGTTCCGGCGCTGGATGTCTATCGCCTCTTCCTCTCGTGACCCCCAACAAACCTAGCCCAGTAGGTCTGTGGACGCCCAACAGCATCCCGTCGCCTTCTCCGCTCACCCCACAAACAACACAACTGGCCATGCCCGCACATTTCTCAACGACCTGCAAGTGTACTCACCTTGACAACCTGCGTTTGGGACGGGTCACGCCCATTTCACGTCCACCAGAGACGCCTACGACCTCCGAGTCGCGGCTTCCGCCCATGACGAGCGCGCCGTCATCGGTCTCGATTTCGCCATAGCGACCTGATGCGCTGAGCGGGGGACCCCCACCGGAGCGGCGGAAAGGGCCAGACCGCCCGACCGGCGAGATCGGGGTGGTGGGCATGCCGCAAGTGGATGGAAGAGTGATGCGGTCGATGATGGCGGTTGAATGAGGATGTACGGAATGACAAGGGGTTAGGCGGACGGCGGTGGGAAGACGGGGCCGTTCCTGTTATGCCTGATTTCGCGCGGGGGAAGGAGTTTTGGGTGTTGTGGGGAAAGACGACGACGACTGGCCGTGTTGGGCGTAAAGGGAGATTGAGAAAGTGCGAGTGATGAGGTGTTGACGGAGGAGATGGCGATGAAGAGGACAGTATGTGCGCCAGCCAAGGGAGGAGGAGTACGCGCGCGTTTGATTTGAAAGGCGGCGGTGGTGGTGTTGGTGTTAAAGAAGACTGGGCGGTGTTGGATAGAGGAGGAGGAGTGTGAGGAGGAAGGTGATGGACGAGTTTGTCGCAGGTGAATGTCTGGATTGTGGTTGGTGAATTAGCGAAAGGTCCGGCTCCAAGGTTCCAAACCCCTTGCTCCCTCCTCTCTCCCTGCCTCGCTAGCCCCCGGCACCTGGCCACCTGGCTCGTGGCTCACTAGCTGGCTAGCTCACGAGGCCCGCTTGCAGCGGTGGCGGCGGCGGCGCGGCGGTCCTCCTGTTCACGCCTCTGCCCGGTTCCCTTGCGGGTATGAGCAGAAGGGCAGAGGGCTGCAGAGTGCCAAAAGGTCCCGGGGGTCCCACTGACCGCAGACCGCCGACAGCCGCGAGATATGTACGGCACCCAAGCGGGGTCATGCCGGTTAACAAGTTCTTGGCAGAGCATTCCATATGGCACTTGAGAGTCGTGTGTTCTTGTCACCTCGCAAATGGGGATGTCGAACATTGTCAGTGGCAGCGGGCGTGCTGCGTATGCTGACGTCGGGCGCACCACAATGAGGGGGCGAGGGGGTCAAGGGCGACAGTCGCCACGCGGCGTGGATTAACATGAGGTCCACGTTCCTGGGCCTTGCATGCCGACATCGCTCATCGGCGGCACATCTCTCCTCGCCTCGTCGCTCTCCTCGGCCCCTCCGAGCCCAGCTCCGCATTGCTGTCCATCCAATATGTGCCGACGAGGCAGTTCTCATAGGAGAGTGGATGCATGCACAGACGTTTGATAGTACACCTCTGGCCACGTTGACAACACGATGTAATCGTAGGTATCAAAATGCTGCAGGCATGTTGACGCAATGACACACCTGCTCTTTGCTCAGGCCCTGACCTGCCCTTGCTCCCCGTCGCTCCCTTGCCCAAGGTGGTTACTCCACACCCTGATTTCAAGGACTTCGCTCACTGCGTGTCCCATATCCCATATCGATATGTTCAAGTCTCTTGTCCCTGGCTCCCTTATCATGTGCCTCATGGCCTTGACCTCTCTTCCTTTGGCTTCCACACTCTCTTCTAGCTTTCTAGCCCTTCGTACTCTTGTGATCTTGGCTCCCCATTCCGCCTCTGCAGGCCCCCCCACCCACTCACACCATGCCCACCCTGGCGAAGTATTGCTCGCAACTAGCCGACGCGTCAGGCGCAAATGGCGCAAAGCGATCTGGTCAAGAAACACGCGACTGCGCATCGTGCCTGCAGGGTAACTGACACTGCACCGCCTCGTTCATTAGCCCCGAAACCGGCCTGGCTTCTTCCACAGCTCCACGATCCACTTGCGCCACTGAGCGCGCTGCTGCCTGCAGCAGCAGCATGCACATGCAATGGCTGCGGTCGCGTGGTGACGAGGCTCGAAGCTCAATGCGCACCTCGTGGCACACTGCGTGGTCGTCGCGAAGCACGAGGGTTCACTGCATAAAAAAATCAGCCAGCGAGGATTTCGTATTGCGGTGTGGCGTCGCGCAAGATCAAGAGACCGAACGGACCGGACGCCGGAACAACGCCGCGCTGGCAGCTGGCAGTGAGTGACGGCGAATTGCAACCCCGCAAGATGTCAGCGAGGCATGCCTTTCATGCCTTTCAGACGTGGCGGAAAGGCCTAGGCGCAGCTCGACCCTCACGGTGGTCTGGGTGGCAGCCTCAGCACAGACCCTCGGCACGCCTGTCCAGCTGTTTGGTCCTGTGGCCTGTGGAGTACGGCCCCGGGTTTCTTGACGCACACCCCTGCGCCGAGAAACCCTGCTGCCGACGCCATGGTCGAGGGTACAAGTTGTTCTGTACCCTCAATCCCACCCATTTCGCCACACTCGGCGCACGGACCTCTGGTCCGACTCGGGGCCATGATCACGTGCAGGTCTCGTGAATTATCATCTACACGTAATTCTCGCCTCTTTTAAGATTTCCGGAATCAACTCCACGTGCTTTCCATGTTCGGCCTTTGGATGGGATTACCGTGGGAGCTGGGATCGAGTGGAACGAATCTCGTTGGCTCGTCTGCTCTTGCAGCGCGCTCGCCGCTTGCCGCGATCGCACGCTCATGCTCATGCTCATGCTCATGAATGCCGCCCCTGTCCCTGTGATGGGCATGATGGGGTCGATGGGGCCACACTATCCAACCAGGAACAAGAATGAGTCGAGTCGTATTATGATGTGCGCGGCTGATGCGGCAATCAACTTAATACGAACGAATTTGGATATTCCATTCGTATCCAAGAACCCACGCGCTGGCCGTTCCTGCCGCTCACTCCGTCGTCCGTTAGTGCGCACTCGCCGCATCTCATTCAATCCTCGGTGCATCTTCCTTCCTTCTCCTCTCTCATCATCCTCTTCTCTCTCATCTTGCTGCCGTCTCTGTCTCTCCGTCCTGGCCGCAACGCTCACTCTGTATCTCGAAAACGTCAAAAGTCCAGCACCAAAATAGTCGGAAACGACAAACGACTGACACGTCCCCCTTCCCCCCGCTTTACCCTCCACGAGGTCCGCACCCACGTTTCTCCCTAATCCGCCGAACCTCCAACCACTCATTCCACCATGAAGATCACGGACAAGCTCCTCGCCGCCGAGCGCGAGGGACGTCCATTCTGGAGCTTCGAGTACTTCCCCCCGCGCACTGCACAGGTATGTCGAGCGCGCTGCGCGAAGCGGACGCCCAATCTCGGAGTTGGCTGACGTCCAGGGCCTCCAGAACCTTTATGACCGTATCGAGCGTATGCGCAATCTCGGCCCCGAGTTCATCGACATCACTTGGGGCGCTGGCGGCAAGAATGCCGACCTGACCTCGTCGCTCGTCGAGGTGTGCCAGGGCACCATCGGCATTGAGACGTGCATGCACCTCACTTGCACCGAGAGTGAGTTAGATGGCCGATAAACCGCCACGTTGTCATGGTGGATGTGGGGCTGCGGGGTACCTGTCGACCTGCGTCGGCGCCGACTACATCTCCCCACAGATCCAGAGTGCCATCTCGATGTTGTTGTGCTGACGTCGCAGTGCCCAAGGAGAAGGTCGAATGGGCGCTCAAGCAGGCCAAGTCTGCCGGTTGTCAGAACATTCTCGCCATGCGCGGCGACCCTGTTGCTGGCTCGGACGTCTGGAAGCCCACGCCCGGCGGCTTCATGCACGCCATCGACCTCGTTCGCTATATCCACAAGAACTACCCCGGAGACTTCTGCGTTGCCGTTGCAGGCTTCCCCCAGGGCCACCCGGAGACGCCCCTCACGCCCGATGGCAAGCACCAGGAGATGCTGTGGCTCAAGGAGAAGGTTGATGCCGGCGCAGACTTCATCTTTACCCAGATGTTCTATGACGTCGACATTTTCTTCCAGTGGGTCAAGGACGTGCGCTCGTACGGCATTACCGTCCCCATTGTGCCGGGTATCATGCCCATTCAGAACTGGCAGAAGTTCCAGACATGGGTGAAGCGCGAGAACATTGTCGTACCCCAGGAGTGGTACGATGTCCTCCTTCCCGTGCAGGGCGACGACGAGCAAGTGCGTGCTAGAGGCACCAAGCTCGTCGCCGAGATGTGCCGCGCCATCCTCGATAACCAGGAGGCCGGTATCAAGGGTCTGCACGTCTACACCCTCAACCTCGAGAAGGGTGCTCGCATGCTTCTTGAGGAGCTCGACATGACGCCCCGCCGCGAGCAGGTCATGCCCCTCCCTTGGCGCCCCTCCCTTACGCCTTCGCGCCGCTCCGAGACCATCCGTCCCATCTTCTGGGCCAATCGTGTGCAGTCTTACCTGTCGCGCACTAGCGACTGGGACGAGTTCCCCAACGGCCGTTGGGGTGACTCTCGCTCGCCCGCTTACGGTGACCTCGACGGTTACCCTGTTGCCATTGGCACCACTGTGAGTTATCTGGCGATCTGGTCTGCATGGATTGTACGCTGACGTCAACAGGCCAAGGAGGCGCTCGAGCTTTGGGGCGCTCCTCAGACGCGTGCCGAGATCAACGAGCTCTTCGCCAAGTTCTGCCGCGCTGAGGTCAAGAAGCTTCCTTGGTCGCAGAACGGCGCATCGTCCGAGACGACGGTGATTACGGATCAGCTCGCCAAGATGAACGAGCGCGGATATCTGACGATCAACTCGCAGCCCGCGGTCGATGGCGCGCGCTCGGACGACAAGGTGCACGGCTGGGGTCCCACCGGCGGATATGTGTACCAGAAAGCGTATCTCGAGTTTTTCGTGGCGCCCGAGCTTCTCAGCCCGCTCATTCGCCGCATCGAGAAGGACCCGCGCATTACCTACTACGCTGTCAACAAGCAGGGCGATCTGCGCACCAACACGCACTCGGAGGGCCCCAACGCTGTCACTTGGGGTGTCTTCCCCGGCAAGGAGATCATCCAGCCTACTATTGTCGAGGCCGTCTCCTTCATCGCATGGAAGGACGAGGCGTTCGAGCTCGGTTGCCAGTGGGCCAACCTTTACCCCGAGGGATCGCCCACGCGCTCCCTCATCCGCAACATCATGGACACGAGCTACCTTGTCAACATTGTCGCCAACGACTTCAAGGACGGCATGGCCATCTTCGAGCCCTTCCTCCTCGACCAGCCGCTCGCCAACGGCGTCTAAACCATTAGAAGAGTAATTATGCGGATCCAACCCCGCCAACAAAACCTAGCTGCAGATCCAACCCTGCTGTATCATAGTCTCAGTCACGTAACGCTCGCCCGGCGCGATCCAACCCCCGCCGCGGCGTGAGAAGAAAATCCTTAGTGGATCCAACCCCACGGCTCGTACATCCCACCCTCATACACTTTACATATTCGTTGTAGCGTCCTCAACGGACGAGCCGTTCAACCCGGCGCCCAGTACCCGGCTCAACCCATACCTTTCACATAATACCCCCCTGCAAGGATACCCCCGGCCCCGCGGCGCCATTGGCTCGCGCAGAGGTCGTACAGGAGAGGTTCAACTCCTCGCAAAGGCAACAAACGCAAGACATGACATGCATCGATTGAGACTAGAGGGGTGTGGGGGTAGGGAATGATGCGGAGGTGGCGAAAGTGATTTCCGGTGCGACGAGGCATCCCGCATACTTAGTGGGCATCTCGTGCACTCAGTCACCGAGTTGATCGGTTGCCTCCTGCCCAATTCGCTTGCTAATATGTCTTGCTTCGCGTAGAACCTTGTCCACTTGATGTTCCCCGGGGCGCCTCATCACTTCACGCTGACATTCGCACTCACGCCAGCGCCTCCGCTCACGACCCCGTATTCATCATGCAATGCATCCCGAACCCGAAGCGTACAGACAAGAAACCGAAACAATGCAAACTATGTCCACGCCGCGGCTTAGAGGCGCGCGGGGCGGCCGAAGGGGAGGAGGTCGGCAGGGCCGGCGAGCTCCTTGAGGTCGATCTCGCGGATGACGCCACCACGGTAGTCGGCGCCGTGGGGGTTGGTGGGGGCGAAGGAGAAGCGGTCGGTGAACTGGGTGGGGCGGCGCTCAATGAGGGCGAGGACCTCGCGGCCGAGGTTAGGGGCAAACTTGAACGCGTGGCCCGAGCATCCGGTCGCGACGAAGAGGTTGTTGAAGTCGGGGTGGTAGTCGACGAGCCAGTCGCCGGTGACGGTGTCGCAGTACCAGCACATGCGGACGTCTGCGAACGGCTTCTTCGCGAGCTGGGGGTAGTGGTCCTGGAGGTGTGCGCGGATGGTGCGCACAGCCTCGGCGGGGAGGGTGCCGAGCTCGGCGTCCTTGCTGAGCTTGGTGCGGGGGACGGAGACGGCGCCGCCGAACGCCGAGGGGCCGACCGAGCTCGTCCACCCCTTGTTGTGGATGGCCATCTTGACCATGCCGTCCGCGGTGGGGGGGAAGATGTAGAAGCCGTTGTCGAGGTTGAAGACGACAGGGACCTTGGACTGGATCGCGGCCTCTTCGGGCGTGAGCTGGATCATGGCGACGGTCTGGCCGGACGCGACGATGGGGGGGAGGCGGGCGGCGACCGCGGGGCTCTGGAGGAGCGCGGGCGTCCACGCGCCCGCGGCGACGACGACGAGGTCGGCCGGGATGATCTTCTTGTCCTTGAGCACGACACCCGTGACCGTCTTGCCGTCCGCCGCCTTCGTGAAGGCCACGACCTCGGCGCCGGCAACGATCTTGCCCCCGAGCTCCTGCACGCGGCGCAAGCCGATCTCAATCGACCGCCCGCTCTCGGCCCAGCCGCCGGTCACGTTGTGGTAGCCGACGCGGTCGGGGAACGCGCCCGTCTCGAGCTCGGGCGGGAACACGCCCTTGATCTCCTCCGAGGACCGCTTCGCCCGCGGCTCAAGGTTGAGCGCCTCGCAGTTCTTGTAGCTCTCCTGCACGTACTTGGTGCCGCGCGGGTCCGAGCCCGAGAGGCACATGACGCCAGACTCGTGGTAGCATCCCTCCCACTCCGGGCGCTTCCACATCTCCACGGCCTCGACGGAGAGCGCGGACAGCTCGGGGTCCGCGTAGTCGCCGGCGCGGATAATCTTGTTGATGTCTGGGGTCAGTCAACGCTGGAAGGGAGCGGCGGAGGTGGACTGGGCGCGGTGTGCTGCGGCGCTCAGGAAAGGTTTGGCCGAGGGGTTGAAGTGGGTTGTCACCTCTTCTAGTCCACTCGGCTGGCTCCGGCGCCGGCGCCGGCGGCCTCAGATACAAAACAGAGCGCGTGCTGCACGCTGCCATTTTCCTCTAGGTCCCGCCGTCGACCGCCGGCTCTCGACGCTCGGCCACGCGAGCACCCGCCACCCCGCTCAAACTCGCACTCACCGGTCGACGCGGCATCCGGCGCCGGCACAGTCTCGCACTTCTCGAGGATCGTGACGTCGTACTTGTCCTTGGCCGTCTGGAGCATCCAGAGGGCGGTGGACATGCCAAACACGCCTGGTGTCAGTTCACTCTCATTCTCCTCATTCTCTTCCTGGCGGACGTCGGCGGGCGAAAAAATCGTCGCTCCGCTGATCCCCGTTGATCGGCGCCACACCCGTAATCTCAGACATACCAGAACCGATGATGACGACCTTCTGCGACATGGTGAGTATGTGTGCTAGACAGAAAAGCGGCGGCGTAGATGCTTGTGGATACTCTTATGACCCGACGACTCGGCTGGTCTGGCCCGGGCCGCCGGAGGGCAGACCACGGGAGATAGGCGGCTAGACAGGTGCGCACAAAGGGCGCTTACTGGATCTTGCCCGCAATCTCAGGCACTAACCCGGGACATGACTGACAATGCCGAGCGAGCGCAGTATTTCCGAGGAAAACGTACATAGAAACAGTCCGCGTCTTCGCGATGGTTAGTGGACGGGGCGATGCATATAAGAACAATCTGGGTCGTTGGGCAGGGAAGCAGTGATTCCTGAGCGATACGCAGTCTTTGTTCTGGTCTTGTCTGGCCAGCGTATGCTGCATGTCCCGTATAATCGATAACGTTGTGCGTCACCGCAGGCATCAGCTACAATCGAGACGTTTCTAGACGGCCCGAAGCACGGTCGTTGTGCTCAACGCCAAATGTCGGATGCTCAGTGTTCAGGACCCACAGTTCCCACTACATCGCGCGCGACTGCGGAACACACCGAAGGCTCCAGTCCATCAGACACATCAGCCGTCAGCGCACCCGCGACGTCGGCCATCAGATCATCAGATACGCTCAATCTCGGTGCACGATTTCCGTCTAAGCGCCAGTCAGCGTCACAACAATCCTACCCCACATCGTGGACGCTATCGTGTTCCTGGTCGCGGCATGCAAGAATCCGAGGAGGACATGACCGCGACGCGCCGGAATTCACTTTGCTAGTTCGAGTCACTACCTGAACGTGGTGACGCACCGTGTCAGCACGCGCGATACCCAGCCCCCTGGACCTCACCTCCTCTCGGCAGCGCTGACGCTCCGTCGAGCTCCGCGGACATTCCTTCCCTTCTCCACACCAGACCCCGCATCCCGACGTCTTCATCGGTCGTAACCTCCAGTTTTCGACAGATGTCGATGGTGATCGTCTGGCTCGGTAAACTCCGGCTGCTGTCGGATCGGGATTCTTGCGGATAAAGTGGCATTTTGCCTGGGCTCCCACCACCGACAACTGCTCGCGCGACCAAGATTGATCAATGTAACAACGGAGTAGTGACAACAATAAAGACCTATAGACGGTCTACATTACCCTTCGCTCACCACACGTACCCATGCACTCTAACTCACGCTGCGCGTCCGCCCTGCAACCGCCGCGCGGCAGCAAGCACCTCCGCATCATGCTTAGCCCACCTGTCCAGCTCATCGCGCATCGTCGCTGCGCGCTCACTCGGCGTCGGGTGGCCCGACCAGCTCCACAGCTTGATCATGTCCAACAGCGAGCCTTCCCCCCGTCCAATCTCCTCGAGCGAGGCAACGCTGCCCGCAAAGTTCTCCACGGCCCGCCGGGGGTCAAAGTACGCGTGAGCGAGCACCCTGATATCAGCCGTCTCATCCAGGCCTCGTCGCTGGCTCCCTGGGGGCTGGCTCCGCCGGCTTCCCCTCTCACTCACCGCATGCCAACCAAGTCCGCCTCGTGCTCGTGCCGACGTTCAAAGCCCACGTGCCCGAAGTGCTCCTTCATCTCCTCGGCCGTTGCACGTCCCAGACTTGCAAGGGCGTCGTTCACCGCCGGCCCGAAGAAGATTGTGAACGGCCAAATGATCGCTCGGATGATGTCGATCTGCAGGCCTAGCACGCTCGGCCACAGTACCTGCTGATGCGAGAGCGTCTCCAGGTGGTGCGAGAGAAGAAGGTGGCCCATCTCGTGCGCGAGCACCATGGCGAGGTGTAAAGTCTGCTCCTCGGTCGGCGGTGCGTGCTTCGGCGGCACAGGCGTGGCCGAGAACAGCCCGTCAAAGAAGCCTCTGGACTTGGGCGTTTCCGTCGAGGCTGGCGGTGTGCCATTGTGTGCTAGGATTTCGTCGAGAAGACCCGTAAAGATTACTATTCCGCCCGCGCCCTTACCTCCGAAGCCATAGGAGAAGGCGTTGCGGTCAGGCGCGTCCATGAGCATCACGTTGTATGGCGGACCCAGTTCCATGTGCTCCCATCCCGCGTCCTTGACACTTCCAGGCAGGGCGGCGTGCATGCGTGCTGAAGCGCGTACCCTCGGTCGGAGGGGATACTTGGACGGCGGGGGCCAGAGGCTGTCCTCCTCGGCGTCGATCGGGCGGCCCATCTCTCCGCCATCAACACGCTCCACCGCTGTGAGCACACCGGCCTCGAGCCGGCGCAGAGTGTTCTGAACCCAGGCCCACCGCCAGTCATTTAGGGGCACGATAGGGGGCGCAGGTTTCTCCGGCGTTGTCAGGAGGTTGATTACACTCTTGTACCAACTGGCGCCCTCGAGACTTGAGGCCACTATGTCCTCTTCATCGGCTGTGAGAAGAATCAACCGCCATCGCCCCGTGAGAGGGACGCGTTCAAGCGCCGTCGCCCATACGCCCATGAGGAGGAGGACGGGCATAAAGAAGAGCAAGGTAACGATCCACCGCATCATGTAAAGCCGGTCCTTGAACATGCGCAAGCTGACCCAGTACTGCCGGAGTGCGTCAACCTCGTGCTGCTCCCGCGTCGAGAGCTCGTTGTAGTACCGCACGCTCACAGGCGGCAAGGGCGGCAGAAAGAAATAGCCGCGTCGCAGGCTCGCTGCCATCTTCTTGACCCATTTGGCGTGGGCGGCAGTGTGCTCCTCGATGTCTTCGGGCTTGGTAGGCTGCTTATCGCGCCACCGCTCCTTGGTAGTGGGGCGCATCGGCAAGGCGTACGCAATCCGCCCGTCAGGAGATATCAGGTCGCCACCTGGTGTTTCGGGGGCCTCGACGAGAGAGATGGCGTCGGCCTGCGACAGCCACACACCTTTCTCCCCTTCGCACCACATCTTCCAGAACTCCTCCGCCTCAGGCGAAGCTTTAGGAATACGCTTATCTTTGGCGAGCCAAGACACACCACGGCGGAAGCGGAACATGGCAAGCGTCCCGATCGGGAAGAACGACAAGAGTAATCTTGACACGCCCGTCGTTAGGGCGAGTAGCGAGGTTCCCTGGCGCGTGAGACTGCATGCAGGCATCAGTGGCTTACCTTGAGGAGGGCACCGATTGCCGGTACAAGGGGCAGTGCTTGACGACGTGATGTAGCATGGAAGTTGCGCGCTTTCAACAACATCTGTCCTCGAGCCCCATTGAACCTTCCTCGGTACCGCAATGTTGATGAAGCGCCGGGCCGCAGCAGCGTGACCTGGGGTGCTCCCCCACTATTCCTATGTTGTGGAAAGGTGATAGAGCTAACGCCAACGGAAGCCGGGTGGGAAAGCTGGGGAGATGGGTGCACCCATGCACCATCGGCTTTCAGCTTGCCTTTGCGCAAGAATGTGTAAGAGCAGCGTGATGGTGATGGAGTCGAGGAAAGATGCGCCGCAGAGGACAGCTGGCGTGTTGACGAGGAGGCGATGGCGTTGGGCCGTGCGTGCCGAAGGGATGCGGCGAGAGGGAGATTGAGATGTCTGAGCATGGCGGGGAGCTATGAGGTGAGCATGGCAAGGTGTATGACGAGCTGGAGTAAGACAGAGAGTGATGAATGGATCAACATGGACAGCGCGGCAGAGAGTATGGCCGCGTATGGCCGCCTCCGCATCGGTCCCGACAACACGCGGACTCCGGCAGCAGGTTGTGCCTGTGCGCCTGGAGGAACTGGAACTGGAGCCCCTTGCACAAGAGCTCTGTGCTCGTGGGAATGTTGCAAGGGGCGGATGTGACGCGCATCATCAACAAACGCTATGACACCACAGGCACACTATTACGGTATCGTCAATGTAGATTTCGACTTGCGATTTAGACATAGATTTATTAGTAAATCATAGTAATCCTTCGTAAATCCGCAATTCAATTACCTCGTAGTCCTTAATATATATTCGTAGGACGCGTCAATTGAACTGGGCGATGGACGAGGTGATCCAAGCATCAACACACGTCGCTCTTCGCGCTCTTCTCGCGCTGGTCATTCTCCCTCTTTCTCTTCCTATCACTCCTCTTCATCTTTCTCTATCCTCTCTTTAAACCTCCTCCTCTCCTGGTTCACTCTTTCCTCTCCACTCACTTCCGCGTTCAACACAAGGCCTGCGCGCACTGCCTGCACATCCAGCACACCATCGACACACTCCCCACCCTCACACGTTCACCTTCCCACACTCCTACTTCCACCCACCACGTACGCTCCTTTTCCCCACGATACTCTACCCCTCCCCCCCCCCTCCCCTCCCCTCCTCTCTTATTCGACTCGAGGACACGCTCCGCGCCTCATCACCTGTGATGCTCGATATCTAATCTTCATCGCACTCGTTCTGTCCCAACATGAACGGAGAGTCATCCACCACCAAACCCAGGCGACAGGACCTATCCTATGCCGATCAGCAGGAGCTGCTTGCGTTCATCGAGAAGCGCAGGTGGTTTGAGGGCAAGCTTGAGGTATGTCTGCCCCCAGAGCTATCCACTCACGCCTTCGTAGTCTCTCAAGGCCCTAGCGCCCGTATATCCCTTCGTTCATCCCGTCCTTGTGCCCGACCCAGCGAGCACGGCAGGTTATGTCCGCGCCGGAGCAGAGTCGTCACCATGGCGACTGCCCAACAAAGCACAGCTCGCTGCATGGGTCAACGAGAGGAAAGCGCTCGTCGACGAGGTCGAGCGCTTTGACGACGGAGACATGGAGCGCATGAAGGAGAAGACACGACGTAAGTTCATTTCGCCGTCTGTGCGAAGGGGAGCGGCCGTACTGACACCTGCCCAGAAATTACCCGCGTCCCTCTGACGCAACCATCCACCGACCTCGTCGAGGTCACCCTCGACCTCATCCTGCTCATTGACCAGCTGCTCGCCGTTCTTCGCAACCGTGGGTCGATACTCGAGCTGACGTCCCTCCGCCTGCAATGGGACGACCTGCGGTACGAAGTCCGCCGCGAGACCGAGAGCGTCACGGCGGAGATCGAACATGTGGTAGCCGAGGCACAAGCCTGGCTGCCCGGTGCGCCGACAGCCCCACGATGGGAACCGCGACGCAGGCGCAGCTCGGCACAGCTACCGCCCTCACCCAGCATTCGCCCCTCGTTGTCGGAGCAATCGCTCCCGGAGCACGCAGTGGCTCCCTCGACACCGCCCCTGGGAGCCAAACAGATTCTTCGCTCCCCCAACCGAACCCCTTCACCAACCAAGCTTCCTGGATCTCCGACAAAGCCACACAATGTGCCCCGATCGGCACTGCACATCTCCATCTTGCGCTCGCAGCTCGTCGGGCTTCAGACTCGTCATCACAACCTGCAATACAGCCTGGTTAGACGCAGCGGCCAGATTCTTGACAAGATGATCGACCAGGCTGGGAAGCTCAAGGATCTTGGGGGCGTCGACGGTCCGCTCGATGAGGATGGCCAGCGCCAGCACGCCATTCCCGACGCTCTCATCGATCTGCAGGAGGAGATCGAGGCTAGAGCTACTGACATTGGCGACCGCGTCAAGTGGTGCAGCTCGTTTGAGCAGCAGTGTCGCAAAGGGCACGACCATTACTCGCGCTCAGCGCGGGCTGGAAAGGCTGGCTTAGACTTTTTGTCTGATATTAAGGCCGCACTTTGCAGGCCACCCACAAGCCAGAAACACTTAGAATTGCAGCAAATGTTCGCTGAGGCTAGCTCGGCTCTTCCCCCGCCATTAGACGCCGAGCCCTTGCCCATGCCAACGCATCCCGCCTTCCCCAGCAAAGACGACCACAACGAGGCTGTTGTTGCTGCCCTCAATGAAGCACGTAGTGATGCCGAGGTTGACCTCGACTTGGGCGATAAACTTCTTGCGTACTACGGCCAGCTCCTTAGAGCCAGGGAGGCCTTGCAGGCTCAGCATGCTAGAGTGCAAGTACTTCGCGAACACCTGAACCAGGCAATCCGACAACTCGACGTGGGCTCAAGCACCGCTCCTCGCCCAACCCTCGATGGTGTGGCCTCTGATGGTGGTGACCACTCAGAGTGGTTGTCCAACATCTCATCATGGACCAGCGAGGGCGACATGGCGTCGCGAGCTGCAACCGACGCCCACGAGACCACCATCCTGGCCATCATGCAGTATCGAAAGGCGTTGTCAAGCGCTTCCATGGCAGTCAGGCCCCACTTACCTCCGGACGGTGTCCCTGACGACCTTGGGCCTCTCGTGGACGATGATTCTCAAGATCTTGTCGCGCTCGGCATGCGTTGCGCAGCGCTAGCCAAGCGCGCACGCAGTGATGCCGACATTATCCCCATTGTTCTCAGTATACGGAAGGCGAACGCAGATATTTCTGAGGACCTGACCACACTGCATGCCAATGTTGTGGGTGCCATCAACTTGGCTGCTTGGTCCCCCAGATCAAACTCGGCACTTCCCACGACACTCAGCGACGAGCTTACCGTCATTGAAGAGCGCGTCAACAAGCGTGACAGTGACCTGGACCGGCTCCGTGCTGTGCCCCTCTCCTCAGACGCGATCCCTCCACTGGAATCAGCAGCCGAGGACAGTAAGGAGAACATGGCTGAAGCTCTCCGCGCCCTCGACGTCTTCCGGCGCGTCTCTGCTCAGGCTCAGACAGTCCGCGATTTGCAGGACGAGGCGAATCGCCTCGTCGAGCAACTCGAGTTAGCCTCAGAGTCGCTTGCCGATGCCAATCCCGATTCGTCCGACACCATCCTTGCTGACCTGCGCGGGCGTGTCACCGAGTGGAACGATAACATCATCTCTAGAGTCGGTCTTGTGTCTGGACACGAGCCATCATCGTCGACATGGTCCCCGGATGGTGAGAGGAGATCGACAAGCGGCCCTTTGACACCGCCATTGACGCCCGTTGATCGCGTGGACGAGTCATCGGGCCTCATGTCGACTATGCCTGACCTCATGGAGCTCGATAGGCGCGTGCGCAGTGAGGTCAACCACCAGTCGGCGCGTGTAATGGCTTCATTGGCTCACTTGACGGGCGTGCACGACCGGCTTTCATACGAGCGCTGGGCGGCACCCGTGCGCTGCGCCACCGAGTCTCTGGACGCTGCCAAAGATGAGCTCCAAACCACCCTCAGCCGCCTGATGCAGGAGCTTGGTCACATGAATGACGACAACCAAGCCTCGCGTCACGAGCACGCCGTCGAGAGCATCCGTACGGGCGCCGAGGCCATAGGCAAGCACGCCTCGACCGTTCAATCTCTAGTGGCTAGACTCAACGATGTCCTGGGCGCTGATGCCTCGGCAGGCATAGACATGCGTCAGGCTGCAGACATCTTCTCGTCGGCAGACGTGACGCGTGAGGCTGCGCTCGAGCAGATCACCAAGGCCGAGAAATGGCAGCGGCAGCTAGAGGACATTGTCACCCAGTCATTGTTGGCACGGTCCGCCACGCCAGTAGCGCGCCGGAGTGTCGACGTTCCACGTACGCCGGAGCAGGTGGCTAAGAAAGCTAAATCATTGTCTGGTGGCTTGGACGCGTTGGACCTCGAGGCAATTGTCCACCCATCGCCCGCTCAGCTGCGTGCAACTCCAAAGCGACGACGTCTGCCCAGCTCGTCAGAGGCTAAGCAGCTCGCGAAGGCCTTCACGTCAATTGCAGACAAGGCTCGCTCCATGGCTCGCGCGCAGCCCGATTCGCCGGAACTCAAGAAGCTGCTAGACAAGGTCGCAAGCCAAGGATCGCTGGTCCCCGACCTCGCAGGACTGGCGGACGTGTCCGACGCTGCAGCTGTGTGCGATGACGCTTTCAGTCGGCTGCTCGACACAGTCGACGCGGGGGCAGAGCGTGAAACAAGGCGGCAAGCTGAGAAGGAAGCCAAGGCGGCTGTCGAGACACTGCAGCACGTATCCAAGCCACTTCTTAGTGACTCACGCGTGGCTCTTGAGAAGCGGCGTATCTTTAACACGTGGCTGGAGCTACGTGCCGTGGCCGAGGAGGACTCCACTGCAGGCAGCTCCACTACTGGCAGCTCAGCGAACGTCTCCGAGCGCCGGGCCAAGCCTCGCCTGGCTCCCCACCCCGCTACAAGGCGGATGCGGACTAACTCGATGTTCACCGCTGGTCCTGAGAGGGGCACGCCGACACCGAGCCGCGTTTTGTCAGACACCTCCCAAGCCCGCGTTAGACGCACTCGCCCGTCACTGGACAATGTGCCGTTTTCCCCAAAGACGCCAACGCGCCAACGCAATAGCCTCCCGAGCAGCATCAGTATGCCCGGTAGACCTACACCTCGAGCCATTACGCCGACTGTGCCAGTGCCCTTCAAACTCTCTACTTCACGCTCGATTAGCCGCGTGTCGCGCTCCGCGAGCTCTTCCACAAACCTCGCCGGCCTTGCGGAAACACCGACGCGCTCCCGCACGAGATTCGCTAGCGAGCCGCCGATCTCGGCCTCCGGGCGCAAGCCCAAGTTCATGCCTGCGCGTGAGAAGAGCACGCTCGACGCGGCTGTACAGAATGTCCTCAAAGAATTAGACGTGAGCCTAGCCTCGTGCTGTAACAGCTGACAGCAGATGAAGGTACCCATAGTGCCCGCAGGTCGTCTCTCACCAGACGAGTGGAAAGGAGAAAGCGGCCGCTACTGGATCGGGCATGGTGCCCGAGCCCGTATGTGCTTCTGCCGCATTTTGGAATCTAAAACGGTCATGGTGCGCGTTGGCGGGGGCTGGTGCGAGCTCACTCGCTACCTCCTTTCGCACTTTGCCGACGAGATTGAAGCTACTTCGTCACTGCCGGAGTGGAACACGACGCCGGTCACGGTCACGAGTGCAAGTCTAAAGAACGCCCCTGCGTCATTGACATCACTCCAGCCCAGTACGCCCAGCCGCGCTAGCCTCCCGGCTCAGTTCACGCCGGAGCACGCTACTACCCCACTGCCTCTACGCGCTGCGTCATTATCGCCCGAGAAGAGCCCGGGGCCAGGCTCTCCACTCGTCCCGTTCCAGTACTTGCGCAAGGCGAGCGAAAGCCCCAGCGTGCGTGACAAGGAGCGCGCCGCGCTGCGCCGCAACCTTGAGAGTGCTCGAGGCAAGTAGCCGGCGTATATGCCCCTGCTTTAGCCGCCAAATTCGGCGGGTGCCGACGTTGCCGATGTTGTTAGCGTCATGTCGGCTGATGAGCTGGGCGCCATCGACGCCATTGCGCGCCCCAATTGTGTGCGTGCGACGAGACAATCTTTCTCCTCTCTAGACATGTCACTGCGTGGTCGATTCAACACTAGCATACTCTGTTGTACAATATGGTTGATAACAATTGCCAATGTAATATGTCTGCTCCTCACATTAATGCAGGTATGGGTGGGCCGGTTGAAGGCATGCAATGTCGGGTATGATATGATCGGTGACGATATGACGAGGTGTTTGGCTGGCCAGAAACCGGCTCGGACGAACCGGGCCCGAATCGGAATATCACCGGCTAGATGGGGGCGAAGGCGGAGAAGGCGATAGCGGCGCGCCGACCTCCTCCTCGCCGAGGTCGCGGAGCACGTCGCGGAAGAGCTCGAGCGCCATCGCCGCGGGGTCGCCGAGCGCGTTCGACTGGCCATCAGTACGAAGTCGGCGGAAGGGTGGGGGACAGGTGGGGTGTTTCCGCACGTGCCTGACGCCAAGGATGGATCTGGGCGTCGGAGGTTGGCTGTTCGCCAGTGCCAGCTCTCGCTTACAACGCGTGCTCTACTCGCATTGTCTCGCGTTCCAGATAGCCGGAAAACTCACTGTCATCACGCGCAGCGTGTCGCTCGCCCAGGGGGTGCGGCCACGGATCCAGCGCTCCCAAGCCTCGGATGCGCGCGGACCATCGTGCCCGTGCAGGTTGCAGATGATGTGCAGCTGGTGTAAGCTTATCGCGCGCCTGAGCTTATCGCTTCTTGCTGCGCTCTAGCAGCTAGCCGGGCGATGCCACACTCGCGCCTCGCCCACGTTCTCTCACGCTCGCACCGCGCCGCCACACTTATAGCACAGGCCATGTATGCGCTTGGCGCATTCCGCTATCGCCACTAATAATCCCTCTCCCGTCCACACGGGAACTGCCGGCTCGGCCCTCCCGCCGGCTCGTCCGGCTCAGCCCACAACCTCGCCGCACTCGCCAACTCTACTCACCTTGAGGCTGTTGAGATTCTCATTGATGCGACACTGCTGCGCGTCCATGCGCGCGACGAGCTGGCTCGCGAACGCGTTCATCCCGGTGCGCGCCGCGGCCCCAATCGCCTCAGCGTATGTCGGCCGTTGGCGATGCAGGCGCTCAAAGGGCGCACGGAGACGAATGAGTTTCTGAGCCTGCTGATCAGCACACGTTCTGTGTGTCGTTTATGCAATATCACATTGCTCCTATGCACCCCCGCCTCCTCGTCGCGCGCTTCTCGCGCCCAATACGCTCGCCTGTTCTCCGCTTGCCTCTCTCTGCTCCCTCTCCGCGGCACAACTCACACATTTAGCATCCCACGCCCAGTTTCCCAGCGCGTGCAGAAAGTCGAGCTGTTCCAACTCGTCAGGAGTGTACGCGTCGATCTCCGGATTTGGGTAGTTGAGACCACAGTGAGGGCATGTTGTGTTGCCCAACGCCGCAGTGGGAAGAAAGGGGGAGCGTGGACTGGCGAGGGGTGCGGGAATGATGGGCGAAGGAGGGGGGAGGGTGAGAGATAATGGCGGCGGAGTTCTAGGCTTTGGTGGAGAGCGTGGGGGAGTGATGGGTGAAGCAATTCGCGCCGCTCGCGTCCGCTTAAGCGGGCGGAGCGGGCGGGACGGGGCGCACACCTCGAAAGGGGGGTGTTGGAGGGGATGAAGGAGAGCGTCCTCGTACTGGTCTCGCGTCATGATCATAGTGGACGGTGCATGTCGGGAAGGGGATGAGGAGGAGGAGGACCGAGGGGAGGGTGGTGGCGGGGATGAAAGTGGTGATGGCGACAGAGCAGGCAATATTGCAGTTGAGAGGTGGCTGAGAAACGAGAGAGGAGTGAGGACGAGTGATGAGGAGTAATGAGAGGACAAGTGATTTGGAGCGATGATGCACTGTTCTCCGCTCTCTCTCGTTGTCTCTTGCTCGGTCCCACACACTTGCCGGTTAATCGGGTAACGTCAAAATCCACTTCATAGTGGCAAAACCGCAGCCGTCGGATCTTCGTTTCCGCCACCGTGCCTCCCCCTCGTGTGCCTGTCGTTTCGTCCACCGCACGTTCCCCTCCGGCTTTCAACCCCGATCATCGTCTGGGGTCTCCACTCCTCCCATTCTAAAATAAAAATTAGCCGACTCTGGGGCGTATGACGCCGATGCCCTCCCTCTGCCGAGCCAGCCGAGCGGTTGACTCATCCGCTGTCAGAATCTCGCTTGTCATCATCATCTTCAAAGCCTACAATGTCCTCCTTCTCCACCAACCACTAACTCACTCATCCACTGATGCCACCAAAACCGACATCTGTCGCACGCGTCACGCGCTCCTCGACGCGAATAGCATCTACGGCCACCACTCAAGTCGTGGTTGCTACCGAAGTGGAGGCCCCTCCTCCCAAGAAGCGTCGCACCGTCAAGAAAGCAGCCGCCCCAGTTGCAGCTCCAACCCTCGCTCTCGACCCCATCGCGCCCACACGTTCTACACCGCCTCCCTTCCACCTGCCCGATGCGATCGCTCACCTCTCCGCCGTGGATCGTCGATTCGCAACACTCTTCGAGCGCATCCCTTGTCGCCCCTTTGTGGAAGCTGCGGATGGGCAACCAGCGGCTGGTGCCGGCGCGGCTGTTGCAGCTGCTACCGCTGCCGGCGCAAAAGCTCCGGTCAACGGGGCAGAGGACAGAGGCCCTGAAGAGCTGGTTCAACGCACGGTCGACCCCTTCCGCACCCTCGTCACGTCGATTATCGGCCAGCAGGTGTCGTGGATGGCGGCGAGGAGTATTACAAAGCGTTTTGTGGAGCTGTTTTGCGGGCCTGTCGAGGATGTGCAAAGCCGCAAAGAAGAGGGTCCTTTCCCGACGCGAGAGCAAGTCGCGAAGGCGGACGTGGCAGCCCTCAAGGGGGTCGGCTGTAGCACGCGAAAGGCCGAGTATTGTGAGTGCATTCGAGGGTGACGAAGCGAGGGAGGCGAAACAGGTCGCGGGGAAGGAACGGGACTGGGGAAGCAGCGAGCGCCGCACGGATTGAGCCCAGTTGACGAAAGTAATCGGCCTCGCACAGGACTTTGTCAGTGGCCGCCTCACAGACGACCTCCTCATTAATGGGACCGACGCCGAGGTAGCCGAGGCGCTCATCGCCGTGCGTGGCATCGGGCGCTGGACCGTCGACATGTTCCTTATCTTCACATTACGGCGCCCGGACATACTTCCCGTCGGTGACCTCGGCGTGCAGAAAGGTTTACTGCGCTGGGTTTTAGCTGCGCATGGCGCGCTACCTCCGCCCACACCCAAAACACCGAAAACGCCCAAGACGCCCAAGAAGTCGGCAAGCACTACCCCAGCCACACCAACCATGACAGAGATCACTCTAACGAAGGTCGAGCCCACGCCGCTTGGACCGAGCGACTCTACCGCCACCCTCCTTAACGAAGCGCCAGCTACGCCTCTGAAGTCGTCTATGAGCGCCGTGCAGACCCCCTCCAAGTTCCCATCCACGCCCGGACCACCGCCTGTTACGCCGAGCGCAAGCACCAACCCCCAACTGCCGCCGACCATGTCTGACTCCATCCTGGCCACGCCGCACGACTGGACGCATCAATGCGCGTGCCGCGCCGCGCCTCTGCCGGAAGGCCTTACGGTCAGCACACTCCGCTCCCGGCTGGCAGGCAAGAAGGCAAAGGGCGGCACGTACCTCCTTCCGGAGGAGATGGAGGCGCTCACACATGCATGGCGGCCATACCGCTCCTTGGGGGTGTACTATACTTGGACGATGGCGGGCGAGTCACCGAATACGAGTGCTCCATAGAGTGCGGACGCATCTCGTTGTATGCATTTTGTTATGGCATTGCATTCACAAGCTTGCAAATCAACCTTAATGAGGGCATTTGCCACGCCAAAGCCACGCCAAAGCCACGCCAAAGCCACGCCGCCACACTCAATTTTCTCCGTAAACCCGCCCATGCATGCAGCGGTGGACTTTTGCGCTCATCATTGTCCTCGCCGCCGACGCCGTAGCACCCAGCACCGTTCCCACCGTCTGCGCCGCCACCCCCGCAGACACAAAAGGCCACTCCGCACACGCGTACGGCCCACCGACTTTCCCCTTCCCCTACGATGGCCGACCCAACCGCGTTCTACGAGCCCGAGGAGGATGAGCTCCTCTCGTCCCTCGCCGTGCCGCAGTACGGCGGCGAGCAGGGCTATACTAACGAGGAGAGCTACCGCCGCCTTCAGGAGCTGGAGCAGCACGCGTACGCGCAGCAGCTCGCTGCCGCCGAGAAGGACCAGGCGCAGGCGCTCGAGGCGATCCCCGAGGATGTCAAGCGCGTACGTTTGATGAACGCGAGCGCGTCGCGAGTCTAACAACAGTTCCTCGTGCTCTTCCACCAGGCGATACTCGAGAACGACCTCCCCACCATCACGAACATGTACGAGAGCGGGTGGAACAAGCTCACTCAGGTGAGTTTGGAGAGATGACATAGCTAACCCTAGGCGTACTACCAGCACGCCGAGTGGCCTGAGGCCGAGCTCATCGCGCCTCTTGTCCAGAACGACCAGGTGTTCCTTACGCTCTACCGCGAGCTGTACTTCCGCCACGTTTACGCACGTCTGCAGCCTACGATCGACGACCGCTTCCAGTCGTACGAGAACATCTGCGAGCTGTTCAACTACTTGTTGAACTCGGACGGCCCCGTGCCGCTCGACCTCCCAATCCAGTGGCTGTGGGACATGCTCGATGAGTTCGTGTACCAGTTCCAGTCGTTCGCGCAGTGGCGCGCGAACCCCAAGACGAAGAACGAGGACGAGCTCGACATGCTTGCGGAGGCGAGCCAGATCTGGTCGTGCTACTCGGTCCTCAACGTGCTGTACTCGCTTGTGCAGAAGTCACAGATTAACGAGCAGCTCCAGGCTGAGAAGGAGGGCAAGAGTGCTGAGGAAGTCGCCGAGATTGCGGGCGAGTACGGCTCCAAGCCGCTCTACCGCAACCTGGGCTACTTCTCGCTCATCTGCCTGCTGCGCGTGCACGTGCTTCTGGGCGACCCGACACTGGCTCTCCAGACGATGGAGAACGTCGAGCTCTCGAGCAACGCTTTCCTTACCCGCATCACCGCGTGCCACGTCACGACCTACTACCACGTCGGATGTGCGTACATGGCGCTCGGCCGGTGGCCGGACGCCGTCAAGACGTTCATCAGCGTCCTCATCTTCTTCCTGCGCATGAAGCAGTACCACACCAGGAGTTACCAGTACGGCTCGATCACGAAGACGTCCGAGCGCATGTACGCGCTCCTCGCGATCTGCACGACGCTCTCGCCCGGCCCGACCGACGACTCGATCATGTCCAACGTCAAGGAGCACTACGGCGACCAGCTGCAGACGCTCCAGCGCGGCGGCGACGAGGCGCTCGAGGTGTACAAGGAGCTCTTCCTGCAGGCGTGCCCCAAGTACTTGAACGTGAACCCGCCTCCGTACGAGGACCAGGACGCGCTGCAGGAGTACATGGCTGCGCCGCCGCCCGAGGCGACGCAGCGCCACCTCGACCTGTTCCTGTCGGACGTGACGGCCGTCCGCGGCGTCAGCAACGTCCGCAACCTCTTGAAGCTGTACACGTCGATCGATGCGGCCAAGCTCGCAGCCTTCCTGACCGCCGGCGACGCCGAGGAGGAGGTGCTCGAGCAGCTCATGGTGCTCAAGGCCGCGTCGCGCACGTACGGCAAGCACGCTGGCGGCGGCTCGCTTCTCGACGGCGACCGCATCGTCACCAACAACCTCGACTTCACCGTCGACGGCACGATGGTGCACGTTGAGGAGACGACGGCGCACCGCCGCTTCGCGGGCTTCTTCATCCGCAACGCCGAGCACGCGCAGCGCGTGTACAACACCATCCGCACCGCCCCACTTCCGTCTCCCCGTCGCAAGGAGGACGAGGCGAAGAAGGAGGCGTCTAAGCCTGAGCAGCGGAAACCCCAGGCGTGGGCGCCCAAGTCGCGCGTGCGCGTCGCTGCTTAAGCGCGACGACGGGAGATGTCGGCGATGATTGCGTAGCGCGGGCGGGGGCACCCGCCTGCGGAGCCTGGCGCGGTAGGCGTGCCGGGATAGAGTAGCTGTGACATATGCATACATAAACGGAAGTGCGGCCGGGTGCCGGCGGAAGGGCACGTGGGAGCCGGATGCGATATCGGACGACGACGAGCTGCCGAGTTGCGTGTCGGTGCCTGACTGTGCGGAATGCGACACCATGGCCCGGCGATCCCTGCCAGTAGACTTCTAATCTTTGCGTAACATCATCACCATGGCCGCGACCACCAACCCCATCGCCGCGTTCTTCGCCGCGGCGTGGTGGAACATCCTCACCCTCGTACACTCGGGCTGGGTTTTCCTCCCCTGGATCCGCCCACACTGGACGGTGGACCAGATGGCCGACCAGCGCGGCCGCGTGCGTCCCTCGCCGTCACCGCTGACCCCAGGTCGTAGTCATCACGGGCGGGAACAGCGGGACGGGCTACGCAACCGCCGCGGCATACTATGCGCGCGGGGCGCGCGTGCTCCTCCTCTGCCGCTCGGCTGAGCGCGCCGCCGCCGCCATCGCGGACCTGCAGCGCGGCGGCGTCGCCAACGTCCTCTCGGAGATGGAGTATGCGCCCGTCGACACTTCGCGCGCCGGCACGCTCGAACACATCCCCTGCGACCTCGCGGACCTGGACAGCGTGGCTGCCGCGGCGCGCGCGATCGCCGCGCGCGTGCAGCGCGTCGACGTGCTCTTCGCAAACGCGGGTATCATGGCGATGCGCGGGCGCACGAAGCAGGGATACCCGCTGCAGTTCGGGACGAATGTACGGCGCTAGCACTAGGACAGGCAGAGCTGACCCCAGGTTCTGGGGCACCAGCGCCTCATCGCCCTCCTCCTCCCGCAGCTTCGGACGCCGCGCTCGCGCCCCGCGCGCATCATCACCGTCGCGTCTGCTGCGCACGTTTCGGCGCCGCCGGGCGGCGTCGACTATGCGGCGCTGGACGCGCGCGCCGCGCGCGACGCGTGGCTCGAGTACGGCGAAAGCAAGTGGGCAAACATCGCGCTCGCGAAGTACATGCATGCGCGGTGGGGCCCGGCGTGCGCCGACGGCGTGTGCGGCGTCCCAGCCCCCGGCACCGGCGAGATCATCAGCGTCGCGGTACACCCCGGCATCGTTGCGACGAATCTCTTCATGCACAATGCGTGGGCCAAGTGGCTCAGCCACAAGTTTACGTGGGCGCTGCGCTGTGTCTCGGCGACGGCGGCGACGGGGGCGCTCAACCAGATTTGGGCGGCGGAAGTCGCCGATCCTGTCGCGCGAGAGCTTAGCGGCGCATATGTGTGGTGTTATCAGTGCAAGGGGAGGGAGAGGGCCGACTTGGATGCTGCCGCGGGGGAAAAGGTTTGGGCATGGTGCGAGACCCAGGTCGCGCGCCAGGAGTAGAGGTAGATGTAGAGTTGTGGTAGGTGTAGAGGTCGGTAGATGGTGTAGAGCGGTAAAGGGATAGGTAACGAGGCATGCATAGCTACAGCGCCACGATCTCGCGAATGCGCTCGGCCAGCACTTCGAACGCACTCTCTGCCGCGGCGAGCGCGTCTTCTGTGTTCTCATCCGGCACGTTGCTCTCCGGCACCTCGAGGGTAAACCCGGGCGCGAACGCCTCGATGTTCTCGTGGTCGGGCACGTCCATTTTCGGGCTGATCTCTTTGCCGACTATCACCCCCGTGGCGAGTGCCCACGCCCGTGCCGCGTTGGCGTGCTCGTAACCCCCACCGCCCAACACGGCGCTCGGCACGCCCCACCCAATCACCCTCTGGACCACCCACGTACTTCCACCCTCGCCATGAGGACTCCAAGCGCCCCACTGTCCGATGCGGTCACCGGGCAGACCGTCCACGCCAAGCTGCAACACCACATAATCTGGGTCCCACGCGGCCTTGATCATCTCGACGCACTTCCACGCACGGGCATAGGAGGGAGCATGGGCAAACGCCGCTAGCGGAAGAGAGAGTGAGAAAGGATGCGGCGTGTTGGAGGATGTTAGGCCTGGCGCCCCGGGAGGGAAGAAGACGCGGCTTTGATGATGGATGGACAAAGTCAGGACTTGTGGCGCGCGAGGTCGCCCTAGCAGCGGATAAGGATAGTGCGTGGGGGAGGTAAAGGCCGTGGCAACGCCATCGCCATAGTGCAGGTCCATGTCGAGATACATGATGCGCGCGCGGCGTGTGCGCTGTGGAATAGCAGTGGCAGAGGCGGAGAGGTGTGAGCGTGGCATGCCCTCCCGTGCGAGGAGCAGGATACCCAGCACCGCATCTGCGACGTAGCAGAATCCACTCGCTTTGGCGCGTAGAGCGTGGTGTCGGCCCCCGTCCCATACTATAGCTGTCCTTGCCGTTCCGCGGGCCAGGAGGCGGCAGGCGGTGAGCGTCGCGGCCGCGACAAGAGGCACGTAGGCGCGCAGCGCGGGAAAGCGTGGGCAATCCTGTTGTCAGAAAGAATGTAATGCAAAACAAACGTCTTCTAGGCCCATAGCTTCGCGGCGACGTTTACGAGGTCCGTCCTCATTGTCGGAGGAAGCATCAGAGTCGGAGGAAGAGGAGGATGAGGAGGATGAGGAGGCGGCGTAGGGCTGGAGCACATAGTCTGCAAGCATTAGCAAAGCACGAGGATTTGAGCTTACCGAGGTAACGCTGGTCATGATAACGTCTTAGTTCGGCGCGTGTGGCGAGCGAAGGATCCGGAGGAACGAGACGGACGCCGTGTATTGGTGGCTCCACTGGTTCCCCGTGGTCGTCGTCGTCGGTATCTTCGTCATGGCTTCGCGGACTCATGGATGCGGCCGAACTGGGGCATACGCCACTGTGTCCGTTTCCGTCGCCATCGCCTTCGCCGTCGCCGTCTACGTTGCCGTTCTCGTTGCCTTCTCCGCTGCCTTCTCCGTTGCCCTCTCCGTTACCGCAAGCTTCCCTTCCGCCATCCACACCGTCCTTTACCTCCCCGGCTGTTTCGAGGCTGTTTTCGAGCAACCCAAGGGCGCGGACAAGACCGTGAACGAGACTCGAGCGGCCCACATTTGCTGGGAGCTCGTCTGCGGCACGCTGAAGTTCTGGACTCCAGATGTACGCGACTGAGGCCATGGTGGATGGGCGATACCAACATATCTCGAATTGTTTGGCTCCCCCACCTTCTCCCTGTACCTTATGATTGGGTGATGGGAGTATATATGTCTCACTCTGAAACGTTGTTGTGTCTAATAACTGCCTCGTTATATCAGTCGGTAGATTAAATGACTCTTAAATGCAGCTTTAGCTGGTTGATCATTCGGTCGTGGGTTCGAGCCCCACACGAGGCTTAACTTTTGGCCTCGGACTCTGGTACGTGAAAGAGGGGAGTGCAAACGCAGAGACTTACGAGGGGACATGGGGCAATGTCGAGCGACAGCGTTCTCGGCCAGATGGCCTGATGAAGCGGAAGCTCGTTGTTTACTTCTGCGATGGCTGGTTAGTGGAGCCCTCGAGTCATCTCCCCGGATATGCTGGAAGTGGTCAGGTGTTCTCGACTGATCTCGGCAAGTCGATAGGCAGCAACTGCGAGCCTAATGGACAAGCTGCCGGCTGCGAGTTGGCGCTCGCACGACACAACCCGGTCTTGATATCCTGCGTACCTGCGTGGGGTCGTAGTTGATTTCTTTGGTGATGGGAGAGAGGGCTAAGTCTAGGGTTCGCAGTCAGGGTCGATGGAAGGTGTCCACCGGATGAACCGTGCAGCGCCAAACCAGGGCGGAAGGCACCCTCAATCTCCACCATCCAACTGCGACCTCCCGCGCCGGTCTCGCTCATGACGCCCACAGTTGATAAACTTGCGCCCAAGAGCTCAAGCAACAAGGTCTACTGTACGCGATATACGCAAGCGTTCTCTTCATGAATGACTCAGGCCAAGGGACGAAGGAGGAAGTGGGGAGGGAGAAGCGAACGAGTATGTGGCTGGTTGGGTGGAAGAGATGACGAGATTGGGCGGCGACAACGGGTGCAAAAGGGCGGAGGCGGCTGGAAAACGGCCACCATCCCCTGGGCCCACGCGCCCAGTGAGCCCACGAGCCCAAAGGCCATGAGGCCACAAGCACTTTGTGCGATTCCCCACCCACTCTCTCCCAGCTCCCAGGCCGCCGCCCTCCGCCTCCGCCGCTCCGCCTGGCCGCCTGCCTCCGCCCCCTCCGCCCACCACCAACCACCACCGTAGGCTTTGCCCGCCCAAGCGAAAGCTTGGTGCGATCGCACTTTCGACGTCAACAAACACAAACACCCTCACACCCACCCATCTCCGAGACCACATTCATTTAACCCCCCCTCCCCTCCTCTCCTTTTCTCCTTCTCCATGTCCCGCATCCCCGTTCCAAACGGCGGACTTCAGCACGCTCCATCATCTCCAGGCATGCCGTCCACTCCAGCCTCTGAGCCTCGCAGGAAGACGAATCGTCGTGACGAGGTAAGTCCTCCCTCTCACCCCCCACGCTTCCCTCGCCTCCTTTCTACATTCTCTTCGCTACCTTTATGGGGCTCGAAGACGCATGCTGCAATCCATGTCCCATCAGCATCTCGGTGGGAAAACTCCTCCGGTGATCTTGGGTCGGACGTGGACGGGGTCCGGGCACGTTCGCACCGAGGCGTGCCGAACATAACCCATCACCCCTAGCCCTTTGTCCTTTGTCCTCCAGCCTCGAGATGAAAGGACGACAGGCTACGGGAGAGCAAAAGAGTACGAGTCATACATGCGAAGATGGGTGGCGTTGTTGAGATTGCACTGCCAAAGACCATAAAGCGGCTCGACCGCTGGTTGTTGGTGCACGGATCCAACCTCACCCCGCAACAGTTTGTGACTCTCTCTCGCTCCTCTCATCAGTTGTTGTCTCTGCAGTTGAAGACAACCAACACCTATGGACCTACCTCTTCGCTCGTCCTCCCTTGCTAGCAGCGTCACTTTCCCGTCTCCCCCAACCCACATCCCTCCTCTCCTCCCTCCTAGCCCTCCTCCCCCTTCTTGTGCCCCACAGCCCTTGCGTGGCTCATCATTCTTTTGGAACGGCGCTCAGACTTTTCCCTCTTCTCCTCCACAACCAACCGCGTCACTTCCAATGTCACCTCTCGACACCAACATCCCTCTCGATGGCGGCCGCACCACGCAAAAACCTCTCGACACTCCCCCCGCCTCCTCTCACTCTCTCTCCACCTCTCCCAAAACTCCTTTCCAACCTTTCCCCGCCTCTGATCGCGAACGTCGGCTCTCTCAACATCTCGACCATGTGCCTTCCGATATTCCGGGCCTACCTTCCTCCAAATCCACGCCGTCGCCCGCGTATCCCGGCTTGCCAAACGGCCCCGATAAACCGCGACGCCGCAAACGTACCATGCCCATGCCTACGCCCCCAACGGACGAACAACGCCTCGCGGAATCTCTCGAATCAACCGAAAACTCGACCAAATACCACTCCAATCTCTCTCGGGCTGATGTGACGGCCTCCGGTAAACTCGTACGCGGCTCTACTGTTCGTCAAATGTCGTACAAATTCCAGTCGCTGCGTAAGAAGATTGAGAATGAGCTCTCGCGCAAGCGTCCCGGCGGTGGCCGCGGCCAGCAAGAGGGCACCCCGTCTGGCTTCAAGCGCCAGTCCAAGCGCAACATCAAGGGCACCGTTGCCGGCCTGCGCCCCAGCCCGGCGCTGACCGTTCCGGAGGGCATGAGCGTTGCCGACGCCGCCCAGCTGTGCGCTGCCAAGCGCACTGACTGTGTCCTCGTCGTTGACGATGAGGAAGGCCTCAGCGGTATCTTCACCGCTAAGGACCTCGCATTCCGCGTTACTGCTGAGGGTCTTGACCCGCGCCTCACCGCTGTTTCGAGCATCATGACTCGTAACCCCATGGTCACCCGTGACACCACCAGCGCGACGGAGGCGCTGCAGCTTATGGTCTCGCGCCATTTCCGTCACCTCGTGAGTTCCTAACCTGAAGTTCTTGACTAACTGTAGCCTGTCTGTAACGAGGATGGCGACGTGGTCGGTCTCCTTGACATCACCAAGGTCTTCCACGATGCTCTTGCCAAGGTCGAGCGCAGCTCGTCGGCCACCAACCAGCTCTCGGCCGCTCTTGCTGGCGTCCAGAGCGAGCTTGGCCCTGGCCTCAACAACCCCCAGGCTGCTGCTATGCTCGCCTACGTTGATGCTCTGCGTGACAAGATGGCCCAGCCGGACCTCATGTCGGTTCTTGACACTAGCCTTCCTCCGCCGACCGTCACTCCGCGCACTTCAGTGCGTGAAGCTGCCCGCCTCATGAAGGACCGCAGAACAACGGCGGTCTGCGTCCTCGAGACCAACTCGGGCACCAGCACCCTTTCCGGTGTCAGCAACCCCAGCGCCGCGCCCAAGATTGCTGGCATCTTCACCTCCAAGGACATTGTCCTTCGCGTCATTGCCGCCGGCCTTGACGCTTCGCGCTGCAGTGTGGTGCGCGTCATGACCCCGCACCCCGACACAGCTCCGCCCTACATGATCGTCCAGGATGCTCTTAAGAAGATGCACAACGGGCATTACCTCAATCTTCCTGTCGTCACCGAGGACGAGGGGCGGCTCATTGGCATTGTCGATGTGCTCAAGCTCACCTACGCGACGCTCGAGCAGATCGAGTCTATGAACGAGGAGACCGGCAGCGAGAGTGGTGGCCCCATGTGGGGCAAGTTCTTTGACACTCTTAACCAGGGAGCGCCGGACGATGACTCTATTTCAGCCATTTCGCGCCACTCGTCGCATGACACGCCCTCGAAGAGCCACCAGCGCGGTCTCTCGGTTACCTCGCCCATCTCAGAGCTCATGCCTGGAGACTCCGCATCGGCTGTCAACGAGGACATCTCAGACATCGGCATCAGCAAGGGCCCCGCCTCGTCCGTCGCTGCCCCCGGCCTCCCCGAGGACGACGGCACCTACGTCTTCAAGTTCAAGACGCCATCTGGACGGACGCACCGCTTCCAGGCTCGTCACGACAGCTACGACCTTCTCCGTGACATTGTGCTGGGCAAGCTCCAGGTGGACCCCTTCTTCGAGCCATCATCTGACCCGAACGCTTTCATCCCCGACCCTACTTGCTTCGTCCTCAGCTACACTGACGACGAGGGTGATCTCGTAGACATCACCGCGGACGGTGACGTGGCTGACGCGGTCCGCGTCGCTCGCGGGCAGAAGTCGTCTCGCGTCGTGCTCTCCGTGCACGGCGGCAAGAACTGGGAGGAGGCTGTTCGCCAGAGCGCGGCTGCTGCTGCCGCCGCCGCTGCTGAGGAGGCTGCGGAAGAGGTCAAGCCTGCTGTCGTTCAGCAGGAGAAGATCGAAACGATACCCGAGGTGCCCGAGGTGTCTGCTGGCGACCCCGCCGAGTCGCTGAAGGACCCCAAGGCTGATCCCGCTGTTGTTCCTACGTACGGTGCGACGGGCGTACACGCGCGCAACATTGTCGAGCCCAACGACCTTGTGCTTGGCGTCCTGCCAAAGGACTTGGCGCTGCCCGCAGCCATTGGCTTCCTGGGCGTTGTCATTGCGGGCGTTTTCGTCGCCTCGCGCGCGAGCAAGTAGACTTCAGCGCCTAGATCTGTACTGTATTCCTTCTCCGTTTCGTAAACGAAAACCGTCACGACAGGGCATGTATAGTGTGCGGCTGTAATCGTGGTGTGCGATGGGGTGCTTTTGGCCATGTGGAAGAGTCGAAGACGTGGTGAAGAAGGTCAGCCTTTGCGCTGCTGTCAGTCCCTCTCAGCCTGTATGATGAGTGCATGCTAAGTCTACAAAATGCTGGCCTATTGCCGCCCAAGCAACCGAAGAATGTTGGAGGGAGGCTGGGGCACTGGGGCGTTGAAGAGAGGTGCGGAGATCTGGGTGCTGCGTGTTAGCGGTGCTCCAAAGCGGCGCGTAGAACCGAAGCGCAAAGTGGAACTGGAAACAAGGAACTGCGAGACAGAGGAAGCTGCGAGCGAGAAGGGTCAAGAGGAGAGGATGTGCAGAGAGCCATCCACAACGGCCCGTGGCAGTCCGCCGTCCTCAGACTCCAGTTCTGAGAGAAAGTCTCTCGCCGTCCCCGCACCTTCTGCTCTCATCCCCCAGTCATCCTTCTGCGCGACTCCTCAAAGCATTCCCCCTCCCATCCCTTCACCCTCCACCTTCTCCTGTACTCACGAGAACGCCTTGCGGTTGATCGAGTTCAGCTTCTTCGCCGTCTGCGCGTTGTTGCGCGTGTTCTGTCCACGGACGGGCAGACCCATAGCGTGGCGACGGCCGCGGTACGTCCCGATCTGGCGGTGGTGGAGGATGTCGGCCTGGCGCTGGCGGCGCAAGTCGGTCTCGATGAGGAGAGAGTTGAGGGGGTCGGTCACGCCCTTGCCGCGGGCGTCCGGCGCCTGCGCGCCGCTCGCAACGTCCACGGGCGTCGCGCCTGGTGGCGCCGACGTCGCCGGCGAAGACAGGTACGCGGACAGCGCAGTCACCTGCGTCTCGGTGAGGGAGGAGACGCGGGCGCGCTCGGGGATCTGCAGGCGCGCGAGGAGGCGCGCCGCCATCGCCTGGTTGATGCCGTAGAAGGCGGTGAGGGCGACCTTGAGCGCCTTGTGCTCGGGCAGGTGGTGGCCGAGAAGATGCATCGGGGCGGAGGGGGGAGTAGGAGAAGGGAAAGGGGGACGCTGTCGTGCGCGTCGAGGAGCTGGGCCGGAGAGCTCGCTGTCGCTGTCGCTGTCGCTCTTGCTGTTGATGCGATGAGGTTGGTTTCAAAAGTCGGAAATGAACCGTGTGCCACCGGCGGAAAAAAGCGGAATCGCCGATCTTGTGCCTCTGCCTGAGATTTCGAGCCTTGGGCACACGAGACACTCCGTCGACTGCAGCACTCCACTCACACCATCATGCACGCAACGCTCGGCCTGCTGCAAAAGTTCGCGCCGACCGTCGCGCAGGCGCACCCCACTGGCGAGGCGTTCGCGATCGTCCGCCGCATGCTCCAGGAGCGTCCGCGGCATTTTCGCGAGATCCTCGCGGACGGCATTGCGAGCACGACACCGGAAGGCGATGACAAGCCCGTCGCGTACAAGATGAAGAAGTCCAAGGGCAAGGGCAAGGCCGAGGTCGAGTCCATCGCCGTGCCCGAGGGACATCCCTTCATGTCTGGGACGTGAGTTGGGTTATGGAGAGACATGTGCCTTTTCCTCCTCCGAAGCGTGTACTGCCAAACAGCGCGGGGCAGCGCTACCTTCCTCCTTCCCCCCTCCCCCTCGCCCGCTTACTCTAGATTCCTCAAGAAGCGCATCATTCCCGTCCTTGAGTCGCAGAACCTTGTGCGCAAGGCATGGCTTGACGCGGTGCCGGGTTCGTCACTCGCCAAGATGTCGCACCACCAGCGCAAGCACGCGATGTGGGTGATCCAGGAGGAGGGCAAGCTGGCCGAGCGGTGGGATGCGATCACGGATCCGTCGCTCACGCTCCCCACGCTGCGGCGCTTGGGAGCGGAGGAGCGCGCAGCGAAGGCGGAGGCCGCGGTGAAGCGCCGCGAAGCGGCCTTCAACTCGGGCCGGGAGGAGCGTACCGAGCGCGACATTATGGCGTGGGCCGACCGCCCGGTGGGGTTTACGACGAGCCTGGAGCGCAAGCACCTGAACACGCGGCGGGCGCGCGCGCGGCCCATCAAGGAGGCGCTCGTCGCGGAGCGGGCGGTGGTCAAGGCCGAGGTCGCCAAGGCGCTCGAGGCGGACAAGAAGACGTTGAGCAAGATTGCGAGCCGCGTTCAGAAGTCGAGCGCGGCGGCCGTCGAGAAGAGCGCTGAGGCTGCCAAGGCCGCGGCCGAGGCCGTCGAGGCGCATCGGGCCGCGCAGGCGGCCAAGGAGAAGAGGGACCAGGAGCTGGCGCGCCGGCGCAAGGCGCAGAGCGCCGAGGCCCGCAAGGCCAACCGCGCCAAGGAAGCCGAGGGCAAGGCTGAGGGCAAGGACAAGGTCCCGGCATAGACATGCATATTCATCACTCATGGGCGTGAGTAGGGGGGTTGGAGACGTGGTGGCCAGCGGGCGAAGCCTTCCTTTGAGTTACTTACGTTGCTCACGTCTACTTATCGCCCTGCTGGAGGCGCGATGCTCATATCAACTGTTCTGCTGGATGCATGAAGCTTGCACTGCCGGCTAGGAGCGTGCCAAACGGAGCTCGGACGAACACGACGTGGTGATGTGAGTGCCAACTCTCTGAATACATTGCGCTCCAAGACAGTTCATGTCGCCTCCCTCGCCTGTAAGAGGCGGGCCAGAGATCTGCGTGCTTGCTAGTCCGACGCATACGCCCTTCCACTGTCGGCGTTGAACGCGCACTTCGCTCATTCAAATCCTTGGCCGCGCTGAAACCAAGGCCCAGTAGCCAAACGCTACCACTTTCGGGGGTTTGCGCATCCTTGCATTGACATACCCGAGTCGATTCTCATGGCATCCCAAGGTCTGTCTGGGGTGGATCTACAACAGCACGCGCCGCGCCACACTGTACACTATCGGGCGGCGCGCGGGTGGAGTGCTCAGTCGCCCAGACGTGTGACGATTGTCGCGAGTCCGAAGTGATGGTGTCTTCATACAACCCGCAGCCTTGGGCGTCTGAATGAATGCGACACCTGCCGCCGAGTTCGGCGGTGCATTTGTGCCTCCCCATCTCCGAAATCTCACGGAAGACAGTAGTCCCACTCCGTCAGCCTCACGGGCTGATCTTGTAAACAACCTCCACCGCGGTTGTCAGGCACGGCGCGTCATAGCGCTCCGTCTGCTGCATATAATGAATGTCAACCTCTCCATGCACTCCGCCTCTCCCTTCGGCTTCGCACCTTCACGCCTGCGATGTATAGACCCCCGCTCACGCACCACGCGACGTCGTCGTCTTCTGGCCGACAGCCGTCCTTCGAGGGCCCGCCCCTCGTCCCCCTCCTCGCTGAAATACCCGTCTTCGTCGTCCCAGCCAAACTCGACATGATCGAGGTCGTGAGCCAGATCGAGGCGCTCGGCGGCGTGCGTGCTCTGCGTCCAGAGGAAGCTGTGATGGTGATCACGGCTCTCCGAGGTCGACCGCGACTCGCGAGGGTGCTGGGTGATGCAGTGGTATGTGTCTCTGCGTGGCCAGCCGGCCGAGCTGATGGCAGGACACTGTCGCCGTCCTCCGCGCCGAGTTCGTAGCCGACGCATACGAGCTGGCGAAGAGGGCAGTAGGGGATGAAATACCTCCCTCTCTCCCGAAATGGGATGAGTACCGCGTCCCACTGAGGCGGCGGACTGCGTCCGTCGAGCCCGTGACGCCGACAACACCCCCGGCGTCCATACATCCTGTCCACGCTGGGACCAAGCGCTCTCCTCCAAAATCACCGGACTCTCCGCCCTCGAAGCGCATCAAAACGGTCTCTCCTCGCACGCCGCGGATCTCGCACGGAACCGAGCCTGCGACCGACGACGCTCCCGCCTCTCCGAATCTGGATCTGGACACCGACGTGACGCTCTACCCCGAGGACATCAGGCTGCGGGATATCCCGCGCCTCGCCATCGAGAGGCCCAGCCCGCTGAAGTGTCCCAATCAGGACATCCTCGAAGCGATCAAATCGATATACCTCGAGCGCGAGTATGGTGAACTCGCCCAGCTCAACACCAATGTGTTGAGTTATCGGCGGAGCATGGCCATCCTCAAGAGCGTGCCGAGGCGGATACGGAGTGGGGAGGAGGCGCGGAAGCTTGTCGACGTAGGAGCGAAGGTTGCTAATCGCGTGAGTCAGAAGTGAATGGGGGCAGGCCGTGGAGGCGGAGGAGCGAGCCGACGGATGCGACCAGCGCCGCGACTCGAGGACGGATGACGCTCGCACCATCTGACACCAGATCGACGAGTACCTCAAAACTGGCCAGATTGCCGAGGCAGAAGAGATAAAGGCCTCTTCGCGCTTTCAGGCGCTTCGCCTCTTCTCTTCCGTTTGGAGCGTGGGCCACAGCACCGCGGCGGCACTGTGGCGCGAGGGATGCCGAGACCTGGAGGATGTGCGGCTATACTTCTTGCGTACTGATCCCGCTCCGCAGCTGGAGGAGGACGACAGCGGGTGGGGACACGGGTACGAGTGGGACCGAGCGACTGCACGGGAAGAGAGGGCAAAGAACAGGCGGCGCGAGAACGGCAAGATGACGCGCGAGGAGGTCGTGGGTGCGTGGCTGGGACTCAAGGATGAGCTGGACAGGCCGATTCCCCGAGACGAGGTGCAAGAGATCGGAGATATTGTGGCGGAGCATCTTGATGCGCTCGCGCCAGGGTGCAGCCAGACGATCACGGGCGGATATAGGAGGGGTAAGGAGACGACATCTGATGTCGATGTCGTATTCCGCCCACCGTTCGGCCAACATGAGAATGAGACGGGCGCACTCATCGACGCACTAAGGCGGCGGCTCCTGCGCTTCGGAATCATCACACATGTACTCCGTGAGTCTACTCTGCACCTGGGGCGCGCTCGGCACGGTATGGCTCCTCGCTGACGCCGCAGAGCTCTCCGAGCGCGAGACCGGTACCCCACTTCATCACGGCGGCGGGAACTTCGACAACCTCGACAAGGCGTTCGTCATCCTCCGCCTCCCCGGCAAAGGACGGCTGCATCGCCGTGTCGACCTCATTTGTTCCCCGCCGTCGCGGTATGCCGCCGCCGTGCTCTCGTGGTCAGGCAGCATGATGTTTGAGCGAGACCTGCGGCGATGGTGCGAGGACCGGTGAGCCGCATGCAGGCATAGCTGACTCCAGCGGGTACAAGTTCCGAGCGGGGCTGGTTGAGATTGCGACGAACCGCGAGATCAACTTGGACAGTGAGCGCGAGATCTTCCGCTTTCTCGGGCTGAGATATGTGCCGCCCGAGTTGCGGAATGCCGATGTGTGACACTGCGCGCGTAGATACATCGAAGGCGGGACGGTTGCAGGCTCCCGGGCAGGCCTGGATAGTGAATATCCGATGGGCAGTCGGTTGCATCATATCCTTGTTGAGGCATCATGCACATTTAGCAGGCTTGGGGAGCTGCCAGAGAAGTGCTGAAGGGCAGTGGGCATGGTGACAGAGGGCAAACTGGGCCGTATGGAGCAGAGAGTGTGAGCAGAGACAAGGTGAGGACTGAGCCTGGCTCTACTACCCATTCTATAAACATGCCAGGCGTCTGGGATCGCGTGTCTGCATGCGTTGGTGGATTGGCTCCACAAAGTGGCCGTCCAAGTCAGCTGATTCATACTCTACAGGTTCCATCGCTTAGCGGCCTGCCTGCTGTGCTGCAGAGCCTTGCATTCAGCAGCGCGATAAGTGGACGACTGGACGCGTGCTGGTGCCTGCGCGCATGTTTGGACGCGTGCAGCCGTAAGAGAAAGGGACACGCCGTCTCATCCATCACAGTCTCCAGACCTTGACCAAACCTTTTCCTCATCGCATTCATCGAGACGATGCTCAAGCAACACAGATGCATCAAAGCACCCCAGAAGCATCAAGCGCGAGCAGGGCCCCAGCCTCGTGCTTGTGGGGTGCATTCAAGGTACCCTCGGTTGATGAGAGGGAGTTTGACGCGATCGTCCATTAAGGCAATTCAAGCATTTACGAGTAAGCCTGATACAATTCGCCCTTTGCAGGAGCCGAAACAGTCTATTCCTGCAAGGGGTTAGTGCGTTTGGTCTCATCTCTCCATTCTCTCTCCATCTCCGCATGCTCTCCGTTCTCGGCTCTGCTCCGCTGCATGCTCTCTCCTCTCTCCCTCCTGCTTGTGCTCTCTCCTCTAACGCCCTAACGCTCTCCTGCCCACCGACATCTTGGCGCAATCTGACGCCTCTGACACGCCAACTGGACGCTACTTGTCGCACTCGACTACAGTCCCCTCCCCTTATGACACTCGACCCAATCTACTGGCAGCCCCCACGACCAGGCCACATGCTTCACAAGCCCCTAGCCTTACAGTATAGCCATACACCCCCTGGCCCTTACCTCATGCAAGCCGACTGGAGCGTGGTACACAGCGACGGGTGCCGGCAATCCTCGGTGGTGGCGACGACCGCGAGCACTGCAGTAGAGCCATGCAGCCATAGCGCCCCTTCACCAGGCCACTAGATCTGATCCATCCATTCTTCTCCCCATCTCTCATCTTCGCTTCTCTCTTCTCCCCACACTTGTATCTATCGCTTGATCGCCTGGTGCATCCCACACTCGTTCTTTCCTCTGTCCCACTTGCACCCACCACAATGCCACCATCCCGCGTCCCCGCACCCGCCCACTCGGACCTCTCCCACCGCTCCCCCTTCGTCGCCTACACGGGCTCATGGCTGGCCATGGCCTCGTACCACTCATGGGTGCCTGACACCGCGAGCACCGACGAGGGCGGCTTCTCCTTCGCGTTCGACGGCACAGACTTCGCCGTGTACGGCGCATGGGACGGCGACACGGCAGCATGGATCGACGTCGACGGCAACAGCACGTGGTGGCATGCCCCACCGCCCCGTCTCGAGGACGACGGGCAGGTGTACGCCGCGACGGTGGAGCCAGGCTTCCACCGTGTCTCGTTCAAGATGGCCGGCGGGCGGATGGATCTCGTCAAGGTTGTCGTCGGCGACGGACCTATTGGGTGAGTCTGCTTCTGGGAGGAAGCGGCGGAGGAAGAGATCTGGTGGTCGCTGAATAGGGCGAGGGTGGCCGGGGCGAGGGGGAGTGCTGCAGGATGGCCGGTGCGAACAACGCCACTGTAAAGGACGCTGCTAACATCAGCCCAGAGCCCTATTCTTGGGAGTTGTGGCATATCGCCCTCGCCGCATCCGCCATTCTTCTAGGCGTGAGTTCTCCGTTTATTCTCGGGCAATCTAACAACTAGGCTACGCGTATCATCGCACGAAAAAGACGCACATCAAATCTCGACGTGACGTCGCCTTCTGAAAAGGTGTAGAGTTCCCCACTTCGCATCTCATACGACCCCACACGACCGCCCACCTGTCTTCTATAATGTGCGCCGGACGCACTCATGGCAATGTATTGTGAACTGTAGTAACACGTCGGTTGAGAAAAGAAGCATACGGGGAGCTCCAGTAGATCTGGCACAGATAGTGGCGTTGTAGTGGTGCTGAGAGCGAGCATAAACAAACAGTCTCGGAACGGCAAGGGAGGCACGGGCGCGGCCCGGCCCAAGTCGCGGAGTTGCTGAAACTCAGTCGCGTCGCCTCGTTCCGGATTACGTGCCTCGTTGCGTGAGACACTCGTCTTGACAAGCGGAGGTGGATGGCCGCTCCCGAGCGTTACCTAGGCTGCCATCTTGCTCTCAATCTCATCGTCCTACAACGGAGCTTCTGCCTGCACGGGTTATCGCTCAACACTCCAACGTCCCTCTGCACCTCCCCCAGTAATCTATTATGAATCATCATCACTCGTCATATCTACAAAATCTACAACGATACATTAGCAGGATATAGGAGCGCCAGCTCGGTGGTATGGAAACATAGAGATCATAATATCTAGCTGGAGGCTTCACCGCGCCACCTCTTCGGTGACCCACTCGTCGTCGTAGCCCTGCGATGAACGGGAACGCAGACCACTCGGGGTGCCCGACACGGGGGAAAACATGTCATGCACTTCAGGCTCGTGCTTGACCTCTTGCTTAGCCATCGGGGCGGGCGAGACTTTGGAGCGGTTCTCGTCGTGCCACGCCTCGGGGGCTTGTGATAGATCAGGAGTCTTTTGGGTTGGAGTGTGCTCGCGCCTGCGAGGAAGCTCGCGACCGTCATGCTCATCCTTGGACACGGTGTGAGTCGGGCGGTGGTAGTCGATGCTGCGCCCGTCAAAGTGGGGTCCGTATTCGGACGCGCCGACGCCGATGCGGCCCAGCGTCTCGTCGACCCAGCTCTGGATGCCGCTGAGCACGCCAGAAAGACCAGGCGTGTACTCGCAATCCGAGCGAATGTGAAGGTAAAGTCGGTGGGCGAGGAAGAGCGCAAGGAGAACGCCGACGGCCATCGCTGAGAGCGACGCCATGATCACCAGAACGGGGATGAGGAAAAACACTGCTGTCAATTGCCGCCTTCCCCGCGGAAGCTCACTGGCAAGTCCAATCGTGCCCACGATGCTGAGGCATAGGAGGAATATCGCGATGCCAGTAAATAGCGCCGAGACGCACAGCACGAATATGCTGTTGTCAGTTGCGGCCACGGGACAATGCAAGAAACCTACGCAGTACACACGGCCGGAATGCAGCTGAGCGCAATGAAGATGGATGTGAACGTCTGTTGTCAGACTTTTCCTTGTTGATGAGAGAAACGCACGAAGATAACGGGCCGCGCCTCCGCGAACGTCTTGACACGCTCCGCAAATGGACTCAGCGCGAGCTGGATGCTGGCGTCAGCGAGTTGATCCCCCGTCGGCGTGGCAGGTGATATCATGGGTCAGAGTAGAGAGGCCGACAAGGAAGGGTTACTTACCGATCAGACGTCTCACGCACACGGCGCGTCAAGTCCTCCAGCGCGATCTGCGGGGGCGGCGCATGCAGGTCGGGCTGCTTCATCTGCTTAAGCGGCGCGGACGAATACGCCACGGGAGACATGTCGGGCGCACGTCGGATCGGGATATAGGTGGTGGATAGATGCGGATAAGTGTGGGAAGTGACTGAAGGGCGTGTGGTGGAGGTGGGATTGGCAAGGGTCGTGACGGCGTGGCTGGCGGCACGCGTGCCAGATCGCGATCGTGAACGTGCATTCCCCGCAGTTCCCCATTCGGCCGACGCGTTGACCGCTGTTGCTCTTCCGTTTACACTTATCCTTTCTCTTCGTCAGAAGTCATCGATCTGGACTTGCAACAGCGTCTTCCACTCAGCAACTGCAACCTACCGCTGAAGAGAACCGCTGGCTCGGCAGGGCAAGGGCAACGGCTCGGACGGTTGTCACCCTCTCCACTATCATCGCCCTTCGCGCCCGACATCACACTGCAGTACGGATTTCAGGCTTCATGCTTTTCCTGCTATTATTTCTGAAATCTGAGAGCTGATCTGAGAGCTACACTATGTGTTTCTCACAAGGGATCACACGGGACCTCGCCGTTCATCACTCAGGTGGGGTTGACAAGAGCCAACTTGTTTCCCCGTCCTCGACCTTGCATCCCGTCATCCCTCTACCTATGTTGTGCAACTACTCCTTCGCGTCTCTCTCATCGCCGCGGCGGCTGGGATCGCGGTGCGCTGCGCGCCTCTCCCACTCTAGCTGTCCGCCGACTCATAACGAAGTCACACATCGGACATTCAACAATCTCCATTAGCTGCCTCGTTATATCAGTCGGTAGATTAAATGACTCTTAATGTGGACTTTGTCCGGTTGATCATTCGGTCGTGGGTTCGAGCCCCACACGAGGCTACTCTTTTGCATATGTAGTGGCGAGCTTCCCCAGGCGCAATCTCCCTCTGCTGGCGGTAGCAAGCAGTGGCCGCAAAGATTGCTGAACTTTTGATGTAGAGCGGGAGCTAAAAGAAGGGGCTCCACCACGTGACTGCCACGAAGCCGAGAATTCGGATCATCCTCCTGGGTGACGCACGAAGAGGGGTGGAAGCTAGGTGACCTCGACCTCGCGGCCGAAGCATGCCGGGACCACGCAAGCAGGAGCCAGGTGTGAACGACAACGCCAGGACGAAGCTGTTGTGCGGAGGATACACACGGCCGAAGTGGCGCCGATCGGGATCGGAATCAGATCAACTGTGATGCTAGCAGGAAGCGCGTTTCAAAGTGATCGAAGTGCTGGAGCTGGATCGCTGGAACTGGCCGAGGGCCGGCCTTTCGTGTCCCGAGTACCCCAAGTCTATTCCGTTGTTACATTTCATTTCATCTTCCATCTTCGTTCCGGATCCTGATCCTCATCGCATTGCATCGCATCGCATCTCCCACTCCCATCCCAGCATCTGGGCGCTAGACACGAGCGGTCGTGCATTTCGCTTTCGGCACCCGACTTTATCGGCCTCCACCGCGCACACCCCTCCACGTTTTCCTCCTCTTTGCACCTTTCACCTCCGATGGACCCGTCCCTCCGCGCCTACGCGGCGCCGTACAAGCGCCGGACGACTCCGCCGCCCAACGGCCCCAACGGCGTCGTACGAGGCCGCTCCGCCTCCCCCGCGCCGGGGACGCTGTCGCAGCGCGGCTCGCCCCGGCCCCCAAGGGACGACGATGACGGGGGCATCCCGACTCCGTCAGCGGGCTACGCGTACAGCACGACGCTGCGGCGCATGTCGTCGCCGACCCGCCCGTTGCGGCCCAACCTGAGCGTGCACGACCTCGCGAATCCCTATGACGGGGGTCCGCCCGCGGACGCCGCCAGTGCGTTTGACGACCAGTCGACTGTCACGAAGATTGTGACTTTTGTGCGCCGCGTTACCGGTCACCGAGGGTATGAGCAGGTCGCGGCCGAGGCTAGGGAACAGCGGGAGCGCGCAGAGCGGCGCACACGAGAGACGCCCAGTGCGATTTACGCGCACAAGAGCGTCGAGGAGACAGTGGCAGACTTTCACACCGACGGCGAGAGGGGTCTCCCCAACTCGGCTGTGGCTGCGCTTGTAGGCCAGTACGGACCGAACGAGTTCGAGCTGCCGCCCGACGAGCCGCTGTGGCTCAAGTTCGCGAAGCAGGTGTACGAGAATCCACTCATCCTGCTGCTTCTCGGCAGCTCCGTTGTGTCCGGCCTCATGGGTAACTATGACGATGCCGTGTGTGTCGTCGTCGCCGTTGCCATCGTGCTCACCGGTACGTGCTTACGTGGATGTTGCTGATTTCAGTCGGATTCGTGCAGGAACAGCGGTCAGAGAAGTCGCTCGAGGCGCTGAACAAGCTCGTTCCGCACTACTGCAACCTTGTGCGCGACGGGCGCCCTCACTCGCCCCTCGCCAACACTCTTGTTCCAGGTGACCTGGTTACCTTTGGCGTCGGCGACCGTGTGCCCGCCGACATCCGACTCACATCTGCCATCCAGCTTGAGATCGACGAGAGCGCCCTTACTGGCGAGACGCGTCCGGCGCGGAAGAATACCGAGATGTGCGAGAGAGGCGAGGGCGAGGACACGCACGGCGAGGGCGGCGGCAAGGCCCTCGGTGAGCGGCACTGCATGGCGTTCATGGGGACGTTGGTGCGAAGTGGTGAGTCGCGCGGCCGTGATGATGGACCGCTCTGACTGTAGGTCACGGCTCTGGCATTGTTGTCGGCACTGGCAAGGACACCGAGTTCGGCGTCGTCTTCTCGATGATGCAGGACGTCGAGGAGAAGCGCACGCCGCTGCAGCTCTCGATGGACGAGCTAGCGAAGCAGCTGTCCATCTTCTCGTTCGGCGTTATTGGGATCATCGTCCTGCTCGGCATCTACCACCGCCGCTCGTGGCTCGACATGTTTACGATCGGCGTGTCCCTTGCTGTCGCTGCGATTCCGGAGGGCCTTCCTATTGTGACGACCGTGACGCTTGCTCTCGGCGTGCTGCGTATGTCAAAGCGCAAGGCGATCGTCAAGAAGCTGCCATCTGTCGAGGCGCTCGGCTCCGTGTCTGTCATTTGCTCCGACAAGACCGGCACGCTCACGAGGAATGAGATGACCGTGACGCACATGTACGCGGTGGACGACCTCACGGACTTGAACCCGCAGCTGGCGGCGGCATCTACGATGGGACCCAAGCACCCAGACCTGGCGGCCTACTCGCCGAGCGCGGCGCTGCTCAAGACGGCGCAGATCGGTGCGTTGTGCAACAACGCCTTCAGAAACAATGAGGGCAAGAATGTCGGCAATGCCACTGAGGTTGCGCTGCTCAACGTCCTGCCCATACTGAGAGCCGAGGACGAGCGCAAGGGCTTCGAGCGTCGCGGCGAGATTCCCTTCACATCGGAGAGCAAGTGCATGTTCGTGAGCGGGAGCCTGAACGGCGGGACCGACATGGTGTACATGAAGGGAGCGGTGGAGGCAGTGCTCGCGCGCTGCAAGTACTACTACGTCACGGACAGCAGCACGCCGGCATTGGATGACAGCACACGAGCCGCGATCAACGGTCGTGCGCTCGAGGTCAGCAAGAAGGGGCTGCGCGTCATCGCCATGGCGTATGGCTTTGCTCGCGGTACATTGGGCGAGGACGAGGGGTTGGTGTTCGCCGGCTTCCAGGCGATGATGGACCCACCTCGCCGCGGTGTCGCGCATGCCATCACGGCATTGCACGGCGCTGGCGTGCAGGTGGTTATGATCACTGGCGATGCCGAGGCGACGGCCCTTGCCATCGCACGTGAGCTCGGCATGAAGGTCACCACTGGCGAGGGAATCGCGTCGTCCGTCATGCTCGGCAGCCAGGTCGAACAGCTAACGGAGCGCGAGCTCGTCGAGCGTGTCCCCGGCATCACAGTGTATGCGCGCACGACGCCGCGACACAAGATGGCGATCGTCAAGGCGTGGCAGCAGCGCGGCGCCGTCGTGGCCATGACGGGCGATGGTGTGAACGACGCGCCCGCGCTCAAGATGGCGGACATCGGCGTGTCTATGGGCAAGAGCGGCACCGATGTGGCTAAGGAGGCGGCTGACGTGATCCTCGTCGACGACGACTTTGGCTCGATCCTCCCAGCCGTCGAGGAGGGACGCTCGATCTTCTACAACATCCAGAACTTCCTCTCGTTCCAGCTCTCGACCGCCGTCGCCGCGCTATCGCTTATCACCCTCTCGACGTTCCTGGGCCTCGCCAACCCCCTCAACGCCATGCAGATCCTCTTCATCAACATCCTCATGGACGGGCCGCCGGCGCAGGCGCTCGGCGTCGACCCGGCCCGCAGAGAGGTTATGTCTCTGCGCCCGCGGCGCAAGGACCAGAGCGTGCTCAGTCGACAGGTCATGCTGCGCGTTATGTTTAGCGCTGCGCTGATCGTCCTCGGCACGCTGTATGTCTACGCGAACGAGATTAGTGACGGCAACATGTCCCGGCGGGACCGGACGATGGTGAGTGCGGCGAGCGAGGCGGCGAGCGAAGCGAGCCAGCGTCTCTCCTGTGCCCATGAACCCCGCTGACCCCAGACATTCACCGTCTTCGTGTTCCTCGACCTCGTGTCGGCGCTGCAGAACCGCGGCGTGTCCACCTCGCTCTTCGGCAACCGCATGCTGTTCCTCACGGTCTCGATCAGTTTCCTGTGCCAGCTCGCACTCATCTACGTGCCGCTGCTGCAGCACGTGTTCCAGACGCAGGCGCTGGGCGCGCGCGACCTGTTCATGCTCCTCGGGCTCGCCGCGACGAGCATGGGCGCGCACGAAGCGCGGCGGTGGTACGAGCGCAAGATGGTGCGCGAGGAGCTCATGGAGGTGGGGCTGGGGATGGCGTAGGCGTAGGCGTCGGCGTAGACTGCTAGACGATGTATGTTTGCGATAGCTGCACTGAATGCGAAAGGCGCAGGACGCAAGCTTCAGTAATAATGTTCGAAATCATCCGGAGAGGTACGGTATGACGCGCCGGAGCCCCAGCTACGCCATAAGCCACCTCTGTTCCGAGACTAACAACGCCAACTACACTCTCGCTCATGCGTGCCGGCTTGCAACGTGTCCTCGCCACTCGCTACGCTCGCCCGCTCGCCCGTCGAAACTTCTCCTCTTCTCGTTCCCGCCTCAACGCCAACGCCAACACACTCGCCATGTCCGACCACGACCACGACCACGAGCACCTGCTCTCGCTGGTGCGCCGCATGATCCCGCCCCTCTCGCCGAAGCTGCACAAGGGGCAGGCGGGTGCGTAGCCTGGAGACGCTCACCCGCTGACAGCAGGCCGTATCGGGGTATTGGGCGGCTCGGGGGACTACTCCGGCGCGCCGTTCTTCGCGGCGATGGGCGCGATGCGGTTCGGCGCCGACCTCGCACACGTCATCTGCGAGCCGGCCGCCGGCGCGGTGATCAAGACGTAGTGAGTACGCATGGCCAGCGGTGGAAGGCTGATGCAGCGCGCCCGACTTGATCGTGCACACGACGCTCGACGCGTCCGCGGAGGACGCGGAGCGCGCGGCGCGCCGCGAGCTCGAGGGCCTCATGGAGCGGCTGCACGTGCTCGTCATCGGCCCGGGGCTCGGCCGCAGCGCCTTCATGCAGGGCTGTGCGCGCAGCGCGCTGCACATCGCGCGCGAGCGCGATATCGGCGTCGTCGTTGATGCCGACGGGTTGTGGTTGCTCAACTCGGAGCCAGAGCTCGTGCGCGACTGGAGCGGGGCGAAGCGCGTCGTCCTCACACCGAACGTTATGGAGTTTAAGCGGCTGTGCGAGGCCATGGTGCGTCAGCGAGGCAAGGCCGAGAGGAGGGCTGACGGCAGAATGTGCCGACGGACGCGCCGGAGACGCGGAGCGGCGAGCTTGCGCGCGCGCTCGGCGGCGTCACGATCCTGCAGAAGGGGCCGAGCGACGCGATTTCGGACGGCGCGCAGATCCCCGCCGCGCTCCGCGGCAGCAGCGGGAAGGACATGCTGACCGTGTCCGTGCCGGGCGGGCTGAAGCGCGTCGGTGGACAGGGCGACATTTTGTCGGGCACGACGGCAGCGCTGCTTGCGTGGGGGCGCGAATGGGCGCGCGGCGCATACGAGCATGTGGGGCATGCGCCGCGCAGCGACGAGGACAAGGCTGTCGCGCAGCACGTCGCGCTGCTTGCTGCCTATGGCGCAAGTGCGTTCAACCGCACCGTGTCCCGGACGGGGTGGGAGCGGAAGAAGCGCGCCATGGTCACGCACGACCTCGTCGACATCGTGGGCGAGGTGTACGAAGACATGTTTGGGCAGTACCAGGAGGCAGAGAGTAAGGGCAAGCTATGACAAGTACATGCACGCTGGGGGCTACAGACGGGAAGAGGCAGGCAAGCTTAGTACATCTCCAGGCCCTGGGGTCAGCGCGACTCGGCATCCATGGGCGACCCACCATGCCGTCGTTGATCTCATAGTCCTCGAGCTTGACGTGGTCCTTGAACATGATATACGCCTTCTTGAGCTGGATCTTGCTGGCGTTCGTGCCCGTCTGCGCGGCGATGAGCTTCTTGAGATCCCCGACCGTGTCCGACGGCAAGCACTTGATGCGTACTGGCGTCAGCCCCTTCCTCGTCGTCCTCGGCACGACTCACCCTTCCGCCCCATCCGGTCGTTTGCAATAACCTCAATCATGCGCCCCGCGCGCACCTTGCTCCCCGACACCTGCTGGATCTTTTTCTCGCCCTCGTCCTTCTTCTCCTTGTCCTTGTTATCCTCGCGCTCGCGCCGGTCCGGATGCCGCATGTCCGCCTTATCCGACGGCCGGCGATAATCGCCATCATCGACGCGCTCGTACTGCCGCTCGTCGCGCCTGTCGCGTCCCCTGTCCCTGTCCCTGTCGCGCTCCCTCTCTCTGTCCCTTTCGCCACGCCCACTCCCGCCCCCACTCCCTTTCACGCCCATCCGGTCCAGCGGGTCAACGGTGCGCTTGAGGCTCCCCATCGCCGCAGCTTGCACGTTGCCCATCGTGTTGCGCACGCCTTGGTCGCGCGTACCGCCGAACCGGCGCGGCACTTCGCCGCGCTCGCGCCGCTGCGCGCGCTCCTTCGCCGTCTCTTCCTCCGGCTCGAGGGCGCGGCCGGACGACGGCTGCCCGTAGTCCCGTGCCGAGCGTTTGTAGAAGCTCAACTCTTTCGGCCGGCGCTGGCTCCATTGTTGCTTTGACTTGCGGTCGGGCGAGGCTGAGCGGCGCGGAGAGGCGGAACGGGAGCGCGGCATGTTGGGTTTAAGAGGAAATGGGTTGGAGCAAGGGCAATACGCAAGTTGGACTGAGAGTTGGGTGGCAAAGACAGACATTACGATAAAGTGGAGGGGTTCATTAAGGCCAAACGACTTCCTTGCCCGCGCCTGTCTTCTTGGCCGCTTTTCGCACAGCTCGCTCACTCCCACGGCAATATCAGCAGCTAAAACTCGGGTATGCATCGACCACAACAGTATATAACCCAGACACCCATCTACTGTACTAGTCATTTGTTTCGTTGCTTCTTCGTTGCTGCTTCTTCTTCCAGTCCCTTTCGTCGTCGTCGTCGTCGTCGTCGTCGTCTTCTGCCTCCGACAACTGTGGTACTTCTTCGATCAGAGATGTCGACCTCGTTTTTCGCTCAACGTCCACGGAACAGCTCCATAAGCGCCTGGGCGCCTTCGATAACATTCTCGTCCATCTCGGTGGCACCGCGCTTGGCCTCAGGCTCCAGCTCCTTGGAGAACGAATAGATGTTGCGGCCCTGGGGAGCAATGAGTTCGAGCTTGGTAACAGTGGTCGAAGGCGCGACACTGTGGCTCTTGACGCTCGCCTCCTCGCTGCGGGGCGAAACCGACTCGCGCTCGGTCGGGGTGGGCGAGCGCGTCTGCTCAGGTACAGGCGACGACGTGCTCTGGCGCTCCTCAATCGTGGACTCTGCACGTGCACGGTCAAACGAGTCCTGGTGCTTAACCGTGAGCATGTGAGACCACGAGCCACCACGCGAAAGTTTGCGCTTCCGTCCCATGTCGGTGACAGAGGCCAGGGGCGGAAGACGCGCCTGGTTGCGCTGATGCTCGGGGACCGTGGGGAGCGTAGGGCCCGCAGACGCGCTGCGCGACGGCACAGGGTCCGTCACCGCCCGGTGAGAACTGCTGCTGAGGAGGTTACGAGCGCGCGTGGAGCATGCCAGCACGTCCGAGCTAGACGCACGCCCAAAGCTTGAGCGCGAGCGGTGACGCTGGTGAACTGGGCGGCCAAGTCCAATGGGCGGAAGAGTTGGGCGAGGCGCGGAAAGCTCGAGGCTGCCACGCGCGCGCTTGCGCGTAGGCGAGTCGACATCCAAAGCCGACTCGTCGTCGTCCTCGGTGGGCTCAATCGCGTCCGACGAGAGCTCGCTTGGAAGCATGTTGACGAGTGCGTCACGGTAACGCGGGTCATTCTTGTTCATGTGCTCGAATCCTTCGACAAGAGGAGCGCGAGGGCGAGGGGTGCGGTGTTTCATGCTCATCTCGCGGTCGGCGCAGACATCATCCAACGAGTACCCGCGGCGAACTGGCTTGAGAGCAAATGCTGGGCCAGGAATGTGACCGTGGTGCAGAGGCTTGGGAGCGATAGCCGGTGGAGCTGGAGTGTAAGGGGCGAGGTGAGAGCGGTTGGAGAGATGCTGGCTGAGCGATGGCGGGGATGGCGTTCCACGATTGTTGTTGTGGTGATGGTGGGGGTGGTGGTGATGGTGGTGGTGGTGATGCAGGTGCTGAGAGTGTGGGGTAGGGGACGAGCCAGAAGCCTGCTGTTGCAGCAGCATGTCAGGGTGCAGTCTGTCCGACACAATGTCCATGATCACCTGCGACTGCTCGGGGCTAAACTTGTGCTGCTCGCCGCGGTTGGCGCGACTGAGAGCAGCTAGCGCACGCGAGGCAGTGTCCGGGTTGCTCTCGGCCATTACAGCCAAGCTTTCAGCCTTTTTGAGATCTTGGCGGCGATTTTGGAACCAAACCGTGAGGTGGCGTGTGGTGCTGTGGAATGGGTCAGCAAGTGGGAAATAAAAGGGAAGCGAGGCAAGAGTGAGGCTGAGGGTAACGCACCATCCGAACCAGCGCGCAAGCTTCTGTCTCTGCCACTTGTGGGGGTTGTGAGAAATGCTCCACAAAATTTCGAGCATGTCTAGTTCTCCAGGCGAGAAACGGCGACGAGGCTTGTTCTTGCCATGGTCCTCGACCTTGTAATCCCATGGGTTGCACGACACCAGAGCGCGACGCGTAGATGTGCTGCTGGGGGTCGGCTCACCGCCGCCGCCGCCGCCGCCGCCGTTGGGAGTGTCGTCATTGGCATCTCCTCCACTTGGCATGTCACCCTGGTTGAGGAACGCAGGTGGCAACTGACCATGCCACTTTGCTGGAGGAAGCAAGTCATGAAGGTCGATCGGGTGACCCGGTGGGTACGGGGAGCGAATATCGGGGGTTGAAGGCATGTGTGACATGGAGGAAGGCGACGAGTAAGACATGGAGGTAGAGCGCGCCGGCGTGCTCTGTGGGTGTGACAGGAACATGGACCGGGGGGTGTGGTTCATTGCGGGCTGCATCGAGTGGTGATGGTGAGGGGTCGAGTTGAGTGGCTGCGGAGGGTGGTGCATGTGGCCATTGTTGCTGCGAGCAGCAGTGCGGGACTGAGTAGGCGTTGGCATGGGCTGATAGCCGGAAGTCGGCGGGGGTGGTGGGGGCGGGAAGACCAAGCCCTTTGGGAGGGGAAGCTCTCGGGCGTCGGGGTCGACTTTGGTGGCGATCCCTCGCACGGGGGTGGCATCAGCTGCTGGTTGAGAGGCGCCTCCGCCGCCGCCGCCGCCGCCCAGCGGTGGCATGCTGACTCGACGCGACGCGTGGCCGGGAGTGTAAGGTGCGGGATACAGGTTGGGCTTTTGGTCAAGAGCCGCGAGGGGCTGACGGTGGCGAGGCGAGGGGGTTGGCTGGAGCTTGTACGAGGGCTGGCTGAAGAGCGAGTCGCGGTTGTGCGTCGGGATCGAGTTCTCGTCGTTTGGCCGCCTGGGTGACGCGACGGAAGGCATGGGTGTGGATGGGTGTGGTGGTGGTGGGTTAAGAGGAGACGAGGACGAGGCAAGTCGAAAGAGTGTGTACAGAAGAGGACAGAAATGAAAGAGTGAAGAGAGAAATGAGCTAGTTGGGCGCTCTGTAGAAGAGAAGAAGAAGAAGAGGAGGAGGAGGAGTAGTGAGATGAGTAGTGTCGAGGATGATGATGATGATGATGATGATGAAGAGAGAGAGAGAGGAAGAGAGAGGAGAAGAGAGATGAGTGAGAGGGAGGAAGGATGATGAATGTTGGTTTGAATGTGACTCGGACGCGCGGGTGTCGCGGCGCGTAGAGTGGAGTGGTGTGTCGGTTGGTTGGGGGAAGACGTGTAGGATCCTTCCTTCCTTGGATCCTTGTGGCTGCGCGCGCGACGCTGCGAGCTGCGCGACTCTGGAGGAGCTGAGATGAGACAGAGAGAGAAGGGTGAAAGAGTGAACGGGGGGTCCCTTGAAATGTGGCATTGGATGGAACACTTTGACCCTCTTGAATCTCTTCTCAGGGGTAAATCCCAGGGCGTCACAATATGACAACTCTCATCCGGCTCATCCCATCGTCCATTTTTCCCCCCATACTTCATCTCCACCCCGCCCTGGGCCCCTACAGGTTTCAGGGTCACCCGACTCTGGCTCCACCCACCTCTTTGACCTCTCCCAGGGTTGGCATCAGCGCATCAGCCCCCAACACGCGACGCGCTCATCGCACCGCGCCAATCCACGTGAATCTCCCAGGGTAAGCAAATATTCAGGTACAAGACATACCACCATCATGCAATATACAATCCAATTAGCCAACAGTTGTCATTCAGGGTAATTCTCAACTTGTCAATCAATAATGTCCATCTGGCCACGCACGCGCTCTCTCTCTCTCTCCTGTCTGTCTACGCGGTATACTGCTATGCTACTACTACTACTACTCTACTCTCGCATCGACGAGCCATCTTGCTGACACTGTAGCCTTCTACTCGCTACCCGTTGCTCGCTGCTCGATGCTCGCTGCCTGATCGCTTGATCGCTTCGTCTCCTCAGATCCTCTTCAGCTCCTCAGATCCTCACCTTGTCAATCCTCAATTCCTCAACCCCCCCCCCCCCCCCCCCCCCCCCCCCCCCCCCCCCCCCCCCCCCCTTCCTCGCCTCCCCCCCCCCTAGCACCCTCCCGGCCTTACTCTGGAACGAGTAATGTTGCAATGTCGCGTGTCGGCCATTCTCTCGTGTTTCCTTGTGCATAGACCTCCCCGTCTCGCCACCTCCCATCTTCGCCCTCCTCCTCCTCCTCCTCCTCCTCCATACCGCCCTCTCTACAGATGCCACACTAAACAAGTCGTTTGACCTCGACCACCTTGGCTGCCGACTTGTCCTCCTTACCTGTGTCCTTGTCCCCATCGTCCCCCCCGTCGTCCCCGTCGTCGTCCTCCTCGGCGGGCACAAAGCTCCCACCGAGCCCAACAACGTCCACTGTGACACGCCCATCTTCCGTGTGACCAAATGTGGCGCGTAGAGGTCTGTGCGACATTGTCAGCAATGAAAAATCCACAGATCAAAGATGAAATGTAGGGAATGCGCCCATGCTCAAAGCGGTCATGGCGTCCCCCCTCGGCCCCTCGCGCCGCCACGGGCTGCAAGCCATCACCCGCTGAAGAAATTTGATTGCTTGGGGGTTGCTCTGTGCGCTTGCGTGCGCTTTTGCTGTTTAAAGACTCACTCTTTGACCTGTCGTTAGCGATGCTGCCGACGTCGACGACAAGACTTACCGTTAGTTCAGACTGGCGGTGCAGGCCTGCGAGCGTCAGCGTTCCGTCACTGCGGTGCTGGGATTCAAGCTGGCAACAAGGCCGCTGGCCGCTGGGCGCGCTGGGGAATTGGATGACGGGACACAACATGGCGAGGCTAGGGCCGCGGGTTCAGGGAGCCGGGAACGCCTCAGATATTACCCAATGTTGTGGCGTGACTCCTTTCGTGCAGTGTGCGAGAAATATTCAGGCACACACAGGCACGAGGCCCACAGCCGGGGCCATCAGAACAAGCTTTGGCCCCCTGATCCATCCACCCAATTCTCCCATTCAAAGCGACGCGTCGCGTACTCACCTTCAATCTCGTCGACGCGATCACGCGTCTGGTCCAGCATGTCGTCAAAGTCCGGGTCCTCTGTCACCTGCTGTGCTGCGCGCAGTATCATGACCGACTCGGGGCGCACGTCGTGGTACAGCTGCAAAGGGTCAGCATCACAAAACGCACCAAACATTGCGCTTGTCCACCGCTCTCCGGCAATAACGGCAACATTCCACATGGCAGTTCCGCGCCGCCTCCTAGGTCCCGCGCGTCGGGTTGGCAGCCGCGCGCGAGAGGGCTGGTTGGGGTAAAACTTACGTCAATAGAAATAATCTGTCCCGGTTAGCTTCCTGAACGTGCGTTTCACCACACAGCCTTACATTGTCGTGATCAAGCCCATCGAAAAAGTCAGTGCGCGTCATCAGCCGTCGCGCGTCGTCATATGTCACCCGGGGCAACACGATATCAGCGTACAGTTCCTCCTCGGTGAGCTTGCGCAGAGGCACGCTGGGTTTCGCAGCGTGCAGAGCGACTACGTCCATCGTGGATGGCGTGAGGTTGATGCCTCCGTTATCCTCAGCCGGGTCAGGCATTTCGTCATCACCGTCGTCGTCGTCGTCGTCGGCGCGATTGGGATTACGCATTGGGGGGTCCAGCTTGGGCACGCGCTGGGCCATGTGACGCAGCAAGAGCCACGAGCAACTCGCCCACCTGCATGGCGTTAGCAATCAACACACACTGCATTCCGGTCGAGGCGTTTCACTTTTGTTCGTCCCTGGCTCGTCAGCTCAAACTCTCGTGGAGACGCGACGCGACGCGACTGAATTGCGCGCGCGCGCGCGCGCGCGCGTGTCTCCCGGTTCCTCTCACATGACATCGTCATCCATCTCGGGGATGAGGCCAATCCTGGATGCGTTAGTTTGTCACGCTCGAACTGAAACTGCCATGTCTGACGTGCTTACTTGGAGAGCATCCAACCCTTCTCCATCAGAACCATACGCTCGGCCTCATCTGCGTGTTTAGCTTGGAGCCTCAACTCTCATCGACGCACCAATCATGTCAGAGGCGCGGGCTATGCGCGAGAGGTAGCTGGTGCGGCCTCCAACGAGCTCATACACTCGCCTCAGCACCTCGTCCGGCTCGATCTCGACTTTGTCGAGGGGCTTGTTCTCAGCAATGTGCAGTTCGTAACGGCGCATTTGCTTCAACGCGTCAATCGATTCGCGAGCTGAGAGGTCGTAGACCGAGAGGATGCGCATACGCGATCCATTCTTCTTCATCTTGTCGAGCGGCCCTGGTGGTCAGCGATTGACAAGCTGGACAGACTAACAGTGGTCGTCCGAGGTGAAGACCATGGTCATAATTCCCTGGCATCAGTCACTTGGCTGCCACGACGAGCTCACCGCCTCAGCCCACGCTTCAGCGCGCTGCTGAAGCTGATGAACGATCGCAATGCCCTCCTCGTTCTGTGGGAACTGATGAATATCTTACGTCAGCCATGCGCCTTCATTCCACACCAACTCGTGAAGGCCAGCACCAGAGGGCGGCCATGCTTTTTGAAGTAGCGCAGCGCCACCTTTTCGAGTTTAGTCATGGCACGCTCAACGTCGAGCGACGGGCCGGCCGAGCGAGGGTCGGCGCGCGAGAAGAGTGAGCCCTGCCAGTCTTCAAAGAAGTCAAAGTCAAGCGCCTTGCCCAGACGCAAACGGAACACCTCGAGGTCGGGGTGGGCTGCTGTCAGCTTGGATACAGGTATCAACTTACCCTCGCACACTGAGGCACCCTCGGCATGGACTGCGCGCATGGCACTGGTAGTCAGCGTATCACCTCACCTGCAGCACGAACTCGAGGACCATAGTGCCCTTACCGGTCCCCCTAGGCCCGAGGATGAGATAGTAGCCTCCAGCTTCCTCGCCGCGGAAGATGGCGTTGACAAGCGGCTGCTCGCGCCGGCGAATGTGCTCAGCCTTGGGCGAGTGGATTGAGCCGAGCTCGAGGGCGGGATCCTGCTGTCAGTTCTCCCCGGATGGTAACTCACGTATCCGCCCTCGAACGCCCCCTCGACACGGTGCAACACATGCGCCTTGTACCACTGGAGGTAACCCATACCACCGCCAAACACCATGATCAAGCCCACAACCGTGGTGAGTGCGGCCTGGAAACCAGGACTGTGGCTCCACTCCTTCCAGAAGCTCTCGCGCTCCTCGGGAGGCTTCTTGCCGGATTTGTCCTTGTTCCTATGGTCTTTCATCATCTGTGAAAAGTCATCGTCTGGTCCGACAGGCGGTTGCGGCATCGGCGCGTTCGGCCACATGGGCACATCGAAGCGCATCGCCGATGCGTGCAGATACCGCGGGACGGGGGCGGTGCGGGCGCGAGCGCGGAGGGCGAGCGCACTGGGGTCAGAATAGCAGGGGATGGGAGGGGGGAATGGCGCACCGTGTCGCGGCCGCCAGGGGAGGCCGAATCATGTCTGAGTATCGATGAGAGCAAGGGAGATGAGCAAAAAGAAGAAAAGTTGGAGGCTCGCTACGTGCTGCGACCGTTTGATGGTGATAACCCTTTCGCGACGGGAAACGATCCGGTTGCTCAGTGGGCGCCCTCGCCCTGGGTGAGCCGATCACACAAGACAGTGCACCTTCCGCCAAGCGAACGTCACTGCAGGGGCCCCAAAATAAGCCCACGTTTCGGAAGAGAACACAGCTTCCCAATTCCCAAGTGGGGCAGCAGGAGATGACGTAGTGCCACGTGATAAACATGAAGTGGGGCAGCCATCACACGCCATTACAGGGTCCACCCTGCCCTGCTTAGCGCGGCTCATTTCTTTTGGTAAACAAGCGCTGGGTGGGACATGACAAGCCACCCAAACCCCCCTCGCCCTACAAACATCATCTCGCGTCTAAACACTCGGTCATCTTCTTCATTCTCCTCCTTCCCTTCATATCTCCATCGACACCATTCACTACGCGACACCTCTCTGGCTCGTAAGAGCATTCACACCAACACCATAGGGTTCATGCCCGACAGCCTTACACCCTCGTCTTCGTCCCAGTCGCTTGCCCGTTCCCCATCATCGCCTTCGCTCGCTCACGCCGTGGGCCTTCCCGCTCCGCTTCCCGACTCTGGCATTCTTACGCCCACCAGCCCGCCCAAGTTCTCCACCCGCTTCCCGAGCGGCGACTTCCTGCCGCACGTCGGCGAGGTCGACTCCCTCAATTCTAGCACTGCCAGCATGTCCGAATCACCCTCCACGCCGCGCCGCAAGATCGTCAATACCATTGCGGTTCCCGCGCCACGTTCCGCCAAGAAGGCGCGTTCCACGTTGCAGGATCGCCTTGCGGGTGTGGCTGCGGGAGCGACGAGGATCCCTCGGCCATCTTGCACCTCCTCTTCTGTTTCATCCGGCAGCACGCCCCTCTCCATCCCTTCAACGCCCGGACCCAGCCGCGAGCTCTCCAAAAGCAGTGACAAGGTGATCGTCTGTGTACGAATTAAGCCTACAACTTCACCCTTCGCCCTCCATGCCTACGAAGTCACGCCCAACTCCCTCTCCCTCTCTGACACTCACCCCAATGTTCTGCGACGCGGCGGCAAGGCTGGCCGCGAAGCCGAGTACACGTACAACTTTGGTGAGCTCGCGACGCGGCACCAGCTGACCCCAGACACTCTGGTCCAGTTCCCAACGCGCACACCAGAGCTCTATAAGGACAAGATCGCGCCCCTCGTACAGCAGGCCATGAATGGCTTCAACAGCACTGTGTTCGCATACGGTCAGACAGGAAGTGGCAAATCGCACACCATGGTGAGCCAACTCTCTGGGCAAAGCTGACCATAATCAGTCGGGCACGCGGACCGAGCTCGGCATCATCCCGTGTGCCGTGGACGGGATTTTTGACGCCATCACAGACGTGCGTGCCTGTGCCGGCCTCGCTAATGTTCAGGACCCCGAACGCGCTTTCCTGCTCCGTGTCTCATATCTCGAAATCTACAACGAGGGCATTCGCGACCTCCTTTGCCCCAAGCGTGGCGACGAAGCAAAAGTGCCTACAATCAAGACGGCCAAGGTAAGCTGAAGTCATACGGCGTAGCACCTTACACACAGGGCAAAGACGGGCAAGGCAAGGTCTTCGTTGATCCGCTCCAGGAGAAGATCGTATCTACACCTCAGGATGTGGTCGAGATCCTCTCGTTGGGGAACCGCAACCGCAAGACTGGCGCTACCGACTGGGTGAGTTACTTACGTTGACCGTCCGCTGACAGCAGAACGAGCGATCATCGCGCTCGCATGCCGTCTTCACCATCACTATTGAGTCCCGGCCACGAGACGGCGACGGTCATGACGAGGTCCGCGTTTCCCGTCTCACTCTCATCGACCTTGCCGGTTCCGAGAAGGCCGTCTCCAACGTGGAGCGTCGCGGCGAAGGCAAGCATATCAACCAGAGGTGAGACCGACCCTCCTCTTGACTTGAGATCTCTGACGCCAGCTTGCTGGCCCTGCGCGAAGTCGTGCACAAGCTGACGGATACCGGAAAGCGCGGTCATATCCCGTTCCGCAACTCAAAGCTTACCCACCTCCTCGAGAATGTCTTGGGCGGTGACTCGAATATCTGCGTCATTTGCACCATGTCGTCCGAGGAGGAACACTGCGCAGAGACTCTCGAGACGCTCAAGTTCGCAGGCCGCTGCTCTCAAGTCGAAACCAAGGCGCAGAAGAACATTGTGAGCTATGATTGTGTCTTTCTCGCTGACGGCAGCTTCACGGCTCTGACCTTGCGGTCATTCGTGCCAAAGACCGCGAAATTGCTGAGCTCAAGGCCCAGCTCGAGAGCCTCGCGAGCAGTGCGCGGTCGCCCCAGGGCAGCATTTTAAACCCCCAGATGTCCGGCTTGGCCGACGAGCTTGCTGCGATGCAGGCCCGCAAGGACAAGCTCGCCGAGCAGCTATCCAAGCTTAACAGCGAGATTCTTACCTCTGAACTACCCCGCTCGCGTGCGGGATTGCCGATGGAGCAGCCGCGTAAGCGACGTCCCCGCATTAGTGACTTCACATCTTTAACTGCCGCATCCAGCGGGATAGGCCTTGGGCTCGGCTTGCCCGGGACGCCCAAGAAGCAGATTGACCGCCGCGCAGTCAGCACGATGGTGCGCGTCGCTGACAGCCTCTACGACGATGACTCAGACTCGAGCTTCGTTGACAACGCCATCGAAACATTGGACCCGAGCAAGGTGAGCACAGGCTGGTTGACCATAAGTCTCATCTCAGGCCTTCGATCACGACATTACGATCGCGTCTCTACGTCGTACCATCGCTTCCCGTGATGGCGACATAGCCAAGCAAGCCCATGACCTTAGGGCCGCTCTGGCTGAGGCAGGCGAACTCAGCAAAATCAGAGATGAGCTCGCAGCGGCGAAGGCCGAGTTGAACGATGCGACGGTGGAGCACACGAGGAAACTCGCCGACGCGCAGGAGAGCTTTGGCACCGCCCAACTTGCTCTGGAGACCACACTCGCAGAGAAGAGTTCTCGTGTCGAAGAACTGGAGGCCAACATCGTGGAGCTATCGCAATCGCACGCCAAGTCTTCCGCCGAGGTGCAGGCACAACTAGCTAATGTGCAAGCCGAGCTTCAGGCTGCTACCTCGGAGCGCGATGAGCGGCTCAAGGAGATTGACGAGCTCAAGGCCGCCCACAGCGCCGAGATAACCAAGATCAAGGAATCAATCAAGGCTCTGAGAGCTAAAGCGGACGAGAACGCCGCACGCGTCGCGGAGCTCGAGGACGTGCGAGCCCAGCTTCAGTCGAGCCTCAAGGCTGTCGAAGAGGAACGCGATTCCGTCCGCTCAGACCATGCGAATGTCCAACGCGAGGCTGAGCAAGCCAAGCTAGATCTGGAGGCTTACCAGACCGCCTCGGCTGGGCGAGAAAGCGAGGCCATGGCGTCATTCAAGAGCCAGCTTGACGGGGAGCGCGAGGCCCGCAGCAAGGCCGAGATAGCTCTCGAGGAGGCCGCTAAGGCCGCTAATGCTAGAGCCAGCGAGGCGGCTGAGGAGAAAGCCCGTCTCGAGAATGAGCTTGGCGAGGCCAGCGCTAGGCTTGAGGAGGCCACCAAGGCTAAACTCGAGGTCGAAGCACGTATCGCCGATGCTGACGCTGCTGCCAAGCAAGCAGCGCTGCACGCCGCAGCTCGTCACGACGAGCTCACGGCCAAGGTCAACTCCCTCACTGCGGAAGGCGAGGAGCACCGCCAGGCAGGCCAGGACCTCGAGGTCCAACTTGGCGCCCTCACGGCACAGCTGGAGGCGAAGTGCGACGAGCACGAGACTCTGGCGCGTCAGCTTGCGGACGTTCAAGGTCGATTGGAGAGCAAGATCGCGTCCGCAGACGAGATCTCTTGCGGCCTCGAGGAGAGCAAGGCGGCGCTAGAGGCGCGCGGCGCGGAGCTCGCGGCTGCTCTGGCGGAGCGGGATGAGGCCAAAGCCGCCCTGGAGGCGGCGAAGGCGGCTCATGACATGGCCGCGGCCGATCTCAACACGCGCCTCGAGGAAACTATCCGGGCGCGTGACGAGGTCAAGGCCGCTCTGGAAGCCAAGACTGCTGCACACGACGAGGTTTCTGCCACACTCGCGGCGCTGCAGACCAAGCTGGACTCCAAGGCACAGGTTTTGGACGATGCCACGAAGGCGCACGACGACATTAAGACCAAGCTTGAGGCGGCTACGGCGCTGAACAATGAGCGGGCCAAGGAGCTCGCGGACATTCTGGTGCAGTTGGAGGCAAAGACCGCTGCGCACACCGAAGTGGAGGCTGCGTTGGAAGCCACTCAGGCTGAGCTGGCCACCAAGAGCTCCGCTCTGAAAGAGGCTACCACTGCTTCGCAGTCACTCACTGCGCAACTTGAGGAGAAGCGCGAGGCTCTGGCCAAGACCCAGGCCGAGCTTGCAACCACCATGGATGAGCTCAGCAGCAAGTCCTCTGCTCTCGAGGAGGCGGCCGCCACGTCCAAGTCGCTCATGGAGGACCTTGCATCGACTTCCAAGGCGCGCACTGAGTTCGAGGCCCAGCTCGGCATCACTAATGCCGAACTTGAGGACAAGACCGCGTCGCTCGCCACAGCGACCGCCGAGATCGACTCTCTGCGCGCCGGCGCGGACATCGCCGCCTCTATCCGCACTGACCTGGAGGAGCACCGCGCTCTCCTGGAAACGGAGAAGGCGGAGCGGGCCAAGCTTGCTGAGGCTCATGCTTCAGCCACAACTCGCGGCGAGGCGTTGGTCAAGGAGGTCGAGGAGACCAAAGCAGCTCTGGCAGTGGAGCGGGAGGCCCGCAAGGCGAGTGACGAGCGTATCGCCGCGCTCGAGGCCGAGCTCGCCACATCCAAGAAGGAGCGAGAGGCATTGTCAGCGGAGCTTACGGCCTCGAAGACCGAACGCGACGACATCAAGGCGCAGCTGACGACTGCCACCACCCACAGCTCTGAATTACAGGGCAAGCTCGACAAAATGGACAAAGATCTCGGCGAGGTCAGAGGTCATCTGGACGTCGCGCGCGCTTCCTCCGCTTCCAACGAGTCCGAGAACCGCACCGAACGTGAACGCCTCATGTCCGAGGCTGAAGCACACAAGCGCGCCGTCGCGGCAGCAGAGATTCGCCTGGCCTCATTCACCGCCGACAGCACGCTCAAGCACTCTGACCTTGCCGAGGAGGTAGCCAAGGCTCGTTCTTCGGCCGAGGACGCGACCCGCAAGCCTGGGGAGCACAAAGCAGCGGCGGCTAGGATGAAGGAGAGTCTGGTGGCGGCCGAGGCCCAGCGGTCCAAGGCCATGGAGGGGCTCAAAGCCGACCTCGCCACAGTCAAGGCAGGGAAGAAGACCGCGGAAGCCTCCGCGGCCAAGGCCAACGCCGACCTCGCAGCCGCAAAGCAAAGCCTGTCGGAAGCTACCGCCGAGATCGCCACCATCAAGGCCAAGCTCGCTCAGGAGAAGCGCTCCGACGCCCTCGACAAAGAGCTCACGCTTGCGCGCAGCGAGTACGATGCCATGAAGGCACGCTGTGAACGCCTCGCCGACGAGCTCCTCACTGCCTCTGCGCACGCCAACGGCAACTCCTCGCCCACAAAACGTGGCTTCACCTCGCTTTCCGCCTCAGGCTCGGTTCCCAGCCTCCTCTCGTCGGCCGGCTCGGCGGCGCTTCGGGGCGCCGGCATGCACCCAGTCAACGGCGGCTGGGCGTCGTCCCCCGCGGCCGTGGAGCTCTCGCGCCTCGACAAGGTCGTGGAGGCGCAGAAGGCGGTCATCGAAGAGCAGCGTGCCAAGATCAGCTTCTGGGCGCTCGAGCTCGACAAGCAGAACGAGGCGGTGCGCCTGCTCTCGGCCGACCTCGAGAACTGCACGTGCGGGGAGCGTGAGCGCGAGCGCGACTCGCGCGGCCACCTCCGCGCGTCCCTCTCCATGTCCTCGGTCCCCTCGCCGTCGAAGGAGAACCTCTCGCCCGCGCCGGCGGCCTACGCGTCCGCCCGCTCGCGCGGGCACATAAGCTCGAGCTTCGCCGCGCGCAACCTCGCCATGCCCACCGCGCCGTCCGCGTACCAGTACATGCCCGGCTCGCCGTCGCCGCTGCCCATGCACCCGAGCCAGTTCAGCAACTCGCGCAAGCACCGGCGCGTAACCCTCGAGCACGACATAAACCGCCTGCAGGAGGGCGGGCGCGTGAGCTCGATCAAGAACGTGTTCGACAGGGACGAGCCGCCCAGCCCCACGCGGCCGCGCGCCGAGCGCGTCGGGTCTAGACACACTTCTGTGCGTCGGGGATAGATGATCTGCGAAGAAAGGGAAAGAAATCAGGAAAAGCTGGGCTCAACAAAGTTCGCGTTGTATTTCTAGATCTTGTATATGTGATGCCAGTGTGATTGCGAGCGTATCGTCTGCAGGAAGAGGCGGGCGTCGTGGCAGTGCCACATAGAGCGATTCGTGCAACTGACACAACCTTTCCAGCATTGTCGTCGGCTTCTTCTGCTGAAATCCTAGTACGTTCAGTGACCGTGGCAAAATTACCGCAAGAGCCTCACCTACCATCACAGATAAATGTACATGCTTACATATATGCACACTCGCTACAAGCTAACGCCCATCCGCACAGAGCTCAGATCGCATGCGTCTCAATACCGACAACCTTGACGCCGCGCCTGCGCGGCACGCGGTCCGTGAGATTGTTGCACCCCCACACACGGACGTGCTTGAGCGCCGGACACCCCTCGAGAATGTCTTTGAGCGTAAAGTCCGTGATGTGGCGGCACCACCCAAGGTCGAGGTACGACAGGTTTGGGCATCCGGCGAGGAGAGCCACGTCGTCGGCGGGCACGTTGCGCCATCCCTTGAGGCTGAGCCAGCACACAGTGCTGCCAGAGTGCGCGATCAGCGCGGTCAACGCTTCGTGTGCCAGGTCGTGACCCTTCTCCAGGTCAATGTGCACCAGGCCCGGACGCTTCTTGGACTTGAGGGTTTGGAAGTACCGACCGACTCCGGCGTCGCTAAGGTCCACGCCCGCGAGGGCGAGGCTGGTGAGTTTCGGGCAGCCAGCGATCGAGGTGAGGATCTCGTCGCTCAGCTCAGTGTTGTGGCCCAGATCCAGAGAAGAGAGGTTCTTCCCCACCGCCGTGAGGAGTGTTTCCACCGCGTCGTCGCTGATCGCCGTGCCCGGTGAGGATATAGCCAATGATTCGAGCTTGTTCAACTTGGCAAGAGGCGCAAGGAAGTCGGAGTCCATCTGCCCTATCTCAGCGAGTTTGAGCACACGCAGATTCGGGCAGTGCTTGACAAGCACCTCTATTGTCTCGAGATCAATGCGGGGCGACTGAGTAATGCTAAGCGATTCTAGCTCCTTGCCTCGCGCTTTGAAGAATTCGATCCAGCCTTCTTTGCGCACAAGGAAGGGGCCAAACAACTCCAAGTGCTTCAGTTTGCGCAGCTGCTTCGCCCAGTGCACGAGAGTATCCGTCATCATCTGGCCGCAGTACTGCAGGTTGAGGCTCTCGAGGTTGGGACAGAGGAGGCCAAGGGTGACAAACGCATTGTGATCAAGGTCTGTTGTCAGCTTGATTAAGGGGTCTTGACTCACTCGTGACGTCGTACATCGTCAGCTCAGTGCGGTCGGCTGAGAAGAACAGCTTCGCCGTCTCGGGCGTGAGCCGGCGGCTTTTGGAGATGACCTTGCAAACATGGTCCATTCTATCCGCCCCAATCTCGCCTAGCGCCTCAACATCTTCAATGAACCGGCCGATGATCTGGAGGTCAGAAACTGAAATCACGAAGCCAACGTACCTCGATGCAAATCTGAGAGAGCACAGGAACGCCTTTTGTCACCTCGTAGTGGACAATCTTATTACGCGCGTCCTTCTTCGCCTTTGCTGGGGCTGCAGCTGCCTTTCCACGGGGCTTCTTAGCCTTAGCGTATGGATCGATGCCCAGGGGTCGGCAGCAAGGTGTGCAGAGCCAAGTTCGAGGCTTGCGAGGATGTTCCTTGGTGTACTGAGTCTGAGGTGAGCGGGGGACACGATAAAGGTGGGAGTTGTAGAGTGCGCACTCTCCATCACGTCCCACCTCCTTGCACTCACCACCGGGAACCGCCTCCCACACTCCCCGCACTCCATCATCTCCCCGATAGCCTTGAGGATAGAGGGCGCGGCACCAACGGAGGCAGGCGTCACGCTCCCGCTAGCGGCGGGCGTAAACTCATCAGAGTCATCGTCACCACCAGGGGCGTCGTCGAGGTCGTCACTGTCTACGGAGATGGCGCGGCGGCGCTTCCCCGGACGGGCCACCTCCTCGTCTTCGGGAGGCGGCGGTGGAGGCGCTTCATCGGTAGGCTCCTCGCGCCGCGCGTAGATGTTTGTGTTAGGAGCTTCGACGCCGAGGCCCTGGGGTCAGCATCAGCCTACCAAAGGATGGAAGAGGAAGGTGGGGAGATGGCATTGAGAGACGAGACGAGCATGGGTGGAGGTGCGCGAGCGAGTGGGGAAGGGGAAAGGAGGCAGGCTCACAGCAAGGAAAGAGGTTAGAGCCGAGGTTGGACCACGAACAGCGCCGTCGACAGGGCGACCGCGGCGGGGTGGCATGGTGGAGACGCTCAAGTGTGATGAGGAGAACTGCAACTCCAGTGTCGAAGCAGCTGAGGTGATTATGACTTTGTCAGGGTGAGTCAACCGGTGACGAACCGGTCGGAACCAAATTGAGAGCGTGAGGCTAACGATTGAATCTCCAGTCTTCAAATCGCTGGATCGCTGGGCTGCACATGTGCGATGAATGCATGATCGGACGTCAGATAGGGTGTGGTGGTCATGACTATGAGAGGGAAACTAATCGTGCAGGGGAATCGCACAAGTACTCATGCACGAGCTCGAGCTATGGGAACCGGGAATATGCAGTGTCCTAGCACTAGCGCATCGAGCGCTTAGTCGACCCAGAACTTCTGGAGAGCAGAGGATATCTGCTTGACGCTGTGGGTGCTCTTCGTCTTGCGCATTTTGGCCTCCTTGTCTCTGCTGTTCTTGATCATGTCGGGGTTGTTCTCATCGCGCTGCTTGGACAGGCTTGCATCTGATGCGGACGGGCCGGACGAGGCCGAGGCCGAAGCAGAAGCAGAGCTCGGTCCCGAGTTGCTGTGGATGTTGGAGAGGCCGCTGGGACCTATGGCAGTGCCGCTATTCGAGCGCGAGTTCGCGAACGAGCCGCTGCTGGAGCCACCGCTATGCACCGTCGCAGGCCGGCGATCCTCGTGGAAAGACACGCTTCGTGAGTTGCTGCTCATACCTGTCGGAGTTGGGAGCATCTGAGAGTGCCTCAAGCTGCTAGGCGGTGGATGCGCTGAGCCGCCCCGCCGCTCGCCATGGCCAGGCACACGCTGGCGACCGCGCCCATCGTTGGCCGAGTATTCCGCGTCGTCCCAATACACGGTTTGAGAGCGTGGCATCGTGGAGGATCGTCCGCCATTAGCACGGGGAGTGGCCTCATCCCTGCCGCCGTCCTGCGGCGTGGTTACTCCCCCAACGGGCGAGTTGATGGCGATGGTCTGTGGCCTCTTGCTCCCGCCGTAGCCCGACTCGCCGGTGGCCTGGCGCGAGAGGGGGGCAGGAAAGGACGGCGGTTCAAAGTCGAGTGCCGGTAAAGACATGCGATTCAATGACGAGGATGAGCCTCGGCGAGCACCCCCATCTGCGCGGATGGGTGGTGGCATCGGCAGGCCACTGTACGGCGAGTAGGGCGCTCCGGTGTACTGAGGTCCCATCATCGGCCCGCCCATCGGCGCTCCCATCGGCGCTCCCATCGGGCCCGGCATACCCGGGTGCATGAAGTAGTCACCCTGGGGATATCCAGGCGCAAAGGCAGCCTGCTGGAACAGCTGGTCCGGGAGGCGGGTGTCGCGCATGAGGAGCTTCTGGAACGCCAACACTGTGTAGAACGCCTCGTTACCAGCATTTCCCAGTGGCGCGTGGGGCGCAACTGGAATCTGCAAGTGATGGAGAAGCTGGCGCAGCGACACGAACGGGTGGTTGCGCTCCCCGACGCCCGGCACACCCATACGCTGCGCCTGCTGCAGCAGGGCGAACTCGAGTTGCAGCACATCGAGCTGCAGCACGTTCGGAGGGAAGGTCGTGGCGTGCGGCAGTGGGATTGGCTGCGGTTCTCCGATCGACAGCAGGATGAGGGTGTTGGCCCCGCCGTCAGTATCATGTGATGCGAGGGCGCCCAGTGAAGCCCTGTGGTACGATTAGAACAGCCGTTGCGGGATCATCGACAGCGCCCAGTACTCACTCAACGATGCGCTCGACACTCTTCTCCGAGGTGAACTGGCTGCGCCCGAAGCCATACGCCCGCGGAAAGTTGGGAGGCGCCGTGTTCGTTCGCTGGGGTGTTAGCGAGAAGCGCGAGGGACAGATGAAGCTGCAACTCACCTTGTCAACCCATTCCTCCATGACATAGTGCGCTTTGCGGTAATTCTTGTCTGGCACAGGTGGCCAGACATCCTTTCGCGACGTCAGCAGTGGCCCAGATATCCGCGTAAGCCCACACTCACGACCGCACGGAGGTTGGCGCATCGGAGAGCAGCCAAGCCGACCTCGAGCATGAGGCCCTTGCCACCTTGTCCAGGCCGTGCCATGACTGTACGTCCATGGCCTGGCACGAAGCCCTGCGGTGGCCCACCCTTCTCCCACCAGGTCGTCTTAATGCAGGCCCAGGTGTAGCCCTGACCGTTGGTGCGTACACCGGCGGCCGCAGCCGAGTCATCGTCCTCTGCGCCGGCGTTGAAGAGCGCAGTCACAACCCCTGGCTCGCCAATGCGCACGCGTGCTCGCAAGTGTGAGAGTTCTGCCGGAGCCAACGAGCCTGACAACTTCTTGTAGCCTTGCAAGTCGGTGATGTTGATGATACGATGCAACGTGCGGGACCGGGCGGGTGCTGGGTCGAGCGGCATGATCGACGGGGGGTCCTTGTCAAGCGTTTCTCCAAAGCTTGGGGATGTCAGTACATCTCGGTGTCCCTCTAACAGATGCGCAACTTACCGCGTTTTGATCATACGGGCGAACAGCGCAATCTGCTCTCTCCGCGCTGCGATGTGCGCCCTTCCGGTGGCGCTGTCGACGACGACTGTGATCAGCTGCCTTCCTTGCCTGGGCGCAAGCGTCATACGCACCCATCGCCTCCCATCCGAACCCGAGAAAGTCGTTGAACGACCGAAAGTAGCCTCCCCATGATGCGTCCCACCAGTCAATGTTCTGCGAGTCAAAGTCCCCTCTAAATTGTCAGCGCATCGCGATACTTGGCAACTCACAGGTACGCCGCATAAATGGAATGTAGGTCGATCTCGAACTCGGCGGGGTTGCCGTAGCGAGTGTTGTCTCCCATTGCCGTGCAGAGTGTTCGGAGGGAAGATTAGACGGAGGGTGACGACGAGTCAAGAGGAGACGAACTCCGGAAGCGAACAAGTTGAGATGAGTTGCCGGTGATCGTCGTCGGGCAGGGTTGTGAGCTGGAGTGTGTGTCTTGGCTGCAACGTATGAGGGTGACCGCACTGACCTCTCAACGACCTCGGGCGGGCGGGCGGGTGGGTGTGGGAGAGCGAGACCCCGAGGGGAGGGGAAGGGGGAGAGAGAGAGAGAAAGAGTGAGAGAGAGCACAGAGGAGAGGAATGACGAATGACGAATGGCAGAGGCGAGCGTCGTCAAAAGGAAGGAAGGGGAGGGTGCGCGCGCACAGGAGTCTTGATGATCGCACTGGGCGACGTGGACGACCTGCCTGCAGTAAACGGAGGAGGCGAGGGGCGCAAGAGTGCGGGCGTGCGTGGTGCGACAGTTGCAAAAGGAACGTGTTTAGGCGACGAGCAAGGGCAAACGGACGAATGAGGCGGATGTGAGGAGGAGGCCGAAGGGGAGAGCGATGCGGGCGTCGGGGTATGAATTAGGATGTCTCGGGCGAATGCAATGAGAGAGAAAGTTGATAATGGGACAATTGACCGCTTGGGAAGGGGAGGGGGGGAGGGGGTGGAAGAGGGGAAAGCGAGAGTTGGGAGGAGGGGATGTAAGGGAGTTGTTGACGAGGTGGAAAAGGATGGCGTGTGATAGCTATGTGATGGCTGGGGCGACGGCTGGAGGGAGGGGGAGGCAGCGGACGGAGGATCGGAGGAGTGGGCCAGTAGTCGAGGAGAGTGGCCGCGGGGTGGAGGAGGAGGGGGGAGAGGAGTGACCGGAGTGGGTCGTGGGTTGTGGGTCGTCCTGTACTCGTAGTGGGTGAGTGGTGACTGTCGATGGGGGGGGAAGGAGAGAAGGGGAGAGAGAGAGTGTGTGTGTGCAGTGTGTCTCACGCCCCCTTGTGAATGCAGGGCGCCCTGTCCCATCTGTCCCCTCTGTCCCATGTCCCAAGTCACAGGCGTCTCAGGTGATTACAACGGGCTGTGCACTCTTCCAACTAATCCAGGGGTCTCAACAAGGGGGAATAGAGACCAGGCTAGCATAGCAGCCAAGCAGGCGCGTCAGCTGCGGCATTCCATCATGTCCTCCCACAACGCGCGTGTCATTCTCCAGCGGCCAGCCAGCCAGCAGCAAGATGCCCCTGACATACACCCACAGGTTGATCAAGTCAATCCTATATTCAATCCCGCTCTCTTCCATATCCTTCAACTCTCCTGTATCTCCTATTAGCCTCTTCCATCACACCTACTGTCCAGATATCGTCCTCGCCTTCTCATTGCTCCTTGATCTCTTGGCTTTTTGCGTACCTGCGTACGCCGCCCTCATCAGCACAACTCTGCACACAGCTGGAGGCAGTCTTCAGGCATTCGATGATCGCCCTGATCCCCGTCCCTTCGTTGTCTCCCTTCATCTCTCCGATTGGTGTGTCAGCGCGACTGTCGCTCACATCATCCAATTTTGACGATCACCTCTTTCTCTTATGATCTTGTGGGGTTGCGTCCATATGCGTGTTGAACTGTAGTATTGCACAGCAGTACATGTGGTCAGTAACCGCTGTTCTCCTCATTGGCAGCACCTATCCCAGTGTCTCAGATTACACGGCACGCGCCATGTGCGACATGCACCTGCAAATCAGAGGTGACGCGCCCGCCAAGCCAACCCATGTCCACGTCCGACCGGCGCGACCGGCCTGTTGAGCAATGAGACCCATGAAACAGGCGAGGACGCCAAGAGTGCCACACGGGAAATGATTGAGTTTAAAGAATCTGCCAACACCCCACCACATGTACTGCACACGCGACGCGTACTCTACTAAGGTTGTGAGGGCGCGGTCGGGCGCGTCGTGACTGCTCAATGTGGCTAACCGAAACAAGGTTGCCCTGTCTGTCATGCCCGACTGGAACGGCATGGACGGCAGCGACAGCTAGTTTGCTCGACGAACCGACCCAACAACGAACTACTCGTTTCAGGCCGTGCCTCGAGCCTGGCGCCTGTGTCCTCGTCACCATTGCACTCATCCTGCATGCATGTCTCCGCATGTCCTGCATGTCCTGGCCGTCTCATGAGAACAACCTCTGCTGTCGAGCGTCGAGGTGACAAGAGTCCAGACTCTTGGCTATACGGCTATACCCTAGACCACCCTACGGAATGGATTGCCGGACCGCTGCGCACCGGGCTCGCTCCGCGCTCCAGCATGCAGCATCGTGCAGTGAGCAGCTTCGGTGCATTCGGTGGGGGCGGTGGGATCAGTGGGAATCGTGGCTAGCATGCCGGCTCAAAGACTGCGTAGGCCGCCCATCCTGGCTACCACCATCACGCTCTTCACGCCCGCTTACCAGGTAACCAGCCCCGCGATGGCTTCATGTCCCACGCTCATCTATTCTGGTACCAGGTGACAACTAACCCCCAGGCTAAGGACCGCGGCCAGTGGGAGTAGAGCGCGGCGGGCACAACGTGAGCATAACTTTGCCCAGCTCGCTCCGGCCAGTACGCTGGACGCTGATGCAAAGCGTCAAGCGGTTCCTGGCAGATCGCAGATAATAAGGAATGGCTCGTGTGATCGTGTGATTCTGCGGCGCAGTCTAAAAATGATCTGCAGTCTGGGGCGCCCAGTCGTCATAGGGCGCAAATAGAAGTACAGGTGAGACGTCGCCTTCCTCCATCGATCCCATCGTTCCATCATTTATTCCATCATGATCCATCATCCTCCATGATTCAGCATCAGGTCCGAGGATGGTTCTCTGCGGCTCCACAGTACGCACACTTGGCCGAGCTTTCCAGTCTCCGCAGTCTGGCGTCACTGACGAGTCGCCGCGTTTTGCCAGACGCTGAGCAGCATGAGCAGAGAGAGGAGCATCTAGCAGCGGTCCCGAGCGCAGATCGCGCGGCAGACGTGCTTGTCCAATCGTACTGGATGTCTTCTGCATGCGATCCACTCCAGATCATGTGGAAGTGGCGGCATGGCATATCACGAGCGGAAGCTGATTACAGAGTTGGAGCGGAGGCTGATTGCGTTCGTGGCCGAAATCAGATCAGCAATTTCCAGCGCAATTGGGTGGCCAAGTCTCCATCCTCCGCAACGCATCAACAACAAATCCATCCTCGCCTGGCGCATGCTCCGAGCGCTCCGCCGTATCGCAATGACAACAGCAGTACCTCAGCGGCCCGTCATCGCGGTCGTGGGCACCACAGGCGTGGGCAAGTCGAACCTCGCTGTGTCGCTGTGCAATGCTCTCCCCTCGCTCTCTGCCTCCTCCACCCGCCCTCTCCCGAGCAAGGGCAAGGTCCTCTCCGCCGACTCGATGCAGCTGTACAAGGGCATGGACGTAATCACGAACAAGGTTACCGTGGAAGAGCAGGGCGGTGTAGAACACTGGGGCTTGGATGTTGTGCAGCCCGGCGAAGACGGGAGCTGGGAGGTCGGGAAGTGGTGCAACGCCGCGGACCGTGAGGTGAGCTCCACCGTATCCCCGACTGACGGCAGCTTGAACACACGCCAGAGTCCACGCTCCCCGTCATATGCGGTGGCACACACTACTTCATCCAGCACTTCCTCTTTCCGCCCGATGAGCTGGTTCTCGACCGCCAGCGGGAGGAAGAGCGGAAGAACGACGCCCTCGCGATCCGGTGGACGCCGCCGCGCGCCATGCCGCCCGTGCCGGAGGACATGGACCCAGATCTCCTCCGTCTTCTGGAGACCTTCTGGCGCAACGACGCCGTGTACCCGCCAGAAGGGGAGGCCGAGGCCTCCGGCTCTCAGCGCCTCACCTCCCGCCCCGTCGCCGAGACAGACCACCAGCTGCTGAGCTTGTGGCGCGTGCTCGAGGCTGTGGACCCGAACGACTCTGTGCGCTGGCATTGGCGCGATGGGCGGAAGGTGCGCCGCTCCATCGAGCGCTGGTGGGAGCGCGGGGGCGGGGAGGTTGAGGCCGCGGAGTCTGGGAGTGGGCGGAGCGCACGCTTCCGCACCCTCATATTTTGGGTGTACGAGCCACTCGCGAATCTCAAGGACCGGCTCGACGCCCGCGTGGATAAGATGGTTGAAGTAGGTGTGTTGGGGGCGTGGCTGACAGTAGAGCGGGTTGTTGGACGAGATCGCGGAGTTGCGACAGATCGCGCGGCGCGTGTATGGGAGCGAGGAAGCGACAGACATGTTCGAAGGCATCTTCCAGGCCATTGGTGAGGCCTGGTGTGGCCAAGCTGACGGCAGGATATAAGGAGTTTGCGGGGCTGCCGCTTCCTCAAGAACGACCGTTCGAGAACCCCGAGTTCAGGCGCATGCTTGACCTCATGAAAATCAGTACGCACCGGTACGCCAAGAGCCAGATCAAGTGGATCAAGAAGCAGCTCCTCCCCGCCGTCCATGAGGCGCGCTCGCGGGGCGGCGACGTGCACATCTACGTCGTACCTGGTGGCGCGCAGGGCGAACCGCTGGCGCAGGACATTATGGCACGTTTCTTGCGGGGTGAGGCCTTGCCGGATCCTGCCACGGTGGGACATCCGGAGGCCGCGGAGCTGCTGAAGATCCTCGCGGCGGAGCCGGCGCGCGTAGCGGATACAGCGGAGTGAGTGCGACGCGGAGCAGCTGACCCCAGCCGCCAAGTTCTGAACGCGAGGCGGATATGCGAGGACTGCTCTGCGCCCGGCAAGCCGTTCTCTGTCCGTGAAGTGGACTGGAGCATGCATCTCAAGTCCAAGGTTCACAGATTGTGAGAGCGAAGCGCGAAGTTGCAAACTAACTCCAGAAACACGAAGTACGGGGGGATGAGCAGGGAGGAGTTCACCGCGATGCAGAAGGCGCAGGGGCTCGCGCGGAAAGCGGCGTTGGACGCCGAGCGAGCAAAGGCGAAATTGGCGTCTGAGGCCACGGAGAGCTTAGCATCGGAGACGAAGGAGAGCATCGCATGTGAGGCGAAGGAGAGCGCATTTGAGGGCGCGTAGATTGTATGCATTTCTCCGTTCTGAGCTGTTCACAGTCATAAAGGTGGAGTAGAGGAGAGGAGTGCACTAGGTGGTCGACCTCCACTTTCAGGGATTCAGAAGTTGCATCAACTCACTTTGTCAACAATCCCCTCTAGCTCTTCCTCCACATCACCATGGACGACGAGGAAGACTTCCACTCGCTCAACAAGGTAAGCTCTCCCTCTTCCACCTCTGACCGCAGGGCGTCTTCGTGATTCCATTCAAGGGCGCCGGCGACGCAGGCCCAAGCCGCCCTCTCGATGCAGTGTACCACAACGTTAACGCGGCCTACGCCCGGGCGCACAAAGTACGCTGCTCCGCGACAGTCCTGACCACAGGACTACGAAGAAGACCGCGCCGAGGAGCAGCTCGACGTCATCCGCGAGTGGCTAGAGCGGTGTGATGCCCCTTCGGTGCTCAGCCCGACGTTCAAGATCCGGCGCGTGCCCGTCGCGCTGATGCAAGGTGAGTCTCCTTCTGGTTAGGCTGATGGCAGGCGTCTCGCCCGAGATCCCGCGCCAGCTCCCGGATCTCACGCGCGCAACGTCGCTCAGCGGGCGCGATCTCGCAGACGTCGGGACCGCGACGCGTGCCCTCGCGGTTGGATTCCTCGGCGAGGCGGTGAGCTTTTGATCGACGCAGCTGACGCCAGGCGCTGGACGCGAAGAAGGCGGGCCGCACGCCGCTCGACGAGGTCGAAAGGTGGTGGGGGAAGCTGCGCGAACGCCCAGCTCTGCTGGTTCATGTCGAGCAGGCACAACTTGTCCCGACCACCGTGCTGGCTGAGCTCGTGTACATCGTCGGGTGAGCTGAGATGAAGGAGGAAGCTGACTGCAGGTTGCATAGCATACCTATCCGCCTTCTCTTTGGCGTGCCGAGCGTCTCCACATTCTTGGCGGGGTGGACGCCCCTCGACCCCAGCGAGATTGATATCTCCGTTTTGAGGAGCACGAGGCGGCCCCGTGGGGCTGTCGGTGCTGTTTTGCAGGTGCGTCTCGCTATATAGGGCACGACTGACACTAGACTGCACGCGATCGCTCAGCTGCCCCCATCACTATCTCCGAGGAGCTGGCAGTCGAGCTGCGCGCCGAGGATGACCGGCTTGGCGGTGGCGCGGCGGCGACCCTCAAGTCACTCCGGTGGCTTGTGCTGCGCCACAGCCGAAACTCTGTGCTGGCGGCGCTGTCAGATGCAAGCGAGGAGAATCAGTAAGCTGCCTTGAGGACGAGCTGACTTCAGACCGGCGGCTTTGCAAACACTGCGAGAAGCACTGGCGTCGGAGGAGGCCGACGAGCTCCTCACATTGGGCGTCTCGCCAGATCTCTCCTATGTGAGCTGGTCTACCGCGCACAGAGCTGACAACAGACACAGAACCCTGCTCCACGGCTAGCTCTCCTACAAGCTCTCAGCAACCAGGACGCCTTCCTCCCGCCATCAGAGGACCACGACGCGCTCAAAGAGACGGCAATGCTGCACTCGCTCTGGGAATCTGCTGGCAAGACCGTGAACCTGTGGGACTGGCTCGAAGGGTTCCGCATGATGATTCTCTCGCAGAAGCGAGCGGAGGAAATGCCGGATCCCACAACGCCCAGCAAGAGGGCGAAGAGGAGGCGAGAAGAGGAAGATGAGGAGGAAAAGCTGGAACTGAACGAAGATGAAGACGCGCGCGCACACGCCCGCTTCATCCGCTTCGTGGAGGAGGCGCGGTTGATGGGTCTGGTGCGGACACGAGGGAAGAAGGGAGACGACGTGGTGAAAGGGGCACTTTTGTAGCAACATTGCGATTTATGCATCGACATCACGACGCGTTCAAGCGTGTAGCGCAGATGACGTCAACCGCCTGCGACGGATTATTGATGCGACTGCCTTCCTTTCCGCATCTTGCCTCTGCTCATTCTGCCATCTCTTACTCCATCCATCTTCCATTCTCCCATCTTCGCACTGATGTCACGATGAGCACAGCCGACCTCCTTGCCGAGATTGGCACCAGCACCGCTGCCGAGCTCGTTATGGGTGTCGCGTACACCAGTGAGCCAATTACGCGACACGACTAACCAAGCCACACCCCCCGGCCCAACTTTCTTGCCTGAGCTGGACGCTCTACTCCTCTCGGCTCGCCCACACGTCGGCGGCTCGTCTTTGCAGCGCGGGGATTTGGTGGAGCTCACTGGCGCCAGCGGGAGCGGCAAGACGACACTCGCGACGTTTCTACTCATGACATCCCTTCTACCGCCATCTCTCGATTTGCCAAATGCTCGGGGCACGGCCTCCCCCACCCAAACCTCATCATACGCCCCCGTGGATGATGATACCTCTCGCGACGGGGCGATTCCTATCGGCGGCCGCGGCTCGTCCGCCGCCTTCCTCGCGCCTCCATCCCACCCACCCCTCCGCCTGGCTGACTCACTGCGCGCCCACATTGAGCGCTGTTGCGTTGCGGCCGGTATCACCCCCGCCTCAATCCGGTACCTCATCGACGATGCTGTGCAGGAGTCGCTGGCCCGCCTCATCGTCATCCGACCTCGTCCCCGCGCAGCGAGCTGGGCGATCGCGCTCCATCGTCTTCTCTCACTAAAGGGCGACGTGCCGGCCTTGGTCGTGGTCGACGGGCTGGGCGATGGCTTCTGGCCCGAACGCTGGGCTGAGGAAACTCACAAGCCCTCCAAACCCCAGCCTGGCGCAACACGTACGGCCGAGGAAGCCTGCATGCGCGACGTCTGGGACCAGCTCACGGCGCTGCGATCTCTGCTCGGCGCCGTGGTCGTCGTCACAGTCCAGGGATTGCGTCCCGCAGCGCACGGCGGGCTGTTCAAGCCCCACCTCCCGGCGCCATATCCCTCGCCCGTTCATCAAGAGGGTAAGCCATGGCCACTCAATGTCCACATCACGCTGCTCGGTCCCTCGCGCGGCCTGCAACTGCCAGCGGAGTGTACCCTGGCCGAGGCGCTGCGCGAGCGCCGCAGACCTGACGTGCGGACGTATCATGCCCTCGTACGCGTACCCGGCGGTGCAGGCGCAGTTGGGACACCTTCTGGCGCGCGCTTCGCTTTCGGCGTGAACGAACATGGCCTTGTGCCATTCAACCCTAGCTGAGCTTTCATCATCATCACATGCCCCATCTCACAACTTCATATCATGCATCTATACCCTCTAGATTTTGCTCTTCTGGGCCTCCTCAACCGCCTGCTTCACAGCCTCCACCGCGCGAGTGTGCATGTCCTTGCCCGCCGCGACAATACCCTCGTTGCCCTTGAGCGTGCGGCCGACCGAGAAGTCCAGTGGCTTGCCCCACATGTCCGAGCACACGCCGCCCGACTCCGCGATGAGCAGGGCTCCCGACGCGTGGTCCCAGATCTTCTCCTGGTAGTCCTTGCCGCCGCTGTACTTCGTGGGGATGCGGAGGTAAACACCGCCCTCGCCGCGCGCGAGGCACGCGTACTTTGCCTGCGAGTCCATGCGCAGCGATGGCCGCTGCACGCCAAGGAGCGCGCCGATGCGCTGCTGGATCCCATGCGCCGAGTGTCCGGCCTCGACCGACTCGAGGAATGTGAGGGGGTTCGAGGCGGGCGGGCTTGGGGGAAGGGTGAGCTTGGTGTAGTTTGCGCTGTCAAGGGGGCGCTGGAGTTAGCTGTGTCCAGAGTGTCGTGGCGACTCACAGACCACGAGCCCTCGCCGCGCACGGCGACCATCAACACGCCCTTTCCGTTGGGCACAACCTCCTCGCCGATCGCGGCGGGCTCAGGGCCGAGGTTGGGGCATCCGATGACGCCGAGCTCGACGGCGCCGTCGACAATCAGAGCGAGGCACACGGCGAACTGCTGGTGACGGATGAAGCCGGAGGTGCCGTCGACAGGGTCGATAGTCCAGAACCGGCCAGATGCGCCGCCCGTCGCCGAGCCGGCGTCGATGGCGGTGAGGATCCTGGTGTCAGCGTGCTCTCTCCTCACTTTCCGGGCCGTCCTCTGCGTCCATCATCCTGTACCCCTCCCTCTTCTCCTCCATCCCGCTCACGCCTGCCCACACGCCCACCACCGCCCACTCACTCATCCTCAGAGAACGTCTTGCCCTTCCCCCACCCCTCCTCGCGCCCGAACCCGGCGTTGACGAGGTCCACGACCTTCTCGCGCAGCGGCGCGTTGGCGCGCAGCTCGCCCGTGTCCTCCTCGCCGATGATTTCGTCCTTGGGGAAGTGCGCGAGGAGATGCAGGCTGATGAGCGCTTGTGCCGAGAGATCGGCGACTGCCGTCAGTGCCCACCTCCTCCACCACCTTCTCCTGGCGCAGCGATGCCACCGCCTACGCACCAGTGACGGGTGACTTGTCCTTCTTAATCACGGTGTCCTTGGACACGAGTGTGTCCTGCACGTTTTTCGTGCTGGCGTCAGCATCGCATCGAGAGAGAGCGCACAGAGAACAGCCGCGGAGGACGGAGAGGATGGCGAGCTCGGCCTCGGCCGCGAGCTTGGTGAACGGGAGCGAGGACATGGTGATGGTCCTAATAGTCCTGATGTGGGGGCGGGGGCGGGCGAGGGAGAGACGGCGAGCCACAAGATGGAGCATTAACAAGTTGTGGCGTTGTTGACGGTGGTGCACAACTAACCGGATCGAAATCGGGAATCGGCGGTTTGCCGGCGGCACGTCATCTTGACATTCCCATTCCGCTCACGTTCACGCACACGCTCGCTCGATCTGATGAGCATCCCGGCCCCCGACTTCGACTCCGCGGCGCTGTCGCTCCCGCTGCCCCATCCCGAGGCGTACGCGGGCGAGCCGCGCGAGTATGCGCGCGCGCTGATGCAGCGCAAAGAGGAGATCGAGAAGGAGATTGTGCGCGACACGCCAGCGGCGCTGACGGCAGGACAGGCTCAAGGACGTGCTGGCTACGGTGCGCTGCGGCGTTGCAGAACTGACGATAGCATGGCGCGTCGGCGGACACGGCGCTCGTAGACCCCGAAGGGTATCCGCGCGGGGACATTGATATTGTGCGTTCTGCGAAGAAGGGAGCTGACGCCAGTACTCGATTCGGCATGCGCGTGCCGCCCTCGTCCGGCTCTACAATGATCGCGCGGAGGTGATGCGCCGCCTGGCGAGCGCGCTCGAGTCGGCGTTCGAGGTCGACCCCAACGCCCCGGCCCCCGCTCCTTCCCGCCCGCCGCCGAACGCGTCAGCGAACACGAACGCGAACGGATACCGCGAGGGAGGCGGCATCCCCGACGCATGGCCCGCCGCGCCCATTGCGCGCGTCAACAGCGTTGCCGCTACCAGCCCCGCTGCTGATGCTGTGAGCTGGCTCCAGGTGCTTGCTGACAACAGGGCCTGGAAGCGGGCGACATCATCTACTCGTTCTCGGGCATCACCGCGCCTGCCGGCATCCAAGCCATCGGGGCTGTTGTGCAGCGTTCTGAAGGCGTAAGTCACACCCCTGCTCAGCTGACACCAGCAATCCCTCACTCTCCTCGTGCTCCGCGGCGCCGAGCGCAAGATGCTCCGCCTCACGCCGCGCACATGGAGCGGGCGCGGCCTGCTCGGCTGCCACATCCTCCCAGCCTAACTCTCCATACCTCAGACCTCTGTACATCGTTCATGCGCATATGCATGTTAATCTATCTTAGACGAGGCGCTTCCCGCTGTCGGCCGGCTTGGCCACAGGCTTGGCCTCGGCGACGACGGCAGGTGCGGCGGCGACGGGCACCTCGACGGCGGGCGCCTCCTTGGCCGCCTCCTCTGCTGGGACAGCGACGACAATCTCGGCAATCGGCTTCTGCTCCACCACCGTCGCGACCTTCTCAAGCACGACGGGCGCGGTCACGGGCGCAGGGGGCGTGAGGGGTGGCGCATCGGGCAGCGCGGCGATCTCCTCGCGAAGAGCGGCGCGCGCCTGCTCCACCTGTGTAGCGGGACGGCGGAGGGCGTTGCCCACACGCAGGCCCGTCGCGCTCTCGACACCCTCAGCGGCCTTGGAGCTCCACTGCGCCGCCTCGTGGCTCGCGCCGCGCAGGCGGTCCACAGCCATGTGCCAGTGCATCTCGAGGTTCTGGTTGAAGGCGTCGTGCTTCGCGGCAAAGTCCGGCGCGTGCTTGTCCTCGAGGTCAGAGACGTACGCGCGGAGGTTGTGTGCCGTCTTCGGGAGGAAGTATGGGAGAGCAGCGAGGGCGAACGTCGGCGGCGCAAGGAAGCGCACGGGGAACGAGCGCGTGCGCATCAGCACCGAGCCCGTCAGGCCCGCGACGAGGACGTAGATGATGCCCGGTGTCAAGTTCTCGTCCTTGGGAACGACGGACTTGACCTCGCCTGCGGTTAACATGCGGACCGTGGAGAAGGACGAGAAATAAGAGTCGCACTCACGCTCAACGCTCCGCTCAAAGTCGATCCAGCGCGACACACCCTGCTGCACCACGCCGCGCACGCTCCCGACCGCCTCGGCCGTCGCCTCGCGCGCAGTCGCAATGTGCTCGGACAGCGGGTTGTGGTGCACTACGAGCGTCACAGTCCCCTCGTCGTTGGGGTTTTCGTAGATGGGTAGCTGGAAGTTAGCGGGCGCGCGCACACGAGCAGTCCGCCGGCAGCCGGCGTGGGACCAACCTTCTCGCCGTTGGGCGCACGGCCGGGGTGCACGAAGACGACGGCGCCGTCGTCGGCGTACGCAACGGTCGTGGCGGAGGCAATCACGGCGCCTCCGACGGCGGCGGCAGGGCCAATAGATCCCCGGAAGAGACGCTGGAAGGCCGCCATGGTGGTGAGTAGCAATGAATGACCGGCAAGCCAGCCGAATCTCAGTGACCTCAGTCACCCAAGCCGACATGGCGGTCGATCTCGGACATCCACCAGCGGAATCGCCACGTGGCGGAAATTTCCGGTGTGGCACTCTGCATCTCCGGCCGTCCGGCCGGTTGTACCGCGACTTTCATCACCAACGCTCCCTTCCGTGATACTGTCTTGGATCACTGCATAAAATACACCACAATGGCTACAGGCCGCCCTAGCGCAGCCGTTCCAGAATCTCGTATGTACATCAATTTTTGTTCTTGGCGACCTTTGGCCGCACAGGCACGTTGCGCCGAGGAGTGGACTTGGAGTCGCCATTCGAAACGGTACTCTTTCTGCGACGCTTCCTCTCGGGCGCCGAGTCAAGGTCATCCTCGGTCGAGGACTTGCGACTCGGCGGCACAGGCGGGGCGTTGGGAGGCACGCCACCTTTTGTCATGAACGCTATGCCAAGACGTTGGAGTGGGTCCGCCGAGTCGAACTTGGCCGGCAAGAAGACGATTGGCAGAGTCGTGTCCGGCATGGGAAGGTGGAATGCCTGGACGTCAGTGTGTGGACGAGACAGATGAGGAATCAAGAACACTCACCACGCCCTCGGCATGGAGTCCCTGGACCATGTTCACAAACGGAGCGATGTTCTCATCGTTGCACAGGACCATGCCCATGGTCACGGGGAGCAGGCCTTCACGAGCCAGCGTTGAGACAGGTATCATTGTCGCAGTGCAGCTCTCCGTCATAGCGGGTCCCGAAGGATAAGTGAGGGCCTCTGGCCAGGTGTGCGATTTCCTGCAAGAACGTATCAGTACACAGTCGCTCTAGGTCAATGCTGAAAACTTACCACAAGTGGCCCGAGGCGGCCTCTCCGATAATCAGAACGTTGAAACGTCCTCCCCCTCGCCCACGGATTGTGAGATCGCCCTTCCACACGGCCACCTTGCCCTCCTGAAGATCTCGGAATGAGGGCGAGAAGAACATGCACATCGGTGGTGGCGGAATGAAGGGCACATCGGGTAATGGCAGTTGCAAAGTCGGCGCCCGAGGGCGTGGCCCTCTCATCGCGATTACCGTGCCCGCAGTCTGCGCTGTTTCAGGAGACACGGTGGGAATGTTTGTGCTCGCAGAGGTCGCGGACGACAGCATGGACCCGCCGGACACGAAGGGCGAGGAGATCATGTACTCCACTGGCTCCTCCGCGTTGCTTGATGTGCCTGCGCGCGTGACAAATGGGTCGTTCTCGGTGGGTGTCACCACTGTCGCAGGCGAAGCCTGCGTAGAGGCCTGCGCGGTACTGTTAGACTTGGTCCACTCTGGTTGGGAGGGGCCAGCGCTGGACGACACGCTTTGAGACTCCCGAATCCTCTCGTCTTCTTCCATTTCGGCCAAAATGGCATCGATGCCAGTCATGGCGTCCCCGGCCCCTCGAGATCCCGGACGGGGCACAGTGTCGAGAGGGTCAGAGATGTCGATGGGAGGCAAACCGAGAGCGGGGGAGAACTCGCGTCTGGGCGTCAAGCCGGACCCAGACGGCAACGTTGTCGAAAGCGATGGCCATTCCTCTCCTGGGGTGAAGGTTGTCCATTGCGAGAGCTCTTCGCTAAGTCCCTTGGTAGGCGTCCATGCCCCGTATACTTGTCCGTCTTGGAACGCATTGACGACGAGGGGAGCAGTAGATGCCACGTAGTTTGAGAGCAGTCCAGCAAATACGTTGGTCTCGTGAGGTCGAGCGGCAACATTGTAGAGCGCTTGCAACGATAGAGCAGCTGATGCTGACGGAGTTCCTACGTGGACGTTTGATCCACCGGTAGCGAGGGAGAGGGACATCAGGACATTCGGCCATAGCCCTTGGCTCGTCACCTTTGGGGTCAGCTCGAGCAGTCTCATGAAACTCACAGCAGCCGGACCGCCACGCTTCCAAACTTCGGAGAGGATCCGTGCGACGCCAACTTGCCCTACCCCCTCCACTTCCACTGTGCGGTTAAGCGCCAGCCGCCACGCTTCCGAGTTCGATGCAGTACGCTCCAGTCCAAAGCCCTTCTTTGGGGTCAACAGCTTGTTCTTGGGGCTGGTGGAGACAACGGTGTCGCCTTCCAGTGCAAACGTCGCCTCGAAGGGCGGATTAGACTTGGTGCCAGACTCAAAGTTGTCGAAGTTCAGGAGACTCTCCCACGCCGCGGGACTCGAGATGCCGTTCGAGAAGGGGCCAATCTCATTCCCATATCCAGACAGAGCGTCGCCAGTCGGGGGCCCGATCTTGGAGGCTGGAGGCGTGCCCCCAACGACCCAAGGATAGTTGTTTGCGCCCGTGACAGTGGATCCAACAGCAGGAGGGAAAGACGACCGCCTTCTGTGCAGGCCACGTCTCATGGCTGCAACTTGGGCAGGGGCGGCGGAGATAATGGGTAGGGGCGAAGGAGCTTCCACTGGCGTATTTAAGAGAGATTGTTCGGCGGATGCGGTTATGGGGGGACGGGAGAGGGGGTGAGGTTGATAGTTGCGAGTAGAAAGGCCTACGTCTGGCGGCGACTGAAGAGGACGTCGAGACTGTGTGTCAGTTCTGGGAAGGTGCGAAAGGTGCGGATGTGCACAGAGGAGGGTGGGGCGTAAATACACGGCGGTGGCAGATGGCGAGCAACGCCAGTCATGAGGGTCAGGCCGAACAAGAGCCACGAGCCATCGGCCTAGCGAAATGCGCCCAAACAAGCCTCTCACTCATGACTGCGAACTGCTGGATGCGTGCTGCTGAATAGACCTCGAGCGTACTCACTTCTCCGGCCTTGAATCGCAACTTGTCTGGAGACACGACGGGGGAACTACAAGTCAGAATGAGGGCCTTGAAGGAAATGTGTGTCAAAGAGGTGTGTACTCACGACAGGATCTGTTTGGGAAGGGGGTCTGGGAGGCGGCTGGGAGCGATGACAGGCGACATGTTGGCAGTCAACCAGTTCTCACGAATCTCGGGAATGCGTATTGAGAGCAGAGGGCAATGCCATGCGACGGTATTGCAAGACAAGCTTCAGATGCAGCAGCGGCGAACCGGTAATGCCGAGGGAGAAAAGGACGACGATGCGATGTGCAGCGGTGAGGTGGGACGAAGCGATTCGCGCTGATTGCGATGGCTGCAGCTTGTAGTGGTGGTATATGCGCGACTGGGCTGGGCGTGGGCGGCAAGTACAGACGCTTGGACAGTCGGTGGCGACGGATGTGTTGAGGAGAGATGAAGAGGACAGAGTTGCCACGATGGTGCCGAGGTGTGCCGGCCCAAGTAAGCGTCTGTTGAGGCTGCCAGCGGCCGCAATGTGTATCAGGCTTAATCAAGCCACCTGTTGCCGCCACTGCGTTGCTGGTGAGTGAGTACAGGGGAAGAGAGAGCTAAAGAAAGAGGGATGCGGGGATAGAGACGAGTGTGGATCAAAGGGCTAGCGGATTCACGGCGGACGGCGGAGGAGGAGAGATGAGTGTTGACGACGGACGACGAAGAAAGGATATGAGAGGTTACGGAGGGTGCGCAGTGGATCGGTGGATCGGTGACCCGGTGGAACGGTGGGAAGGGGGAAGTTTAGCGAAGGTATGGGAAACACGGCAGGCGGCGGGTGGCCAGGCAGCCAGGCGACGGCAGGCGCACCGGCAGTGCGTAGATGGCGGTGACTTTGTTTCCGACCCTACCGCCATCAGTGTACTTTTGCATGCTTGTCCTGGGAGCGTGGCATGTCAGTTCACCAGCAAGCTGGGTCACCACGGCGTAACCACCGCGGCCGCGCTCAAGAGGTCGGTCGGAGAGGGCGGAGACGCTCAGGACGGACAGAGACGAGGATGACGGGTGGGTGGCTAATGGCTAAAGGGCTCATCAATGCCGGTCGTGGCCTCCCCTCTGCCGCAACTCAACACACCCAATATAGTGTTCTCCATTCCCCGCGCCCCTCGGAGCACGCGCGCTGGCCCTCGATCTGCCCTCTTTCAGCTATAGACAAACGGCAACTGCCGGCCTCTCAGGTCCCACCAAGGCCACCCACTCTTGCCAGGTCTGCCGTTGTCTTCAGGCGAGCAGCAGCAGAGCAGGGATCGATTAGTTTACAAGTTTAACCCCCCATGCTGGCGCATTGTGCCCTGAAAGCAACATGCGATTGGCGTGACGACACAACACTAGCAGAGTCTGGACCGGACCCAAGGGCCAAGGGGCCTTTCCGCTTGCCGCGTGGGTGCACACATGAGCCCTTGAGGCCTTTCAGCGCTCTCGATTCTTCTGTTTCTGACTTGTACTTGATCGCTTCCAGCTTCTAGATCCCACCACAACTTTGGCCGTGTGGTCATACGACCACTGGCAGCGCGGATGAAGATGGGTTCAAGGAGCCAAGCCGAGTACCAGGGCCGCTTCGAGGTTCGGCGCAAGCATACCACGCAACACGCAGGAGATCAGCAACAAAAAGAAAGTACGATGGATGGCCGTTGGGCGCGGCGTGCGTGGCGCGGGGTTTCAAGTCGCGAAATCTGAACTCTACGTCACAGGCACTTTGAGGTACCTCTCGACATGTATCGTGCGCCATTCTCCCAGCGCCCAGTATTTTCTCTGCGTCTTCCACCAGCGTAAAGGTAAAGAAAAGAAAAAAAGATAGGGGACTCTTTCCCCTGTCTAACTGACGCGCGCTCCTCCGTCTCATCGGACACTGCGTCATTGTCCTCTTGGCCTCTGTCCGTTCTGTCTGACATTAACATCACGGGCACCCTCAAACCGCGTCGTACTCCACTATGACAACATCATACCACTTTGCATCCAAGGCACAACATGCGCAGCCCGCGATTGTACGCACTCCTCACCAGATTTCCTGGGTCAACGGACCTTGGTCAAAATATCTGATCTTCTGATCACTGAGCCGAGGGGCCGCGGTTGCATGGGTCGATAACCCGGTCATATGATCTGAGTTTCGCAGCCGCCGTTCCTTGTCAAGCTGCACGCGAGGGCTTGTCTTCGCAGTGATCAGCCTGACACCAGTCCACATGTGACCTTCAGATCATGGAACAGAGCGGCGACTTTGTCCAGCCTGACGCAGCGCTAAGAACGGGAGATCTGCTATATTTTTTGTCGTTCTTCCCCCCCTGGGACCTGGAGGAGCTTGTTGTCGATAAGCCCGTTGCACTGTTGCATTCCGTCCAACCCGAAGCTCCACAAATATGGGGTCTGAAATATCTGAGACCATCCATTACAGCTTGAGGCATTATTGTGATATTGTGGAGAATGCAGGATGCGGGATCAAGATTGTGGTGATCTCTTCATCTTGCATGACGTCGGGGAATGTCACCTGTACCGCCCTGCGCACCGGCGTTGTGGGACATGCGCACGCCGCGAACGCGTCCCAGTGTCCAGATAAAAAGCGCCTCGTTTGTACGCCCCGCTCCGCACAGACCCGCCCCGACGCCACATACGTCGACGCCTCCAGCACCGAGAGCACGCCTTGGCGCCTTCGTGCTCCGTGCCCGCTTGTTTCCCGTCCCTCGGCATATGCGGCATGCGGGAATTGGGCAACTATGGGGAAGAGGGGCCTGGGTGTGGGGGGAAAAGGCATGGCAGGGGTGGATGATGTGAGGACTGCGAGATCTGATACAACATGTGTTTCAACCACCGCTCATCTGTTCATCTGATTTGTCTGCACCGCATCTCCACTTCCCCACTTCTCCACCTCTTCATCACTCCATCTCTCCACCTATCCACCTGCATTCCTCGGCCTAGTCTTCTCACTCCACTCCGAAGTCCGACGCTTTCCCGTTTACTGATCCAGTGACTCACTCACTCCATCCATACCTCGTGAAACCCTCGACGCCGCTGTTCCAGCGTTGCGCAATCGCCGTCACACATCCGGACTGGACACTCACCGCACCTTCCCTCGCAGCTCGTACACAGCCGCGGCTCTCAGTGAATCAGTGGAGCTGTGCTATTCTCTCAACTTTCCCCCTCTCACTGCCCCTTCTCCAAGCGGAGACCACCGCCAGTGGTTGCGCGGCCATCAGAAGACCATTGCTGCGGCGCGTTGGCCTGCTCCGACGCACTTGCATCATCTTCCTTCAAAGCACAGGCCTCGTGTACCACACGGACATCCCTCGTCACTCCACTCCCCAACGCTCCTACGAACCATGAGCTCTGCTCGCGCTTCTGTCCTACCGTCTCGAGCCGCGTCCACCCGTTTCAGCCCGGGCACCTCGTTCGTCGAAGATGGTGGCAGGCATGCAGTGACAATCATTCAAGGCAAAGGTGGGATCCCATCCCGCCGGGGATGCTTACCTTGCAGCGGCCGGGGTGGAACTTGGGATCGCAGCATTCAATTGGGACACTGGACGAGTGCGTCTAGTCATACTCACCTCCACTGACCTTCCCTCAGATTACACTTACGCAGGTTTGCAGCTTGTGCGACCAGAGCTAACCACTCCCGCAACAGGTCGCTGACACATCGCGTGAGGCGGCCAGTGCGCGTCTGCTAAGATGCTAACGCATGCCTAGTTTATGCCCGTACAATCCAGCATCTCCACCTTCACTACCCCAGCGACGTGTTGGTGGCTGAAACCTCTCACAGTGCTGGCTATGGCAATGTCTACGCCAAGGCCGAATCGTCCAGTAAACTTGTTGATGCGATCCAGAAGGAGATCGGCATCAAGTGCAGCTATCTTCAGCGCAGCGTGTGGAATGCCGAGATGGGTGGGCGCAGTGTGGCGCGTGGTTGACAGAAGGTTACGAGGCGGTCAAGCGCTACTGCGTCGAGGATCCGTACAAAACACCTTTCATGATGGTTCTCTCTGACCGCTACTATGCGCAGTGCGCCGCGGCTGCTCTGCTCCACTGGCTGGCTACCAGCCATTCCATGTCCTTCAACTGTGCTTCTCTGAAGATCGAGTACGAGACGGTTCGCGGTGAGTCTGAGGTTCGAAAGTACTGACGCTAGGTCAAATGTTCATCGACGCAGAGAGTGTTCGCAACCTCGAGATCGTACAGAACAACCTCAGCAAGAAGACGCCCAATACTCTGTTCTGTGAGCACCATCCACATGTAATCTCAGCCAACGTCGAGCCATCCTCAATTCTTGCTCCACACCCATGGGATCGCGCACTCTGCGAGCCTCGCTGCTTCAGCCGTCCAATGGCGAGTGTGCACGCGGGTAGTATTTTAACGATTTAGACAGGAGCGTGATCAACAACCGACTTGACGCGGTGGAAGGTATATCCATGCACCATCTATGCCGCAATATGTCTCTCACATTTGCAGAACTAATCGATAACCCAACCAAACTTCGTCTCGTCCGCAAATCGCTCAGTTCCATTAGCAAGGTAAACAATCTCATGATGGTCTTGTTTCTTGTCTAACATAAGATTGATCTAGACAAACTAATCGCGAACGTGCGCACTTTCCTTTGGCGCCTGACTCATCCACAGCTCTCTCAGGACATAGGAAGCTCCGAGTACCCATCGTTGACTGAGTTTCGCCTCGGCAACCTGCTCAGTCTGCGCAAGGTTGTCAAGGAGATGGCTGAACTCTCCGCTGTGCTTCAAGGCTCATCGGCCCATCTGCTTGAGCTGAGCTCCAAGGTACGCTCAGGCCGGCAATATTGACGATAGGTGCTTTCCGACAGGGTGCTCGTGGTGATCGCAGACATCCTCGACGGTGCGTACTGGACAGCAGGCTGATCTTAGAACGCCTTTCTTCAGACGTGACGACCAATATCAAGGCGTCAAAGCGGCAGCTGCAGAAACACGCGAGGCTGTATGCTGTCAAGAATGGTATCGACTCTCTTCTTGACGTCGCACGGTCCACACTGGCGGAAAATGAGGCAGACATCCACGCCCGTATGTGCCACCTCGTCATGACTGACGTTAGTTAAAGCTCAAATTGAGGAAGAGTACGACTTTGAGCCCATGCTGGAGTGGAGCGAGGCTGGGTACCGCTTCAGCGTACCAACAGAACTCGTGGACCGACGTAATCTCCCGCGCGGCATGCTCAACGTCGAGCGCAGCAAGAAGTACATCAAGTTTACGACACATGAGCTTGTTTGATTCTTCGCCGGCACAAATTGACACTAGCTTAAGCGCAATGCCCGCATGAAGCAGTCACAGCAGGAAGTCTTCGTGATGAGCGACAAGTTTGTCTCGTCTATGGTCCGCGAGCTCGTGGCCTACCTGCGTGAGTCCGAACTTTGGCCTGCAAACTGATCACCAGCGAGTCTGTTCTCGGGATCGGATGCTGTGAGTGAGGGTACACAACGAACATTTGACATTAGATCGCGCTTGTGGATGTGATCACCAGTTTCGCAGGGATTTCCTCTAGTGCGTTTCAAAGCTTGCATAGCTGACCCAGGTCAATCGTATTGTGAGCTGCCAACGCATCAGCAACTGAGGACAGGTCGCCCCAAGTTTGGCAGTTCCATTGAAGTAGGTGTGCTATTGAAGTAGGTGTGCTGGGCCAAAACTCATTCACCCAGATCAAGAACGGCCGCCACGCCATCCTCGAGGCGACGCTCCCGGCCGGGGATATCGTTCCCAACGATGTCTTCGCTACGCACGGAAGCAGCCACTTTCAGATTATCCAAGGGCCCAAGTACGCACAATTGTGACTGTGCTCACGCCAGCATGTCGGGCAAGAGCACGTACCTGCGCCAGATTGCCTTACTGACTATCATGGCGATGGTTGGGTGCTTGTGAGCTGTTCCTGCTCCCGTTGACTCCAGCCTACCTGCCGAGTCAGCCATCATTTGGCTCCCGGATTGCCTGCTCTCCCGCCTCTCCAACGACGGTGACCTGCTAAATGCAGTGTTCAGCTGACGGGCAGACAACATGCAGAAGTCCCTGTCAACTTTCGCAGCCGAGATGGCGACGTCCGCCATGATTTTGCGTGGGTTCACGACACCTTCCGACTGACACCAGGCATGGCAACGAGCCGCTCACTCGTGCTCATCGACGAGGTGGGTCTCCCGCATGCGCGCTAACATCAGCTTGGCCGCGGGACGTCACCCATCGAAGGTGTTGGCCTGTCGCAAGCTATTGCCGAGAAGCTCATTAAAACTCAATGCTTTACATTCTTCGCGACGCATTTCCGCGAACTTGCACTGACGCTTTGCACGACCGCCGGCGTCCAAAACCTTCACCTCCAGGTCCAACGCAACAGCCACATGGCTGAGTCGAGCGAGTTCGCCACCACGTTCCACTACAAGATTCAGGGCGGCAAGTGCAAGGATGAGCATTATGGCAAGTCGTGTCGCTGCCCTGTGCCAGGCTGACGCCAGGGCTCGAGCTCGCCAAGCTCGCGGCGCTTCCGCCCGACGTGCTCGCGACGGCGTGGGAGGTGTCGACCAAGATCATTGACTTTGACGACAGCAGTAGGACCAACTTTCCATAGACGGCACTGATCAGATCGCAACGAGGAGCTCGCACGGGCTGTCGCCAAGCGTCGCAAGGCTATTCTGGAAGTATGATCGACTGGAAACACTCACCCCAGCTCTACTCTGACCTTGTCAATGTGCTTGAGACGGCACGTGGTGACGACCCCGGAACTATCGCCTATCTTCGCAAGAAGAAGACACACCTCATCCAGATTCTTCAGGACGCGCTGCGCATCGAGCAGGAGACTAACCCGAGCGACATGGCCACTGTTAGTGCCGGGGAAAGCTAAGAGGCAGTGGGCTCAGTAGAAGTCATGATGCTGTAGAATCACGTTGGTAGGTAAAGATCAAACCGTGTGCTATCAGTGAACGCCGCATTAATAGACTGATCGTCATCTAGTCGCATCCCAGTGAGTCTAATGCGTGTGCTGCTGCTCTCTTCTCTTAGTCCATGCGCGAACGCAGTGTCCGCGTGACCACCTTATCCTTGGTGCTGTTGTCAGCTTTGATTTCGCTTGCGAGCTCACATAACATGGACGATGGCGCCCCAGCCGCTGAGAGCGTCGCGGTCGACAGCGTTCAGCAGCGTTTGAGAGATGGTCTCGAACAGATCCTCGGGTTCAAGATCAGGCTCCCACAGGCCCTCAGCCGCACCATACAGCTTGTCAGTTGCTGTTCCCGCCACGGCAAAGTCCTTGGGCGTGGTAATGCACCCGATGCTGCGGTCAGTCACGGCTCAATTACAAATCCGCCGGAGAGCTGCGCGCTCGACTCACGTGTCCATGGTAGAGATGAATGGCTTGGGGTTGGGGTTGGACTCTGTGGCCTTGGGGATTCCTGCCACGACAGGCTCAATGAAGTATGGCCCGAAGCGCTTCTCGTACAGTGTGCTGCTGACAAGGTGCGTGAACGTTTCAGGAGTGATTTCGCGCTCCTCCTTCATGCGGTACATGTTCACACGAAAGCGGAGCTGCTCCTTGCTGCAGGTTAGCCCGGGGACACTAAGAGAGGGTGTGGATATGGTGGAGCGAGTCGGGCAGGAACAGCGAAGATGCTGCTCGCGCCTTATGGACGATCCTCAACAGTGCGGAGACGCGGGGAGGCTGGAGAATACGTACAGGGTGTACACGTCCGTTGCGAGACCCGGCAGCCCGTAGTAAAGCGTGTCGTTGACTGGGAACACCTTCTCAAAGTTCATGGCAACGCCGGTAGCCTGCGCGCCGAGGCGGAGGTCACACGCGATCGCGACGCAGTCCTTGCCAAGCATGGCAACGACCGAGCCACCGTTGTACTCCATAATCGACTAGGTGTTAGCAAGCCGATTCTATGCAAAGCGAGTTGAGCGCAGCAAGAGACGCGCTGCGCGGAGCCAGGCGGAAGGGGGCTCAGGTTGAATCTGGTGGCCGGTTCGCTCGGCGTAACTCACCATGGCGGCGAGATCTGAAGCGGGGAGAGCCGGAGGGGAGGTTAAGAAGACGCTTTTCTCGCTGTCTACGAGCTGTCTATCGCGGAGGAAGGTAGGCGGGGAGCTGAGATGTAGTTGTCGCTGTTGTTGTCTCGAGGATCGAGGACATGACCGCATCATCGTCGACGCCAGACGCGCGGCCTCAGGTCACGTGAACATTCACGTGGAAATGCTCCCGCGGCTGTCTTTGTTGACGCGCCTCCACCTTCATCGTCCACCTCTTGCCCTTTCGAACTGATCCGCATCACATCGGCATGAGCGCGCCAACGTCTCAACTTTCCGTTCCGTGAGCTAGATTTCATGTACGGAGAACTGATGGCAGACACGCTGTCCGCCTCGCCCTTGCGGAGAATGGATATCGCGTCGTCTCCGACCTCGAGGGCGCGACTGCGTCAGATCTCGCTGTTGGTGAGCTTTCAACTCAAGGTGGTCGCTAATGCAGAACTGGGTGTTGGGATACAACAGGCAGAAGATGTTCTGAAACAAGTCACCGGGCTAGCTGGTAAGCCGACATCCATGTTGAAGCTCATCTCAGCTGGTCCCTCCTCTCAGGCGGCAGCTCCCGCCCATCAATCTCCTGCGCGTCCCCAACGCGCCTCTGACCTCCTCCACGCAGGGCCAGGGCCAGTCTTTTCCACCCTATCGGGCGCGCTAGATGATCTCCTTGCTCACTACTCGCCTCTACATACGGACCCCCACTCACGCAACCTCAAAGGGAAAGGACGAGTCCTCGGCGGTGCCGTGGTTCCGGGGATGGTGGTCGAGTTCTCTGGCCCACCGGGGGCAGGGAAGAGCGCCGTTGGGCTGAGCATGGCGCTGAGTGGGGCACTAGGTGGTGCGGAGGTTTTGGTGATCGGTAGGCTACCCAATTCCGACGGCAGCTGAAGCAGATACCGAGGGCGGCGTCACGCCTGAGAGGATAAGCGCGGCTGCGGCCTCTTTGCTGAAGTCTCTCACAGAACCAGATAAGGGAGTGGAAGATATATTGCAGAAGATCCATGTGATGCGCGTAGCGACGCAGGTCCAGATGGTCGCGGTGCTGCATACGCTCGACGCGTGGCTCGAAGCACATCCAGTCGTACGCGATATCGCGGGCGTCTGCTGACTCCAGGTCAAGCTCTTGGTGATCGATACGCTGTCATACCACTTCCGGCAGCCAAGCATGGATCTTTCTGCACGCAAGCGGATCATGGACTTGTGAGGCTGCACTGCCGTCAGCCGCTGACAGCAGGATTAAGCAGGCGGTCGGCAAGGCTGCCACAGTGCGCGGGTGTGCTGTACGTCGGGAGGAGGTGGAGTGGGTTGAACTCATCCCAGGTCGTAGCGACGTGCCAGATGGCGACCAAGTTCCTCACGGCGGACAACAAGAACGCAAATTTCGAGACGGCGGCACGCGCAGTGCTCATGCCCGCCCTTGGTGAGTGATGACGTTGTAGATGATTGGCGCTAAATTACAGGTGAGGCATGGACTACGGAGCGAACAGTGCAAGTTGCTCTGTTCCGCGGTCGGGCGGGGGACGACTTGCGATACGCCCACGCATCGACGACCTCGGCAACGGGGAGGGGCAACAAAGACCCGCCATGGGCATCCTTTGACATCGACGTGAGTCTGGCACCCCATGCAGGACTGACAAGACCAGACGTCGGGTCTCCCATGCGATATACCGCCACCACCAACGGACAACGACCCCTGAGATGGCCTGAGGTACTTGTGATGCATGACACTACCTTCACTCTATAGGCCAGTGGGACGGGCGACGCTCGTGTCGTACGCGCGAATAAGGCGCGTCTGGTCCTGGCTTGTGTTCTCCGTCTGCGAGAACGCAAAACCGCGCTGGCGGCGCATGCGCTGTGTGGCGCGCACCTTTTTGATGGCCTTCTGGAACTGTTCCTGGCGCGGCCGGTAGTCGGACAGGTTGAACTTCTGGATCTCTTGCACGATGTGGTAGTCGAGTGGGTAGTACGTGCGGCGGTAGTACTTCCACGCGTAGTCTCGAAGCAGGCACAGGGGCGGGAAGAGGAAGAGGGAGAACCAGAAGATGGGGTCGGACCACAGGCGCTGCACGACGCCCTTGTACGCGATTGAGAAATTGAGGAGCGGCGCAATAAACGCGTACAGTGGCAGCGCGATCATCGTGAAGATGAAGGAGCCGGGGATCGCGGCAACGGTGTACTTGGTCCACAGACTGATGTTAGTTTGTTTCAGTGAGAGCTAAAATACGTACTCGGAGATCAGCGCCGCCTTGCCGAGTACGGTGAGGAGGACGACCATGTACAGCGTCGTGCCCCACACCCAGAGACCGGAGCCCTTGCCGTCCGACGAGATGAGGTCGCCCGTGAAAGCGAGGCACGTGAACGCAAACAGCAGGACCGAGTGGTACAGCGCGTTGCCGACCCACTCGAAGAACTTGACGGGTGTGAAGAAGGCATTTCGCTGACCCAGATGGTACAGCTGGGGATACCGGTCCAGCATGCGTGCGCTGACGAACTGGTCGAAAATACCGATGACGAGGGGCGGCAGGATGGTGAAGATGACGTTGTAGAATGACATCGACCAGCCCTCGTACGAGATCTGTCCCGAGAAATCGTTCCACCACGAGTACTGATGTTAGCTCAGAAAGATTGCTAAAACTTACCCAGAAGAGACACAGAGCAAAAGTGATGTTCTTGTAGAACGAGTAGAGGATGAGCTTGGACAAGCGCTGGTAGCTCCACGATCCGTGGACGAGGAGCAACTTGCGGAGGAAGCGGAACTGAGAGATCGCGACGTCGGCCGAGCGCGCAGCCTGCAGGCCTTCGACGCCAGAGATGCCTACACCAATGTGCGCGGCCTGGATCATAGACACGTCGTTGGCGCCGTCGCCGATGGCGAGTAGCGGCGAGGTGGTCGACTTCTTGACAAGCTTAACGACGAGCGCTTTCTGCAATGGCGAAACACGGCAGCAGATAACCGCTTTGCACATGACCGCCAGCTCGAGGAGAGTCTCAGAGCACTCCTTCTCGAGTGCGAAAGTCAGGCTCTTGCCGTCGATAATAAGTGCGAGCTCCTCAACGTCACCGCCGCCCATACGCTGATTCTTGATCGCGAACAATCGCTTGTTCAACAAGTCTACCGTTTCAGCCTGCGTCTCCGTGTTGATGATGACGAGGTTCATTGACTCGGAGATCAGGCGGCACGAGAGGCCGATGTTGATGGCAGTCTCCTGGCGGTCGCCAGTCAAAATCCAGATCTTAATGCCGGCCTGCTGCAGCGTGTGAATTGTGTCGGGCACGCCATCCTGCAGCCGATCCTCAATAGCCGTCGCACCGAGCAGCACGAGGTTCTGCTCGATAATCTCGGCAACCTTGTCAAGTGCTTCGGCACGTCCTTGCATTTGCGCGGCGGCGTTGTCGTAGAGCTGCGCCCACTCGTTGTACTCGGCGTCGGGAATGTCGCGATAGGCGAGGCACAAAGTGCGCAGGCCCTCAGTTGCATAGTCCTCAAGGTGAACGAGCGTCGCCTCTGAGAACTCCTGGTTGGGCCCGAGACGCTCGAAGATGACCGTGTCCGCTCCCTTGCAGAACAAACGGATCCTACCGTCGGGGCAGCGCACAACGGTGGACATGCGCTTGCGTGAAGAGTTGAACTCGCAGACGTTCAGGACTTCGTACTCCTCATCCTGCCCATTGACGTCCACAAACACGGACTTGGGCTTGCGTGTGTGGAACCTATAGCCAAGGATCTCCGCACCTTGAACCAGGGCCGCTTCATCGGGACTGGAAGCCTGGTAAACCATCTTGCCGTCTTTGACCTCGGGGATGACAGTGTGGCAAACGGCCAGAAGATTGAGGAACTGGCGAATAACGGCTCCCTCCTGAGTGTTCTCCTCAGAGCGCTGGCGGAGAACCTCAAAGGTCTTCTGCCCTTGCTCGCGCTTGTTGTCGTCGACGGTCTGCGCGTATGGCACGCCGAAAATAGAGCACTCGCGGAATTCCATTTCGTTGCACGTGAGCGTGCCCGTCTTGTCCGAGAAGATATACGAGATTTGGCCGAGCTCCTCAACAAGTGACGAGGTGCGACACACCGCGGGTGTGTCCGTCTTGGCGTAGTACATGTCAAGGTCCGAATTGATGAAGGAAGCGTGCTGGAACTTGACTACCTCCATGGTCATGATGAGCGAAATTGGAATCAAGTTGTTGTAGAGAATGATGAAAGTGAGGATGTTCTCGACAAACTGGCGCGCCTTATTGGGCATGCCCTGACCGAGTCCGAGATACCAGTCCTGGTCTGAGAAGAACCATGTCCGGATGCTGTTGCCGATGGCAGAGACGATAGACATGAGGAGCAGCAGAGCAAACAGGTAGAGGATCTGTTTATTAACCTGCTTCTCAACGGCCGTGCGCTTGATGGGCGGCTCCGTGGCGTTGCGCATCAGCTTGGTTTGGTGCCCAGCATTAACGACAATTCCGTACGCCCAGCCCGTATTGCGCAGCTGAGCCCCACGAAGCAAAACCTGGTTCGGCCCAACGGGAATCTTGGTGGGAGCGGCGCCAGGCTGTGCAGACGACAGGTTAAAGGTGCCGTCGTACGTGTAGAGCGATGAGTTGGGCGCCTCCGACATAAGATGCCCTCGTAGCATTGAGGCGCTTTGCGGTGTAGTGAGGTTCGCGGTCGATGGATGTGCTTGCTTGATCTTGAGGTTGGTCTCGCCGTCGAGGTTGGCTGTCTCCACGTACGCCAAGCCTTCGGGCTCAGAACTGCTGATGAGTACCATGTCGGCAGGTATGAAACCGTCGCTTTCGAGGCGCAGAATGTCGCCGACGCGAACGCGGCGCCATGGCCGTGCCTCAAACTGGCCGTTGACAAGAACTAATGCTTGACTTGAATTCAATGAGCGGTCCTGCGCATGACGTTTCTGTCGCGTGAGCATGTCCGTTGGAGAATTAAACGATACCCACCAGATCCTCCTTGATCTCTTTGAAGGCCGACGCAATGAGGACGACGGCGAGAGGTACGATGGTCGTCCAGCGACCGGTCGGCGATACCCCAGGCACCTGCTGGATGCATGCCGTGAACAGGAAGAACAAGTTTGCGGATCGCGAGAACTCGGCTTGGAGGGGTCAACACGGATACTCGAATGCAACACTCACAGAACAGGAACTTTGGGAGGAACGTCAATGGGCCGTACTTGCCAGTCGACACGGAGTTGTTCTCGTAACCCTTGACTCGGTTGCCTTCCGGATCATTCAGAAGCACCTCTCGTGGGATGCCATCAAACTTATTCTTGCGCCTGAGAAGCTTATCGACGCCGAAACTCCAGTCAATGTCGGTCAGGTAGTCGTCCTTGAGGCGTTGCCACCGGCCTCGTCGCTTGCGGACAGCGTACGGGCCATCTGAAGGCGCAGAGAACGTGTATGCAGCCGCGGCCTCATCATCGGCGAATGGGTCTTCGTTTGTGCCACCCAGGTAGTCCTTCTTACCAGCTGATGACCCGCCGTACCCGGCTGGCGCTGCGCCGCGGTGCGCGAAAGGTTGGTCGGCGTCAAACAGCGACTGCCCTCCAGTGCGCGAAGATGTGCTCGCGATCGGCTGCATATATCCCGAAGTCTGCGCGGGGTGTCCGTAGTCGTCGTCACTGATATCAGCCCTGTTTCCGTGCGCACTTGCTCGTCGAAGAAGGGATCCAGCGCGTAACCACTCTTGCCATCGTCACGAGATGTGCCCGCCGCCTTCTGGGCGCTTTGAGAGTGTCTCCGATTGGAGCCGCCGATGAGGTCAGGCTCGTTGTCGTCGCCGAAGGGGTCATTGGCCAGAGGGTTCGCCGCCTTCTGTGGTTGCGGCGCCAGAATGTCATCAAATGGGTTATTGCCCGACATTGTGAATCGGCGATGAAGCCCTCAAGGGGCGATGGAGTGTAGGGCGCCGATACAGGCCGCTTGCGAGGGGAGTGGACAGATATACCGAGAGGTCGAACTCGGGGAGGGGTGTCAAGCGATGATGCGCTACAATGCCAAGTCGCTAATGGTTGGTGTGATGCAAGGATATGTGGAGAAAGCAGGAGTGCACAGCAAGATGGCTCGCACACGCAGTTCACGACGTCGGCGCTCATTCCGCCTCTGGCGCGCGCGATCATGCCTCCACGCTTTGGCTCTGTAACACGTGTAATACACGTGGAATGATAGTGACTAATGCCACGTCATCAACTGTTTGTTTTGACGCCGCGGCAGCCAGGGGCGCAGGGCGAGAGTGATTTTGTCAACACACACTCGAGCCCTCTCCCCTGGCGTGACCTTCCCCGGCCCTTGCCCCCCCCTTCCGCCTACGGCCCCTGGTGCGACAACAACAAGTTGGATGTCGACTTGTTGCTGTTGCAAGTGAATGTTCCTATTCTCCATCTCGAGGCGAGCATCACCCATCTCGTCCAGACTCCTCTCTTCCATCTCGTCTCACTCCTTCGCTCCTTCTCAACACCGTCCATCTCTTCAACCGCCGGGCCCTCCCCTCCACCGCCCTCCCCATCACTCCCGTCCACCGTCATCTCCTCATCATAGGCGGTGGTACACAATGTCCGACTCCGAGTCTTCCGGCTTCCGCCTCGATGACAGCGACTCGGATGCGTTTGTAGAGCCAGTGAAGGCTACAAAGAAGGCCCCAGCAAAAAAGGCTCCCGCTAAGAAGGCGGCCGCTCCGAAGGCTGCTGCCAAAGTAAGTCACCACTGTCATGCTCGCGCTCGAATGTGGTGTGATCTGACACGCGTAGCCAGCGGCCAAGAAGGCCTCCGCCAAGCTGCCACTCGCCACCAAACGCAATCTGCCAAATGAATCCATCTCCGAAGATGATTTCAGCATGGACGACTCCCCAGCCAAGCCAAAGGCTGCCATTGAAGAAGACGACGAGGAAGATGTGCGGCCAAAGGGTCCAGCCAAGTCTGCCAGTGAGATGTACCAGAAGGTAGGCTGGAGGGCGCTTTGGGAAACTGACGCCGTCTTAGCTTTCGCAACTTGAACACGTCCTGAAACGTCCCGATACATATATTGGCTCGGTCGAGCCTATCACCCAGGACATGTGGGTCGTCGACCCCGAGACGAAGCAGATGGTCAACCGGTGAGTCACGGGCGACACCTCCCCCGCACTACTGGGCATGGGCTCATGCGTCCCCAGTTCGATCACCTACGTTCCGGGCTTCTTCAAGATCTTTGACGAGATTCTCGTAAACGCCGCCGATAACAAGATCAACGACCCGTCCATGGACTCGATCAAGGTTGACATCAATCGCGAGAAGAACCAGATCTCGGTGTGGAACAACGGCAAAGGCATTCCCGTCGAGATGCACTCTAAGGAGAAGATGATGATCCCAGAGCTCATCTTTGGCAACCTGTGAGTGCCACTTGCGACCTCAGCTGACAGTGCAGACTCACTTCGAGCAATTACGACGATGATCAGAAGAAGCTCACTGGTGGACGTAACGGTTATGGTGCCAAACTCGCCAATATCTACTCAACCGAGTTCATTGTTGAGACTGCTGACAAGGTCAACTCGAAAAAGTACAAACAGATCTTCTCGCAGAACATGACCAAGAAGTCGAAGCCAACGGTGAGCTCAGAGGCATGCAAGAAGCTGACTCGTCCCAGATTGTCGAAAACAAGAAGAACGAAGAATTCACGAAGATCACGTTCACTCCGGAACTCACGCGCTTCCACATGACGGAGATTGATGACGACACATACGCCCTCCTCATGAAGCGCGTGTATGACGTTGCCGGTACTGTCAAGGACTTGAAGGTGTTTCTGAATGGCGAGCGGCTCACCAAGATCAAGGGCTTCCGACAGGTGAGCTTGGTTGACCAGGGCGGAACTGACGCGCGCAGTACGTCGAGATGTACGTGCAATCGAATCAAAAGTCCCAAGGCGGGGACGGCGCGGCTCAGCCAAAACCTACAATCGTGTACGAAGCGGCGGGCAAGCGCTGGGAGGTGGCGTTCGCCGTCTCAGACGGAGAGTTCAAGCAGGTGTCGTTCTGCAACGCTATTTCCACCATCAAGGGTGGCACACACGTCGACATGATTGCCACGCAACTCGCCAACAAGCTGTGAGTTTGATTGCAGGACGCTTTCCTGACTTGCAGCCTTGCCGTGATCAAGAAGAAGAGCAAGAATACTACGATCAAGCCTTTCCAGATCAAGAGTCATATGTGGCTTTTCGTCAACGCTCTCATCGAGAACCCAGCCTTCGACTCGCAGACGAAGGAGACGCTCACGCTTAAAAGTTCTGCCTTTGGCAGCAAGTGCGAGCTCTCCGACGAATTTGTAAAGAAGGGTGCGCTTATCGAAACCGGCTCTTTGCTGATGCTGTAGTCGCCAAGTCAGGCGTCATCGACAACGTCCTCAGTTACGCACGGTTCAAACAGGATCAGCAGCTGAAGAAGACGGATGGAGCGAAGCGCGCTCGGTGAGCCACGCGAGAAAAGATTGCGCTGACGGCAGTGTTGGGGGTATCCCCAAACTCGAGGATGCTAACTGGGCTGGTGGTCGGAATGCCAAGCAGTGTACCCTCATCCTCACTGAAGGTGATTCCGCCAAGGCACTCGCTGTGTCCGGCCTCGGTGCCATCGGGGGGCGCGACAATTTCGGTGTCTTTCCTCTTCGCGGCAAGCTGCTCAATGTCCGTGAGGCCAGCCACGAGCAGATCATGAAGAATGTCGAGATTCAGAACATCAAGCAGATCCTGGGTCTGAAGCACAATCACAACTATACCTCTTTGGACAGCCTTCGCTACGGTCAGCTCATGATCATGACTGACCAGGACCACGATGGTTCACATATCAAGGGTCTCATCATCAACTTCCTCGACTACTTCTACCCCTCCCTCCTGAAGATGCCCAACTTCCTCGTTGAGTTCATCACTCCAATCGTCAAGGTCTGGAAAGGCAAGCAGGAGCGGACCTTCTACACCATGCCTCAGTATGAGGAGTGGAAGGCAGCCAACAACGACGGACGCGGCTGGCATTCCAAGTATTACAAGGGTCTCGGTACCAGCGGGGCCCAAGACGCTGTGAAGTACTTCAGTGACCTCGATAAACACCGCCTGTCGTTTGATGTAATGGACACCGACGACAAGTCCCTCATCGACATGGCCTTCAACAAGAAGAAAGCGGACGACCGCAAAGAGTGGCTGCGCCAGTTCAAGGTGACCAAGATATCTTCCAATAAAGCTAACTTGCAGCCGGGGACTTTCCTTGACCACGACATCAAGCAGATTCCCATCTCGGACTTTGTCAACAAGGAACTCATCCTCTTCTCCATGGCGGACAACATACGATCGATCCCATCAGTTGCGGATGGTCTCAAACCGGGTCAGCGCAAGGTCATGTTCGGTTGCTTTAAGCGCAATCTGAAGGGCGAAATCAAGGTTGTTCAACTCGGTGGTTACGTCGCCGAGAATTCGGCGTATCACCACGGCGAACAGAGTTTGACGGCGACCATTGTCGGTCTTGCGCAGAACTTTGTCGGCAGCAACAACATCAATCTTCTTGAGCCCAACGGTCAGTTTGGTACTCGCATGCAAGGCGGCAAGGACGCGGCAAGCGCGCGTTACATTTTCACCACCACATCTGCGATGACGCGCGCTGTGTTCCACCCCGACGATGACCCACTTCTCAACTACCTCATGGAGGACGGCCAGCGCATTGAGCCGGAGTACTACCTTCCTACCGTGCCCCTAGTCCTCATCAACGGGGCCGACGGCATTGGAACTGGATGGAGCACCCAAATTCCCAACTACAACCCCGTCGACATCGTTGACAACCTCCGGCGTCTAATGCGGGGAGAAGAGTTGGTACAGATGACCCCCTGGTTCCGAGGCTTCAAGGGCACAATCGAGCGTGTCGACAATGATCGTTACAAAGTGTCCGGTATTGCTGAGAAAATCGACGACAAGACGATCGAGATCACCGAATTGCCCGTGCGCAAGTGGACACAAGACTTCAAGGAAATGATTGAGGCGATGACAAGTGGCACGGACAAGGTGCCCTCCACGATCAAGGACTACGAGGAGCACCACACGGACACCACTGTTCACTTCAAGCTTCACATGAAGCCTGAGGGCATGAAGGCGGCTGAGGCCGAGGGCTTCGACAACCGCTTCAAGCTCACAACTACCATCGCCACGAGCAACATGGTGTGCTTCGATCTCAATGGCAAGATCAAGAAATACGCATCGCCCGAGGAGATCCTACTGGACTTCTACCCTAAGCGCCTCGAATACTACGGGCTACGCAAACAGCACCTCGCAGACGAGCTTAACAAGCAGTTCGAGCGCTTGTCAAACCAAGCCCGCTTCGTGACGATGATCATCAAGAAGGAGCTGGTTGTGTCCAACAAGAAGAAGTCGGTTGTGGTTCAGGAGCTGCGCGACCTCAAGTTCCGCCCTTTCCCCAAGAACAGCACGAAGCCTGCAGACGCCGGTGAGAAGGAGGACGCACTGGAAGAAGAGGAGGACCAGGGCAAGGACAACGACTACGACTACCTGCTCGGCATGGCCATTTGGAGCCTCACAGAGGAGAAGGTCAAGAAGCTTCTTGAGGAGCGCGACGGCAAGGAGCAGGAACTCATCGAGCTCCTGAAGCTCTCCCCCCAAGATATTTGGAACCGAGACCTTGACGTGTTCATGGAGGAGTGGGAGAACTGTCTGGCCAGGGACCTCGAGCTGGCCCGTGCCACCAAGCCCAAGACGAAGGGCAAGAAGGCTGCTGCGTCTCGCAGGCGTGCCAAGGACGAGGACACAGATGACTCAGAGGATGACTTCAAGCCCACCGCAAAGGCCCGCGCGCCTGCTAAGCCACGGGCGCTTCCAAAGGGCAAAGCCTCGTACTCGACGTCAGCCGCGGCCTCCGCTAGCGTGTCCGCTGTCGTGTCCAACACCACTTCACCTCTGAAGCGCAGCAGCACCACGTTTTCAGACAGTGATGAGGATGTGAAGCCTGTTACAAAGAAACCCGCTACATCTCGCGCCCGGGCCAAGCCGTTGACTATAGGCCTGGACGACTCCGACCTCGACAGTGAGTTTGTGGCATAAGATCCAGCTGATTCCCAGTGATGTCTGAGCCAGCATCAAAGCCAGTTTCGAGGGCGTCGTCACGAGCATCTACCGCCAAGCCCGCTTCCTCTGCAAAGGTCACACCGATCTTGGAGGACTCCGAAGATGAGGTGCTCGTGAAGCCCAAGCCTGCACCCAAGGCTAGAGCCAAACCCGCGCCGAAGGCCAGAGCCCCAGCCAAGAAGCCCAATGGAATGGACTCGGACGGCGACACCGATGTGAAGCCGACTCTAAAGGCAGCGCCTAGAAAGAGAGCTACCAAGGCGGTCGACTTGGACAGCGACGTCGAGATGAAGCCCACGCCCCAGGCGAAGGCAGCTGCGAAACAGTTGGTGACAAAAGGGAATGATTCAGGCAGCGAAGTGGAAGTCAAAACGAAGGCCAAGTCAGCCGGGAAGAAAGCGCCAGTCAAGGGCAAGAAGAAGGCCGACTCCGACTTTGAGGAGGACTCGTGAGTGTTGAAGCAATTTCGGTGCTAACGTGAAGTGATGACTACGTCCCTATCGCTCGTCCAGCGACGGCGCGTGCAGGACGAGCTGCGGCAGCGAAGAAGGTCCCCACCTACGTCGACTTGTCCGACCTGGATAGTGACGACTAGAGACACATGTAGATCCACTCTCCTGTTTCCTTATACCCAGTGATTCACTTGATGTATGCTGTAACGACAAGCCGTTGTTGTGGTTGTGGTTGACGGAAAGCCGGCCCGAGAGGCCGAGAGGCAACCTTCAGGCACATCGCGCCGAAATTACCGCACCGATGTCATCGCGCATAGACGCCACCCAACTTATGTCTGCACTCTCATTCATTCATGGTTACCATCATCGCAGCGCCATGAGGACACTCTTGATCCTCCTCACCTCTCTCTTTGTCGCTGCGCAGGAACTGGAGGGTCTCGACGTGTATGAGGCGGCGCTGTCTCGGATAGCGGCGGTCACGTCCGCCGCTGCGGCCAGATCCTCTGCGTCACCTGCGTACTTCCCGGAGCTGGAGCGGCGCGAGGACATATGCTACTACGACCCATGGCGGGCTCTGCACGTGCCTTGCGTGTGTACGGAGGATGTGTCGGCTGATTCCGGGCCAGCAACTGGCCTGGCCACGGGGCCAGCAGATCACGAGGCTGGCAACTTAACCCAGAAGGCGCCGAACGCTCTCAACGCCTCCGACACCCACAATGCGTCCGAGATTCTCAACGCCTCGGAGGTCCCCTTCGAGTCCTTTGAAGACTGGAAGCGCAGCCGCGAGGCGCGAGCCGCTGAGCCCGCGCAGTCGGACAACGCCTCGGAGTCATCTCTTCCGCACACATCATCTGTGAACGCGACGGAACACAACACGACCCTACCCCCTCCTCCTCCTCCCAGCGCCGCGCCACGTCACAAGGGCCACCGGTACAACTACGCGTCTCCAGACTGCTCTGCCCGCGTGCTCGCCTCCTCGCCGCTCACGCAGCACGCGAGCTCGCTCCTGCACAAATCTCGCGACCGGTACATGCTCACGCCCTGCCGCGCGGAAGAGCACTGGGCCGTCGTGGAGCTGTGCGATGAGATCCGGGTGGAGGCGGTCGAGCTCGCAGTGTGGGAGTTCTTCTCCGGCATCGTGCGGTCTGTGAAGGTCAGCGTCGCGGACGACGCCGAGGGCGAGTGGGAAGTTGTCGCAGAGTTCGTGGGGAAGAACGTGCGGGGCGCGCAGGTGAGTGTTCTCTTCTTTCGACTCCACGTCCGAGAGGTGCGCTGACACCAGACGTTTACCCTCCCCGAGCCCACGTCGTTCCACCGCTTCCTGCGCCTCGACTTCCCCTCATTCTACGGGAGCGAGTTCTACTGCCCTGTGTCGCAACTCAAGGTCTACGGCATGAACCAGATGGAAGCGTTCAAGATGGAGCAGCGCCGGGCGGCGGAAGCGAGCGGCGCCGCTGAAAAGAAGGCAAGGGACAGCGAGCAGGAGGCGGAGCGCGCGGCGGAGGCTGCCCGTGTGGCGGAGCGGGAGGCCAAGGAGCGCGAGGATGACGAGAGGAGACAGCGCGAGCTGTGCGAGCTCGAGCGCCTCGTACAGGAACAAGCTAGGCGGGTGAGCGGGGTGGAGAACATGTTTGAGCCGCTTATCGAATGTGCGCCGAGCGCCGGCTCGGCCTCATCGTTATCAAGCGTTGCGCCTGCTTCTTCTGGAGGTGCTGAGGAGGCCCCGAGCCCCTCTGACACCCCCGGCGTGGCTGTCGACTCATCTCACGTCGCGGGCACACCTCCGGCTTCTGCGGAGCCCGGCACGACAGCGTACAGAGGCCGAGCCGACACGTCAGAGTCGATCTACGCATTCATCACTCGCCGTCTGAACGCGCTGGAGGGGAATACGACGCTCGTGGCTCGATACATCGACGAGCAGGCCAAGGCGCTACGAGCTGCGCTCGAGAGGGCGGAGCAGCGCTGGGAAGACGAGCGGGGCCGCGATGCAGCGCGGTACGACGTCGACGTGAGTAGGCGCCGGCCGGTGTTTTTGCAGTATGGGTCGCTGACTACAGCGCATGCGTCAAGAAGACCGCCTCGGTCGCCTCCTCGTGCAGATGGAGCAGATGCGCACTGCATTCGACGCTGAGCGCCGCACGACTGAGACGCAGCTCCAGCTGCTCGCGGACGAGTTGGGCTTTGAGCGCCGCCGCTCTCTCGCGCAATTGGTCGTGCTGGTGTCCATCATCGTACTCGGGGCCTTGAGCCGCGGCGAGGCGATCGACGCGCTGCTGCGCCCGCTGAGCTCTGACTCAGTCAAGCGGAGACGGGATGCGACGCGGGACAGAGGCAAGCGGTTATCGACGGGCCCACTGGCAGGGCTGTTGATCGACGTCGGGGGCGCGGAAGAAACCGAGGAGCTCGCGAGCCCCACGACGCCGCGGATGAAGCGCAGACCGCTGCCGCTGAGCCTGAAGCGGCGCACGCCGGGCACGCGGAGCATCAGCGCGGCTGAGCCGAGCGCGTTGTTCGAAGATCGCGAGTCCCCGCGGCCACTGCAGCGGGGGCGGATTTCGACCATCACCCCGCGCCCGCGGCGACTTGCTAGATCCTCGCATCTGCACGCTATGCGGCGGCGAGACGGGAGCGCGAGCGAGGCGGATCCCGAAGATCGCGGCACGCCGACGCCACGCCCGCGGCTCGACAGGCTCGAGAGCCACGGTGCGTCTGGTGGAGACGAGGGGAGCACTAGCGATGTAGAGGAGGTGTTGAGTTCGGAGGAGGAGGATGTCCCGGGAAGCGGGCGCGTGCGGATAGTGGGCGTGAGTGGCAATGCAGGATGGCGAGATGACGGCTCATATAATCACGGACGTGAGGATGTCGCTCGGAGTTTATGATATACCCAGCACAATCATACCATTATGTATACCGAGTAATCTACGTTACAACTGCCCCATAGCAGTACTATGTCATGAGCATGAAGGAGCTCTTGGCAGAGTCGAGCCACGGCCATCTATCGCCCCAGCGCTTCATACAGATCTCCGTCATCCGTCACCTTGGCCGCAATCCAGCGATACACGAATGTACTCAGCGCCGTCAGGAGGAAGACGGCGTCGAACAGCCGCCCAAACACACGGAAGTCTGGGAGCGATCGAAGAAGCGAGTCGTCGGCGCTGGCGGCCGCCGCGGCGACAACTGCCACAGCCGACGCCGCGAGGCTATCTGTGGAGTTTGCCTCTGTCCGGTTGGCAGGAATGGTTGCATTTGCTGGTAGTCCTGGTGGAACTGCCGGTGATGGCGGGAGCGACGAGCGCAGCTGGACCAGCAGGGAGATGACGTACATCGCGAAGAGCTGGCCCAGGGTGAGGAGGAGGAAGCCCGCGCCCACTGTGCGGGAGGTGAGCCTCAAGACCCGTGCGAGCCAGCGCAGCACCATTGCTAGGGACGACACCACTAGGGCGCCGGTAAAGAGAAGCGAGATGGTGCGAGACCAGCGCGCAACATCCGCGTCCGCATCGAGGCCGCTGAGGGCTAGGGCGAGCACAAAGGAGATCCAGTCGCCGTTGCTGTTGCCCTTGGTGGGTTCCGTGGTGGCCGTGCTGGTGGCGAAGGGGGAGAGGAGGGAGGCAGCGCACAGAAGAAGACGGGCAACGCAGTAAATCGCGAAGATGTATCCCAGAATGTTGTACACTGTCCCCTTGAGAGTAGCGCGGAATCCTTGTGCCTTGTGCCGCGCCCTCAGTGTAGCGACGGATCGGGCGATGTCTGCCTCCATCACCTCGAGCGTCCTGAGTTCGGTGTTGAGGGCGGACAACTCTGTCCATTAGTGAGGGGCATGTGAACGACATAAACCTACCCTGTCCAACCTTTGTCCCGAACACGCGCGTCATCCACCCGCTTGGCTCCGGCTCATTACGAGCAATGCGCTCAATCTCGTCACGCTTCGCTTGGGCGTCGTGCCGCACCCGGTAGAGAGAACGCTCAGCCTGGAGCACGTCTGCGTCTGTGACCACGCGTCTGATGTAAGCGTAGGGGGGGTGAGAGCAAGCTTACCTTGTGCCGGCAGCCTGCTCGAGATAATCCCACGCGGTGACCACCGCACCGATCCCACTGAGCCCTGCAATCACCACCACTCCGAGCACAACTACGCGGCCTAGGCTGCTCTCCAACCAACCGCCACCCTCCCATCCTTCCGCCCAGCTGTCGTCCGCCGGCTTAACGGCAGTAATGTAAGGCGGAATGCGGGTGAAAAGGAAAACGTAGATGGCGAAGGGAATCAATGAGATGAGCACACGAGCTGTCAAGCTGAGGCTCGCAATAGAGGGCTTCGTGGAGACGGAGTCTACATCAGCCTTGTCGCGAGGAGACTTACCTCGCCGACTCCTGTACGTGCACAGAAGGCATTGCACAAGCGGGACCACGAGAAGAATCAGTGCGAGCAAGATGTGCAGCGATACCGAGAAGTTCACGCGGCGAGCGTTTGCGTGCAGTATCCCCAATGCGTGCGTAGCGACAATGGCGATGAGCGTCAAGCTCTCAGCGAAGCAGACAGCAAAGAGAGTACTTTTGTCAGGTCTAATCTGCATAATGCTCACCGAGCGATGCGGGAAAGTCCCCTGGCCGTACGCTTGACGCGTTTCGTTCCCACAGCGCTAGGTGGGGGGGCAGAGTGCGACAGCTGGATCACACGCGGCTGGAGCTTCGCGCCCAGGAATTGCATCTCGACGGAGCTTGGCCCACCCCGAGAGTTTGGAGTGGGTGAGGAAGCCCCAGGGAGAAGGGAACGTGCGCTTCCCGGAGAGCCGGGGTATGAGGAGGCTGGTGATGTATCCTCATCAGTATCGGGGAGGGGAGAGGCGGGCTCTACTGGGGAGCGAGTTGTCCGAACGCTCACCCCGCTCATCGCGGAAGCGGAGCGTGGTCTCGTGCGGGTCTGAGTCGTAGGAAGGGATACTTCGGGTTTCTGTAGCTCGCGCAGTGTGGGCGACAGAGAGTGGAGGAAGCGGCGGGCGAGGAGGAAGAAGAGGATACGGGCGCCGACGAGGAGTGTCGAGTCAACGAGGATAGGTGAGCGCGCGGCACCCTTGGTGTGGGCTTCCATGCTGACCAGATTGTGAGAGAGTTACAATGCGGACATGAGTTGGAAGCGAAGACACGTCGTCGCGTGCGAGGCAGACAAAGTTCTGGGGAGGGTGGAGGCCGTGCACACGTGAGTGGGGTCCCGCACGGACGCTGATTATGAGGCTGGTGGTTGGTGCACTCGTCGTCTGGCGCAGGGGGAGGCATGGGCGATGCACGAAGGGACGAGGGACAGTGAGAGGAGAGTAGAGGCCCGGGGCCGGAGTCACAAATGAGGAGAACCGATGCGAGATGGGTTAGATATGATCCTGCTGGACGCAGACTCTGGTGCCGGTACAACTGCCTCGGCACTGGGTTGGCTGGAATGCCGCAAAGACTAGCCGATGACCGAATGGGGTGCAACATTACCGAAGTGCAGTAACAGGCCGCAGAACGGCGTACCACAAACACATGCATTTCGTGGCGATGTTCAGCGCTGAGTTCTGAAGTCGTCGCGATCTTGAAGCATTTGCCACTTGTGGGGACTAGACAGCGCCGCGAACCACAGCCCTGACCCCGGGGCATACCGAGGGCCCGCCCTTCCTTCCGGGCGCCGACGAGAAGCTCCTCCGTGTCTCCAGTTCCGATCTCCGTCAGCCTCAACGTATGCCCAAGCCCCCTGTCATCATCTTCGAGCGAAGGTCATGTGGGCCCTTCCCATGCCAGACGTGTGGATAGTTCAGAGAATGCATAGTGGTGGTACCGTGGTTCGTGCGTGCAGGGTATGCTGCGTCCGGGGTTCGTGGGTTTGACTCTTGAGTGAGTTCTGCTGTCAGCCCGGCGTTCGAGAATGGTACAGTAGAAGGAGGAAGGAGGTTCAGAGTCTCAGAAAGGGGACAGTAAACTCACTTGTTGAAGAGGCTAGTATACAACGATGCTTTTGTCGAGGCGTCAGAGCGCCTCGATACGATTCCGGTTTCGGCTCCTCGCGGAGGTGTGTGACGTTCAGTCGACGTGGGGAGAGGAACGGCTACCCGCCTTGCAAGGCGGGGGCATCCAGTCGCGAGCACAAGTGGCGCACATGAGAAGGAGTGAGAGGGGTGTAGACTCGGAGTGGCAGCGTGAAAGACAAAGCAATCCTCAACAACCAGCCCATGTCGTCGGCGAGACCACCAACTCTACTCCTCCATGAAGAGTTTTCGTCCGCCGCGCTTGTTCATCATGGCAACGACCTCGCTCGGCTGCTCTCCGTCCAATCTCATCCGCGCTCCATCACTGACTCCGACCCTTGCGGGACAGGGGAAAGCAACGACAACGACGGCGCCGAGGAAGGTCGCGGCGAAGAGGGTGGTGAGAACAGAGCGGTGGCGCGCTCGGAAGTGAGTGAGGAGAAGGGGAGCCATGGGTGCGGGTGCGCGACAGCGCCTAGGCGAACCGAGGTGACGAACTGGACGGATGGGTGTTGAGGACGAGTACGAGAGGGAGAGGAGAGCTGCGATGAAGCTCGGTCCTTGCACTTGTCCACCCAGGACAAAGTTGGACATCCGAGTTGGCACCGGTCAGCCAATTGCAGCCATACAGAATGCAAGGATTGTCTTGGCTATTTGGTCCCGCCTCACGCGGCGTTCGCGTGGGGTTTTTCCCGGTCGGGTATTCTCGGCCGCTGGCCCGGCCGGAGCTGGGAGCGGTGGAGCTGATGGTGGGTGAGTGGAGTCCGGAGTGAGGCGGAAATCGACTTTGTTCTAGATTTTACTATGGCCTCGATGGCCTCTGGGTGATGGAGAAAAAGTCAGTTAGGCGAGGGAATTAGACGGGAATTGAGTGGCCGTTGATGGGCGTCAGCGGCATTCCGCCACCGTACGGCCATCGGATGCTCACCGTACGCCCACAAAGTAGGCGGTTTCGGCGACATGTCACCACACGGTTCTAGTGTCAGGCCTCTCAGGGCACACCCATCCTCCGTTTTGCGGCCCCCCACCACCACCCATCTGCCGCCGCACCTCCCCCCGCCCACGACTATTTCTTTCCCTCTCGCCGTCACTTCTTGCCTCCTCTTCATCCTTACCCCCCGCAGTCCTCCCAAAAAGCGGCACCCACCATGTACGGTATCACCCGCTCCATCCGCTCCACCCCCTTCTCGGCCCTCCGCGCCGCCACTGTGAGCATCTCCGCCCTTCACCATCTCGGCGACGCAGGCGAAACCACAGAAAAACCAAGATCCGCCGAGCGTCGCCGAGTGGCGATGGAACCTGTATGAAACAACATAGCTAACCCCCCAGCGCGCCTCGCCCTTCGTTGCGTCGAAGCGCTACAACTCCAAGGTCTCCGGCCCCGTCGTCGGCATTGACCTGGGCACCACCAACTCGTGTGTGTCCATCTTCGAGGCTGGCCAGGCCAAGGTTCTCGAGAACTCGGAGGGTGCCCGTACTACCCCTTCGTTCGTTGCCTTCACCAAGGGTGAGTATTAGCTTGGGCGGCGTTGCTGTCAAAGTGGTGGACTTTTTTCCTCGCTCGCCACTTTTTTTTCCAAGCCCTTCCCTATTTTTCCAGCGCTGACGCCATCAGATGGTGAGCGCCTTGTCGGCCAGCCCGCGCGGCGACAGGCCGTCGTCAACGCCGAGAACACGATCTTTGCTTCCAAGCGTCTGATCGGCCGCAAGTTCTCTGACGCCGAGGTCCAGCGCGACATCAAGCAGGTGCCCTACAAGATTGTTGCGCACTCGAACGGTGACGCTTGGGTCGAGGCCCGTGGTGAAAAGTACTCGCCTGCCCAGATCGGTGCCTTTGTCGTCGGCAAGATGAAGGACACTGCTTCGGCCTACCTTGGCAAGCCCGTCAAGCACGCCGTTATCACCGTCCCCGCCTACTTCAACGACTCGCAGCGTCAGGCCACCAAGGACGCCGGTCAGATTGCGGGCCTTGACGTCCTCCGTGTCATCAACGAGCCTACCGCCGCCGCCCTCGCTTACGGTCTTGACAAGACCGACTCGGCTACCATCGCCGTCTACGACCTTGGTGGTGGTACCTTCGACATTTCCATCCTTGAGATGCAGAAGGGTGTCTTCGAGGTCAAGTCGACCAACGGTGACACTCACCTTGGTGGCGAGGACTTCGACATTGCCCTCGTTAACTACATCCTCGAGGAGGCCAAGAAGACCGAGGGCATTGACGTCTCGGGCGACCGCATGGCTATCCAGCGTATCCGTGAGGCCGCTGAGCGCGCCAAGATCGAGCTCTCGTCGACCTCGTCGACCGACATTTCGCTTCCTTACATCACTGCTACCGCCGAGGGCCCCAAGCACATCAACCTCACTCTTACCCGTGCCAAGCTCGAGGCCATTGTCAAGCCCCTGATCGACCGCACCCAGGAGCCCTGCCAGAAGGCTCTCCGCGACGCCGGCGTCAAGCCCGCCGAGCTCAACGACGTCCTGCTCGTCGGCGGCATGACCCGTATGCCCAAGGTCGTTGAGACCGCCAAGGCCCTCTTCGGCCGTGAGCCCTCGAAGGGTGTCAACCCCGACGAGGCCGTCGCCATGGGTGCCGCCATCCAGGCCGGTGTCCTTGCCGGCAACGTCACCGACATCCTCCTCCTCGACGTCACCCCCCTCTCCCTCGGTATCGAGACCCTCGGCGGTGTCTTCACCCGTCTCATCAACCGTAACACCACCATCCCCACCAAGAAGTCGCAGACCTTCTCGACCGCCGCCGACGGCCAGACCGCCATCGAGGTCAAGGTCTACCAGGGCGAGCGTGAGCTTGTCCGTGACAACAAGCTTCTTGGCAACTTCCAGCTTAACGGCCTTCCCCCTGCCCCCAAGGGTGTCCCCCAGATCCAGATCACCTTCGACATTGACGCCGACGGTATCGTCAACGTCTCGGCCGTCGACAAGGCGACCAACCGCGAGCAGAGCATGACTATTGCCTCGTCGTCGGGTCTTTCCGACTCGGAGATCGAGAACATGGTTGCCGACGCCGAGCGCTACGCCGAGACCGACAAGCAGCGCCGCGCTGTCATCGAGGAGGCCAACAAGGGCGAGTCGTTCGTCACCGACACCGAGAAGTCGATGGCCGAGTTCGAGGCCCAGCTCGAGAAGGAGGAGCGCGAGAAGGTCAAGAAGCTCCTCAACGAGCTCCGCGAGATCGCCGCCAAGGGCGCCGCCGGCGACGCCTCGGTCAAGGCCGAGGACATCAAGGCCGCCCTCGACGCCGCCCAGCAGGCTTCGCTCGGCCTCTTCCAGAAGGTCTACGAGAAGCGCAACGCCGAGGGCGCTGCCCAGGAGGGCCAGTCCTCGTCGACTGAGGGCGAGAAGAAGGACTAAGCGCCTCCTCTTCTTGTGTCTCGGTTCTCGGTCCTCATCTGCCACGCACTATTTTAGTCTAGCAGCGGCAGCGCGCCGCTAATAGTCCAACAATCCATATGTATACCCTCACCACTGCATTGGCGCGTGTTCCCAGCGGAACTGCGTAACGCATCCATTTGTATCAGTGATGAATCGCACTGCTCAGAAGTTGAGATTAGTGGGTGCCTGTGATGGGGTGAGGTGGATCCAGCTCGTCCTCGGATTTGTTGTGTGTTCTTGCCTGCCAGAGTTCGAGAACTGTGAGCGATGAGAAGCCGGGCTCGAAGCTATCCTTTACGTCTGATTCATGTCCCGGACCACCATAGTTGCACGTATGCAGCCGACAAGTGCTAAGCGACTGGGGTTAGTGACCGTGCCGTTCTGACATAGAAGGGGAAACGATCAACAGAATCAACAGAATCTGAGATATATCACGGGCTTGCATCCAACTAGCCCTTGTCTTACGTCGTCAGAGTTAGAGCACCGTGAGGGACACGAAGTGGCAAAAAATCAGGACATGCTAGGCTGGTCGTGGCGGCTGTACGGCCCTTCTTATTGATTTCTCAATACCACAGCCCCGGCGGCTGTACGACCGTTTACAGTGATTTCTCACCACCGGGTTCGAACCCCCACCAACTGGCACAAATCTCCGACGATAAGTGGCGCGCTCCAGTTGGGTCACGTCAAGTTATGAGGGCGTAGCGGAATCGCGTATATTTATACAGCATGCGGGAGCAATGGGAGGACCGCGTGTCAGGCGGCTGAGGTGACTCGGGGGTGCGGCATCGATGGATCATTAGTAGCGGTCCCGGAAGACGGAACGACGGCGCTCCGTGCGCCGAAGCACTCGCCTCCATGACAATGGTAGTGTTAAAGTACTATGATACATGTGTCACAGCTCGTATGTATATGTATTACTACAGAGACACTTCATCATCCGTTTGCGGCCGCGATGAGCGGCTGCAGCTCCTTCAGCGCTTCGTCGAGCATGCTGTCGCCGTCCTCGATCCCCGCCGCGCCAACTTGCTCCTTCACCGTAGCGTAGATGCCCTCGAAGTGCTTCAGGCGGTCGCGCAGGCCCACAAGCTGCTCACGCCATCCCGAGCCGGCCAGCTCGCGCTCGACGAGAGGTCGGACCTGGCTCGGCGCCGAAACGAGCAGGCGGGTGAGGAGGACGGTGAGGAACATCGAGAGGAGGAGGGCACGGCCGTGCTCCTGCTCGCCCAGGTGCTCGTTGTAGAGCGAGACGACGAGGGCGGCAAATGAGATGGATGTTGCGCAACGGCAGCCAAAGATGCACGAGCGTTTGCCACATCCGGAGACAGCTGATATTAGCGGGGTAATGTTTAAAGCGTACATGTTGTCGCTACTTTCATCGCAGCACTGCGCGACTTGGGGAGGATGCGGTCCAGTACGGGCGACAGGAAGATCAAGAGCTCGACGGCCTCCAAGTTGTCAGATCCGTCCTCGATACGCTGGTTCTCGCTCGGCTTGACGGGAGACGAGGTTGGGCTAGTATTATTTTCGCGAGAGGTGAACTTGCAAAGCTCTGGCCACCTATTGCGTTGGAACATGAGGCGGCCAAACGCGGCCAAAGTCGCCTCATCCTCGTGCGCGGCGTCAAATGCCTCTTTCGCGCTGTCCGCCATGTGAGCTGGATCGGCGAGCGGAGCAAGTATCTGCAGGGACAGAACGGCGCATCGCGCGGCTGAGGTCAGCTGTGAAATCGCTGGATGACATACCTTGCCGCTGGACGTGCTCATCTTCTTCTTCCTCGTCAACGACGATCGCAACAGCAGAGACTAGTAGGTGGAGCAACGAGCTGATACACTCCCGCTCGGTGGATGCTTGCTCGCGGTCTGTGATGGACATCGCCACAATGCGAGACAGAGCCCGCAAGCTTTGCTCGATGGCGTCGAGGTCGATCGTGCCATCCCTGGGAAGGAGATCCTGGAGTCAGACAATCCAGCATGACGCTTACGATACTGCTGCGATATAGCTCCATCCGTGTTCTTAGCAGGGCACCATCTTCCTTGAGTCGCCTGAAAACACGGAGAGCTAGCCCTTCATGAGCAACAGCTGCCAACATCTGTGGTGTGGAAGTAGACTCTTGAAACGCCTCAGCTAGAACGTAGGATGCGATGCCGCGACTTCCGCCGACTTCCTGCTCTTCGAAAATCTTGGAGGCCAAGGCTCGAAGTCTCTGCGTCTGCGGTTAGTCAAGAGTGTGTGCAGACTCTAGACTCACGGATAGCGATGGCCTGCCTCTGTATCCTTGGTCGAGGGGCCCAGAAGTCAAGTCAATGTGGCTCTCCAGTAACGCGACGACATTGTTTTCTTCGCCCTCGAGCAATCGTCGCAGCCCACCACCCTTCGCAAGCAGCGCGAGAAACAACAAGCAAGCGGCGCCAAGAAACGAATCTTCGCGGCTGCCGCTGAATAGCGCTGTGAATACAGTTTCGATATGGCCCCGCAGTCTAGCCATCCACTCTCCTTCCAGCATCTTCTGCAGAACATCAAGTGCGCTGCCATGAGCCCCCGGACTGCCGAGTCAGACTAACCTTGACCGCCGCAATGCGAGGCTCTGCATGGGATTGTTGATGTCGCTAAGCAGCAAGCTGATGTCGTCCATGAACAGCCGGTTCTCGCCCTTGCTCCGCATGTCGTTGATTGGCTCGGGCGCGCGCGCCAGGTTGAACTCCTCCGCAAGGTTACGGATGCCGTCGTCGTCCCCTGTATCGACCTCATATGCCTTGCGCAGCTCGGAGTAGCTTGGTTGCGCGTCCTCGGTCAATGCTGTGTCCAAATCGGTCGGGCGAGACGCGAGAAAGCTCCTATTGCCTCCGTACGTGCGCTTGGCTTTGGCCGGGGATGGGCTACCAACCGCGACGGGGACAAGGGGCGCAATAAGCGGCGAGCCGGGCTCCCCATCATAGCTCGTATGACTGCGCCCGCTCCCAGGCGTGGGCATAGAGTGCGTAATTTTGAGTGGGCGTGGAGTGCGGGGCGTCGACGGGGCCGAGTTGGTAGTAGGAAGGGTCTGGGAGGCCATGCTCTCGGCACGAGACAGCATCTTCCTGCGAGGACGCGGTGCCTGACTGCCTTGTCTGCCTTCGACTCTTGCAATAGTGGACGCTGAAGCCGTGGACTGCAAGGGCCCCTCGGGTGCGGTCTGAGAGCGGGAAAGGAGAGGGCGGGAGTTGGCGTCATCGGTCACCAGAGCAGCGAGTCTGGAGGAGATCTTGGCGGGTGCGACAGACGCAGACGGTGAGCCGCATGGCGACGCGAAGGGCGACTCGGCGGGGGGCGTTGAAGGATGAAAAGGCCCAGAGCCGGGTTCAGTATGTGAGGCAGGTGATGGATCGCCCCGCATCCGCTGACGTTTTACAGTCGGTGCAGGTGGCTCGTCTTCCACATCAGTATCGGTTGTGGGCTCCGGAGTTTCGGCTCGAGGTTTGGAGATGCGACCGCGGCGGCCATAGGTGCGCTTAGGTGGTGGGCGGGAGTAGCTTGGCGGAGATGGAGAGGAGGGCATGGTGAAGATTGCCGTCGTCCTAGGTGGAAACGATGGGCGATGAGCCAACCTCAGGACGTGTCACAAACAAATGCCAACTCCAGCCCTTGATAGATCTCAGATCTCAGAGCGGCAAAAGGTGCGTGGATGTGTTATGTAGATGAATGAAGTGATGCGGAGGAACGATCATCGTGCCCGTCATTGTTGTTGAATCGCTCGCTCCAGGTGGAGGTGCTTGATCACGTGACTCCTGCATCGTCGCACCTCACCTTTACAGAGCGCGCATTCAGATTTCGTGCAGAAACAATGCCTGTAACGTTAAGCGCCCTCTCCTATCTAATAGTACAGAAATGCTATGAATGATGGTCCTTCAGCGGTGTCTATCCTCCCATAACGCCAATGAGGCGGAACTCATGACCGCCATGTGGATCGTTCGTCTCCTCCAAAATCTGACACGTCACATTGTGTGTCCCGGCTGGGATGGTCGTGCTCAGCGTCGTAAGGTGGCCAATGTTGCTACTGTCAGATCCGTCTCTCAGAGCCACACTCACGCAGCATTGCCCCAGCGACCATCAATGATCTTTCCGACGTCTACCGCGTCGTCGACCCAGCACTTGCACTTGCCGAGGCCCATGTCGTGCGCAAACAAGCTGTAGACCTTCACGACGCCAACGCTTGTCTCAATCTCAAACTTGACCTTGGCACCAGGAACCTTGGAGACGTAGTACGGCTTATCCCAGTGCTCAGGGTGCACCCAGTAGTCCCACTCCGGGTCTTTCTCTATAGGGAGGAGCTGGAACTGTGGATCCTCTGAGTGTGTGCTCTTGCAAGTCGGATGGAATTCGGGGACGCGATGATTCACGTCCGCATTCCAGCCCTCCATGCCGTTAATTCGGGGGAGCATGCCGAGTTCCGCTGGCCGTGACCAGAAACCAGGCATCCACACTCGAGGGGGTAATGCGGGCTCTTCTGGAACACGGGTCTCCTCCTGAGGCGCCTCTTCGCCCTCAGGTGGCGGTGGCCCCTCCACATTGTCGCGCCTGCGTTGCTTCGGCGCCGGGGGCTGGTATAGCCAGGAGCGCGCTTCCTCAGGCCAATCCGCTTCCATCTTACGGAGAACATGCCTGGTGTCCTCGCCGTACAGCGCAGTCACTTGATCGTGGAAACTTTCGCCAGGCGAGCCAGGAGTGTGCTCTTGAACACCAGGCGGATGGTGATCGGGTGGTGGTGGCAAGTAATCGGGGTCGGCCACAAGCTCGCAGGCCACATCACGAATCAGGCTTGCCACAAGGTATGCGAGGTCGCGGTGGCCGTGCCAGTTGAAGTGCCGCAGGTCAGACTGTTCCCATCTGGGTGTGAGCACTATTTTCGGGCGCGCACGTACTCCTCCGAGAAATACATCGGGACCACTTCCGGGAACCGAGCAAAATGGTTAGCAAGCGGGTGGCGTTGATTAATGACTGGAACATCTGCGGCACGTCAGCCTCGAGCCCGTGCATTTGTGGCGGAACTCACCGTAGTACTGCGCAACAGGGAGATGATAGCGTCCACCACCGCCAGACATCTGGCCCATGCTGAAAGCCATCGCCTCAGCAAGCATGACGGCCGGGCTGTTGTTCATGCCGAGAACACCGCGCAGAAGAGCCTCCATGTTGTCAGTCATCTCGGGATCGGGCTCGTCATTGACGCCAAGTTCAATGACGACTAGATCCGAGTCATCGGCAATGTGCAGCGGAAAACAGAAAGAGAAGTACCCCGAGCCAGTCGCGGGGACTGCTCCATTGATGACGGTGATGAAGCCATCGTGTGGGAACCAGTCGCGGAGCCAGTCGCCAAGCAGTTTGACCCAGATCTCTTCCGCCACTACATGATGGCCCGCGGTGACTGAAGTCAGCAATGAGCAGGCACTTGCGTGGTCGGCAAAGCTTACCACTCCCGCCGATAGCACTAAAAGTGACAGGCTCCCCGCGCAGGATTTTGTTGACGAACTGCTCGACGCGATACAGCGAACCTGAAGTCAGTGACACGCCGTGGAGGGGGTTACGAACCTTCGTAACCACGCGACATGCGAATGTTGGTGCGACCGTACATGGTTTCGAAGAGGTCGGGCTGGGTGCACTTTTGCCGGAGAGCGCGCGTGCGCCGACGGGTCGCGCGGAAGCTCTTGTTGCCCTTGTTGTTGATCCCGATTTCTGGCAGCCACTTCTCGAGCTTCATGGTGGTAGGTTCATGGTGGGAGCCGGCGAAGAGGAGGATAGAAATGAAGACGACGGCACATAGTGCCATTACTGGTCGCCGCGAGAGGAGCGGCATAGTGCCGGAATCACAGTAGGAAGAGTGCCCGTTAGGGGAGGGTGGTTGGTTGGGGGGGGGGGGGGGGGGGGGGGGGGGGGGGGGGGGACGATGGGGTGCTCGAGGCGATCAGAAGGGGGGAAAAGGAGTGTGAGATGGAGCAGGCGCGATGAATGAACGCGCTGCGACGCGCTGGGCTTGCGGCGATGAGAAGGGATTGATGAGAGAGGTAGTAGTGAGAGAAGAGGAGAGAAATGAAGTAGATGGGTCAAGTTGTACACGAGTTTGGGCGACTTGGGATCTTGCGAGGAACGTGAGGAATGGGCTACAGCGGTGGAAGGTTGTGTGGGGTGAAATGGCAGGTGCCAAGCAACTGTTTCTGCTAATCAGAGCTTGACAAGGTATTAGAAGTCCATTACAAAAGTTGGATTACTCTGACACCCGAACATGTTGCTCGGGTCGATACTTTCGATGCCGGCGTGCCTGTCTTGTGGGTGGCGCGGCCGGCTTGCCCTTAGCCCCTGATCTCTCAGATGCAAAGGGCCCCCCCCCGCAAGTGCCTGTCGCTCTGCGATCTGTGATCTGTGAAGGGGGTGAAGTGCAGGATGCGCAGGGAAGATCACTGTATCTACCCTGAAATTGGTACATGTCAATACTTCACAGTCAACCTTCACGCCGAGTACGACATGATTTTCCGCCGGCCATCGTCGTCGGTTCAGTTCCCGCGGAGGTGGGGGGATCTGAGACTTGCACAGCGTTGAGACACTTGGGGCCGTTGGACGGAGTAGACGGAGACTATCAAGGCCGTATATGCCTTCAAGGCGGAGGGCGTTTGTGCCATGTGCCCTCAGCATAGCTGCATCTCGTCGTTGGTGTCCGCGCAGTCTCCCCCAGATCTGTAATGTGTTATCGGCCGCAATGTACCTCCGCTTGCTGTACCCTCCCAAGATAGTTATTCTAGTCTCTAGTCAGACCGATCGCAGGCTCAACTCTGATTGTGCGCTAGTGCGGAATTCGCATTCATGGCATTCAGTTGCGCAGTTGCGATGTCGACGGCCATTTCTGTCAGTCCGCAGCTGTTAGTCAACATGTCGGACGGCACGTAGCGGCCCAGCAAGCAGCGAGCGGCTGGCCACCAATTCCCCCGCTGCACAGCACATATTCAATCAACACTGCTACAATGTCCCCAATGCGCATGACGCGCCCTCGCTTCGTTAACACCTCAAGGCTTCGAGCGATGGGTAACGGAGAGCCGGATGGGGGCTGCAGCGAAAGGTGCCAAGGTGTGCTGTGCGTTCATATCCTCCGAAAAATCGGAGATCCAGGAGTGACGGTCGCGATTCGAATCTGAGCGGAAGCCTGCAAAAATCAGACAATGTCGAAAAGTGCCACACGTTGATGGCACGAGGAAAACACCGATTCTCCTTCGCTGGGCGGGTCGCTCCGAGGTGTGGGTAGGAGGGCCAACCACGGAGCGGCCGATTGAGCAAGTCGAGCTCTCTACCACAGCTGTCCCTCCAACCACCTCTCTCCCACCCCTCCCTCCCCCATGTCTCTGCTCCGCCTCCCCCGCGCCGCTCCGGCTCTCCGCCGGTCCTACGCCACCGCCGCCAACGTCTCGGAGGCAGCCGGCGTCAAGGTCCTCGGCATCGACAACGGCCTCCGCCCCGCGACCTCGAGCGTGTCCGTGATCGTCAAGGCCGGCTCGCGCTACGAGCCCGCACCCGGTGTCGCCCACGTCCTCAAGAACTTTGTGTTCAAGGTGGGTGTGCGCCCGCGCGCAAGCGCATGTCCTTGCACACATGGTGCAGCGCGCATGAAATGGAGCTCGCGCGGATCGCCTCGGAGCGAGCGAGATGGAGCCGAGGGTCAGGCGTTGAGGAAGTTGCGCTCGGTCAAGCGCGCCTCAGAGACGCTGCTCGCTCGCTCGCCGCGCATTATTTTCCTCTGCCCTGCTTTAGAGACATGCGCGCCGCTGTCGCGCACGCATGCGTGAGGAGCCGTAAAGCAATCCGCATCGCGTCTTCCGCCTCGGAAATCGCTGACATCACAGTCGACTGCCTCGGGTTCGGCTCTCAAGACTGTCCGTGAGACGGAGCTTTACGGTGGTGTTCTCTCGGCTGGCCTCTCGCGCGAGTACCTCTACATCAACGCCGAGTTCCTCCGCGGCGACGAGTGAGTGGCATAGCTCGCTTTAGTGCTAACCGTTTTCCAGGGGCCACTTCCTTCCCCTCCTCGCGTCGGTGCTCTCGTCGACCCAGTTCTCCCCGCACGAGTACACCGAGCTCGTCCTCCCCACCGTCCGTGGCGAGACCGAGGCCGCTGCCGCCGACCCCGCCCTCATTGCCCTTGACACCGCTGCCACCGTCGCTTTCCGCCGTGGCCTCGGCAACTCGATCTTCGCATCGCCCCATTCGCCCGTGACTCTTGACACCGTCAAGTCGTTCGCGCAGGCCGCGTTCGCCAAGTCCAACATTGCCGTCGTCGGCCAGGGCATCTCGACCGACGCCCTCGCCGCTGCCGTCAGCTCTGCGTTCGCTGGCGCCGCCGGGTCCGCTGGCTCGCTCCAGACCTCCAAGTCGCAGTACTACGGCGGCGAGGCTCGCATCCCCCTCGACACCCACGCCAACCCCTCTGCCCAGCCTACCGTCGTCATCTCGTACGGCCAGACCGGCGCTGCCGCCCCCGAGGTCGCCATCATCCCCCACATCCTCGGCGGCCAGTCGGCGCTCAAGTGGTCGCCTGGCTCTACCCCTCTGTCCAAGGCGGCCGACAAGGTCCCCGGTGCCACCGTCCGCTCGTTTGTGACTTCGTACTCTGACGCTTCGCTCCTTAACGTCGTTGTCCAGGCCCCCACCAACGAGGGCGTTCGTGCCGTTGCCCAGGACGTCGCTGCCGCCATCAAGGCCGTTTCGTCGGGTGTTAAGGAGGACGAGCTCAAGCGCGCCATCGCCAAGGCCAAGTTCGCCGACGCTACTACCCTTGAGCACTACGCTTCGCTCGTTGACGCCGCCGCGCCCGCCCTCTTCGGCGGCCAGTCGATCCAGTCGCAGTCGCTTGCCTTCGACGGTCTTTCCACCTCGGCCGTCTCCAAGGCCGCCAAGGCCCTCTTCGAGGCCAAGCCAACAGTCGTTGCCGTCGGCAACACCCACGTCCTTCCTTACGCGTAAGTCTACCTTACGCGCGCATTGAAGAATACAGCTGACACCCAGCGACGAGCTCGGCCTGTAAGGGAAGAAAGGCGGTAGGGTAGATAGAGAGGCCAAAATAGGTTAACAGCCACATCACAACAACATATCCGGTCATGCAGTGCTGGAATGCGGCGGGGGAGGCGAGTAGGTGTTGGCGCGAGCGCGAGCAAGCTGCGTATGTGGAGAGGACCGCGTGAGCATGTAACATCCAGCACAAAGTCAGTTGTGCCGCGCGACCTTTGGCGTGCCTGCTTTCCTCATTTCATCCAGCGACCACTCAGCAGCCGACTGTTGGTGTTCACGTACTCCCACCGTGGGAAGGTTAAGCACGTGATGTACGTCATCGGCCTTACAATGTCGATCCTCCAGATCGCAGCGCGCAGTCAGATCCACTCAGCGGCAAACACTGCTCACATCAGCATACACCACGCTCCTCACCGACACTCACACACATGGCGCTAACACGCACGGCTCCCACGCGCACCGTAACCGGCACCGAGGGGATAAAGTGTGACGTACGCGCCCTGCCCGCCGCGCTAACGGAAGGGCCACAAGCTCGCTGCGCGCAAGTTCCAAGCGGGCCCGACGAGCAAGAATCCAGGCCGGTGGTTCTACACATGCCCGCTGCCGCGGGAAGACGCGCAGCGCTGCAAGTTCTTCAAGTGGGCGGACGACACGGAGGCGCAAGGGCAGACGCTGGGCGCGTCGCCCGCGCGCCTGGTGCCGACGGTGCCGACGACGCCGAGCCGCCTGATGCGCCCGACGGGGAGCGCGCTGCACACGCCCGCGAAGGCGCACCCACACAGCCCTGCGCCAGCCCTCAGCTCGGCAAGCCGCACGCCCACGCACGTGCCGCAGAGGCGCGAGAGCGACGGCGAGATCGATTGGGAGAGCATCGACGCCGACGGCCTCGAGCGCGACGCCGAGGCCCGCGTCTCCCCCCGCTCCAGCCAGACCGTGCAGGCGCGCCTCGAGGCCGTGTCGCCGCTCGTGGCGAAGCGCAAGCTGTCGGCGGAAGAGGACGGCGAGCGCACGCCCAAGCGCGTGCGTCGTGGGCCGGACGAGCTGACACCAGGCTGCGCATACGGGAAACCCCTTCCTTGCGACGCCGACGCGCGAGCACGGCACCCCCACGCACTCCCCGTTCTCTGTTGGCACGCCTGGATCCGAGGTCGGCGTGGGTCGCGCACAGCATCCCGCGCTCGGGAGCATGCTCACGGCCATGGGCGAGGTAGGGGACCATCTCGCCCGCCAAGAGCGACTGGTGAGAGCTGCTGAGAGCATGAAGCGCTCGATGCGGACGACGATACAGAACCTCCAGGAGCGGGTCAAGACGCTCGAGGCGGAACTTGCGGCTGAACGCGCCAAGAATCAGTAGGTGGCGGCCGAGACAATCCAAGAGCTTCCAAGAGCTCCCTCAATCACATGCCCCACCATCACTCCCTCTGCCATTCCCATATCTCTCAACACAGATTGTATCGTCACTGTATCGTGCATCAATGTACAAATGCCATCATCCCAACCCAAATACGCCTCGTATGCCTTCTCAGACTCGACCTGTGTCACGGACTACGGCCTGATACCCTTCCACTCTAGAGCCTCAACCAACATCGCCACCTCCCCAATGCCCGACTCGAGCTTGAATTGCTCCTCCTGCAGTATCTCCGCGCTCGGCTCATACCCTGGCGGGTCGAGGAGTTCGAGCAAGTCGTCGGGCGGAGAGGAAAGCTCCGAGTCGTCCGAGTCGTAGCCGTTCACCGCCGCCTTGCGGCCCGATGCCGTCTGCTTGAGCGATGGCCGACGAGGCGTGGACTTCGGGGTAGCCTTCGTCTTCTTCTTCGCCTTGGCTGCCTCCTCCTCCGCAGCCTCCAGCTCGCTGTGCTTCGTGCGCCATCTGTACGCAATGTACTTCGCGAGCGCGCGCAAATCCTCGCCAGAGTTGACAATCATCCACCGCTCCACCAAGGCAGGAATGTCGTCCTCCTCCTGGCCCCACCCGCGGCCCCAGATGAGCACGCCCCGCGCCCAGAAGCCTGGGCGGTAGCGCTCCCGGTCGATCTCACGCGCCGTGAGAGTGTAGTATATCCGCCCGTCGAGATCGGTGCCAAGAGGCTCAAAGCGCATCGCCTTCCGCGCAAGCCCGGCACGGTAGTTGAGCGTCGCCATGCGGCTCAACTTGTGGTGCTCCTCTTCCCGCTCCTTGAACTGCTGTCAGCTGACGTTCGCCGTCGTGCTCACCTTCTCACGCGCAGCTCTTGTATCCGCCGCCGACTTGGCGCGCACCCGCGCCGCATTCAGCTGCTTCTTCTCAACGTCCCATCGCATCGCCTCTTCCTTTTGCGCGGCGCTCATCTTGCGGATCTCGTCACTTGCGGAGTACCGCACATTGGGATCCATGTGGAACCGCACAATGTCCAAATGCGTGACGTGTTCCACGAGCGCGAGGAGCATGCGCACGACCTCGCTCGGCGCGGGGAGACGGGAGGCACCGCGGCGGCTCGAAGGACCCGCCTCCATCGCCCACGCGGGTGCCTCGTCGTCTGCTCCCAGGTCGAGAAGCGTGCGCATCGCCTTCTCGTTGCGCCGGCGTGCTGCCTCAGTTGGGTCAGGTGGCATCTGGAGACCCAGCAGGTCCGACGCCTCCTGGTAAATGGACGCAAATCGAGCAAGATCCGCGTATCGCATCTCCTCGCGCAAGTTTTCAACGTCGATGTCGAGTTCCGGTTCGTAGCCGCCAGTATAATGCTCGCTGCCCGGATCCGCGACGAGCCCCAGGAACGCACTTGCAAGTTGCCGCACTGTTGTCTCGCCAAGTGGGTGATCAAAGTCGTCAAGTGCGCCAAGGCCGCGGTCCGGCAACTTGAGCAGCTCGCGAAACCGGCACACAAACTCGCGCAAGTACATGCGTTGCTCGACTTCCTCGCGTCCCATCCGCGTGTCAATGTTGGGAATCTCCGGTGGGTCGCACTTGGGCCATACGATGCGAGGCCGGGGTGCGACTTTCGGCGTCTCCTTTTTGGCGGCCTTTTTCGGCACTGACTTCTCCTTCTGCTTGGGGGCAGCTTTCTTAGTTTCTTTGGTCGGCTTCTTTGCAGCCTTCCTTGCAGGTTCCTTCTTGGTCTTTCTTGATACAGGCTGCTCAGGTGCGTCGAGGTCACTGAGCTCGCCGTCAATCATGTCAAACATGTCGACGCGGGATTTTGTGGTAGGTTCAGGCCCATCGGCATTGATTTGGGCGACAAGTTCGAGGGGAGTCACGCCTTGCTCGGCGGCGAGCCTGACGACGTCACCGAGAGGCTGCAGGCCCTTTTTAATTCGACCTGCGAGTCAGCGATGGATCGCGATGGAGCGAGCAAGACGACATGCCGCAAGCAGTTTCGAATAGACGTGTAAAGTGAGAGGCAAGGTGGGTAGCGTGCAGGGGAATGTAAGCCATATCCACTTACAGGTCGAGTTCTGGCACTCGTCCAGGCAGCAGGGACATGCCCAGACGTATTCCTTCTCGCCGTCGTGCTTGGCCATCACGGAGGAGTCAACATTATGTCCGCGCGCCTTGATGGCATCTGGATCGACCTCATATCGCTTGCGCAAATCGCGCTCGCACCAGGCCAAGTTGCACGCGCGCGCGGGCGTTGACTTGGTGTACTTTCGCAGCTTGGTGCAGCGAAGCACGTTCTCGGGTTCGATTTTGGTGCGACATCTGGTGTAAGCGTGATGTATGCCACTGGCTGAGCCAAGCCGCACACAAAGTGTGATGGGACTCACTGATGGCAGTATGTACCCTTCTCGGTGGGCTTCTCCTTGCTCTCGCCATTCGCCTTAGCCTTGCATTTGGGCGTCTTTGGTGTGTTCTTAGGCTCTGCCTTGGCTTTCTTCTGAATCGCGCCGCTGGCAGGCGCCTTGCGCTTCTTGGTTGCAGTGAAGTTACCGGGGTCCGGCGCGGGGCTGAGTGGTGACTCTGGGGAAGGCGATGTGGGCGCTGTCGTGCCGGCTGTCAGCGCTGGCGCCGACGCGTTTGAGGTCATGGAGGGTGATGACAGGGGGGTTCTCCGCATGGGTTTGGAAGAGATGGCAGCAGACGAAGGTTAGAGAGTGTGGTTGGTGGAGCGACGCGTCGGCAATTTATATTGTTGTTGACGGCCAATACGCGTGACGCCGCATCCGATCACGCCGCACCCCAGAAAGCTCCGCGGTCTGCGATGTGTGTCCACTAATCCACGCGTCATTCTCAACAACCGAGGGTATAAAGGGTATAGCTGCATGCATGGTATCAGATTATTTGACCTACAGGAATATTACCCACGCCGTAGCCACTCGAGCACACTTCCCCTGCCTGTCTTGCTCTCCACTTTGGAAGAGCTCGAGCCCGAGCTTTTACGCTTCTTCCGCGGACGCGTATCCACTGGCGCGACCCGCTTTGGCAGCGGCATCGCCTCAGCGATCTCGGCGAACGCGTCATGGTTCAAACAGAGATCAATGTGCTCGTTTAGGTCGGCGTTGGACGTTTCGGGTCCAAGACGCCGGCTGCAAATGGGACACACCGGTCCGGCGTCGGGATTGGGGTCAAGCGCGATAGGACTTGGCCCAGCCGATTCTCCTCCCTGGAACGCCTCATTGAAGTTCTCTTGCGTGGCATCACGCGAGAAACTGGAAGTGCCGGGTTTCAGGAACTTTCATCAGTCAAAAAATCGAGCCACCGAGAGCTTACATTTCGAATGCCAGTGTCTGGCACCGTCAAATCTTTGAGGTTGCTCATCCTGATGCCCAGGAGGCGAATACGCAGTGGGAACTCCTTGCGGATCAGGTCGACCGCGACCGGCAGTATGTCCTCCTTCTTCGCAGTGAACTTCTTGACGCTAAGCGCCCTCGACTTGCCTTCCATAAGAATCCGCAGACGAATAATAACTCACTCTCGTACGTGTGTAACTTGAACTTGACTGTGATCGTCTTGCCAGCATATTGAAGCGTGGCCATGTCCTTCTCCAGTTCCTCGGCGATACTCTCGAGCTCGCGTAGGATGTCGTCGTTTGCTGTTTTGTCGGGGAATGTCCTGCTATCAGTTTGCGCGCCTGGGTATGCCAGCTCACCGCTCGACGCCCACACTCTTCCGCTCGCCTCGCTTGTGCGGCTCGACATTGTTGTCTGCAATGCCAAGGTACGCTTTGCACAGGCCACGAAACCCGAACCAATGGTTCATGACCAGCAGTTCGGCGCGGCGCTTATAGATATCGCCGCAGGTTTCTACACCGAGACCTTCAAGACAGCGCTCTGTGACGCGTCCAAAGCCCGGAATGTTGCAGTTGTCAGCAGAAGTCACACTTCCCCCACTTACCGGATAGGCAGGTCGCGCATAAAGCGGGTGATCGCGGCGCGGTCGAACTGGATCTCGAACTGCCCGTTGGGCTTATTCTTGTCCGAGCAGATCTGCGTCAGCTGCATCCACGTCGGGCTTACCTTCGCGAGCATGCGATTCGGCGCGATGCCTGCTGAGATGGTCATGCCGGTACGCTCCTCGACCTGCACACGCAGCTTGGATACAACCTCACTGGCCGTCATGTTGTGCGTCGCCATGTAAGACGTGATGTTGAGATACCCCTCATCGAGGCCCGCCATCATAAGATTCTCGTCGTATTGTAGTAGCACCTCTCGCACCTTATTGGAGGCAGCCGTGTACAGATCAAAGTGCAGGTTGGTGCTGGTGTAAGCTTAAGAGCCTCGCGAACCTACAGGATGATATGTGGGCACAACTTCTTCGCGATGAAGCCCGCCATGCCACTCCGGCATCCGAACTTGCGCGCTTCGTACTGCGTGAGTTATGATCGTCTAGTTGGCTTACTGATGCAGTAGTGAGCACTCCCTGGCCCACTCCAAACGCCTTCCCCTTGAGCGACGGATCGCGCTGCTGTTCCACGGATGCGTAGAATTGGTCTAAATCGCAATGCACAATCGTCTGTGACAGGTCGCGCAGTGCCTCGACCTCGAGGAGCTGCTGTGAGTGTAGGTCAAGCTTGCTCTACTCACGATACGGTCCGCATCCGACTCGAGACGTTCCATCGGCGATTCACGCACCAGCTCGTCGCGTTTCGCCTTGAACCATTCGATCTTCTCGGTGAGTTCCTGGTCTTTGCGCACCTGGTTCAAATAGTATCTGCAATCAGCAAACCGCCTGCGCTTGCCAAGCCCGAACGAAGCATTGCTGGTCGTTCGCAGAGATAGGCAACTGAACACCAGAAGCAATGAAGTCGTTGTTGCTAAGAGAACACCTTCCTTAGAGCCTGCAGGCGTGTGGCTCCCGCCTCTAGCTTCTCTACGAATCCACCGCCACTCACTTAGAACCCTTGGACGCCTCGGCGATGATGCGATTGATTTCTGCCCTCAGCTACGCACTAGGCAGCAAAAGATTAAGCTAACCTGTCTGATCGCGCGTGAGCCCTGCCGTCAGTGTTCGCCGCAATTCCGCACACACCTGCCTTGCCCACGCTTGGTCCGGCGAGAGATCGCTCGAAGCTACGTTGCCGTTTCGCGGCAGCCTCAGCCGCCGCGAGCGCTGCAATCTCCTCCTCTGTCATTTCTTCACCCGGGCTCAGCTCCTCCGCCGTGCTTGGGGATTCCATGGTAGGAGGAGCATGCGCGGGGGTGGGGTGAGTGGTTTGTTGTTGTGACAGAGAGTACCGTCAACCATTGTCAGGTACGCGCTCAGGCACTCATATGTCAATCACGTGGTTTTGCTCCCGCCTATCTCGCTTTCTCGCCAAGCGTGACTTCTGAACATCAACATTGCCCGCTCGCTAAAGGTGCCCTCCGTGCTCGAGATTGCTGCACAGGGGGCGTATAGCGAAGCTCACATCGACTCCGGGTCACAGGCTATGCTGCCGGTAGGGCGGCTTAGCTGCGCGTTCTTGGGCGACGACCGGCGACCCGACGTGATAGGGAAGGGCAGAGGCATCTTGTGCCGCTGCCCCCCCCCCCCCAATTCACGGACAGATATGATCAGCTGGCCAGCTGGAGCGAGGAAGCTGACATGTCATTGCTACAGATGCGCTGGCATTGACTTAACGACTGATACGAGAGACGTGTGACTGACCGGTGACCGTGGCGCGTGGCGACAAGCCCGTTGCCGCGTTGCAACGACTCCGAGAGGGGGGGCATGACAACAGGCAACGAACCATCCAAGACCACTCGTGGCTACGCGTGTACGCGTGTAGGGTTATAGGGCATGGGGCAGCGGTGAGTACATGGAAACTGAGTCGAGAAACGGGGTGCGCAGGGTGTTCTGCTTGCCTATTCAACCTATTACAAACTCACAGCGACCTCTACATATCTACATGCTCCACATCAAGACTAGCGAGCTGGCGTTCGCGAATTCGCGAAAGCGAGAACAGGGAGACCTCGGGCCTCGAGACCGGGCATATGCAACGTGTCGTGATATGGAACAGAAGCAGATGGTTCCTGATCACGCCTGCTGCGGCAAAATTCGCACACGCGCGGTCGCTCGATCGCTCGAGATCGCTCGTCGGATTGTCGGATCGCGGATCGTTGTCCATGCCAATCAGAGCTGAGAAGCATGCCGCAAATGATCGCCGGTACACTGAGCAACAACATTGGTGAGTAGGCCGAAGGGCCGAAGGGGGAAACGAGCCGAGTAGCGGAGAAAAGGGAGTTTATGAGTGGTATGAGCGGAATGAGCGGGGGACACGGACGTTGCTGGATGATGCTGGATCATGCTGGGTCATGCTAGAGAGTCTGACAGAAATGGATGGCAGCGCTGTGGCGTGGATAGGCTGGGTTTGAGCGCAGTGGATCCAAGCGTGACAGGCATGACAGCGGCGGAAACGGTAAGGATCGTACATGATCCTACAGGATCCCACAGGATCCTACATCCTACAGGATTACAGGAGGATGTTTGAGAAACTGAGGAAGCATGGCGAAAAGATTGCTGCGAGCTGTGGGCGGGTGATACGCGGGTGAGATGGATCGATGGATCGATGGATCGATGGGATCGATGGACGCGACAATGCGAATGGTCACGACAGTACGACAGATCGACACCTCGACAGAATGGAGATCAGAAGCAATGAGCGATGGGTGATGGGTGATGAGTGATGGGTGAAAGGAAGCAGGTTGCAAGCACGAGAAGTTGGACGCTTGCTGCGCCTGCTGCGCCCGCTGCGCCCAACGCTGTCTGATCGTCTGATACGCGTCTGCGCCCCAAGGCTCTGCTTCTCAGCTGATCAGCTTCCACCGACATCCTCCACATCCTCCACATCCTCCACATCCTCCATCCCCCATCCCCCGTCCTCCATGTCTTGCCCCTAACATCCTCACCCCCTCACAACCGTGGAATGAACGCTGAAAGTCTACAAGGCTCTGTCGTTGGTCAGCTGTCACATTCCAAGGCTTATGTGTGCAAGCGGGATGGCGTATGCGCATGGACCCACACTGAACGCTATCGCTTCTCTCTAGAATTGGGAGGCAGAAGGACCCAAGGCTCGTCCGACATACCGACGTGCCGATATTGATCGCCCTCACCCTATCCATCACCCTGGCCCCCTTGATGGCCTTGTACCCCTCATGGCCCCCTCATGCCTTCACCAATTGGCCACCCTTCGATCTTTCGAACGGCGTCGACGTGCCGTGCGCCAACGCCCACGTTCGATCTCCGGCGCCGGGGCGTCAGCGCGTCAGACGTCTATAGATCACGGATCACGGATCATGAATCATGAAGCATACAGAGCGCGCCACTACAGCGCCCACCAGTGCCCTCTCCTCGATCTCCTCGCTCATTCCACACTTTGCGCTCCCGCCATCCACGCCACAACTGCCAGACTGCCACGGCTAGCACAGCTACTACTTCTGGTTCAATCGCGTCGCGCTGTGCTTCCTTTTCATGTCCCCAAATACCGCTCGCCCCGGCCCCACGACGCGCACAACGACGATACAACAGCACAACGACACCACCGCTCTCAATGCACACGCACTATCCACCCTTGAGGCCTCGACCTTCCTCCTTCTTCCGCACACCCCTGCTCGGCCTCCTGCTCAATCGAGTTCGAGTTCTTTGTCTCGTCCTCTTTCATCTTCATTCCAGGCGTCCCAGAAGCCAGAAACCAAACGCTGGCCAGACTCCGCCCCCGAAGCGCACCCCAGCCGATCTTGCCTTCAGCATAGCAACGTCGCAGCCTCGGACTATCGGAGAAGACTCATCACCAAGTACGGGTCGTGGTCGCTCAGCGCCACATAAAATCTCGCCAATGACTCGTCTCCGCCAAATGCCCTCGTTGGTTTCGCCCCCCCCCCCCCCCCCCCCCCCCCCCCCCCCCCCCCCCCCCCCCCCCCCCCCCCCCCCCCCCCCCCCCCCCCCCCCCACCCCCCTCACACTCAAGTCTTGATTTTCCCATCTTCGTCGCGCCTCCCTAACCTCCGCCCCGGCCCCCTCCCCCTTCACTTGATTCATCACCATCGGCTGCGCCTCGGCGCCCAGTCCCGTCAAAATCAAGCTTCCGCCACCACTCGCACGAGCGCGTGCACGTGCCCGTGCCCGTGCCCGCTCGCTTTGCCGGCGGCCCGGCGGGGCAACGCCGACGCCACCCAAGCGTGTCCCCAAGCGGCCTCCACGGTTGAGCTTACGCGTGCTAAGGCGCTCGAATTCCATGTTCACGGGCCATTCCTCAGCCCCCCAAGCCACCGGCAAGATGTAGTGAGTGCCCCCACTCGCCCTACTTTCCCCCATCTACTTCCTAGCGCCCGAGCTGGCGCCGCCCTCGGGAAGTTGCATCCAGTGACGCCCGTCGCACTCAACACAACGACAGCAGCTGGCTCCCACTGCACGGCTGTCAACGTGCCTTGCACGGCGACGATGCATCGAGCTTGTTGCCCTTGTTTAACTCCTTCTCCTCCATTTGTTCTTCGCCCGCGCCCCGGGGCAGTGCTCCTGGACGTGCCATTGAGCCTCCACCACGACCATGGCGCACTCTGCTTCCCATACGTTCTCTCCACACACTCTCAGCGGGAGCGTTTCGTGACAGCTCCCCATTCGTCTCTGCCACGCCCTTCAGCGGGCGACGCAGACCATATATGTCATGCCAGCGAACGGGGCGGCATCCTCAACCTCCACGCCCGCTGTCCTTTTTGCGCTCAATCATCCTACTTCAGTCGCACTACGCTCCATTTACGTTGGGAGTCTCGCGACCGGGCTGACCACTCTAGCGGATACCATCCATACAGGCATAGCCGGGCGCACGACATGTCGGAGCTTAGCAGTCTCCCGGAACGATGGGACATCTACTATCAGTACGCAGCACAGTGGGGCGAGCGGCAACTCTTCCCTAGGACCCTGGACCCTTCGTTGCCGCCTCAGCAGTGCTGACGGCCAGTCAGTACCACCTCCATTCGTGTATGCACCACGAGTGCATTTGGACCGACGGAAGTGAGCTGCCAGTACTGCGAGCGACCTGATCATCCAGTGTGGTACTTTCCGGAGCTGGGCCGTCGCGCCAATACACTTCACATGTTTGCGCCATCGCGCTGGGGTCCAATAAAGTAGGTGTTGAGCGGCCCCTGATAGCTTGACATGCTGATGTCCAGTGGTTACCGAGTGAGTTAAGCCAAGTGGTGCTGGTTGCTCTGGTCGCTCTAATTGACCGCAGTATTACGACTTTTATCTGGTGCGTACGATCAGCCCCTTGGTTCGGCGTTCGTGTGACCGTTCCTTGGTAGACCTACCTCTGACCATAGCCTAATGGCACCATGATTGAGCACAGTAAGTAACATATGAGACCCGCTGACAAGCAGTGGCGTGGTATGTGCCAAAGCTTCACAGAGATTAAACGCACAGGCGCTTTATCGGTAACGGCGACCCCAGCAAGGATTGGCTTCAGGACTATGTCGCATGTGGGGCAAAGGTAGCGGTCTCGACTGACCGTAGACGACCTCAACATGGTCACGGTCGACATGGTCGTCATAGACCCGAATGCGCTTAGCAACTGAAGTCCCTACTGAACTGCTCGCTGCAATCAAGTTGGGACGTCGGCGGCCACACCTGTCAGATCTCTTGTCACGAGTTCGTTCAATATGTCTTCATATCGTCTCAAAGCTGTACGCAATCCACACGCAAGAGCAGCGCAAATAGGGGGAGGGTCCCGGCGAGGGGTGAAGCCGCGAAGCAAAAGAAGTGCCGAATGTTCGGTGTCGTTGTACACACTTCACAAAAACACATGTAGCATCTTGTTCCTGTCGTCTGACGCGTCCAGCTCTTCGATATCCCGGCTTAGTGAGACGGAGCCCCCCTGTGGTCGACGAACGTATGGATATAGTCGGGCAAGGGCACGCGATTGAGACTGGACGGCTCGGGCGTGCCGTACGCGGCGCGAACTGGAGTCAACGGATTTCGGTTACGAGCGCAACGTTGCGTACAGCAAGTTCCCGGCATCATGCCATGCTGGCCCTGCAAACATCGTACCACCGCCACCACAGATGTGAGGAGTACGGCGGACGCCCCCGAGGCTGCGTTGACGCCCTTGTCTCTTGCCTCGGTGCCGAGCACGCGGAGATGAACAACACCGGGCTCCCGCCAACAACCACCTTCCAGACAATCACTGGCAACGCCCCACGCCACAATCGCCGTCAGCTAACCACACCGATCGACGAGGATCGAGGTGCTGTCCGTTCGCGAATGCGGACAGCGTAAGCCGTTCCAGACACGGCGTGACGCGTGAGCAGGGCGGTTGGGCGACCTGGTCGTCGTCCGTTTTTGAGTTTGGGCCAGTGCCACTCGCACGGGTGCCCGTCCTTGCACCCGGTATGGCGTGCGTGCGAGACACGGAGGAGCCTCGCACATGCCATGCACGCCCAGACGTCGAGAAACATTGAAGCATGATCGAGCTTTGGCCAAACCAAGCCTGGAGCTGCACGCCCGCCCCTCGGCGTTTGGCCTCGGCTCCTCGCCCTCCTCCCCCACCCTCCCCTCGCGACCAGCATGCCAACACAGCGAGCACCCGAACAGATCTACACCCCAATGCCGCAGTATGCCCGATCGGCGCATGCGGGCGGCACGCCCCTCTCCGAGTGCGAAAGAACGAGCTCAGATTCCCGCATCCGACGCTGGCCATTCCGCATGCCCATACATGCCCGGCGCGCCCTCTCCCCGAGCTCCTCCAGCTCCTCCAGCTCCTCCAGCTCCTCCAGCTCCTCCAGCTCCTCCAGCTCCTCCAGCTCCTCCAGCTCCTCCAGCTCCTCCAGCTCCTCGAGATTGCCACCTCTCACTCCCTCGCCTCTTTTTCCTCGCCTCTCCTCGCCTCTCTTTCCTCGCCTCTCCTCAACCTGTACCAGTCACGAGTTTACCAACATACCTGGGATGACTCCTGCCCACACCTTGTCCCGCAGCTTGTCGTCCTTTTCATCCCGTCGCTCTTCACCCGGCTCTCCACTCCGAATCTTAGCGCTGGCACTGTGTATTTTGACCTTGACAAATCCCGTCGTCGCCATCTCTGCCTGGCTTGGCGCGCGGCATCCGTCCCACCGCCCCGGGAGCACGCTCTCGACGATGGCGCGCGCCGCGTCCCACCGCTCTCCCGCATTCCATTGCTCCGCGCCGTCAGTGTCTCTCATGCCAAACTCCACGACCTCGCCGTGCAGCACGGCGCTGCGGTGGTTGATCGAGCTGTTGAACGCGCTCAGGGCCAACACGATGCCGTCGAGCAGCGTGGCCGTGATGCACACCCGCGTCTCGGGCGGGAGGAGCCGGACGAGGCGCGCACGGTGGTGGCCGTGCAGGTACACTTCCAAACCCGAGGGGGTGTCCGTGATGGCTGCAACCATCGGGATGCAGCTCTGGCAGTGTTAGCGGGTCAGTGTGGCGCAGGGCGTGAGTGACTCAAGGGCATCGGAGTACGGAGTTCAAGCGGGCATCAGGTGATGTGCACGTACAGGGTTGCCGTCCAGGTCGACGAAGGCCACATTGACAAAGTGCGCCTCGACGATGACTGAGTCAGCGGGTCAGTGGGGCCGAAGAGCCCACTCTGTTTTATCGTGTCGAAGTCGTAGCGTGCCTTGTGAGTGTCCCGCCCAACCTCATTCTCTGACATCAGCAAGGATGCATGGAGGCAAGGGCAGGGGAGCGTACCATGCGTCTTCTCAAACTCGCGCGGCCTCTCGCCCATTCCAGAGACCATGTGGGAGAGAAGTGGTAAGTGCTTGATAACAAATGGTTGTGTGCATATCGTCGGTTAGCAGAGTGGGGAGTAATGTGCGACGTGCGACACGCGACATGCGCCAGTCTCGTGACCCGAATCCTCCACTAGTCACTTCTGCAAACTCCGGCTCAATCCTACTACTTCTTGGAAGCAGTTGGCAACTGCATTCACCTGCAAGTACCGAGCTCGCTGTTCAGTAGGGCCCAAAAACGAGTACCGCCCCATTGTAGTTCTAAACACCAATTTATCTGAATGCATGTCCAAAGACGTAGGCGTACAATGAAGGCACAGCGATACAGCTATGAAGTAGACAACCCTTAGCGGGCCGAGGCCATGGCCTTCTGCATCTGGCGCTTGAGCGAGAGCATCGACTTCTTGTACTGCTCAGTCGTAGCGCTCTCCTCCTCGAGGACCTCCATCGCCTTGCCGAGCTCCGACTCGATGGCGCCCTTAGCACCACGCTTGAGCTTAGAAGCAAGCTCGGGCGAGGTGATCTGCTGCTCAACGACGTGGATGTACGACTCGAGCTCCGACTTGGCCTCGTGGCGGGCGGCGAAGTCGCGGTCAGCGGCCTTGGACATCTCGGCGTCCTTGATCATCTGCGAGATCTCCTCCGACGAGAGACGGCCAACCGAGTTCTGGATGGTGATCTGAGCCTTGCGGCCCGAGGTCTTGTCCTGAGCGGAGACCTTGAGGAGACCGTTGGCGTCAACCTCAAAGGTGCAGAGAAGCTCGGCCTGGCCACGGGGCATGGGGGGAATGCCCGAAAGCTCGAACTCGCCGAGCAAACGGTTGTCCTTGCAGGCAAGGCGCTCACCCTCGAAGACGGGGAAGGTAACAGTGGTCTGGTTGTCCTCAACGGTGGTGAAGACACGCGACTTGTTGGCGGGGATAGGGGTGTTGCGGGGGAGAACGACACCGAAGACGTCACCCTGCATGGCGACACCGAGCGAAAGAGGAGCGACGTCAAGGAGGAGGAGGTCGGCGGTCTTGTCCGAGGTCTGGTTGGTGAGGACGGCACCCTGGACGGCGGCACCGTAGGCAACGGCCTCGTCGGGGTTGATCGACTTGTTCAGCTGGCGGCCGTCGAAGTGCTCCGAGACAAGCGACTGGATCTTCGGGATACGAGTGGAGCCACCAACAAGGACGATGTCGTCGACCTTGGCAGCGGGGATCTTCGAGTCCTTGAGGACCTTCTCAACGGGCTCGAGGGTAGACTTGAACGCAACGGCGTTGATCTCCTCGAAACGGGCACGGGTGATGTTCGACGAGAAGTCGACGCCCTGGTAAAGCGAGTCAACCTCGACGGTGGTCTGGGTGACCGACGAGAGGGTGCGCTTGGCACGCTCACAGGCCGAACGGAGACGGCGGAGAGCACGGGGGTCGTCCGAGATGTCAAGCTTGTTCTTGCGCTTGAACTCGGTCTTGAAGTGGTCAAGGAGGGTCTGGTCGAAGTCCTCGCCACCCAGGTGGGTGTCACCAGCGGTGGCCTTGACGGCGAAGACACCACCGGTGATCGAGAGGAGCGAGACATCGAAAGTACCACCACCAAGGTCGAAGATGAGAACGTTCTTCTCCTCCTTGGTCTTCTGGTCGAGGCCGTAGGCAATGGCAGCAGCAGTGGGCTCGTTGATGATACGGAGAACGTCAAGGCCGGCAATGGCACCAGCGTCCTTGGTAGCGAGACGCTGCGAGTCGTTGAAGTAGGCGGGGACACTGCGATGTCAGTATGACACGCTTGCCAAAAAAAACTGTGCGCAGGAGACTTACGTGATGACAGCCTTCTTAACGGTCTTGCCAATCTTGGCCTCGGCAATCTCCTTCATCTTGGTAAGGACCATGGCGGAGATCTCCTGGGGCGAGAAGGTCTTCTTCTCACCGAGGTACTCGACCTCGACGTAAGGGGAGCCGTCCTTGTCAATGACGGTGAAAGGCCAGTGCTAAATGGGTCAGCACTACAAAGGAAAGCGCGCCAATTCCCATGCATCCGCTGCTCACCTTCATGTCCTTCTTAACGTCCGAGTCGTCGAAGCGACGGCCGATGAGGCGCTTCGCGTCGAAGACGGTGTTGCGAGGGTTCATGGCGCTCTGGTTCTTGGCAGCTTTTCGGGCGTCAGCAAAAAAATCCTCGGAGAGCCGGGATCATCACGCACCGTCACCGATGAGACGCTCGCCCTCAGTGAAGGCGACATACGAGGGGGTGGTGCGGTTGCCCTGGTCTGCACGTTAGTGTATGCTCAGCGACCATCCCGCAAAGGATGGATGGAGTATTCACCGTTCGCGATGATCTGGAAGGAGTATTAGCACAGGTTCTCTGGCAGCCAAATTTGTCACTCACCTCAACGCGGTCGTTGGCCCAGACACCGACACAGGAGTAGGTGGTGCCGAGGTCTGAAGGCTGTCAGCGAGTGTCCTTCGTGCGCTCGCCGTCCTCCAGAGATACGGCCAAACTGGCTTGGGTCGCCAATGTGTGGTGACCTGGACTTACCGATACCGATGGCACCCTCGTAAACGTCGTCGGTGGACATGTTGGCTAGATTTTTTTGGTGGCTAGGTGTGAGCAACCTGTTTTGTACTCTCTTGAGAAGAGGAGTAGGATGAAGAACGAGACGAGAATGCTGAAGACTGACCTTAGTGACTGGCCTTTTGGAGAAGGATGAGAGAGGAGCAAATGCAATCGACCTGGGAGGAGGAGGAGCAGGACCGAGGGAGCTCCGTCCACCCGGGCCTAGTGCCTCTGGCCTCCTGCCTGTGTACAGCCTCCCCCTCCAATCCCCCAGCAAGCGCCGGGTCCACACGGCTCACCCGCCCATGACACTGAATCTCGAAAAAGTTGCAGCGGCGCAATCTACCTCCGTCCGGCGTTATCTCTGTGGCACTCTCCATTCTACAACCGGCCCATGCGACCCATTGCCCACTCTATCACCCTGACCAGAAGCCCTACTATGGCCCTTTACCCTTCCTTGCGAATTTCCGCAATCGCGTGGGTGACATGGTGGCGATGCGGCGCGCGGCGAGGCGGATGCACGGATGGCGTGCGGCGACATGCGCTATAAGCCCAGCTGCTGCATCAGGAGCTGGTTCTCCTGTATGTTGCGATGCCGCTCAAGGTCGTAGTCACTCTCTGGTGGTCAGCGTGAGTGGAGTGAACGGAATTTGCTCTCTCTCTTTGCTGCGCTCTCACCTGGGTTGCTCGAAGTCACTGGTTCAGACGCGCTTTCCTCGCTGTTGAACTCTGCGAGTGCACGCAATCCAGCGTCCCCGAACCAGGCAACAACGTTGTTTCGAGTGAACCAGTCCTCCATCTTGCGGCCCCTTTCTCGCCACTGCACTCGGTAATTGTATCCTTTACGTTTCCCCGTGCTCTTCCGCTTCGCCGCAAGGATTACTATCTCTGAGGGTGAGTCCCACGGAAAGATCGCGACACCCACCTGCTCGGCCGGATCCGTCAGAACTGCGCTGCCCGGAACTCTTCTTGGGTGCCTTCTTCTTCGACGAGTTGGGCTGTTTGGGTTTTGGTTTGACCTTATCCTCCAATGCGCGATGGAGGTGCTTGATGGCCAAGTTAACCAGTCGGGGATTGCAGTACTCCCTCATCTGCTCGACCGTCATCCACACTTTGGGATAGTAGGGTGACGGGGCAATGTACCTCGTTGCCATGCCAAATCTCACGAGGTACTCGTTGTTGGCGCGCACGTCGAGCACGGTGAACGGCGTTTCTGTCCGTGAGTCTACGTCGCTCTCGAGGTTTGATCACCTTTAACCTCATACTCTTTTATGGCCTGCGATGAGTTCACAAGGTTGGACCGCGGCTCCCAGGTGTCGAAGGAAGGGTCGTAACCCTCCCAACGCACAAGGTAGAAGTATTCTTCTATTCCCGTGGCAGTTTTGGCGGGATGCAGTGAGCGGCAAATGATGGCCTCGACATGGTACACGTCTTCAGCCGTGGCCGATATCTTGTAGGTCAGCGGCGGGCGATGAACGAATGCGGACGTACATACCGAAGTATGAACGCGCTCAGATTTGCGCCGATCGCTTGATGAGGATGATGCAGCCTTTGAGGGCATTGGGGAGCCGCTTTGGTCGTGGGCGTGTGGCGGACGGGAGTGTGTAGACCGTTGACAGATGACAGACACGGCGGCTATGAAGTTGACATGCGATGTGCTGTGGTAGTGGACGGAGGAGGTCAAGCGTGGAGACGGGTGTGGACTTTGTGTGATGGTGACGCGTATCTGATTGTCACCGATCACACGCGTCTCGACTTGGAGCCCCCTTCCTCCACTCCGGATATACCGGATGTACCTCAAACTTGACTTCCACAATCCGAAGCGCATATCCTAGCGATCTCCGTTTCTCACCCTCCTCCACCCACTTCATCTGTCCCTCATTCTCGTTCGCGTTCTGTCAACTTGTCCACCATTCTTGCGGCATGTATCTCTGACTTTCGGATCGCCTCGGGCGCCTCCAGAGCTCCGGATGCTGCTCTGACAGATTTGTCGCCGAACAAAATGACAGCTGCTATTAGTGCTGATCGAGTACAGCGCCCATCCCTCGCCCCATTTCTCGTGCCCGCGCGCACCAAGATTATCCGCTCATTTCGATGCTTCGACAGATTCACCTCACCTCCGCTATTGAACGTGCGATTGGCTTCGCCTCCGCAGTCGTTAGGGACAGAAGACCAGCATAGGATGATGGCAGTGCGAAGCGGGTATACGCCGTCGCCGATCGCCGTAATATGGCGCTTTGCTGATGGTCTGTGTTCTTCCGTGGTCGTATGATCGCGTTATGAGGGCATGTCCATCCGACTTGCAGGGTTAGTTGACAATTCACATTCGCACTCCTCGAAGCGCTCCAAGCATGCAAGCAGCGATCGGAGGGAAAATCAGCGCCGAGCGTCTTCGTCGGACTCCTCGACCCAGCTAGTCGCGCTCATGCGGCGCTTATAACGTGGGATCGATATGGAGGCGTGGATCAGCAGGCCGGGATTGGGTGCTTCCAAATTCACACGAGCTTCATGCCCCACGGTCCAGGCGCAACAAAGAGCGGCGACGATCGATCCGTCGTCGTCAACACCACCTCTTCAATACCGCCGTCAACGGGACCCAATTGACCGCTAGCCTGTACATTTCGCTCTCATCTTCTCTCAATTCTCATTCACAAACTTACCCTCGCGCTCGGTGTTGTGGTTTGGTCACTATGCCCAACGCTAGCACCCAGCCTTTCAGACAGCCCCAGCCCCGTGCCAAGTGCGTTTTCATTTCCTGCACGCGCTGGTGAGTCGTGGTATAGAACCTGAGCTTATGACTGCCGGGAGCGCAAGATCAAGTGCACTGGCGAGCGTCCCACCTGCGCCAATTGCGTGAAGAGGTCGTTTCACTGCCACTACGACGCTGTCGTGAAGCGACGCGGGCCAGATAAAGAGCCTGGAGGTGAAGAGCTGTTGCTCGTTTCGTGGCTAACATGGCAGGTCGCCTGAAGCCCCGCGGCGGTTTCGTAAGCCAAGCTCCACGGTCCATGGGGCTTAACCTAAGAGTACATCAAGCTCGGTAGGCTATGACCCGTGCATGACTTACCCTCAGCTCGGAAACGACAACTATGTTGAGAAGAGTATCACGGGTCGCATCGGTCGTGCCTCCTTCACTTCTCCGTGTCCCAGGCGATCTTGATCAGGAGCGGTTATCGTGGTGGGAGGCACTCTATGCCAACATGCCCCGCGACCGTGTTGTGCAGCTCTGCGACAATTTGTGAGAATGTTCTCCCCTTCTGCTCACGACAGCCTTAAAGACTGTGACATCTGGTTCAACTTCTTCCATCGTGGTCTTTTCTTCAAGTCGTTCTTCGCGCAAGACATGGGCGCTCATATCGTATATGGTGTCATGGCACATATGATGCTGTTACGAGAAGGTCATACCGAGGACGGCCGCAAGCGAGCACTTTCTTTCGCCACCGAGGCGCACAGGATGGTGACATACAGCTTGACAGCTGGCTACTACGAGCCAAGCCTCGCGCAGACTGCCCTACTCCTCGTAGCTTTCGAGTTCCAGCCACATGCGTGGCAGAACCCGTCACGCGTGGTTAGCGCCTTGGGGTTCATGGAGGGTTGTGCCAAGACATGTCTGCCCTACTGGTCCGCCCCGGCGACTGCGCATCTCACCCCCACGGCAGCTGCCATATGTGCCATCCGCCGTGAGGAGATGCGCCAAATGTGCTGGACGCTCTCGCACCTCGCCGCCAACTCCACGATTTGGCGACACCTTGCTCGTCAGCCTCCCCTCTGCTTGGCGTCGGCCGATCCAGCCAAAGTAAGTAGATCGTCGTCAAAAGCATGGAGCTGACGAACAGTTCGCGGAGCTCTTTCCGCCCAACCTATTTGACGCTGATCGCAAGGCGCCAAAACTTTACGGATGGTCGCTCTACTGCGCAGCCATTCGTCTCTGGTAGGACGAACTACAAATCATTGCTGAGCCAAGGCATACAGCACTCAATCATGTTCCAGGAGTACACCCCAGCATGTTCGTTTGCGAGCAGGCCAAGGAGCTGCTACCAGTGCTAGATTCAGCGCCGTGTTCCGGCTCGCGCAGGTACCTGTGGCAGGCGCGAGAGTGGGTGACTGCGGCACGCGGGCACGTTGGTGATCTAGACAATGAAAGCGTCCAGTATTGGTTCCATCAGCAGAAGGACGCGCTCAAGAACTTTGAGCCATCTCTTGGCAACGGCGACAGGAAGCCTCGCCCTACATACGCGTGGTGGTATCTCATGGTAGCATATACGTGAGTCTACACGAGGCAGCTCTAATCCCAGCTCGCTCCAGCTTTCCGCACAGTACGCGTTCGTTGCGGCTGAGGCGGAGGGCGTGCTCAACCGCGTCCTCACATCGCTAGACAACATCGTGGCGTCCTCAGGCTGTAACAGTGCGTGCAGTGCGATGGACAAGGCTGATGTAGACCTCAAGACCCTTTGCAATGCCGTCCGCGAACGCAACAATGCCCTCAAGACGCTCCGCGCGCCATAAGCGTCCCAACAATTGTCCATAGCCAAGAGTGATGCATCAGACCCGGTCATCGGCCCGGCTTGGCCGCGGCCAACTCCGGCCAAGTTTGCAATACGGAAATCAGGCGGATTAGCCGGGACAGCCGGTATAAGATGACGCTGGGCCCACTGTTGTACAACAACTATCCACCATGTCTGCTTACGGCTCCATCGCGACCCCCACTCCCAAGGAGCAGCTTACAGCGCGAAGCTACGCTATGCCCAACGGGCTGTGTGTGACGACACACCCCGTGCATGGGTCGGATACCGACTCGGCGATCATCGACTACTTCTGGAAGGTGTTCAACCAGGAGCTCGCCGGTGCGTTGCCAGAAACTGCGCCAGCAGCTGACAGCAGAGGGCAAGACGTACCCCCAAGAGGGGCCGCTGACGCGTGACGAATTTGCGGCCTACTTCTTTAACTCGGTGACGATTGTTGGCGTGCTCCACGAGAAAGAAGCCTCAGCAGCCCAGTTCCCAACCCTCAAGGAGGCAATGGGCGGGCGAAGCATCGAGGAGGCCATCGCGGGGTGCTACTACATGTAAGCTGGTGTGTACTTGTTGTTGTGACTGACAGCAGCAAGCCGAACTATCCCGGACGTTCAAGCCACGTGAGTCCGGGAGCAACCCTCCATATCTGGATACGACTGGAGGCTGGCTAGTATTGAGAGGCCTGACTGACGGGCAGAACTGCAACGCTGGGTTTCTTGTTCCCCCTGTGCAACGCGGAAAGAAGATTGGCGGCGCACTCGCAGAGAGCTTCCTGTACTATGCCCCGGCGTTAGGGTACCGCTCCTCTGTTTTCAACCTCGTGTTCGAGAGTGCGTCCTCCCCTGTAATATTGCTGATGACAGACAATGTCGCATCGCTGCGGTTGTGGGACAAGCTCGGCTTCCAGCGTGTCGGCCTCATCCCCAAGGCTGGGCGCCTGAGGACTGGGCCCAACGGAGCAGAGGAGTATGTGGACGCGGTGGTCGTCTACAAGAGCTTTGTGTAATGCACTAGATGGCGGTTTTGAGGGGTCCATCGCGCGCCTCAGGCACAAGCGCCTCGTGCTCGATTGGTACAAAGATGTTCTTCTGGTAGAAGCGGAGCTCGTTGATACTCGCCTGGATGTCGTCGAGGGCCCTAATGTCAGCAAAGGCAGGCTGCTTGAAGTCACCGATGCGAGGACTCAGTCTTCCGCGCCCGCTTCTCCTGCTTGATGAGAGTGGGGTACCATCGCCGGGCAATTTCCTGTTGTCAGCTACGTCAGACCTCCGCTCGCCTTGATAGAAGATACGTCCACGATGCGATATGACAAGTGTGCCATAACGGCAGGCATGCCGACGAGGAGGAACCTGCGTGAGCTCAAGAGTCAGAGAAGCTAACCTCATGTCAGCGTGCACGCTGCTTCCCGCCAAGAGGCCGGCGCCCTTCTCCGGTATCCACTTTTGGATGTAGGCGAGCACGTTGGCGGCCACCTCATCGTAGGTATGCGGAGAAGCGAGACAGGCAGCTGTGAGGCCTGACTTGCCGTGCTGCTCGGTGCACCACTCGCCCATGCTTCTATCAGCTCTTAAACTTTCAAAGCAGAGCGGACAACGCACGCATCTAACACATGCTTGGGCGTTTGGATCACCCAGCTGACGCCGTCATCGACCGGGTTGAGGCGCCCGTCTGTAATGATGACAGCGATCTCGATGATGCGATCACTCGCAACGTCGAGACCAGTCATCTCACAATCTACCTGCTGTCAACTTGGCAACAGCGCACTCACCCAGACCATGGGGCCGTCATCATATGTAAGTGGCATGATGATGTGATGAAGTGAGAGCTGGGTCGCAATGTTTTGGATTGGACCTCCACCAGCGGAGCTGAGTAGCTCCGACGTTTGTCGCGCTGACAGATCGAGCCTGCAAGCACATCCTCGATGGTCATTCGGAAGAGAGACTGTAATTAGGGCAAATGGTGTTCTTCATTCCCGTCGTAATGCAGATGACTTGCATATGCTCGTTGAGTCCAGCCACAGGTCACGGAAGGGACGAGGCTCGTGCCATTTCATGACCTTCAGACGCGACATTCTCACAGCATGCAAGCGTCCATGTAATCTATGTGAACTACTCTCGATCCCACTGATAGCTCAACACTAGGTTCTCTCGTCTTGGTTTCCCCAGATGCGCATTCAGCAGCACCGTGACGTCTGCCGGGTCTATCATCATGTCGTCCACGCTTTGACCGGCGGGGTCTACCACTATGGCTGCGTACGTCTGGTTGAGCATGCTTGTCTCCTCATAGTTGAGATATGACATGTGCGTGGTCGGTAAAAACCCAAGTACCATTGTGCCGGGGCCAGCGAAGCGGTGGTTTATGAGTGCGCCCCCATGTGGACCGATGACAGCCGAGACATTGCGCCACATATAGTTGATGAGGCCATCCAAGTCATGTTCGAACAGCGCGTGGATGTTGGACCAGTGTGCCAGTGTTTCGCCGCGATCTCGGACCTGGAGAAGGCTCTCTACTCCCGCGATCACGTCAGGCTCGTTCAGCACGTTACGCCCTGCATTCGCAGTGCTTCCATCGCTGCGGCTCATGTACAACACCTTTCATCAGCGGTGCTAAAGGGGGTGTCTCACGGTCGTCTTGCTGGCCGGTGGAGATGGCGGCACCTCCCGAATGAAGGGAAGCTGCAATAGCTCGAGTGCACGCCAGCTCAGGAAGGGATGGATAAGTACGGCCTTGCACGAGAACACGAGCGCGTCGAATGTCATTTGCGTCTCAGGCCGGTGCACCACATCACTATACCCAATGCGGTGCCAGAGTGCCTCCACTAGCTCATTGCCACGTTTCCCCGTGAGCGCGGTGGCGCTGGCGCGGGTAAGATGTGCGCTTTGCGCTATAACGTGCGCGGCACGGTCGAGCCAATGTTGGAATGACCACGAGTCAGGGGAGTTCACGACCAGCGCTGTCCCTCGCGTAGTATTTACCATCGGAGGGGCCGGGTCTAGCTTGAGATCACCAAGCCTTGCGTTTGGACCTGTGCATGCGTGGCCATTCCATGTATCGAGATAGCCCTCGGGCGTGTATACGACGTTGCTGACCACCTTGCGTTAACTTGTAGTCGATGTGGGACACACGAAGTTCTGCCCGTGTTGGCTTTTGTACACCACATAGCCGTCCCGGTATATCGCCCGATCGGCGATGGATCTCAGCCCTTCCTGCCAGCGCTCCGCGTGCTCTTCTTTTGCGAAGAGAGGAACCGGGAGGCCGAAGTCGGGGTACACTAGCTCTTCGCCGTATGTTTGGTCGGAGAACGGGGCACGGAGCGCCACACAGGGCGCGAACCATGCCGGCGTGAGGTGCGTGCAGTCGCGCACCACCATGGGAGCGAAAACACTGGAGGGTAAACTGGCGTGCGCGAGCGTGTCCTCCTCGAACGCAGAGGCGTATCGGGGATCCGGAGGCGGATTGAATGCGAAGCGAGGTGGCGGGGGCGGGGGCGAGGGCGGCAACGTTGGTGACGGCAGATCTGGCGAAGGGAGAGGCTCTGAGAGCCCATCTCGCATCAACGCGAGAAGACACCAGAGCATTGTGAGCGAGATACCGGCCAGGAGGAGTCTTCCCAGCATGCGCGGCCGCACAAAATAGTGAGGCAGGCGCCGACGCTCCGACTGGTAGGGCTCCTCACCGCTTTCAAGCTCAAGCTCGTAGAGCCTTCGGCTCATCGTTAGCACCAGAGTGTTGCGTTATGGGTCAGTTGCATCGTCAGGAAGCGTTCGAAGAGTAACGGCGACAAGTGCACAATAAAAAAAAGGCTGTGCTGAGAGGGTGCGCAACGCCACCTAGTCCCTGTACAGGCTGCGCGTTCAAGCCACCGGGCTCCGGTGGAAGGCATTGAAGTTGTGTAAGCACTCGGGTACGAAGAGCTGAGGGACTGGGCTAGCCTTCGGTATCGAGAAGATCATACACAGGACGTTTGAGAAACGATAAGTGAGTATCCACCGGGTCGCACCGCACCAAGTTGGTATCAGGGAACCAAGTCAATTGACACGCTGTAGTTAGGCCAATTGCAGCGCTTGTGAGCTATGTCGCTCAACCGCGCTATACCCTCTTCTGCGTACATCTTGTAAGAACAGTAAGAACACAAAGTGCATCCCAAATGGCCGACCGCCGTCATACGCTTTCGGATGATGGCCGCTTCCGCTAGCGACCCCCGGCACCACCGGCACCGCCTTGTCCACCCATAAACTGCTGCGCCATCTCGCGCAGCGAGGGGTCCGAGGCAAGTTGGTTGAGGTCTGGCATGCCGCCACCGTTCTGCATGTTCTCCGCCATCTGACGGATGTTAGGGTTTGACATGAGTCGCTCAAGGCCACCGTTCGACATCATCTGCTGCGCCCTGCCGTCAGCTGATGTTGGTTCATATCACCCACATTGCCATCATCTGAGGGTTGCGCATCATCTCGGCGAGGTCAGGCATACCGCCCCCCCCACCGCCACCCCCGAGCATGCTCGCCAAAGACGAAAGGTCGGGCATACCTCCGCCACTGCCAGCCCCAGCACCAGCTGAGCGGGTAGCGGGAGAGTCGGAGCGCTCTGGAACGCTCTCGCCAAGGCGGGCCTTTGCGGTCGCGAGGGAGCTCTTCATGTTGCTATTCGTTGGGTCGAGCTTGAGGCCCGTTTCATAGGCTTCGATGGCCTTCTTGTATTCACCCAGCGAGAACTGAGCATGGCCTAGGCGGGAGTATCCCTTGGTGAACTTAGGGTCAAGGTCAATGGCGCGCATCGCGTCCTCAGCAGCCAGCGAGTGCTGGTTGAGAGCGCCGTACGCGGCCGCCCGGTTGGAGTAGTACACCGGGTTTGGGCACAGCTTGATGGCGTCGGTGTACTGCTGGATGGCGTCTTCGTACTTCTTCTGAGACATCAGGGAGTTGCCCTTCGACTTGAGGGCATCAGCCTTAGCCCTGTCCTCGTCGCTCGGACCAGTAGCTGCTGGCGCCGCGGTGGTGGAAGCGCCGCCGGCCTTGCTCTTCGTCTTGGCCAGGACGTCGAGGAGTGAGAGCAGGGAGGCGGGTTTGATCGAGTACTGCGCAGCGTCCTCGTTCGACTCAGGATCAACTCCGAAGGCCGACGAGATAACATCGACTGTCCGTTAGCCAGCGAAAGACTGATGTGCTCACTAGCGACATCCACGCTCTCGGACTCGTCCTCCTTCACAGTGCCATCACGCTGAGAAGTGCGGAGGAACTCGATGCTAGAGTCAGCTGGTTAAGTGCACCACCTCTGCGAACATGTTGAAGGCCAGCTGCTTCTTGCGAGCGTCAGCCATGGTAGTGGATGTTTAGAGTAGGAGGTGACGAGAAGAGGAAAGATGGGGGAGGTGGCAATGTTGGCGCAACCGCGAATGTGGTGGAACATTGCCTCCCCTGACTTACGGCGTGGCCCCGACTTGTGGGCTCCGCCAGCCTCGTCGCGTCATGGCATTCGTGCCCGTGCCTGAACTTCATACGTCCTCCGGGCTGGCAACAACATGTTCATACAGCACGCCCACACTGTGCGGCGAGCGCGAAGCGATGCTTGCAACTCATTCTCTACAAACTACCTGGCTTTGCATTGTCATTTCAACCCCAACAGGAGAACGCCAGATGAACCGCATTGTTATAACCACTCCATGCCAACAACAGTGCCATCAGTTGTCCGCGATGGCCGACTCGTCACCCTCTTCGTGTGGGGGCATGCGCTCGCGGATGGGGCCGGTTTCGTTCTGATGTCAGTCGATTCTTTTCGACCACTGACAATGAGGTGGCGCATGATATCGCTCAAGCTGATGACGCCCACCAATTTGCCTGGCTGCGGGTCATTGGCTCCGGCTACGACGACCAGGCGATGAACGCGCCGAATCTTGATGAGCGAGAAGATGGCACCAAGCGAGTCATTGGGGTGGCATGTGACGACGCCGGGGAAGTCGTGGGAACGCTGCTTCAGAGCCTGGGCGATAGTGAAGTCGAGGGACTGGTACGCGCCTAGGCGCACAAGCGTCTAAATGTCAACTTCGTTGTTGATAAAGCTCACAATAACGTCGACAGTCTCGTAGAGATTCAAGACCTTACCCTCGTCATCGACGATGGGTACGGCACTAATCCCAAGCTCGGAAAACATATGCACCACGTCAAACACGGTGGTCTGCATTGTCGCCGTGGCGATTGGTCCGTACGGCCGCTCTGGTGTCACATCCTTGACGTACGATCCTATGCCGAGCTCCTGCACACCAGCGGTGAGGTATTGGGTGATGTCCCGACACTGGTCGTCAGCCTGTTTCTCAAGGAATCGCACGTTCATGGCAATGAACTTGAGGACACGGTACTGCGTTAACACGCTGATGACCACGTCTCCGTTGGTCTGCGAGTCTTCATCGATGAGCGGCAGGCGACGCGCATGCGTCTGGATCAGATATTTGCAAGCGTCAAACAGAGGGCGCAGCGGGTGGATGTAAAGGAGCGGCGGCGGAGGAACGTGCAGTTCTCGTTCGATGTCTACGCTGTCAGCAAGTGTCGTCGTAGGGGGTTTAGATTACCTCTGAGGCTTTGGAGCCGGAACTGCTCAACTTCAGCAGCGGCTCCTTCCCAGCTCGATGTGTGGTAATAGTACTGAATCAGATGTATGACGTCCTGAACCGTGAACATGCCGGCGAACTTGGCCGTTGCCGTGTTCCACAGGGGTGCAGAGACAACGCCTGGATGTCAGAACCATTGATCAGATGGCGCACCGTAGAGCAGCATGACATCTAGCGCTTTCTTGACCTTGAGCTGGCTGTCCAGCACGATAAGGCGGAAGGAAACGGGGAAGACGTCGTAGGAGGAGCGCTCCTTGAGGAAGGCGCGTAAGGCCTCCAACGCCTCCTGGTGAGAGAGGGGCTTGGAGGGCGCCACTGGTGGGTGCGTCGCTCGCGAGGGACGGCGCACTACGGATGCGCCGGCCGCGGACTGGGAAGAGCGCCGCCCAGTTCGTGATACTGAGGGCATCCGCGTCGGGCCATCGGCGCCTATTGAAGGGGTTGTGGAGGACGGCGTTGACATATTCGGGGGGGGGGGGGGGGGGGGCTGAGGTCGCGCTGACAGTGGTCTCAGAGGAGGATTACAACAACGTCTCCGAGACTTGTTGAGTGTGTCGAAGCCCTCGCGCTGAATGAGATGGGGCGAGATCGAGATGGATCGATGGAGGTGTTAAGATCGTTGAGCAACTGAGCAGAGCGGGGATAATGGTGTAATCAAGCGGGTCAAGTGGCAAGCGGCGAAGTGGTGTGTGTGTGCGTGCGTTCGAGTGGGTGATACGGACCCTCCTAACATCAGGGGCGATCGCATATCACACAGGCCAAGCAGCCTGCTCCATTCATGCTTATTCGGCCCCGCCATAACCCGATGATCTTATCATCGAAACCTCTCTATAAGTATGTATGCCAGAAACCCCAGACACAGTAGTCACCTATCGACCTCTTTCCTACTCTGCATACGGTGCAGACATCATTCTTCGTCACGCTCACCGCGGAACCTCTTCCCATCGTCCTCATCGCGGCGGTCATCCTCGCTTCGTGCGCGCTTCGAGCGCTCCCCTGCTTCGCCGGACGGCACATCGGCGCCAGCTCGACCGAGGCCGCCGATGGCTGCGTATGTATCGAATTGTACCTGCTGGCGCAGACGGTCCTGTTCCTGCTGCCGGCGCTCCAGTTCGAGGCGCTGGTGACCCCATCCTCCTCGCCCGCTATCGTATTCCTGACGGAACTCGTCGCGTACCTGCCCTCCGCTCTTGCCACGCCCGAACTGCCGACCCTCTTTGTAGCCGGGATCGAGATCGCAGCGAATGATTCGCTCATCGAGCTTTGTGCCGGAGATGTAGCGTAGGCAGTTCACAGCCTCCGAGTGCAGATAATATTCCACGAACGCGAAGCCGCAGGGAGTCCTATTCAATGTTAGTCCTGTCAGCGGATTCGGCGTACTTATTGTGGCGATCAAGACCCATAATCACACTAGTATTAGACATTGCTGAACTGGTGCTCACCGTTTGATCCCGCCACCTTCGGCGGGCTTCGCGCATGTTGAGAAGACTACCGTTAATTGCGCCTCGGAGCGACTGTCTACACTGACGTTCGTAAATTTGTGCCTCAGTGGTGTAGAAGCTGAGATTACCAACATAGAGAGTGGTTGACTCTGCCAGGAGGCGCCGTTCGGTCTCGCGGTCGTGCTGAGTGCGATTAGGTCTGCACATTGAGTCATCGGAGTCGTCTCACCTCGGACTGGCTGTCCTTGTAGCTTGAGGGTAGATCCAGCGGCGCGACGACGTGCGACATCCTTGGTAATCAGGCCCTTCAGACCTAGGGGGCAGGGGCTAGCGGCCTATAGGGCTATAGGGAAAGCGGAAGTGCGCGGTGCTGAAGTTACTTCAATTGCAAGAAGTGGAGGAAGGTTGTGAGATCAACACTGGGGATTCCATCGCAGCCGTGGGAGACCTCCACTTGTAGTGCGACCGTGGGAGACTTCATGGGACGTGTCTTGAACGCGTCATTACTCTAGTCATCCACCGATCGATATATCTCTCCTTCTTCACTACTGCCAGCTCACTGTCAATTCCTACCCCAGCCAGCACCATGTCCGGAAACGATCAAGAGCTCTCGGAAGCTGAGAAGGTTGGTCACTAAGTCATCGCGGAGCGAGCGGAACTCAACGTATAGATGCGCTTGAAGCGGCTCGCTCGTCTGGGCGGCCCAGCACCAGCTGTGCCCCCACCTTCTGCAAGCTCATCCGTTTCCCCCGCCAACCAGGTGCAAGGTGCGGGTGCTTCGTCGTCTGCATCCCGCCTTCTCTCCTCTTCGAACTTGAATGAGGGAGCGCCGCCTCGTAGTGCATCACCGGCTTCCTCCCCACGTACACCCCCGCAGCCGCCCAGAGCACAACCCAAGCCCGCGCACCAAAGGCCCGCAATTCCTGTCCCTAAGAAGTCCTCGCCTGCCATCTCACGTACGGCCACTCCGTCGAGTCGCTTTACTGCACCTTCACCTGCGGCACTATTGGCACCGTCGATGCCATACTCGCAGTGGGAGTCGCACACAGTTGCAAGCGTCTTCTCCGTTACACTGAAGGTGGGTGCTAGTATTACCACCGGGAGATCTTAGCTGACGGCAAGAAAGCTACGGCCGAGAAGAGCGACTGGAAGCTTTGCTGGCTCAAGAGCTTGGCACAAGAGATTGCTGAGGAAAGCCCAGGTTCGTTTCTCCGTGGTCCGCGACGCTTATGGCCAGGAGATGCTAGCAAACTAACGGCGTCGCTTGATGTTCGCGACAGGCTGCTGATAGCGCGTCTGTCCTTGGACCCTAACGACATGGCTACTTCGTGGGTACAATGCTATTCCTGCATCTGACATCAGTGATGACCCAGACCAACTCCAAGTTTTAGCTGGCTTGCCTCAGAACGAGACCGTTTTCGAATACCTCACCGGATGCTGGAAACGTCTGTATGCTGCCAACCGTGAGATGTTGCGTTTCAGCTACAGTGCAGCGGAGAAGGCACAGTGGGCCTACGCCTTCGACGAGCTCAAGCGGTTGATCATCTCGTACGCGGGAATGACTCTCGAGGACCCCAGCATGTTCCCCCAACCCGCAGCGTGAGCCTGCCTCGCTGATCCCAGCTAACCTACAGCCGCCGTGATGTGGGTCCCGCTGAGTTTCTTCCGCTGCTGCTAGGCGTAGGCGACAGCGAGGATTCCAACCCCGGGGACCCGTACACGTCGTCTACTGCCGAGAGGCTCGTCATCCATCAAGGCGCCCTCCAGCCAAGCGATCTCCTGCCTTTTCTCAATGATCTTGTTGCTGGATTTCCAGACGGCAGCTTTGCCGACGTTATCACGCCTACGCTGAGTCTGTTCTTCCAGAAATGGTTTCAGATTTCACCTCAGCCGGACCTCTTGGGCAATGACTGGCGCAAGTATATAGGTGCCATGAGCACCTTGGTACAGGTCAAGGGCATTGCGGCGCTCGTAAGCAACCTCCATGTGTTCTTGCTCATGCTTTAGCTCCCTTCATTGCCTGTGTGGGTCGCTCCGAATGTACAAGGCAGCACACTCGAGTGGAAGTCTTTGCTTGGCCCTCTTACCCGCTTGAGCGTCTTCCCTCGTGAATTCGTGAGTCTTGCTCCTCCATACTATGTGGTACACAGCTTACACAAGCCTGAAATTTGGAAGACATACTTCTCAAACCCCACAGATCGCAAGGTCGCCGACATCGATGCAAACAAGGCTAACCTCCGCCACACTCTCGGAGGGCTTCAGGTAGGCCAGACTCATGTACCCGGCTGATGCTCAGACATCTTTGTTCAACATATACAACGCTATTGTGCGGGCTTCTCCAGAGGCTCGCGAGGGGGTGCTTAATTACTTCACCCTAGTCTGCAAAGTCAACCAGAAGCGTGCTGGCATGAGGGTTAGAGCTGTCTCGGAGCCTTTGCTAACGTCAGGTCGACTACAGGACCGTTTCTACAGACGGATTCATGATCAATGTCCATGCCGTCCTTCTCAAGCTGTTTGAACCTGTCATGGACGTTCAGTACTCCAAGATTGACAAGGTTGATACCGACTACTATATTCACAGCGATCGCCTTGACATCTCTGACGAGACCAAGATCCGTGCGACTAAGGAGGAGGCCGAGCGATATTTCGATGGCGCCATGAAGACCGACACGAAGGCCAACTTCATCTCAGACCTCTTCTACCTTCTGAATAGCATTTTCCATCTGGGTCTGTGCAAGACTATTGACACGCGCTCCAAGGCGGAGAAGAACATCCAGCAGATGGAGGACGAACTGAAGAAGCTCGAGGCTCAGCAGGCCGCGGTGGTAACCGTGAGTGAGCTTCATTGCTGGAGTAACCGCAGAACCCAACGGCTCGGGCTCAGGGTGAGGCGGGCATCACGAAGCTCAAAGTGAGTGGTGGCGGACGAAATGAACTAACCCGCAGGCGGACATTGCTACACTGCACGCCTCTATCCATGCCTATGACACGCAACTCCTAGACCCTGCTTTCACTCGGCTGAATGTGACGTTCTGCGGCTTCGTCATGACGTGGATGTTGCGTCTCGTTGACCCCAAGCATCAACATCCTCAGACATCCATCTCGTGAGAAGAAGGCGCACAACTGTCATTGACCATCAGTTTGCCACTGCCGGCGGAGGCGCCGATACAGTTCAAGATGCTGCCCGAGTTCATTTTGGAGAACATTGTGGAATATTACCTCTTCCTGTCTCGGTTCGTCGGCCATATACAAGCCTTGCTGACCTACAGCTACAACCCTGACGCGCTTGATAAGGCGGACAAGGACATTCTCATTGCATTTGCCCTCACATTCGTGTCGCCCACCTACGTGAATAACCCCTTCCTCAAGGCGAAGTTGATCAACGTACGTCCTCCGTTACGATAGCTGCTGATTGCAGGCTCTCGCCAACGGTCTGTACCCAGTGGGATACTGGCGTCGCGGTCCTCTGTTTGACCAACTAAGCGTTCTCCCGCTGTCTACCGAGCATCTCATGCCGACCCTTATTCGCTTTTTCATCGGTGAAGTCTGCATATTATGAGTACTAACGCTCCAACAGATGTCGAAATGACTGGAGGGCACACCCAGTTTTGGGACAAGTTCAGCTTCCGGTGCGTGGATGTTCATCGGCGAAGCTGACTGTCAGCCGCGACATAAGCCGCATCATCAAGAGTATGTGGTCTAACCCTCTGCACCGTGAAGCGTTTGTTAAGTCGGCTCGGTAAGCTGGAAGCCGGGTTTTAGCTGATCTATCAGGGACGATGAGGATCAGTTCATTCGCTTCGTCAACATGTTGATGAGTGACACGACGTTCCACCTTGAGGAGTCCTTGACCCAGTTGGCCAAGATCCACTCCCTCCGTGCTCGGAAGGAAGATGCTGAGAGCTGGAACGCGCTGCCAGAAAATGAACGTAACGACCTCGACAGCCAGCTTAGACAGTCAGAAAGTAGTGCTCCTTTCCACACAGCGATGGGGCGCGACCACGCGGAGCTGATGCGCGACTTCACCGCGACAACTAAAGAGCCCTTCCTGGTGGGCGAAATTGTCGACCGTTTAGCTGCAGTAAGTTGTCGCTGCAGGAGTGGCGGAAGAGAACGCTAACAAGCACAGTCTTTGGACGAAAATCTCACCAACCTGGTGGGCCCGAAGATGCAGGAACTCAAGCTAGTTGACCCGGAGCGTTTCTCCTTCAAACCGAAGCAACTGCTGGCCGCTATCGCGCAAATTTACCTCAATTTGGGGGATTCGCGTCCTTTTATCAACGCGGTCGCCATCGACGGACGCAGCTACTCGAGAGAGTTGTTTGAGCGATTTGCTCGCGTACTGAAGAATCGCGCGATTATGACGGATGGAGAGGTGGCCGGCATTGTGGCCTTCACACAGCGAGTTGAGGACGCCAAGGCCACCATCGAGGCCGAGGAGGAGCGTGAAATTCCCGACGAGTTCCTCGGTGAGTTATCTTTTTTGTCGATGTTAGCTGACAATGCAGACCCTCTCATGGCTACGCGTACGTTAATTTGGGGTGTTGTGTGAGAACCTGTCGTGCTAACCTCCAGTCATGAAGGACCCGGTAATCCTTCCTGTGTCCCGCGTCACTGTCGATCGCAGCACCATTCGAGCATCGTTGCTGTCCAAGGAGTTGGATCCATTCAACAATCTCCCGTGGGTGGTACCGAAATTTTTCGGCACGGATAAGCTGACTCACCAGCCTCAAATACGAGGATGTTGTTCCTAATACGGAGCTCAAAGCCCAGATCGACGCATGGCTGGCCGAGGCCAAGGTCGCTCCACCGGCGGAAGTCATGGATGTTGACGAGCTGTAGTCGGATTCTGAGGGTCACTCGTAACCGACTGGCAGCATCGCATCGCCCTGGTAGACGTCTGGGGGCTTGATAGGGTTGCTCAGTTCTGTCGGATAACAGTGGTACATATTGACACTTGGAACGTAGCACACATGATGTGAGCTCCGTCGCAAGTCTTGTTCACCACCGGAAGCGGAAGCTGTGCAGGAATGTACGTACGTGCACTTGCAATGTTGAGCGGTGGGAGTGGTGGCGGTATGATCGGTATTGGTACCGACCTTGAAGCTAGACCCAGTCTTATTACGTGCATTCGCGAGGACAGATACAGAACACAGAACGCCAGGGCGTCGTGTGCATGTCCACCGAAGGTCAGGAACCGCAGCGTACTTGGTGCCCTGTGATCCGTTTGGGCCTGGTCCGGACTCTCGGGAGGGATAAGAACGGCAGGGTGGGAGATGGGTGAGAGAGTCAGGCAGGGCTGTTTGGGTGAAACTGGACGGCATGGGCTTGTGCGGAGGGTGCGAGGTGTGTGCTCCTGGGACGGGGGTGGCGTGAGCGGGGGGGGGGGGGGGCTTAGAGAGAGCGCCCAGGGTGGCACAGGGTGAAGCGGGGGATGCGGAACGGGAAATGGGAGTGTCTCGGCCTTGGTGCCCTTGGCATCAATGAGTCGGTGGATCGGTGGAAGGGGCAAGGGCGCGGCGCCGGCACCTCGGGTCGACCGGATCGAACCCCCGTTTAGCCTCCCGCGTGCCCGCAACTGTGAATATCCTTTTGCCTTCGTCGTACTCTGGCCCCTGCCCTTCTCTTGCCTCCTCGGTCCTCTTGGCTTCAACCATCCACTCATGCCTCTCAGCTCTCCGGCTCATCCGCGCCATCCGGCACATCTTGCCTGTCATGCCGCCACCGAAGCCCCCGACAGGTAAAATGTGTACCTGGCCCATGGTCCAGATGCGAGATGGCTCACAGCTGACAGCATGTCATGCGGGGCTGCGGCTACGACGCGCTCCATTTGCGCCCTTAGCTTGCAGGAACATGACAGGAACTCGAGTGGCTTAACCTCCGAGCCGAGAATATGGGGTATATGGTGATCAAGCTGCGAGCCGTGACCGCTGTGAGCCGCAAGCCGTAAATTGGACGGCATCACTCCTGCATCACTCCTGCGTCTTCGTGATGCTCGAGTTACTCAAAGTATCAAAGGATCAAAGGGGCCATGAAAGTCTGAAAGGCCTAAAGGGCAGAGGCACAGCAAGGCAAAGGCAGAAGCGCTGATCACCGCTTGGACTCTTTGGCCGTTTTATCATTCCCCCCTTTGACATCCTTACCGGTTCGACTGTCCCTCATCGTCTCTCGTACTCCCGTACTCTCGTACTCTCTGATTCAGCGCATGGATCTTGAGCCCCCCCCTTGCATCGGCCGCTCGTTCCCCACCTCGTCATCCTCCGCACCCGTGCACCGCCGCAGCACCAAGCAACCCGAGGCCCGAAGCTCGCAACCGACTTTTGTCCTCTTCTCAATCTCTCTCTCTTGTCACTCTCTTGTCACTCTCGTCTCCGGCCGTCCGGCTTCCCATCCATCCGACATTTCTTTCTTGCCGTGCCGGGTCCTAGCTGGAGCTTATTGTCACCCCGCCCCGTCCTTGTTCCCTGTTCATCATCTCTCACAGCCTATCCCGCTGCCCCCCCCCCCGCCCGGCCACATTGAAACTGCAACTCGCGACCCGCCATCTCCTTTGCTCCATCGCCCACTTCGTGTCCATCCTTTGCGTCTTCACCTTCTCTGGCCGCTCGGCCATGGGGTCCCTCCTCTCACTCTCTATATCTTGAACACTATCGTCTGGCGCCATGCGCGCCCTCTCGGTCTTGACGCTTGCCGTCGTCGCGGCCGCGCGCGCGTTGGCCGTACACCCCAATCGCATGCACCATGGGCATCCATTACTCGAAAGGCAGGCGGCGAGCGCAGCGCCAACAGACATCGCTTTGGCAACACCTTCGGCCTCGTCTGTCATTGTCGGCGCCTCGGCGATTATCGCGACCTCGTCTCGCGCTCCCGCTCCCTCTGTCCTCCCGAAACCACCGTCATCTTCACCTCCTGCTGCGCCAAATCCCGTCCCAACACCGCTCGATACATCTATCTCTAGCTCGCTCTCGGGCGAGTGCATGTCGTATCTCACCAATCTCCTTTCCAACTCGACCTTCCTTTCATGCCTCCCGTTCTCCCTCCTCCTTCAGACGTCAAATTCATTTCGCAGCCAGCTCAATGCCGCAGTAGGCTCGGGCAACTTTTCCTACATAAACGATCTCATCGCATACGCCTCGTCTCCCGCACCTGACGCGGAAACATGTGACCGAGTTTTCGCAGGCTATGCGGAGGCCGTCAAGGAGCGTGCTCACTGCGGCAACGACCTCAACAACGGCATACCGGTCGCACGACAGGCAAGGCGGGGCCTCGGCAACTATGCCGCCGTCCGCACTGCTGTTGGCCTGGTCAACCCTGACTCTGGGTCGTACTGCTACCTGGAGGCGGTCGCTACTGAGCGTCCTGACGATGCGTATTTGTGGCAGCTGCCGATGGGCAACATGTAAGTTTCAACTATGGAGACTGAGCTGACATCAGCCTTCCAGCTGCATCGACACCCACATGCTCCAAGTGCTCAGCACTCGTGATGAACCACTGGGCAACGTGGTCCGCAAATACAACAACACTCAATGGAACAATGATTAACAGTGCCGCCTCTACAATCAACGCCAAGTGCGGCGCCACCTTTGTCTCCGTCGCGGCGCAAGCAGAAAATGCCAGTGCGACTCAACCGCGCTTCGCAGTGTTGCCTGCACTCGCTGTTCTTGCTCCTCTCTTTACTTGGGTCCTCTCATAGATAGAATTCGGATTTTTCTCTTTTCGTATGTCACCAGGGTGTAATCGTCATAGTCAAAGTGTGCTCTATATCCATCTGCATCGCCATGTCTATTCTAAGCTGGCAAGCTGGGTAACGGTCCAGTTGGGCGGGAAGTCGACCTGGATGACTTCGCCCGAGTCGGCCGGCGGGTTGTACTGCTTGTACTTGCCGGGGATGAGGTCCATGAGTTGCCTCTTCGTGTCGAGACTGATCATGGCACCGAGCACGTCGGCGATCGCGAGCGTCGCATTAAGCCCATACACCATGGTGGCGGCGTAGAAGAAGTTGGCGTTGCCCGCGCCTGTGAGCAGCCAAAGAGTGTGCAACAATGGTAACAGAATCGCTGTGTAGAGGTGCACCGTAAGGGAGAAAAGAGGATGGTTGAGATCTGGTGTCAGGTCACAGCATCACTGCAATTCTAAGCATACTGGAGACGTAGTCGGGGTAGCAGCTGAGGAGGCCGGCCCAGAGCGCCATGTCCCCGAGGGTGGGGTAGCTCTTCCACGTCGCCATGGCTCCGACGAGGATGAGGACTGCCTGCCTTGGATCAGGGAGGCGGAGGCACAACGGCGCGATGTAGATGAGCATGTGGAGCTGGAACACGCCGCGGAAGAATGTGCGGAAATGGTCAAACATCTCCGTGAAGAAGTACCACCACATGCCGACGTTCGGGGTGAGGTCGCTGGCCGAGAGGCTGGCGTCAGCGGCGAGCTGGGCGAGCTGGGGACGGTCTCACATGACACCCCACGTACGCGCCACCCAGGACGGGGTGCACGCCGCGGTCGCGAGGCCGGCGAGGACGCCGAGTGTGCCGGCGTATACGAGGGCGTAGGACAGCAGTTTCGACGTGGGTGCCCCAAGCTGCTTCAGCACCAGGAGGAGAGGGGGGAGCAGGATGACGGGATACAGCGACGTCTGTGTCGCGAGGGCCAGGGCGGCCATCGCCCCCCCGCCCCTGCCCATGTAGGTGCTGGCGATGGCATACAGGACCATGGCATTGTCGAGGGACGTTGTGGATCGTGCGAGGCACGACAACAGCGTGTATGGATTGAAGAGATACCTGTTGTCAGCGGCTCGGCAGGCATAGAGCTCACAGAAGAGCAACGATATGGTCGCGGCCAGACCACTTGGAGGCAGCGGGCTGACGCGTGCGCCAGATCTGCACAAGCGTAACTGCTCCGATTGCGTCCACAAGCGTCCACAGCCCGGCGCTCAGGAGGGCCGATTCGATTGGCACTGCGTATGCGAAGAAGAGTAGATACAGCGGTGACTGAGTCAGCTTCGTCAAGGAGCGCGTACATGAAAGAAAACCCCGCCAGCGTACGGGTCATATGTGTGCTTGTACAGAAAGGTGCCTTCACGCACTGCCATTAGCAACGCCATGGCGTCACTCACAGCTCCGCACACTCGTGATAGGGGATGTGAGCTCTGGCCGGCGCTCAAGCATGCCTGGGAGGGGGCTTGCGAACAACGCAAGACGAGCAAGCACGCCACCAGCCAGCACAGCCGCTATACGATAATGTGCTGGCACCAGAGGGGCAGCACGAGTAGCGGTGCTCATGTTGAAGGTATGGTCAATCCATGAGGATGCTCGTGGCTTCATCAGCGACCTGAGTGTATGTATGACCACGTGGTGAAAGTGGAGGTTTACATCTAAATATCAAAAGCAGTCTTCTTCAACACCAAACGTCTCACCCACGCGCCACTGATGCAAGTCGTCGTACTCTATACATGCGTGCGTTTTGGTTCCAGAGCGCTATCCATGGATCGAGCTGCTACTCATTTCCCCGTTTGACATGCGGAAAGACAAGCCACGAAAGCCATGTAGAGAAGTCTACCAGGTATGTAGTGAGGGGGAGGTTGCACGGTAATCATTAAGAAGGTACACGCAGGTCGATGCTCGAAATTGTGCCGTCCATGCAATGCGCTATGCGAGTATGGTTGCTATGTTGGGAGGGATGCTTGGGGTCAACGTCCAGGGCTCCGCATGGCCCGCTCGTGGGCACTTAGGCCGATGCCTCCTCGTCGAGCTGGGCAAAAGCCTTCTCCAGCTTCATTTTAGGAGTGAGGGTTGGAGTCCCGTAGATGTCAACCTTCTCCAAGAGAGCATCGATGTCCTCCTGGCTGAGAGAGATAGTGCGCATGAGGAGCGCGATAGACTTGTACGCCTGGGGGAAGTCGACGGCTTCGTCGTCAAGGGAGGCCATCCGATGAGCGATGCTGTAATATCAGTACAGGTGCGTGGGAATCAACTCACCCCTTGGATAAATCGTCAGCGGACACGACCTCCGCCTTGAGGGCCGCAGCCCAGCCCTTGGCCACGACCTCAGCATCGCGATACTTGGCGATGCGGAAGACGTCGTCGGTAAGGTTCTCCGACAGGAGGTGCTGGTGCTCCGTTGGGAGTGCACGGTAGTACTCGACGATGTCTTCAACGCTTCGTGTCCCGCCAACGTCTTTCTCGCCCCAGAGCTCCTTGAGATCGGTAGCGATTTTGGTCTTGGCGTCCTCCTCACTCATGGCCGGCTTGACCTCGACAGTCTCATCCTCAGGCCCCTCCTCCTCGCCGCTCTGCTCGCCCTCGCCATCGCTTTCACCCTCGCCAGGAATTGGCTTGGTTCGCGGCTTCAGCTGTAACTTCTTGCGCTGGGGAGCAGGTTCAGCATGCTCTGCTGCCGTTGGATCCGCTTCGTTAAGCATTGCAAACATATTGGCGGATGAGTTTTGACGCGAGAGAGGAGGCGTGTTGCCAGCACCGCCCTTCTTGCCGCGAGCAAAGACACTTGAGGGCCCGAAAGTGGGGCCACTGGAGAGGTTGCTGCTCACGCCCCGACCGATATTGGAAAAGTCAACAGGGCGCTGCTGCATCGGCCGCGAAGTAGCCGAAACAGACTGCCACTCGCCTGGCTGCGGGCCCGGGCCTTCGCGGCGACTGTGGCCTGAGCGCGACCCTCCCCGCGACATGGACTCGCGCACCTGCTGCGCAGCCTGGGCCTTCTCCGCATTCTCACGGGCGGCCTGCTGGTGAATCTGTGCGATGGTGGTGGGAACAACTTCCTTGCGAGAGCGCCATTTGTTCTTGCGGAGGTCCACAATGTCCTACACGTCAGTAAAGGGGAAAGACGTTGCGCTCACCATAATCATGAAACGGATACGAGATGAAAGAGAGTCGAGCTTCGTGAGAATCTCGAGGCGTTCGAACACGACGTCCATCGAAGGCGGGGCGACGGCCTCGAACTGCTTCCCGACGGTGGTGAGCAGCTTGCAAGTGGACTCGAGGTCCTCTTCGTCGGGATTGTCGACATTGCTAAGGAGTCGGATCAGGCATTCCCGGATAACACCCTTGGAGAGCATGTCCAGCTTGTACAGCTCACCGATGAGCTGGACGAGACCGAGGCCACGACGTTTGGCCTTCTGCAGAGCATAATATTCCTCGCTCATCATCGGGGCCTCACTTGCGCCATCCTCCTTTGTCTCCTCAGCCTTGGCGAGACGTTCCTTGTCCTCGTCACTCTTGGCGACGGCGGCAAGGGCGGCTTCCTCGCGGGCCTTCCAGCCCGACTCAAAGTCGGACTGACAACGGCCCAGGAGGTACTTGCGGAAGAGACTACCACCTGTATACGGCTTGCCGTCGATAACCTCGGTGACGGATGGGTCGAGCTTGTCGAGAAGCTTGCGGCACAGCTTCGCATACATGGCCGACCAGTGCGCCTCATCAGTCGACTTCTCGAAAACGAGCTTGATGACAAGCTTCAGCGTCATGCCGTCCGTTTCATCACGCGATTTGTTCGCCCACTCAAGAATCTGCTCCGAGATAGATTCGAACTTTTCCTCGGTGAGCTTGTTGAGGAGAGCCTTCACCTTGCGCTCGATGAAGGCAGGTGACTTATCGTCAGAGCCCGCCGAACGAGCGTTGACCCAAGCGTTCTCCGACACGACGAGGGGGGTAACATCAGGGTCGTTTGCAGGGTGGCGGGAGTCATGGGCAGCCCGCGGGCGGCCACGGTTGCTTTCACGCAGGCGGCCACGACCCGATGACGAGTGGGTCAAGTGAGGAAGGCCGGACATGGGAGGGAGGTTGTTGCCCTGGCTGGCAGTACGGCTCGGACGACCTCCGCTGCCCTGCATAGCGCCACGAGGGTAGCGATCGTCCGGGGTACGGTAATTGTTGTTGCTTGTGGCGAATGACCCCATCTGGAAGCCGCGGCTCGAAGCGAGAGTGGTCATTGAACGACCGGTGGATGGGCGGGCCGCACGACGAGTCGAGCCAAAGCCGCTGGACGAGTCGGCCTCGAGCCCAATCTCCTCCAATGGGGGAAGGGAGTCCGGTTTATCCTTGCAGATGGTCTGGAACTGCATCAAGAAATCGCGCTCGTAGCGGAACTTGCCGGGGTCGCCGTTCGCGTTGAGCTCAGCGCTCTGTGGCTTGACAGAGGAAGGGTAAGTGATTGCACCGAGATCGTCAATAGCCTTGGCCGTCGAGAGGGCCGACGGGCCTGATGAAGGAGTCTTCGTCGTGGACGCAGCTGGCTTGGAATCAAGCGACGAAGTGGGGCGCCGAGGCGTAGTGCCACCGATGGCCGCGACCGGCTTTGCCGGCAATCCGGCAGCCGCAAGAGCTGGGGATGCCAGCGGCGAGGGCGCAGCTGACTGCGTCGTCGGTGTAAGGACCGAGCGGCGCAGTTCGTCCTGCTTCTCGTTGACAGGTGTCGCGGTGGTGGCCGGCTCCTCAGCGACGTCAGTAGACTTGGGGGTTGCGGAGCGCTCGGCTTTAGTAGCCTCAGCAGCCTGCATGTTAGCACATAATTTGAGGCGTGGCGTACCTCAATCATCTCCTTTGTCGTCGCCTCGGCCTCTTCCTTAGCCTTTGCCTCGGCTGCTTCTTTGGCCTTTGCGACCTCGGCCTGGATTCTGGCCTTCGTCTCCTCGTCGGCCTTTGACTTGGCCTCGGCCTTCTCAGCCTCAGCCTTAGCCTTAGACTCGGCTTCCTCCTTTGCGCGACGCTCCTGGCGCTCCTTCCGCTCGGCCTCTTCGCGCTTCTCCTGCTCCTTCATCTTGGCAATGCGGGCCTCCTCCTCGAGACGCTGGCGCTTTTGCTCCTCCGACTCGAGGCGAACAACAACGGGGAGACCTGGGACCTTCTTCTGTGGCTTGGGCGCTTCCTCAGTACTTTGCTCGGGCGTAGCGACACCGCTAGTTGTCGAAGGGGTGGGTCCCTTGGCAGCAGCAGCCTCCTCCGCAAGATTGACGGTGGTGCCATCAGGGCGTGAGATCTTGATGGTAGATTTTGGTGCGCGCGGCGTAAATGTTGCCGCACCAGCCGACAGTGCAGCGGAGGCTTGGGCACTCGCTGAGCTAGGAGTGGACGGGGTAAAAGGAGCGGATGGCTGCAGAGGACGAGAAGGAGTACTCGGCATGGGTGAGCCAGACTGGTGACCGCCAACGAGGCTCTGAGGCCGACTCGGAGGCGTAGGGAGGGGGCTCCCACCGCCACTGGGAGGCAGAGTGGCGCTAGGAGGGACAGGTGAGGCAAGCTGCGCCTGCCCCTGGCGGGGCGACAATGGCATATTGGGCGCATGCTGAGGAGCTCCCTGCCAGCCGTAACCCTCACTGCCATAAGGGTTATACTGGGATGAGTCCCCCGCCCCGTACGGGCGACCTACGTAGTAGCCACCGCCGGGCTGGCCGTACATCATGTATCCTGAAGTGCCAGGAGGCAGACCGTACGGGACCTGGCCCATAGGAGGACGGCCCATCATAGGACCATTGGGGCGGACGGCGGGGTTCCCAGCCATCTGAGGCTGCGATGGACGATAGCCAGGCTGCCCAACCTGCTGGGAAGCATACTGAGGTTGAGGAGCGCCGCCCATAACAGGCGAGCGCTGGCCCCCGGGCATGCCAGGCATCGAACGCAAGTGGGGCTGATTGGGCATGCCAGGCATCTGCTGGTAAGGCGGCATGCCGTTGGGGCCCGGGAACGATCCGCCCGACTGGCGGCGGTCCTGTGGACCGCTGGCAGGTACTTGCGAGGGCGACAGGGGCGTGCCCGGGTTGGAGCTATGCTGGGGTTTGCCGACAAAGAACGAGTGGATGTTGTGGGGGTCCAACTGCTTCTTCTGCGTCGGCGTAGCCGGGTTGCCACCGCTGGTGCGACGCGGGGGACGAATCATAGACGCGCCCGCAGCAGTCGTCTCAGCATCCAGAGATCCAAACGACTTGACCGCGTCAGCGAGGTGGCCACCAGTGGTGGACGGAGCAGCTGGCGAGGACGAAAGCAGCGGGTTGGGCGAGTCAACGGTGCCAAAGGCGAGGTTGCCTGTAAAGTCAGTGGCTGGAGCGGTGCAAAATAAGGGGTGGGTGGGACTTACCACGAGGCATCACATCACCGTTGCCACCGACCATAAGGCTGCCCTTCCTCGTGTTGCCACCGCCAATCGCAACGGGGATGGAGCCGGTGGGCTCATTGGCGCTCGCTCCGTTGGGCGGCGGAGGAGGAGTTGAAGCAGTGGAATTCACGTTGGAAGAAGGGTTGGACGCCGCGGCAGGGGGACCGCGGGACCAGGCAGACGCGTTGGGAGCGGGGGACTGGGCTAGTGGCTTGTTTGGGGTCGAGGCCTTGCTCATTTGCGTGTCTGGTCTCGTGAACGGAGATGTTCGTGGGCGACGTTTGCGAGAGGAGGAATGACGATGGGAGGATGTCGTGCGCGAGGGATAGACAAAGCGGCGCTCGTGAAGATAGAGCGTCAATTGTCCTGGGAACGACAACGGCGACGGTGGATGATGTCAATGGCTCGAACGAGAGGGAGATCGAACCAACAATCGATGGAAGTTTGAAGGATGATGATATCTACCACAGATCCTTGTCGAGAGATTGAAGAAGGATGTTTGCCAGCAGGGAGCCCTACGAGATCACGAGAGTCGCGAGGGGTGGGGGATGGGGGCAAACTTTTTCGGTAGATGATGTAGCGAGGTCGGATGGATCGACCTGGGGAACCCTCTAGATGAGGAGGGCGAGGGAGGTCTCTGTGCGTTGGACGCTTTTGAGAGGAGAGGAGATGAAGAGAAGAGAAAGAGGATGGAGAGATAGGCCGGACACACCAAGTAGTGGTCAGTGTCCTTGCGATGGATGGAAGCAACCTCTGCATTGTCGGTCGTGTCTTCCCCTTCACCCCCCGAGTTCCCCCAGTTCCCCCGTCCCTCTTGCCTGCGCCCCCTCGCGCATCTGCGCTCGCCTCTCACCGTACGCCACCGTTGAGCGTTCTCCTACTGAAAAACCCTCCCGACCAATGGCCTTTCGTCATATCCTGTTCCTGGCTCTTTTCGCCAAAGGACCCGCCAGGCCAGCCCAGCCTCACATTCATGACACACACACACCACGCCGTTTGAAGCACCATAGAGTACGGTTCTTTCAAATGCATCCACATTGTGTCTCTGCGCTTCAATGAGTACTATCAATACAGAAAGGCTAGTCACAGAGACGCAGAAAGCATTTAACATCGTGCTTAGTAGGCCTGACGCCGGAGGCCAAAGTCTAAGAACGACAGGCTGGAGCGTAAAGTGTCAAAGCTTCAAAGCTTCATTCGAGACAGCAAAAATTGCCACTTGAGCACGTGGGAAACTAGTACGTAATGGTATCATCTCTCAATTGTTGCCGTTGAGCCGCCAGCGGTCAGTGCCGACAGGCCGACATGCCGACAGGATACTCTGTCCCAAAAGTCGGCACGTAACTCGAATTAACGCCGCAACACAACAGCTACAGCCACAGCAACAGCAAGTCAACACCGCCTTGACATTATTCAACAGCGTCTAGTAAAGCGGTGGGCGTTGTAGAGAGTGAATCTCAGGCCATCCCCGTTTCATCAAACGTCTGTCATCATGGGTGTACCTGATCCAACCCGCATTCTTTCTATTCAGTCTCATGTCGTGTCTGGCTACGTAGGTAAGTCACTATATGACCCAGCAGTCACCGAGAAGCAGTTTGAGACGGGTATACGCCTACGCCTGCTTGTGCACCTAGCTGATCGCTGCTAGGCAACCGAGCGGCCACCTTCCCGCTCCAAATGCTCGGATACGATGTGGACGTCATCAACACCGTCCAATTCTCAAATCACACCGGTTATGGCTACACCAACGGCTGCAAGACCACCGCCGATGAGCTGACCGCCATCTTTGAGGGGCTGAGGACCAATGGGCTTGCAGACTACTCACGAGTCCTCACTGGATATATTCCCGGAGCGGATGCGCTGGGTGTAGTCGGCAACGAGATGCGGCGCTTGATGGAGTCGAAAGGGGTAGTTTATCTCCTGGACCGTAAGAAACGCCGCCCTCATCCTCTAGTCTAACGCTGCAGCTGTGATGGGTGACATCGGGAAGGGGCTGTATGTCAGCTCAGACGTCATACCTGTGTACAAGGATTTGCTCAAGATCGCCACAATTATCACACCAAACCAATTCGAGGCTGAGTGAGAGAGCGTTGTGAATCGACTGACCCTACAGACTCCTCTCTGACGTCAAAATCACGACGATGTCCACACTGTGTGACGCTCTTACTGCCCTTCATACAACCTACGGCGTGAAGCACGTCGCCCTGTCCTCCATTCCTCTTCCCGTCTCTCTGGTGTCGACACTGGGCGTTCCTCCGCCTCCAACATCGTATACGCGCCTGCTTCCCGAAAGCCACCCACCATGGTACGACGCCGTGGGCGTTGCAGAAGGGAACGAAGAGGTCCTTGTGTGCTTCTCGAGCACATGCACTAACGGCGAGTTGGAAACGTACGCTTTCGCCCTCCCCACCATCCGCGGATACTTCAGTGGCGTAGGCGATCTCTTCTCAGCCTTAGTGTTAGGCCACTACCTCCGGCCTGATAACGTGTCTTCCGATCTTCCACTTCCTCCGCTGGCTTTCGCTGTCTCGCGTGCTCTCCTCACTGTCCAGCAGATCCTCCTCAGAACGCACATGTTTTCCTTGAATGTTGCCGGGTCTGGCACTGCGACTCCAAAACCGTTGCGGGAGGGCACTCCTCCTGCGGACTCGATCATCCCTTCCGACACGGAGCTGGATAACGCCCCTCCACTCAATCCGTCTGACCCAAAGCGTAGAGCGCGGCGTATGCGGGTGCGAGAAATGCGCGTGGTACAGGAGCGCGCGTTGATAGCCGATGGGGGAGAGGGCTGGCCTTGTGTCAGAGTAGATTGGGAGACTGCCAAGTTGAGGTCTGCCCATACATCCATAAGTGAAACTTAGAGACACAACCCTTTGATGAGAGATGGCGAGATAGCATTTCAACTCTACTCAGAGCGCTCCTCATCGAGCCAGTCCAGAAACTGCGGAGTAAAGTAGGAGAGAATGATCGAGGCGCCTGCTCGAACGAATGATTCGCACGTCTCGAAGGCCATAGCCTTGAGGTCGTACACGCCCTTCTCGGCACCCGCAACGACCATGGCATATTCCCCGGAAACCTGGTACACGGCCGTAGGATGGTCAGGCTCGAGCTGGGCGCAGTCTGACACGATGTCCAGGTACGGGAGGGTAGGCTTAACCATCAGGATGTCGGCACCTTCCGCAGCGTCTCGCTTCTGCATGGTTAGGCAACTTCAATCTGCGGACCTCACGATTGCACGACGTGCCAAGCCACGAGCGTTAGGAGGAAGTTGGTAGCACTTGCGGTTACCCATGGACGGGGCGCTGCCCGCCGCCTCACTGGTAATCAGCCTTCGCTCTCCATCTCCGCGACGCACCGGAACGGGCCGTAGAGGCTGCTTGCAAACTTGGCCGAGTAGCTCATGAGGGTGACACGGTTCCCGTAGTCGTTCTGCATAAGAGCAATCTTGATCGCCCTGATACGGCCGTCCATCATGTCGCTTGGGGCAACGCAGTGGGCACCGGCCTTCGCGTACGCAAGCGCGACCTCAGCGATACGCTGCTGAGACGCCTCGGCATCGAGTGTTGGCATGCTGGTATGATTCGGAGGAGGGAGCGTGGAGAAGATGCCGCAGTGACCGTGCGATGTGTATTCGCAGAGACAGACGTCGCAGGCAAGATAAAGTTGCGGGAACTTCGCCGATAGAAGCTGAAGGGCCTTGATGACGGGAGTCTCTGGGTCGTCGGCGGGCGATCCACGTTCATCCTGCCGTGAGACAAGCGTTGCACTCAGCTCACCTTCTTCATTTCCATGGGGACACCGAAAAGGATGACGCTCTTGAGACCCTTCCGAACAAGAGGGCCAATGAAGCCTTCGAGCTTGTTGATACCCCAGCGCTTCTGGCCTGGAAGGGACTCGATCACCTGCTCAGCCTCCGGGTCGTCAGAAATAAAGATTGGGTACATGAACATCTCCTTAATGAGATTGCGACCATTGTTCTGCCACTTGCGCGCCAGAGGATGGTGGTAGCCGCCGTGGAGGACAGAGCTACAAGTTAGCCCACATACGATGCCGCTCTCCCTCATGAGTGCTTACGAGACCTCGAGAGGAGGAGCCTGGAACTGGGTCATTAGCTGAAGGAAGCGTCTCCGAGAAGGACCGTTACGTACTTGGGTAGACATGTTTGTGTCCAGCAACGAGAGGGGTTGAACAGCAGCTTCGTCTTCACCTCTACCTTCCATGGTGACGAATGGTCGAACCCACGCCGGACACTGCCGGGGACCACGTGGCCGATCTGGCCCCGGCAGATCTCCGCATCATCACGACCCTTGCACATAGCTCGTCTCTCCTCATGATTCTATTGTCTCACATACATCTTACACGCCGAGATGAGCGCAAGAGCAACTGCACAGCAGGCCCGCCCGGACAATCATGGGTCGCGCACCATAACCATCACTCCGACGACCGACACTGAGGCTGGGCCTTCAACTGGCTCGCCACCCACTAGCCGCTCCGAGACACCCTCGTCCGTCGGCGTGCTCCGTCTTCGCGGAGCTCCGGCTCGTCGACAGCATGTTATGTGGACATCGGACACGGTCGATAACGAAGGCCTGGGCAAGAAGAAGTCAAAGAGTCAGCAGTTCATGGTATTCTATGCCTAACATCAGTCTGCTGCATCTATCACAAACCGCGAGCGTATGATGAATCCTCATCCGAATCCGACTCGTGTGACTCAGACCACGACGCATGCTGCGACGACTCACAACCCCCGGGGGGCAGCCAACAGAGATCGTCACAGCCCGGCAATGGCAAGGTTTACGAGCAAGGCTCGGAATCAGAGAGCGATGGCGGAGGTGGAGATGGCCGCGCAAGGTCAGTTGCTCCGCACTCTTCACCGCTGACATAGCAGGCCCGCGCGCAAGCTGAGGCGAAAGCCACACCAGCACCATGACTCCAAGGCCAATAAGTATGACTCGCATCCCAAGGCGCCGAAGCAGAGCCGGGCTTAGCCACAATGTCGCAGATCTGAGCAGGGCCGTCCTTCTGTCTGTGATGCCACGGGGAACTCATATAAGACGACGTGATATATGTACGATGCAGTGAGTCGGCTGCCCGGGGTGCGTATCGTTCAAAGCCATTCGCTCCAGTTCTTGGCGAGATCGATCAGTCTTTATCTGGTATATGTGTCCATTGCGACAGCGGTGACGTGGTTGACTTCTATAGCATGCAGTCTACGAAACAATCACAGTCTGCTGTTCCTCGTACACCCCAGTGGCAAGGCATTCAAGCGCCAGCTCAAACCACTGAGATTGGCGTTGGGTGAGGGAGCGTCCGCGGAGTCGGGCTGCCATTGCTGAAGCGAGCTGATCACGCAAATACTTAAGCGCAAGAGCTGACTTCGGGTCGACCTGAAAGCGTAGCTTGCGATCGATTTGCATGGAAGCAGCGGAGAGCTGGCGCTGTCAGCTGTGTCCGGAGGGGAAGGCTCACTTTTGTCTCTACATTGTCGCCGCAAAGGAGCGCCAGTGCCCGGTCGTCCACTGGTCCTGTCTCCCACGCATACAGCTTCTTGGATTGCATGAGCGTGTAATAGACAAGGTTGTTGGTCCCAAACTCGCTCTTTGGTAGCCCGAAATTGATGGAGCTAGGATGCTGAGTGTCAGCGATGCTGCCGGTAGGCGTGCACCCACGATTGATACTGGCTGCTGGTTCGAGATGGTGCGCAGGCTGCCAGAAGCCTCAATGGTCAAGATCTTAGGGTAGAGACCGGACGTAAGAGCCGCGCCCAGTATGCGTTCGTCAGCGGAGTTCTTGTTGAGGTGTGGAGGTACGTCGACGAAGCGGGTCTTGAAGCCTCGAGAGTATCGGGCGCTCACTGTTAGCTCAGGCAGCATTCACCAAACTCACCGTGCTATTTCTCGCTTTTGTTCCAGGGTTGCCTCGACGAAGCCTGAGTCGATAAGGTAGGCCAAAAGCTGCTGGCGAAGCTCCTCAATCTGCTGCAAGGTCTGATGAGAGACGTAGTTCCGCTTGCAAAAGGTCCGAACAAAAGAGGGATTGTCGTGGGCGCGACGCCAAGTGTCAAACACCTTGACGATTGTAAGGAAGTCGCTGTTACCCTCGGAGAAGCTCCTCTTCGCCGCCGTAGCCTGGCTTTCAAACCCAAACGGCGTGATGAAAGGGCTTTTGGAGTTGAGAGTTGCCGCAATAGTGAGCGCTGGATCGAGGCATTTGAAGAGGGCGGCTAGCAAGAGGAACTTGCCAAGGTGAACATCCATCGGCAGCTTGCTCAAGAGTCGGCCCATGGGGGTGATTGCCTCATCTACAGTGAGAGCCTTCACCTCGACTAATGCTGATACGGCGCGCTGGATATTGGCGGTGGACGGCGGGTCGAGGGCCTTGAGAAGAACCTCCTCAACAGTGTTGCCCATCTTGACCTTCAGAATCTTAATACGGAGAGCAAGGTCCTGGAGCGAGAGGCGCAGCATCTCGGGAATAGGATGCTCCGCCAATTGGTTGTCGTGTCGCGCTTTAGTGAACAGATGAAAGGCCAGTCCTTCCTGGACGCGACCGGCGCGCCCGCGCCGCTGTTTTGCGTTGCTGCGCGCAATATGGGTCTCGACTAGACGTGAGAGCTGGCGCTTCTCATCATAGCTGGTGTTACTAATGGCAGGAAGACGGGTGTACCTACCGCATCTCGCGTTGCTTGCCGCTGTCAATGACACACGTAATATCAGGGATGGTAACACCAGTCTCAGCGATGTTGGTCGCTTGAAGTAAGCCATGATCAACAAAACCACTCACAGATGACGATCTTGCGCACACCCGTTGGCGGGATATCAAACACTGAGCTCTGTCCTTCAGAACTGATTGAGGAATGCAGAGGATGTATGACAAAGTCTTTTGTCCCAAAGTGCGGATGGTTTTGCAGCTCCTCGTGTAGTTTTCGGATTTCTGCCAATCCGGGCATAAAGACGAGAGTGGCGGCCGAGAACATCTGAAGGTGGGTCTCCTCAAAGCAAACTCGCTCCAAAAGTCGGATTATGAGATCATAGGGAATCTTGCGCGAGTCAAGGAGATTGACCGTGGAGACTGTGCGAGACGAGTACTTCGAGGCCGAAAGTTTCATCGGGTCCGCCGGCTTCTCGTCGTCATTGTCCTCTTCAGCATCCTCGGCGGTCTCGGCCACCTCTTCCGACCATTCCAGTTTTTTTGCCCCGGCCTTGCGGTTGCGGTCCCATACAGCGTAGGGTGACGTTTCGTCGATTTGCCACCCCGTCAGCTCAACGGCGTCTTCAAGGAACTGGACCTGGACCGGAAAAGTACGGCCTGGCACTTGCATCGCTGGGCACCCGCCGAAGAAGCCGGAAATCTTCTCGGCGTCCACCGTTGCCGACATCAGAATTACCTTCAAATCTTTCCGTACCTCGAGCAACTGTTTCAGGACGATGAGAAGAAAGTCTGACTCGATGGAGCGCTCGTGTACCTCATCAACGACAATGTGTGTGACCTCGTCGAACGAACTCCCTCCCCCTTCCAGCATGCGGAGTGCAATGCCATTCGTGACAAAGGCAAGACGAGTGTTGAGAGACATCTTCGCCTCAAGCCGAATGGAGTAGCCGACTAGGGATGACGCGTTGCCCATTGCACCGTGAGGCTCGCCCAATTCGGTCGACACACGTTGTGCTAGGGAGATAGCGCTGATCCTTCGCGGCTCCGTGACGAAGATCTTGCACGGCTTTCCCTTCGATAGCTGATCCTCCAAAATGAAGGCTGGAAGCTGTGTTGACTTGCCGCACCCTGTTTCGCCTGAGAACACAAGGACTTGTGTGCTGTCCAGTGTTTCGAGAATTTGTTCGCGGAACGGCGCAATGGGGAGCAGGTCTCGCGCCTGCCGCATCTTTCGATATTCAGGAGAGGCGGTCCGTTTCTCATACATGTTCTGAAGCCTGTCGACAAAAACCGGCGTGGATGGGCGAGGCGGACTGCCAACAGCCGAAGTCGAAAGAGGTGTGCGTTTCGCATTAGTAGCGCTTGAGGTAGCCGTCTTCAGCTCAATCTTCTGGTCGACCAGTAGCTTGATGTTTTTCCAAGTCTGGCGCTTCGTGGCCATCCTCTTCTCTGCCAGGGTCCGCTCCAGCTCGTCCCATAGATCTCGATAAGCCGGGGGCATTGATCGCCAGTTCACAGGTGGTAGGCTGCCTACAGCGACCAAATCGTGGAGGGCAACAGTCGAGATATAGTTATCCGCCTCCTCGACGCTTTCGCATGCAATATCGTCCATTCTCCAGGCCCGTCGCTGCTCAGCGGACCACCGGATCTCCAAGCCAGAGCGGGCAACGCGTGGGTTTGGGGAGAGCCTGACATAAGACACCACAGCCTGGCGAGCGGTCTTCGAGAGCGCAGAGCGCAGTAGCCCCTTTGCAGTGTTGCCGGCGAAAGTGAACTGCTTAGGAACCGGCATTGAGCGCACTTTGATGAGGGAGTTGACGTCTTCTTTGATACCTGCCGGGTCCTCAGGCTCGTCTAGCATATTTCCGAAGAGGCCACCGCTTTCCTCGTCGTCTGAAACTAAGGAGTCAGGAACCGAAGCGATTGGAGGTGTTTCGGCGGGTGAGGCTGCATCGCCGAGTTTCCCGGCGTTTTGAAGCCTTACGGCAAGCCGTTCCATATCCCGCTTCGTACGCATGGTTTTCAACAAGACGTCTACAATTCAGCTCACTCCTTTGACTTAAACGCTCACCAGCATCTTTCTTGCTGAACATGTACTCCTTCTCGAGCCTGTTGATTTTGTTTTTGATCTTGACAGTCTCCGGGGTCTCCATCACCACGAGATTCTTGGACTTTTTGCCCCTGGCTTTCCCAGGCCCCGCAGCAGCCTTGTGCGCCTCAAGCTCCAGCATGAGCTGGGCCCAAGTCTCGTTGGTCTTGTTCATATTCAACTCATCCTCCGATTCGGATGATGACTCTAAACCGCTGTCCTCCAAGCTCTGGAACAATGACCCGGGCTCCGCAGGTAGAGAAGTTGGCTCAACTCGAACAGTCGGAACCGGAGGATCATTGCTCGATGTTGTATTTGAGCTGAGAGAAAGCTTATCTTGCGTCACGTCAATGAGTGGGTCGTCTCCGATGGAGATGCAGGCTTCGGCCTTCGTGAACTCGCCAACTCCATGGCACTCGTCGTCGCTTAGGTGGAGCCACATCTGGGGAGAGGTCAGATGGAGAGGACGACATAGACTCACCCATTCTTCGGCCTCGGCCCAGCCTTGTCCGTCACCCAGCCCTCGGAGTATGCACTCCTCGATCCGACGCTCTGAGAAGCCCATCCATGAGAGAACTTCAGATGCCACGTAGGTCCGCAGCAAGATTTTATCCCCATCGCTGGTGTTGGCAGAGGGAGACAAAGATTTGGAGCCCGCATCCTCTCCTCCGAGGTCCTCTCGGGCGTACTGCAATGCTTGATCGCGGACGTGGTCGTTAATGCGCAGAGGTGGAAACGACGCTGCCCACCGTTTCTCCTGCTCAAGAGACTGCCGATAAGCATCGCGCACGGAATCATAAAACGAACCTTAACAATTCGCGAGACCTCCTTATCGGCCTTCTCTTGCAGCCGGTCCACAAGGGCTTGATAGATGCCATCCTCAATGGCCTGTTCGCTCTCCCAGTCATCACCCGTTTCAGTAGACGTTGTGGCCGCTGCGAGCTGCTGGGAGCCGTCATTGCCGCCAGACTTGCTTGATTCATGCTCTGAAGGCTGGGAGGCCTCATTTACTTCTGCCGGCTGCTGATCGACATCTGTGGTGATCTTCTGTCCTTTGGCCTTCTTGGACTGGACTGAGGTGGTCGCAAAGCCACGGTTGAGCGCTTGGGGGTCAGTCAAGCAGCCTCGAGTGATTAAGAGTGACTCACGCTTGAGCGAAAGCTTCTTTTTGCCCATGCTTACGGGTGGGCCAAGAAGTATTGTCAAGCTCGACGTGGACTCCAAAGGAGTGAAAGATATAGACGAGATGAGAGGTCGAGGGACTAAATTCAGTGAGAGCTCGATGTCGTGTCTCCGGATGAGATTAGAGTGTGGGGTCTCCGCACGTGCCTGACGTGAATTGATCCGTCAGCAGGTGCAAAGAGATGCTTGATTAGCGCGATTACAAACCTGCTTCATCTCCACCCACTCACTCGCTCACTACGTTTCGTCACCTCACCATCCATCTGCGCCCCCGACAGCTCTGAGTCTGCCTGTCCAGTCAGAGCAGAGGGTGTCTGTTTCTTGCTTTATCACGTTGGCAACATCCGTCTCTCAAATTATGCCCTGTTGATCCAATACGACAGTCGCGTTTCCCCCATCCACCTTATTGCCACCCAGTCCTTCGACCTGCGCGTCATCGTGAACATGCCCAAGCGCAAGTCTGATGAAGCGGGTGGCACCGCCACCCCTTCACTTTCCTCCTTGGACGCTGCCTTGGATCTTTTAGCGTGCGAAATGTTCGGACGGCTCGAGTCTCTCACTTCGAAGTTTGAGGCGGCTGCGGGCGTCAAACTCAACGAGGGAGAAGTCATGCGCCGGTGGGAGGAGGCCTCCAAGCGATATTTGGTCATGAAGAGCATGGACGAGCTCACCTGCAGCGCTAAGTCTGCGCTAGACGGGAGTATGGTACTGGATGAAGGGGCTGATGCAGAGCGCAGTGGGGGTAAGTTCTGGTTGAGCAACGAGTCGCTGATGCTGTAGACTCCGCTCTCTACGCACGACCTTTGCCTACCTCGCATCACCCTGGAGCTGTGAGGACGTTCGAGCTTGATGGCGAAGAAGAACTTCACTGGCGTCGCTGGAGCCCCCGAGTCAACGATGTGGTTCTGGCAGAGCTGCAGGATGGCGCCGTGTGGCCTGCAAAGGTAATGACAATTTCAGAAGTTGCAGTTGCAGCTGACCGACTAGATTATTGATAAGAAAGTTTTCTTCCAAGGACGCAGCTCCATTCCTAGGGGGAACAACTTTTATCCCATCCGGGTCTACGCAGAGGACATAGCACCGTGAGTACCATTCACGTGGAATACAATTCCTCGCAGCCGACATGACTGACTTCAGGACGATGACAGTAAAGTCGCGCATGATACCCCTCCAGCTGCGCTCCTCGCCGCCTCTTTTGGCTTCAACAGAGCTAATCAATGCCTACAACCATGCGCTCAACCCAACCACTTTCGATGCCGTGGCCGCAAATCAGGAGCAGGCTGCTGCATATGCTCGCACTCATCCAGGAGCTGGCGATATGTCCTCGGATGCTAAGATCGCCGCGGAAAAGGACAGCTGGAAGAAGTTCGTCAACTGGCTCATGAATGAGCGGCGAGTCGAGAAGTTGCGGAATCTCAGCGAAGAGCGAGACAAACGTCTTCGGGAAGTGGCCAAGACCTTGCAGAACGGGGCGCTGGAAGAATGCGCCGAGGAAGTCGAGGAGGACCGCGCGTCCAGGAAGCGTCGCGTTTCGGTATCACTGCCGCCTTTTTCTTACTCAAACACAAAAACGGTGCATAAGGTCGACAGCGAATCGAATCAGCGTGGCGGAATCTTTCGCATTGCTGAATTGAATGGTTCTCCGTCTTCGGGTCACGGCGCGTCGAACAGCTCGAGGAGTATAACTCCTATGTCATCATACATCCGTCCGGCCTTGTCCGTCCCCCTCCGCCCCAACTCGCCTCGTCGAGCGGATCGCCGTCGAAACAACGCGCTAGCAGGACTCGGCGAGTTCAGCCCACGTCGCGGTTCGACCTACACCCCGCCACGCGTCCTACCCTCTGGCGACGAGACCGCGCCGTTCTCACCCAGTCCCGCTCCAACTCTTAAGAGCTTTGACTTCTGCAGTCCGCTTGCCCTCAAGTACGAGCTCGCGGATGATGACGTGGTTATGGCCGCTAAAGTTGGAAGCAAGGGTTCCAGTCTAGAGGCAGTGAAGGAGGAAGATGGGGAAGAGGGAGAATGGAGTCTGGTGTCGCGAGCAAAGCGGAATACTCGTTCCAGACGAGCGGGTTCTGAGCCATGCGAAAAGGCCGAAGCGGTCGTTCCCCGACCTACTGGGATGGGGTCTGACGACATAGCTTTGTAGAGGCGTCCGTACCACCAGTAGTTGTAAGCGTAATCATGTCTCTCGCGCCGATCTTGTGCTGTGCACACTCTGCCTCCGCGCCGCGCCTCCACCAGACCCCTGTCGATCCACGTGGCGCATTCATTCGCCACCCAACATGGGCAACTTCGTGGCCGTCATCGCTTTTCCTTCCACTTCTTCTTACCTCGCGATTACCTCGCATCTACAACACACTTTGGGCGACATGTTCTCAAACTTAGGCCTTTTTTCCCAGCAAACCTGCCCGGACTTGGATTGTAATCGTCCAAGCTGCCTTTTCAGGCACTCAACGGCTCGAACGGCGCGATCCAGTATTGATCAGCTGAAGGAAACAAAGTCGAGATGTCGTATGGTGTCAACAACTGCTGCAGCCCCGCAAGTTGATGTGGCGGTCTCCACGAAGCGCACAGCCACCAAACCCCTTGAGCATCCTGTCCAGAAGAAGTCCTCTTCAGCAGCGTTGCTTCCCCAGCCAGCGAGCTCGTCGCCAGCGGTGAGCCCGCCCACTGCTCGTATCGCTCATCTAGATCACCTCCCTGTCATCAACATCAGCGCCATCTGGGCCTCCCGCACTCCCATACACGAAGCTTTCCCCTCAACCCCTCGCTGATCGGCAGAAGGCTCGTAAGTCCACTTGTCGGAGTCTAAGTTGACCACGTCAGTCGGCACACTCTACGCTCAATTTGAGAAGCTCGTGCGCCCTCCATGACGTTTGTACACTTATGGCAGTACTCACGCGTCTTAGACCAGCATCCCAAGCTTGCTCAGGAGTCTGCCCTCAATCAAGAGGATGAGACATCCCGCAACACCCGCAGCATAAAGGCTTACAAAATGGCCATTCATCAAGCTGCTGTTTCCATTTCCCGCCGAGCCCCGCCGGATCGTGTTCCGCACATCTCCATTGGCACCGTGAAACAGTGTCGCGCAGCGGCAGAGGCAGCAGAGATTGCCAAAGCGAGCAAATTGACGACTCAGCGTGTTGATAACCTTTGCCACGACATTGAGACTCTGGTGCAGTGGGGCTACCCGGATTACAACAACGAAGAGCTCCTGGCTCCTCCAGTCATCATATCAAGTATAACGGAGAGACAAGTGTGCGACAGGTGTAAGAAGGATTTCGACCCAAACGTCGAGTACGAGTTAGGGGACTGCACATTTCACTACGGTCGACCTCGCCCAGAGCGAAGAGAAGGCCGCCGCGTATGGCTCTACTCGTGCTGCGGTAAGGAGCGCGGTGCGCCCGGGTGTGAGGATGGCATTCACGTCTTCTCATTCAAGGAAGACGACGCAAAACTCGCGGCCCTAGAACCCTATCGAACGACGCAGCAAGTACACAGTCAGAACGACATTCTGGCGTCCGGTGCATTTGAGATCGTGGGCATGGACTGTGAGATGATCTGTGAGTCATTGAAGGTCATGTTTGACTTCAAGACACCACCGGAGGCTCCTCACTTGCTCGCGTTACGATTGTAGATGAGGATGGAGCAACAGTCTTCGACGAGCTTGTGCGCCAGCGGCACAGAGTTCTGTGAGCTGAGAGGTCTTGCTGATGCTAACTTGTGCAGAGATTGTAACACTCGCTTTTCTGGCGTCGTCAAAGAAGATTTGGAGCGTGCCGCCATGGACCTCGAAGCTGTTCGCAAGGCCGTCTGTTCCTTTGTAGGCCCAAAGACAATCGTCGTTGGACATGGGTAAGCCTTAACTTCACAGTACAGCTAGCTCATTTGCAGGCTGGAGAACGACCTTCGTGCTCTTCGTCTTCTTCACGATCGTGTCATTGACACCGCCATCGTAATGAATGCAGATAGGCCGCTGCTGACGTCCAGCTTTACCCCCACCCTAATGGGCGTCCGTATCGTCGAGCTCTGCGCGACCTGTGAGTACACTGTTGTCGAACTTGTATAGCTTACCACAGGGTGAAAGAGCACTTAGGCTATTTCATCCAGGAAAACTCCGTCGGTGGACACAGCTCGGCGGAGGATGCCCGTGCTACGATCGAGGTGTTGAAGTCGAGGGTTCGTAATTCATGAACGAGCATTGTAGTGTAACTTGGCATGTGTGCGGTAGCGAGTAAATGATTTTGAACCCAGGCGTCACGATCAGGGAAAATTTGTGGCGGAGTCGTCGAGCGTGCAGACCAGGTGCATTTGATCACGACGCAGGAAGGCGTCGAACACATCGGTGGAGATGCATGTTCCTTGTCAAATTCTTCGCTAACTCCCTGAGCCGCCATTGCTCAAGCTTTAAAAGTAGTGAAAACTTGTGCGTTGGCAGAGGATGCCTGTTGATGGCCGTGAAGGATTTCGAAGACAACAGTATCAAATGAATTGGATCATCGGTTGTTCCATCTGCAAGTGCACGCACCCCTGTCCAAAGACACCCTCGCGTGCAGCAAGCACAAACCAGAGGGCATCCTGTCCCTTCGGAGAACGATCCTCTGCATTGCAAGCTGTTGAGGCGCGGTCGCACTTGTGGGGGCTCGACATGCTTCACCATCTTTTGATGTTGAAGTAACTTGATGGTGAAGTAACAGCGTGCATAGGTCGCAATGTAAACATAATTTGAATCGCGAATCTGTATGCACTGGTGTCGGAGAGACGAAATGAGCCCGGACAACCCACATTCACTCAATAAACCGACAACCGACCCAGTCCCAAGGTATGAGATACATTCTGACTACACTTGGGAGAACATATGCCTCACTCGAAACGTGGATGGGATCTCGATCAAAATCACGTTTCCCTATTCAACTTGACCCTCATCGATCGATATGGTCTAAAAGTTGCCCATCAGGCAAACTGTCAACCTGTAAGGAGCATTATCCAAACAGACGTCAAGAGGCGTCTGATGATGTTCAAGGCGTCTCGAGAACAACACCTCTAAGTCTACAGGATTTGAAATGAATACCACCACCAAAATGTCTACAATAACAATCTGCCTATAAGTACTGCAATAAAGCGAATGCATATTGAACGATTGCTTTGAGAATGCTTTGGAGGACCACGGTGTGCGCCAAGCGGGGGACAAAATGCTGCAATGTATTGGCTTGCACAACGAACGTTACGTTTCCGAAGTCTGTCTGTGTGTGTGTGTGTGTGTGTGTGTGTGTGTGTGTGTGTGTGTGTGTGTGTGTGTGTGTGTGTGTGTGTGTGTGTGTGTGTGTGTGTTCATGCATGTGTGTGTTCAACGGCAAGCCATTGATTTATGGATCGATCGATTCCAGGATTGAGAAGAATTGAATCAAGACTCAGGATAACCGCGGAAACATCTTCATCAAGCTGCTTGAGTCAGTCACAGTCCTGCATTCATTGGTGGTCACTACCAAGCATATTGTCAGTGGATGGATCGTTCTTGATACGCTCTTGTATCACTCCCACAGCATTGCTATGCCAATGCTTTCAACATCACTTCAATAATTTACGTACATCTTTAACCCTGCCGAGCTTGGTTCTTCATACCTGTCCTCATTTTGTAGATGTGAGATTGGTGCCAGGTCGTTAACTCACCAGTGCTGTCGACAGTCCGATAGTTGGTAATGTGTAATCAACCAACAGATAATGATGACGAGCACAGACTCTGTTGAGAAACGTACTCCCTGGTTAGAAGCTTTTCAAAAGGAGGCCTCTCAATTTTAAGAGGAAGCCACAAACGGAAATGCTTTGTTTGGACTCAAACACTAGTTATCAGCGTACGACTTGTCAGCGAATTTGTTGGTGAGCAGAACAGGTAACAATGTTGTGACTATTGAAAATCACTGGTGGCCTCGCAGACCATCGCTGAATTGTCGTTTCAACGAAAGGTCATTGGGCGATCGAGCTCATTGGGCTACAAGGAGCTGTGCTGTACCCATCGGGGACTAGGCTAGTCATTCTGCATGCTTATGACAGACGTATATGGTCCTTGGATCTGAAGAGGAAGGGGATGTCTGAAATGTGTCGAGGTTTCCACGGTAGGAAGTGTCCCGGAACACCTCATGTTAAGCCCGAACTGAGACAACGCTGTTGCTGGTGAGGCTCCCGACTCAAACCTTGCTTCTATCTCTCCTCAATGCCCACATCGTGCGATGAATGACCTACGATTTTACTTCACGTTTTCTAACTTGCCATGCAAACCTGCACGTATGAAGCCTGGCATCATTCTCTGTCCATGGACAACACATAACTCTAATCATTACGCAGTGGTAGGAGATGGTGGACACAAGCAGCAATGCACGAAGGATTGTCATCAGACTTGCGCAGATCGGCGAAGTCCTGTCACCTCATCAGATTGGATAGGTACAGTACACAGTGCTTGAGTCCAAAGCCTTTCGAACCACTATGGTACACGACCAACGACAATCTTGCTTTTCATCAGCTGGAGTACCGCCCAAATGGCTGATGCTGTTCAAGTAGCTTGGACCGTTCGTCCCTCCTCACGTGTTCACGCACGGCCTTGAAACGTAAGTGTTCTCCCATTATTCAGTTGATTGGGCGACTGCTTGATCCAAGCAGACAGTGTGAAAGAGCTTCCAAACCGACAATTGTTCAGTCGAACAAGTATTGGTATATGAAGAGTTGTATCCGATGGCTGAAGACGCTGCCCTGTCATCCTTTGTGACGTTGGCCGCACCTATCCGTTAACCCACCAATACCCTGGTGCTGGGCCTCGAGCATCGGAAGAGTTGGAAAGGGTCCAGAGACCCTATTGCCTCCCTCCAACTTCACCGCACATTGAAGCGGCTTAGGCGTCTTATCGAGGCTGCATCACTTCGCCAGCGATTGTCTAAAAGGTGCACCTACCCACACACACAGGAAGCACTCCATTGGAACGTCTGGTCCAATTCGGTCTCAACTGCGAGGTTACAGAGCGTACGTCCACAGGGCTGTTCCCGGGATTGACACACCCCTGTGACTGCGTCCCTGCTATTATTACACTATCGGTTCTTTGGCGCGCCGACAGAAGGTGCACTTCTTTCATCTTGGCCGATAATCACAATCGTCCCCGCAATCAGGTGTGACAAAGGCTGGTTAGCATCGATGAACCACAACCTCGGGTGGAGAATGGTGCTAAACTCTCGAGTCATTGCTCGACCAGCATTGTGTACTGCGTAAGACTTTGATTTAGTCATGTACTTTAACCGAATCATTAACCCCAGAAGCTTCGTCTGTAACGGGGAGCACGGCTTGAGCCGTAGTTGTATGTCAGAGGTGCAATTAGGCAGTCTCCCTGTCCCAGAGAGAGAGATATCAGCCAATTAGGTGGCCGAGAATACGCGGTGATTGGGAAACCTTGGGGAACACACTAATCAAGACCGTCTACAGTGAATAGGCTGCATTGTCACGAGTGGCCAGGCGGCCCAATGGAGCTGTACTGCGACTATCCATGTATAAAAACATTGAGTATCATTGTGGGGAAGGGGTAGCGTAGCTATAGTTGACTTTGCTCAGCAATTTGTCAACAATCATTCGAACGCACAAATGGATGAGGAGTGATTGTATGAACTGCACTAATAAGGGGTAGAGTGCCACATCTCCGTACCATTATGACATGGCAGCCAGGCGCACAACAAACCTGAGGTGATCGGTGCCGATACTTGTTTTCCGGATGACGGGAAGTCGCGGCGCTTTGCAATTCGGTAGTGGCTATCTGGAGCCACGAAGCTCTCTTCTCAGCAGAGGATTTGTTGCTCCCGTAGTTTGTATATTTGGATCGATGCAGCAGGCCCGATATCAGTCACTCCTGCTCGTGGCAAGAGTGACGATCTGATCACTGGGGGAGCTTGGGACAATGGAAAGGAGTTGCACATGCTAGTTGTTGTATTAGGAATGCCACTATTCGAATGCTTTCACGCTAGCCTGCGTGCATTAATTTGGCGAACATTGAGGTTGAGGCCCAAGACAACCCGTAAGAGAATTTACTGACCGCATAAAACTACCCATAGCGGAATTCACTACCCCAGCATGAGAATTACCCAAACAAGTATTTATGCAAAGACCACCCATCTTCTCCCGCCGAAAGTTCACATGATTCACTCACCAAATTTGCCGTTCTGTTGGGCCGCCATCGTGGATGGCCAGTCTTTCGACATTGGGCGGGTGGGCAAAGCATTCCCTATACGTAACGATAGACTTGCAGCCACAAGGTAGTGCTCTGGGTCGGCAAATTGCCGCATTGGTGCCACAGATCTCTACTATAGAAGTTCTCCAACTTTCAATGGGTATTACAGCCACATCATGCATTGGATAGAGCACAGCAGATCGCTCGGATGTGGGATTATCTCACAGCTACACATTCGGCAAGCGGGGGAAGGCAAGCGGGTGCGGCGGGGGCGGCTAGGGTTCACATGAGTGCCTGGACTTAAAAAGGCAAGACATCGATCCACAACGTCAGTCGAGAGCTAACATTGAGGTGATTGCAGATGATGCCGCCTTGCCCTGCGTCAGCAAAAGGGCTTCCAATCCACTGTATTGATTGCCGCTGCCCTGATCTTACTGTTGTTTTGCTCAATCGTCCGCGCTCTTTAAGCTGGTTATCCTGGTGTGCTAGCGTGAAAGGCCCTCGATACCTTCAACACAATGTTTGTGAGTCCAGATCTTACGACCTTTCTTGGTCTGGGGTCTGTCTCTCTATCACCATATCCTCTCATTGCAACTGGCAGTGGTGATCTTCGACCGACATTGATCTCAACTATATCTCGAGATGAGCTTGGTCTTTGCTAGCAACTCCAGTTTTCCGAAGCTGTTGCACCTTAACACATGCACATGTCTGAGCAGCTTCTGAAAACAGCGTCTTTCATTTGGCACATTCGGGCCATTATGACCATTCAGTAGCAAAGCAGGCTGGTACTATTTGGAAATCCAATGGACGGGAATAGCCTTTGAACTATGGACTCAACTATGGACTTCACAAGCCAAAGACTGTTCTTCGAGAAGGCTGCGTTATCTAATAGGCTTGGCCGCGTCCAGCAGGCTTGCGAGGATCAGTAGCAGCCAGCCACTCCCCGCTGGGAAGACGAGCGATGACATGCGAGGTCGAGGTGGAATAGGGGCTTTGATATGACACATTGTAGCCGAGGTCTTTGAAGAAGTCGACCGTTTCGTTGCTGTACCCGGCTAGAGGGATGGGTCTGTCCGGGTCGGGCCAGTCGAAGTACGTGATGCCTGAAAGCTGATCATGCCACCGCGCGCTAACGGTGTCAGAGAGTAGTGGTTGTAGTCAGATTCGACTCACTGGCTCGTGCACTCGGAAGCATTCAGGCCGAGGTCGATATGGTTGTACAACTCTTGCAACGTGGCGGTGATGATTCGCGAACCGCCTGCTGATCCGGTCGCCATGACCAGCCGCCCGTTTTCGTCTTCGACAAGGCTGGAAGCGATGCTTGACTGTGGGCGCTTACCGGGCTGGATAAAGTTGATCGGATTCGCAGCGAAACCGAAAGCGTTGACAGAGCCTGGGGAACTGAAGTCGTCCATCTCATTGTTCAGAATAATGCCGTCCGCGGTCACAGATATGTCAGTTGATGCCACCAGTTTACTCACTAACTCGCGACCCCCAGATAAGATTGATCGTGGTGGTCAGGCTAATTGCCATCCCGCCGCTATCAACAGCTGCAAGGTGGCTCGTCCCACCCTCCCTCGACGCAGGAGCATAGTTAGAGGGATTGTAATACGTTCCAGGATGTGTCGAGTTCCCCGAGATCAGTGCCCGGGCAGCGCCAGCAACTGTCTCTGTGAGGTAGGAGGCCTCCAGAGAGGAAACGTTAGTGGTGAATGCGGGGTCCCCAAGCGTCGCGCGCTGGCCGTAGCCGAATTTGTTGGCCTCAACAACTGGGTGTGAGCACTCAGAAGAGAGAATCGATACCTACGTGCCTGGATTGCTTGGTGAGATTGCTCAGCGTGCTGCAGTCCCTCAAATATCTTCAATGTCGACAGGACGATTGCCCCCGAGCTTGGAGCTGTGGTTGAATAGATTCGTTTGCCACATTCTTCAGCATGTGCTGCGTGGAGTTGTCGCTTACCGGTACGAGATGCTCGCAGCTTCGCGGACAATAGGCTGGTAGCTAGCAAGATCCTCGTGGGTCATAATTCCCCCTGTCGATTGGATTGCCGAGATGATGTTGTCAGCGATGTCGGAGTTTTGATAGAAGATGTCGGGGCCATCGTGAGCGATTCTTTCGAGCGTGTTGGCAATCGAATGCCAATACACTGTGTCGCCCTCCTTGAGGAGCGTGCCTTGGGGCGCGAAGACCTTGGACCAATGCTCGTTGTCGAGGATCCAGTCACGGCCTGCCAGGAACCCAGCGAGATCATAGTTGACCGGGTAACCATTGCGCGCAACGCTGATAGTTGGCTCAAAGAGCTTCACCCATGGAAGTGAGCCATGTCTATCGTGGAGAAGTTTCCAAGCTGAGGAAACTGTCAGTCTTGTGTAGTTATCAAAGGCTTACCACGAAGTTCACCGGGAACCCCTACTGCAAGCCCACCAACTGTCGACTTGGTCTGGTTCGTACCATACTGGGTGTACATCTGCTGTTAACATTCTGGCCGCGAACCGACTGACCGTCTCGTTGCCGGCCGCGGGCATGGTCTCACGAAAGTCGATTTGCTCATAGCCATGGGTGCCATCATCCTTATTGTAGCGGATTACCATGAAGCCTCCCTCATGAGTGAGCATTCATGATGTTGAGGACTACTTACACCTCCGAGACCTGAGTGGAAACCGCCGATGACTCCAACGCATAACGCGGATGCGATGATTGCTAGCCATGAGCATTGGGCGCGCATCTCTGCTCTGAGGTTCGACTCGCACCCACCATCTGCAGCGTTGCCGCCTTGTTTCATGATCTCCACGCCGATGGCTGAGCAAGTCCCGACTTCCTGAGTGGTTAAGCCTGACCTGTCAATATCCAGAGATAAACTAACCGTCACGACAGCGCCATGGCTTCCAACATCGCCAAACGGACATCCCTGGGGATTGGATCCCCAGCAAGTCCCCCAACGTTTGTGATGGCCTGGACGCTGGGTGCCAACGGGTGTGGCCAGTGCGGTCCCCGCGAGAAGCGCGAGGGCAAGTTGTGCGAAAGCGCCCATCATCCTGCTAGGTAAGAGCGAGAGAAGGGGACAGACGGAAAGATGTTGCCCAGCGCTAGGCTTATATTACATGCGTACCCGGTGTCTTAGCCAGCTCGACGTTGGACCGCATGGTTCATGCGCCGAGGTCTCGGATGGCGCTATTGACCAAGCGAACGGACTCTAGCGACCTTGACGTCATTTATGGACTGTCTGGAAACTCTCGAGGGTCAGCTGCTCAAGAGCAATGGAGCAAACCCCCATCACCTCATCACTCCCTATCTGCACTCTCCCGTGCAGTTGCAGGTTGAAGATGACCAGATTAAGTACAGATCCTTCTACGGCATGAATGAAGGTTCGCTATGGTGATCGATGTGGACATGTCCGAGAGACTAGTCTAACCTCCATCACACAGTGTTAAGAGATATGAGGTACCAGACGCCACGCCTTGCGTCGGACGATATTGGCGGGTGCGCTCTTCCCTTCAAGCGAATGAGTTCACCCTGCGATGACGCTTCAGAGTGCATGGAACGGAGGTGGAAAAAAGCCGTGCGACTGGTAGGTCGGCCGAGCACATCACGAACGAGTTCCTTTACAGGATTCTCTCTAAGCCTCAGTATTCGATACCTGGAGTCCAGATTAATGACCAGGACGTGTTCGTCAGGAAACCTCGCTCGAAGACAGATACTTTGGAGGCTTGAACAAGTCCACTGGCTAAAACATTGTGCATCATTCGCATGTCGTCATGAAGCTAAATACCTACAGGCTCAGAACAAGAGCGGTCCGCGACGGAATGTAGACCTGCAGGAAGTTCCTGCGTCCGTTCCACTCCATGTCGGTAGTGAAATACTCGCCCTCCTTGGCAACACGCGCGTGACCACCAAAGGCCTCATCATCCGTGTTTAGAACGACATGGTACTTGCCAGGCTGGTCAACACCAACACGGTAGTCAGTGAAGGAGTTGGTGGGGTGGACTGCGAGGTGTCAGATTCAGCAACACGCCGTCTGCTCACAGTTAAAGATAAACAGCAGACCAGCTCGCTCAAAGACGATAACCTTGTCGCCCTCGTGCTTGAGCGACACGTAAGCCTGGGTATGAGCTGGAGGAACCTGATGCCAACAAACCTGAGGGGCACTCAGCCACCGGTACTTGCTCTCGAGGTTGTTCATGGCGCCGTCAAAGTTGTTGAGGAACTTGTAACGGAGAAGATCGTCATCGACAAGATTGAACTGCCGGCGGGCGTGCGCAAATGAGTTGCCATTGCCCTCACGAGGGAAGTCCATCCATCTGGCGTCAGCGGGGCTCGCGTCTCCTTACAAGCTCTTCGAACGTACTCCGGGTGGCCGAATTCGTTGCCCTCAAAGTTGAGGTACGCCTCACCACCCAGGGCGTGGGTGACAAAGCTTGAAAAATCAGCATTACCACGCAGATTGAACGCACCGAATCATTTTGTGGAGTGCCAGACCGCGATCGATGATAGGGGTAAGAGGCGAGAGAACAGACATGAAGTCGTCTGCAAGCGTCAGCGCACTCCCAAAATAGACAACGTACACATCTCCTTGTCCATAAGCCAGAACGCCAAGGTTTTGTCGCCGACGAGAGCCTGGTCGTGGCTTTCAGCGTAAGCCACGCTTCGCTCCTGGTGGCGACGATTAGTGAGGGTATGGACAATGTTGCCCATGTCCCACTCGTCGTCCGATTTCTCCTTGAGTATCTTGATCCACATATCAGGAATGGCCATGGACAAGCGGTAGTCAAATCCAACACCACCCTCAGCGACCGGGCGACAGAGAGTCGGCATGCCCGAGACATCCTCAGCAATAGTGATAGCTTGGGGGTAGAGGTCATGGATCATCTTGTTGGCCTGGGGAGTTAGCTCACGCTTTCCTTACACCCGGAGCACTCACGAGCATGAGGTATGTCATAGCCTCGAGGTCCACGTCGTCTCCGAAGTATTCATGGTAGCCACCTTGTATCAGCTAAGAGCATCAAGACAAAACCAACCTGAGAAGCCGACACCCATGCCGTGATGCTTGTACATCATGCTGGTGACACCGTCGAAGCGGAAGCCGTCAAACTTGTATTCGTCCATCCAGTAGCGGAGGTTTGACAGCAGGAAACGCTGGACCTCCGGGTGACCATAGTTGAAGAGGCGCGAGTCCCACAAGTCGTGTCTACCCCGTGCTCCCTCATGGAAATAACAGTGATCGGTGCCGTCAAACATGTTCAGTCTGTCTATTAGCTGTGTACAATTGACCGCACTTACCCGTCAAGTACGTTCTTGCAGGCATGCGAGTGCACGACGTCGAGAAGCACAGTGATGCCCATTCCATGCGCCTTGTCAATCAGGCTCTTGAGCTCTTCAGGAGTGCCTACATGTTAGTCTCCGTCAGAAAGAAAAGTACATACCGTAGCGCGATGAGGCAGCGAAGAAGCTGGTAACCTGATATCCAAATGCTAGGCGTGGTGAGCAAAAACTAGAAGGTCAAGGTGGATCGCGGCTTACAAGCGTAATATGCATGCTCCATGACTGCCATCCTGAAGTCAGCAACGTGCAAGCCACCCAAAGCTCACATCTGGATAGTGTTGTATCCAAGCGCCTTGATGCGTGGCAGGACATCGTCTTCAAACTCCTTGTAGGTGGTGACACGCTGGGCTGGACTGGAAATGCCAACTAAGCTTGTTAGCGCCGCTGTGGGTCCAAGCACATACCGTGCGCCTCGTAGATCTTGAGACCTTCGATAGGGTTGGTGGAGTGCCCGTGCTTGAACTTGTACGTCTCCGCGGCCGGCGGATTCCAGAAGCGCGCGTCATAGATAGGAGAGACGTTGAGGTCCTGAGTGACGCGTGTGATCCACGCAGGCAGGCGATCGAGGGACTCGCCGCTGGGAGTGGTCATGGAAATCTTGACCATAGAATCATGAGGGATGGCCGGGACACCGGGGCTCTTAGGAGGAACATAGCACTCCCACACGCCGAACTGAGACTTGGTCATAGGGTTGGCGGTGTGCGACCAGCCGTCTGCCGCGTTAGCTGTCATTGCAGATTGTTAGACTCACTGAACTCGCCAATAAGGCGAGCCTCGGCGGCTCCTGGAGCCCACTCGCGGTACGTGACACCACCCTTGTCGTCAACAGTGAAGCCGAGAGTCTTATAGCCCTGGCTGAACTTGTCAAGGCCACCCTCGTTTTGATTGATGAAGTCGAGAGCCTTCTTGTACCCGGCGTAGCGGTTGCGGATTGCGGGTGCAAAAGGCTCAAGCCTGTAGGTTAGCTACCTCTCCTCGCAACTGTTTGCTGCTCAGCGGACGCTGTGCCCAGCAGGAGCTCCACGCACCAAGGATCCGTTTGAATGACACCAGTACCTGATGTTAGCCAGAGTCTCTAGAGGAAGGGGGCAGGAGTCACGCAAGGTTCTGAGCGGTAAACACTCACCATCATCGGGCATCATCGACGTCTTGGAGCCGTTGTTCGTCTGAGTTGCCATAGTGAATGAGAGAATGGAAGGAAGGAAGATGAAATGCGAGCAGAAGTTGTGGGGGTATAAGCCTGGCGAAGATGAGGGGGAAGTCTTGTGGCTTGAGTGTGACGTTGAATGGCGGTTGGGGCCATCTAGGCACACCGGTCATATGAGCAGTATGAGCGGAGGGCGGACAGTGACAGCCGCCGGCATGTGTTGGGGGTGATCCCATGTGGGGTCTCCGCGGCAGTCACGTGATATCGGGCCGCCACCGATTTTCAGATTGTGTGTGGAGGTTCTCATGTCAACTTGGAATTTGCTTTCTACCACGCTACCACACACTGCCCGCAGCGCGCACGCTTGCCACAACAGCAGCAAGCGCTCCCTTTCGCAATGGTCTCTTACTACGATGAGCTTGAGATTGAGGACTTTGCCTGGGACGACGAGGCGAAAGTCTACCACTATCCATGCCCCTGTGGCGACCGCTTCGAGATCTCGAAGGCTCAGTTGCGAGATGGCGAGGAAATCGCCACCTGCCCAAGCTGCAGCCTTATCGTCCGAGTTATCTATGACTACGTGAGTGTGAATCTTTGGCAGAGCTGACCACCGCAGCTAGACTACGAGGACTACGAGACGTCGGATGAAGAGGATGCGGAAGGCGAAGAGTATGACACTCCCGACACCACCGCCACCCCTCCGACCCCCGTTGCTGAGAAGCCGGTGGCGGATGCGTCTGTACCTGAGAGTGCAGGAGCGCGACTGCTTGAGGATTCTTCCTCCGCCAAAGACCCAACCGCGCTCGAGTCCGCGGTCGCGCGCCTCAACATCGCCAGTTCAACTGAGCCTACAACCTCGTCCGCTGCCTCGCCGGCCAGTTCTCCCAGGCCCTAGCTTTACCGTGCGAGCCCTTCCTATTTCGGCAGAGGTTGTCCATGCCATTCGTCCCAGCTCACATCGCCCATCGTCCATCGCACATCGCACATCCCTTGCATCCCGCCTGTATCTCCTCGTTCTATGTTGAAACCTATTATACAGAATTGTTCATGTTCGCTGTTGGCGCAGTGTCTGCGATCGAAAGTGGGGAGCGCGGCTAGTATAGAGGAGGCTGATAATCATGTGCGTGCTTATGTTCCGACAGCATCACGCCTTCCGAAGCAGGACCGCACTACTGCACCCCAGGGAGTGCTGACGTTACATGAAGGACACTTGATGCGACGCGGAACAATTTCGTCTGCTCCACTGCCTCGCGGCAGGGCCCTGTGTTTCGCCAGGCATGTGAGGTGGGCTGTATGGAGACACGGCTCTCCCAGATCGGGCATGGGAGCGGGACAGATGGCAAATGAGAGTTGGTCCTCGGTGTGAGCAACGTCGAGATGCTCAGCTCACCTCGTAGCAGATCTCCCTCTTACAGAGATTGCAGTGTGAGGAGCTGTTTATCTCGTTTAGAAGTGCCCACTTGCCCACGACAGCCTCGCCTGTCCGAAACTGGACATCGTTAAGGTCCAAGAACGCTTCGCCGGTCTCATCGCTGGGCGTGACGGAATTGGACAGCCCTCCGAGGTCAAGCGTGACTTCCAGATTTCTGTCGGCTGGAGGAAGGTGGGCGACTTGCTCCACTAGAGCGTGATTAGCCTTCTCAGATACGCACGCCAGGCGGACGTCCGAATCTCGGAGTCGCACGAGGGAAGAAGTGATGTCGTAGGTCGCTGTTGAGAAGCAACGGATCTGGAGGGGGAGGTGCACGAAGGGCGAAGCCCTCACGAGAGCGGCCGCAACACTGGTGTCAGCAGTTGTAGCTTATAAACATACATAGCCTTCCGCTCCACCCTGTTCCGCCGTGTATCTCGTTTGAACATGTATTGGGCCTCGTCGCCACCCTGCTCCTCCTTGCGGAGATGTCGAGACTTGTCCGGGTTCTGCCATGCCCATTCGAACTGCAAATGTTTAGCAACCATGAACCACCGTTTTGTATCCCTCTCAGTCCCACCTGAAGCGCGGTGAGCTTGCTGGGGAAGCTGATGATGTTAGAAGACGGAATCGTCATTAGCTTACCCAAACACGATCATCTGAACCTCCTATATGATCAGCATGTGTTTCTCGCTACAAGCCCTCACCCATGGGCGAAAGCGTGAGGTTTTCCATGCTCCCTGTGTGAGTTCTCCATTGTGTTGCCTGAGCCGCCTTGGCGGATTAGGTGTTGATCCGACCTTAGAGAGGTGAGTGGAACCCGGGAAGGTGACGCACGTAAGTTCGCTGTGAGTTTGGGGTGGCCAGCGACTTGAGGAGGTAGCAAGCATAGAAGGGCGGATAGGAATGATTGCCGTCAGCGACTGTCGACCTTGACTTCGAAGCCATCGTAACGACGTAACAACAGTTGGTTGATTGAGGGGTTGGTCCAGGCAACACAAACAAACACACCCTAATTACATCCGTTGAAGTGGAGGTGGAGGTTCCACCAGTGACTCATTCCCGTCACTAGACCTCGATCCTGTTCACCGTCATACATTCCCTCTGGCTCGATACAAAGCTAATTCCATCTCTGCTCCAACTGAAATCGACGCGGCTCCGCCTAGAAATCCACGAACAAGTGGTCGTACTGGCTGGTTCCCGTCTTACCGTACGAGCTGACATCCGCCTCCGCGTAGCGGTCGAACCTGACATGTTAGGATTACTAATAGAACCCGGCCCGGGGCCATGGTGCACTTACTGGCTGGCATCGCCCTCTCCGTCAATCTTGGGCACGTAAGGAGCGGGAATTTCGCGGCGGTACAGCTTGTCCCAGTCGACTTCAGCAAACCAGCCGTGGCCGAAGATGTCGCCGGATCCGGCGTGGAGGTTTCCGTAGCGCTTCGTAAGGTCACCGATGAGAAGGTTCTTGAGAAGCTCCTTGGCCAGCGGGTCAAAGTATGTCGGGTAACGGACCTTCCCGGCGATGATCTGTGGTATGAGCAGTTTCACAGCTAGTTCTATACCTTTTCGTACAGCTTCATTGGGTTGCCATCCTCTGTGAAGAACGGAGGGTAACCAGCCTACTGTTAGCCATAGCATACAAACGCGCATTGAGGACGGGCAATGCTCACCAGCATTTCAAAGATCAGAACGCCCAGAGCGTACCAATCAACACTCTTGTTGTAGCCCTTGGACTGAACGACTTCTGGAGCTACTGACCCTGTCAGCATCAACTTTATCAAACTCGGCTCACGGTAGTCCGGCGTGCCACAGAGGGTCCAGGTGATGTCGGGAACGTGCTTAGCGAAGCCGAAGTCAGTCACCTTGACGTGACCATCAGCACCGAGAAGGATGTTCTCAGGCTTGAGGTCACGGTAAATGATATCCAAGGAGTGGAGATAGTCAAGAGCTAAGGCGACCTCGGCTGCGTAGAACTTGGCAACCGAGTTAGGGAAGCGCTGTTATCAGTGGGGAGCAACCAATCCACACTCACCTGGCTCTTCCTGAGCAGACTGAACAGCTCTCCGCCGGCAACAAAGTCCATGACCATGTAAAGATTGTTGACGTCCTGGAAAGTACCCCAGAGGTTGACAAGGAATGGGTGTCGGACGCGGACAAGCATCTCACGCTCAGAGTTCGTGTGCTCCACCTGCTTCATCTTGACGACCTTCTCTTTGTTCAGGACCTTGATCGCGTAGAAGCGGCCATTGTGCTTGGAGCGGACGAGATGAACACGGCCGAAAGATCCAGTGCCCAGGCTGTGTGTGAGCATAGCTTTTAGCTTGGTACACGCACGTTCGCTCAATGGCAAAGTCCGCTAGAGCGTAGCGACCTGCAGTCTTCTTTATGGTCTGGGGCGTTCCTTTGTTGTTGGTCGGAGTTCTGGAGCCCGGAGTCTGGCTGGAAGCGTCCAGTGCCGCCTGGGATGCAGCAGCGTTGATAGCAGCGACTCGAGCCTGTTGAGTTGCATTATGAAGGTTCGCTTGAGCATGGGCAGCCTAAATAATGAGCAACAGAGTTGAGTCTCCAGCTCACCTGTTCGTGGGCCTCGCGGGCCTTCTCACGCATGCGATCCTCATCGGCGCTGCCCTGGCGCCCGTCGGGTTGAATGGAGAGGTTTGAGACGTCGGCCATTTCTATGCTGTTGTTGCGGTTGGTCTGGATCTGCTCTTGAGTCTGCGGGGGCGCAGCTCCGCCCATGCCAGATTGAGGGGTGGCCGAAGTGGTTGACAAGGGCGTTCCGGTGGCTGACGACATGGGCGCCGATTGCGGCCTGGAGATTAGCGACTGTGACGCTTTGAAGGAATAAGTCAGGACTTACCCTTCAACGTCCATGGGAACCGAGGTGTCTGCAACTGGCTTTGGCGGCTGCACCGGAGCACTTGGAGGAGGTGGAGACTGCATCTGCTGAGGCGGGGACTGGATGGGGGGGTTGGATGTCTGACGTCCCAGACTGGATGTCTGGGCCGAGGGCGAAGGGGGACCACCCTTGTTGGATGCCTGCCGGCGATGGTGGAACTTGTCGGACACCTTGGCAAACATGATGGGGAGAGCGTCAAGGGTGAATTTATTAGGACTAGTGCAAGGGGTCTGTCGAGTAGACGAGGCTGTCTGTCCACCTTGGGGATGAGAATCGGATGGGAGGGCGGAACGGCGGACGGGGTATTCACAGATGGACGGCGGCCGGGAAGGCGGAGGAGATACGGTGCAAGAGGTGCAAGAGGTGCGGAATGGGATGGGAGACGATGAGGTGGTGTGGAGGTGTGGAGAGTGGAGAAGGAGGAGCAGACGTTGAGGGAGGGGTTGTGGAGGAGAGGGAGGTGGTTGCTGCGGCAGCGATGTTGGTGTGGACGAGATGGGGATGGATGAGGATGGACGAGTGAAGAGGGAGTGAGTGACGAGTGACGAGTGAGGCTAGAGTGTGGGCAATGAGGTAGGCGGGGTATGGGGAGTGAGGGATCGCAGGCGGATTGGATGTGGGTGGGAGCTTGGGGATGAGTGGGCGGTTGGGCGATCTGGCGATCTGCGAGTGTTGGCTGGCGCGGCAGGCTAGCTGCGGGCTGCTGGCTGCCTGGCGGCTTGCGGCTTGCGGCAACGAGCGCGGAGAGAGAGAGGCGAGTGAGGAGAGAGATGGCTTGATAGACGTATGAGAGCTTGTGGGTGGATTAAGGAGCCAAGGAGACTGGAGGCACAGGACTACCATTCCAATAGCATTAGCCAAGGAAAGAGCTATAGGATACGTTTCGATACGATTAACACGAGGATGGGCAGTGGGGGCGTCGAGAGGCATGAGTGGGGGGAGGTGAGGGTGGTATGACGATCGATTGACCTTTGGCTTGGTTCCCTTGGCCCTTGGATCCCTTGCATGGTATGAGCAGGCACACACACATCAAGGCCCAAGCCGTGCAACGCCTGCAAGAGGCCTGCAAGATGCAAGAGGAAGGGGCCGGAAGGGAGCCGCCAGGGTTGATCAGATGACGAACTCGAAATCTCAAGCTGCCGTGCCGCTCGCGCCGTGGGCCAGCGGAGAAACGAACAGCTGCAAGTCGCTGCCCGCTTCTTCCCTGCTCTCGCCCTCCCTCATACCCCACGCTTCCCCTTTTTTCCTCTTTTGGCAAGATCCACCTCAGAGCTGCCACCTGCCAGCAGAATGACAACATGCGGCCTGCCTGAAATGCCTCCTCCGCCCGCTCACGTACGTACCCAAACCTCGTCGTCACCCGATCAACCGAACTTGTCGAGTCTCCTCTTATCCTCTCTTCCATCTTCCATAATCACCCTTTCATCTCATTCTACCACGGCACGTGTGGGGCCGACAAGACTTGGTGGGCAGCAATAACGTCCTCTTGCGGTGCTCGGAAACCCATGCGCTGAGGCTTCCTGTTTCTCTTGGTCATTGATTCTGGAAATTTACAAGGGAAGCCCTCGCATACCACCAATGGCCCGAATATCCGTTCGGTTGCACGCAGGTCAGCTCCTCAGCAGATCAGGAGATCATCGAGTTTTTGCACTTGTCGCTTGGTTAGACGGGAGAGGCTGCCAGCTGCCAGCAGACCATTCGCCATCTTGAAGTCGTTGAAGATCATGCAACCCTCTCTATCTGAGGACCCACCTTCCTCCGCAGCCTGTATGCTGGCTGCCTATCGACTAGTCTACTGATCGACTAGTCACTAAGCGTGTAGAAAGGTATGACAAAGACTTCTTCACGACTGAGCTTCTTGGAAAACCTCGTCGAGCTCTTTCAGTCTGCTACATGCCACAGAACGATTGCAGGAGGTCCGTCTTCCTGGCTTCCTCCAAGATGAACCGCATTTGTGCGGCATAGCGGCATATCGTCATTACTCGATCATCCTAGACACGCAAAAGTGGCGGAATGGAACCGAGCCGGACATGCCGGCCAGTCCGCTCAAGGTGGGAAGCCACGTGTTTTCGTCGGTGCCCCACGGAGACTGCGGACGCAATTCTTGAACACCGAGAGCGGGGAACGGGGCAAGCCGAGTTGGCCGAGCGGTAATGTCAAGCCCCGCGCCGGGCCGGAGCTTGGGAGGCATGATGCATGACCCGCCGACAGGTGACTCCCGGCACATAACCATCGCCCCGAGTGCGATTGATCTAACAGCGACGCGTGTGGTCTCTCCCAACTTCAACTTTGCCCACTCATTGTTGTACAGCATGTCTCCCAGCATGCCGTTCCTTGTGCGTGGAAGCCGCGCAGCTGTCGCCGCTCGCGCGCTTCCCCGGCTCCCCATCGTGGCTGCTCGCCGCGGTGCAGCGACCTCGGTCGACGACCCCTCCGACACTCGCATGCAGAAGAACCGCGACGGCCAGCGGGCGCGCGGCGCTCCTTCCAAGGCGACTGCTCAGGAGCTGGAGCCCTCGCTGGGCAGCAGCAAGCTGCTGAAGAGCACTCCCGAGGAGGTAAGATTTCGCCATGCGTCAACGTCTGACGCGCCAGGCTCTCGCGACACCGGGGCTGCGCTTTGCAGACGGCCACGGTCTTCGCGGTCCATCCGGAAAGGGCCGTGAGACTCGCAAGATGAACTTGCATCAGGCGGTGCGCGACGCTATCCGCACGGAGCTTGCCGCCAACCCCCGATCCTTTGTGTTCGGAGAAGACGTCAAGGCGCACGGTGTTTTGTGAGTAATCAGCGGCCTGACAAGTCCACGCTAATCGCGCAGCCGCTGCACGCAGGGCCTTGCTGACGAGTTTGGTAAGTAGCGAGTTGCCACTAGCTGCTGGCTTATGTGCTGACCCAAACAGGCGAGAAGCGTGTGTTCAACACTCCCCTCACCGAGCAGGGTATCGCTGGCTTTGGCATTGGTTTGGCCAGTGTCGGTGCTACTGCCATCGCCGAGATCCAGTTCGGTGACTACATCTTCCCGGCTTTCGACCAGCTCGTCAACGAGGCTGCCAAGCAGCGCTACGCTTCTGGCGGCAACTACCCTCTCCAAGGTGGTTCGTTCACCGTCCGCTCCCCCGTCATGAGTGTCGGGCACGGTGGTCTGTACCACTCGCAGAGTCCTGAGGTACGTCTGGCATCTGCGAGAGATAATGACTAACTGCGCAGGGCTTCTTCCTTGGTGCCCACGGTCTCAAGGTCGCCGTTGTGCGCTCCCCAATCCAGGCCAAGGGTGTGCTTCTGGCCGCGTTCCGCGACCCCAACCCCACAATCGTCTTCGAGCCCAAGGTCCTGTACCGTGCGGCTATCGAGGAGGTTCCCGTGGACGACTTCACTCTTCCTCTTGGCACCACCGACACGATTCTCGAGGGCACGGATTTGACTGTCGTCTCGTACGGTACCCCACTGTACACGACGCTCCGGGCGATCCAGCTCCTCCGCAACCCCCCGCCCCAGCTGGTGCAGTTCCTGCCCGAGCGTCTCCGCCCGCCTAACCCGGCTCCTTCAATCCAGCTCATCGACCTCCGCGCGATCAACCCGCTGCCGCTCGGCGAGCTTACCGAGGCCGTCAAGAAGACGGGCCGCATGGTCGTTGTTCACGAGGCCGGCAAGAGCGGCAGTGTTGGCAACAATGTCGCCGGCGAAGTCTCGCGCCGCGCTTTCGACTACCTCGAGGCGCCTGTCGGCCTCGTCAGCGGGTGGGATGTGCCCGTGCCCCTCGCCTACGAGAAGTTCTACCAGCCAGACGTCATCCGTGTGTTCGACAAGATGGTCGAGACTCTCAACTACTAGAGAGATTGTAAGGGGTGGCCCACGTCAATCGCATTGTACTCCTAAAGCTTCATGGATCGCATTTATCTACGAATTTTGTCAGCAGGGAGCCAGTGAAGGAAATCACTCCAAATATATCACGAGCATTTCGTATTGGGCTCCTCGATACGTTGGGACCAATGAATATGGACGCGCTGACAAGCCTCAGAGAACAGGCTGGGCCATGTTATGTCCTTAAGGCAAGCAAGCATTTGAGGCCACGACACTGGTTGGCTGACACTCTCAACCATGCCTGATAAAACGCCGCCGAGACCTCCTTCCCCTGCGCTACAATAACCGTTACATCTGTAATCTACTACCTTCTACGCCTCAGGCCACACGCCATGAATGCACGACGGGCCATGCGAATTGTAGTCAAGTTTGGACACGTAGTGCTTGCCCTGGCTCTCGTTAAACGCGAGCTTGGCCACCATGCTCGCGCCCAAGAAGGGCGCAAGGTCGCCGGTCGCTCCTTTGTAGTTGGCAAAGTACTCTCTGGATGTCAGATGATGAACCAGCCGGTCGACTCACGGTATGGAGAGCAGCTTAACACGCGCCGGCTGCGAGTCTGATGGCAGGTCGGATGATGAGAGGAGGTATGGGCTGACGTACGTCGCGACGGCGATGGGGAGCGACTTGAAGCGTGCCATGTCGCCCACCACTGCGAGACCGTCCCATACCGCCACGCGCTCGAAGCCATTAAGCGCCGAGCTCTCCACCGCGCGCCCGATTGCCTCCCACACAGTGTCACCACCGGGCGTTTTGCCCTTAAGTAACGGGTCAGCCAGACGATGCCGTACCTGTCCAATAATGATCTCCTTCTCAGGCAGAGACGGGATCGAGATGGTGATGATGTCGGCTGCAATAGCCGCATCCGCTGCCGCCTGCGCCTTCGACTGAGCTGCGGCCAGCATCTGCGCCTGTTGCTTCTTAGACTTGTGCGAGTTCGCAATCTGCGGTGGGGGCACTACATCCGCAGTTAGCCTATTGTTAGTCACATTCTCTCGTTAAGACCTCACTTCTTCGCGACGTCGAAACCCTCGTCCTCTTTTTCAGCCTTGCCTGCAACCTCGACGGTCTTCTGTCCGACACCCTTCGGCAAGGGCACCTCAATGTCGTCCCCAGTGCACTCGGCGAAGATGAACTCCTGGATCTCGCGGATGTACTTTTCCTTTTGCCTGGGCGCGAAGGACTCAACACCAGCGGCCTTCTTCAGCTCCTTGTCAAGTCTGTCATCTGCGAGCAGAAGGCTTTCGAGATAGGCCTCGCAGTCGAGTTCTCCAATGTCAACGCTCGTGGCGCACTCCCACCGCACGATCGAGTCAACGACGATGGCCACAGTGGACGTGCTGCGACCAATGTGCAGGACAATGCCTGTCGTCGCGTTTAACCCGAGCAGCGAGACTATCGAGTTAGGGAACAGTGCGAATTGCGGCGCATTCAGATTCTCGAACACCATCTGGGCGTAAAGCTCCTGTTCTGACAGGGGGAGGGTCGGGGATGACGCAGGTGGGACGAGGAGGAGTGGATGGGTGTTGTTGTTCGGCTTGATGTTGAGCATCGCGTACATCTGCAGGAGTACGATCTCGCGGCCTTCCCAATCGATCGTGTCCGCGGGCGCGAACGGCCACCTGACCTCAACCCCGTCGGGGTTCTCTGCCAGCGCTTTGTTGAGCGCCTCCCCTACGAGCACCTCTGCGCGGTTCAGATGTGGTGTCCCGTTCATCGCCACGTCGCAGGCTGCGTCCGTACCGTTCGGTGAAGCCGGCACGCCATAACATGCCTTGAGTTCCTATGCGGGTCAGCTCGTTGTCAAGCTGCTCTGTCGCTATGCTTACAATGGCGGGGCGCGACACCAAGTCGGTCAATCCGTGCGTCGCGCGTACGAGCTCGTCGTCAACCACCGCAATCACGGGCAAGTGACTCATGGTGATTCAGCGGATGGAGATGTAATGTTGTTGTTGACAAGAATACGAGTGTGATCCGTGCGTCGCAGACGCGGAGTTCTTAAGTGGGATGAGACAATAGAGGATCTCTCGTAAGCGCAGACCGATCTGCTTCCGGCTTTCCGGTGTTCTGGCGACCTTCGTTCGATTCTCTCGCAGATCACGGATGATCATCTGAGCAAGCGTCTCTGGTCTATTGCTCGGAGCCGACAAAGCCTGACGAGCTCAATAGGCCTCGCTTGGCTTGAGCACTACGTAAATTCTGCAAAATACTCATTCACGAGAGCAATCCGAGGCATTTTGGCTCACGACATTCGACCTGCCACCGAAGATAATTACAGCCACCGCCACTAGGTGACGATCGTCGAGCTTCGCTCAATCTGGTACTCTCCTTGTCAACGGACGGTATGCAATCTCGCTGTCAGAAGACGACTGGGCCAACTTTACTCTTGCCCGACATGTTTTTTTCTACTTTGCGAGATACTGCGCGGGCCCAAAGCAAACTCGAGAAACTCAAGAGCTGAGTCCAATGAGTCTGTTCCGACATCTGTGACCCTCCATGCGCCTTGCAGAGAAAATCCGGAATACTGTATCATAACGCACTTATTAAAAGGACAGGTCCAAGGAGATCGGCGAGGATGAACTAAACTGCAAGCTCCGCACCACGCCAATTGGGAGAATGATCCACGGTACTAGACGACTACTGGACCAAGGTGACCGAGGCAAGGCGCGAGACATGCCCATCGCGATTCTTGACAGTGACCACCGCAAGCTCCGGCTGGGTCGATTGGCGCGCAGCAGCCAAAAGGCGAAGATAACCCGCGAGCGAAATCATGCCGAGCGCATGGCCTTCGCCACGAGTAAGCGAGATGTTACCGGTCGTCACGAAACCGATGACGCCCTTGTCGCTGCGTTTCTCGCCCAGCTTCAGCATTTCGCTGGCGCCTTCTTGATGGAATCCGGTGGCTTGGTCGTGTGCGAACGACTCTAGCCAGGTCGTCCGCTCTGCCGCGTCGAGCTCGCTGATCGTGGCCATGTCCGAGGGCGAACCGCGCCCGATCATCTCGACTTGCACTTGGCACAGGGCGGTGGTGAGGAGCTCGTCCTTGGTCGACGTCGGGAGCGGAGACAGACCACGACGCTGGCGAACGACATTTACAGCTTTCACCAAGCGCGCAGCGGGGTCCTCGGCATCGACGAGGGTCGAGATGCATGGAGCGAGGGCGGTGTTGAAGAGCCAGGTGCGGAACTCAGCGTCTCCATTGATGGCGGCTTCCTCAGCGGACGTTCCTGCCTCAATCTACGAGTTAACAGCTGTTTGACCACACCAAAACTCACCGTAAGCACCTCGCTCCAAACGGGTCGGAATGGCCAGCGCGTACCCAACACCGAGAACTCAGGACGCTTTCCAGGCGGTTTGCGCAGCCAACGAACTTGATCCTCCTGCGACCTCTCCATTTCCCACGCGTCCGAAGCGTGGCAGACATTTGAGTAGTGCTCCGGGAATGATGGAACCCCGGCCTCTCGGCACCTGTTGCGGCGCTCGATGATGCCTCCGAGCCGAGCATTGCAATAGATGAACGATGACAAGAACGCCATGGACCAGCCGTGGGGGATAAGAAGCGTCCAACCGTGAAAGCCCGCGTTCTCTTGCCCAGGGGTCTTACTCTGCACCGAGCTCTTCATTAGAATCACGGGAACTCTGTCGTCGTTTACGGAGGCGGAGAGGCGGGTCCCTGGGACCTCTTGCTGGTGCCGGCGAGCGTCGAGGTCGGATTTCTTCCATCGCGGCTTGGAGAGCCGAGAGCGCACCTCAGCGTCCCAGAGCTCCGTCGAGACTCCATCCTGAGTCTGAAGTGTCTCCCATGGCGCTTGGATCGGGGTAGGCGCCTCCTGTACACGGGCTGGAGGATATCTAACGTGAGCTACGTCTGTAGTGGAGAAAGAACTCACGCCAAGCGAGGATCATACACCTTGAAGCCGACAACCATCCCATCGGGGCACTCAGCCGGGTCGCCGTGCAGGAGAGATGCAAGCGCGCGCTTCTTGTCTGCTGACTCGGAGTTGCAGAGCTGCAGAGAGCGACTAATCACTTGACCCGCCAACGGCCCTGTGATTTCGAACGACTCAAGCGAGTCTCGCAAGTCGTGTACAAGCAGAGCCCCAAGCTCCTCCGGGTACACGGAGATCGCGGTCATGACGGTCTCCCACACCTCTTCGAATATCGAGGGGTGTACGCGCAACCAGACCGTGCGGTTCTGGTCTTCACACGGCTGCCACAGCACCTCCATCGGGCCGATGAGGCCTAGAGGGAAAGTGCCGGAGTGATATGCGGCGATGTGCGCAACCCGCGTCCCATCCTCGTACCGGCTTCCGGCGAACGCGCCCGCCGAGATCTTGGAGAGCAGGGCTACGATTTGACTTCGCGGGCCCTGCAGTTCCACTACGCCCAAGAAGCTGGTGTCTTGCAAAATGGCACGCCGGCGCGCAGCGCGATACGACGCCCGGAAGCTCTTGAGCGTCGGCGTCATGCCCAGGCGGTACCCCCAAACGTTGGCCATGTGGGAGCGCTTGGCATGGAAGATGTGGGAGCCGAGCCATCGTTTGTTCACTGCGTGAGCTTTGTGTACATGAGACCTCACCTTGCCGAGCACGCAACTGCATCGTGCGGCTGCGGCCGCGGAGGTCGCCGCGCGCGCGCAGCTTCGCCTTCTTCCGGTGCATCTTGACTGTCATGTCCCCGGCGTCGATCTCGGCGGCAGCGCGGCTCCGCAGACGCTTAGGCACACGCCGTGGGTTGTGGCTCGCTGCGCGACGGCGCAGGTGCCGTGGAAGAGACTGGAAGGCGCGCGACGAGCTCTGTGCACTGTCGTCAGACACCCAAAGCATCAAGACTCACGCAGCGACCTTGATGGCATTCTGCAGTGCGGCGATCTCCAGCGCGCGTGTCTTCTGTCAGCCTTTCCAGAAAGTTGAGCTTACCTCAGAGAAGCGTTCGACAGATAGCGACCCGGGGAGGTTCTTGGACGCTTGTTGTCAGTTGCTGCGCCAGAATGGGGACATACCTTTAACGAGATCGTGCAGGCCCTTGAGGACGGCCCGCTCCTTCCCCTGTCCGCGCCGCTTCGCATGCTGGTTGTACTTGAGCATATCCTCGGTCTTCTGGATGCCCCGTAGCGGCTTTTTTCCCCCACTCGGCGGGGGTTTGCTCTGTGGCTTCGGTCCCATCTTCGGAGGTAAATTGCAGAAAGTGAAGTGCGGCAGTGCGAAAGTCGAGACGAGAGATCAAACGGAATGGATCAACAAATCTTGTGCCTGAGTCCAAATCTTTGAGACCTCCACTTCGTATCGTCCACTCCGTCATGAACGCCGAGAAGGCAGTCAAGAAACATGCAGCGCAGCACGACCTGTTCAACCGGCTGCACTCGATTGCGGCGGACGAGGCGTTCGTGCGCCGCGTCGCGGAGGAATGGTTTGGTGGGCGGTTCGAGGTAGTCGGTGCGTCCTCCCATGCTTAGAGCTCACAATAGCTAACCAGCGCTGCGGGACATGGTATTGTGACCCCGGAGTGAGTTGCGATTCCTGCAAAGGTTGCGCTGACGGCAGACGAGCTCGGATACGTACGCGTATTTCAAGTCGACGGACGGGCATACTTTGGTGAGCACGGGTCGGTGGTAGGCTCATACAGAACTGGGACTTCAACCTGCGCCGCTCGAATCTCGCGTTGGCTGCGCACGCGGAAGAGAAGGGCGGCTTCATCCTCGTCGACTCGACACGCCGCGGCAAGGTGAGCTCACACATCCTCAGGTGCAAGATCTGATTGCAGCGCATGCCCGACGGTCTCTCGAAGACAGTGCCGATCTGGTGCGCTGTCGTGAACCGCGCGATCGCATTGCGGCGGGTACGCGAAGGCAGCGCCGAGAAAGAGTGGGACACGGCACTGTACGTGCCCGCGCAGATTGTGTCGCCGTCCGAGCGGGCCCAGATCGAGGCGCGGCTCGATGCGTGGGCCGATCTTCTCGAGACATCGGTGCTGCCGCTCCCGGAGCTGCAGAGGCCGCTGCGGCCGTTCTTCGTGCACCCGTCCACGTCGGTGCCGCCCTCCATCCCTGCTAAGCCGGGCTATACGCCCATCATTTGCTTGTCGGCGTCGCGGTGGGTCAATGGCGGAACCGACGACATTCCGGCCGCAACGCGCGTTGGCGAGGGTCCCTTTGCGCGCACGGTCGCGTTCGACTACGTCCCGGGTGCGGGGGACGACGAGGAGCTGTGGGGCAGGGTGGGTGAGGAAGTGACTGAAGCTTATGGCAGGGACTCAAGCCGGCCATGTATCACGCCGCGAAGAGCTGGCTGCTTGCCACGCCGCGCGATGAACTCCCCGATGCGGTGGACGAGCTCATCGACGAGCACGACCTTTCGGCAGGGATGAAGAAAACGACATTGGAAGACGGGAGCGATGGAGCCGGAGGCGGGTTTGCAGGCGCCACCGCCGTCTCGTCTGGGCTCTTGCTTGATCTTGGGCCGCCTATCCGATCAGGAGAGAAGGCCGCATATCCCGTCACGGCCGTCGTCCGGATCGTTGAGATCGCGAAGCCGCTGAAGGACGCACCGTTTGTTCTCCCACTCGCGACTTCGGGTGCGCCGACAGTCGTGGCAGCCATTCCGTCGTCGCGGGCCAAGGGGAAAGAGTTCCTTTTGGCGCTCGATGAGTTGCGTGCTCACGTCGCCCCTGCGGCGGAGGAGGGGGCGGTCCTGCTTAGTCCGGGGCGCGAGGAGGAGCTGGCAGCAGCTCTCGACCAGTACAACACGGGCCCGGACAGCCGACCCGTAGTGACGCTGTCGAGCGCCGAGCACTTGGCCACGGCGGATCTGACGTCGGCTAAGAAGCTCATCCTGCCGATTGCTGTCTCCTTGTTGTGCTCGATCCCCGAGTTGGGTGAGGAGCTCGAAGAGGACGAGGAGGTAGATAAGATCGTCATCGCAGACGCATTGCACAAGCTTGTGGCGTTGTGGCCCGACGGCAATCCGCCACGCACGGCACTGAAACGCGTCAATGAGTTCCTCATGAGCCAGCGCCACCGATAATACTACATATGCATGGGGCCGACTGTCCACGGCCGACTACATTAGATCGGAATACACTGCACGCCTAGATGGGCTATCGCGACATAGATGAGGAAGGGGATGTGGGGGAGGGAGGACCGCGCTCGAGGCGCTCCATGGCTTCCTCGGGGAACATATAGATGTGGCGCAGACTCGGGCACACAAACGGGCTCGGCGCTTCACGTATGGGTCTGTCATCAGTGGGCTCTCGTGCTAACCCACGGCTCGGACTCCTCTTGCTGCTGGTTCCCCACAGCGGCGGCGCTCTCGATTATCTTCTCCTTGAGTATCTTCTCGCCGTCATACTGTTCAGACTCTCCTTTTCGTTCTGGCTCTAGCTCTTCTTCGTGCGCCGTGTCCGTCTTTGCAACCGTGGCCGCGGTCGTGTCAGTCATGCCATACGAAAGACCCGCTAGGGGATTGGGCCCGCGGCCGGCCGCGGGCATCGGCACCTCATTTGAGAGGCTTGTAATCGGAGCTGCGATGCCGTGTGTGCCTTGGGTGCGGTGAGTGGGCGTTGCGTGGGGGTCATACTTGGACTTGCTGGGTTTAGGGGGCATGGGGAAGAGTGCGCTCGTAAGGCTCTCCTCGACAGCCTGATTGAGAATATTGGCGCGCCACTGGCGGTCTTGCACGAACGAGATGCGGTAGTGCTTACCGCGCGTGGCCATCGGCGGGCGTCGCTGCGGCGGTCGCTTGTCTTCCATGTCGCGCGGTGTGGTCTTGCCGCTACCGGTGGGCTTGCCTCTCCCGGTGCAGAAGGCGAAGCACCCCTCGCGGGCCTTGGACGAGGTGGTCGTCGTCGTGGAAGTGGACGCTCTGGATGAGGGCCGAGGAGGCCGGCGTGGCGTGGCGAATGTTGGTCGCTGTTGCGTGTAGAGTGGGGGAAGGTAGAATGTGGTGCTTGTCTTGAGAATGGGTCCGCGGAAGGCGCGCGACCGCGCGGCTAGTGCGGGCACCAGCGCTTCTTCGAGCATGTGTGATCGTCGGGGAGTGGACGGAGGCGAGTTGCTCAGCCACGGTGCCCAGTCCGGCGTGGCCCTGGCGCCGAAGGTATCTGAGCAACCCATTTCGTCGGAGTAGAGGACGCTCTCGCCGCTGAGCGGCGACTCGGAGTCGAAGAATGACGACTGGGACATGGAGGGCATGGTTGAGAGGGGATACACGGAAGTGTACGTGGAGGCGGTGGGGCTTGCGTCTGGATGAACGCCTCTCCTCCAGCCAGCGACGTTCTGCTTCCACCGCGGCGTGCTCTCAAGGACGGCCCCGGGCTCGTCATGCCCCAAGTCGCTGTCGTGGTCGAAGGCGTCCCATGGCGCCGTGCTGCCGGGCCGCGACAACCTCTGTGGCGTCCGGCGTCCAAAGGAGCTGCCGCTGTGTACGGGCGGTGGGCGGGAGGGGAGGCTAATGGAAGGAGCGTTGCTATGTTGCGACATGGTCGGACAGGTGGGACAGTTCGTGCAGGTCGTTACAAGGTCGGAGAGAAGGACCTCTTGCACGCCGGTGATGGCGAGCTCGAGGTCGCACGAGAATGAGACGAGAGCAAGTGTGGGGTGTGTGGAATGTGTTAGTAGTTGTCGAAGGAAGGCCAGAGGGTCAGAGCAGACGCGTGTGAGAATAAGCTCAGTGCGCTCAGTGCGGCAGGATTCCTTGGAGCTTGGGAGGGGCGGTTGGATCGATGGACGCGCCGACGCACGATCGCACGAGGAAACGAGGGGATGCCGGAACAAGTGGTAAGGGGGCGGCAGGAGCGGCGAGAGCAATCAGCAGCTCAGAGCTCCCTCCGCATATCCGCATGAGACGAGCGGGCCTGCATTTGATGGAGCATGATGGAGAAACGCAAGATACGGATCCATGGAACAGGAAGATGGGAAACTGTCGAGAGATCGAGAGATCGAGAGTAAGCAGATGCCAACCTGCAGTCGGAAAGAGGGTGCGGCGTCGAGGGAGCGGAACGCCACTGTCCTGACCCATAGTCCCTCCCACTCCCAGTTTGACGTCAGGAGTGACTCTCCCTCTTTGATCTATCCAACGATCCAACGAACGATCTCAGTAGTCGAAACAGCACCTCACGAAGCCGTAGTCCGAGCCGTCCCACCTCGCAATCGACTAGTCTGACTTGTTATTTGATTATTCTATCGCGATCTATCGAGCTATCGATGGAGTAGGAGCGCGGGGCGTCGCGTCGCTCGCACACGACACGCGACACGCGAACGAGGTGGGAAGCCAGACAAGCGGCCTTTGAACTGAGCAGACGACAAGCCAGCCAGTTGGGTCAGAGGGCCGTGCACAGGGGTATGTAAACCGGTTCTCACCCTGAACCCACCCCACATGTCAACAACAGGCACCATACGTAATGCGGCAACTGCCAATCTTGGCGTGCTCACCCCTCATCAATCCCATGACCCAAGGGCCACGGCCGCTCTTCCACTAGGCCACGAAGACCTGCGCGCGCCGAGATAACAATGATCCAATGATCCAATGATCCAATGAGTAATGCGTGAGAAATGATTCCCGGAATGAGACAATGAGACGGTCTCGAGTCTCAAGCTCTCAAGTAGCTCATGGCTCATGAGCTCCAGTTCCAGTACTCCAGGCGCCAGGCGACCTTCCAGCGACCCAGCGACCCAGCTCCATCCATATCTGATCCCAAAATCTTATCCACATCTCCACATCTTAAAAGAATAACATAACATCGGTATCGACGCGAACATTGGCGCCTCAGTCGTCATGCGGATATCAATACACCTACATCTGAACTGCTGCCGCCCTATTACTGACCACGCAGTGCCTGGTGAACACTGGCTCGCAGCGCTGCGTGGTCCTCGCTGTGCTCTCCAGCGCTCTCCTCTCCGCTAAAATGTCCGTCCCTCCCACCCGCCCCATCGCTCTCATCAATGAGCTCCAGAATACGCTTGGCGAGACCGTAGATCTCGCCCTCGCCATCTTCGAACATGCCGTCCTCGTCGTAGTCGTCGTCCGAGATGTGGCCGCCGCGGCCACCGTGCGATGGCGACGGTGCTGACTCTGCGAGCTGCCGAATCGACGAGACAAGTATCGTCGAGTTTCGGATGTTGCTGGTGAGCTGTGGGTCCTTGGCCTCGAGCAACTGGACGATGGTCTACGAAGGTCAGCATGCGAAACTAGTTGTAAACTCACCCAAACCGCAATGTGCTGGAATGTGGTGTCTGCGCTGCTCAAGAAGCGGACAAGGTACGCGTGGAGGCCGCCATCTGGTTTGTTCCAGACTGCGTTGAATGGAGCATAGTCTTCTGCCGCTGCTGTCAGCTGGGTCACATCGTCTTGGTAGCACGCACCCTTGCTGGAGAGGTTGCCGAGAGCGGCTGCACTGTTCCCTTGCACCTCAACACTCGGCGAGCTAGTGAGCGGGATGAGGACCTCGCAGATGCCCATCTCCAGTAGCTGTGGCTTGAGGTTGTCTGCCGGTCAGTGACTGCAGTCAATACTAACCTACCGCTCAGAGCAAGCACAGCCACACATGCAGTCATCTCGCTCTGCACAGCCAGCGGCACCTGCAGAACAAGCTCCTGGATGCGGTCAACAGCTCCAGCCTCAACGATCGCGCCCTTGTTGCTCTCGCTGCTGGCCGCAAGGTTACGGAGTGTTGAGATTGCGTGGCACTGGACTTCCTCGTTTTCATCAAACGAGAGAAGGCCTATAAGAGGCTGCAGGAAGCCAGCTTCAATAATGGGCGACTCATTGGCAGGGTGGATCGACACGTTGCGAACGCAGGCGGCGGCTGAGAGGACAAGAGGGAGGTAGGACGAGTGAAGAAGACGCAGAAGAGGCTTGAGACCGTCCGCCTTCACAATGTCGACCTGATATTTCTCTGACGTGTCAGCTGCGATGCGAGGTTTGCTGGCGTACCGTCACTGGCCAGGTTCCTCAGCGCAAGGGCGGCTTGGCACTGGACCTTGAGGCTCTGGCTGTCCATGAGAGCGACAAGGCTCTGGACGAGCTTTGGCTCGGTCGCGGCAAGCTTCTTACGGTTCGCGGCATCAACGGCGATGTTGCTGAGCGCGGTAGTGCAGTAGTACTGCACGTCGGTGTCGGGGCTGTTAAGGAGGGAGACAAGGACAGGAATAGCACCTGCGTTGACCAGCTGCTGTCGGTTCTCATCTGAAGGTCAGTGGAAATGTTCCCCTGAAGCGACATACCAGAGTGCGTCATGTTGAGGAGAGCTCCAGTGGCGTTGCGCTGCACACGCATGTCCTTCGACTTGGCCAACCGCGTCAGGGGGACTAGGGCGCCCGACTTGGCGATAGGAGTCTTGTTCTCGTCTTCAATGTCAGTTGAGGGGGCTCAGTTACTCTCACCATGAGTAGCTAGGTTGGTCACACAGCCGACGGCGTTGCACTGCACCTCGACATTGGGGCTGAGCATCTGACGGATCAAAGGCTCAAGACCACCAAGAGACACAATGAGAAGCTTGTTCTCAGCTAGATGTCAGCGAGAGAAATGTGGGGGTGGCGCGCGCACCATTGACGGCGAGATTGCCTAGAGCGGCGCTGGCGGCGCGCTGGACCTCGCTATCGTGGCTGGTGAGAAGGTAGAGCACAGGGTCCAGGGTGTCGCGCCCAACTTCGCGCACATCCTTCTCCGTAATCTCCGCGAACGCGAGCGCGGCCGAGCGCTGCAAGTCGACATTGTCTGAGAAAGAAAGAGTCGTGAGGGCAGCGAGTGGGGACCCAGTGAAGAAGTTCGTCGTGCTGCGGTCTGGGTATGTTAGAGAATGCGATTGAAGCGGCGGCGATGAAGGTGTGGGATACTCACTCTCAAGGTACTGAAGGAGGTCTGCGACGGCTTCGCGCTCGTTTTCGAGTAAGAGAGGCTCATAGTTGTTCTTGCGGCGCTGGCCGCAGCATGTGCTGCAGACACCACCCATTGTGATTCAGGCCGAGCAAGCAAGCAAGCCCACGAGGAGGGGATTATTGAGCTTGGGGGCGTGTAGTACCGAAAGGCGGGGCTGTTTGTGCAAGGAAGACACGGGTGACGGAAGACGGAAAGAGACGAGGTGGTGACGCGTGGGAATGGGAGGGGGTGGGAGGGGGCGGAGGACAGTGAGCGAAAGCGGGGATGGGATGTCGCCGAGGCCGATGGGGAGAGAGGATGTAATGGTGGTGAGGAGGGGGAGTTGAAAGGCAGGGCGCGGTGGGAGGCGGGGCTGGCGTGTTGTCCAGCGTAGAGCTAGGCGGGCGGGGAGCGTGTTTTGGTTGGTTGTAAGGGGGGGGGGGGGAGACGATGGAGGATCATTTCCAGCCAGTGCAGGCCTGGGCGCGCCTGGCGGCCTGGAGTGTGTCGCCATGTGACGCGCGTCTCCCCTTATCCCTCAATGCCCATGTTGTGTGGCGACCTATTTGATCCCGTCTCACGCATTCCTCAACCTCATCTCTCCTTCTTGGCCTCCACTCCGACTGCATTACCACCTCCTCCCCGCTGGCTTCACTCCCACTCACAAAATGCACGACGGTCCGATTCGTGGAGGTGAGCATTCAAAGCAGTCATCTCCCGATGGATCTGACACTCAGGTACTCGCGGCGGCGCCGGTGACTTCAAGTGCGTCTGATCTGCGCTTCGAGCGATTTAATTCTTGCTAACCTCTTCCAGATGGTCCGATGTCAAGGAAGACAAATATCGGGGTGGGTAAACGATAAGGGACTTTGAAGCAGAAGCTGATAGCAGAAAACTACCTCGGACACACCGTCAACGCGCCCATCGGCCGGTGGCAAGCCAACAAGGATATTCACTGGTATCAGCGTGACAAGGAGGGCGATGCCGAGGCCGAAGCTGCAAGAAAGCGGGAGGAGATTCGGAAGATCAAAGAACAGGAGGAGGAGGCTCTGGCTGCGGCTCTGGGTTATGTGCCTGTCAAGCGGGACGGCGATGGAGCTGGAACAGGCGCAAACAATGTCCCCGTGAAGCGCAGGGAAGGCGACGATGCGGAGGAGAAGGCTCGCCGAAAGGCCGAGAAAGAGTGAGCTGGCTCATCAAGGCTTTGAGCTAACTGCAGGAAGCGGAGGGAAGAGCGCGCATTGAAACGAGCTGAACGCGAGGCTCGTCGTAAGGAAACGGGGAGTCGACGAGAGGATCGCGATCGTGATCGCGAGGAGCACAGGCGCTCGCGAAGGCATGACGATGAAAACGATGACCACTATCGTCGTCGCAATCGATCTCACAGCCGCGAACACTCCCGGCGCCGACGTGATGACAGGGATGACCGGTACGATGTGGACCGCCGGCGCCGCAGCAAAGATGACCATAATGATCGCCGATGGGACGGGGGTGAGAGCTCCAGTAGGCGGGCAGATCACGACCGCGACAGCGGCCGCGATCGTAAGCGTGATGAGGACGGCGACTTGAGACGCTATCGCTCCACTTCCCGGGAAGAAAAGTCGCACTACAAGTCACGCACACGCTCTGTTTCTCCCCGCCGCTGAGTATCGCATGACCTCAGTGGTGGTAACCGCTCATTTGTGATTAAAAATGCAGTGGGGCTGTGTCTGCATGTACGCGCAGTCTTGCATTGCGTGTTTGCATGTTTGGTTCCTGTTGCCCAGCATCCAGTGAGGCAAAGCACGTCCTCTCAATAGCTATATAGGTAGAGGGCTAATGAAAATTCCAACTCCATATTTGGATTGATTATCTCCTCGTCTCAACACGGATCCTCGGAAATAGAAATCTGCCTGGGTCAAATTATGACGCACAGACCGCGTCACAGAATTGAGGAAAGGTGTATCACGTGATGGGCTCCACGATCCACGATCCACGAGTTGGGCTCGTGCAGCGATTCAAATGGTCAGGGCTTGTGGCCACCTCTGCCTCTGTGCCGTGACCGACGGGCGCCGAACACGGACGCCTTCCACTCGCACTGCGTGGACCTCGGTCGGGCGGCACAGGCTACAAGTAGTCCACTCTATCTCTCCATCGTACAATCTCACACTCGCCCATCACTAGAACACTTCATCTATCTTTCTCGCCGGCAACTGCGACATCATCTACTCTCCTTTCTCTCCCCAGTAATCATTATCTAATCATGTCGTGGTTTGGGTAAGTTGATTGACCACACTCCGGCTGGTGGCCACGCGCCTCCTTTACGTTCCGCATCTGACGCGCCCAGTGGCAGCAAGCAATCCAAGGAGGAGACTGGGCCCAACTTCTGGCCCGCTCCGTCGTACAGCAAGGGCTATGCCGTCCCCACTGACAAGGACACTGAGGTAAGGCGCCATTGCGATGGCAGAAGATGGCACTGACCTCGCAGTGGATGTGCATCAGTAATAAGGGCTTCCAGACCGAGACGCAGGTCTGGTACTCGATCCTCCCAGACGGCAGCTTCCTCATGGTCCAGGTCATCTGGAGCTTCCTCGGGTGCGTGTGCGCGCAGTGATGGCGTTGACAAAAGCATGTTCCTCATCCCAGCCACCGCGCAGATGACGTTCAAGTACTACAACCCCACTACCAAGCAGCAGGTGTGGAAGTCGGTCAATGTCACCAACTTCAAGCACGAGGGCAAGAGCTGCAAGTCTGACCACTTCGTGAGGTGTTTATGTGTCGCCCAGAGCCTAACGCCAGAATGTCCAGAACTCTGGCTCCGCCAACGGCGAGGAGTCGTACACGATCACTGCCGACCTTGACAAGCACGTTCAGCTCAACGTGACCTACACCAAGCCTGCCAACGCTCTGGGCTTCAAGTACGGCCAGGGCGAGGACGGCGGCTACTCGATCTTTGGCCGGGACAAGCACATCGACAAGCGCGAGGGCTTTGTGTTCCAGTGCGTCAGAGGCGGAGGCTCAGGATGAGTATAGTGGCTGACGTCCAGCCGCTTCCACCCCATGGCTTGGAGCAAGGGCACTGTTACCATCGACGGCAAGGAGATTGACGCCACCGGCGACGCCGTCTTCATCCACGCCATCCAGTCTGGCATGCGCCCCAACACCGTGAGTGGCGAAGAAGGGGCTGTGTTGACATCAACAGATTGCCAGGCGCTGGAACTTTACCTACTTCACGACCGGCGGAACGGCCGCGAAGTCTGAGCTGGGCTCTGTCCGGGCGATCCAGATGGAGTTCCAGACCACCGTACGTGTCGAGGCATGTCAGAAGCGTGGATTGCTCATCTTCAGGACGACTATGGATCCGCGGGCAAGGGCTCTGGCCACACCAAGGTCAACGTTGGTGCGGTCTACTCCTCGTCACTCCCCAATTCGGTGCTCCTCGGCGTTGGTCAGACGTACTCGGCCAAGCCTGACCAGTACCCCAAGATCAGCGACGACGTGTGCATTGCCGAGCACCTTGCGTGCCTGCCGGATGCTGACACCGGCTACGATGCCCCTCACGGCCTCTCATTCGAGTGGGCGGGCGACCGCGTTGACGGCCAGGGCAAGGCCAAGGCCACTGTCATCGTCAATGATGCCTGGGCTGGCCTGATGGAGAAGGTGGATGTGCTCGCCGAGCTCCCCTATGTGATCCGCAAGGGTGTCACCGCTGTTACGGGTGCTAAGCCCTACATTTTCCAGTACCACAACAACGCAACTCTGGACGTTGAGCTGGATGGCAAGATTGTCCCTGTTCCGGGCTACATGTTCTCTGAGGCGTCATTCGTCTCCCCCTAAGCTCTGGTAAGGTCTGATTGGCCTTGTCGAGCTTGGTCATCGTACATACATATATAGTTGCACCTAATGTATAAACCCACTACGACTCTTGTTACTGTTTCTTCTCTGGAGCTGCCTGACATTACGAGTGCTGTGGCTGAATGATGGAATGTTCATGGTGATATCAATGAGAACAGAAGACGTCAGTGGATCAGTGGAGGATCTGCACCCGCTCCAAGATTGTGCGCGCATGTGACGCGCGGTGAGACGTGATCGGGAGTGTCAGGGGGGAGGCTGGATAGGCAGAAGATTGAGAAGATGAGCAGACGAGCTAGAGGAGGGGAGGTGGAGCCGCTTTAGTGCGCCCAAGATGAGGCAAGATGAGGCAAGATGAGGCAAAGATAACCGGTAGGTGGCGGCAATGTACATGTATGTAATAACGAGCGACAGCGGGGTGGAAGAAGGAACGCCGCCCAACGGGGTCTGCCCTGAGCGCCTACATACATCATGGCATCATGGGATGGAGCTGGGTGGAGAGGGAGGAAGGAGAATGTCGGAATCAGCGGCACGCATCGGGATAGAGCTGGGCGCGGCGCGCGGTTTGGCGGTATGGCGGTATGGCGGCGGGTCAAGTTCCGAGGCGGGTCACTCACCTTGAGCTCACCCCTTGCCCGATCCATGCCTCGCGCGGCGCACATATCTCATGGCACAATAGAGCGTTCTGCACACGCGCACATGAGGTTGTTGGCGGCACCAAGCGAGGACCGTGCTCTAGCAGCATGGTCCCACGCATGGTCCGAGGCATGGAGTGGCCGAAGCTGTAGCGCAGGTCGGAGGGTCCGTTACTGATGCTGATGCTGATGCAAGACTTTACTAGGCAAGGCAGCTTGGGGCTCGGGATTTCGGTATCCTCGGAGGGCAGAGTAGTGCGAGGCCCGAGGGTCGCGCGATCTCCAGAGTCCGTAAACGCAAGCTCAAAGGTCTCTAGGCTCGGCACCCGGTACAGGTGCCGGAGACAAACGGGGTTGACGAGTGCGGAAGTGGATTGGCCGAGGGCCGAGGATTGCGATGATTTTTGCGGCAACGAGTGTTACCGGCGGTAGAAGCATACACCCCTCCGGCACTTCAAACAAAGCAAAGGATGGCTCACTTGCCCTTTGGGTGGGTGCGATAGATGCCTCCCTGAGGGGCGCAGAGGCACCACTCTTGGTCTCCTCGGGGCAAGCGCGGCACAAGACCCGAGGCCGAGGGCCACGCCACCCCTCACTTCCCCCCCTTCCCCCTCAGGTAATCGGGACATACGCCACCCATCACCTCACCGCACCTTGGGCGTCCGTCACCGCACCCAGTCCGCCGGCGGCACTTCTCCACTCATCTCTACGGTGCAATTCTCACCCCGGGGTCGAGTTGATGCGCGCTTGATAGTCCTTTTCTTGATCTCTTTCTTTTCCGTTCTCTTTCTCGCTCTTTCTCTCCCTCTCCCTCTCTCTATCTCTCTAGAATTCTCTCTCTCGCTCTTGACTCATCTGTTGCTGTTCACAACAACAACATCATCATCATCATCCACGGACGGGGCCGTGCACCTCTTATCCCCCCTCACCCCCGCCCTTCGTGATCACACTTTGCCACCCACAATTCCACCAGCACTCGCATTTCTGTTCACGTCGCCATCTCCCTCACATCGCCTACCCCGCGCCACTACTGCTGTCACATAATCCGGCCGGCTCAAACCCCACCACACTCCACTCCCGAGCACCCAACTCACCCAACTCACCCACGTTGCCTACCCTGGCACTGGCGGACATTTTCTTCAGCACGTTCATCGGGTCAACGTTTGCATCTCTTGCAGCAACGCATTTGTCTCCTCTCTTTCTACCTCGCTCAATTCCCCAATGCTCACCGTGTAAATCGTCTTGCGCGGTAGCCCCTCGACGAAATTACGACCCTCCGAGCCCAACTAGCCAGCCACGATGTTCATCCCTCTAGCCGCCCCGTTGATGCTCACGGCCGCCCCGTCGTCTGGCCCCCCGCCCCTCCCCAAGAACGTTAAAATCACCTCCATCTCCGAGTGGCAGTACTACTTCAACTACAACTATGGCGTGTTCCGAGCACCCGCAAACCAGGGTGCCGAACTCGAGCGTCTTGACATTGATATCACCTATGTTGAGCCTCAGGCACCCGGCGCCTCAAAAGAGCCACTCTTCCTTCCGAAGGTAGCCGTTCTCATCCTCCGAGGCGGCGATATGATCGACGACGACGACGAGCGTATGGACTATCTCGCCGAAGTACTCGAAGCCGTCCGCCCCCTAGAATTCCAATGGTGAGTAAATCTGCGCAAATGCATCTCGGTGCGGAAGTAGCGTTGACACCCAGGCTCAGCGACACGGCGAGCGGCGGTTATTCTCCGACGGCGCACCTCGTTCACCCTGCTGTTGTCGAGGCTGGTGAACGCTGGTCCGAGAAGGGCATGCTCCGCAAGCTTGTCCTGCAGGGAGGTTTCCCCAGCTCGACCTGTCCCGACACAACCCTCATGAACCCCAACAAGGCCCTCGACTTTGCCTTCCGCAAGTGGTCTGTAGAGGAGATTGACTGGAACCTTGACAGTGAGTTTGGCCGCAGCTTTGTCGCAACTTTGGCTCACACCAGACTACACCCCGACCGCTTGCGTGACTATTGTCCAGCACTACCTCCTGGCTGTCAACACGGAGTACTGGAAGGGCTCCTGCAAGCGTGTCCCGACGCGCGCCTTGATTTTCACTTCCGTACCCAAGGAAGCTCTCGAGCGCATCCGCAACCTTCCGACCAAGATTGGACTTCCTCAGCCTGCTGCCGAGTGGCTCCAGGATGTCCTATTTGTTGGCTACGGCGATAACGTATCCCGCATCTGGGGCGAGCACCCGCCCGTGGATGAGCGGTTGTACGCGCGTCTGCGTGCTGAGCTTCTGGTCCTCCAGGAGCACCGCATTCTCCCGATGACCATGTTGTGGGCGTGAAGACGAGGAGTAGGTAAAGCAGCATCCGTTACGTGTATTATATCATTGTTTGTACAGCATCGCACATGCATCCGGTTTACATTATTGACGCGCCGCGTTCCATGTATCGAGTTCACTTGCTTGCCCCCCCCCCTTGCCAAGGCCAAGGCTTGAATGGATGCGCAATGAGGCGTCGAGGCGGCCATGGTTTGGTTCCGTTATTACCAAACTGCGGGGGGCTGTGGGCCATTAGCCATGAGCGACGCGGGCGCATAGGCCGAAGGGCGATGAGGGACAGCGTCATCACTTTAGTTCACCCCCTCAGCATCTCCGTCGATCTCAACAACTGCCACCTCACCACTACCACTGGCTCGTGCGAGCATCGTCACCGCAGCCTCTCCTACTCTCTGTTCCCACCACTCCGCGAACGAGGCTGCTACCATGAAGGGCTTCACCAAGGCCCTCCAGCGGTGAGTCCTGCATGCCAATAATGCTTGGCGCGCTGCTGACGATTCCCAGCACGCCGCACAACCTCGGCAGCCGCATGGGCATGTCGAAGAGTAAGTCACAGGCTGCGTAGACATCGCCGATGGGACTGTACGCTGACGGGACAGAGTCGTCGGACGCCGAGTTTGATGACTGGTGCGTAGGCCGACGGATGCGTGGCGCCAAGCCGGGCCGTGCTGACCCCCAGGGAGCGCAAGTTCAGCGCCGTCGAGGCCGCGTCTGAGAAGATGCACCGCGACTCGATCGTGTTCCGCGACGCCGTGACGTGTGAGTTGACTGATCCTATGTGCTGTGTGGCGCCTGGCTCGCCAGATGTGTCACCTGCGCGATGTGGTAGTGCGTTATCTGACGCCAGCGCTCCTCGACTCCGGCTCGAGCTTCTCGGGCTCGATCGCGACGCTCTTCTCCCCCATCGGCGCCGAGTACGACATTGCCTCCAAGTTCCCCAACGCCGAGGTGACGGTCAAGAACATTGCATCGTACCAGGGCCTGATGGACGAGCTGCGGGAAACGCTCGCGCCAGAGCTCGAGCTGATCGAGTCGCGTATCGTGCAGCCGTCGCTGGAACTGCACGAGATCTGCAAGAAGATCCGCAAGACGATCGTAAAGCGTGACCACAAGCTGCAGGACTTTGACCGGCACAACAACAGCCTCAACAAGCTGCGCGCCAAGAAGGAGAAGAGCCTCAGCGACGAGAAGAACCTCTTCAAGACCGAGGAGGCGTTCGAGCTCGCGTCCGGCGAGTACGAGCACTTCAACAACCTGCTTAAGACGGAGCTCCCTGCGTTCCTCGCGATGGGCACGCGCTTCATCGACCCCCTCTTCCACAGCTTCTACTACATGCAGCTCAACGTGTACTACATCATGCTCGAGAAGATCCAGAGCTTCTCGGACGGCAAGTACGACCTCGAGCGCCGCGACATCGAGGACATCTACCTCGAGCAGCGTGGCGATGCCGCCGAGCGGCTCGACGCGCTCCAGATCACGAAGCGCACGCAAAGCACAGGTGAGGCGCCTTGGCATGACAACGCGTGACATGGCTGACATCTAGCCAAGATGCTCCAGCAGCACCGCACCGCCAGCGGCAGCTCGACGCCGGTGCGCGCCGGCTCGATCGCCTCCAAAGCCGGGCTGGACCGCAAGACGTCGAGCGCGTCATCGTACTCGCGCCCCGGCGCGGGCGCGGGCGCCGCCGCGCCGCCGCCCTACTCGCCGTCGACGGCCTCGGGCGCGTCCTTCGCGGGCGGCAAGAAGGCGCCCCCGCCCCCGCCGCCCCTCAAGCCCAAGCCGGGCGCCCCGCCAAAGCAGTTCTGCACCGCCATCTTCGACTACGAGGCCCAGGCAGAGGGCGACTTGTCGTTCAGCGCCGGAGACCGCATCGAGATCGTCGAGCGCACAGACTCGGCCGACGACTGGTGGACAGGCAAGGTCAATGGCCGCCAGGGCATCTTCCCGGGCAACTACACCCAGCTCAACTAGGCGTGTGGAGTTGACAGTTATACTCGGCGGTGGAGATATGAACGTTAAGTGCCTCGGGTCCGGGTGTTTGCCTCTTATTCATCCTGAATACTGACCTGTGCACTGCGTCGAGGCTGGGACCGAGGTGTCGTTCCGACTAGTCTTGCTCACTGCTTCACGTAGTCAGTGCCAGTCGCCAGAGACATACTCCATGATAAGCAGCAGATTTGGTTCCTGCTAATGGCCACGAGTAAACTCCAAGTCATTCACTCGGGCCGATTATGTTGTCTCCTCAAGCTGGGAATGCCTCACGCGATGATGCAACACGCAAGTGGACGGCCTATCATCCTCGCATCAAGTGTTTCCGGAGTACGTTTGTCGCCATCAGAAACGAGATAAGTCGCAATATCTACTTGTTTGTAACATCTGTTGAAGCGCCGAAGGTATTCTCCCAGTACCCAAATAACATCTGGTACTCTGCGTGAAGGTCAGAATTAGCGCGTAACGAAGCAAGGATATGTGGGCGCTGCGAGGTTGTCAGTCAGTTGGGTCCCAATTGTGCTGACGCGAAAGAGGTCTCAAAATCGCAGCAGCCACGGACCGATGCCTTGTGCTGCCACTCGAGTGGCTAGAGTACACGACTGTACACGGAGTCATTGTATTGAGACGCGTAGCAGTAATCAGATTTGAACACCAAACAACATCACAAAAGATGCAAGCTTGGATACATCGTATACAGAGCTACCGACGTTTCCAGTCCCCCGAGTTATCTCCCGAAATCCAGCTGTTCGTCCGCGCAACGCCTGGCGAAGGCGAGCCCATTCCCAAAAACGAGCTGCTGCGTCGAGACGACGATGATGGTCTGGAAAACGAGGAGGGGATCACCTCCTTCTCCCCAGCAACGGCCTTCGTCACCTCCTTCTGGGCGCGGTTGGCCACTCGCAAGCTGAACGCGGCAACCGTCCACACGCCGCCAATCACACCGACAAGGCGGATGAGGAACTGATACAGCGTCGTCGTCCGTTCACGGATAGTGATGGTCATCGGCTCGAGGTCGTACTTGAAGAAGATGCCAGGCACGCCTCGCCCGTGTTCAAACACTCGCGTCGCCTCCGTTACCGCATACTGTTGTCAGCTTAAATTCAAGAGCTAATAAAGCTCACCTGAGAGGTGCTGAGCATCCGGCGGTTCGCGTCGATGTACGTGGTCGGGACAATACGGAGGAAGTACTGGAAAGCTGCGAATGCGGCATCCGTAGTCTCCAGACTCATGTCAAGCGGCTGGGCGATGGCGGGGAAGAAGGGTCCGAACGAGAACTCGTGAATAACGTGAGTCAGGTTCATGACTGTGGTCAGATCCACCGAGTCGTCAAAACATACGGTCGTGGTCGGTGTGGTGCCCGCTCATGTATCCGTGCCCAAGTGTCGTGATGTGCAAGTTGCCGGTCACCTTCTTGACGGACACACTGCCGTAGATGCGGCATGCGGGTCCGTCCTTGACAAAATTATGAGTGGGACGGTACTGGAAGTGCTTCTGCTGTGCTCCGCTCGAGGAGAAGAACTTGCGCACACCAGACAGCGACTTCTTCTGATTCGGGGTCGAGCGGCGCGCATCCGAGATGATCTTGGACGCAGATGGCGTCTTGGATGCCTTGGACAGCCTGCCGTCAGCTGATACCCACGGACTGAGGCTTACTTCTGATGTGTTGCCCGGCCGACCTCAAATACGGTCTAGATGTCAGAGTGAAACGACGCGTGATCTCACCCCTTCCTTCGCAAAGGCATTGCTCAAATGCAGGCGGTCTCCGACCGCGTCACGCAGGTCGATGGATAGGTCTGGCGTCAGCGAAGGGCGTCCTTGGTGTCGTCAAACGCACCCTGGCACGGCATCGCCACAGTCAGGTCGACATTTAGTTGCAAGTTGTCTTCCAAGCCCGAGTCAATGGAGAAGGAGTAATCTGGCTCGCCATACAGAAACTCGCCCAGATCATTCAATTGTCAGCGTGCCAGGAAAAGGTTGTTCAACTCACGAGAACGAGAAGGAAAATCGCCAGGCTAACAATCACGGTGAGGACGCCGCCTCGTCGCGAGTGAGCTGTGTACGTTGCCTGCACCTTTGGGAATGCGTCGAAGCTCTTGATGGGCGCGATCTTGTCAAGCTCGGCGAGCAGTCCCTCCTTCTCCTGTTCAGGCGGAGAGGACAGACCGCTGCGCGGGCGCGCATTTTGGTTGGGGCTGTACATTCCAGCGGCAGGCGATGATGGAGAGGAGGTGTCGAGCTGGTCGAGAACTATAATCGACGCGTTCGACGTGTCGCCGTGCACATGAGTGGAGGTACAAGGCGGAAGCGGGAATCGAGACAGCGGAGGCAATTCCACGCTCACTTCACGTGTAAATCGTTACGTCACCTCCCCTGGTCTGTGCCAGGTTCAGCCTCCACTTCTGCGACCACCCGGATGTGGCCACCATAACTCCATCCGCTTAATAATCCAGCGCAAGCGCTCCGGCACCTCATTTCCATCGCTCATGCTCTCCAGAGTTACATCTCGCCTACAAAGAGCAGCTCTCACACGGACAATAAACACATCAAACATGACTCAAACGCTTCTCCCGATTCACCGCCTGCCGCTGCCTTCCAAGACGCTGCAAAAGGCCCTCACACGACTCGAAGTAGACGGCGAGCCCTCGGCGCAGCGCCGCAGTACCAGCTTCCCGGCGTCAACACCTGGCGTGTGGGCTCCCGTGCAACCACTGTGGACCGAGTGGCCTTTGCGCGTGACGAAGGCTGAAGCGCTCGAACTCGGCGCCGACGTGGACAAAGGCGATGGTGTGGATGTCGAGGACGTACTTCGTCGCTGGGATCCGGTCGACAAGGAGGAGAAGGGCGATAATGGGCTTGCACTCGGAAGCAGCGTGCACAGACTCAAGCTCGAGCCAATCTTGCTCGGTGTAAGCGAGTTTGCGCGAGCCGAAGTGCTCCCACACCTCGACGTTGGCGACGCGGCCGACCTTGAGGCGGGCACTGAAGCTGACGCCTCACCGGCCCGGGCGGCGCTGGTCGACGTTCTCTCCGGTCGGAAGATCTTGTCTTCTGCTGAGTACGGACCATGGGCGACGCGGTACTGCGGACATCAATTCGGGCAGTGGGCAGGGCAGCTCGGCGATGGCCGAGCCGTGAGCCTTATCGAGACTGTGAGCGAAGCCGGCCGCACCGAAATCCAAGTCAAGGGAGCGGGTAGAACGCCATTCTCTCGCTCTGCCGACGGCTTGGCTGTCCTGCGATCTGGCGTGCGCGAGTATCTCGGTTGTGAGGCGATCGCAGCCCTCGGCATCCCAACGACGCGCTCCCTCGCAATCCTGACGTCGCCGGTCATCGTGATCCGTGAGAATGGTCGGGAGCTGAGCTCGCTTGTTGCCCGCACGGCGCCAACATTCATTCGGATTGGCCACTTCGAAGCGATGAACCCGGGCGAGGCAGGGCGGAACACGCATCAAATCTTCTTCGGTGGAGCGTGGAACAACGGGCGTGATGAGGAGGCTGACAAGAAATCGCCGCTAGGTGGTCATGGCAACCTCGACGGCCTGAGGGACCTGACACTCTGGGTGAAAGATGAGGTCATGCAATCCAAGGGCAGCATCAAGGACTGGTTCTTTGACGTGGTGCGCCGCAACGCCGACACGGTCGCCGCCTGGCAGGTTTATGGTTTCATGCATGGTGTCTTGGTGAGCGCACAACGCTTACAGGAAGCTGACAACAGAACACGGACAACATCTCGATCATGGGCCTGACAATCGACTATGGACCGTATGCGTTCATGGATGTCTTCGACCCTCAGCATATCTGCAACCACTCGGATCCCGGGGGCCTGTACTCGTACCGCAACCAGCCAAACCGAGTGCTTTTCGCGCTTGACTCGCTGGCATCCTCCCTCCTCCCAATCCTCGGCTATGAGAAGCTGAACGGAGCCCCACCACCTGCGGGGTGGGGCGAGGATGCGAGCACGGACGACGTGCGCAAGTGGGAAGAGGCCGGGTTGGCGGCCATCGACGGTTGGAACAAAGAGTTCATCAAGACGCAAGAGAAGGCTGAGAGTGACGGTTGGAAGATGCGCTTTGGGCTCAAGACGTTCCGCGATGATGACGAGCGCGCTATCGTACGCAACTACCAGAGCATGCTCAAGGCGTGCTCGGCCGACTTTGGCGTCTCATTCCGCCTGCTCGCCGCTTTCGAGCCCTCCCGCGCCGCCGAGGACGGCTACATCCCCAAGTTCGCCAAGAGATTCATTGCCGCGACGACGGCTGACCTGTCATCTGACTCAGTGATGCGTGCCGAGGAGGATGCGGGCGCCTGGCTCCGTGTGTACGCTGCGCGTGCAACGGAAGACGCCGAGGTCAAGACATGGACCAAGGAGGCTGGCGATGGAAAGTGGGAGGCGGCCCGTACCGTCGCCATGCGCAAGGTCAACCCGCGCTTCATCCTGCGCCAGTGGGTCCTCGAGGAGGTTATCGCCACGATGGACAAAGCGCTCAAGGACGCCGACGTGCCGACCGCACGCCGCGCCCTTGCCCTCGTGCTCGACCTTGCGAGCAACCCCTTCGAGACTTACGGCGAGCGCGAGGATGGCAGCGTTCGCGACGATCTCGACGACGCAACAGCGGAGCGCGCACGCCTCTGCGGCCTCGGCCCTCGCGGCATGCTCGGCTTCCAGTGCAGCTGCAGCTCGTAGCTGTTAGATGATGTATCGCAATAGAGTCTCGATGGAAATGTATCACATGACGTACACTACACGGCTACACAACACGGCGCTTGGATGGTGAGCGCGAGCGGTCGCGCCTTCGGTCATCACTGGGATCAGGATTGAGTTGTGGACGTGAACTCACTCGTACTTATCCCTGCGGTCGCGGTCCTCGTACCGGCTCCTGTCACGGTCGCCGTAGCGGTCACGCCCCCCGTCTCCATAGCGGTCTCGCTCACGGTCCCCGTACCGGTCGCGCCCACCGTACCTGTCGCGGTCGTCGTAGCGCCCACTCCCGCGGCGCTCCTCATGCCTGTCTCGCGAGCGCGAGCGGTCGCTTCCGTCCTCCCCGATCTCACCAGCCTCACGCTTTTCGTCGGAGAGCGGGAAGGGCGGAACCGGCGGTCGGCTTCCACCTGGCCCGGGGCCGGGTGGTGGAGGACCGGAGGGCGCGACGGAGGGTGGAGGCACGCCGAGAGGCGGAGGGGGAGGGCCGCGCATGCGCTCCTCTGCCCATGCATCCATAAGCTTGCGCAGTTCGTGGAAGCCGAGGTGCATCTTTCCGCCGAAGTGGTCGGCGAGACGCTTGTCCGAGTCGAGAACACTGAGCATAGCGCCACAGATCTCACACACGCGCAGCTTCTGGTGACCGCTCGCGCCCGCGTTCTCGTTGAGCAGCTGCAGTTCCTTCTCCTTGTCATTCTTCAGCTGCTTGAGCGCGTCGACGGCCGCGAGCTTCTCCATACTCTCGTCGACCTTGCCCTCTGCACCGAGCTGCTCAATCTCGTCCGTCCCGCCTTGGATCGCAAGCTCGATCTCGCCGATTTCTTTCATCAGGTCGACCGTCTTGCGGTTCTCCTCTGGCGTCTTCTCGAGCTTGCGCTGCGACGCGCGGATGCGCCGGTCGCACTCGTCCACAAACTGGTAGATGTTGTTCTCGTGCTCCTGCCTGAACGCGGCGATGCGCGGATCCGGAGAGGGTTCCTTCTGCGCCTCTTGGAACTGCTTCAGAATGCGGTCCGAGTGGGTCTTGGGACACGGCCCCAGGTCCATTTTCTGCCGTAAGCTCAAGATGCGCGTCGTGGCTTACCGTGTTGCTAAACGTGTCGTGAAGACACGTGCCAAAGAGGTAGTCACGGCACACCTTCTCGTTCCACCAGTCGAGACTGGGCGGGTTGAAGCCCATCGCCTCGGGGCCCATCATTTGCTGCTGTCAGCCCGGTCTGAAGGACTCGAATGACCACCTACCTCAAGCAGCTTGCGCTGCATCTCTGCCATTTTCCCCATGCTGGGCAGACGTGATGCGTGGACGGTATTCGTGAAGGGATGTCAAGCCGGAAATGAGACAGTTGAAGGCGGTGACTGTTGGTGAGCGACATTCGTGAACGGAAGTATTTCGCCTCTTGTGGCGAAGTGAGATCTCGGAGCCAAATCTCAGACAGGGACAAATTCTACCATTGTGGACGTAGTTGTGACGGACAAGGGCATTCTTCCTTCAGACACTTCTATCCATATCATCTGCAGATCTAGCTTTCTACAACTTGGACCGCTTGCCGGTATTAGGGTCGAAGCCGGAGCGGCGCTCCACCGCCTCGAGACACCGGATGACCCAGTCGCGCGTCTCGGCGGGGTCGATAACCGAGTCGATTTCGGTGCTTTGCGCCATGTTGATGGCGCGCCCGCGTGCATACATCTCGTCGATAAACACCAGCTCCTGCTTGGCGCGCTCGGCGGGGTCCGCGATAGCCTCGAGCTCCTTCTTCATGCCGAGGCGCACCGCGCCCTCGATGCCCATCCCGGCAAACTCGCCACTGGGCCATGCAACAGAGTGGAAGGGCACGTGCGTGCTTCCGCCCAGCAAGGCCTGTGCGCCGAGCCCGTACGCCTTGCGGATCGTGACGCCGAAAATCTGGCCGCCCTCGTCGACGAAGCGGGCGCCCGCGGCGAAGTAGTCGGCGAAAGCGCGCAGGCCGCCCTCGGGCTCGGCCTTCGGGCCGACCATGAAGCCCGGGGTGTCGCAGAGCGCGAGGAGGTGGCCGGCGCGCGTCTTCGAAAGGATGTTCATGAAGCGCGTGGCCTTGCGAGCTGACGGCGCGTCGATCGCGCCTCCAAGTGGTGACAGCACGTTGCTGGCCACCACGCCGAGCGTCAGGCCCTGCACGCGGATGAAGCCCGTGATGATCGAGTTGCCCCAGTGAGGCCCGATCTCGAGGAAGGGCGTGTCGTCGTCGCTCAGAAGGTCGAGAATACCGTGCATGTCGTACGCGCGTTTCCGGTCGGTCGGGATGGCGTGGCGGAACAGTCTGGGGTCACGCGTCCAGTACCAGTCGCCTGAGCGGGGCGGGGCGGGCGGACGCGCCTGGAAGAAGCCGAGGAGCCTCTTGGCCATGTCCGTCGCCTCCTCTTCGTCCCTGACGACAATGTCGATGTTACCGTTCTCGAGGTGCGAGGAGATTGGGCCGACGTCTTCGGGCGCGACAACGCCCAAGCCACCACCCTCAATCATGGCTGGTCCGCCCATGCCGATGCTTGTGCCCTTGTTGCTCGTGGCAATGATGAAGTCGCATGTCCCGAGCAGCGCAGCGTTTCCAGCGAAGAGGTAGCCGTTGCCAACGCCAATGAGGGGAATACCGCGCGCATTCATGTGCGCGAGGAGGGTGAACGAGGGGCCGTGCAGACCCGCAACCTTCTGGTGCACGAGATCGACGTCGCCTGGCCGGCCGCCTCCACCCTCGGCGTAGAGAATCAAGGGCGCGGGGTTGGCGAGCACGGCGCTGAACATGCGGTCGAGCTTCTGGTGGTGGAAGTATCCCTGCGTGCCGGCCAACACACCGTAGTCGTACATGCAGATGGCGGTGCGGCGGCCGTTAACCTTACCCCAGCCGACGATGACGCCGTCGTTGCGCGTCGCGGCCAGGGCCTCTGGCGAGAGACGGGTGCGCTGCGCGGCGAGAGCGAAGTCCCCGTATTCCAAAAAGGTGCCGTAGTCGACGAGGTGCGCCATGTTCTCGCGCGCAGTGCGGTATCCCCGGTCGCGGCGGCGCTTCGTCGCCTTGGCGCGTACGGCGCTGTCATCCTGCATATCGGCACGCAGCTTCTCGAGCTCGAGCAGCGATTCCGGCTTCGAGTCGAGGTCGATCTTGGACGCCGCGTCGTTCGCGCTCGCTCCATCGTCCGTCCCGTCGTTGATGGCCAGCAGCGCGACGGCGGCGCCGTCGTCGAGGTTGTCGCCCTCCTTCGCGAGTGTCCGGATAACAGTGCCCGACACCTCGGACCGCACAGTATGCTCCATCTTCATGGACTCGAGGATCGCCACCGTGTCGCCCTTCCGGACCGTCGCGCCGTCCTTGAGCGTAAAGCTGACAAGGCGGCCGGGGAGATGGACCTTGACGTACGTCTCACCATGCCCCGCGGGCGGAAGCGAGTTCTTCATCTCTACCTCAACGGAGGCGCCTGGAGCCGCAGCGGCCTCCTCCGCCCACTGCTTCTCGAGAGCCTGCACACGGGCATACAGCGCGTCCGCATTCTGCTCGACGAAGCGGGTGCTGATGTCGCGGTTTGTGACCACGCGCTCGTCCTCAGCCAGCGCGAGGAGGAGGGCGCGGTTAGTCTGCACGCCCGCGACGCGGAGCTGCTCGAGCGCGCGCTTCGCCCGCGCAATATTTGACCCGTAGTTGGGCCCGACAATGATAATCTTAGCGAGCAGCGAGTCGAACGCCAGGCCCTGGCGGTACGTGCCGACGGCGCCGCCGAGGGGCGGGTGCGCGGCGGTGTCGACGCGGATGCCCTTGCCGCTCGGGGGCAGGAAAGCGGTGAGCGCGCCGGTCGTGCCGACGGCGCTGCCGTCCGGCTGCAGCTTCTCAGCGTTGATGCGGAGCTGGAGGGCGGCACGGGGCGCAACGGCCGGCGTGGGCGGGAGCACGTTCTTGAGGGGCTCGCCAAGGGCGAGGCGGATCTGAGTCGCAACGAGGTCAACGCCGTACGCCTCCTCGGTGACCGTATGCTCGACCTGCAGGCGTGGGTTACACTCGAGGAAGTAGAACTGCCCCTCATTTCCCCTGGACGGGGGCACGAAGAGGAACTCGAACGTCGAGAGCGAGAGGAGCTTGCCGGCGCGCGCGATGTCGAGCGCGGACTTGATGATGGCCGCGCGCAGCTTCGGGAGCGTAGCGAGCGTCGGTGACGGACACAGCTCGATCAGCTTCTGATGCCGCCGCTGGAGGGTGCACTCGCGCTCGCCGACGTCGACGGCCTGCCCAAGCCCGTCGCCCACGACCTGCACCTCAATGTGCCGCGCGCCCTCGAGGAACGGCTCCGCGAACACTTTATCGCTCCCGAACGAGCTCAGCGCTTCGCGCTTGCATCCCTCATATGCCTCCTGCAGCGCCGCCATGTCGTGAACAATGCGGATACCGCGTCCGCCACCACCCTCCAGCGCTTTCAGGAGCACCTTGGTGCCACGGGGCAGCTGGGCCGCGAAGGCGCGGATCTCGTCCAGCGAGGCATTGCTCGACGTGCTCGTCAGGACAGGGACACGGCACTTCTGCGCAAACTGCTTGGACGCGTACTTGTCGCCGAAGAGCGCGAGTGTTTCGGGACGAGGACCGATCCAGAGAAGCCCCGCCTCCTGGACTGCCGCAGCGAAGGCAGGCGACTCGGACAGGAAGCCGTACCCGGGAATGACAGCGTCGGCACCGGCTTCCTTTGCCACGCCGATCACGCCCGCGATGTCCAGGTACGCGGCCGCGCCGTCGCCTGGGATCTGGAGGCGCGACTCAAGCGGCAGGTGCAGCAGGTGTGGTGCGTACACGCCCTCGGACGCAGTGTAGATGCCGAGCGGGATGTGCCCGAGATGCTGAATTGACGACTGGATTCGCACCGCGATTTCGTTGCGGTTCGCTACGAGAATGCGCAGAGGGCCTACCAGTCAGCCCAGACGTACGCATAGCTTACCAGCTGCCCTCGAGCCGTTCTGTACTGTCATGGTAGTGTGCAAGACGATTGGGGTAGTGGGGATGGAGCCCACCATGTTAAATGCGGGGTGGAAGTCGCCGGTTATCTTGGCACGGCCGAGCCGACGGCCCTTCTTACTTTTGATCGCACATGCCCGATCACGCCAGCCTTGCCCATCTCTATACTCCATCCTCAGTGGCCGGGTCCGATGACGCGCCCTTCATCTCGCGGCGCGCTCACGACGCGTCCAACGCCCCTCTGCTCCGAATAGTCCAAGAAAGACCATCATGTCCGATGGATGCATTGTGACTTCTATTCGTCGTCGTCCTCATACACCAATGACGCGAATGGGTCGTCATCCTCAACGTTTACCGTCCACTCGTCCATCCCTTCCTCTTCCTCGAAGTCGTCGTCGTCGCCGAAGTGAACCTCAATGAGGCCGCTGTACAGGATATACGAGATGAACGCGGCGCCGGCACCGAGGAACCAGAGGTAACGGCCACGCTGCAGCCGCTTTTGCGTGTCAATGTCGCGGGGGTCCTTGGCCTCCTTCTTCTTCTCTCCCTCCGCGCTCGGCCCGCCGAGCCACGAGGGGAGATACAGGCGCACGGACTCAACGAGCGTTGGGTGCGGCGCAGGTGCGAGGCGCGAGATAGTTCCCCATCCGCCGGGAAATAGCTTTTTGAGAACGCGATCATGATGGGCGACTAGGGTCGGGTAACTGTCCCGCAAAAGGTTGGCGAGCAGGGGGTTTGGCCAGGCGACCGAGAGCACGAGTGTCAGCTGCGCAAAGAGCGCAATGTCGAATGACGTGGGCCTGGTATTAGCTGGGAAACGTAGTCGTCTCACTGTTTGCCGTAGAAGTAGCGGTGTTCCCCAAGCTTGCGCGCAAGAGGGTCGAACGCGGAGCGAGCCCGCTGACGGAGCTGAGGTCAGCGCCACTCCTATCCAGCTTTCTCCCGGCACCACCGTTGACTTCAGCGAACAACTCACAGCCTCCTCGCCGAACTTGCGCTGCCGGTCCGCCACTTCGCGACCAGAGCCCCACCCCGACCATGCGCGCTCGGCCTTGGTGCCGCCAGGCGCGACCACTACGCTGTCCGCGAGCTTCTTGCGCTGCGTGTCGCTGTCGTCTCCTGCGTTCAGAGAAACTCAAGCGCCATAGCCTACCTTCCTCGCCGCCGCCGAGGCCCCACATCCCCGCAGCACGCAGGCGGTTGCGGTGGATGCTGCGGATGCGGTGCGGCACATAGTGGTTCATAGGGAACGGGCAGGTGGCGAGCTGTGCCCCGGCCAAGAAGGGGTGGTTCGGTGGAAGAGAGTACATTGTGTGGTTCTGGGTCAGCGCGTTCGCGGACAGACGCACGACGAGATCAGTCACGAGGCCATCGACGAAGGCCTTCCATTCGAGACTGTCGGCGGACTGCTCCGCGCTCAACGCATGATCGGGGTCCGACCAGCCCGGGATGGAGGAAAGATATCGCTCCTGGATCGCGATGTTGTCGAGCGTGATGAATGGCTTGCCTGCTGTCAGCTTGGAGGAAGGTGTGGCCTTACCGTTCGCAGACCAGTCGGCGGTGGTCACGTCTGGAGACAGTCCGCCGAGGCGCAGGATGCCCAAGAGTCGGATCGAGGTGGCATCGGAAGCTGGAAGCGGTGTCAATGGAGGTGTAGTGTGCACCACCACTGCAGAGGACATCGTGGCGAGATCAGGTCAGTGAAAGTGACGGAGGATATAAGAGTAGCTGCTCATCTCATCTTGAACATCGCGAAATGTCGTCAGAACACGGACCCAATCGTGGTCGGTGGAGGTCGACCACTTCCTTTAGCCCGCCCAATTCTTAGGCTACACATATGCTCGCATCATCCTATGCAAAACAACATGCTACTTGTGTAATGTAATCTCCTCTGGTCGCTCCGCCGTGGTCTATAGAACTGTATATTAATGCTACTTGGCAGCCGTCTTGGCAAACCGGACAAATGCTTTGAAGCCTTGAATGAAGCCACCGCCGCCTGTCGCGCCATAGTCGGCAAGAGTCTTGTTCTCGCTGTCGCGCCACACCCCATCTGCCTGCACGCCGCCATACTTCATCGTGTTTTGGTTGGCAATAAGAGCTGAGGTTAGCTTAACCCGGCGGAAGGTCGGCTCACTGTCCATCACTTCGGCGACAACCTGCTTGTTGTCAATCATGATGTTAACCTCTCCAGAGTGGAACACCGACTGCGTGTCGCCGTTGGCGTTGCCCATGATCATGACTTCGTCATCGTAGGCCGCAAACTTGATGTGGCAGTTGCGCTGTTTGATGATCGCGTTAAGGGGGCGGATCTGGTCCTTGCTTGTGTACCAGTAAACCTTGAGGAACTGGGACTTGCCCTCCTTCTTGAGCTTCTTGTACAGGCGATCGACAACCTGCTCGTTCGTACCACCCTAGATTATCAGTAATGTGCTCAGCATCACTTGCGTACCTGGAACATGATACTCTCAGCCATGTCGTTGAAGCCCAGATCGAGGAATAAGACGACTTCGACGCCACGGCGACATGCGTGCTTAACAGCCCGCACGAGAGGCCGCGCATTGAAAGTAGGAGTTTGGATGAACACCTTGCGCTTCGCGTAGCGACAACCGGCGAGCCAAGCGGCGTTCTGGGGATTTGAGATGTCGTGATGACCCGGAACACCGTGAGGGCGGCGACATACCATCGCCACGGGGAAGGGGTCGTGCGGGGCGTGAATGCGGTGAGCCCGGAAACTGTCGAGGTCGTCCGAGTCTTCGACTGTTGCCCATGCTTCGCTGAGCGCGCCGGCATTGAAGCGCTTTGACAGTTTGAACATGCGTTTCGTGCCTCGCCCTGGCGGAACCTCCTCGTCCATCGACATCCTGGGCATGTACAGAGGCGACTGCGATCCGGACGGGACGTCGTCTGCCCACTGGAAAGAGCGTCTGCGAGTCGCGTGGGGCATCGCTCCAGAGTCGTCGGTACTCGGTGCTGCCTCGTCGTCAAACGGGGACGACGGCGGGAACGGTGCCGACGGGCCGCTCGGATGTGCCGACTTGGACGTCACAGGACCGTTGGGAACGGGCGACAGGATCTCCTGTCCTCGTTTCTCCATCACAGGTCGCTCTTCCAGGTCTTTCATCGCAACAGTGGGGCTATCCACCATCCGGTCCGTGAGGATGGCCTCGGTGTAGTCAGCCGTCATAGGCGGCCCATGGGCATCGTGACTGAGAGCCTCGTTAGCCGAGTGGAAGCTCTGTCTACGAGAGCTGTTAACAGTTGTAGACGGGTCGTCGTCGTCATGGTCATGGTGGAAGTGAGCGTGGGGACCGGGCAAAGGGTATGTGTTCGACCTGATGGGGACCTCGTTGAGCGTTGGGGACGTCGGCGCTTCTGAGGGGGCTGGCTTTGTGATAAGCTTGTTTGCAGCCGTGATCGCGGCGGTCTCCTCGTCGTGGTACTGCCGACGAATGTCAGGGTCGGTCATACTCGTTCTCCTGCTGCCCGGGCGGCTGCTAAAGTTCATCCCCATGCGCTCTCCGTAAGCGCGCATCTCCTTCATGGCAGTCGCACCCCGCTGCGCGACTTCCGCGCGGCCGTGAGCAAAGCTTTTGGCGAGCTCCTCCTTGTTGTGTGCGAAGCTCTGTCGAGGGCCAGCCATCGCCTGGCGGAACGACTCGACGAGACGGTCGCGAGTTGGATGAGAGTCCAACTCCCGGTTTTCTTCGTCAATTTGCTCGGTCTGCATGCGCAGTAACTTGCGCGCCGCGCGTGCCGCCTTGAGCACCTCAATGTCTCGAAAGTAGGGGTTGTAGTCGCGGAATAAGTATCGCACGTTTCCGTCGGCGTCTCGGGGAGGGTCGTACGGTTTAGAAATGCAGGGCAGTGGCGGTTCGAGCTTGTTGTGCCAACAATGCAGCGCAACGTCGTAGAATGAATCCACGACTGGTCCCTCTAGGTGAGTCATCATCTCCAGGTTTGGGCGATCTTGGATGTTGCAACTGTTGATGAGGACAACCTTGCGGTCGACTATCAGGAATTTGACATGGAAAGTGCCAAGCAACACTTTGTGGAAGTTCTGAGATTGATTAGTACGTCCTTGCACCAGGGATGGCTTACTATCACTTCGAGATGAAGCCCGGGCACGTCCTTGGCATCAGGGAGGTCGAGCTTGGTCCAGACGGCCGTTGACACCGGTGCATGGGCGTTCCAGAGCTGCTCCCAGCTGCCACGGTCGTACATGACCTTGACGACCACCTTGGGGCGGCCCTCCTTCATCACGCGAGCAGAGAGCTCCCTGAGAGCCTCAGAGACGGTGTTGACGGAATCGGAGGGTCTGCGAAAGTCAACATCAGGAAGTCACGCGACACTCACTGCCAGTAGTTGGTCGCAAGGAAGACTTCATGCTGTGCTCGGACGATGACGTCGCGGTAGTGCTTCATGATGTCGGGAATTAGAGAGATGATGCTGAGGGGCATCGTCGTCGTGCTTCCCAGCAGGTCAGGTGAGGTGTAGCCGGCGAGCGGGTCTCTCTCGATGGTCGGCAAACATGAGAGGTAGATCTTCCAAAAGAGCTCCGAGACCTCGACGCCGTCACCTTCCTCGCCCGGTAGCTTCCAGCCTGCGCGTCGCCGGATTTCTGGGCCTTGCGATTCGAGAAACGCGAGCTCCTTCTCGGACAAGCCCTTGATGACCGAGTGTTTGCCCGGGAATCTTGCCATGAAGCGGGAAAACGGCTGCGACTTTGGGAAGAGATGGGCCATGGCTTTGGCGACCGACGTGCCCGGATTCTCGGCCATGTACGCCGCTATTGTCTTGGGAGGCGGAAGGGGATCAAGTACGGTCTTGTGCTGTGATCCAGACTGAGCATCGGCGGTGGAGTGGTCGTGTGCCGAAGAAGCAGCGACGCTTCTCATCGTCGGAGGATAGACCATCTCGTCTGATGCGGTCGTGTGATCGGCATTGGAGCGAGTAATTGGCTGGATGCTCACTGGCGGATGGGGGATTTGAGCCTGCTCGCGGCTGTCCATGGCGTGCAGGCGAGAGGAGATGGGGCTCGTGGAGATTGATGTCGGGAGACGGGCAGGATGGGATGGAGGGAGAGAAGAGGGTGGAAGAGGTAAAAGAGACGGAAGGGAGAGTGGTGTTGGAAGTGAAACGCAGTTCGGAGATCGGAGAGAGGAATGAGGGAAGGTTCAATGTAGTTGAGGCGATGGATGGAGTGGTCGTTCGGTTGTCTCTCGAGTTCAAGAAACAAGTGGTCGGAGGAGGTTATGTAGGTAGTCAAGCGTTGAGTACCTCACTTGTGGTCATTTGCAATGCAGCCACAGCGAGACCAAGCTAGACCAAGCCGTGTTGCAACGTTGAGGAGGAGGAGGAGGAGATGCAAGAATGATGAGCAGTGGTGGTGGTCGGCGATGGGACAGGCTTGGCGGAAGCTGATTGTTGTGACGATGGAGATGTCTTGGGAGGACGGGGGATATGAGGGATATGATGGAGATGAGGGAATATGAGGGCACGGGGGCCAAGGCCAAGGGCTCGGCTTTGGCTTAGGTAGGGTCAAGGACCGAGAGGCGGTGAGCGCGGCGCGCGGCGGTTGCACTGGGGCGGAGGCAGGAGGAGATGGGGGACCACACGGGGTGAGAGGAGGGCGGAGGGGCGACGAGGGCTGATCGGGCTGACGTCGATTTCGCGACCTTGGCACCAAGGCTTGAACCTCGCTGCTCCGTCCCTGGGATTCGTGGCTTCTTACAGTCCAGAGTCAAGTGTCGGAGCAACGACGCGCGACGTATCGACTGTGGTGGATGGGTTGTTCTGAACGTGGGTCAACGTGGGAGATACGTAGTGCATCCCCAGATATCAGTGGAGTGTAGCGAGGTGGGCCAAAGATAGCTTGATGACATCTCACGGAATCAGCGGCGTTGCTCGGAATGCATGTCCCAAGATCCCACGAAGGGATGCACCTCAACGCCGGCGCCAGCAACGGAGACGCGAGGAGAAGCGCTAGGACATTGATTGGACGATCGCGAGCGAGCTGGTCCGTGCATCAAGCCGAGCAGAGATGCAGGTTGCATGGCCCATGGCCTGCATCGCGCTGGATGGATCCGATCCAGCGCGACCCAGAAAGCCCTCTACTTCTTCAGGCCAGTAGTCCTCTGAGTTCCGCGTCCAATGACGCGCTTCTCATAATCTCATCCCCTGGCCGCCGCCCTCAAAATACCCGCCATCCGAGGCATCCGACATGCCGACATCCAACCCTCTGCTGCGCGCTGCGCCGCAACTGCCGAGCGGCGCGAGCGGTCTCTCCGGCCTCGCTCCTTCCTAGGCCGTGGCTGTACGGCTGTGAATAGAAGCTGGAACCAGCTGCTGCGGAGTCAGGACTATTGCTGAGGCCGATGCAGATCACTTGAGACGCCCACTTGCCCGCGCTGGCCCGCGCTGAGCCGGTGGGGCTGCCGAACAGCAACCTGCCAGCTGCCAGCTGCCAAGCTGCTGCGGGCGGCGTGAGAGACCTGCTGCGGCGCATGGACGACCATTGCACAGCCGCTGATCAGGGACATGGTCTGCTTCCGTGATCAGCGCCACGTGTAACACGTGAAGTGTGTTATGCCACCCGTGGGAGAGCTATCGATGACAACTGAGTCAGAGGATGCCTCTCGATCAGCAAAGGTCGATATCTCTGAATGAGCTTGTACTGTAGATCATGGACCCCCGTACGCTTCTGGAATACACCCGTGTCGTATCAGGAATGCCCCAGCTAGTTGTTTGATCCGATTGTGTCGGCACAGTACGTCCTCTACCTTGTTCCTCACCATGCTCCGGCTATCTCGCCATTATGTGTGAGCATATGCTGGCAGAACCTCGGCGACCAAAGTTGACAAGATGGCCCAGATCCCGCAGTGGGGGAGGAGGATGATGCCGACCTCCACCATGTACCATGTCAGAGGAGGGGGCGAGGAGAACACGAGCCGCGCCGAGGCCCGCTCGAGCCGGAGCTTTGACCCGGTTGGCAATCATAATCGAAATAATGCGGTGGAGGTTTAGCCCAGCCGCCCAGCCGCCCAAATCGCACAGGTGGAGGTGGGGAGGTGGGCAGTCAGAGTGACACGGACTGCCGCCAATCCCGTAATTCTACCACCCACCCACAACACTTAAGACCTCCCATCTCACAACCTTTGACAGAGCTCAACCTCGTCCCCACCCACCCCCAAAACCACCACAATGTCGTCCGCGCAGTCGTTCCAGCAGGCTCCTCACAAGCTCCTGGTCATCCCGGGTCCTGTCGAGTGCTCAGACAGGTTAGTACATCTTTACGCCGGGGTCGAGTAGTCGAAATGACGAGATTGTGGGGGTGAAGAGCGCCAGCTCGCTCCGACAATCTAACACACCTCCGCCGCCCTTGTCGCCCTAGTGTGCTACATGGGGCACTCACGATGCGTCATGCAGATACATGCGCTCAGCGGGACGTTCCGGGCAGAGTTTCAGCCACGCCGATAGCACGGTAGCTGACACCCCAGCATTCTGTACGCCAACGCCTCCCCCTCGGTCTCGCACGTCTCGCCCGCGTTCATCTCGGTTTTCGGCGACTGCCTGCGCATGCTGCGCAAGGTCCTGTACGCTGAGAAGACCGGCCAGCCGTTCATGATCGCTGGCTCCGGCACTCTCGGCTGGGACCAGACCGCTGCCAACCTCGTCGAGCCCGGAGAGGAGTGCGTGAGTACCTCCCTCTCTCTCTGCCATCTTTTCTCTACCCGAGCGCCCGAGGCCTTTGATTGTCACACCCCCGCCTAAGCGGCGTGGCCTGTGGGCCCTCGCACTCGAACATTTTGACGGCCTCCACACGTAGACCGGGTGAATCCCGTCTCGGAGAACCCCGATTCGAAAATCATGATCGCCGAACCCTCGGCGCTCGGATCCACGGATATCTCTCCGCTTCCATGAGACGCGACGCTGACACGCAGCTTGTCCTGAACCACGGCTACTTTGGCGACTCGTTCGCCGACTGCCTCGAGACGTATGGCGCCAAGGTCACCGTGCTCAAGGCCGCTATCGGCGGCATTGTCGACGAGAAGGAGCTCACCAAGGCTCTCAAGGAGAAGAAGTTCAAGCTCGTTACCATCACCCACGTTGACACGTCCACCGGTGTGCTTGCGCCCGCTGCGCGCTACGCCGAGCTCATCCACCAGGCGTCGCCCGACACGCTCATCGCGCTTGACGCGGTGTGCGCGGCCGGCTCTGAGGAGATCCGGTTCGACGACTGGGGCATCGACGTGGTGGTCACGGCGCCGCAGAAGGGCCTGGGCGTGCCGCCCGGCCTCTCGCTCGTCATGGCGTCCAAGAAGGCGCTCGGCGTCCTGAACGCCCGCAAGGCGCCCGTGTCGTCGTACTACGTGTCGTGGCGCCGCTGGCTGCCCATCATGGAGGCCTACGAGGCCGGCCAGCCCAAGTACTTTGCCACGCCGCCCGTGCAGCTCGTCACGGCGCTCAACGTCGGCCTGAAGCAGATCCTCGACGACTCGCCGTCGCTGCAGGACCGCTTCCAGATCCACAAGGACGTGTCCAAGTACGTCAAGGACGAGCTGGAGAAGATGGGCTGCGGGTTCGTGCCGCTCTCGCGCGACCACTCGGCCAACGGCATGACTGCCGCGCGCTACCCGCAGGGCATCAAGGCCGCGGACGTCCTGGGCCCGCTTGCCGAGCGCGACATTGTCGTCGCGGGCGGCCTCCACAAGGACATTGCGTCCGAATACTTCCGTGTCGGCCACATGGGCGTGACGGCCGTCGACAAGTCGCGCGGCGACGTCGACAAGATCCTCAAGAACGTCAAGGAGGTTCTGGACAAGGCTCGTGCGAAGCAGGCTTGACTCGCTCGCGCTTCGGCGGCGGACGCCGAGGCCGTCCGTGCAAGACTGTAGGAGAGGACAGTAGACAAACTCTTATTGCGAACCATTTGTAGGCAACATGCATCTCCTCGTGTACTTGTACGACTGGGCGGCTGGGGATGCTGAGAGCTGAGGGACATGACCCGGCGGAGTGTCAGCCATGGGGCGAGTCAATCTCACAGCGGAGAGCACGATGGTCCACGTTACGCTCGCCGAGGGCGGGACGTAGAGCCACGTCATGCTGGCCTAACAGGATCGATAGATTAGTTGTGCGTGGGAGATTGGATGACGATCAGAAGCAGCAGCCGCCATCGCAACACTGCGATGCCGCGCAGATCCGTTCACTCCCGTCCTGCAGCGCTGCAGGCCCGAAGCTCTGCGGCGATGGCGAAATCCGCGTGGCCGCATATCGCATATCGAGGGTTGCTTGGTCGACGCCACGCAGCCCTTCAAGCCCCCGCCTCGACACCCTTGAAGGGTCGAGAGAGAACTGCGCCATGGGCGCGTGTCAGCGTGGTGGAGAGCTGGAGGAGATGCTGCAGGTGCTACTAATCCATCAAGTCAGGCAGGTTCTCAGCATGGTTACCGTGATTGACATCCGCGGCTGTGATGAATGGGGGAAAATGGGCATGGGCAGCTCGTGCTGGGCAATATGAACATTTGAATGAGATCAAACGCAGCCACGAGCAATTGAGCGGCTGATGGCAGCTGAGTGTGGGATCATCATTCCTCGCACATCGTCCTGGCATTTGAAACGGAAACAGAAACGGCCCGAATAGCGCTGACCCGTGCCACTCTCCACTCTGCAACTGCAAGTTGCAAGCATCGCGATACTTGAAAGCGGGGAACCGGAGCGGGGAACGATGAGATCGAAGAGAGTTTCGGCGGCGCAAGCGGTACCTGTTGCGAGGGAGGGGACGAAGATCAAGGCACGCATTGTAGGATCCTGCGACTCACCTGCATCATCTGAGAGCATGAGAGCAGCGCTGAGACGCGTGAGGTTTATTAGTTGGACGATCAGACAACACACAAGACACATTACCCCATGCGTGCCTGCCCCTGCCGATCTGCAGGTGCCGAGCATGCCCAGAGAATCTTAGAGCAGGGATGCATTGGGGGTTCGATTCGCAAGCTGACGGAGCCCCAGGAGTGCGTCAGTGTGCTGTGCCGGTGAGGCGGACGAGATGAGAAGAGGGAGCGAGGAACCGAAGGGGAGTCGGCCCAGGAAGCGGAGGCCAGAGGGAGGAATGAGGGAGGAACGAGCGGAAGTGCGTCACTGTGACTGTTTGGTTGTTCCCCACACAGTGTGCCTGACTGCTCTTTGCCCTCCACCGATCACCCAGACCGCTCCGCCCTGATGCTGCGAAACATGCACACCTGGGCACCTGGGCAGCATCTCAGCAGGCGGCGCCTCGTGGCGTCGAGATGAGGATGTGGATGATTGGTCACGAAAGGAAAGGGGCCGGAGGGCCGGAGGGCCGGAGGGGGAGCCTGGATCGCCTGAAGCCTGGGAGGACTGGAGTGGGGACGCCGATTGATCTACATTCGACCCCCCTCGGACCTTCCGCTCCCTCATGCCCTCAGCATGGCCGCATGGCCCATTGGATGCAGTGGGATGATGCTTGCTCCGCTCGACCACATACCTCACTCATCTCTCTCTCTCTTCTCACCGTCACCTCTCCATCGCTCCTCATCACCCATCCACCTCTCCTCACCCCTCAGCCATACCCCATCGCGTCCACCTCATCTCCCATCACACCTCAGTATCCAATACCATCTCGCACCAACACACCGACACCCCATCTCCATCCCCCTATCGTCCAACTCTCCACACACTCACACAGCTCGCCACTGCCTTGGCACCTTCCTTCACATCCTTCTACAACCTCTCTCTCTCTCTCTCTCTCTCTTTCTTTCTCTCTCTCTCTCCTCCCACTCTCCCTTCACACTCGACACATGCACTCATCCGGATCAAATGGAGCCCTCGCTCCCAACGCTGCCCAAGGACCCAGTCCCGACCCCGACCCCGTATTCGAAATGGTCGTCCTCGGGTCAGGTGGAGGTCCCTTGGAGACTGATTGCTCTGGGTAGGCTACACACGGTCCCAGACAAGAGGCCGCAGCGAAAGCACGTCTCCTGACACACAACAGTTATCTCCTCAAGCCAGCATCAAGTCGATGGGAAGACGGTATCCTCGCGTTGGAAGGAGGTGAGTGTCTTAGGCGCTGGTGTGACCCGTCTTGAACTTGGTTGACCATGTAGGCTCCGGCATAGGTGCTCTCACGAACCTTCTCAAAACGCACCCAGTCGAAGAGCTCTTCCCCAACGTAAACTTCCCCGAGACGCACAATTCCCCCATTTTAAAGGCGGCGTACATCTTTTCCTTCCTCACGTGAGAACCTCTCCGCGACAGCGTGACGCACGCGCGTGCGGAAGAAGACTAACGCTTAGGTGTTACCTCATTACTCATGCCCATCTTGACCATGCCGTGTCCTTGATCTTGCTGTCCGGCTCCGTCCCCTGTAAGCAGCGCCGAACTTCGCGACAGATGTTCAATGAACACTCAAACGCATCTGAGGCCACTGCGGACGAGACTGTCCCCCCAGTCCCCGCACGCATTCCTGTGTACGCCACACAGGAAACCCTAGACAACTTGGCAGCCGCTTATGGTGGCGGCTTATGGCCAGAATTGGGTGCCTGGGCGACACCGGAAGAGCTCATGCAGTCCGGCAGGCGCAAGCGCCGCCGGACCCAAGACGAGCTCAACGGAGTGGGACCCAAGTTTTACCCGTAAGTCAGGTGACAGCCCGCCGCCGCGTCGATGTGGGTTAACAGTCTTACAGGTTGGCGACAGACAAGGGAAGGAAGCATACTCACCTAAACGCGCACCTCCCGATCAGCACGCTCGTCTTCCCCGTCGCTCATGGGCACACTTCGCAAGGTCCATACTCGTCATCGGCCACGTTCATCCGCCACGACCCTTCTCTCATGGCGTCGCGGCCAGTGTCGCGTCGGGCCAGTCAGAGCGCCATTTCAACTCCCCAGGAGGACATGGACACAGAGACCAACGGCCTCTTTGGCACCGCTGGGAGGGAGTTCCTCTTCTTTGGCGATGTAGAGAGCGAGTGGCGCGCGGATCACGAGGCCGAGGTGGACAGAGACGGCGCCGCTGCTGCCGGCGCCTACAACCGAGCTATCTGGGAGCAAGCGGCCATGAGCTTCGGAGAAGGTCGTCTTGCAGGGATCTTCGTGAGTCATTAATATCTGGATGGAAAAGGCTTACCTGCCAGCTGGAGTGCTCGTACGATTCGACGCGCCCTGCGACTATCATGTTTGGTCACTTGTCGCCTCCTGGCATCATGCACGAGCTTAGGACGCTGGCCTCGTTCGTTGGAAAAGAAAGGTAAGCGACACTGGTGAGGGCACCGTTAACCAGTAGCCGTCCTCTCGAAGGTCTCAAGATCTTTATCACGCACGTTAAAGAGTTCTTGGTCCCTCACAGGAGCGGCGTCAGTGCGCGGGAGCTTATCAAGATTGAGCTGGACGCGCTCGAGGCCGAGAATCAGCTTGGTGTAACGTTTAATGTGATCTCGCCTGGAGATCGTTTGTGTGAGTAAGAGTGTCAACTAACGGAACGCGCTGACGAACAGTGATTTAGAGGACTGTTGCCGACCCGACGTCTTTTTCTCTTAGTGTATGGGTGTTGCGCCAGGTATGAGGCAGCAGCAGTACGAGAAGTCGGCAGAAGTGTAGGCCGATGAAGCCCTGTATCAGTAGCAGCGAGACAAGGGTGGTATCGATTTGTCGTTCGTGACGAGGCTTGGCGCGCGCTTCTTTCAATTGCTCGGGGTGGAAAAGACGCCGAGCACGCGATGTTGACATGGGCATCCAAGCCCGATCACATGATCTGAGGGCTCCGGGAGGAGATTGCGCCAAGATGGCCGTCCCTCCGAGCGCTCGGCGTATGCGGAGTAGCTGCACGGATGAACCAAGATACTGCAGTCTCTTGTCGAATAGCAGTTCGGAGGCCGGACGGGGGCCGAAGACTTAAAGCGCAATCGCAATCGATTCTCCGAGTGGCGCGACTCCTCGCGCGCGCCGATAGTGTCTCGGCTTCTCGGCACGTACTGATCGCCGCAACCACGGCCGAGTCGCCGGTCAAGTCCGGCATGACATTCCCAGGCCTAAGCCGCCGCCGTCACATTGGAATGGCGGCTAGCAGCTGACCAAACTAGCCAGACGGCCAGACATGAACATGCGTCGCCCATCCATCTCTTGTCAACGCCCTCGTCCGTTTCCCCCGTGATGACAGAACCAAGCGAGGCTACGCCGCGAGATCCACCACTCCCGACGTCGTTCCAAAGCCTCGAACTGCGATTCTCACCTTCGCGGCCACTCGCGCGCATCCTCTCCGGCGCGCCCCACGCACACCCCCACACCTTCCCGGGCGCGGGCACGCCCGCCGACCCCTTTCTCGTTGACTGGGCGCCGGGCGAGCGCGCGAACCCGTACAACTGGCCACGGCCGTACCGCTGGGCCATCACGTCCGTGATCGGCATCTCGACGCTATGTATCGCTTTCGCGAGCTCGGCATACTCGACCGCCGTGCGCGGCATTGTAGCCGAGTTCGGCGCTGACCACGAGCTCGTCGTATCCGGCCTATCATTCTATGTCATAGGTGAGTCTCTCCTCGCCCACCCTGACGCCAGGCTTCGGCCTCGGCCCGCTCGTTTGGGCCCCTCTCTCAGAACTGTACGGCCGCAACATCGCCTTCTACTTCTCCTATCCCGTGTTCGTGCTCTTCAACCTCGTCGGCGCGCTCAGCCCCAACATCGCGACGGTGCTCGCGTCGCGCCTCGTGGCGGGGACGTTTGGCGCGAGCCCCATCACCAACGCCGGCGGGCAAATCAGCGACATGTTTCCAGCGTAAGCATGCTGACGGCACGGCTGACGCAAGCCACGAGCGAGCGCTCGCCACGAGCTTCTTCAGCCTCGCGCCCTTTCTCGGCCCCGTCATCGGGCCCATCGTCGGCGGATTCGTCGCAGAATACCGCTCTTGGCGATGGGTGTTTTGGGTCCAATTCTTCTTCGGGCTGTGAGTGCGATCGACGGTGGCACTGCCACTGTCGCCGCCGACCCGCTGACATCAGCACCATGTGTCTCCTCTCCCTCATCCTCGTGCCCGAGACATACGCGCCGACACTACTACGCCGCAAAGCGCGGCGGCTGCAGCGCGCCTCGGAAGACGCGGGCATCCCAGCGGTCTACATCGCGAAATACGACCGCATCAAAAAGTCCCCTGCGCAGGTCCTCCGCACAAACCTCGTACGCCCGTTCCAGCTGCTCTTCCGCGAGCTCATCGCGGCCTGCCTGGCGATCTACGGCGCGGTGATCTACGGCACGCTGTACCTGTTCTTCGAGGCGTTCCCGATCGTCTTCGGCGCGCGCGGCTGGAGCCTGTCCATGGTCGGCCTCTCGTTCCTTGGCATGGGTGTAGGCCTGCTGCTCGGCAACGCGTCCACGCCCCTCTTCGACCGGCGGTACGCGCGCGCGGCGGCGCGCGCCGCGGCACAGGGGCGCGAGACGCCCCCCGAAGCCCGCCTCCCCGGGTGCGCGGTCGGCGCCACCGCCCTCCCGATCGGCCTCTTCGTCTTCGCGTGGACGTGCACACCAAACGTGCACTGGATCGTGCCGATCATTGCCTCCGTCCCCTTCGGCCTCGGCTTCCAGCTCATCTTTACCGGCATGCAGCTCTTCCTCATCGACGCGTACCAGCTGTACGCGGCCAGCGCGCTCGCGAGCAGCGCCGTGCTCCGCGCCCTCGCCGGCGCCGTGTTCCCGCTCTTCACGGAGAAGATGTATACCCGCCTCGGCGTGAACTGGGCCGGCACCCGTGAGTAGAGTGTCTAAGCATGCTCACCCCAGTCGTCGCGTTTCTCTCGCTTGCGTGCGCGCCCATGCCCTTCCTCTTCTTTCGGTATGGCGCGTATCTCCGCCGACACTCGAAGTATGCGCCCTCTGGACCCCAGGATGGGTCGGGGAGCGAGTGTGCCGACAAAGCGCCCCAGCCGGCCGAGGACGAGGCGCTCGAGCCCGAGTATGCGCCGGACGCAGGGGAAAAAGCGGGTTTGGATGAGCTGTGCCGTACAGACTCGTGCAGGAGTGTCAAGTGGGACGGGAAGCGGGAAGAGCGGAGGGCGGGGGAGGGGGGGATGGAGGAGAGAGATGGGATAGAGCCAGAACCGAGTCAAAAGTCACAGATAGATAGAAAAGAGAGAGATGTGCGCAACATCGTGTAGGCATCTAGGCATCTGCATTGCATTCCGCTGGGCACCTCCTTCCGTCCGTGGCACCAGTTGAGTAAAACTATAGTAATTGGCCCATAATTACACCTAACCGAGTCCAGCTGATGTGATTGATCGCCAGCAGTAGCGCAGCCGTGCAAACGTCACAGCACCCACGCCCCAGCACCCACCTACACCTCGTCGCCCGCATACCGCACATCCGCGTTCTCCTCAAGCCACGCCATCCACTTCTTGAGGTACGCGCTCCCCTTGGCCACGGTACTGCTGTCGCCTACGACGCACAGCTGCATGCGCGGCCTTGTCATCGCGACATTCAAGCGGCGGTGCTCGCCGAGAAACCCGACCTCGCCCTTCTCGTTCGACCGCACGAGGCTGAGAATCACCGCGTCCCGCTCCTGCCCCTGCAACCCGTCGACGGTGCCGATAGTCATCTCGGGATACTCGTCGCGCAGCATGCCTGCCAGCACGCTCACCTGCGCCTGGTAGGGCACGACGATGCCCACCTCGGCCGGCGCTACGCCGTGCTGCACCAATTTGCGAGCCCACGCCGCGACCACGACGGCTTCGTTCTCGTTCGCCTTGCTCCCCTCTCCGAGGGACTTGACGTCGTCCGCCTCGGAGCGCTCGTAGAACTCGCACCCGTCTGTGTCGAAGAACACCACTGGGTGCTCGAGCACATCGCGTGCGTCATCGCTGTCGCTAGCGGTCGGGAGATCGAGAAGCGTGCGATGCGCCACGGACTCGTCCGAGACTAATTCGCCGCCGTACAACGTGGCGCTCGGGAAGGCCGCGATGCGCTCGTTCATCCTGCCATCAGCTCCACAGACATCCCAAGCTCACCGATACTGGACTTTTAGGACGCGCTTGACGCCTGGTCCATAAAGACGCTCTAAGCGGTCAAACAGCGTTGTCTCGAGGGTGTGTGGAGGGCGCAGCGACTTGGCTTTGACAGAGATACCCGCGAGCTTCTTGCTGGCCTCGACGACCTGTTCATCGCCATCGCTGGAATCCGCCTCGCTTACAGGCCCGTCCTCCTCCGATGCCACCGCTGTCTCTTTGGCTTCGGGCATCGTCTTCTTCGCGCCCTCAACCTTCTGTTTCTTCTCCTTACGCTTCCCCTTTGTGTCCTTGCTCAAAATCGTCGGCGGCAGCTGCTGCGGGTCGCCGGCAAGAATGAGCTTCTTGGATTTGAGAATCGGCACCCAGCATACCGCCTCGACCGCCTGCGTCGCCTCGTCGACAATGGCCACGTCAAACTGCATGTTATTCAGCTGCCTTGCACCCGCAGTGTGGCAAGTGGCGAGCACGACACGCGCGCGGCGCACGGTGTTCGTGACGACCTTGGCCTCGCGCTGGCGATATCTGCGTCAGCTTGCTCATGCGATCACTCACTCCTTGCGCAGCTCCCGCACCTCCTGCCACTTATTCCCGCGCTCCCGGCCCTTCACGGCGCCTTTCTCGCCCCGCTTCCGCCCGAGATCGGAGAGGTGGCCTTCGATTTCCTTGCCTACATCGCGGACGAGCGCGCCCTCCTCCCCGTTGGCGGCACGCCAGTCCAGAGTCTCACGCACCAGATCGCGGTTCACGCGCGTGGGATGCCCCAGGCGCAGAATTGAGCCTGGTGGGAGGAGACCGGCGTAATCGGGCAATTGGGCGAGCGTGTGCAGGCGCAATAGCAGATTGTCGAGGGCCAGGTTACTCGGCGCCGTCACAAGAATGCGCGGGGGTTGTGTGGTCTCTGGCCCGGCGGGACGCGCAAGTAGCTGGAAGATAACCTCGATCAACGTGTGTGTCTTGCCGGTCTGGCGTCAGCTACCCGTTACGGTAGTTGTGGCAGGACGCACGCCTGGTGGACCATGGATGCACGCCAGGGTGTCGGCGCGCAGGCAGAACTCGATGGCCTCCTTCTGGCTGTCGTTGAGGCGAGAGGAGTACCAGTGCATCCCATCGCCGTTGAGGGGTGGCGGAATGGTCGACCAGGTTGGCGGCGATATCCCGAGCAACGCGTTGATAAGCGGCCAGTTGGCTGCGTTGGGAGTCGACTCGCCTGGGAGCACTAGGCGGCGGAGGTGCTCGAGTGTGCGGCGCATACGGTCGTATGTCGCCGAGTTGGCCAGCTTGAGTCTGCCGTCAGTTTGCCCGCCAGTGCGCTCACAGCCTGAGTCGCTCGGGAAGCTCAACATCGCCCTCGCTCACGGCCACCACGATCTTATCACGGCCGACCTACGATTAGCTCAGCCCTTACGCGCATTGCCTCCGACTCACGCGGTACACCACACCATCCACGCCCGCTGCTTCTGCCTTCTTCCCCTTCTTCTCCGGTACGATCTCCTCGATACGCGCCGGATCGCCATTGCGGAACGTGTGCAGAGGCAGCTCCGTGTCGACGTTGTATGCAATAGGGCGGCACAGCTCGACCAACCTATCATCAGTGGAAGTCATCTCTAAAGCTTACGTCTTTCCCCCTAATCCAACGGAGATACTCGCCACACCGAGACTACCCAAGGCGAGACCCTTTGACTCCAGCAGCTTGGGCGAGCAGTTCGTGTTGAGGAGGCGCGTCTGCTCCTCTTCTTCTGCGCGCTCAGCGGCGAGCAGCTCCTCATGCCGAGAAAAAAAGGCTTCCAGCTCTGCCTCTGTCGGCGCGCGGGTTTCCAAGAGTGCGGCCATGATTGCGAGGTGAGATGGCAAACGCTGACGGCGTGGCCTGGGCGACCTCCACCTCAATCTCGACCTCCACATTTCGACTTGAAACCGCTGCCGCGGAGACTGCCCCACGCGGAATCCCCCAGGCACGGGCTGCGGCCGATGGATTTTGCCAAGCTCAAATTCTACCCGTCAGGCCGTCAACAATTATTATCAGATAACCCTCCAACGCCTCTTTCCCCTCACCCATCTCCCCCTCCCCGCTAAAATGAGCGTCTCCGTGACTCCCGAGCAGCTCGCCGCGCTCCGCGCGACACTGTTGAACACGAGCGGCTCGACGCCGCTGCACGAGCGCTTCCGCGCCCTCTTCATGCTCAAGGCCGTCGGCGGCGACGAGGTCATCGCCATCATCGCCGAGGGCCTCAAGGACGACTCGGCGCTGCTCAAGCACGAGCTCGCGTACGTCCTTGGCCAGCTCAAGTCGACGACGGCCGTCCCGATTCTCGAGGACGTGCTCGTCAACCCCGAGGGCAAGCACTGCGCCATGGTGCGCCACGAGGCGGCCGAGGCGCTCGGCGCCATCTCGAGCCAGAGCTCCCTGCCCGTCCTCCGCAAGTACCTTGACGACCCGGCGCGCGAGGTGCGCGAGACGTGCGAGATCGCCGTCGCCAAGATCGAGTACGACCACACCCCGGAGGGGCAGGCCCGCAAGCCCAAGTGAGTCCGCTGGGCTGTCCATGTGCGATGTGCGCTCGGACTGCCGAGGCAGAGCACGGGCGAGCTTCCTGGTTGCATACAAGCCGCGCCCAGGCTCGCCTGGCTCCCCGCCACGTCAACCCCCTCTTACGCCGCACGCACTGACACCAGCCCCGACTTCCCCACCATCGACCCTGCCCCCTCCTCGACCAAGGAGCCCGTCGAGGACCTCCGCGCCGCCCTCTTGAACACCAAGCTTCCTCTCTTCGAGCGCTACCGCGCCATGTTCGCGCTGCGCGACTACGGTGGTGCTGAGCGCGACGCCGTGCGCGCACTGGCCGAGGGCTTCGGCGACAGCTCCGCGCTGTTCCGCCACGAGATCGCGTACATCTTCGGGCAGCTGAGCTCGCCCCACTCGATTCCGTCGCTCCTGCGCGTGCTGCGTGACGACGCCGAGGAAGAGATGGTGCGGCACGAGGCGGCTGAGGCGCTCGGCGGCATTGCGAGCGACGGCGCCGACGCCGAGATCGACCCCCGCGACGACCCCCTGCCCGAGGGCGGCGTGCTCGCCATTCTCCGCGACTGGGCTGTGAAGGAGGACGCGCCTCAGGTCGTGCGCGAGAGCTGCCAGGTCGCTATCGACATGTGGGAGTATGAGAACAGCACCGACCAGTTCAACCCTCTCGACAAGCTCGCCACTGACAAGGCGTACACCACCGGCATGGAGCGCAGTGCGCACGCCGCCGTCGCCGCTGCCATGGCCTAGTTCGGTCACACGTCGTTGTTCTTAGATCTTGCTTCCCCTTTAGATGTACTTCATGCATGTACTTATCTCCTGCCATGCGCTCTAGCCTGTCTACTTCTATGCTGCGATGGCGTTGACCTCAAGGGCGAGCTCCGTGACACGCTTCTCGTTGAGCCCCTTGGCGCGAGTCAGAAGCACCTGCTTGCCCTCCTTGACTGAGCCAACCGCAAGGCTACCCTTGATCGGCGATGACAGCAGGTTGCCAAATGCTACGCCCGCGCGGTAAAGGGTCTCGCTATCTGTCGACTCGCTCTTAAGGATGTGAACGATAAGATCCAACAGAGGACCCGCCTGCGTAGCTGGAAGCTTTGTGTCCAACGCGGTGATCGAGTAGCTGACGTCAGCCATGACTCAGGAGCTGGTCCAGCTGCTAAACTCACTTCAACGCAATTGTCGCGAAAGGCTGCTTCGCGTTTCCGAGATCAGCCCATGATCGGCCCTTGATAAGCTCCGCAAGGATGCCGTGCTCTGCAGCGGCGACCATCGTAGACTGACCCGCTCCGCTGTTAAACATGTTGGCCAGCGTACGCAGGCCAAGTAATGTGTTAGTCGCTGTTGGCTTGTCCACAGGCCCGGTGCCGCCCCATCCTGCCATGCTCAGAAGGGATTTGGGCACCTCCGCGCATCCCGCAAAGGCAGGCGAGTATAGCGCTAGCACGCGAAGAATGTCTACCACTGCTGGTCAGCTGTCGGAACCACAGGTAGACTCACGGGGGAAGCGGTGACTTGCCCTCCAACGAAGCGCAAGCTCCAACAGTGTGGCAGGGTCATAGCTCTCCTGCCCAGCAGGCTTGTCGGCAGCCACGATAGCAACCGCCTCGTCGAGGCAGGCCTTGGTAGCGTTGTCCATCACGAGTCCAGGCTGGATGTTAGAAATCATGGAACGACAGTGCCGCAACAGCTTACCGCTGAGGTAGAGAGCTCTTCATCAAACTGCTCCAGCTTGCCCTGCGCCGCCTTGGCATTGATCTTCTTAAACGTCAGATACGTCTTGACAGGCAGTATTTTGCTCGTAGGGGCCGGCGGAGTGCTCTGGTACGACGAAGAGCCAGTCAAGGGGTCTGCACCGCCAAAGCCACCCGCGCTCCCCGGGGTGACTCCGCCGCCAGTGTAGCGCGAGCCACCCGTGAATGGGTCTCCAGATTGACCCGCACTGCCGGAACCACTGCCTGTTGTCACACCTCCTCCAGTGTAGCGAGTCGCACCCGTGTAGGGGTCGACATAGTTGCTGCTCCCGGTTCCGAGTTCGACACCTCCAGTGTTCTTCTGGATGAAGTCGACGACCTGCTCGGCATATCCACCAGGAAGGTCGTTGCGGTCCAAGAAGCGCTGAGCAGCAACCCAAGGGTTCTCTGGACGTTAACTAACGTGCCATCGGCGTAGACTCACCAGAGACGTTGTAGGGTAGTTTCAAGGGGGGCATGCCTTCGGACACATCAACGTCAAAGACGTAGTCGTATTCCTTCCCCTCGTAGAGCTGTTTACGACCCGAACCGACGGCGTCAACAACCTGGCCAATCTGCTGCCATGTTGAGTTCGCTGCTTGCCACTGCGAGTTAGAGCATTTTACACGCTAACCGACCTGGTACGCCTCTACACTGTCGTTGTTGTTGATCATGATAACCTGACCATCCTTCTTGCCTAACGTCAGCTAGTCCAGACGTCGCCAGGACTCACCCTCCCGGCCTAGTGCCTCCATGCCTGGCAGATCGGTGCGCTTCACGTCTCCAACCTGGCTCCTGCCTGTCAGCGCACGCGTCGCAGATTGACACACTTGTCCAGCTTGCGCTCGCCAACCTCCTTGTCCCATTGCGCTAGAGTCTCCGCGTCAGCCTTGAGGTCGTCGGTGCGAGTGAAAAACCGAATGGTGGAGTCGGCGGCGGCGGACACGAGATAATAGCCGGACTCCTTCGCTTGGGGGACGACCGTGCAGGACCACAGGGAGAGGGAAGGGTGGTTGATGGTCTGCACAAGCTCCGTTTCTGATGTCAGCGCAAGACGGCTAAGCAATACGCACCAGACCAAAGACGCAGGGTGCCATCTTCGCCGGAACTGATTGCCCCGGAGCCATCGGGCAGTGCTGCAACGCTGTACACGAACGAGGTGTGACCCGAGAGCGAGCGAATTGGCGCGGGCTTATCGAAGCTGTAAAGGTTCACAAGGCCGTCGTTACCGCAGCTCCAGAACCCCTTTCCATCGGGCCGCAGGCTCAATCCACGGACTGGCTCTGTGTGACCAGTGTACGTTTGAAGTGGAGTTGAGCGCCCGTTTGCGACGTCGATGGCGTGAAGAATGATCTCCTTGTCGGCGGAAGCGGTCAGAACGCGGTCCTCCCCGACAAACTTGACTGCCCACACAGCTTGCTTATGTCCCTTAATCGTGATGACTTTCTTAAAGTCCTTCCAGATGATGACGCTCATGTCCCAGCTGCCCGTGGCAACTAGAGCATTCTTGGTCGCGTCGATGCAGCACAGATTCTGCTGGTGTTCAATAAGAGTGTGGAATGGCTCAAGAGTTGGCGGGTCTGCGCTCGGCGCGTCGTTGACCGTTCCCGGAATCACGTACGACGACAGCAGGCCCTTCGACGAGCCGATGAGAAGATAGTCTGCGGTTAGCCTCAGCTACCTGGCAAGCTCACCATCGCCCTGCCATTTCACACTCGTGACGCAGGAGACATAGTTACGCTCGAGCTCCTCAACGCGCAGCTTGGCGTCCCAGTCCTTGCCGTTGGACGAGGGACCCCAGAGGATGGCCGAGCCGTCGCGCGAGGCTGAGAGGAGGTGGGGAGCTGTGGCGTCCGCGACGGTGACGGCGCGCACGTCGGAGGAGTGACCGTGGAGAGTGAATGCCAGCTGGTAGGGCTTGGCCATGGTGTAGATCACGTATGGAAAGTGAGAGAGTGTGAGGAAGAGCGAGAGGTGCGCTAGATGATGAGTGGGCGACAACTCACGCATGGGTGTCGGTGGAGGGCGATGGGTCATCGTATGCCACGTGCGTATTTGCGGGGTCTCCACATATTCACGTCATTTGTTTGGACTGAATTGGATCTCGGCTCATCTTGGCCTTTCTCTCTGTCGATCATGCCGTCCGCCGACGTAGGCTGCCCACTACCATCGAGATACGTCTCCTTCGTCAACACCTCGACATTTCTCACACTACTGCTGATCTTTCAAACTGATAATCACACTCACCCGCGGGAACAGGCACCTTGATCTCGTCTCAGCCAGATGAAGGACGGTCTCACTACGCACGTCGTGCTGGCCGGTGAGCTCCGGCCTTCCTCCCCTACTTCAGCCCGACCGCTGGATTGCGACACTAACCTCAGCCGGGCCAAATCTACTGGGCACGTTTTTCAAGCACTACCTCACGTCTGGCAAGAACCGCGAAGATGCCGACGGCAAGGATACGGCGCGCATGCAGCTGATGTACGACGAGGGTGAGCTGCTGGGGTGGGAGGAAGCTGACAGCAGTATTTGAGCTGGTACAAGTGAGCTGCATGAATATTTCGGCGACTGACAAAAGCGGGTCCTCTACATCTCGACTCTGTGGGCGGCATGTATCACAATCCAGCTAACGCCAGCCACACGGCCGACTCACTGCAGAAGCTCTGCCAGCAGCGCACCCCGGTCCCGCCATGGGTGGCAATGCACCGCGTCTGCATTCCGCAAATCACCTCGAAACGAGCGGCAGAGGCGCTAGTGACCGCCCTTGGCGGGCCAGAGATGGCGTTCAAGGTCGCTGGTGGAACTAAGTGGTGGCAGGTGCGCGCAGGTAACGGTGTCGAGTGCGAGTGGCTCGCAATGAAGAAGCATTACACGGAGAAGAAGGATCGAGTACCGGACGACGGTGACTGCGGCTGTGAGATCACCGCTCGTTATCCACTGACACCAGTCGTGCCGGAGATGGACCGCTTGCGATGCATGCTGTTCGGTGGGCTGAGTCACGTGGTAGGAGCTCACACTAGTGCACGGCGGAGGGTATTATTGCGGCTCCATAAACACACATCACTACTTCATTTGGCGGCTGGCCAAGAAGATACGCGGGCGCGTGCTGGCCGTTAACTACCGAAGTATGTTCAGCATGAGGCTCAGATGGATCTCATCCCGTCGTAGCTGACGACCAGTGGCTCCGCAATACCCTTTCCCTTGCGCGATCCAGGACGTCCTGGCTTCTTACATGTACCTCATCGACCCTCCAGAAGGCGCCGCACACCGTCCGGTTGATCCCAAGAATATTATAGTAGCGGGCGACTCGGCGGGCGGCGGTCTCTCCCTTGTCTTGCTCCAGATCCTGCGCGACCTAAACCTGCCGCTCCCGGGCGGGTCGATCCTGATGAGCCCAGTGCGTCCTCAGCCCAGACACTACCAGGGATAGCTGACGGAAGTGGTGCGACCTGACCCATAGTTTTCCAAGCGTGCTCTCGAACACCAAGACAGTGAGCTTCGCTGATGACACCGCTCTGGAGCTGACAACAGGACGTCATTCCCCCGTATAGCTTCATTCATAAACCGTCAAGTCTGTGGCCCCCTCCTCCAGCAGACATGACGCATTCAATGCAAACGAGCATTGTATCGAGAGTGCGCCATGCCGTTCACGGCGAACGTGAGCAAAACGTTGATGGGCCCGGTTCGCAAGCGCCGGTGGGCGAGACCGCAATCCGTACCTCTGACCCGCGCGATCTCGCCAAGCTGCGTCCGTTCCTTGAGGACTTTGCGGCGCGCAAGGGCGCCGAAACGAGCATAATCAACCCGGCAGACAAGTTTGCGCAGCTCGCACCACGAGGCCAGCTAGGCCCTACGACGCTGGCGAGCGGCGATAACTCACTACGCACGAAGTTGGACGACAAGGATATCATGATCGACACGCAGATCCAGCTCTACGCCACGAACGCGCAACTGTGTCATCCATATGTCTCCCCTGTGCTGGGCTACTTCGGCGGACTACCACCGATGCTTGTGATTGCGGGGGACAGTGAGGTGCTGCGAGACGAGGTCATCTACCTGTAAGCTCAGCGATGCTCGGTACGCTCTGACGGAAGTGCACACAAGGCCGCCAACCCAAGCGCATATCCAGTTCGCGAGGATGTGCGGGCAATGATGCCACATTGGGACGGGATAGAGGGGCGGCACCAGCCCACCGACGTGCATCTGCAGGTCTACGATGGTGAGTTTTGTACGTTCAGTACCGCTGACCACAGGCGTTGGTCATGACATCCCGCTCTTCTGCATGACGAAGCCGGGTCACTGTGCCGTGCGCGCAATTGGCGCGTTCGCGCGCTGGGTGACCCCGGATGCCCCCGGCTCGCTCCCAGCGACTGCGGCCGGGACCGGTGTGCCGGGGTCTGGCGAGTCCAGCAGCGACCCGTCGCCCGTTGCCGGATTGTCGCTTGTCGGAACGCCGCGGGAAGGCCCGCCGGTGGATGGGACAGAACGTCTCCGGGAGGATCATCGCCACAGCCTCGGATACATTGTGTCAGAGGCGCCATTGCAGGAGGGGTCTACGCCAAACTCCATGGATTATGTCGATGCCCGTCTGCATGAGTTGAGACTCGAGGGCGAAGGGGCATCGACTTCACCGTCCAGTTCCAAGCGGCCAAGCAGGCAGATGTCGTGGGGCGGTCTACCGAAGGCCAGCCCAGGCCGAGCAGGATGGCCGGGAATATATGACGGTCCAAATGTAATGTTCGCTCTGACGTCGAGCTGACCCCAGCCCTTCACGGACCATATGATCCGGGAGCGTGTGGATCGCGTTGGGGCGTGCCGTCCTCTTGAGCCCGAGTCTCAGCTCAGCGCAATGACCATGCCGGCCGCGGAGATCGGGATGATCAAAACGGCCGCTGTGATGCGGTATCTCGAAGGCCAGGCGAAGTGGGACCACAAGTTCGCAGGATCATTTAAGCGCGTGGCGCGGCATCGCGCACGCAACCTGAAGCGGGCTGACAAGGACGCGCCAAAAATTGCGGAGCGATGGCGGAGGGGCAGTCCGTCAAACCTCCGTCCCAGTCGGGAAGCCACGCCGCGTACGTCACCCGAAAGCACGCCGGAGGGCACCCCGCGTGGCAGCATGAGCTCGGAGGAGGATCTGTACGACGTAGGGTTCGTGGCGGTGGACGAGACGTGGGCGTGGGGCTGGGCGCTGGAGGATGAGCGCCCGCCGCCTTCAGCTATCGTGTCGCGCCGCGACCTGCCCGAGGGGCGTGCGCTTGCGCTCCTAGCCGACCGGATTGACGCTCCGGGGGACAGCGAGCTCAACCTGCTCAGTGTGTGGGTTATACTCGCGCAGCTGTTCTCGACTGGCGAGAAGGAGGGGGTGGAGGAGGCGAGGTATATGCGCGACAAGGCGCGCGCGCGAAAGGGGAAGGGCAAGTGGCGGTTGTTTGGCCGGGACAAGGGGAAGAACGAGGGCAAGGAGACGGAGGACATGGAGAGGGGCACAGAAAGTAGCACCAGAGAGGGATGAGAGATGCGTGACTCCTCCTCTCCTCCTCTCCTCCTCTCCTCCTCTCC